GGAAGCCGCGTTTTAGCTGTTGGCATTGTGTGGGCAGGGTGTCCACCAGGGGTGGGCTCAAACACTCAAGTGGTGAATGGCGGTCTATGAGGATGCAGTCGGATTGCTGGAGGCAAGCCGCGAGGGCGGTGCGGAGTTCTTTGCATGAGGAGGGCATTTTGGGCGAAGCCCGATATGCAAGCGCAGCAGCGGAGCGATTCGGTGTGGCTCTGGGCCAGGGCGAGCAGTCGGTATGGCTCAAGGAAACGAGCACGAGGCACCCCACTGGAGGTGGCGAGCGAAGCGAGCTCTAGACTGAGGCCGTGCGGCCCGCAAGCAGCGCTTCCTAGGTAGGCGAGCGAGAGCGAGCTGTGCGCTCGCAGGCGAATAGAGTAATGCGGGCAGGAGTGAGGTATATGCCACAGGTCAGTCGTGAGAGGTGAGTTCGAGATGTCTGGCGAAGTGTGGCAGGATCTGGAGAGGTCTTGCGGAAGATGGTCTTGCTATGCCGTCGTGGATCTCGCAGGAACTTCTTGAACGAGAGTAAAACAGCTGTTGGAGTTGAGGTTGGAGTGACGAGTGCTCGCGGACGGTCAAACCTCGGCAGACGGGCGATTCACTGCCTGAGATTTGACGTTGCCTTGATTCTCCCTCCCGATCTTTTGCTTTCGATCAGTGCTCTTCTTGCCGCAGCTGCTGTCGACGCCTACGCGTCTGTCTTCATGGCATAGCGGTCCATCATGTCGTGATCAAGGCTTAGTAAATGCTTTCAACACGAACAGATAGAAACTAAGACACGAATGGTATTCAAGACCACTATGCATGGTTTGTACGCCATCATCATTCCGCGAATATCGACTGTGCTCGCTCTATCGCTGGACTTCATTTCTTGCTGTACAGGAGGTCATTGGGCAGCGTGGCAGCTACTGCCTCTCTACTCAATGCTGCAAAACGCCACATTCAAAACCACATCCTCATTACAAGCCCCGTCCAACGTATCCAGGTTTTCCTTCGCTACCCACTGAAGTGAGATTTGAAAAACGGCATCACACTCTCCAAATGCCGCTGCACCTCCTCCGCCTCCCTCTGCATCCCCTCCCGCTTCGCCTTCATCTCCTCAATCCCCTCCTTCAGCTCCCTATGCTGGCTAACCATCCTCTCATGCTCCCCCGCCATCCTCTCCTTCTCAATCCTCAACCCTTCCTTCTCCGCTTCATGCCGCCGTATATCCGCCATCAACGTCGCAAGCTCCTTCTCCTTTTGTCGGAGGTTCTGCCCGGATTTGGATGCGGAAAAGGACATATCGTCAATCTGCTGGCGAAGTTCTTGGTTCTGGCCTTCCATTTCCCGAAGGAGGTGTTTTGTCGTGTCTAACTCGGACTTGGTCTTGACGAGTTTGGACTCGGCATCGGCGTCGATCTTCGAGAGGGTGGATTCGAGGTCAGAGAGTTTGCGGTCTTTCAAGCTGATCTGGGACCGCAGACTCGAGAGTTGGGATTCGTAGTCTGCTTTCTGCTTGCGCTGTTCTTGCGCGTGGGTGCTGTCGGCTAGGCGGAGTTGGGCTTCGATGTCGGCGGTGTGACGGTCTTTTTGGGTCTGTTGGGTCTTGAGGGAGCGAAGTTCGGCTTCGAGTGTGGATAGCTTTTGCTGCGCGGACTCGGATTGTCGGACTTTGGCTTCGAGTTCTGACGTGTGCCGGTCTTTCTGACTTTGCTGGCTCTTCACAGCTCGAAGCTCCGTCTCCAGCGTTGACAGCCGCAAGTCCCTAGCTTTGGATGCTTCTTTCATGTCGAGGTCCTGCTGCATGAGCTTCTTGTCCTTGACACTGATCTGGCTTTTCAGACTCCTGATCTCTTGCTCTAGATGCTGGAACTTGTCTTCGTCCTGCTCCGCGCGGTCCAGTTCTCGCTCGAGCTTGTCGACTTGAGCTTGCAAGTCCTTCTTCTCTGATTCCAGTCGCGTTATGATCTGAGCAGCTTGCATTACTTGGTCTCGACGAGTGTTCATTTCTTCGTCGGAGGTCTTCTTGGCGTCGAGCGCCTCGTCCAGCTGATCCTCCAGTGCCTCCTGTTCTGTTATGGCTTCGGAAAGCTTTTCGGTCAGCTCTGCCTCTCGTTGTTGGAGGCGTTTGAAGATCTCCTCCTTGTCGAGTGCAAGTGCTCTTTCAGCTTCGAGTGTTTGCTGTATCGAATGAGCTTGCATTTCTGCCCGCCGCCGCTCCTCCTCGACCTTCTGTCGTTCAAGCTGATCTTGCCGCAGTTTGTCCTGCAAAGTCTCGATCCGCTCATCGCGCTTCTTGACTTCGTTTGCCGTCCTCGTCGCTCCCAGCAGCGGCTTCATCCGTATGAACAGTCGCCACCAGGGATTCGATTGGAGGTCTAGATAGACGTTGAGGTTGCGCTGGATCACTCTCGTCGCTTCCGCGCGGTATAACTGCTTGTATGCTATTCTCCGCTGCATGAAGCCGCGAGCGACAGATTGAAACCGGGACATTATCTCTCGGATCAGACTGTCGCGTTTCTCTTCGAGCTCAGCTAGCACACCCGCTCGGAAGAAGACCTTGGTAAGACCAACCCGGAAGTCTGCAGCATCCATCTTAAGGCAGCCCAGCATAATACGCGAGGCCTCTTGACCGCCAAGGTAGCCCTTTGGCATATTCTCACAGAGCACCTCATAGCGGCATCGAAACTCGGCGAATGTGAGACGGTTGGGGAATCCAGTCCTGGCTATTCGGATGCCTTCCAGAACACCATTGCATCTCAGCTGGTCCAGGACAAGTGGTGCCGTAAATTGCTTCGGCTTTTTCTTGTGGTTTGGCAGAATGCACCGCACGAAATGTGGTTGTGTGGAATGGAGTTGTCGCATGAGAGTAGCAAGCTGTTCCTTGTGCCGCTGAGCGACAGTCCTGAACAGTCCTCGCTTTACACGACTTCGTGGACTGAACGTGTCGTCTGTCTCATCAACACAATCGCTGAATAGTGTCGAAATGTGGTAGTCACGGGACCCGGCCAGTAGCCGCGTCAGGTTGTCGTTCAAGGGATCTTTGTTCTTTTCAAGCCAACCTTCCGTCGAGTATTCCACCTCGGCCGCATAGTGCGTGAGAATGAAACCTTGCCTCGTGCGTGCAGAAGCATACTTTGGTGTCTTCTTTTCCCATAACGAGTGCAGCTTCTCGGTAAACGACTTATCGGTAGCCTTGGGCATGACAGAGTCCTCGTCCAAGCATGAGAAGATACCGATCGGATTCGGCAACTCGATGAGATCGATTGTCGGCTGCAGATCCTTGCCGAAGTCGATGAAGGACCACTCGATTTGTTCCCTAGCATACTCCTCTTGTTCCAGCACAAACATGTAGTGGTTGAAGAACTGTTGCAGCTTCTCGTTGGTGTAATTGATGCAGAGCTGCTCGAATCCATTCGTCTCGAAGATCTCGAAACCAGCAATATCCAGAACGCCGATAAAGTGGTTGTCGTCGCTGGTCAAGCCGGCTCGATCTAGCTGAGAATTGATTTTCGAAACCAAGTCGCCGAAACCTCGTTCATAGATACCCTTGGCAAGCGCATCCAGGGCAAGTCGTACTTGCTCGGGAGTCTGGACCTTCTCGACCCATTCACGACCGGCCTTGACCTTTGGATGCAGCAGACCTCGAATGAACGGTTCGGTCTGCACACCAAGCAGACGACACGCCTTGTCGACCGATGCTTTCGCTTCTGGTGTCAAAGTCGCTTGATCTCCAGCACGGCTTTCTTGTCTCACAGTGACATTTCCGAGATGCAGGATGGCAGCTATCGTGCGGAAGATAGCCATCTGATCGTCCTGTGAAACATTCATGATGTGGAAGGCTTCTATCAGCGCGTTCCATTCGTCGCGGTCGGACACTCCACTGATTGTGTCGTTGCCCTGCCGTAAGTAATTGAAGTTCTCCACGTCCATATTCGAGATCAGTAGTGCCTCTCGCATCCTCTGGTCGGCACCTGCCAGCAGCTGGTAGAAGACATGGTACGTTCTCTCTTCGCGGCTAAGTTTCACGACTCGCGACTTCTCCAGCAGATACCAATCAATGAATGCTCCCGCGATCTGACCAGTCCGCGTGAACTGTATCCGGATGAATTTACCAAAACGCGACGAATTGTTATTGCGAACGGTCTGAGCATTGCCGAATGACTCTAGTATCGGGTTTGCTCTCAGGATCTGCTGTGAGAGATTCGATAGTTGCTTGCCAGGAGTCCGTCCAGTCAGTGGCGTGTCTGCATCAGTGGAAGCCACAGCGGCCAGGTACTGGATGACCTTCTTTGTGTTTTCTGTTTTGCCTGCGCCTGACTCGCCAGTCACGAGTATACTCTGGTTCTCCCCTTCGTCGACCAGTTTGCGGAATGCTTGGTCGGACACGGCGAATATGTGCGGTCTCGTGTCTTCACGCGTTTGTCCCTTGTACATGCGAACATAGTCGTTGCCGTATATCGGTAGCGGGCAGTATGGATTGATAGTAACCAAGAACAGTCCTGAATATGTGTAGATGAGATCCGCCTGGTATCGTGTATACAAGTTGTGAATCACCGAGGCCTCGTTCAGGTGCGTCAGCTCGGCCATATCGTCAGCTTTGTCGAATTTGGCAGGATTGACCTTGTCGAGGTCGTCGACATGAGTCTCAATCTGAGATCCATCGTCGAACTGAACCACGACATGGTCATTGGACAAGTCCTCCACGATCCAGCCGCGGACGAACGCCTTTTCAGGGTCCTTAACCCAAACATATCTCTTGCCGGAGAAGTCATTCTCGCCCTCGATCGAGGAGATCTTGTCCTCACTTTTCCTTATTTCATCTGATTTTATGAACTTGGGCGCGAATGTGCTCGAGATGCTGCCCTGCCGCTGTAGCGACTTATTTCGCAAATGTGAAGGCACTGAGCTTAGTGAGGTGCTCGGTGAGAAAGATTGCTGTCTATCGTGCCGCTGCACTGGTGTCGGCGAGTTTGTGTTATAGACCGCCGATCGTGGGCGCGAAGAGGGAGATAGTGGTGAAGCGAGCGACATGTCGAACGACTTGTGTGCTGGATGATTGGGCGATCCTCCATGAAACGACGACCGATCACTCTTCCTGACTTCGTGTATAAGCATCGCACATTACCATGTTTCGCTCGAAAGAAAAAGAAGCATCGACGGTGAGGTGTTGCAGCAGTGTGACGAGTCGTCTGCTGTAACTTGGTGGCAAGCTGAGCACGGTCCAGCACCGCGGTTCCAGGATCTGTTGATGTCAAGGGTGGAGTCCCGTTGCCGCGGTGATCGAAAGTTCTTGGCATGACGATGTTCTCCTCGACTGCCAGTGAATACATTCGCGATGATCGTCGTTGGCCATTATTGTGTCACTGACTAAAGCGACTACAATAGGCAATTTGCGCCATCATGTTTTATCAAGGCATCGAAGATTCCCTGACAGTCTCTTGAAGGATGCCACTCATGAACATGGGTGGTGATGTTGATAAGTGGAATTCGGAGTTGGAGGATTGGGTCATCCGGTCTGGCGAACACATTCGGCCAGCCAGGCCGGCGCGATGCATTACCACTCGCGTCATGCTTCGACAAGATGATGGATACTTGCGGCGCGGTACCTTATAGCGTGAGCCAGCCATCAGAGAAGTTGCTGACGATTAACGGAGGTCTTTATGGAAGAGACAAGAAAATTTGAGAATCGGAATTTTGTCAACCGGTCTCGCAAATATATCTCACTCAGCCGAAGACTTTTGCTATGAAAAGCAACACCTCAAGCTCCTTCCCGTCGACAGACAAACGTGTCATCCGGTCGTGCAGAATCTCTTCAAGTTTTAATTCCATCGAGCATCTGGAGGTGGTTTACCCGAGAAGCCACTATCTCAAGGAGCATACTGAAAGCAACAACATGCGTGGCGTTCGGGTATCGCTGGATTCATTCTTCATCTATCATTCGATGCGTCAATGGCCATTCCACTGATAGTTGTCTCCTACCCTACGCAGTCCAAGTCTTCATCCAACTCCCGACAAGTTTACTAATGTACCCATTCTGCCCCTGTTCAAGCATGACCTCCCGCGTCACACTGCCCACCACTGGTGCGTCGTGCACCGTTCTGCTCGTCTCGAAAGTCAAGCCGCTGCTCGTCGTCCGTGGCGTCTCTTTCTCGTTCGTCACAGCGGCTTGCGCCTTCCCATACTTCTCTTCCCAGAAGCTCAACAATTTGATGCTCGGGTTTCTTGCTGGGTCCTGGTCGCTTTCCCTCAACCTCCGCAACCACTCCTGCGGCGGTAAAACCTCGAATTCCGGAAGCAGGTTTGTTCTGCGCAATGCTGGAATGAAGTCGTGCGTCCAGTGGATCTTATGCGGGTTCAGCGTGTGGTACACCAACTCCGCCTCCCTCTTCCTTTTGCCATTGCAATCAGAACCACCATCAACACGAAATGCGAGGTCTGAGATCGCTTGGCCGCATACGTCGACCGGCAGCCAGCTGACCTCCTCGTCCAGCGCTGGCAAGCAGTCAACACCCTTGGCGAGGCACGACTGAACCATGAGGGAGACTGCTTCGGTCTCGTTCCACTTCCCCTTCGCAAGATCGCCGCTCAGCTGCCCGATCCTGAGCACTCTCGCCTCAAGCCCATGCTGTTGGTAGGTCACCATAGCGCGGTGCGTGATGTGCTCGCCGACGAGCTTGGATTTTCCATACCCTGTTCCCTGAGCGTGGCTTAAATCTGGGATGAGGGTTTCCCCTATCGAAGCCGCGTTCGTCGAGTCTTTGGGTGTGTTCGATCCGACAGAGACGGACGAGCAGAAGAAGAACTTTGCCGGCTGGGAGCGCTTGACGTTCAGGCAGAGTTGGAGAAGGTTATGCAGGCCCCGGAGGGCGGGACGGAAGGTCTGCAGCGGCACGGTGAAGTTCACTGGCCAGGCGCAGTGAATCACATGTGTCAGGTTGGTGAGGAGGTGGTTGTAGTGCGCTTCGGGAATTGCGAGGGTTGGGTTCGCGAACTCGCTTGGGAGGCAGACCAGGCGAGAGATTTGTGCCGCAGTGAGGGTGGTCCCACGGGAAGAGATCTGGGAGAGGACGCGGAGGTGCGCGTCGAGTTCGGATTTGGCGCGCACGAGGCAGTAGACTTGTCCAACGTTTGGGCGAGACAGCAGTGATGCTGCGATATATGCACCGAGACTGCCGGTGGCGCCGGTGAGGAGCACAGTTGCCTTGCCTGATGTTTCTGACAATGAGCTGCTCGGGGTGAATGGTGCGAAGACCGACAGCTCCTCAATCAGCGACTGCATCAAGCTGACATCGTCCGTCGCCTGCTTAACCTCGCCCGTGCGTAGGCTGTACAGATGGCGGGCTAGCGCGGCGACAGTACCTTTCTCGAACACGACGTTGCTGCTCATCTTCGAGGCGTTGGACCCAAGGTCGATCTCCTTACGGATGATGCTGTTTATGCGAGCTGTCTGAAGCGAGTCGACGCCCGCAGCGAATATGTCGGTCGTGGTTGCTGCTAGTGGTATGGAGAGTCGTGCGCGGAAGGTGTCTAGGAGGAAGTTCTCCAGTTCCGGCACTGATAATGTCTTGAGGTTTTCTGACGGAGTGGGTAAAGTATCCTCAAACGCTGCGTACGCAGCTTCGATCTGCGCCGCAAAAACCTGGTACATCTGTGCACGAATGAATGTGAACTTGTCTGTCTTCGGGTAGGCCGTTCCTGCTGGCATAGGAATGATCATCTCTTCCGGAATGCGAGAAAAGCTCTCTGCTGCCGCATTTGCATCGTCAATGGATGGCTTGATCCCAGCCAGGAGTTCAGCATCGGACATGTTTGCTGCAAGCTCACTGCGGAAGATGATGACGCCAGGAACGCTCTTCCCTGCGCCGAAGACAGCAGCTTGCTCGACGAGCGGGTCTTGTCGTATCCTGCCTTCTATGGGCAAGGGAAGGACTTTTTCTCCGTTCACAAGCGTCAGACGGTCGTCGGATCTGGCTAAGTATTTGTAGTAATTTGATTTGGCCGGGTCTGGGTGTCGAGTGAACAGATCTTTGGTGCGGAAGGAGTTTGGAGGGTTGTCGGAATTTGATGGTCCTTTAGATGGCAAGCCGTCCAGTCCCACGCATTCGAATACACCTGGTGAGACTTCGTCCATCAGGACGTGCTTGGCGATCGGGTACTCCAGTCGGCAGTAGTCCCAGTCTTTATCGGTATCGTAATTCCGGACCGAGCTCATGATGAAGCCTGTCTCAGTGCAGCCGTAGTTCGCCACAAGATTCACACCGTTCGCTACCAGCAGATCTCCCAAAGCATCCGGGCAAGCACTGCCAGCGTATAGAACGAGTTTGACCTTCCGTAGTTCCGCGAGGCCCTCGGGCCTTTCTGACATCAGCTTAAGAACGTATGGCACCACATTAAACAGATCCGGCCGAGCAACTGACATGCCTTCGATCAGGTTCTGTGTAGTGACCGGCAAAGCATAATTGCCCAAGAACATAGGTTTCTGTAGATATATTGCCCCTCCCAGCTCCATCAATGCGTGGCTGTGGAAGAGAGGCGAGACACAGAATGCTCGCATGCCAGGCTTCTTGACGAAGTTCGCCAGACACTGGTAGTTCGTGAGGAAGATGGGTTTGGGAAAGCCAGTGCTCCCCGAAGAATGGATGATCCAGCCAAGCTTATTTGTCTCCTTGAGCGGATCGGCGCCCTCTCGCTTGAACACAGGAGGGTTCTGGACATGACGGAAGTCTGGCCGTGTGATGAGAGGATACCGCTTGCATTCCCGAATCTTGGCAATATCCTGGCCCATTCGCTCGAATCCTGACGAAGTGATGAGTCTATCACAATTCGACAACTCCATCAAACGCGCGTATGCGTCGGCCGCCAGTCGCGTGGATAGAAAGAGCAAGCCATATCCCATCCGATTCATAGCCCATATTGTGACCACGATTTCGAGACTTGATGGTGACAGAACGGCAATTACGGGGGCTTCTGGGAGACTGGGGTCTGCTGGCTCAATGCCGCTGCTGATGTATTTCGCGACTGCTGCATCGACGAATCTATCCAGATCCTTTGGCGAGTACTCCTCGAAGTCGCTGGTGCCGTTGGGTGTGGCTGGATATGCAAGTATCGTACCATCGAATCCTTCCGCGATGTGTGATTTGAGTATGCCATCGATAGTATGGAACTTGGTCGGTGGTGGCCTCGGTGGTTGTTGTAATGTCTGCTTGGTGTTTGATGTAGTAAGAGTCGTCGCTGCAGGCGGCGGCAAGGTCTCGGTTATAGACATCTTGAGTACATCAGCCACTACCAGAGCCTGTTCCGATTATGAACCGAGCAGTTGCACAGCTGTCATTCACAATTGTAGCCCGCTTCTATGTTCCGATCTAATGTGTGAGCTCTTCCGCCGTCAAGCTGCTATTCAATTATGATATATTGACATGAATACGTCGACGTTGTTGCCATGAAATACCTCATCCGACGGAGTTGCCGTCGGCATAAAGCATCTTGTCAGGAACTGTGGAGAATCTTGGGAGTCATTTGCCGAGATCCGGGCTCGGAGTTGGCGCCTTGTCTGTCCGGCGCAGATCATGTGGAGGGTCGAAGTCAACCCAAGGAGTTCGTCAAAAGCTGCTCGAGTAGGACGCCGGGTGGCACGCCATCTAACAATCAAACAGGTGTGAAGGGCCTCAATCGTAAAGGTTCAACAAGTGCCCATGATCTTGTTTGCGAATGTATCAGAGTATAAATGCAGCATCCTGCTACCCGAACCCAGACGCGCTCGCTGTTGCTCCTGTTATGATTTGCTCCAGGCCCTGAGCTCGCTCCCGCCGGCCTCTTACACTCTAGTCTGCGATACGAAGCTCTCTCCGCTCGTCCAACTGCGGCTGCGACGGCTTCATGCTGTCTTCCACCCGTTTTCCGTCCTTTCTTCCTTACACATTGATAGCCTGATTCATTACAACCTGCTCAATCCGATGACTAAACCTCCCCGCTCCCCTCAAAGCCAGCATCTGCGCCTCACTAACCTTCAGCGTCATCTGCGGCAGAAACCACCTCAACCCCTCACTACACGGCGGCGTCGTCAAACTCCCCTTGTACGTCCAGTACTGCTGAACCATGCCCACTTCGTGGATCGCAAGTAAATGGTCCATTGGCACACCCGGCGTTCCCTCGACAGGTGGATTTGCGGGCGCGGGAATGGCCGCCGGGACTTGGGCGAAGAAGGCTGAGTGAGCGGTGACTGAGGGCTCGATGCGAATGCCGACTACGGAGGCGGGCTCGCCGGCTGCGTTGACGTGGACGAAGTGCATCTCGGCTGAGGAGGGTTGTCAGCTTGGGATCCCCTGTACGATGGAGGATGTGGACTCACCAGCAGATCTGACCCCATCAACCAAGTGCTCACTCGGAAAATGTATATGCCATCCACTCAAAAACACCGTCTGGTCATCGAATGTCATAGCTGGAAGCGTTGTGGGATCCTCATTGACCATATCGATATCAAAGGCCGGACCGAAGCCCCAGTTCTTGAACGTCCCCGTCGTGTTTGTCGTTGTCTGATAACCTGCAAAGGACGGTGGATGTGTGGTGGCCAAGCCTTGTGTTGAATGTACGCCGATGGGCGATTGAGATGTGCCGGTAAAGCATGTCAGGTATTCTAGCACACCACGTCAATGCTATACTGGACTGGTGGGAAAAGAGTGGCCACTAACCTGGCTTGATGGTATGCCAGTCAAATGAATTAACATATTCGAAGTCGATCTCCTCGGCCCGCCGTTGGAATCGTGTATCTCGACGAGCATGTGGATTAGAGTATGTGTTGCTTCGTCTCTGCATATGAAAGTTGCATGCTTGGGTTGCTGGTAGGACGGTCATCGCCAGGATGACCGTCGACAGAAGTGAAGGTACCATGTTGTTGGTATGTGTTGGTATGACGATGACGGTTTCGTGCTGGTGACTTGGACGCCGATGGCCAGCTGGTAGTGGTGCAGTCAACAGCAACCGAGATTATGTATATCGCAACTAAGGTATCCAAACGGCAAAGCAATGACGCGGTGTGGTGTATATGAAAGACAGTAAGAAACAGAAAAGCACGACTAGTATTGCGAGGGCTCCGGGAGGACACAAAGCCTCATATAGCAATTCGAAGCATTGAGCTTGGTCCGAACACCATTGCTTGGCCAGATGATGGGCATTGGCATTCTTCGCCTGGCGGACGCCATCGGTATTGAAGCGGTGTCCGATGTGTCGAGCATGTTCGTGTGGACGCGGCCTTCAGTCCTTGAGCAGTAGAACGCACCACCAGTATGGCCTGACAGCTTCGCTTGAGAATGCCAAGTGCCTCGTGAGGGTATCAAATACTGTAGGCTCGGTCGAGCAAGCTCCCGACTGCGGAAGCGCGCTGAATAGTGTGGTGTACAGTGGATGATTCAGTATCAGATTATTGAAACTGTGGACGACTGAAAGGACTCTTTTGGCAGTGGCCTCACTTCGCCTAATCCAGGGGGCTTGGAAGTCCAGACCAATCGGTAGCCGTTGAGCCTCGCTTAGTTCACTGCCGTCTTCAGCTTCTGGCAAAGCTCATCATTCGTGAGCAGCAGATAACTGCGAGGCTGCCAGGTGACGGGAATGCCAATGCAATAGACACTTTGATAGGTACATGCATGTGGTCAGAAGGCAATAGCAGTCCCAGTCGTGAGGGTGCGGTGGGCAACTGGACCTGCCAAGTGAGCAGATCTTCAGGCCATTGCAACCGGGTCTGGATGGGAGCCCCACAGATCGACGTGAGTAGATTGCATGCTTACTGTTGGGCTCTTGAGCGGGTAACAGTTTACACGAAGACCAACTGGGCTTCCAAACCTCATCCATGGTTGTCTTTCTTGGCAAGCGCTGGGTCTACACTCACCTGATGGTAGTTTGCGGCGTCCATGTAACAACGATGGATAATTCCGTAAGCCTCAATCGCAGTGGCGCGGGTCCACAGTTCGATACCTTCCGATGTGACTTCTGACCACGCCCGACAGGCATGACAGGAGAGGCTTTCCATTGTAAGGAGCGCCCGCCGTCTAATCATGGGTGTCTGACCAAATGCGTGAGCACAAATGCCACTGTCGCGACAGAACCGCAGTCACCGCCAGGCCCAGGCGTCGGAAGGTTCCAAGCTTCCAAGACTGTTAAGCTCGTGACAAGCCGAGTGTCAGAAGGCTTTGACGAGGGTTGGCAGGAGGTCTTGGCTTCCAGAAAAGCGCCCGCCGCCAAGCAGTGACCCCAGGTGCGACGCAGGAGGAGCTCCGCTATACTGCCAAGCTCGACTCGACTTGCTTCTCGGTTGTAGAATTTCCCTTCACTTCGCCAGTGCAATTGCACGGAAGGAAGTCCAAAAGAAGCAGTTCGCTGTGAGCCGAAGCTTCAATTCCATGTTCAGTCGACCCGTCGTCTTGGAGAAGGTACGATACACGGTCATCGCGTGAAGCATCATTGTCCAGCATTGAACCCTGTGACTCTGAGCAAGGCTTGTCATTTATCGCAAGCGCGAACTGCCGACCGCTGGCGGCATTTCGTATGGAGGCTCGACCAGTCCAGTGACTGTAGTGTCTTGCGGCCCTTCGTTGCGCGTCCTTCAATGACAGGCGTGAGAGGCTGCGGGAAAGACTCCCGCAGAGTGTAGTATCAGCGACAGCATGCTGTATGGAGATGAAACGACCCTCCGCCGCCGGCACCTGCTCAGGCTTGACAATGGCTTGAAGAACACCAAGCATTCCTTTGCTCCTGTTGGCGGTGCTTATTGAAACATTGCCAAGCTCTTCCTCTATGCCGCTGTCTCGATCTCGTCTTGGCGTGCCAGTGTTTCAGAACATCTCGGAGAGCAGTCGGACTGAGTTCGGACCTCTTCGCAGAGAGTCTGGACTCTGGATGGTTCCATGGCAGTGGACATCGGCCCAGATCCTGGATCGAGCAAGTGAGCGGTCGTGAACGTGCTTCAGAAGCGTAGCAAAGGAGTGACGCGTACATGTGTGGCTGATCAATTCATCGGCAGGCCATATATCCGGGGACTTCAATGAGCGTCAGGTCTAGATACCCGTTAGACATCATGAGAATAAGCCGCATAGCAGTGAGAGAGCGAAAAAGTACATGTGATCGTGACGAAGAAAGAAGAAGTTGTCTTGCTGAACACCACATTCGTGCCTTCCCAAAAGAAGTTCATGTCTAAATTCGACTATTGCTACAGAGCGATCCCTTTGTCGCTCCTTCCCGTACCCCGACCACGATGCATGTTTTGAATACCCAGGCCTCCATCACTGTGGTGCGAGCTCAGGCGACTTCTAATCACTGTCGCTCAACACCAACGCATCCTCCGCCGTCGCTCCCGGTCCCGAACTCGTTGCCCGACTCCCTTGTGTACCCGGCGTCGCAGCAACCTCCTCCTCATCGGGCAACTCGGGGTAGAAGAGAGACGACTGCTGATACTGTCCGCCTTGCATATTGTACGGGAAGTCTGCCTCAGGAACATCCTCGTCGTCGTATTCTTCCTCTGAAACTTCTTCTTCATCTTCGTCGTATCCTTCAACGGCTTCGGCGGCTTCGGCGGCTGCTTCGTCAGCGGAATCTCGATCTTCATCTTCATCTTCTTCTGCTTCCTCGTCTTCGTCGTCGTAAAGGTCTTCTTCGGAATACTGAAGCGCGTTGGCAGAGTGCAGCCGACCATTCTGGTGTGGGTAATACGCCTGGCCTGCGGGAGGTGGCTGCTGGCTGGCGAGCTCGTCTTCGGACTCTTCGACCTCGTCGAAGTCGTCGGTGTCGTAGCCATGCTGAAGTCGGGTCGCAGATTGATGAACCTCGTTCTGCTGATGACCTTGCCAGCTTTTCGATGTAGTAGCCACCGGTTGAAGCTTGCCAACCGTAGCGGGGTGCTTCTTCGGTCGCTTCTGCGGGGAGATTGTCATGTTGAGATCTTCTTCCTCTTCCTCATCTTCCAATTCCTGCTGTGAAGGTCGATAGCTTCTATCCACATCTCCGCTTTTTCGACGCTTTTTGGCTGTGCCATTTGCCCCGGTCGCTTCCACTTCTTCCTCGGCCCGGTACCCATAACTACTCCTCTTGCTACTCGCCCTAGACGACGCCCGTTCCGACGGTGTGCCAATCGGCTTGTATGCCAGCCCCAACGCGCCTGACTTCCTGATCCGAGCTTCAACGCGCGACATAGCTTGCGGAGGAGGGGCTGGGCTGTACGCATGTCCTTGGATGTAGGAAAGACCATGAGGATCGGCGTGTCGTGCTTCGGGTGTGCTTCCTGCACTCGAGCGAAGCTTTTCTTCCACCTCCACCTCCTTCTCTAACTGCTTAGCCTGCTCTTTGAACCAAGTCGTATCGCTAGCCAGGTCCAACCTCGCCTGGCGAAGTTGTTGCAACAAGTCGTCGGCCGCTGGATCATACTTCGGGGCCGAATTGTCTGCGATGGCGCTCACCGTAGACGGAGACCTCGATACCGGCAGCAGTGGAGGTGAAGCAGCCGATGTAGACGTCGCAGCCGAGGTCACGCTCTCAGTGGTATGTCGAGGCCGGGTCGCGGCAACACGTCGCCGGTCTTGTGCCGAGTGATGGCAGCCGCGCGCTCTTCAAGGTCTTTCTGTCGCTTGGCTTCGACTTGGCGGGCTGTCTTGGGGACCAAAGGTGTGTCTGGATCAATGCCATTCGCCAGCAGTCGGAAGTAGTCGGTCTTGGTCTGATCTTGTCGTGATCGTCCAAGTGACTGTCGTAAATTGCTGCCACTTGTCGATCGATTGAGGCTGCTGCGACCAGAAAACGTCGAGTGCCGGAAGTCTTGTGGTTCCGCCTGAACTGTCTTGACTGGCAATGGAGGTGGTTGCATAGCCCCGAGCGTCTTGGACCGCTTATGATTTGCATGTGATGGCTTCGAGTGCTTCGGTGGCGTGTTAACGTCTTGTTCTGCTAGATCCTTCCTCTTACTACCTGCAAGTTGCTTCGGCTTTTGTGCCTCGTGCGCTCGCTTGGCAGCAGCATCGGCCTTGTTCTGCTTCTCGATTTCGGCTCGAAGGCGTTTGGTCTCTTCAGCGGCTTCCAGTATCGACTGCAGCTCCTTCTCGTTGCGTTGTTTCTTCTCGGCGTCCATTCTGACTGACTCTGCGAACAATTGTCGGCGCCGGTTGGCGTGTTTGTTCAGCTTCTTTTGCCAAGTGATGCTCCGCCAAATGGCAGCGTATTTGCGGAAGAGGTATTGAGCTTTCAGTCGTGCTTCAATAGATCAGTAATGTTATGAGTTGTGTTCTCGAGATGCACTCACCGATGGCTTCTTCGAACTGGTCCCGCTCGAATTTTCTGGTCTCCTCGCGAAGGATGGCAGGTAACGTAGCCTCGAGAAACTGGAAGATCAATCCGTAGCGCTGCGTGAAAGCAAGTCGGACCAATAGATCAATCTGATGTTGCCGATCTAGAGGCGGCTTTTGAGGCTTGGCGTGAGGCGTGAAGAGATCTGCGGTCGTCGATTTGGGTGAAGTGGCTGAGACGGCTCGAGGGTCAGGTGACTTGGATCTCACTTGTGATGGTGTCGAGAGAGCAACGTTTGGCGTCGAATCCTTTTGTGATGGGGCTGCTGTTACAGGTGGGGGAGCCGCTAAGGCCTTAGGTTGTGGACTCGATTTCGGAGTAGTCGACGAGAAGTTGAAAGCAGGTAGGCTTGCACCTGAGAATGGTACGTTCGGCACTGCAGATTTTGGTGCCTGAGTGCTCGATGATTCTGGTTGCGAGCTAGTAAACGAGAATGAGGGCTGAGAGGCTTTGCTCGTCGAGGTCGAATCGTTAGCTTTCGAGAATGAGAAAATGGGCTGGCTCGAAGGCGCAGGTTGTTGAAAGTTGAAGCTCGGTTGCGGTGGTGTGGAAGTCGGAAGGGATGTCGAAGTGAGTGCAGCGGGTACTGAAGAGGTTGTAAGCATTGATCGGTCGAAGTGAATGAGAATCGACAGTCACTTACCTTTGGGTTGAGTCGTTACGGGGGAGAATGAGAACGGTGCAGATTCTGTCGTAGTTTCAGGTTTGGTCGGTTGAGTGAAAAGTGGTTGCGATCCTGGAGTTGTGGTTGGCGTAGACGCAGACGGACCGAAGTTGAACCCCGTGAACAGAGGTTTCTGAGCATCCGGCTCAGGAGCAGGTGTCTGCGAAGTTGGTAACACAGAAGCTGCAGGCTGAGTAATCGAAGGCGTAGGAGTGCCGAAAGGGCTGCTCAGATTGAACGCAGGTGTCGTAGTTGTCGTCGAATTTGAGCCCGCATTGTTGTCCCTGAATGCGCCAAGACCCGAGTCTGCAATTACGGTCGATCCCGAAGTTCCCGTGGAGTTTGGTTTCGGGGCGCCGAATAGATTGTTCTCCGTATTGCTCGCACGCGGCTGCCCGAACTGACTGATGTGGTTCGGCACAGCTGCTTGGGCAGTTTGACCGAAAGGATTGTTCTCAGTGGTGCTGGCTCGCGTTGTACCAAACTTGGAGATAAAGTTCGGGGGCTCGGATTGTTTCTTGTCGTCCGCAGCCAGCGGTCCTGGTTCTGCTGAACTGGTGGCGAAACTTTGACCGAAGGAGAAGTAGTCGTTGGTGTCTGTCCCAACTTGTGCGTGAGTTGAGGCGTCGCATCTGTCGAGGTGCTAGAACCCTGCCCGAAGCTACCGGTGAAGCCCTGACTTGAAGGCTCTTGGGTTGTCTTGCCAAATCCTGCGTTGAGAGCTTGTCCGAATATTGTCGAGCCGAACGTGCTGGTCGTCGATGCTGCGGCGCCGGAGCCGAAAGGTGACGAAGCTGGCAAGGCGGACGTCCCAAACGACGACGAAGTCGTGAAGGACGTCGCCTGAGGATTGAGTGATCCGAATGTTGACGTCGTGCTCTGGCCAAATGTCGGCTTAGCCTCCGGAATGAACAGGCTTTCTCCATCGTCTTCCACCTCTGCAGGCTGGTCTTCCGTATCGTCCTGCTCGACCAAGCCTTGTCGGATCGCTTCGGCGGCGCCGAGATTGTTTATGATGGCCGGCAGGGTTCGTCGACAGCGCTTCTCCTCCACGAAAGTGTATGAGAAGGTGTGTTTCGACGGCAGGAGGGATTCTACACACGAGTCAGATTGGACTGTTCAGACGGCAAATTGGAGAAGAAAGGGAACGCACGATCAAGTGTAGAACCAGTGTACTTGGCAACATCAAGATAGGTCACATTTTGAGCATCGGTCTGGAATGACAGGCCAAAAGTGGCGCAGAAATCGACAGTCTGCTCGTCCGTATCAAAACCTAGGTATTCCGCCACGGCCTCCAGTGTCCAGTCTCTTGACTTCTGCTGTTGCGAGGCGGGTGCAGACTTTGCCGATCTGAGCAAGCACGTCAGCGCAACGAAGCGTACTTGGTTGAAGTACATCTCTGCGACGCAAGCCAGATGGTACCCGACGGCTCCTGAGTTCATGATGGTCCAAAAGTTGCCAGAGTTGTTGCGTGCGACCGGAGACGGGGCCAAAGGCCTGAGTGGACCCTGATCGAAGAGTGTGTCGCCTGCGGCTTGGTAGAGTCGTAGTGCTGTTTGGACCCGAGCATCTGCGATGAGATGAGGTGGCCAGCTCTGGATTCGGTCTTCTAAGTCGGGAAACTGTCCTTGAATGGCCATTATGATGTGGTAGGCGCGGAATTCTGCCTCATTTGGAAAGTCGATCTGGTTTCGATGATCGTCATAGTAGAATAGCAGCGATAGCAGGGTGTTGTTGAGCTGCTCGCGGTCTTGGAAGACGTCGAAGTTCTCATCATCTCGGAGGTTGCCTGGATTTGAGAGCTGGTGGAGGGACAGAATGTGGAAGCGAGCAATGCGCTCGAAGCACTCCACGGCCGTTCTGACGTCTTCGTCCTTTGAGACTTGCTGGATGGAGAAGTCGTTGCGGATTGCTCTCGTTCGATCCCATACAAACTTGTGCACGACCGCGAGTCTCTCAGGCCCTCCGATCAGGCTGTCAATGAGGTAGTCTAGCGTTCTTCGCAGAGTCGCAGGTGTGCGAATGTCGGAAGGGATTTGTTCGTCGTCTCCGGCGGCTGATCGGCGGAAGCGCTTGACCATGATCTCCTCCGAAGCGACCTGTTTTCCATCATTGTTGGTAGTCTAGCCGATCTTCATCAGTATGTCTCTTATGTTGTGCTGTCCATGGCGCCTACCTTCTCAGATCGATCGACCATGAACTGGACCATTCTCTCCACACGCTCAAACTGCGGACACATCTCTTCACAGGTGCCTACCGGCGTGATGGCTTGGTCGAGTGTTGTCTTCTTGTCAGGATCGGCCAGGAAGCCCATGCGTATTGCTTCTTTCCGCTCCTCCTCTCGAAGATTTTTGAGCTATAATCCGGGAAAGCCCGCCGTTAGAATATGGTATTTTCCTGCAGCAAACATCGAAGTCAGCCGACTGGCGGAGGGATTGGACGTACTTGGGTGTATCTCTGGGTGACATCGCCCGACACGGAGGTCGCGTCGAAGGAGCCCATCGGTGCGGGAGAAGAGCCTCGTGTGTTCGCTGGCGGGTCGTTGGTGGCTGGTGTGTTTAAGGATCGCGTCAGATTGCCTCGTCCTCTTCCACGGGTTGTGGTTGTGCCTCGAGGCGCACCTCGTCCTTTGCAGTCGGTCAGTCGTTGTCCATCCCGAATTGAGATGAGTTGCGCACCTCTTCCGCCCGCTGTTCCAGCATTTTCGGCGTTTCGCGCAACAGTGCCTGTGCGCAGTTGCTGGAGTAGGCCCTGTCCACTGCTGCCTCCACGTGTGACTCGAGTCGAGCCACGCGCAGCAGTAGCTTGTCGTCCACGAGAGGCGCCACGGCTGTTGAAGGCTGACGGCGTCCCACCTCGCGATCCTCTAGCAGGATTTCCGCCGCGACCGCGGGGAGCGAGGGCAGACATTGCCGCCTATAGTTTGTATCAACATTGGAGGTTGATTCACGTGAAGCGCATCGGCGTGGTCGACCAGGATTTGTTTCTGGTTGGCAGTACGTTCTGTGTGTAATGTGAACCGTGGGTGCGTCGGAGGTTCTGTGGAGGAAGATGTGTCTAGGCAGGAGAAGTGATGACAGAAGAGCAGAGTTCAAAGATCGAGGAAGCCAAAGGTACTATGGGCAGCCTACTCCACCAAAATGGGATATCATCTCCGGTGCCAAGAGATTCCTCTAGTTGCAAGATCATTCACTTCAAGCTCAGTTGCAGTCACGTCGCCCACAGTCTACAGCGAGGAATCTGTTTGGAATGATTGGGACTGGTATCGCCTTTGTCTATCTTGTTATTCTGTCCTGTCGACGCGACCTCATTTCCGGCCATCGTCGCGAGGCGCGCTCTCTTCCTTGGGTCGCCGCGAAGCAGAGCGGAAAGTCCCCCTGCCTCGCTCATGTCAGCCCTCAACGCGCCGTCTCGCCGACTTTTTTGATCGTTTCGTTCGTCTTGTGGTAGTCGTTACCGCCGATTGCGACTCCAGGCGCCCCAAGTATTCATCACCCCATTCCGACTCCCCGGTAAAGACCAAATCAAATAAATCAGTAGGTCATTCGACAGCTGAGTGTTCTCTGTCGCTTATCCCGGAATTCGTGTATGTCTCTTTTCTCCCATCATCCACTCCTTCTCTCGCTCTTTTCCACGTCTTGGATCACACGCCCATGCCTTTCACCTCTTGCTTCCTCCCAAAGCTCCCGCCCATTAATTCAACCACTCCATCGCTATCCCCTCGCGCGACATGGCTTCTCGATTCCAATGTCGATCGCGGCAGACTTTTTCTGAGGCGTACTTTGAGCCTCGTAAACAAAAGGTAAAGCAAATAAGCAAGGTACTTTGTAAATGTTCAAAACTGGATATGCGCAAATTCCAAAAGCAGATAACGATATAGCAACCCGAAATATGTGTGCGTTGGCGCTTTTGCATGTGTCGTGTGTATTTGTACAGGTTTGATGGTGGAATGAGGTGTATTAGACGCGGTCTTGGCATTTTTCCGCGCCCATGGCATATGTATGACGGCCTCTGATGTTGAGTGAAACGAGGCTACCTGGTGGTGATTTGTCGGACGTCGACGAGAGCCGAGGAGATGGTGCCCCGGGAGCTGTGTCCAAGATCGTATATTGCGAAGCAGTGAAGACCACATCCTTAGGAGGCAGAGCTGGAACTGGGCATTGGCTATTGAAGAGCCCTCCAGAACCGACACTTCACGATATGGTGACAGCTGACGTCTGATGACGCCAGCAAACTCGGGATCCCAGCAGAGCAGGAGATTTGTCGAAGACTGCTGCTGAGGCTCGAACAGTCGCTTGGTCGAACAATTGGCAATCGGCAGCTGGGTCGCAGATTAGGTCAAGGTCCCCGTTTTGCCGATAGCTGCGGAAGCTGCTGTTGCTCACGCCGTCGACCATGTCCACAGAGGAAACTTCGGTTTCGGAAGCCCAACACCGTGAAAAGCAATAAGCGGCCTCCCAGTTCTCAATCTTAACTAGAGCTTGATGTTCAGCTCGGAAAATACAGATCATGTGCGGCGACTGCAGCTGCAGCAGCCATCTGCTGGTGATGCTGCGCATCCATCAGTCCCACCTGATGGTGATGGGAAGCACTGCTCATCGTTCGCGTTGGAATTGGTCGGCTCATGCCATGGTGTGGAATGCCGACGCTGTGCAAGAATGGTGTTGGCGTTGACGCAGGGTGATGCGGAAATTGTTGTGCGTAGTGGGCCGGATGATGCATCGGCAGATGATGAGATTCACCCGGGAGCAGAGTAGTGGCACTCAAGGCATATCAATCGATGAGCTACCGTCCGTCAGGGAGGAAAGCGCGACTTCTGCCATGCGGAAGGTCTGGTTCGGTATAGGTGTGGCGCATTGGGCACCGTTGAAGGTGTACTCGACGGGTAGGAAATCATTGGGTGACGAGTTCGGTCCGCCGCTGATAGCGTCGCCATTGGGCCAGCTTTGCATGAGCATCATCTCCTGTTGTTGCTGCAGATCACGGCGACTGTATTGCTTCTGACGCATACTACCTGCATGGTGTGTTGCATGGCGGCCGACTTTTGAGGCATTCTTGAAGCCATACAGGTTCTGAGTATCGACAGTTAATGCTGGGTGGCTCTGAGATGAGGTCATAGGCATGAAGGCTGAGCGGTTGACCATCTGCTGCTGGATGTCGAAGGCTGCCTGTTGATCAGCCATTTGTTTGTCATCTTCGTCCATCATCGGGATGAAATCCAGATCCTCGCTTGGGGCGACTTGGAGGCTGTCATGATTGATCACAGGCTTGATATCATGGCCAGATCGAGCCGAAGACTGTGTGATCTGACGGATCTGATCTTCAGGAGAAGGTGCGATTGGAGGTTCCTCCGAGGCAGGAGTGACTATGACCTGTTCATCGGCATCGGCTTCAACTTCGTCGGCTTCTGGTTCGCTGTTCTTCTTGCTCTTGTTCTCGGTCTCATAGTCGCTGACTAGAATGGTGGCACTAGGATCTGGACATGTCAGCAAACGGTTATAATCAACCTCCATCAATACCCACCAATGTACATGTTGCCACTGTTGTACTCTTCCAGCTGATCACGGACGGAGATTATTTCTTGGACGATGGCCCATTTATCTTCCTTGAAGTCTCCTTTCTTTTCTTCAAGAGCGGCCAGGAGCTCGACAGCACGAATGTATACAGGCTCATCTGAGGAGGCTCTGATCTGCCTCTGCGGAGTGTTGATGATCAGGTGAACGAGTAGCTTGGTCCGCTCTATCGGGAAGATCAGTCAATGTCCTCGAAGACGAAAAAGGTCTCACCTGTCTTATCAATATGGTCCGGCTCCTTGTGCTTGACACTGTAAGAATGTCAGCCAGCCACTGCACAAATCAGGAAGCACGTATCATGTGGCCAGTATGGTGGCTTTGTTCGATTAGCGTCAGCAATGGAATCCCGCGGCACGTTGCCATTGTATGGATGGGTTGATTGCTATGAACGAGTCAGAACAGCGTACTTCTAGACTGGCATCTCTCCAGACACTAGACCTACCTTCTTGGGGTGGATCTTCTTGATCCATACTTTGGCCATGGTGCGGCAACCAATCTGTTGGACAGCTTTGAAAGCTGCAGCGAACCAGCGCTCCTGGGCCGTCTCGTCACTGATGGATAATGCCATCTTTCGAAGTCCAGATAGCTGTTGCTCGGCTTGCATGGCAGAGTCGTTGATGAAGTATGACGATTGCATGTAGCCGTCCATATCAAGCTGGTGTCGACGTTTGACGGACTTGCGAGGATATGGCTTTGCTTGATCCTCTCGTGGTCGGGTCTCAACCGACTGGGTGGTGGACGACTTGCGTGGTTTCGGGCGCTTTGTTGAAGCCAGGTCTAGTCTTGTCAGCATATTCCTGTCGGTGGTCACGAAGGGCTCCGCTCACCATCCTGAAGGAACGCTTTGACGTAGTGGTTGAACCTGCCTCTGGCCTCCGGATCTAGGATGTGCGTTCTGTACTCCTTCATGTTTTTGCTCGACTTAAGCACAGCCCTTCCCTCATCATCAAGACAGATGGCAACATAATGAGAATAATCATCGGGCCTCATCTCAGGCTGACGCTTCTGTAGCACTGTTTAGTAGGGACACGAGCAATATGTTATGTAAACCACCAACCTCAGCGGAGCGTTTAGTCCTTGGTCGTAGTTGGAGAGGGTTCATGATATCGAAAGGATCAGGGTCTCCATGCTTCATGGAGTGAGACGATGGCAACATGGTACCATGTAGAGTCATTGCCAACTTGATCGTACGTCGGCAAGTATATGCTCAGTCTGGGTAGCATAGGGAGTGCTTGGAGGGCGTATAGTTGTTGGAATAGGTGCTGGAAAACATTTCCGTTAGCAAATAGGCTATCGACAATGTGGAAGTGAGTGGGTATTCGAATGCCCGGAGCGAGCCTTCCTAGGCGCAAAGTCCCGGGCGAGGGCATCCCCCGGCTTGGCCAGGTGGACACCCAAAGGGTCGCATCACCCTCTGACTGGCCTTTTGGGCTCCGATTCACTGTTCAAGATTTGCGGCAGTCCAAGTAGTTCAACCCAGCAAAATCTAGTCGCAGATTGAGTTCAGAGAGCCGTTGTGTAAGTCAACGTACCTGAATAGATCCAGTTTTCTCCTTCGCTTTTGCGGAGTTTGGGTGTTCCTTCCAGCTCGCTCGTCGACGAAAATCCTCAATGTGGATGGTGCTCAACAAACAAAAGCAGACGCGATCGGGCAAAAGCCTCCTAGCAACGCATACAAAAACAGAAAATGCAAAAAATCAAGACAGGGCCGACCAGTTTATGACTGGATTTTTCCGCTAACGACTCTCCTCTAGCATGCACTCATCGAGAGCTCAGGATGTTTCCGTAGTGGAAGTTGTCCAGTGGGAGATGGACGGAAGCGGGAGGACGAGGTGGTGGAAAGAAGGCAAGAACTGTTGCTCGCAGGTAGACACCCTCAGGATGGTGGGAGCGTGCGTCCAGAGCAAACAAACTTGTCTGAGGCAAAATCGCCCTCCCAGAGAGACGATGATGCTTGCTCGTGGAGATGGATCGGCTGTGTATTGGCCCGTGAGGCAAGTGGTCTCGATCAGTGGTCCTAGGGCGACGAGATTGGCGATAACAGCAGCAACTGATTGCTGTGCAGTTAGTTTAGAGAATGGATACGGGAGGCGGCGGATCGTAGTTAAGACTACTGCGGTCGTAACAGCAGCCCTCCCAAGGTATTGGGCAAGGTAGATTGACGAGGAGTATTTCTGTGGTTCCGAGGGTCCCATTCAGACTACCGCCATGTATATCGGGATAGAGACTGGCACGGGTGCAGGCCAACTCCAGTCGTAATCTGAAGCACCGCCCATGTTGCACAGTCCTTCGGAGTACTATCGTCTTGGGTGGTCTTGGGTTCTCGACAAGGTGAGGGGTGGGATAGCTGCAGGAGGGGCCAATCGACTCTGGGGTAGTGCAAGTCGGTGAGGACAAGGATCAGGCCGTTTCCTGGGCCGCCAGAAGTAGTCGTGTCGCGCACTAAGTCTTATTGAGACCACTCAGAAGTGGCGAGTCTCGGATAGTGATCCCAGGATAGAACCAAGAGGAGGTAACAGAAGAGTCGATCTGGATTGAAGAAAGACTCCCTCTCGGTGTATGCATCGCTATAATGAAGCACTCCGTAGGGCGCCGCTGGTATGCTTAGCAAGTTGGATCCGAGAAAAACGAGAGGAAATGCACCCGGCGGTGCTGAGGCAATCGAGCCTGGTGAGATAGTCTGCCATGACTACTGCGCGACTGCAAGCATCAGCACCAATCAAACGCAGGCTGGGCACGGGGAAGAGCACGCAGTCTTCCGATGGTTTGTGGCCAGCTGCAAAACAGCATGGTCCCCCGGCGTTTGTGTAACCGAATTTCTACTGGCTTGGAAAAGTAGTACTGCAATGCCTATGAAGGAAGAGGGATCAGTGCGCGGAGCTATTGCAGGAATACAACAGGCAGGCACGTGGGAGCTCACCGTAAACAAGGAACGGCCCAGCGCGAAGAGGCCCGCTCCGTCAGGTGAAGAAATCAGCATCTTTAAACAGAGGTGAATGATGGAGTCCGGTCAGCATGTCGTGCATAGACCAAGCAGTCAATTGGAAATCCGACGGATTCGTTGGCTCCTATCAGCACCGTTGCTTGTTGTAGGGTTTGCCAGGATGAGGCGAGATCTCCAGCAACAGTCCGGAACTTGAACGAAGTGGGTCAAAGTGGCTTGGAGTCTTTTAGATCCGAATCGTGTGGTGTTGTCTTAGCACGGTTTGTACCTGCTAGGGTCCGGCAGTCGTCCTGTAAGCCGTGCCTGTCAACGATGTAGGTACCTGGCAACGTAGGCGAAATCCTGTAGTCGATGTCGATATCAAACATCTCGCCTCGATGCCGGTCTAGGATAGTTCTAGAATAGACCTTCACTTAGCACTATTCTGCTACACGGATACGAATCTCGTAAGCGCATGTGTTGGCTCGAGTGAGTGTAGTGAGCCATGTGCTGAGCTACGCTGAAGCAAAGTCTGAGGCAGTCGCACACAGCTCCCAATCCTTCAACTGAAGAAGGACCCATCTCGTGGGGGTCGCGACCTGCAGAATATTCTGGCCGCCAATCTCGAGGGCCAGGAGAGAAAGTCAAGCTCGAGTATCGTCGATCCACATCGGAAGCACACAAGCTGCTGTGCGACGATTCGATCTCCTCCGAGTGTAGCCATAAACATGCTTAGACCAGCGAGCAAGGTATAAAGGTGGTACAAGATCAGAGAAAGATTCGCGGAGGCTCTGACGAGCAGGGGTAATCGCAAACGCTGCAAGTCATTGACCGAAGTTTCGGCGCGCAGATGGCATCATGCGGTACTTCAGGAGTCTTCGGAGACTGAGCATAGCACAGCATGGCGCCGTGGCTTTTGACAAAACCATGGTGTCGGGACTGCTCCAACTCTGAGTGATATCCGATGTCGAAGCCATCGCAGAAGTGGCCTACCTGGGACTTGTCATAGCGACACTATGCAGTTGCCCAGCACTTTCTGAGAACTTCAATATTGTCATCGATGGTGTTGCAAGGACTGGAGTCGCCATTTGTCACATTCACCACGTGCTGCCAAAGTATACATCCAGACGTCAGGGGTCAAAAGGTTCTCTGGCAAGGGTAAGACAGGTTCGGCTTCCGTATGTACAGCTACCACTCTGCCGGTAGCACTCTGTATCTCCATGCCTCTATTGGGCTTCTCGTGAGATGGAAGCGATAATGCTTCGGCCCCTGAAGGGTTAAGAAGGATAAAAGCCTCCTTTTGCCTGTCCAGCACTATCCCATATTTCTCAATGGCCGCTGACTCCAGCTTCCGATTTGACACAGTGGCTGAGGCAACGGCACCGAAGAACGGTGATCTCGCACGTCGTCCACGTAAAAAGCAGGACGACAAGTCCTGGCCTGTCATTCTGTGCCACCACTTCCCGCGTCAGAACACCCTGTCTGTATCGCGCGGAGGTGAAGCCAACCTGAGTAGGACGTCCGCTCAGACCCAGCTACTCGGTTTTACGATCCACGAGCGAGACACAGACCCGATCGACCGGTTCCTTGAGGCTCACTGCATATCTTGATCGAGCCTTCAGGCATGACCATTGCCGAAGTTATCGAGCAGGCCCGCCTCGCGCACAAGTTCGTAGAACAGACCCCTCCGTGCAATCAGCGCTCGAGGTGTGTCAAATTCAGCTACCTTACCCTGCTGAAGCACCACGATCCGATCCGAGTCCAGAATAGTATTGATCCGGTGAGCAATAGTGATGATTGTCCTGTTCTCAAACATTGTGTTCCTGAGTGTGGCTTGCAGCATAGTATCCGTTTCGACGTCCACTGCCGCCGTGGCTTCGTCCAACACCAGAATGTTGCTTGGTGTCAGAAGAGCTCGTGCGAGTGACACCAATTGCCGTTGACCTTGGCTTAGGTTCGAGCCTGTCATAGCAGTCAGCATTTCGTGCTCTGCACTTTTGGTGGGGGTTGACTTACCGCCTTCATTGACCTTAGCGTCGAGCCCACCTTCCATGCTTGACACATGTTCTTTGAGGCGGGCGTGATCTAGGACACTCCAAAGCTCAGTGTCATCGTGGACATGACGAGGGTCCAGGTTGTCTCGGATACTGCCCTCAAATAACGCAGCATCCTGAGGTATGATTGCAAGCCTCCTCCGAAGGTCCAGCAATCCAATTGTGGAGGTGTTGAGCTGATCGATGCTACAGTCTGATTAGCAAGGTGACATTTGGCCTTAGATTCTGGAGCACATACCTGATGTTCCCGGAGATTGGTTCGATGATTCGGAACAGTGCAAGTGTGAGCGACGATTTCCCCGCCCCTGTGCGACCAACAACCCCAATCTTCTCCTTTGCGTTGATGCTCAAGGATATGTCCTTGAGCACCGGATCAAGACCCTCCCGGTATCGGGTTGAGTAATTCTTGATTGAGATCTGGCCGTTCGCTGGCCAGCCGATGTTAGGCCGCTTCTTGAAGATGACGTCCTGCGCTTCGCTTGGAAGATTCGCGTACTCCAGAACTCGCTCCACAGAGACAATGTTCGTCTCAACCTCGACTGTCTGCCGGACTATCCAATTCAGGGATGCCGTAATTTGCAGGGCATAAGACATTGCAAGGCCCACCGTGCCGGCTGAAAGCCCACTGCCGGTAGTTACGGAGACGATCGCGAAGATTGCCGAAGATAAGATGATGATCGAGCCGATGAACTCAAGACGGACTGCCAGCCATCTATTGGCACTCACAGAAGGGAAATAAGCCCGAAGGTTGGCATCCATTCGCCACTCATTCTCGAGGATGAAACGAGCTTGTTGTCGGTACGCTCGGATGGTGGCCACACCGCCCAGCGATTCTTGGAAGTGGGCAAAGATCGGGCTGCGGCTGACGCTGTCCAGGCGTTTGAGCTCTCTCGACGTACGAAGATAGTATTTCTGATAGACGACGTAGATCGCTCCCAGTGGGATGACCATGACGAGGAAGACGGGAGTCGAGAAGGTAATGACGCCGATCGTGAAGAATGCTCGGCTGGAGTTCACAAAAAGCATGTTGAAAGTCCGCGCGATCACTTCATCGACCCTATAGATATCGCTTGAAAAGCGGTTTAGGATGCGGCCAACTGGTGTAGTGTCGAAGAAGCTCATCGGAGAGCGGAATATGGCATAAGCCATACGATCGTGTAGCTTTCGGGATGCTTCAATCGAGCAGAAGATCCAAAGAAGTAGCGTCTGGATGACCACCAGAGCAGCACCACCGATACCGAACGCAAAGTAGATGCCGATGTACTTGCCAACATGCGGATTTGTTCCTGTACGTTCATTTTCCTCAGACCACTCCCGAAGCCAGAAACTTCCACCTATTTGTGCCGTCTGAGCAGCAAGCAAAGCGACGAAATAGACGCCGACAGCGATGAGATTGCTTTCTTTGGCGTAACTTGTGTAGACAGACCATTTGACCTTGCCCTGCTCCTGAGTTTCCTTGGTCTGTTTACTTTTCAAGCCAGCCTCTTCGTCGGTGACGCCGATAGGACCGTGGAAGGATGCTGTGGAAGCTCGCCGCAACGTCGCGCGACTTGTCTTGCGTCCAAAGTTCGATGGCCTGGAAGGTCCGGTGCGGAGGGGAGCAAGACCACCAATTTCTTGACGGGCTTCTTCAGCTTCTTCGGGATCGAGTTCGTCGTGTATTGCCGTAGAGTCATCGCTTTCCATGCCTTCAATACTAGGACTCTTGTCTTCCGAAGTATCTTCGCGCTGATCCTCATTGGTCGCAGATTTGATGATGTTGGCTACTTCACCACGCATTGCCATCAGCTGCTGGTACGTACCCTTCTCAAGGACTGTCTGGTCACGAAGAAGGTATACATAGTCTGACTCCTTGAGCACGTTGATAGCATTGGTTGCGAGGATGCGCACCTTCCCGCTGAGTAGCCCATTCGCTCCCAGGACGTTGTTAATCAAGTGACGCCCAACATGCTGGTCGACAGCAGAAAGCACATCGTCCAGTAAATATACATCTGCCCTGGCGTACACAGCTCTAGCTAAGGTGAGGCGTGCTTTTTGTCCGCCTGAGAGAGATATTCCCCTTTCTCCGACTTCCGTTTGGTCGCCATCAGGTAGCTGCCTAAAGTCGTCGTGTAAAGCACACGCATTGACAGTCTGATTGTAGAAGTGCGGGTCCCAACGATGACCGAAGGTAATGTTGTCTTTGACACTGGCGTTCATCACCCACGGCTGTTGCGCGACATACGCGATCCTACCGCGTACCACGACCTCGCCGTTCAGTTTCCATAAGTCTCCGAGAATTGACTGCAGTATCGATGACTTGCCAGATCCCACCCGACCAACGATGCAGGTCAGCTCGCCCTTGTTTGCCTTGAAGTTGATGTTTTGCAGAACGTTCTTGGCTTGGTTCTTGTCCCATGTGAAGCTTGCCTCCTTGATGCTGACCGACTCATCGCCGCTGCGCTCGCTCGGCTCATCGATGAAACGTACAGCATTTTCTTGAAGCTCATCAGTGGTCAGGAACTCAGTCAACCGGCCCACAGCCACCGACGCCTCGACGATACTAGTAATGACCATGGGCAGGACAGTCAATGGAAAAGTGAGCAAATTGAACAGCGTCAGGGCCGGGAACACGAGATCCGTCGTCAGAGGCCGATTCTCCACTAGGACAAACACCGCGAAAGTCGAGCATGAGACGAAGAAGGGTGTACTAGACCAGGTGAATGTTGCGAATGACTGCGCCGCACCAATCTTCCGCAGGTTGTTGAGCTCTTGTTCGTTCCTGACATGGCTGAGCTTGTCCATGAATGCCGAGCCCCACGCGTACAGCTTGATGCTCTTCATATTGTTCAGGATCTCGGTCATCAACCTTGCACGACTGTCCTTGTACTTCATCTGGGAGAGCTGCAGCTTCTTCATGAATCGAGCAATGAAGCCATTGATAGGAACCATAAGCACCATGGCTGCCACCCCGGCGAAGCACGATACGCCAACCAATTGATAGAGTGAGAGCATGCAGAGAGTAATCTGGAATGGTGCAGACCACAATTGCTGTCCCCATTGAGCCAAGTCCGACAATCGTTGCTGATCAACGCTCATGTAGGTCACGATGTCGCCGGTCGATTTTGTCGCTCGTGACTCGTTGGAGAGTTTAAGCGATTTCCCATAGATCATTGCTGTCAGAGATGCCTTGATCCGCATACCGGTTTCGAACGCTCGCTGAAAGTATTGGTGAAGTGCAGCAGTCTGGGATACCGAGGTGACAAACATGGCCAGCGCGATTGCGACACCTCTGACAGCAGGCTCTGGCTCGTTGCCGTCTCTGTAGGACTCTACAAAGGTGATCAGAAGCCTGAGTAGCTGAGGCTGAACGAACGCCAGACAATCGCTGATCGTCTTGATGATAGCTCCACGTAGGTAAGGACCACCAAAAGCTTGTCCGAGTGCGAACCACAGATTTGGCTTCTTTCGTTCCAGCTGACGATTCCATGCCTCCTGAAGCATATCGCCCGTAGCTTTGGTCGTATCCCTCGACCGCAGATTCCACAAGTCATCGGCGGTCAAGAAGTTCTTGTAGCCAAAACGCATCAGTGGAGTCATCCAGGCGAAGGTGAGGAGCGAGAACACGTCCGCATATTCAACTGGACATTCATCTTCAGCTCCAAGTGCGTCGTATACGCTCTTCTTCTTCGGTACAAGATATTCCAGAATGAACTCGATGATCCCAAAACCCAAACTTGTGGTGAAGACAACAAAGTATGGCAGCCGGACCTCGTAGACTTCTCTTGAAACCAGAGATCTGAGCTTGACGCCATGAGCTATGATGAAGAACACCCAGTAGAACAGCACGACACCGTTCGGATTTCTAGACCTCCAATGCTCGTGATACTGTATAGCGAAGATGAAGCCCAGCGATACCAGCAGGAGGACTGTGGTATAGAACCGAATGTCTTTCATCCATATCCCAGGAAGCTGCTCTATCTGTAGAGCAGCTTGCAAAGCTGTCGTCAAGGCGATGACGCCGACGACACATAGCTTCGTGTAGAAGTGCCAGTTCTTCGGAACCTCTTGTGGGATGCGCTTCTTGAACAAGTACCACAGTGCGGCACTTCCACATAATATGCCCCATACTGCGACGAACAGAAGCCATAGATCGAGGAAACACGGCGTGAAGTCGTATCGAAGGTCACTTATAGGGCCCCAACCCTCTGGATTTCTGCAGAAGGCTCATGGTGGTGGTGGTGCTTCGCGACGGCGAATACGTCAAGAAGCTCAGCAGGCCGCAGGCTTGTGGTTGCCAGTGGTATCTGTACCTCTCCCATGCTCCGTATCAGGCACCCCTACAGTTACCAAGTGTCCCAAGCATGCGATCACGTCAAGCTATGGGAAGGAGGCGCAATGAGGCGACAAAGACCGCGCGGTGCATTGACGACAATACTACGCCGGCGCAAGCAGAAAGTTCGATCGTTGGAGAAACGGTGGGGCTTATGACTAAGCCTAAACCCGATAACTCCAGGCGCAAGTTCCGTTCATCGCGTTGAGCTGTGTCTCCGTTGCTCGAGAGTCACTTACAGGTACGCATACATTGCATTTGCAGATTTGTCTTCACTTATCCAGGTAGTCTCGGGAGTGAATCTGAAGTGATCGATAACTGATCTGATCGCGATGAAAGCACGACTGATTAAGCTCTATCTACCCACGCCCCACCAGGTCAGTCGAGCCAGCCCAGTCGAGTCTTCTCGCACGAGACTGGCGACATGACATTGTGCTGCATGCAATCCAATTCTGAAGACGTCCATCATACGCTAGGTAGGTTGAAGAAGTACTCACGCGGACGTATAGTCTCCATGGCCTCAGACCCATCTGCTAGCCGCTCACCAGACGGGTAAGTCACATAGCCTGGACCGGCATACCATGCCAGCTCCTCATCCCCATGAGGGACATCGATGTGCTCGCAGAACCGATCAGCAGTCGTGTTCACTGCATCAGTTGCATCCTCTGACCCGATCCAAGCACTCTCCAGCCGTCCCTTGTCGTTGTCAGGATTGTTGGTGTAGGACCATGGCCAACGCACGAAATCCAACCTGAGTCTGCCAGGCGTGACACCGAACGCCAGGCCATGTAGCTTTACGCGCTGTTCACGCGGTATCAGATCGCCGCATGTCTCAACCACCGACAAGGAGTCTTCATTGTAGGTCAGCCCTCCCACTTCAAGAGCTTGCACACATTCAAGCACCTGTGCAAGTAAGTTATAAGCTTCGTGACCACCAGATGCTCTAGCGCGGTCGACCAGCTGCAACAGACGCCTGCGTTGTCCACGACGTCGACAGCCCAGCCCGGCCTGGCCCACGAGCTCTCGCAGACTATTGTCAATGCCAAATTTGTAATGTTGGACATTTGCAGTCTTTTCTGTTACCGTGTTCGTATCCAAGGCCGCTTCGAAGGCGTCAGCGACAGCATCGATGACCTCAAGGTCACTTCTCGGCAGGTGTGACGACGGCAGACGCTTGTTGTTGAATTGTCCAATTTTGATGTTGGCGAAGAGGTAGGAAGTATTTCCATAAGACTCGACCAAGCGCTCAACCTCCAGCAAAGCCATACCAGCTGCTGCATGAAGAGTGCACCCGCCGATCGCATCACATGTAGGTCTAATCTGGCCGAAGGATACGTACCATTGCTCCAGCAGGTAATACGGAAGCTTGCGGCCTCTTTGAGCTTGCAAAGCTAGCGTCTGAACAATGGGTTCAAGAAGTGATCGTGCGTCGTCGATGTTCCTCATCGGCACCGCATGGTCGTCTGACAAGTCGGGCGGCTCAAAAATTGCCTGCCTCAAAAGCGGGACAGGATCAAGAAGATGACATTGTCGATTCTGTTGCCTTCTCACAAGATCCCTGAGGTTCAACGAATCTCGACCGGGAAGTTCAATCAATGTCTGCTGCGTCCTGAGTGTCTGCCGGTGAGCACGCCGACTCATGAACCTCGAGAGCTGAGACTGGATGATCGCATGCCCTATTAGTGCCGACAGCGGCACGGAATCGTAGTGCCTGTTGATCCACGCCACGGATTTGCGACCCTGAGCTAAGGCAAACTCCTGCAGCTTTCGATTCTTGGTCTCCAGTGCTTCGTGGTAGGCTCCAACGGCAATAAGGTCGTGGGCGATGGTCGGGTACGAGTCAGCGAGTTGGAGTACGAGTTGTGTCCAGAAAATATAATCGTTGTAACCGCTAAATTGCTTGGCGGTTCTGTATTGGTAGTAAGACAACGAACGTGTTTCTGACGGCGACAATCGCGAGACCATTGTCGAAGAAGGCGCATCAACAACTCGCTCTCTGCCTGCGTTGCCATAAACAGCAGCATGTGCCCTCACCTTTGCTCGACGTAAAGCTTTGGCTCGTCTGGAGTTCCGCTGACCGGGGTCTTCCTCCACGAATTCCAGCATTCCTTCGGGTTCGTCTCGAAAGACTTGCAGCCTGATCGCAACGGCGTGAGAGTAGGGACACGAACGGAAGAACCTCCATGAGATCAAAAAGGGCCTGACACTCTCAGCTCTGCGCGTCATTCGTGGCAAATTCGTACCGACACCATGTTGGGGGCTGGTTGCCTTGAAAAGCTTCCTTGGCACGAGTGAGGCAAATCAAACGAGATCGGCAACACAACTCTTAGCTATTCAGTACAACTATCTGGCCACTTCCTACGACCACTTATTGAATCTCTTTTCCTGCTCCTCTTCGCCATCGTTCACTCCTTCATGGCCGATAGCTCAAGATCGTCTCCAACGTAGCATTGTACGCCGCCTTCTTCTGGAAATCCGCATCCCACAGAAGCGCAGCTCCCTCACCAGGGAAGACGCCTGGGATCCAAGAATACCTGTCAGAGATGCCCCAGACCGTGATACCTCGGCACCTCTTCACATCCATACAGCTCGACACCACTGTCGAGTAAGCATCAGCCTGTGCCTCCAAGCTTGCTGGCGAAGCCTCGAATCCATCAGCGTCGGTCGTGTTGACTCTCAGATCCAACTCCGTATACGCAACATCCACGCCCAGATTGGTCATGGTCTCAAGACTTCCGACCAAGGTATCGTGGGATGGTGGGCCATCGGGCACTGTACCCGTAGCCTCTGCAGCAAGGTGAGCTTGGAAGCCGACGCCATCGATGCGCACACCATAAGACTTGATCAATTCGACGATCCGTGCTGCGCCAGCAGTCTTGTTCTGGCCGTATTCTAAGTTGTAGTCGTTGTAGTACAGCTTCGACTTTGGAGTCGCCTCCGCGGCAAACCTGAAGGCAATCGGGAGGAAAGCTTCCCCAATGGTGTCGTACCAGACGCTTGAACGATACGTGCCGTTCTCGTTTAGAGCCTCATTGACCACGTCCCACCGAGTGCAGACGTCCTTATACCTGCCGCCAAGCGCGTAGATATGATCCTTCATGATCTGGATAAGCGTAGCGTTGTCGAAGTTGCCTTCAGTGACCCACGGCGCAAGCTGGCTGTGCCACACAAAGTTGTGACAGTGAATCTCCTTACCATTCGCTGTAGCGAAAGCAGCGATCGCGTCGGCGTCCGCAAAGGTGAAGTTTCCGCGGTTGGGCTCGGTCGACTCCCACTTCATAGCGTTCTCTGGGGTCACGGAACCAATCTCGTTGATATTCGTGAGGATGGCGCGCTCGGCCGTGTCGTTGCGGATGGTGAGAGCGGTTCCGAACCATTCCTTGCCACGAGACTTAATCGCAGCATTGAGGCCGGTCGGTTGCTGAGGTGGCCCTGGTGGTCCTGGTGGTTTACCTGGTCCCCCTCCTGGCGGTGCTGGAGGGCCAGGAGGCTTGGGTGGTCCGCCGGGGCCTCCTTTGGGCGGCGCCGGTGGTGTTGGAGCTGCTGGGGCGTCCGACCTGGGGTAGTGTTAGTCCTCATGCATGTGCTAGTGATAACGACCACTCACCAAACGGGACTGGCGATGCTTGTACCGGCAAGGACCAGCACGGCTGCGGTCAGCGTAGAGAAATGCATGACTGGAGCTGTCTGTCTGAAAGACAACGGCACAGGAGGCAAACGAAGAATGAACGAAAGACTGAGAAGCTGCGTAACGCTCGTTCGCTTGGGCACAGGCGAGAAGGCGATATGCACTTATATAGACGAGGTGAACAGACAATTCCACGTGGTGTACCTGCTTGTAGGATGAATTTGTGCCTCATTTCGCATACCTGGTCCTGCAATGGACACACTCGCCTTTGGTGCTACGGCCTCTCTAGCCACAGCAGGAAGGTCAAGTCCATCACTTTGCGCAGTTCTGTCTGCGCGAAATCAGCCTGAGTTCCATTCATGATCAGCGACGCGGTATTGGCAGAGGACAGCACACGTAAATGTTCTGGGCGCTTGCAGTGGGAGTGCATATTCATCTCGGCTAGCATAATACCATGTCCTCATGCTGCCGAGTCGAAGGCATTTCCCCGTATACCCGCATATTCTCCAGATGCGTGTGGATGAAATTGATGAGTCTAATCACGGTTGAAAGCAAAGTTGGGAATCCAAAGGAGGTCCGACACGTCGATCATCCTTGTGTCTTGGCATCACGGTAGTTTCGCGCGACTAGTGCATCTTCGGTTAACGATCACTGCCGGCTAATATCTGCTCTCCTCTGTAAGTTGATGGGAAATGAGCGACAAGAACTGAGACGCAGGTCATTCAGCTTTTGATTTGAGGCTGAAACCTACAGAGCAAATATCTATGATGCGCATAGTACATCGCAACAATTCCAGAGAGATTTCCCTACAGTATAACCAGCATTCGTCAATGAGCACCATGCGATTGGTCGGCAGTCAAGATGAAAATTGTCCGGATCCAAGCAGGCCGCCTGAGCAGCCAAAGTTACACGAACCCTACCATATACCGCTGGCTACCATTCTGCCATATTGACGACTCCATTCGCAACACGATTGCCTTCGCTTGGAGGCAGTTCCCCACCGCCTATTATCCCCAGAACGGTCTCGCCCGCATCGTTGTTGATGAGATGAAGGTTCCGGGTATAGCTAACTCGTTCTCCGCTGGGCCGACTCTGCCATGCATTCACATCTCCAAAGTTATCGTTGATATAGACATCGCTCTTAGTGCCACAGCTCACTATTATCCGGTCCTTGTTCGTATCGAACACGACAAATGGGCTTGATTTTGGCACAGTCCTGGTCGCATCGCTAGTCACAAGTGGTTGCCCTTCCACAGCATTGAAGTTGTACGGATCCTCGCTGACTTTGTAGAAGACCGGGAAGCTGTAATTTTCCGGCTTCACGCCGTCTTCTGGACCACCACCATATTCATACGTGTAGATGTAGCGGCCATCGCTCATTTGTGCCACTGTCGGCATCCCTGGCCGCGCCGTATATTCAGCGTAGGAGACATCATCGACAATCTCGGACCACGTGACACCATCAGTAGTCGTTTGATGGACAAGCTTTTGACCGTGAGCCGGATCTCGCTGATCAGAATAGTAGCAGATGAGGGTGTTTTCGTGCAGCATCAGGAAGGGCTCCCACACTGGCGTCTCGCCGTTGTCTGGAATCGCGACACCGCCACTTGCGATGTGGCTGACGAAATTCCAGGAGACCCCTTTGTCTGTCGAAGCGTAAAGTTCTATGTGCGTTGAACTCAGATCTGTGGGAATGCTGGAACCGGCAATGAATAGATCTCCTGCTTTGAACGCTGCGAAATCTTGAGGAAGCTCATATATGTCAGGCTGGTACCTCATACCATAATCATTTACCTGGTCCTCAACGCGAGCTATTTCAGACCAGGAAATGCCCAAGTCATCCGACTGGTATATGGGGAAGTAGACTGGCGGCGGTTCAGGGCTGTAGTTCTCCCACGTCGCGAGTAGTGAGCCCGACGAGAGCTGTATAGCGCGTGCATAGAGCGTCCCTGGAGTTGTGTAGTCTTCCGGAGACTGAAAGATTGTGCGGTTGTTGAAGTATTGGAAGCTCATCGCCTGTCGCGATCGGGCTCCAGGCGCTGCCCAAGCAGCAGTCGCAAGTATACCTGTCAGAATGAGACGCAACATCTTGGCGGCCTCTGAAACTTGTTCTTGCCCAACCATGTCAGTGCAACAATGGTTATATACTCACTTGGCGAGAGGCGATGTGCTCCAGGGGGAAACATACTCAAACCACAACCGGGCATCATTGCGGTGGCGTCTCCAAAGACAGTCACTTCACCGAGGCGTTCATTCGCTCGATTCAAAGTCACTGCAGAGGTGCGCTCATCCTCCGAAGCGAAAAGACTATGTCGAAATCTCGAAAGTGACGAGACCTTGGAGATTGCTCCGGCGGATCGACAGGCATGAATACCTCATTTGGGCATAACGCGGTGGGAAGCGAATCTGGGGTTCGACGGGGAAGGCAGGACATCACAGCATGTGAGATACTCGCGGAGTAAACATGGCCAGGAACGCATTTTCTCAACTTGCGGATGCCAAAGCGCGTCGGCACCTGCTCCCAGACGTTTGGCGCGGGTTCCTTAGGCAAGCTAGCTTCGCCACCGAATAGAACGACTGTTGCCTTGCCCAGTGTCCTTTTTAAAGATTTTCGCCGGAACGAGGAACGTGGACAACCGGTTTGTGGTTATTTGATAGGAGAAAGTCATGGGTAAGTATACCTAGGTAGCAAAGAAATGTGAATGTGGAGAGTGGGCTGAGAAAACATAAGCTCTGCCAAGCTTTTCGAAATCGCGTCGTTCATGAGATGTCATGCGTTGAGTTGAGTTGAGCTGAGGATGGTATTGCCGGATGACGTGGACGGTGAACTGCTTCCAAGGTTGCTCTGGTAAGGGGCCTTGAAGTCACTCAATTGGAGGGAGGCTCGGCCTTCTCTCACCCGATCTTCACTTTACTCCATTCCGATCAGCAAGCATGCAATTACGCCTGGTAGGTTTGCGTTGCATGCTTGAGGGTTCACAATGGTTGGAGTCGGTGGGCGTTCCAAGGCCTGCGAGAACTGCCGGCGGCGACGCGTCAAGTGTGGTGAGTTCCTGCATCGCGCCTTCTTGTAGCTATCTGAGAAGAAGCAGACTTAGCAAGACCTTCCTGTCTGCGGTGCCAAAAAGCGAGGATTTCCTGCACTGGACCGCGTGGTATGACCATAGTTCCATATGGCGGGGTCAAGAACACTGCAAGATCTTCGGTCAAGGCTGTAGAAGCTGATTCGCGCAGTCCGACCGTGACGGTGCTGGATCTCAACAACACCCGGACACTAGCTGTACCGTACGATGACTTGTATCAGGCCTTTACGCATTCCCGACTGCTGAATGGTCTTGAGACAGTCCCAAGGGATTCGGGATTCGACGGCGCGATTGCAGGCGAATGCTTCCTGGCACTCTCTACAACGTATTTTGGGATAAAGCACCATGAGAAGGCTGTGACTTCTCAGGGGCTGTCAAGGTACAGTACTGCTTTACAGACAGTTCACAAGGCTCTTGCAGATGAGAGAGCGTCGAGCTCTTTTGACTTGTTGGAGGCGATTGTGATCATGCAGGTCACTGAAGTCAGTACATTCCTGATGAAAGGAAACCCACGCTAATGTCAGCAGTTCCTGATTTCTGAGAATGAACATGGCTGGATCAACCATGCCTGTGGACTGGAGCGACTGCTCAAGATAAGAGGTCCAGGCTCAATGACATCACTGCCATCGTTGATGATCTTCGAGCGATGCCGTCCCACCATGATATTCGCTGCTCTAGTCCTGCACAAACCGACGATAGTGGCTAGTTACGAGTGGAGGTCGATGCCTTGGAGTCGATTCCCGGACAGGCTGGATTCAAGAAAACTGCTACACGACATTCTAGCAGATTGTCCCGAACTGTTTGTTGTGCGCGACCGGATTATGCGAACTCAACAGAGCCAGGTCAAGAGAAACGCGCAGCTCCAGCAAGTACTGAATAAAGCCCAGGAAGTGTACGACAACCTGCAGCGATGGAACTTGTTATGGCACCATCATGAGTATACGGAGATTCCGCCGTCAACCACCACGCCTGTGATCATCAATCGTGCTGGGAGCACAACTCTGGCTTGGTCGAGCGTCTTCCAATTTGAGTCATTCTACCAAGCCAATATCCTAACGTTGTATTATGCAATCTTGATCCTTGTCCTGCGCTTTCGTGCCAGTCTTCGCGTCTTATTGGGCGAGTCCGAGCAGGATTTGAGTCAACAGCAGGAAATTTACAACGCCGGCTTGTTCATCTGCCGCAGCGTCGACTTCCACCTTAATCAAACCTGGATTGAGCTAGGTACATTTAATCTCCTATTTCCGATGCGTATGGCCTACGAAGCTGTTGGAAGAAACCGGACCGCGGTAGGCATATGGCTTGAGACAATGCTTGACGACATCTCAGCCGGACGAAAAGGTCTTTGGAGGTCCGCAAAAGCTATGTTAGAGATCGGCTGAAGCCTGGGCAGTTGAATGCTTCTTGTAAGATCAAAACCATTCATCTTGGACATGATTTTCTGGTGCGGTTGAAGGTACTCGGTCATGGGCTCCACGACAACGGGCTCCAACTTCGATAGTGATTATCTCCATCAGTTGTTGCACTTGCTTGCGAAGATTCCTAGTCAACGAGGCGTAGAGTACTCGCGGCCAACTTCTATAGTAATTTCGGAGTACGGCCGCACACAATTCATTCCAGACTTCCCACTGACTATTCTATGTTGAGTAGATTTCACGAGCATACTAGGCTCTTGCATCATTTGCATAAAGCTTGTTATCGGTAAGGATCGACAAGCCTCGGGATCCAGGAACAACGTTGAGGTACTGCTGATAGCTATCCCAAATAGGCTCATTTTTCGAGGTAAGTATTGCCTAATTTGCTCTAGATTCAGTCCTGCAATTCGGGAATCTCTGTATCGGTGACGATGATAGGGCGTATCGCAATCGTGCAGCAGCGAACTCTACTCTGGTCCTGCTGGTAGTCCTTGCGGCTCAAGCACAGCATTGCGGCAGCTGTAGCGCACGCGGCTGTGCCTCGAGAAATCTACCTCTTTGGGAGTGCATCATTATGAAGAAATCATCTGGATCGAATATAAATCCTGTGGCGTGCAAGGAAAAGTTGCAGGTCCCAACGTCTTCACTACAATCCCAAAGCTTCACCATTCATCATGCTACGCCATACTCTCTACCTCGCAATTTTCTCAGCCAGCCTCGTCATCGGGGCCCCTCTGTCAGCAGATGGTCCTCAGCCCGGACAGTCCTCCTACTATAGCACATATCGCGGCAAGACAGACGCTTTCCCTGCCAATGTCACCAAAGCTGCAAAACCTCCCACGCCGAATGATGCTCCTGGTGACGACGACCTGCTCTTCCAGAATCTTCTAAGTGCAGAATGGGCTATCTACTCCTTCTATCAGCAAGGCGTGGCTCGCTTCAACGCCAGCGCGTTTGAAGAAGCTGGCTTCCCAAACACGACGTATGACCGTATTTCTGAGATCCGAGACAACGAAGCTGGTCACCTCGCAATTTTCCAAGAAGCAATTTCCTCAGGAAGTGTCAGGCCTGGCGCTTGCGAATACCAGTTTCCGTACACCGATGCTGCAAGCTATTTGGAACTTGGTACACTGCTTGAGGTCTCTTCGATGGCGTTCTTAACGGGCCTCGTGTTGCAGGCCAAGCTGGATGCATCGAAGGCCACATTAGTAGCGATTGCGGAGGTCGAGAGCCGCCACAACACATGGAGCCTGATGGACGTGTGGCGAGCCAATCCTTTTGCTGGGCCTTCCGATACCATCTTCCCATATGCCAATGAAATCCTGGAGACGACGAACCTATTCATAGTCAACGGTTCTTGCCCACCTGAGAATCCGCCGTACCCGAGTCCAAACCAGAAACTGCCCTTCATCAGCAACGTTGGCAATGCGACGATGAAGCCTGGCTCCTCAATCAGTGTCGCCTTTCCGGATGAGGCTAACCAGCCGAAGTTTGTGGACGGTAAAGACTACTATTTAGTTGCCTTCCATGGTACCAACAATGTCTCTTCGCCATTCGACGTTGAGACCGGTACGGCGGTCATTCCAGCCGATATCGAGCCCCACAGAGGCATTATCATTTTTGTGATCGCAGATTGTCCCGGTGCGCCGACTTTAGAGTCGGTGGTGGCTGGGCCGCTGATAGCTCCTCAATATTCATAGCGTAGAAATCGATACCATATAGTCTTGTCAGTTTCAGGTGGCCAGCCATCGCTCAAAATGAACTTGACCAATTTGACATGACACTGGAGCCCTCCAACGAAGGAGAAAGTGTCAAGCGCAGGGAAGAGATTTCAGCCTGCCGTGGAGTTGCTGCAGGTTTACAATCTCAGATCGAAATGCTCGTACCTCGACGCTGCTCTTGCTTGGACGTCGCCAGTGCTGGGTACTCCCTACCAGTACTCAGTAGCTTTGGTCCGGACCAACGAGAATCCGTCGACGGTCATTTCAGCTACCAGTATGCAAGAGGCGGTCTGTCAGCAGAAAGGAATATTGTGAGGCTCTTTGGTAGGAATCAGACCATCTGAAGCAGCTTGTGACCATGAGATGAGGTCTGATCGCATTTAGCATAGTCTTCCATCGAATATGTTCCAGCAACCAGACCGGGTCAGTGTGATATTCATCGAGACGTTCGCAGGGAAGTCAGCAAAGCGAGACAGTGGGTTTGGTTGGACTTCGAGCACGTCGGCATAACGCGTGGAAGTGAAGTCACAAAACAGCTTCGTACATTGCAGGTGTCAACTGCGGCACAGTCGGCATATATGATTTGCGATAGAACTGCTGTTGTTAGTTCGGCTAATTGGCACGCTTCAAATTGTGCAATGCTGGAGTGAGCCACAGTGACGGAAGTATAGCGAGGAATGTAAATGTGATGAGGTGGAAACAGGGCTGAGGAAAACGTAAGCTCCGCCAAGCTTTTCGAGATCGCGTCTTTCAGGCTTCTCCGCAACGCCCCCGAGGTCTGGTTGCCTTGTGCACCGACACAACTGGCTTGAACATCAAGTCTACGACGAACACAACAGCTTCAAGGTCAAAATCGCATTGACTCATGACTCCCACATCCTGTGAGCCGAAGCAAAAGGTCACGCTGAGATCGGCCGTGGGAGTGCGGGTGATTCAACCAGAGATGAATTCACCAAGCTCTGGTACGGAGCCACGACGTAAGCAGCAGTCACAGTATGAACAGCATCCGGGTGAGTGAGCATTCGATCTGGTGAGGACGGCCCGATCTACTGGGCCATTATACGTGCTGGAATCCAAGACTCGTGACAATCAAATAGGGGCATCGAGAATCTTCCGATTTCGTCTGAGGAATGGAAACTCTACTGGACAACAACACGTCCTGAACCTTACGAGTGGAACGTATACAAGCTGGACCTGCTGTCTATCATCTGCTCAAGCTATTGCCACGTTTTCTTGGTAAGTCTTGATTGTTCCCGTAGTCCTTCACTCCTTCAGGACGCGCGGAAGTTTTGTTGCTTCAAAGTCGCTCCTTCACGTTATTTGTTACAGTCATGGGTATCAAATCGGTTCTCAGCGTCCTTGCTGCCATCGCCGCCGTCAATGCTGGCGTATGCCCAGCTCAGAAACCTGTCGACGGGATTCCTGGCTGGGCTGGAAGTGGTGCTGTGGACAACGGCCCAGCCAAAGCCTATGGCAACCTTCCAGCATCTCAACCCTCCGGCGGCGCCGCTGCGCCCAATTCGCCTGCGCAGCCACCCGATGCATCTCTGTCGACCTCAGAGGACGCTAAGAACAACCCGAATGCGCCCAACTCTGCTGAGCATCGTGGCAACTGGGCTGCTGGGTTCGATATCAACACTGATTACACTCAGAAATGGCCCACAGGCAAGACCGTTCAGGCAACGTTCACCATCACGAACTCGAGCTATGCTCCTGACGGTGGAGCCCCACAGGAAATGTTTCTGATCAACGGTCAATACCCTGGGCCACTTTTGGAAGGCAATTGGGGAGATATCTTCGAGGTCACCGTCATCAACCAGCTTCAGAACAACGGCACGGGTATTCACTGGCATGGCTTCCGCCAACTTGGCAATAACGTCAATGATGGTGTCAGTGGCGTTACCGAGTGCCCCATTCCTCCTGGAGGTGAGAAGGTCTATCGCTTCCAGGCGACCGGCTATGGTAGCACCTGGTACCATTCCCATTTCAGCTCTCAGTATGGCAACGGTGTCATTGGACCATTGTTGTCCATGGTCCTGCATCCGCCAATTACGACATCGACCTTGGCTCGGTCATGATGAACGAGATCTACGAGGGCCAGACCATCTTCCAAGTTGAACACGCAGTCGCTCGTACTGGGCCAGCGAACGCGACCAATTACCTTGTCAACGGCAAGAACATCAAGCCAGACCTGTCATCAGGCGAGAGAGAACAGTTCAAGTTCACTCCAGGCAAGAAGCACCTCATGCGTTTCGTCAACACTGCCGTCGACAGCCACTTCAAGGTTCAACTTGATGGTCACAAGCTCCTCGTCATTGCCAATGACAATGTTCCGATCACACCCTACTACACAACTGAGGTCTCTATTGGCATTGGCGAGCGTTACGACATTGTCATCGAAGCTGATCAGGATGCCTCCGCCTACTATCTGAGGACCATCCCTACGCCAGGATGCTCTCTCAATGCCAACAATGGTCTTGGTAGCGCATGCGCCGTTGTGGTTTATGACGGGTCCAGCGCATCGCTGCCAACCAGCAGCGCTCCAGCTACTATCATCGTGCCCGTCTGCAATGATGAGCCACTCGCGAACCTTATTCCCATCGTCGAGGCTTCAGTCGACGGTAGTGACTTCGCCAAGCAGTTTGCTCCTCTGCCTGTCGGCCTCCGCACCGCTACACTCGCTTCCAACGAACAAGTCTTCCTCTGGTACCTCAATGGCGTCAGCCAAAGCGTTGACTGGTCCCGCCCGACCGTCAGAGAGGTGTCCGGCAACGTCGCCATTGCCGACGCTGGTGCCAACCTACCTTCCATGCTGCCAGCAGAATGGTCCCTCATCTCACTGCCAAATAAGGCCCAGTGGTATTTCTGGGTCATTCAAAACCAGTTCTTCGCCCCCCACCCAATGCACTTGCACGGTCATGACTTCGCCGTCCTCGGACAGGGCAATGGTAACTTCAACCCAGACAACGATATGGACAGCCTCAATTTCAAGAACCCTACTCGTCGCGACTCGGTCATGCTGCTCGGCAGCGGTTGGACAGTCATTGCCTTCCAGGCTGACAATCCAGGTTCTTGGCTTATGCACTGCCACATCGCTTTCCACGTCTCTCAGGGTCTCAGCTTGGAATTCGTCGAACTGCCAGATCAGATGCCAAGCATTTATGGTTCCCAGTGCGGGGAGGGGACTGCGTTCGATGATCAGTGCTCAGCCTGGGGCAGCTACGATCAGTCGGCGGTCTATCCCAAGAGTGACTCTGGCTTGAAGAGACGTGGCTGGGGCCAGAATGAACACATGAAGGAGGCGAGAAACATGGATGCGAAGAAAATGCACATGTTGAACGACCAGATGGTGAAGCGTGCTCTGATGTAGAGAGTCTACGCGAAATCGGACCTGCCGTGCGTGTTGGCGCAAAGGTTTATGGTGGTATTTGGTGAAGGTCGGCCGCAGGAAAGAGGGGATGTTCAGGTAATATGGGTGGTTGTCCGTGCTCTGCACGCTATAAAGACTGAATACATAGTACATGAGGATAGGCAGAGCTGGAAGTCTGTAAGAGACTTAAGGGTATACACTTTGCATTGGAGGCTTTTACGTTGACCACTTGGCTGGGCAGAGCCGTAAGCCATTCGCTTCTCAAATTTCTATGGATGCTTACTGTGTCTGCGTCGGCTTGCTAGAGCCAGCTTTGTTTCCGAGCAACATTAGTGCCGAGGTTGGCCTGTCTGACTAGCTACTGCTCATGGGTTCCCTTCTTTTCCATCGCCGTGACCTTACTGCTCAACGTTCCACCGTCGGGGAGAGCAGATACCCACTTCTTCATTCAGCAGGCCCAGGGATCCACTCTAGTCCCGTCAGAGTCAAGTCTCAAGGTAGACCGAGTAGAAAGATATGCCATCTGGACACATAGTACTTGTGTGTACGCCGCGGACCGCGCGAAAAGCAATAAAATCAACTCACCGAAATTTCCACCCAGCCTTCTCAAATTCCCCACCCCACAAGTACTCGAGATCTCCGCCCCGGTTCTGGCTGCACGACAGAACGACATTGTTCATCTCCCGCTCACAGTCGTCGTCGTTCAGGTCGAAGCCAGCGTTGCCATTCAGGTTGTCAATACTGAACCAGATGTGGTCCGCGCAGAAGCCCTTCCAAGATGATGGGCCATAGTAGCCTTGTAGGCCACCATTTGGGTCGTGACAAGAGACATCAATGTGATGGAAGGCGAGGTCGGAAGAGCCGGTGGACCCGTGGTCGCCAGTGTGGCCATAGCAGCCGGCTTGAACGGGGTTCGCTAGGAGGCAGAGGAGGGGGGCCGTGAGGAGGGCGAGGGACAGGGCAGTGGTAGGGGGTAACATGACTGGTCGCCTCCGTTGATATTGGGCTGGGTGTTGATAGGAGTACTTGTTGGAAATGTACGTGGCTAGGAAGAAGGGAGGCGGATGGCGATCAGGGACTCACGCAGCGGTCTGAATGACTTCGAAGGGCTTACTTATAGTCCTGAGCGGCACTGATTACCCCTTGCGGGAGAGATTTGGTTTAGCCGTCCTGTCATGTTGTTCCCGTACCAAATCTGGAGCACGTAGCGATGGAATGCTGTTGCGTTCGTGCAACCAAGCTGTTCAAAATAGCCTGTATAATTCCTCCCAGGCGAGCGAGGACGAAGCACTCGCGCTATCGTGAAGCGAATTGATGTCGTCGAAGCACGACTGGCCTCCGGCACAGAACGAGCAATAATCACCGCCTCCGCGCAGTGATCCCATGGCCATCGACCGCCGGTCACGCTTTGTTTGCTGGGATGAAAATGCGGAGGCAGAGAGTGGGGACAGCTCAGTCACTGCCCTGGCCAACGAGTACTGAGTCTCAATCTCATGGTCAGCTTGATTCGAAGCAACCGCAGTGCTTCGTCTCGTGTTTCTAGCTTGTCACAGCACGGAAGTCGCTGTCCTTGACGTTAGTGCAAAGGCAAGCTCGACGGAGAGGCTTTGCTCGAACGACTTCCCACTTCATTTCAGTAGATGTGGATGAGAGGGTTGACAGTCGACATTTGAGACCAGCTTGAGAGGTTCCAAGCTGTATTCAGCTTCCGATCTGTACTTACGATGCGTGATTCCGATGATGACCCGCCCTCAACTTCGACCGTTCGATGCTTATGTCGTCGTGGTCCATGTTGGTCTCCTCATGTCGACGGTGTCGTGATCCACAGCAACCCTGCTTGGTCGGTAAGCATCAAGCTCTTGCGATTGATTTTGTGCGACGCGCCACTGTCGACGGTCGCATGTCCCTAGCTTGTAGCTTCCCGTGGCGGCTGTAGCAGTCGAGTGTGATCCAAGTCTGGTACATCAGCCCAACGTTGTCGCTCTTACACGATGGAATCGGCCTTGAACACAGCGAGCTCGACATATAGGAAACGAACGCCACATACCTTGGATGCCTTCTAATGGATGGTGGAGTGCCAAGACGGCTCTGGTTGCCTTTTCTCGAGGCTCATATCTTAACCGTCTTTCGCTTTCAATGCAGTCAGCAGCCTAGCTTGTGACACATATGAGACAGCAGATAGCTTGCACTGCGCCTAAGGCCCGAGATTCCATCGGTGTGGTCTGTCGCGTCAATGAACATTTATGCGTGCCAGGCGCGACGTTGGCTGACTTCAGTGTCGATGTCTTTAGACATCAGTCCTGAGAATTTACTATCGTCAAAAGGCACCTCTCGAGAACGGAGCGCACCCTCGAGTGCAGTCCGAAGTGACAGGAAACCTCGTGAAGGATCGCACGTGTTACGAGCTGAGCTGCACGCACGGAGATAAAATCCACATGGGGAGTCTCGATAGTCGTTTGGATCTACGAAATGCCTGTCGAATGTCACTCGAGCTCAGGCTCTTCTCGGCGTATGATTGGTGCTGGCAGTAAAGTCTGGTCGCCTTAGCCATGTTCTGGCCTGAGATGGGCGCTTACAGAGCATTAGAGAGTGGCCGAGGTAGACCCTCTTGGCGGTGATCTGGGGCTCTTCCCTCGAATTCCTGCAACTCTATCTTGTTCCTGCGTACCTATCACCTTACCCTTCCCCAATCGCATGTCAGCTTTTGGCACCTTTCAGTCGGTTGCTGCAATACTCGACGCCGCAATAAACACTTTTCTCCGTACGGTCCGCGCCATATGCCACCCGCATAAGCTTGGGCAATAATGGGTGATCCCTGCTGTCATCCCAGCCAATCCTCCACCATGTGCAACCGCTCTCTCGTGGACCCTTGGAGGGGTCCAGGGTAGCGATCACGGTTCTACTGCACAGTTGCACCAACAGACAGTAGGTGAGTGACCTCTTTTGGTGATGCTCATCTACCTGCGCTCCCAATTCTGCACGATGTTGCGGCGCCCAGTCTCTTGTTCGCAATAACGCGATAGCGCACCGCCCATATCACTTCTATTACCGAGTGAACGACATCACATCGTGCCATGCCACTATTCTGCTTGACCTGAGCGCCAATCCTCACGACCTCCTCCTGCTCGTCGCTCAGACATCTTCCTTTCCCATTCCACCACTTCATTGCATATCGCACATACCGTCCAGTTCCTTCATTTCTTACAGAAAGCCGGCTTTCTATCCATATTCCGGACGCTGTCATATGCCCTGTCTTGTACAACGGTTGCATTGAGTAGACCGTCTGCTATACAACCATATCCAACAGATCAGCATCGCAACGGGGCCGGACCCTAAATACTCCACCAGGTCGACCGCAGGAAGGAACCGTTATATACAACAACCCGAACACTTACCGGTGTACTCGATTAAAGTGCCCTCTTCGCCATGGCGCCGTCGTCGCTACCAGATGTGTTGTTTGCAGAGGAGGTCATATCGTTACCACAGCTCGCGGAACTTCATCGCAGAGTAAACATCCCCATAAACAGCACAACGCCACCAGCGCTTGTCGATGCCATCCAGCAAGATCCGTTCTCGAGCTCAGCGAAATATAGCCTGCTCTTCGTTTACTTCGCTATGATACTGCTCGGATCGACGGCGTTTATGCGCATGTACCACTATTGGGGCGACAAGATTCGGACGGCCCTACACAAAGAGGATGTGATCGAGTCAGCGAAGGAGTGGACGGCCAACTCGGCCATTGATAATGAGGGGTCGGCATTTCCTGAGAGCTCGCAGACGGACAGCTCGACACGACACTTCTTCCCGTCAACAGGACCGCTAATACCGCAGAACCCGAAGAAGCAAGCACCGATGTCTGCCATCACGCCGATCAACAACCTGATCGCCTTCTGTCGATTCGTCTTCTACCGGCCGGTTCCTGCATTGCGGATATGGAAGTTCACCTTCGGATTCCCGTCGTTGAACGTGATTGTGATTGTGTTCGCGGCAGTGGCGTCATCAATGCTGTACTGTTTCCTGCCACAGCCATATTTCTATGCGTCTATGTCGTATGGATCCGCGCCTCTGGCTATCCGAGCAGGCATGATATCGGTCTCGCTTCTGCCATGGATTGTCCTCACGTCTTCCAAGGCAAATCTCCTGACATATATGACCGGAATCGACCACCAGAGACTTATGGTCTTGCACCGATGGACGGCATACATCTGCGCCATGTTCGCTGTCGTTCATGCTGTACCCTACTGGTGGCAGTCGATACACGACGAAAACGGTTTCGTGGTGTTCAAGCTTTATTTCAATCAGCAGTACTACATCTTCACAACGGGTATCGCTGCGATAGCGCCTTTAGCCTTTTTGGTCTTCCACTCACTGCCGATTCTCCGCTCCAGGCTATACGAACTGTTCGTCATTCTGCACGCTCCTGTAGCTTATGGCTTCATCGGTCTGCTGTTCTGGCACTGCAACAACTACTTGACGTCTTGGAGCTATCTCTATAGCACTATCGCTCTGGCCTCGGTCTCGCTTGTTCTGCGACTCTTCTATCTCAACTGGACAAACCCTCTGCGGGCTTCGTTCCTGATCGGCGAGGAATCTGCAGTCACCATCTTACCTGAGAACGCTGTCAAAGTCACAATTCCGACCCAGAAGAAGTGGAAGCCCGGTCAGTATGTCTATCTGCGCATGCCTGGCGTTGCGCTGTTCGAAAATCATCCCTTCTGCATTGCTTCTCTCTGCAGCGAAGACTTCCCGTCCGAGTATGGCGAGCAATACCGGGATATGATGCTGATCTTCCGACCATTCGGTGGCTTCACGCGCAAGCTATACGACACAGCACTCAAAAAGGCCCTAACAAAACTTATCGCGCCTATATTGATGGACCTTATGGTGGCATGCAGCGTCAGATGTCCTCTTTCGACAACGTGGTCTTCTTCGCCGGCGGCTCAGGCATCACAGCTATCGCCAGCCAGGTCCTCGATCTAGTCAAGCGCATGCGTGATGGGAAAGCAACTACGACAAACGTCACCGTGATATGGGCTATGAAGCGACCCGAGCTGATGGAATGGTTCAAGGAGGAGCTACGCATCTGCCGCGAGCACGCCCCGCCTGGATCAATGCAGTGCCATTTCTTCATTACCGCTGCGAAACGCTACGATCCGTACGCTGCAGGAACCTACACCTCGCATCGCGAGTCTCAGCGCTACTCGGGACTGAAGGAGAAGATCAACGACGCGCTACAGGGCGTCGCTTCAAAACGAAACTCCGCTTTGATCCCGGACGGATACGAGCCAGATATGAAGGAGCAGCTTGACCGATTAGACACATCTCATCAAGAGCAAAACGACACGATCACCGCTCTGCCACAGAACGCCTACCTTTCACCCAACAGTGCCCGTCGAATGAACCAACACATAGCCCAACAGTACTCTCCGCAACGCGAATACTTCCCGCCGCCGCCAGCATCCGCCAAAAGGAAGCGTCACTCAGCCGTGTCGACACTCTCGGCCGCGCAATCTGACGCCCAGACATCATACATTCAGCAGTACACATCACCCACCACGCAGTCCGCCAACAACAATACACCCACCCCATCAGCCCTCCCTCAAATAGCATCACCACCGCACACCGGCACAGCTTCAACTTCGGCTTCCCTCAAACACCGACCCCCTTTCAAAAGAACCTCATGCGCTTCGCCTTCCTCCCCGGCACCCTACCCTCAACCGTCGCCACACACCACTTTGGCGCGGACTCGGGAGCATACCCTAGCATGGCCGCCCCAGCATTCGGTCGCGACGGCTGGCGGACAGAGTACGGCCGTCCAGATATACCGTACCTCCTGAAAGGCCTGGCACGCGAATTCGGGCGAAGGTCATGTGTGTACGTCTGTGGACCACCACAGATGCGTGTGGATGTCAGTCGGACGGTGGCGGAGCTGCAGAGTGAGGTGTGGACTAGCGGTGGGCGGAGGAGTAAGAAGGGGCGAATCGACGAGATCTACCTCCACGCGGAGAACTATGCACTGTGAGGAAGGCTTCGGAAGCCTGTGAAGGGTTACGGAGCACCAGGATTGTCTTGGACTGTAATATTTGCGGCAGAGAGATACCCATGGAAACGAGTGTATAATGATGACGGCATTTTTATTTGTTTGCGACACATCCGATGGTCACGGGACATGTATTCGGGGTTGGTTTCAAAGATCCGACAGACCTGATCGACGAGCAGTAAGCATTGATGGGGATGAAGACATGTCTCCTTCGTCTCAGATATACTGTGAATGAGAACGATTGAATGTGAACGGAACTTTCATGCTTTTCCCAATTTCGTGTTGTCTGCATTCCTAATACTAAGGAGGCCCTCCACCCATTCTTAAGTTGCTGGTGCTCGCTGACTCCACGATGAGTCCACAAAACAATGACACTGATTGCGCCTTCCCTACCGACGACTAATGGTGTATTGCAGCTTCCCACTCTTGCGCTGGTACGGACATCGCGCCTGCCTGGACCGCGTCTTCCACTCACACCAACTAAAACGTGCCGTCCACAGTCGCAAGGCAACCTTCAGCACAGCTTCCCAGGCTCGCCGCACCTATAGTCAATCAGACCTGCTGTCGCACAGCTGCCACGTATGGCCGCTGCCTCCTCGATGGATGTCATTGCCGCGCCTGCTCTGGTGACGAGTGCCAGTCGAGCTGGAGCGCACCTTCCCAGCCTGGCTTGCTTCACATTCGGCAGTCACAAACACTGGCACTAATTCAAGCCGGATGACGAGGGCTCTGCTATGAGACCGGATGACAAGAATCTCCTGCGCAGACCGGATGACCTGGGCTTTTCGTGTACTGCATCTGTTGCTGGACACAAGCGTAGGTACTTGCTTCTTTCTGGTGCAGGAGCTATGGGACAAAGGAGATGAGCTAACGCTGGGAGAATCGTCTGTTTGGTCGGTGAAGAGGTATTGCTGGTATTCGCGTTGTTGAACCTCGTGAGGGTGTGGAATAAATATTCGTGGATCAGAGAGCTATATCATAATCTGTCAGATGCAACACTCAGGTGGGCTTCAAGTTCATTCATGCAGCTACCTGCGTGTATACATTACGTTAATAGGATTCGTAGTCTCATACGTGTGCCAGCTCGTCCTCTTCCCACTCCTGACCGCCACTTGGCCATTTTCTTCGACCATCCCACTTCACCCTGCCTCTCACTCAAGCCAGATCGACCTGCAACACATTGACGCTGAATTTCGGTACGGCGTATGTAAAGTTCATCCCGCTGGCAGCTGGCAAGCCCTCGATTGCCTGCGGCAGTACCACCTCCCCACTCGCTGGATCATTACCCGCGTACAAGTCGTCCGCCGTAATGATAGTACCATTGAGCCCAGTCTATTCCGCGCCAACATTGACGGAAAAGTCAACGGTGGCATTGCCGCTGTTAATGACCTTAACATACACAGCATTGACGTCCTCATCAATAGTCGCGCTCCACCAGAGTGGGTTGAATTCGCCCTCCGAGTTCGTCACCGGCAAAGTGTGGGTGCCTCTAGAATGGGCGAAGAGTTGCTGCAAGAAGTATGAGGTGCTGCGCACAGTTTCGTTGTAATTCGCAGTGAAATCAACCAGGTCAGGATCCCATTGGACACTATTTAGATTGCAGAAGCTGGGTGCGTAACCGGCCATCCTGACCACGTCCGGATTCCGTTCCGCTCCTAGCAGGTATACACCTTCGCCGATGATGGAGAGGAGGCGTGGAGAGGAGACATGCTCAATTGGTGGCGGGCGGGAGAAGTTTAGCTCGGGGAGTGTGCTGTCGATTTGGAAGACGGAGTATTCGCCGATGAAGACGCCCACATCGGAATTATTTGTCTCTTCCCTCCAGTTATCGTAAAAGTCGAAGTTCTGCAAAAAGTAACTAGGCAGCTCGTAGTGATGCGTGTCCCAGATGACGCCGGGCGGCAAGGTGAGGTTGTAGTCGCGCTCGTTGTATGCAGAGGCGATGAGGGTCAGGTTGGGATAGGCGTCTTTGATGCCGGAGTACAGATAGGGAAAGCGGTAATTGTAAGAAGACGCTAAGGGAACTCGTTAGCCTTGTATCGACAAAGGGTTGGTATGCACTTACGTGAGAACCAGTCCTCGTTCCCGATCTCGACGAAATTCAACTCAAACGGCTCCGGATGCCCAAGCTCGGCACGATAATTTCCCCAGTACGTCGACGTATTCCCCGTGATGAACTCCAACTCGTTCAGAATGTCCTCAAGGACAGGCCTCATTGCGTCTTCCGGGAAACTCGTGTCCCCCGCGCCATAGTTGTCAAGGGAGTACCCCGAGTACACGCCCAGAACAGGCTCCATGCCGACATCCTCGCAGAAGAGGAGGTACTCCATCAGCCCGAGGCCGTCGGTATTGTAGTAACCCCAATTGCCCACACGGCCTGCGCGGTCGATCAAGGGACCGAGAGTCTTGTCCCATTTCCAGCGCTGATCGATGGACTCGCCTTCGAGGTTGTTGCCCCCGGGGAAGCGGAAGAAGGTCGTTCCCAAGTCTTCGACAATTTGGCCGAGGTCTCGACGGATGCCGTTCGGGCGGTTCTTGTAGGTTTCGGGGAAGAGAGAGATGAGGGAGAAGTAGAAGACGTCGCCGGCGACTTCGGACGCGTTGAAGGTTAGGTAAAAGGAGTTGTTGGAGTTCGGGGCGGATTCTTCGACTACGAGCTGGGTTTCGAATTGCGTCCAGGAGAAGTAGGAGATGTTCTTGTCCTCAGTCATTTCGATGGTTTGTTCGGCCCAGGTGTCGTCGGTCAGGTTTGAGCGGAGGGAGACGTTGACGCTCGAGAGGGTGCCATTCATGCGTGCGCCGTTACCTTTTGCGTAGAACGAGACATTGTAGGTGCCGGGTTCGACATTGATGCCCCACCAGCCTTCGTTGAAGAAGCCGACCTCGCCTTCGGCCAGACCGCCGATTTCCATTTCCATCACCACTGGCAGGGCTTCTGACAGTGGTTGCATTCGACTGAGCCTCAGCGTCACGTTGCCGACGGGGTAGTAGCCATCGAGCGATGGACCGAAAGGTAAGCCTGGGTTGTCGCGGGTCGAGCCCTGGAACGCCCTGTTCTGGATCGCTTCTGCGTAGATGCCGCCATCGCCGCTGTGACTGATGTCCTCGAACATCCAGCCGTAGAGTAAGGGGGCGGTCTCATTCCGGCCATCTGCGTCGAGATTCAAATCGATGGCCACAGGTGCATCACCATGTCCCTCGAAGTAGGTATAGTTGATTCTCTCTTGGCCAGACAGGTCGGTCTGCTGGGGTTCGTCTGTCTGCCGCTTTGCATTCGGGAATGACAATACGTACGGCACGCTGGCCAGAGTTATTAGGGTGCTGGAGAATCGCATGGTGGGCGTCTGCTTGCAAGCAGATCCCAGCTGCGCACGTAGCACGACTTACTGTTGTTATACTTGCTGTCCGCGAGTTCGCACATGCCTATTGCAGGAAGTGGCCGGTGCCGGCACATGTCTTCAGGTACTTACTGTAGCGTAGGTGATGCAGAATGTGCTTGAAATGAGCCTGAATGGTGATCGACCGGCTCAACAAAGACGGCTACCACTAGCACCGTCCGAGAGCTTACACGAGGTGCTCCAGTGTCGTATTGTGCAATTAGGTAGATCGAGGAGGAGGAAAAGTGTGTAGTGACGTGCACAATGACCACTCCCCAGCAGACAAGCACGAATCGCTGCTCTCCGGCATTTACGCGAGGCATTGCAAAGGCGGAGGTGGAGGCGGGGAGTACACCGCGAGAGCTTCGGGCACAGCACACCGTACAGCTTACGGGCCATAGCCGCCACTTAGCCGACCTCAACGATTGCAGTGATGACAGCTGCTGTGCAAGGTACAGTCGTTGCATTTGCGGGGTACCTTGTGCCTGGGTGGTCTCTGTACCTTCCCAATCGCTGAGAGCTCAAAAATTGGCTATGCAAGAGGCATTCCTCCGGCGGTAGGTACGTCGAACACTGTAGATCGATCGTTGTTGCTCCAATATTCAATTCGTGGATTTCCTACTTGCGCTTTCCATCACACAGGCCAACTTGGGTATATAATCAAACAATGCATTGTATGCTCGTCATATGCTCGTTCCCGGCTGGCTCATTACCTCCTGCATGTGCTGTGTTCGTAGTATTATGAAGCTCAGACCGGCCGGTACTCAGGCTTCCTCGCCTTATTCACAATCGGTGGCGGCCCATCTGTATCTGGGTAAGGTAATCTCGAAACACAATTGGATCTTATCGGCATGTTCTGATACTGTTGCTGCGGTGGTGGCCCGTCATTGATAGGTGTTTTCGGTGGCCGTGGCGGTGGCTCTGAAGGCGATGATATGTTATAGTACCCCTGACTAGGGTGCCGTTGATGAGGCGGCGGAGGTTGTTGATATGAGAATTTCTCGTCACTTGATCGATATGGAACTTCCGAGGACAGTCTGGGCGAGTGTGGACCTTCTGGTATGACCGTGAATTTTTCACCTGATGATGCCATCGAATGCTCGTCTGAGCCGTAATGTGACTGATTTGGGCCTGGCCGGAGAGTGTTGTAAGTTGGATAAAGGTCGACCGAGTCCATACGCGCTGGCAGTTCGACCGCACCAGGATAAGATTCCGGTACGCTGAAGCCTCCAGGCGTCTGGTAGTCAGGCGTTGGTCCTCCAGGTGTCTCTAGACCGATACTGTTATGGCTCGGGGCGCGCTGATGCCTCTCCATCCGCCGCTTCGTGAGCTCAATCTTCGCCATCCTGTTAGCAGCATTCTCAAGTAAGCCTTGCGTCTCGTTCTTCTTGAGATACCGCCGCGTGCTGATGGTCATCTCTGATAATCTATCCCACTCATTCATGCCAAACTCGCCCACGCCGACTTCGACATTGAGCCTGCAGTAGCTGTCTGCAGGTATGCCTCGTCTCGGCAGCTCTGTATTCATCATCTGCACGTGGGTATCTTCGCACCCTTCGATCTTGGATATCAACCGTCTCCTTGCTTCCGCGAAACTGCCTACCGTGCCACCAACAAAGCCCTCCCACCATTCATGTTGTTGCTGATTCGTGCCTGATGGTCGCTTGCCTGTGCCAACACTCACAAATATGCCAAGATCGCGACCAGGCCACTCGTTCGTGACAGCCTCTTCTAGTACTTGTGGACTGGGGTTATATTTGCCGGCACCTTCGTCGATGAACACACTCTGTCCGATCTTGATCGGCTTGAATGCCAGACCTGTTGCGGAGGTTGCTCTGCCTGCTTCCCATATTGTGCAGTTAAATTCTGGCGGTGGTTCTTTCCTTGAATCGTAGGATCGTAGCAGTATGGCGGAGCCGGTCTTGGCGCTCGTGCCTTTGTAGACAGCAGTGACGGCTCTACTCATATGTCAGCAACTGCCTCAGTATAAGTTGGAAGTCGCAGGGACTTACGTTTTACATCTCTTCTCCCTCCCATCATATAAACTAGCATTCTCGTTGCCCCTCCTCGAAAACGCCGCATCGGGAGTTAAAGTCGACACCATAGACGTCCTATTCGTCGCCGGACTGTTGACCGCATATGTACTTCCACTCCGCACACTCATCGACCTCCTCATTGCTCCACTTGTAGGCGAGATCGGACTCGATATATCTTGGAACTCCCTTCCACCCGCTGCCGTCCCATCGTTCCCTTCATCCTCAAACACCGTATGCTCCCGCACACACGCCTTAATCGCCTCTTCCAACTTACTCGCCTTGAACAGCGTGTGCTTGTACGGTATGCCGGCGATGGTCTTGTCCGTTTCGAACACTTTTCTCGTCATGCGGACATAGACGTCCATGCAGGTTTCGAGGTCGAGTCGGAGTCGGCCCAGCATGATCGCTATGAGCCGCCGGTGCCTGTGCCGGCGATGAGGTCGAAGTATTCGCATGGCTTGGGAATCTCTTCGCGCTTTGGCGGTTTGCCTTCGGTTTCGACGTAGGCGCGGTACATGAGTTCTTGGAGGATTATGAGCATTGAGTAGCCGCGAACGCCTCCGCCATCTGTGTATCGTGGTCAGTAGATCGGTCAGTGTTGTGCAGAGTCTGGCTCGACGCTACGAAAAGGAAAACCTACCAAGTGACAGGATCCGCAGCGGCGGTCCTTTCGTGGTGTCTTTGCGCCGCAGATTGACTTGATCCATGGTGCTGGCGCGGGTGTGTGTGATGTCAGAATATGTCTCCCGCTCGAGGAGCGCTGTTCAGCTCCTGCGCGAAGCAGTCGCACCTGAAAGTGAAGCGATCGTCGGTCACTGGTTCGAGGCAACCCAATGAGTAGGTTCGGTTGGCAACGGGACAAATGACGCTCGCGAGGTGACTTTGAGGGTACACAGGTTCGCAGTGACTCACTGGCCAACGCCTGTTCGATGTATATGAGTTCTCAAGGCAGATGCGGCACCTGTGGCATATGATGTGTACAACAGGTCAACTTGAATTGCCAACGGTCACCCGCAGCAAAGAGCAGCGATTCGGCAATTTTGAAGTATGACGAAGCGCGCCTGGGCGGCTTGCAGTTTTAGTTGCTTCAATGGCTTGCAATAAGCGTGGGGCAAAGTATTTCCCTAGGGCTGCTCAACTGTACCTGCTGATCTGGACTTACCAGGTAGTTTCTTTGACGATGCTTCGGCACATTGGAGTTCCGGGTGCTTTCTTATTGTGACGTCCATCAATGTGATGATCTACAGACTGCATGATGAACACGAAGCTCGTGTAGCTCTACAGCGTTGAAAAGCAGGACGGCATCCTCGAGGAGAAAGGGTGGCGGTGCAGTGCTTGGCGGCCATGCGCCACATCGTCAGCGCTGCGCTGCGAGTGGCACCATCTTCCGATCCAAGACATGTAAGCGGCAATGGAATCTCTGTTAGCGTCAGCGTGTGAGACGCCGCACAGTTAACCGGAAGCTGTAGTCGTTGTCCTGGGATGGAGGAGACCCAGAAAGAAGAAGAGAAAGAGGAACAGAAGGTATAGTGCCGTAAAGGTATAGATATGGTATCTAGTATACAGACAGATCTTGTTCTCCCTCCTGGAGTACAGATCGCCGGGTATGATGATGCTGAGCAGCCGTTCCTGCATGTCGCAATGCAAAAATCACACAGCTGTCCAGCAGTGTTGTGGAATTAGAAGGTAGTAGTGTGTTGTAGGTAGATCCAGTCCGAACACGAGGGATTGCTCTCCCATCCGCCCAATTCCCGTAAAATGCTGATTGTGAGGCCGTTGAAGTTCGTCAGCGCTGCTATACAGCGCTCGCCGTGGAGCACACGATGTTGTGTACACAAATACAATCTCATGCTTCTGGGACAATTATCAACCATGTCCACGGCTCTTCGCGAGCCCTTGCTTGCCCGTTAGTATTGGCATCGTACCACAAGGCGTCATTCGCTATTGAGTCTCATTCATCGTCCCTGGCTGGAGAAGCTCGTATTCATCTGAGGATATGGGTACTCGTTCGGGAAAAGCTGCGAGCGAACGTGCTGCAGGATCTTGGCGTCTTGCTCCAGCACAGGTGAGATGTTGGTGTTGTACTGAAGTATGTCGATAGTGCGTTGGAAAAGGTGTCGAAGATCATCTGCCTGTACCAGTCGCTGGAGAGGCGGATGAGGAGACGTGAACGTCGCCGCAAGTACAAGTACATTGCCAAATTGACTAGCGACATTGTCAGTATTTACACTGGGTCTGGAATTGGTTGACTTACGCGTGTGCAGTGCCGAAGATATTGGTAATGATTAAGCGTTTCGGCACTTTGTCGAACACAGTTGTACTTCGCAGAGCTGCTTTGACGCATTCCGCTGCCCCGTGCAGGTGTCGCGGATCAAGCTGCCTGTTGGGATCACCGCCCCTTGGAGCAGGCGGCTTCATGTCATGGGGCGCAAGCTTTTGTCCAGGCGAAGGCATCGCTGTCCAGTCCGAGTTCTCTGGGGACGCATCCTGCTTGATTCGAGGTGGCAGCGGAGTAGTCATATCCAGAGCCATCTGAAGTAACGGCCGGTGAATAATATATCTCGCGCCGTAGTACTTAGCTCGCATGCGGGCCACATTGATGTCTTCGCTCTGGAAGTCGTCCTCCTCCCAGCCCCAATCGTTCAGGATCTGCCGCCAGCTCTCCAGCCCTTCTTCTAGGATGCCGACGAGGTGCAGAAGGCTATTCAACTTCCTTTCGGGGCCGGACTTCTTGTAAAGCATCGTGTGAATATCATTCATAGTTCGTCGGAGTTGAATCTGATAGGAATAGAAGCGATGAATATCGGGAGTTCCGCTCCACTCGGGTATTGCATCCAGCGTGATCGATGTTGGCAGCATGGCGTGCTGAGTGGCTTCGTATCGCGTGATGCCACTCGGCGGAAGTTCAATCTCGGCCAAGATGTCGCTCTCAAGTTGCAGAGCACTCCAAAACGCAAAATCGACCAGGTTCTTCTCACCCGGTTTCATGCCACCTGTAGTATACTTCGTCGACTCAATCAGTATCTGACACCCACGACAAGCAAGACCAATGTAATAGTGCGCAGGGACCACCCGAGCCAGTTGACCCATATATAGACCAGCCATCAGATACGCTTGGATATGTGACACATGGACACCCCCAGGAAGCTCGCCGAGAATATCAGCTGCCTTAGCAAAATATGATAGTCCTGGAATGACATCCATGTTTTTGCCCTGTGCCGCACTCGGACTCGCGGCAGTGATGCCATTGGCGATACCATTGGTCTGATTGTATGGCGATGCTGGGGCTGATTTGATGTACGGGAGATCACTCAGTGTCGAATACATCGTATGAGGAGTCGAGGTCTTAAGGGTTGATGTCGACACTGGGCCTGGCAGTGGCTCGCGATGAGCACAGACTTTGCCGAGTGCCATTATCAGCAAGATGATGGCATTTGCAACCGAGTGCTCAATCGTGGTCACATTCACAGCTCGACCATGTGACTTGATAGGTGGAGCTCCCGAGAAAGAGGCAGAAAGATCCTCGTTCGGCGTTGGCGATTCTGTGGCTTCTCGTTTGCGTTTGTTGCCGGTAACGGCATTCGTGGCATGATTCCGATAGTCCCAACTATACTTTCTCTTGAAGTTGTGAATCATTTGTCGGAGAACCTTTGTCTCCATGAACGGGTGCAGGATATGTATGTTGTCCATATAGCTTCGGAAGTATGAGTCGACAGCCGCTGAATCGAGCATGAGCCCACCACGTGGACTTAGCCCTCCGGGATGGTCCCGAGCACCATTTTCGCTTGACGTAGGCGGCTGAGGAAGTTGTCCGTTGCCCCATACACCATGTGGCGAGCCAGATGATGTATCATCGTCGTAGACTGAGTCTTGGCTGCCTGCTGGACTAGGTGCACCCTCATGACCATCGCCCTTGTCTTCACCTTCACCGCAGCCATACAAGCGGAGCAGGCCACGATTCAGTTCCAGGTCATTCACGTAAGTTTGGGACTGCTTGGGCGGGATGAGCTTCTTGATCAAAGTCCAATTGAACAAATGATGCACTGCTGTGGTATGTTTCGGAGGCATAGCGAATTCCTGCGCTCCTTTCTCGTCACCGTCGGCTTTATCTCGACGAGAGTCTTCAATTTCACGTCTCGAGGTAACTTCGGCTCCCGCTGATCGTGAGTCAAGCAGCTGTTGTATCTGTAGACCTTGCGACTTTTGTACCGCAATCAGCTGCTCAACATTGTTCGCCAAAGTCTCGAGCCGTTCGCTGATTTGTAGGACCTGCTTCTCGGACTTTGGAGGCTGCATTTCGCGATATGAGCACTTCAAGCCATTATCTTTGCAGTGTTGACATTCAGGTCGGCCCTCGTCACACTTTGCTTTGCGCTGACGGCACGATTCACATGCCTGAGCGGCACGAATAGGCTTTCGTCGCTGTTGTGAAGGATCGTAGTATGGCGACTGCTGATAATATGCCGCTGGACTTGGAGGAGGCCCTGCCGAATGCTGTGGTGGAGGATGGCCATAGTGATGCGGAGGTGGCGGTCCTGGCTGGCCTGGCATCATCTCATGTCCTGTCTGGACATGTAAAGGTGGCGGGTGGACGCCGTTTGGCTGAGGTTCTGGAGGAGCGTAGCCCGGTGGTGCAGCAGGTGGGCGGTGATAGTCCGGAGGCGGCGGAGGGTAGTATTGCGCGTCATGAGGTGCTGAATGCGGCGGAGGATAGTGATTCCGTGGTGGTTCAGCAGGTGATCTGGTAGGTGCAGATACACTACCTTGCCGGCTATATGGCTCTGAAGGATACGGCCCAGAATTCTCGCGTGCTGGCGGCGGAGGCGGATATGGTGCTTGAGAATGTGGCGGAGGACCCTGATGGTGTGGTGGCGGATAAGCCTGTTGAGGCGGCGCTTCTGATGGAGGTGGCCGGTGCTCGGGGTGTTCAGGATAGTGAGAGGGAGGATGGGAGTTCCACGATGACATGGCTACGCCTGCTTCTAGTGGGGCGTTCGTGTAACTCTGTCTCGGATGACGGCGTGCGACACGATGCTTGAAGGCGCCTGTCCGCCTTTCGATCGTGGAGCAGCACTCGAACTAGAACTGCTGCAACGGTTCGAGGTTGACGCGCATCAAGGTCGATGTTCGCAGAAGCCCATTAAACCAGTTCCCAAATCGATCCCAGCCAAGATTTTGGGCTGCTTGCCGCATGTCCTGACACAAGAATCGAGATGATGCCGACCGATGCCTTCCGTTTGAGAACGAGCCGTCGGACCCCACCGGTCGAGATGAAGATTGCTGAAGCGCGCACGTGCAGCGGCCGTTGCTGTATGACTAAAGCAATGGTCACTGACTGTACACGATGATTGTCGGAGCAAGCGTGATCCTAATATTCTCGGCCGTTGATTGAAGTTGATGATGGTAGTGATGAGAATTAGTACAAGGTCGAAGTTTGCGAGCGCTCCCGCAGAAGGTCACAAAATGTGGCCAGTACCAGCAACGATAACAAAACGCAATTCCAGCGAGCCGCCCAGATTTAGATGCCACTTGCGATGAGAATAGAGCAATCAGTGAATTGGATGTCGGAGAAGCGCAACGGGACGAAGAGTCGAAGGTTGGCGGTATTCTAGGATTTTGGAGAGGACGATTACCCCGAATAGCTCTGGAGAGGCTTTGCGGATCAATCCCACCAGAGTCCAGACGATCGCGTCGGGCACTGACTGCCGATCGAAAGTGTGAGGCGATTTAACTCAGTTTTCAATTTCAAGCTGGAACAATGGCTGTGATCGACGTTGGTGTACGTTCGGTTCCAACAACGGCGAGCACGCAATGTTACTGCGAGGAAGGAAGAGAGCTTCGGAAAATCGTAGGTTTTGCGTGGAAGCTCAGGCCCGTGGCGCGGAAGGCGAAAAAGACGACGGATGTCCACTCGACCCGACAGTCTGAGCCGACCGCGTGTAAGTGGATATGCTTGAAGGGGTAAGCATAGAAGACTAGGACAGAGTTTCAAAGAGGACGGCGATGTAGTGGTAATGATGAATTGTTGCTTGAAAAACGAGATGAAACCAGAAGCTGTCATGTGAGGGCTGTAGCCACAGTGGGCCAGAGACTGGAGCTTTGGAAGCAGGTACTGCACGATGGCACTCGCTCACCGGTAGGAGGGGGCGGGGTCACCAAAGCAGTGGAGCTTAGAGCATCGAAAATGAGGATGATGAGAGAGATAGACTAGCCTAGGCGTAGAGGCTAGGTATCATTGATAAGCGTCCAATTCTCGTTCAGCAAACACTTCGTCTGAGGCATCAGAGTCTTACTCTGTTCCGAAGGCACTGCGTCCAGCTACTGTATTTTCCACGACATGTCTGAAAACGTAGAGCCATAGGTGGACACTTTGGGGTGGCTGCCATTAGGCAGGAAACTTCAAAGATCGCTGCCAGGACTGCTGCGAGATCCCTCTATCCGCTATGAGTAGTAGGGGGCACACTTACGATATGGCTTGCAGGTGATATTTCGGTGCGAACATGAAACGACCTTGAGTTGGGCATGGAAGTTACTTGCCAGAATTCCAGAAACTTTTGGGTCTGGGCACAACGTCGTCGTCGTGAGTCCCTCAGGCACTGTCTACCTCATAATTCCTGATGCTCTTTGCATTGTTTGCTAGCTACCTAACGCTACTCCGTCTGGCGCGGCATCTTCCCGCTTTACCTGGATAGAGCACAGACCGCCTTTTGGATCATGTGCCTTGCGATGGCATCTGTGCGCCGGGCGGCGCCCCTTTCCATCGTATATTTCTGACTCGGTCATCCTCGGTCCAGTTCTGGCATCTCTTAGGGTCCATCAAAAAGTGAAAGTTTTGGCTTACCGAGGAGCAGTTAGCGTGACCTTGGGCCCGATAGCTCGGTATCGCAAGAGCCTGTAAGATCACGCCGCTCTTTCTTGGATTTGGCGCCTAGGGAATTCAATCATTCGTGGGCATGCTGAGCCTTGAAATGACACCGTCAGTCCGTGTGCAGCGTGCTGGATATCCGAATCGTGCTCCCAGATCGAGTGATGCTTAGCGGAGTGTCTGAGACAGGTTCTGAGAATGATTCTCGTGGCTCGGAAGCTGTAGAAGACCTTTGAAAGCCTCCAGCTTCTGTGGCAAAGAAACGACCGTCGCCTCCAGCTCAGCCCCTACTTGCAAGATCCGATGAGTCGTGAAGCCCATTGAGGTATCTAGATTGCTTCGTCCGATGTTACCACGAATCAGCCAGTGAGAGGTCGCCTAGTCGTTGCTGAGTCTATGGACTTCGGTCCCACCGGCTTCGTCTTACATGCACGAATCATCGAGCACGCCTCGCCGTGGCAAAAACCAGCTTTCCACGTGGGCGAAAAGCTGAAACAGCCTCCAGATCTGAGTACACGCATCTGCTGCAGCATGGCCATTCAACGTCATGTCCATTGAACAAGATCTACTCAGGTGACTTGCGCTGAGCAAAGGGCATTGCACCTTAACTCTTGACGTTCTCGAACTATGGAATAGCAGTCAAGGCGCCATTGCCTGAATCCTGGGCAGGCTTTCGGCGCACCCAGGGCCACAGAGACCTACTCGGCGCAGCCCCTCAGCGCACGCCATGTTGCCGAGTCTGCCTCATTGTCTCAAAGTACCTACGCGTCGCTCAGGGTCAGTCGGCTACCAGCTCCTTTTTTCTAACAGTGTCACTGAGCTGGCTTTGCCCATCTCACCCACCTTTCCGATGGGGCTTATCCTTACGGCAGGGTACGCTGGTCCTCACTAACATCTTGGAGAATTAATGCTTGGTCTGCATATGATCGGCATGGAGAATGATTGGCACTTTTCCAAACCTGCTCATCTGCGACAAATCACAGAGCGTGCCTGGCTCGCTTAACAGAGTGGGAGGCACAGCACCAGAAGCACCTCCATTGCCCCATTGTACCAATTGCAAGATCACCACAAGCACCGTAAATCTATCCTACAATGGAATACAAAGCCCCGATCAAATGCTTACCTCTTTCGTTTCACTACCACTGCGTTGTCGAACGATGGCATCGTCCCCGAAGGTGCGACCACCTGCACACCTGAGACGGTCCTACCTCCATCTTTTCGCAATGAGAGCTGAGACGAATAACTCCTCGCTCCCCCAAAAGATCGTCAACGAGGCTTAATCATCTGCAACGAGTATCACATCATCTCGGCAAGAATGGTAAGAAAGTACTTAACAGGCTCCTCGTGTTATGCCTGTGTTCTCGAGCTCCGTCAGATACAGATCCAGGCACCAACGTTGCGACTCCGCAATACACAACGGAGTGGTCAAGCGTCAGAGAATGTTAGCAACATGTTCCCTTTGAGGAAGTCGCCCATTCCGTATACAGACCAAGTTTCTCACATGCGACCTCGCCGATCGCAACTTCCTCGTCGTGGGTGATTCCCATCGCGCGAGACTTGGATCTCGTATTCATTGTCGCTTGCTTGACGCCGTCGCAAGTGCCGTGGACATTGAAGGAAGTTGAATTCCGCTGTCAACCCCGCAAGCTCGACCTCTACAAATTGGTGATTCCACATCACTCTGTCTCGTGTCGTTGTTCGGCGATGTTGCAATAACAATGATTCTGGACGACTCTTGTGGGGCGTAATCCACATGTTCTCGACGTCGCCAGAATTTACGAACTTACCAACGGTCAAACGTTGTGCCTGAAATGTAGGGTTATTCTGTTCGAGTCCGTAATGATCTACCATGAATTGGAGCCGCAGAGAGTGCCAAAGGCCCAGAAGGGTCTGTCCAGACTCCAGAGTACCGTCAGCGTGGTTTGTCGCTAGCTGAAAGGCAGTCACGAAGTACCACCGCTCCCCTAATCTCGCCAAATTTTGCTCAGCGCTTCACCAACATGAAGCTATCGGAGGTCGCACGAGAAGGGTCAGCTTCGGGTTTGCACATCCCGAAGGGCCGTTCGGGAGTGTATAGTGTGCTTAGCATCCAGCTCACTCTCCTTGTCATACAGACACGATTGACGCACTGACCTTCCTTGGAGTATCATGTGTCTCGTGTATGCGCACTGCACACATAGACGCATGCGAAGGTAAGACGTCGAAGCGAACAAGCCCTGGCGACGTTGTCAGCAGCCACTTGCACGTGGGAATCTTAAAAGCCACGTTGCGGGCGGTGAGGCCCGCGTACCCGCCAATGTTCAAATGCCCGGGTGCCCACCAACAATCAGGGTCACCTTCAGACCTTGCTGTTCCTGACTCGACGCAACATCAAGTCTTGAGTCTGCTAGACATCAGGAAGATTGCACTATCGCAATGTGAGTTCAACTTGACGCAGTCATGCTCGCAGGTCGCAGTCGCTGGGCTAGAGAAATCCAGAAGCCAGAAGGAACCTCGAAGGTTAGGTTCTCGAAGTCTGAGACTACCGAAAAAGTCAAGTCCATAGGTGGATTGCGAACTCCACCTTCTCTTCTTCCCACTGCTGACAGGAACCGATTTCAACTCATGCTCGGACTATAACGATATCGCAACATGTCTCGCGCGATTGAACTGATGATGCGGTCGCAGAATGGCTGCGTACAGCATCGAAGGCCGCTATGCGAAGCAGATAAAGACGGGATCACCACCAAAAAGTCTGCTGTACTTCCACTAATGGTGTCCCTCAGATTCTCTACAGTACAAAACATCCAGCTTCGAATATTCTGCAATTGCATGCCTTACGCAAAGCGGCCACTCGGCCAGCAGCATCTCTGGACGAGTCTATTTCGCTGTCTGGCAGCTTTCTGTGCACGTGCGGCCATTGCCGAGGCGGTCTGGCAACTGAGGCGACCCTTCAAGTCACGCAAAAACGCAGTTGCCGAGCGTTGACCACATTCTCATCACTGCACATTCAATATTTCCATTCTGCACACCGCCCTGCTTCGATCATGACACTGGATGTAAAGACAGCATATCCTCATTGCTTGCCGTTTGCTGCTTTTGAGGTCGAGATGACCAGTCACATTCATTCATTCGGCGGCACCAAAAGCCAAATCCCTGCAGATGGCTTGCAGCGACATCCGAGATTTTTAGAGAAATCTCGGATCTGGTCAACTCGCAATGGTAAGCCCGCTGCATCATGATCTCTCATCTAGATCGATTGGATAGGTCTTACGAGGCCGTTGGAAGGGCTAGACGGTAGTCTGCCCACGCCCCAGACAGAAGAAAGTTCTTTGAAGTTTGATAACGCAATCGGGCACGCCGTTGTTGACAGCTTGACAGCCGTGCGTCCACAAGTTTTCCCCAATATCGGATGTCAACAACTCAGGCAAAAAGGCCTCGTCTAAGAAGCCGACCGTCAGAGGCAAGCGATCACGGTGGCGGCACCAATCGCTAGGAATGAACACGACGCCTCTGCATTCCATTTGAGACTCCATGGGTTATTATTCCCAGATCACACTTGTAACGCAGGCGCAAGCCTCACGTCAAAACGGTCGCGGTCACCAATCATTTTGCCTTCCATTGCTATCCGGCTTGAAGCGATCTACGATCTCAACGTTGTGGCTTCTTTCAGATCTTTGCCTCATCACCAGATATGACCTCCTTGACCAGCTTCAGAGCCTCGACTGCAAATGCGACCATGTTCTTCGTGCGATCATTGCCGCAGTCTGTGTTGAGATCCTTGGAGACGGTACCTTTTGGGCCTCCGGATACTGCTAGCGCTACGTAGCCTCTGTGCGGCGATTTGATCAGCGTGAGTTCGCTATAGGGACGCGACTGATAACTCACGGTTGCCGATTTTGAGTCTTGCCGGACGCTGTAGGTCCTGCCGTGCCACTCTACGCGGCTCGTTAGCATGGATTTTATTGATGTCAAACTCGAACCCCTTGCATGAGGCTGACTTACTTCGCAAACGGTGTAAGTTGAATTCAACTTTGCTCGTACATTATCGGCTAGACCTGCAACGAGCTTTCAAAAGCAATCAGTGTCAGTGCTTTTGAGGAGAAATGCCCCAGATCTGTGGAGATGTCCAGAATCGTGCAACGCTTCATCTACAATGTTGTCGTCGCATCCCTTTCTCCAAGGATTGCATACGTACCTCAGGTGTTGGTCCACCATACTTCTTGACATCATCCTGTGTCCAGCCTGCGAAAGCGATTCGCGATTCGAGCGTATACAGCTAAGTTTGGCAGATGTCAATATTTGACAATCGTTTGATGGGACGGGGTGCAGACATCGAGTCAATGTCATGTAGTCGACGACTGTTTCGTGGGGCATTGGGGTGGGCTCCAGTCGTAACAATGGCTTTCTTCCAAACAAAGCCATACAGTCAAACAAAATGCTAAATCATACAGCATGATTTGAAACGTGCCTGCTTCGGGCACGTAATCCAGGTCGAATTCTCATACTCCAATCATAGCATCGCAAACACAGAGCACCGTCGGTTTGCACAACGGGGACGAACTCACAGTCAACCCTCCTCTGAACACTTGACTCGCTCCCGGCGTCGCCAGTATCGCCGCGCTGACCAACCCGCCCGCCGCTGTCTCGGCCACGGAAAGCGTTTCCTTCCGGGACTTCAGCAACGACGCAACTTCCTGTGCTATCTGTGCAAGAGCAGGTGGTGGAAACGAAGCCGAAGACATGACTCGGTTTTGCTGAGGAGTATGGATCCTAGGATGGTTGCTTGTAGCGGAAGTGAAAGTTGGAGTCGTGGAGGGGAGGAGGGTAAGGCGACGGAGACCTAGTGGATTGAGCTTCTGGCGAGTTTTGCTGAGGGATAGGGATGGACGGGAAATGTTCATTGCATGACGGAGGAAGTCAAATGCTCTTGTTATTGTGAGCGCTTCATCATAGTTGTCGTATGGTCATGACCTTGATTAGCGATGCCTGTGGGGTTGTTGGAGAGGCCGACGCCGAGGGTTGAGGGGTCGGACCGGTTGACTAGAATATCCGTGCTCTTGCCTTTCTACTTCATCACTACTAGTCGGGAGATGACCATCTCATTTCAAAACGCGACCACCAAAAGCACCGTCTGCTTTATCGACCGGAATTCCCCCCCAACATCGTCCTGCTCACTGATCTGATCTAATTGTGAGCTCCGCGTCTCGGTTCGAGCATCATCGAGCGCGCGGTGTGGTATAGTCCCTGGCCACAAGCTGCAGCAGATTCGCGAGCTGCATCGAGCAATCACGCGCCGCAAGGCAATGCCTGCAGACAGGCAGACAAGCGATTGTAGTTGAAGCGTGTCAAGCAGGCAAGGTGCCAGAAGCCATGCCAAATGACCAAACAACAATCGTTGCCTTTCTCTGTCATTGTAAGTTGATGTTTGACCCAGCTGATAAAGACGACAAGCGCCACCATCAACACGCAATGAAAAGACCAGAACCACGAGATATTGACCATATAGTTGTAAACGTGCCCATCCATCATGCCTCTCTACTACTACAAGGACTCTGAGGGCAGGAAAGGCATCAAGCGAACCTCTGCAAGCCCCAGTCCCTCCGTGACATCGGTGACACGTCAAATCAAAGGACTGCAATTGCCAGTTGCAGAGTACGATCCGCCAGGGCACTATCTCTACGGCGTTCCTTATCATAGGCATCATCAACCACATCGTCCGCCGGCTGCCTTCCACGATCTTCCAGTCTACAGCACATCTATCAGACCATATTCACGTTGCCAGTACCGGCCGTACTCCACCATGAGCATGGACGGTGACCACGAGTTCTCAGACGACGACGATCTCCTTGGACCACGCTCTCGTCCTTCCACCCCAAAACAACCCAAGCCTCATCCTCAAACCATGCTGCCAGCTCCTCGCCTCACCCCAAGACACGAATCCGTTCCCCTCGACGCAGCAGCCCGCCAGCTCTACGGCACCGTCTCCCGCGCAATCACTTTCTTCGACGGCTTCTACCGCTCCTTCCGCACCTCAACGGACGAGATCCGCCAGCATGCCAACAAATCGCTCCTCAACAGTGTCTGGCAATCCCGGATCCGTTCCAGCGCCGCTGATCCCACCAGTGGCTACAAGCACCGCAAGACACCCGAGGACGGCACCGATCCAATCACCAACCCGCACAACGACGAACACTTCTCCTTCCGCGAACATCAGCGTCAAGTCTTGCTCCGCATGAAGCAGGTCGCGAACGCACAGCTCCTCAAGCTGCCCGCTGCGGCTGCTTTGTTCGAGGAGGATGATGGCTGCTATGCTGCGACCAACGCCCATAGCTATCACGACAAAGATCTCTACGCGAACCAGCAACGTCACCGTGCCGCCGAGCTTCTGCAGCGGAAGGTAAAGAACGGTATGGAGGATGTCAAGTATGCGTTCGAAGGAATGAGTCACGATTACGAGCAGGCCAAGTTGGCGAGTCGGGAGCTGAAGTATGTTAAGCAGTACCTGGTGACGATGAAGAAATGCTGGGACAAGAATTGGAGGTTTGATGAGTTTGATGGGGACGAGAGTGATGGAGAGTTGGCGGATGGGGAGGAGGTGGTGGTACAGGAGGGGCAGGAGCAGCAGTAGGTAGAGAGAAGCTAGCGAAGTGACGAACGTGGGTCGGGAGGTTTGGCCGCGTCGTGGTGTTCTGAGGCAGTCTGAGGGCGCGTTGAGAATTGATAGCATAACATCGAACGGACAAAAGACATTTGGAATGTTGGCGGAAGCTTTTCATTGTTCGCTACTTGATATTGAATATTCGTTTCTCGTCGTGAAGGCATTTGTTATTCGTTATTCACCGCCTCATGACCAGCTGTCGGTGAAGTCGTTACGTCGTGATTCTGCTGGCGATGATGACCAGCAGTGGTGTAGCTAGTTTATTGTGTTGGTACAATCTTGTCGAAAATGTTCGTAAAATAGTCATGTTGACTCCGATAGGAGATATGTTTCTCCACCCCTGATGACTCGTGGACGATTGTTAGAATTCATCATGTCGTGAACGTATCTTCGACGTGTACTCCAATGACAGTGTCCTCCTCATCATCGGAGTCGGAGTCCGTGACCCAGTCCTCATCCTCAAGGGCTTGACCAATTCTCTCCTTCAACTCCCCAGCCTGTCCATTAGCCACAGCCGGCGTCTCAGCGGACTCCTCACCAGCAGTTGCATAGCTTGCACTAGTACCCTCGCTGTCACTCTCGAACGCCTTTCCACCATCAGGCAGCACTGGTACAAGAGCAGCCCACTCCATTGGGTTGCCTTGCACAATCGGTGGTGGCGCGGCTGGACCATCCCATTTCGGCTTCGGCGGCAGCTTCTGTTGCATCTGCTCTTCCAGCGCTCTTGCAACACTCTCTTGCTCTTCTCTCTTCCGCTTTTCCGCTGCCGTCTCATACTCCTCCGGGTGGGTATACGCGTTCTCTTGCGCGATCGTGGCATCACAGGGCTCGGTGTTCAGGTATTGGGCGCGGACGAGGGAGTACGCCATGTAGGCTGCAGTGGACTGATCGATCTCCTTCCTATCATTGTCGCGCCCTACAAGATCGTCTCTGCCAGCGAGGATCTCAGCCTGCTCCTCTGGCAGACATGCGCGGTAGTTCGGGCGCCAAGGCATCTCATTCGGAAGGCCTGCCATCTCAGGATGATTCTTGAAGACAGCTTTGAGAGCATTGAGCTGCGCCTCCATATGGTCCCGCTGCTCAGTGACAGTGCCCACGTCCGCTACTTGGTGAGCCGCCCAGCCCACTTGAACCTCATTCTCCCATTGCAGATCATGGTACGCCTCCTCGGTGACCTCGATAGTGTGTTTCAGCGTCTTCACCTCATCGGAGTGGGCTTGCCGCATGAAATCGGCGTGTGTGCCGAATGCTTGCTCCTCTAGTTGGCTTTGCAGACCATCGATGATCTCGCTCAGCTCCGCAACCTCTTTCTGCAGTTTCTCCTCTCGCTGGTTATAGGCATCGCACACGGCTTTAGCCTCACGTGCCTCGCGTGAGTGTTCGAGATCGATGATCTTCTGGTCCATTTCCTCCTGAGCCTGATACCCGTTCTCGATGTCTCGATCATATACGCGTTGGAGGTCGACGAGTTTGGTGTTGAGATCGTTGTTGTCGAACATCACCGTGGCCATTTGTTCCGTGGTCACTTTTTCGGTGGTGAGAAGCTTGATGAGGTCGTTGATGGCGATGGCCATCTCGGAGTCGGACTCCATCAGGGCAGATGCTTCGAAGAAGGCGTGTACTGCATTCTGGTGCTTTTCGACAATGTGTCGGGCTTCGTCGAGGGTGGTCAGGTGCTCGGCACGCTTCTTGAGGACCGGGTTGTCTGCTTCGAGGTACTTGACGCGCTTTTCGTGTTCTTCAGCACGGTTGAACGTTACTTTGTGGCGCTCGACTTCAGTCGCATGCATCTGCTGTGACTGCGCGAGCGTACTCTTCAGGTTCTGAATTTCGTCCGGCTTGAAGTGCGAGTGCGTCGGGACTGACGGATCAGCTGCCCATGCACGGATCTTGTGGTTGATGAGGACATCGTAATCGCGCTGAGCTGACTTCAAATGTTCGGCGAGATCCGCTTGCTCGTCCTGGAGAGACTCAATCTCTCTCTGTGCCTTCAAAAGAGTCTTGTGTTGCTCTTCGTAGGCCTCGTTGACGATATCGACCTTCTGCTGGACAGCCGCGAGATGTTGCGATGTTGCGGCCTTCTCTCTCTGCAGAGCACCGTTCTCCTTGATTGCTCCAGCGAGCGATTGGGATGCACTGTCCGCTTGTTTCTGGATGACGTCAAACATGACGAGCTTGAGCCTCGACTCATCGTTCTCCTTGCGCAGGTCCTCATTGCTGGTTTCGAGCTCGGCGAGTTGCAGGGTCAAGTAGCGTTTCTCTTCGTACAGCTTGTTAAGGCTGTCCTGCGCATTACGCGACTTGTGCAGAACATTCTCGTTCTCCTTCCGCAGGCTTTCGTGGACAATCTTGATGTCGGTGAGCTGGGTAGACAAGTCGCGCTTCTCTTCGCGCAGCTTGGCAAGGCTCTCGTTCGCCTTGGGCGACTTCTGCAGAAGCTCGTTATGGAGGGCTTCATGTCTGCTGAGGATGTCGCTGAGCTTACTAGAGACCACTTCGCATTGGCTCTCATGATCGGCTTTGGTCTCCGCGAGCTCGGCGTTCAGGGCGTGTTTTTCTTGGTGCAGCTTGGTAATTCTGTCTTGCATCACGCTCGACTTCTGCCGAAGACCTTCTGTCTCCTTTTGGAGGACTTCGTGATTGCTCGTGGTGTCACTGAGATTGCCACATACCTCTTCATGGTCGCATTGCAACGAGATATGTTCTGCTTGCAGCTTCTCCTTCTCCTTGCGCAGGCTTTCGTGGGCGGCTTTTGCTTCGGTGAGCTGGGCATTTGAAGCGACTTTGTCCTCGTGCAGCACGGCGATGTGGTCGTTGGCCTCGCCTGACTTCTGGTAGAGTTCTTCGTTTGCTTCCTTGAGCATCTCGTACTTGGTCCGGATGCTGCTGAGCTTGCTGGATACTTCCTCCTTTTCACGTCGGACATCATCATGCTCTGCTTGGAGCTTCTCGAGAGCATCCATAGCAGAATGCGCCGCCGTGGACGTATCCTGATGCTCGCTTCGCAGAATCTCATGCTCGCTTCGCAGAATCTCATGCTCCGCCCGCAGTTGCTCAAGTTGATTCTTCGCATCTTTGGCTTCCGCAAGCTCATTCTGAGCACGTATTACGAACTCAGAAAGCCCTTCTCGAATCAGTCGAGCCTCCTCCAAACCAGCTTTCGCAGCAGCTAGATCAGCAGCTCGCAGCTCAGCTTTCTCCTTCCACTCAGCGACTTCATCATCTGCCAACTGCTTACGGCCTTCGTACGACTTGTTGACTTTCTTCAGCTGCTGAAGTTCTCCGTGCTGTGCAGCGTTGACAAATCTGAGCTCTTTGATGCGCTTGTCCCGCCCAACGATCTGCTCGAGGAGCTCGGTCTCGACTGCCGACGCGTTTGAAACAGCGCGACTGTGTGAGCCTGACGATGAGAGTGAGAGCTGGAATGGCGGTGTGGTGCCAGACGCGGAGCGGAAGAAGGTGACGTTGACTTCTTCTTCGTCATTACCAGCTCCGTTGTCCTCGTTGTCGTTGTCCAGGAACGATGGAGGTGCAAGACGGACTGGTGCTCGTATGCCCGGGTGCTCATTCGGGTCAGGAGATGTCGCGGATCTTCCATGAGCTTGATTGATGAATGCAGATCTTGACGTGAAGGACCAGCAGATAGCCGAGGGCGTGCTCTCGGGATTTGGAGCTCAGGTTGGGGCCCATCGGTTGACCGTGGAGAAGATGAATATGGACGCGTCTCAATCAAGTCCTCGTTTGCAGCAACGGGATCGGTGGGCGCAGCTGCATTGGCCGGCACATTGCTCGTCTTTGAGACCATGCGCAAGACTTGTTTCAGATTGGCCTTTATTAGAGCTTTGTCGACCTTGTTGGAGATCTCACGGGTGGCTTTGTTGACTTTTGGACTAACCTTGATGAGAACTTGGTCGACCTTGTCAGACACCTTACGCGCAGCTTTGGTGGTCGTGATCGTCGAAGCCTCGCGAAATGTTTCGACCTTGCCGGAGACCTTGCGAGCAACTATGCTGGCTCCGAGCACTGAGTCCTTGCATGCTGTCTCGACTTTGTCAGAGACCTTGCGAGCAACTTTGTTGGCTTTGAGCATAGAGTCCTTGCGGACCATGTCGAGCATGCTGATTTTCGCCATCGTATGATGCAGATCAATCAGCAAAGCGCGTTAGTGATTGCGGGCTTGTAGTAGGGAATGCCTCGTTCTGAGGATATCGTTCTGGCGGATGGTCCAGTACAGGATTGCAGAACAGTGTCAATATCGAATGCGTCGTGGTTGCTGAGTGCTCAATTCTGCTAGAAGACCTGAGATGTTGGGTGGTACTAGAGAGCAGTAAATTGGTAAATTCAAAGACACAAGGTTGAAAGGCGACTAGATATCTATACGCGTCAGGCGCGTCGATGTTGCCTTGTACCTACCTTCACTTCGGAGCTTCACTGAAGTTCGTCACTGGGCTCAAGGCAATTCGGATTCCAAGTGAAGTGCCATATTCACTGCACTGGACCGAGTGAAGCTGTGAGTCGTGGCATTAGCAAAAAGATCAGTCACTTCGAACTCGTCACATCGAGGTCAACAACGGTCCCAGCTTCGAAGCCAGCCATTCTGTGCATTCTGTCGATGAGACAGAGGATCAGGCTGCGTCGTCGCGAACATCACTGGCGATCGTTGAATACTGGAATCCGGTTGGCCATAAGTACGGTCTCATTGAGTCCAAGCCGAATCAAAGGATCAGACCTGCTTCCGGTGTATGCTTGAGCTTCAGATATTGAACGACTCGGTGGATGAACGACGTCGGGATCACATCCATTGTCTTTTTTACATGGTCACGTAAGGTATGTGTGAGATGCAGGCGTGCCGGTTTGGCAGTGGGCCCTGGTGTGAAAGGAAGTCATAGATCCGAATTTAGACAGGGTCGATTAGGTACATGCCTCTCCTGCTTGTCAAGCCAGCTCAGTCACAATTGCATTCAGCTCGAGCAGTGTCGAATTCGGTAGAATGACTGGTGTTCAGCTGGAATGATGTTGAATTCGATGGTAGGGTATAATGTTAGGATAGAAAAGCGGCAGAGTGCTCCCTAAGGGGTGGAATTCGAATTGATGTCCTCGCCGAAATGCCACATTGGGGCGGACTCAGCAGCCCATACACGCAGTCTTGGCACCAATTTGGCGAGGTGTTCTCATAAATCCATCCAGGGAGTGCTTCATGCGGATTTATTCGACATCTCCTTCCACTTCCTACTCCCTCTCCAGCTCCCGCCGTCATCATGTCGGGCCTACGCTTCCTTGACCTCATCAAGCCCTTTACGCCGCTTCTGCCAGAAGTGGCCGCGCCCGAGTCGAAGATCAACTTCAACCAGAAGTTGATGTGGACAGGAGTATGCTACCCACGAAGCCCGCCCGGAAGAATACAGAATGACTGACGCGTACGACAGTGCACACTTTTAATATTCCTGGTCATGAGTCAGATGCCACTGTACGGCATCGTCTCATCAGACACCTCCGACCCGATATACTGGCTGCGTATGATGCTGGCCAGTAATAGAGGTACATTGATGGAGCTGGGAACGACACCCATCATCTCCTCGGGCATGGTCTTCCAGGTATGTGCTGATCGGGTGGGCACTGTGGACGCAGCTAACGATGCCAGCTCCTCGCCGGAACCCACCTCATCGACGTCAATCTCGACCTCAAAGCCGACCGCGAGTTGTACCAGACCGCACAGAAGCTCTTCGCAATCATCCTCTCCTTCGGTCAAGCTTGCGTATTCGTCCTCACCGGTCTTTACGGCCAGCCTAGCGATCTGGGCGCCGGCATCTGTCTCCTCCTGATCGTACAGCTAGTCCTGGCTGGCCTGGTCGTCATCCTTCTCGACGAGCTGCTACAAAAGGGCTACGGCCTAGGATCCGGCATCTCCCTCTTCATCGCAACCAACATCTGCGAGTCCATTGTCTGGAAGGCATTCTCGCCCACCACAATCGATACCGGCCGCGGAAAAGAGTTCGAAGGCGCAATCATCGCCCTGGTCCACCTCCTGGTGACCTGGCCCGACAAGACACGTGCCCTCCGCGAGGCCTTCTACCGCCAGCACCTCCCCAACGTCATGAACCTCCTGGCCACCCTCGCCGTCTTCGGCATGGTCATCTACCTCCAGGGCTTCCGCGTCGAGATCCCCGTCAAATCCTCCCGCCAACGTGGCATGCGCGGATCCTACCCCGTCCGCCTCTTCTACACCTCCAACATGCCCATCATGCTGCAGTCCGCCCTGGCCTCCAACATTTTCATGATCAGCCAGATGCTCTACACCCGCTTCTCCGACAACCTCCTCGTTAAGCTCTTCGGCACATGGGAACCCCGCGAGGCTCCTCCCAGCTCTACGCGTCCAGCGGCATGGCGTATTACATGTCTCCTCCGCTGAATATCACTGAAGCCCTCCTGGACCCGATTCACACGGTTATCTACATCGCTTTCATCGTCGTCGCCTGCGCTCTGTTTTCCAAGACCTGGATCGAGGTCTCCGGCTCCGCTCCTCGCGATGTCGCGAAGCAACTCAAAGATCAGGGGCTCGTCATGGCTGGTCACCGTGAGCAGAGCATGTACAAGGAGCTCAAACGCGTCATTCCCACCGCGGCGGCCTTTGGAGGTGCCTGCATTGGCGCGTTGTCCGTCGCTAGCGACATGATGGGTGCGCTGGGAAGTGGAACTGGAATCTTACTCGCCGTCACCATCATCTATGGCTACTTCGAGATCGCCGCCAAGGAAGGCGAATTCGGGCAGGGTCTGAAAGGTCTGGTCATGTAAACAGAGGCCGCCCTGGTGGTAAAAATTGCATTTTGGCAAAATCAACAATTCGACCCACAGGGAGCGCTTTGTTGGGGATTTTGCCCTAAAAAGCACAAAATGTACAATCATACGATGCTGCTGCTGCTTCAGAATACCTATCTAGCATAGATAGCTGAATGAAAAGCTCTAGCAGAAGAGCAACCAGAGTCCTCCCTGGCGTTTTTCTACTTTATGGACGTACACATACGCTACTACGTCCGATAGTCACCATTAATGGTAACATATTCATGACTGAAATCACACGTCCACACCGTTGCCTCCCCCTTCCCACTCCCACCCAAATCAACCACAATCTCTAAGTCCTCATCCTCAAGCAATCGCGCGGCCCGCGCCTCATCCACAGCCTGCGGCTCCCCATTCACCAGCAGCTTCAAAACACCCTCTGACTTGCTCGCACTCTCAGCCGTGGGCACGAAACTCACGCTCATCCTCTCGGGCACGATCACATCCTCCCTCCCCGACAGCAACTCCGGCGCAGTATACCCCACAGCGCACAACACCCGCCCCCAATTCGCATCCCTCCCATAAAGCGCCGTCTTGACGAGCGGACTCCGCGCCACTGAACTCGCGACCGCATGCGCATCTTTATCCGTCGGCGCATTTGTGACCTTGACGGCGATGAACTTTGTGGCGCCCTCGCCGTCCCGCACTACCAGTTGCGCGAGCTGTTGCGAGAAGGTGGTCAAGGTGCTCAAAAGGGCGGCATAGTCCTCCGATGATTCTGAGGATATCTGTTGGGAGGGGACCAACCGTGTAGAGCTTTTCGCCGTAGCAGCACCGTTGGCCAGGATCGCCACGGTATCATTCGTGCTGGTGTCCCCGTCTATACTGATCGAATTGAAGGATTTGCCTACGGCGGATGTAAGCAGCGATTTCAGTGCAGCGGGCGCAATGGGCGCGTCGGTGCACATGATGCCCAGGAGAGTGGCCATGTTGGGGTGGATCATGCCGGCTCCCTTGGTCATGCCGGCGAGGGAGAAGGTTGTGTTGGGGAAGGAGGGAAGGGTGTAGGTCGTGCTGAGGAGTTTGGGGAAGGTGTCTGTTGTCATTATTGCTTTTGCTGTTGAGAGCCAAGAAGAGTGGGAGGAGGATAATTCAGATGCAGCCTTTGGTATGCCATTGAGAATGCGGTCAATTGGCAGTCGCTGGCCGATCACGCCGGTGGACATTACTAGGCTGGCTGGTTGGTTTGAGTCGGGTGGTGAGGTGGCTGTGTTGTCGAGGGCAGAGGTAGCGGCTGAAGCCATGGCTCGAGCGTCTTCGAGTCCGCCATTGCCCGTAACGGCGTTTGCGCAGCCGGAGTTGATGATTATGCTGCGTATGCCGGCGCCCTGGCGGGCTTCGAGGACTGAGCGGGAGACCTGGACGGGAGCGGCCTGGAATTTGTTCTGCGTGAACACCGCCGCGGCGTTGGCGGGTCGGTCAGACGTGATGAAGGCGAGGTCTGGCTTGGACTTGTTGGAGGGTTTGACGCCGACGTGCACGCCGGAGACAGAGAAGCCTTGCGGATACGTGCCGGAGGTGGGCACGTATTTTTGCTTGGCGGCGGGGATGGCACCTTCTGCCGGGGCGGAATAGTGGCGTGTGAAGAGTCGAGAGATGGGGCGGAGGGCGGACATGGTCGAGGGCGGCATGGTGGGCGAGCCTGGGGGGACAAAGATGATCGGTAGGTACTTGGTCGAGGAATATGTGCTGCCCGGGTGACTCAGATACCAATGGTGGAAGGTGTGGTGTGGATGAGGTTCGGGGCAGCCTCTCCTTTCTCCGCCCTGTGACTCGTCGAGGAACTAGCGTAAGATCAATCAAGCCCTCCACCCTGCCACGATCCTGCCCACGTAGACTTATTGATCCCAGTATGCACGAAGGCTCAACTTCACTTTTTTTCTGGTCGATATCTTGAGAGTCTGGAGATCGGCGTCGCCAGATGCCAAGCCCGAGGCTGTGACCAATCATCTTGTGATGCGCGGAGAAGTGAAGTGAAGTGGGAAAGCGCGTCGTTGGCCTCGCGGTTTTGCCCAGATTGATGAACGTAAAGATTTGGCAGGCGACAAGAGATCTGCGGGAGGCATGAGCGTAGGACAGTGATGACAAAGCGACAGCAGCGCGATGACGACTCTGTGGAAGCTGAGACGCCCACAAAGCGAGTCCGACGAGCGACTGCGAAAGCGGCTGCGGTGATTGAGGAGACGGAGTCTGAAGGAGAGGTAGATTCCGAATACGAGACGCCACAGAGTCGCCAAAGTGGTACGCCGTCAAGGCGAACGGCCTCGAAGAGCAATGGGACGGCTACGCCGAAGCCGAACGGCAAGACGCTCTTTGCAACACCAAGTAAGAGAGCAGCAGGCACGCCATCCCGGACGAAGCAAGCAGATCGGTCAGCGAAACGAAAGAGCGCGAAGAACCTCGCTGTGGCCGACGACAACGACGAGGATGACTGGGACGGGAGCGGGGCTTTGGCGCGGGAAATCCTGAACCAAGACGAGGGAGATGTCCAAGACTCGATAGAAGTGAGCACACCAACGTCGTCCAAAGCTACACCGTCGAAACGCGGTAGAGGGCGACCGCCAGGAGCGAAGAACAAGCGATCGCCCACCCCCGAAGGCGACATCGCCCCAGAAGAGAAATACTTCTTCCAGAATCGCATGGGCCCGCTGCGGATATCGAACAATGTCTTCTCCAAAGTCAAGCCGTTGACACATGATGAGTACTTCGAATACAGAGGTCAGGAGGACGAGGTACACAAGACAGAGAAGGCGTACTTGATGAAGCTGCATGGCAGAGCGTTTCCGCAATGGGCACTCGAGCTATCACTGGGCTATAGCGTCTGTCTATACGGCTATGGAAGCAAGCTGCAGCTTACCACCAAGTTCGCAACGTGGTTGTACGGCAAGTCCAATCCGCCGCCATCGATCGTGGTCGTGAATGGCTACACCCCTAAGCTGAACATTAGGACTGTTCTGAACACCATCGGATCAGTCTTAGTCGAGAAAGAGTCGGATCTGAAGTTGGTTGGCCAACCACAGGAGATGGTTGAGACTCTATTGATATACCTGGAGCAGCATCCTCCCGAGGCCACGTTGTACGTTCTTATCAACACACTCGATTCGGCGCCGCTTCGCAAGCTAGCTGTACAGTCTGTGCTAGCTCGACTGGCAGAACATCCGCTGGTACATCTCATCGCCACTGCAGACTCGCCAACATTTCCGTTGATGTGGAACTCATCTCTTCTGGACCGCTTCAACTTTGTGTTTCACGACTGTACAACATTTGCGCCGTATAGAGCGGAGCTAAACGTGGTAGACGATGTCAACGAGCTGCTAGGACGGAAAGGGCGACGAGCCGGTGGACAAGAAGGCGTCCGATATGTTCTCCAGTCGCTTCCGCCAAACGCCCAGAAGCTGTACCGGATCCTGATCACCGAAATCCTGTCGATTCTCACAGGCGACGCCGAGCCTGAGGAAGACGAGGAGTCAGGGACAAGGGCCAAACCGACATCAGATGCTGCAGAAGACACGGGCGTCGAATATCGCATCCTGTACGATAAGGCATGCGATGCATTTATCTGTACAAGCGAGATGAACTTTCGGTTCCTGATGAAGGAGTTTCACGATCATCAGATGATCACGAGTCGAAGAGATGCGGCTGGGACGGAACTGATGTGTGTACCACTTGGGCAAGAGGAGATGCAAGGTCTATTGCAGGATCTGATATCTCTCGACTAATATCAATTGTTCAAGGCGAGGAACGGCCGATAACACCTAAAAATGCTTTCATGAGATCCGACATCTACCAGCCACGACCAGACATCTTGTCAGTTGGCGCCATACTGCCACAGTTGATGCCAACCATAGCCTCACCCAGACCCTCGCTGCACTCTGCCAGCACCTTGGCATCCTTGTAGTGCGTAGTAGCGCGAACGATAGCCTTGGCTCTCTGTGCAGCATTGCCAGACTTAAAGATACCTGAACCAACAAAGACACCGTCACAACCGAGCTGCATCATCAGTGCTGCATCCGCAGGTGTAGCGATGCCACCAGCTGCAAAGTTGACGACCGGCAGACGACCAAGCTGGGCAGTCTGCTTGAGAAGATTGGGATCAACCTCAAACTCCCTCGCCAGCGCCCTCAGCGCACCTTCGCCCTCCCGCAGCGCCCCCTGCGCTCTCGCAATATCCAGCTTGACCGTCCGCATGTGCTTCACCGCCTCAACGACATCACCAGTACCAGCCTCGCCCTTTGTCCGAATCATAGCCGCTCCCTCAGCAATTCTTCTCAATGCCTCGCCCAAGTTTCGGCAGCCACAGACAAAAGGCACCTTGAACGGCTCCTTCTCAACATGAAACTTATCATCCGCCGGCGTCAGCACCTCGCTCTCATCAATATAATCCACCCCCAACGCCTCCAGTATCTGACACTCCACAAAATGTCCTATTCTTGCCTTGGCCATGACCGGTATCGTGACAGCAGCTGGATCTCTTTGATCAACTGCGGGTCCGACATACGAGCCACGCCACCGTCTTTACGGATATCGGCGGGGACGCGCTCGAGGGCCATGACGGCGCAGGCGCCGGCCTCTTCGGCGATGCGGGCTTGCTCTGCGTTGACGACGTCCATGATGACGCCGCCTTTGAGCATCTGGCGAGGCCGGCTTTGACTGTGAAGGTGGGGTTGGCGGCATTGTCGTTGGTGCCGTTGACGGGAATGGTGGTGGATGACATGTTGGCGTTGTCGTTCATGACCATCTTTGCGGAGGTCGTGTCGTGGTGATTGGTGTGTGGGGTGAAGGTTGGAACTCGGTCGTGTCGTGTAGATCTGAGGTAGATCAAGAAGTCGAGACTGGCGAGGAAGTTACGAGTAGTGTGAAAGTCAAGCAAAAATGACAGTGAGAGCCGGCTGAGAATTATTGAAGGTAGGAGGATGTATCAATGCAGCTTAAGATGAATTATGAGTCTGAACGAACCCGCAACAGTGATGATACATACATCGCATGCACGCCCTTAGAACAGACACCGAAAAAAATTATTGCTACATTACGTCCCGCTCTCGAACGTTCCGCAGGTACCCAAGAGCCAGGCCTGGAAAATAATTGCGGACTCGATCGCGGGGCAGTCTTGCGGGCGGAGAACGCACCGGAGTGCTCGTCTAGTGATTCGATGACTCTGGCTTCGGCCTCTTACTTCTTTGCCTTCACGTCCCTTGGCTTCCTCTTGTTCGACTCGGAGCTTATAGACTTCAGGGAGAGATTCCTATCTCATTCCAGCAATCCAGAGCGAGTCCGAAAGAGGAGAGCACGAACCTTGAGACCCATGCCGGTCATCTGTGGTTCGGCAGATTCTGAGGCACGTGACTGAAGCTTCTCAAAAAAGACTAGTGAGCTGTCACCTCTCCTCCACTACCCCCCATCGAGGACCCTTGACAGGACCCTGTCCAAAAACCTCCGGGAGAGGCTCGGATTCATGGATCTGTTGCAGGGGTGTCCCGACATTTCTCAGATGCGCGCTCATCAGATAGGTACATTCCCCAAGATTATTTGTGATACAGTTCCTGTGAGAGTTGCCCCTTCCACTATCAGCGAGTACAATATGTGACTGCCTTGCTCGAACGTTGCTTTGCTTTTCTGTGTACCCTTCGAGCGACAATGAGCACCCCGCCAACGACTGGGTGAGTGTCGACTGTCGATTACGTTGAGCTCCACTTCCGTATACCCGCTCGCGTGAGCCCAACAGCAGCAGTATATACACCATGACCGTCCATACAACCAACGACGAGGCCGACGTCGACGCCGCCAGCATCACGCCCTCCACTACCATGACCACTCCCAAGTTCTCCCTCCCAGACCTTCCCGAAGACTGCTTCCTTCCAATCCTCGAGGCCCTCGCGATTTTTGACGTCGCCCGTTGCGCAATGTTGTCTAGATCCTGGCGCGCAGCCTTCACCAACCCGCTCTACCTCCGCATGGTACTCAAGAACCACGCTTCTGCTCGAGAGATGCAAGACCTGATCGGCCGAGAACATGACACTGCTTTACTGTCCCGGACATTCAACAGACTGGCATCCCGCTACTACCACCTTACCCACGGTAAGATCCGAACAATCGATCGATACAAGTTGGCTGCTTCGGAGCAGAGAGGCGACTTTTGCCCCGTCGGTCAGTGGGACTTCCACGAATCCCAACCCGGCGGACGCCTGTACTTCGAGAACGCCTCCCACCAACTCTCGCGCCTCAACATGCCTTCAAAACCCTATCTCTTCCGCAGCACCCTCTGGAGCTACGCCGAACCAGGCCTGCTAGTCTACGCGCCCGAACAGCTGCCTCCCGATGCGCCGCGGACGCACATCCTTGCCCTCCTCGACCTCTCCACGGGCTTCCACTTCAGCATTCCCTTCGACATTGCAGGCAAAGTCGTTCGCAACATCCGCCTGGCAGACATGACACTCATCATCGAATGGGCCGAACGCGATCCATTTCACAGCTTGAATGATATGGAGCAGGTCAATCGGCACTTCGCCTCTTGCTTCGACGTTGTGCCTTCGCCGTCCACACCAAGTGGCACTACAACCAAAAGCCCCACCCTGTATACTATAAGGCCACGCAACGAATTCAAGCTGCACTTCCTCGGCCTTCCCCTCGAAAGCCTAGGGATCGGTTTTTCAGCACGCATACAGCCACGCATTATGCGATTTACTTCTGGCAGCCCAACCGCTCGATGTACACCGGCGACGAAGAACTCCCCATCGAGTCCCTCTTCGTCTGGGATATCTCCTCCGCATCCACATACCGCCCCTCGCTCGACCCATCCGGCGCCAACAGGCCACAAACACGCTCCAGCTCCCCCACCCACGGCAGGACGGGCCCGCATATCCTCGCGCGCTTCCCCTTCAACGAGCTCGAACTCCTCGGCGTGCGCCAGCACTCCCGCGTCCGCTTGATGAATCTCTCCCTCGACTCCTCCGCCAAAACCCTGACCTGGCGCGAGAACACATGCGAAGCAGGCCAAGGCTACTTCGACCCCGCCGCCCGCTTCTGGCGGAGCCGCACCACCACCTTCTTATTTCAAGGCAGCGGCCCCCATCTCGTGGCAGAAGGCACAGACAACCTCCCGCCCTATCGCGGACACGGCAGTATGGAGAGCGCACCACTCGAAGACGAAGAGGCGGAGAAGTGGTTCGTCCCTGTCATGGATGTGCTTGACCAGAAGACCGGAGTGCGTATTAGTCTGGTCGAGACGTGTTTCACGGGGTGGATGGTTGAGAATCGGTTGGTGTTGAGGATTGGGACGCCGCAGATGAAGGCTGCTGGCAGCAGTGGGGATGATCACGACGGCTTCACGATACTCAGAGACGATGCTGCGACTAGGGAGGTGAGTGCTATGGGGCGGATAGCGGGGGATGAGCGGTGGGTGTTGGGGCAGAATGGGGGAATGGAGATTGCGGTTTTGCGGTTTTGATGGTTTGGACGTGGAAAGCGGAAACTGTGGCAGGCGTGCTGAATTTGTGGTGGAAGATTGTACTGGATTCATGCATATCCCCCATGAGATAGATTGTTAAATGACTGAAGAATTCATTGTCCAGTGGGCGCTCTACGCTACTGCCGACCTGAAGCTGAGAAGGATGCGATGAAGTGAAGAGAAGGTACGAACAACCGTGCCCTTTGAGCATCAGCCACATACCATGTATGCTAGTGGCAGAAGTGAGGTAGGGAGAGAACGTTCGTGGCAGCAGCGACTGCAAAGGGATCTTAAAACAACAGGCCGCCTTCCTTTTTGAGACTTCTATCTGTCGCGAGGGGGAGACCTCAGGAAGGGGCATCGCCTCACGCCGGATGACTAGATGGATAAGTCTTTCACGAGAACGGATGACACGGCTGCTCGGCCTCTGACGAGACCGGATGACTGTAGTGCGCGGACGTTGTTGAGACCGGATGACAGAGTGGTCATGTTGCTCAACCACACGAGTTCGTTCTGCTGCTGGCATCTTGGTCTCCTGTACACTCTGTCGCTACGTGTGACTACAGACCGCCATCAAGGAGGCTAATGGTGGCGATACTATGAGAAGATAGCGAAGTCCGTCTGAACGTTTGCGGACTAGTGAGCCGGACATTTATATTGCATTTCTGAAAACGCGCTGGCAGTGGTGAACCGATGATGTTGAAGTAGCGGAGCGAAGACTGACACCTTCTGGTAGCATGCCTGATGAGGAGACCCCCGCAGGCAACGGAATCAAATTGAAGCACTCCGCTGACTTCGCTTATGGCGTTGACCCTCAAGCTCTCTCTTCCTTGTTCTGTCTGTGGGCCCCACTTCTCCTGCTTCCCCTTTCCCTTTCACTTGTCGCTGCTGTTCTTTTCCTTACATCTTCCCGGATCCTGTCATGTCCCCCGAAGCGCTACAACATCCCCTTAGGTACCCTTGACATACAAACCCTCCCAAGCCCGCAACTCCCCCTCCATCTCCCCCGTCAATTTCCTCCCAAGCTCTTTGCCCTCCTCCATCCAAACAAGTTCCGCGCCCCTGCTGACGTCCACGCCCTGAATGAACCTTCCATGTGTAGCTTCAGTCGTAGTAGCAGCCCAAACCAAGCAGCGCGCACCCTGCTCCACTGTCCGTGCGTCCTTGACCCAGAAGAACACCGGCTGGGCAAAGGTCCTCAGAACCCAGGGCATATGCTGAGCCAGGGAGGTGCGGACCACACCGGGGCAGACGTTGTTGATCACCACTTCCGTACTGGGCACCTGGAGGGAAATCTGTCGGGTGAAGAGGGCGATGAGGAGCTTGGCGTCGGCGTAGGATTGTAGCCCAGAGCCGAGAGCCGAGACGCCGGAGGTCGAGGTATCCTTGGAAGCATTGGACGCTTTCTTTGCGCTACAGGTGGGAGAGGTTCGTTCACTTGTGGGCAAGACGGCCAGACCGTGGTTGAAGTGTTCGATGATTGCTGTGGAGGCGTCGATGGGATTCTTGGAGAGGGCGTGTTGTGCCTGCATTCCCGATCCGACGAGGGTCAATCTTGCTGGCTCGCCGCCACGGGCAGAGGAGCGAAGGAGGGGAAGGAGAGCGAGGGCGATGATGATGGGCGTGTATGCGTTCACTGGATTTGTAGCGTTAGCATGTTTCAATTCTGGACATATTGCTTGAGCCAATGCATGAGTCGACTCAAGCAGCTCCGAGAGATGTAACTCACCTTGCATCCCTACCTCATTCCCCATCTTCCCAACCTTCCTCCCCAAATACTGTATCCCTGCATTCAACACCAACAAATGCAGCTCCTTCACCTCCTTTTTCACCCTTCCCACAAACGCCCTGATGGACTGCCCGTCGTCCATTTCCACCTCGAACGCTTCGATCACGGCATCCGGGTTCTTGGACTTTACCCCTGGATCGTTCCTGAGAGATTCGATAGTTTCAAGAGATTTGACGCGTGATCTGGTAGTGATTATCAGGCGCGAGACCTGTAGGAGGAGGAATTGGCGGGCGGTCTCGAGGCCGAGGCCGGAGTTGGCGCCTGTGATGAGGCGGTTTTGCCGGCGAGGCTGGTGGAAGGGGGTGTGGGTGGGATGGTCTTCTGCCTCATTTTCAACGATGCTTGATTGAAGTGGATCGGCAACGGCTCAGTGCGAGATCTAGGAGGCTCTGTGGCCGGACGAGATGCTGTCTGGTCGGCTGCCGCCCAGCATTCTGAAGACGGCTGGACATGGTGGCGAACATATAGTTCTTGTCACAACTTGTCAGACTTCGAGAGCTGATTAATGTGTTCATCGACATTTTGGCGTAACGAGCGTCCTGATTCCCAATCGCGCCGTTCTTTTGGTGCCTTGCTGAAGCCATCTTTTGTAACAGTGCAGGGTCCGATGTGTTTCCTGCCATGCTCCTGAGGTGGTTGTTGTCCCTGTGTGACTCAGCAAATGGGAACTAAACCATTGAGGAGCGGACAGCCTCGCCATGGCCTGGCGAAAGGAGGCCCGGAACTGGGCACACCCGTCGTCCGGCAGCCAGACATCGTTGGTGGAAGCTCGGCGCACCGCACAACCGTGATTGTGGCTGCAAGAATCCTGCCGATATTTGTGCGGCTCCTCTGACTAGCAGAAAAGAGAGTGGAATGTTGCTCCCAGCCCTGGCAATGGCATGGTGTACGAGGCAGATGCGTGGGTAAACCTCGATCGGGTCCTCGTCCGAGATTCCGGCCGAAGGCTTGTGGATCTTCGCCCGAAATTCTTCCATGGCCTGCATATACACCGTGTCCGCCAGGTTGCTTCATTCGATGCTTCTTCCCATAGATTCCCGAGCCGTAGAATCATTCTCTTGACATTCCATGCCAGTGCTGCTGCTGGGATACTGCCTTGGCGTTCGTCGTGTAGTCCTGAGATAATAGAATACGATTGTTGTCGATATCTTTCCTCGCTGCATTCCTGTTGGGCCTGGAGGCCGGCTCTGCACACAGAAAGAGCACAAGACCGAGACGTGAGGCACATCGCACAAACCTTGTGGATTACAATCTCACCACCTCAAATGATACAGATCGTGCTCTCCCCACCAGGCTTCTCGACCGTACTATACACATACTCACCTCTCTCGTTCATATCCTGGCCCGGCGGCGTGGTCAGATCGTGCAGCATGATCGGCGTAAGCTCTGACACTTTTGTCATCCCGACCCGCCGATACCTCATACCGTACTCGCCATCCACGGCCTGGACCAGTAAGCAGAACAGGTGCCGCTCATCAGCCTTCGGCTTTCGTATTGGTAGACAGTACACCTGCGCATCTGGCCCGAAGATGGAGGGCTCGGAGAGCGGGCTGTCGAGGTAGACTAGCGAATCGTAGTATTTGCCCATGGGGCTATTCTTGCGTCCACGGACGAGCCGCCATTTGTAGCGGTTGCTGTTTGGGTCTGGCGGTATTGCTATTGGTGGCTGTTGCAGTTGGTGCTTCCAGGAGCGGAAGAAATAGCAGCATATCGTTGCGGCGAGTTGAGTGATGAGAATAGGGGTGGAGGAAAGGAACGACATCCACGTCTGCCATAGTAAGATGTGCAGATTTATTGTGGCGAAGAGCAGCGCTAAGAATAGTGGTAGGTAGGAATCCCAATTGTGTGAATTGATCTAGATCAGTCAGTAGGACCACATGATGAAACCTCGCGATACTCACAAATGACTCATAGTCATTTAGTGGACCTCGCACAGGCCTGAAGTCGTCAATCAGCTCGATCTTCCGCAAGACACCACGGACGACAATATAGCCATCCTCAATCAGACCGAACTTGTTCTGCGTGGTTCGGTATATTAGGCGGACGAATGCAACGTCCACCAGCAGATTCTCGTCAGTGGTCTCGCCCATAGTGATGCCTCTTGGAGTCTCGACAGCGGCCCAGGACCATGACGGCGCACGGTACTCTGCAGGCCTTGTGTTCTCAAGTGGTTGCCTGTTCTCGCCTTCGCCTTGGTTGACATGCCATAAGAGCTGGCTGGCCGCATAAGCCTGCCATAGGCCGGCGATATATCGGTCTGGGCCATCCGCCTCTTTGAGACGAGCGTTGAGCATTTCTGCCACTCCAGACAAGGCCAGCAAACGGTCTTCTGAGTTTGTGAGCTCCATCTTCGAATAGGCCTCGACCCAATGTTTCCACAACTCGTAGAGATAGAACTTGTCGTCGATTTTCTTGGCGGAGTCCGCTTCGTCAACCATACGCTGAAGGGCCGATCTATTGGAGGACTTTTGGCGGATGTGCCATAGACGTTTGCCCTCTTCAACATCAGCGCTCTTCAATCTTGTGTCCTCGGTCACTGTGCCCGTTCTCAGGAGGTAGTGCGGGAGACCTTCCGGTCTGAGTTCAGCCCGTTTGCTTGATTTACATTCGAAGGCGATCTGATCTTTACACCAGTGCAAGATTCGCGGAGCCAACATCCGCTCCTGGTAGACCCAAGACCTTCGATTCACTATTTTCGGTAAGTACAGGTAACGACCATTTAGGCCTGGACGAAGGCTTACCAGGCGCGTCGTCAACGTATCTCTGCCAAAAGAATGGATCCAGAATATTACAGGATACCTTCTGTCCTCCACTCATACGCAAACCCTTGGTGTTGAGTGTCACCGTCTCGTGCCATCTCCATGTCATATCGCGAGTGTGAAATAAGCCTTCTGAGCTATCGACAGCAAATGTTGCCGATATATTACAATAAGAGTTGGTGTACACGCGTTCCATGGAGGCGGACTCTTCGAGCCAGTCTTTCAGACCCGTGTCTTCCTGGATGATACACAGTGCGTCAATCCATAGCCAGCGGATTCCAAGGCTACTGGCAACTTTGATGGCGTCCCTGAAAGTCTTTGGAAGGGCAGTCAATCGTATACCTCCCATAAACTCGCGTATGTTGTCTCTGGTGAGTTTCAACAAGGTCTTCTGGCCCCATCGATGGCTGAGGGTCATGTAGCGACCCTGTATCTCAAGTTGAGGCACGACACCATCCTTGCGAGACACGAGTCTCACGGAGTCGCCCTTGGCTGTATCACTGAGCTGAGAAGTAAGATCGAGCAGGCGAGACGGATACCATTCGGGTTCTGATGCAGGACGACACTTGGAATGATTGGCGAAGCAATCTTCGATCCACTCCCTTGCACGTGCAATGACTTCTGGATCGTCAGTCGTGGCACTCGGTGCTGTGAGCGCAGGGAGCACAGGCGCATCGTTCTCTATCAAGTCGTTAGTTGCTGGTCGCGTTCCCAGTCAGGTCTTACTGTTAGCTTGAAGCACAAAGCTGCTAATCATTCGATCATCAACCTTAAAGTCTAGACGGAATAGATCTCGCCTGTCTGCAACTGCCTGTAGGATGGCAGTGAGGCGACGAGAGCCATCCTTGCGACTGACATTGTAGCCGCGGATGATGAAATATTCGGCGAGTGTTCGACACACGAAGCAGTCGGAATTCTGTGACTTATCTGTCACGTTGGCCAGGGTATCGTGCTCGAATGTTAGGAAAAGTCGTGTACCGGTATCTCCTTTCAGACCCTTTTGGTCTCGTAGCATGTCCCGACATACTGTGCACAACATAGCTGTGTTCCACGGTTGAGATCACCGAGCATTGGACCGTAAAAGGAAGAGGTCCTTGTACCTGGCAGCTGGTCGCCACGCCTGGCGAAAAACCATCGAGCACATGGTCGCCATGATGCTAATAATGGAGACGGTGATGGTGGCATGACGATCAGTGCATGAGGACGTCGCTGACAAAATTCAATGGGGCTGTTTCAGTCGAGGTCGAGTCGTGGAATTGGCCCCGTGTTAAGTCAGAACAGGGAAGGCGTGGAGGTCGAGCAGGGCCTAATGCACGGGCCGTCGCCGCCACCGATGGCGTTCGCCGCTCATGGCTATAGGCGAGAACCCAGAGGTGCCGGTGCAGCTGCATCACAAACACTTTCTCTTGCGGAGGCGATAATGCAATCGAAGATAGTTGATCCTTGGGAGCCTTCGTACAGCGACGGCTTCGTTCTGACCGAAGGAGCAAGTACTTGAACCGTGCCTGCCAATCGAGACCTTGATAGATTGCCGGTTGAAACTGCAGCATCGGCCCTAGCAGCTCAACCCCTCCAATTGAAAGGCGCCCCTCTACGAACCAAAGGTTGCCTGCCGACAGACCTGTCTGCCCTACAGGGCGTCTGTCTACTACTGCTGCCTTACTCACAAGCCCAAAATCAACGAGCACATATGAGTGCTTTGTGGCGGTCGTGAAAGGGCACGTTCATGCGCATCCCTGCCAAACTCGGGGCCAGACAGTGTGATCATGACTTCAACGTTCACATTGCCGCCAGTCGAAGGCGAGCCCGAAGTTGGTGTCCACCTGATAGACGGCTTGACTCAAGAGCAACTACTGAACTGGAAACCTTTCAAGGAGTGGCTGCCCACAATTCGCCGGTCCATTGCTCTGCAGACTGATCCGCATCATCCATTCCACCAGGACGATGAAAGATTTACTCTCCGGTCAATAGAGGTCAAAGGCGTCGACATATGGGGGTCCGGCGACAAGAAGCGAATAGGCTTCCTGATGATGAAGACAGTCGTGAAGAACGCGAAAGGCGAGCAACTCCCCGGAACCGTTTTCCTCCGCGGAGGCAGTGTTGCTGTCTTGATGATTCTCATCCCTGAAGAGGACGAGACCAGGACTGAACGATGGGTCGTCATGACCCAGCAGCCACGCGTACCAGCGGGCAGCCTCACTTTCTATGAGATTCCAGCTGGCATGATCGACGACCAGGGCACATTTGTTGGAGCTGCAGCAAACGAAGTGTTTGAGGAAACTGGCATTCCAATCAAAAGCAAGGATCTGGTCGACATGACAAAACTCGCTTTAAGGAATGCCCAGCATGCTCTCAAGGAGTCGCAAGGCTCGGAGGAGCACTTGCAGAAAGCAATGTATCCCAGTCCTGGCGGATGTGATGAGTTCATTGCCTTGTTTCTTTGGGAGCAAACGTGGCCGAAGACTGAGATCAACAATCTCAGGGACAAATTGTCTGGCACGAGCAATGAGAAGATCAAAGTCAAGCTTGTGAAGTATGAGGAGCTTTGGAGGGAGGGCGCGAGGGACGCGAAGACGCTCGCTGCTTGGGCTTTGTATGAGAATCTGACGAGAGAAGCTGTCTGAGGAGAACGGTGATCAGCCATGGACAGGACTCTGGGGCCAGAGTTCGCTTTGGGTGGAAATCACAATGTTCCGATTCCTTTGTCCGACCTTTATACATGGATACACGTGGCATGACTTCCAACGACCACGAAACACTTCAATTTCCAATTTCCAATTTCCACAGACCCAGGTTGTTTCTCACGCAATGCTCGCCTTCTCAACGTTATCCCAGCCCTTCTTCTTTATCTCCTCGATCTTTCCTTCCAACTCTTTGACCTTCGCCTCTTTGATCTTTCCCTCGTCCATGCCCACCGCCCGCATCCAGTCTGGATCGATCATGTCCACGTTCAGGTAAGGACTCGGGTCTTCCTTCTTGACCAACGCCTCCGTCGTGCCCATCCCCAAATACGCGAATCGGTTCTTCTTCCCCTCCTCACAATACTTCAGGTCATAGTCCTCCCACCTGACATTCCTGATCGCCTCGATATAATGCAGACTGCTTCCTGGCCAGACCGCATTCACTCTTCCCGTCTCATTGTTCTTGTACCAAGATCGACATTCCTCCGTCCAGACAGTATGCCTGACCCACTCCTGACAATGCGCATTGAACTCGTCCGTGATGTCCTGCTTCGGTGTCGCGCTCTTGACGTACTCGGTCTGCAACTTTCGAATCATCTGAAGAGCGTAGTAGGAAACGTACATCAACGGCCCCATGACGCTGCCGTTCTCCACAGGCCAATTAGGGCCGATAAAAGTGAGGAAGTTGGGAAAGTCCGGTATCCCCAGACCCATGTAACCTTCTGGACATTCTTTCCATTTATCGGCCAACTGGACACCATTCTGTCCCACGATAGGAAACCTGGGCCGATAGCTGACATCGAATCCCGTCGCGCACACAATTGTATCGCACTCCCTCTCGACCCCATCCGCGCCCACCACGCCCTTCGGCGTGATCTTCTCCACAGCGGTAAAGTGAACATCGACATTGGGCTTTTGGATTGCTTCCATATAAGGGTCTCCCTATTGTATCTGTTAACCCAAGCATGTACTGGGACAGATCACAGTGGGGAAAGTGATGTCTCGTCCGGAGCAGGCTCATAGGTATACGTACTGGCGTGACTCGCCGACATCCAATCCCCCAACTCGGAGTAAATCCTTCCAGCAGCCTCTCATCCTTCAAAAACTCGGCCATACGCGCCTTCAACGCCTTCTGCCCTTCCTTTTGCGCGCTCGCATTCTTGAAGAAAGTTCCCCATAACCCATTGACTTGGTCCTCAATGGACTTTGCATGCTCTACGATCTGGTGCGGGTCGCGGTAGGACTGGCGTTGGTCGTCGGTATAGGCATGGTTGGCCCCGAAATTGTTGGCGATCTGGACGAACCAGACGGGCGTGCGGACGAAGACGTCGAGGTGTTGGGCGTGCGGTTGCATGGTGGGGACGGTTTGGATGGAGGAGGCGCCGGAGCCGATGACTGCGACGCGGTCGGATTTCCATTGCTCGGATTGATAGTCTGTGGGCCAGCGGGCCGTGTGTACGATCTTGCCCTTGAAGGTCTCCATACCTAGCCATTGTCAGTACTTGGATTCTGCATCAACAGCGTCGAATCGTTCACCTTCGATGTTAGGCCACTTGAAATTGTTCAGGATTCCAGTGCCGTGGAGTAGGATATGACATCGTTCATCGAAGAGTCTTGTCTGTCCTCCAGTCGTATCTTTCAACTTGATCAGCCACTCGCCAGTGTCTTCCTGCCAGTAGGCGCCGATCACTTCGGTGTTGAAATTCATGTACTTTCGTAAATCCCATACTGTCGGATCCTGTCAGCATGAATTGAGGCTGAACGGAGGTCATGGATGAGTTGATGGTAGCGAAGGCACCCATGCTGGTACCGCTTGTAACATACCTGAGCACACCTTGTCCAGATACTTCCAGATGTCAGGACTGTACGAAAAGAAGCGTGGCCAGTCCGGATTCAGAGCTATAATTCAGGATCAGCGATCATTCATTCATCTTCGAAGCTGATCCATATAGGCACGTAGGATCGGAACAACAGAATACTCACCAAAAGGGAATGTATAAGCATGAGAAGGAATGTCACAAGCAGCTCCCGGATACCTGTTCTCCAGCCATGTGCCACCAATGTCGGCATTCTTCTCGTAGATTACATGTTCCACGTTCTTCAGGTACTTCTGGATGTGGTAGGCGTTCATTATACCAGTCACTCCGGCACCTATACTCAAGACTTTGATCTTGCGAGTGTAGGGCCCGTGAAGGACGATGTCCGGGATGGTGTAATCTGCACGGCTAACGCCATTGTCTGCGTAGCCGTCAGTGGCGTGCGTGGCGAGAGGGTCGTCGTTGACCGTATTGATGTCTGGTGCCATGGCCGGGGATACCAGCGTTGCTGGGTGTACTAGGTAGGGTTCTTATGGCTCACAAGCTTGCAACTCAAGTCAATAGCAAGGAAAGATCAGACTATCCTCGAGTGACGCATCGACAATATATGATCATCCGGGGTCTCGGACGAGCTGGATGTACGGATTGTTACCAACATGATGGGGTTCACACAGTGGCCAAAGTGTGTGTTGAACAAGCACTTGGAAGTCAGATCTCCGCATGGTCATGCGAACAAGTCGGCAGACGATTCATCGATCACTGACATCGCGTCTTGACCAGGGCCAGAGCCCTCGGACTGGTACTAGGTCCAGGCGAGTCGGAGGCAGTCATATCTCAAATGAGATCGACGGTGCATGGCGGGGTAGAGGCGATGATATGCGACGCGTTCTGTTGAGCCGAGCCGAGGTTGTACTCTTTTAACAGGAACGCGTCCGCGGCAGGAAAGCGCTGGGTAACGGAATGAGGAAGGTCCCCTTTTTCATGCTTCAATGGCCACGGCCAGGCGCCATTGGCGACCATGGCCGACATATATGTGGCAATGCACTGTCCAAACAACATTCTAGCAAGCTGATGGAAGGAAACGCAGTAAGCAGCCACGACGCCTTAAAAAGAAGGCAAAATGACGTCGACATTCGCGATTTCTTGTCGACTGCACATGGTACGCTCCGTCGGATTACTACTATAATGTTACCAATGCTGCGATGTGCACTGTTTGGGGTGTCGAGGCACATGTGAGTGATGCTCTTCTGCAGGCGTGAAGCCTGCGCTTAGCTCATCCATGTCTCTGGAATTCGTTCGCCATCTTTCTTCCATCATCAAATCCTGCACCGGTCGAGATCCGACAGCTGCGTTTGCCATGGACGGTGCTGAACTGCGAATCATGGCCACCATACCGGACTTCGACGAGTTAACCGCCGACATGAGCTGTGAGCGTTCCGGAGAAGCGACCGCCAGCAAATCGTTCCATGACGAATATCAACTTCGGAGTTTGTGGGCTCGGTCAAGGACTTTGTCTCTGATCTTCGTCCACCATGAGTTACCACGACCGCCGACATCGAGCTACCCATCGTCGGGCTAGCGATAATGAGACCGCGTGGGGTCGTAAGTCCAGCGAGTGGACTCGTACAGTACAGCAGGCCATTTTCGGGCTGTTGAAGGAGGCAATCCAGTCTCTGACGGCACTCTATACATGGGACATCCTTTCAAGGTGCACAGAGGCACAGATTGTAGGAATCTTCTGCGGTATCTACCAGAAACACTCTCTCGCTCACGCAATGGCTTTGTGATTACGATGTACGGAGAGTGTAGGTACTGCCAGCATCTTTCAGACAAGCGACAATGCTGACGAGGAGGCGTACTACCAACAATCCTGTTATGGAACTCGATACAGATTCATCAAGGTGTGCGCCCACTACGTACCGAGTGCCTATGCTAAGATGTGTTAGGCCGGCCGGTTGACGTGACAGTATCGTATTCATGTTGATCCCAAGTTGGGGCTACAGTACAAGACGGTAGCGTTCAAGAAGTCGCATAGTCTAGTCACCAACGATGACCACTGCGAACAGATAACGGAGGCTGGGAATGACATTGCGTCTTTGCCTACGCTGCGAGGCACCGACCAGATGTAGCAGGGTGTAGTCAGCCTCTTGAAGCTATCTCGAGCGTGGCAACTGGAACGCGGATAGCATGTGGAAGGATGGAATCTGCCTGGCACGGGTGCGAATCGCCGCACTGGAATCGATTTTCTAGCTGAACCTTTGGGTAATTTGGTGGAAGCTGATGTTCTTTTCGTGGTTAAGTGGCTCTTGACCAGCTCGATAGGCATTGAAGGACTGGCGAGCCCGGTCTACAATGTAAGATCCGCTTGTTAACATCTGTTCTTTTCTACAGATGACGATGATACTCGAGCTTTTTGAGCAGTACGGAATACTGCACACTGAATGTGCCCTTCCGCTTCCCATCCACCCTACGGACCTGTTGATGAATGATACAGTGTCATGACTGCTGTACAATTATCCGTCTTTACATCATGACGCCAGTGCCCAGCGCGCTTTGACGAACGTGGCCTCGTTCCGAAGGCCAATCTGCTCGGCAACGCCGGGCTGCTGTTATCCGAAGACTCAGCCGATATGAGCATTCGACTTCCGCGGAAAAGGATGTCCCCACTGAATCAAAGGCTTGGCCTTCACCAGAGATCCGGCAGGCCTCGAATGCGTGGAGAGATTCAAGTATATCTGACCCGTCACGGCCATGCAATACTGCCCGTGACAACCAAAACATTTCCTTCGTCTCTGGATCTGCCTAGTGCTCAGCGCTTGCCCAAGAAGCACGAGACCACAAGCAATCCCCAAAAATCAGGACAGGAACGTACCTGCCACTTTACGTGCTTCTGCGAAGACAACATGCAATTGGGAAAGTCAGGGACATACGGTAAGTATGACTCAGGCATCTGAATGGCACAGTCGATGGCACCTCGTGAGTCACGGACTGCCAGCTCAGCCCAGAGCGCCCTGAAGCTTGCCCCATCTCTTTCCATTTGAAGCCGTGCTTGAGCTGGAATTCGTCTAGCGTGGCGCGAGGATGAGTGATGTAGACCTGGAAAGAACTCGGACCCTTGTAGTGTAGACACAGGGTGATGCAGGACCACTAGCACACAATGAAGGGAGCAACGCAGGCTCTTGCGGTGATGGGATCGAGCGATGCACGACTCTCCATGCATGACGCAAGACAGCACTGAGGACTGCGTGAGAGACCTTTCGATAGCGCAATAGACAGCGTGATAACAGGGGTCTTCCGAGGCAGCTGAAAGTATCGTGGTCTCTGATTGGTAGGAGCAAGTTGTGACTCCTGGCAGAACCATAGTCGGCGGAAAGCTTATTGCAAAGTGCTCATCTGCTCAGCTGCCAAGTCCTCCTCCGCCCTGAAGGGCGAGAGTACCTTTCCCCCTCGATGGTAAGTATAGCCCGCTCTCAGGTCTTCGGAGTCGTTCTTCATTGTTCGTGCAACACTCTAAGAACCGGGGATCAAGTACCAGGTCGCAACCCAAAATCATCGACCATATCCACGTCGACGGATCGACGATAAATAGTCCTGATCCACTCAGCGATTACATTTCAGCTTCCACAACACGACCTTAACACAGCGTCCTCGCCAACAATGGCACGAACCAGTACTCGTTCTGATTCCGCATCACCTTCTGTTTCGAGAGCTGCTTCTGCTTCGACTCCGGTCTGCTCAACGCCATACCACTGGGCTTTCACCGTCGCGCTTGGTCCCGTCAAAGGAACCGACTGCTTCGGAAGTCACGCAGAAGCAGATGCGGCATTCAATTTGTGGTTTTCGAAGAACCGGGCCAGCCTTGACCGTATGTGTGAGCTCAAGCGACAAAGAATAGAGACGGATGGTGGCGAAGACGTCCTCGTTGCGACGTACATGACGGAAGAATGGGCTTGTGTCCACGAATGCGACTGCGAGAAATGGAGGGATTCGAAAGGCATGCGAGCTCTGTTGCCGAGTCGCTCGCAACCTTATATTTCGCCCCCTTGGAGTTGCTCAAATGCGTCGACGTCTGTTTCCGTGAAGCATGACGCACAAGGTCGGGAAAGGGAGCAAGAAACCAATCTGGAGGGCGAGCAGCCGCAGATAGGTCCGGAGCACGATCAGCGGTCCATACCGCCAGTCTTCGTGCTTCCGGATCCGGCGTTACCTCTGCCATCAGCCATTCCATGCCGTGAGCAGCAGCTCATGCCGGTAACACCGCGTCTGCGTCCCGCGCAGGCCAAGAAAGTAGTCAGCCGTCGCAAGACGCTGACCATCGTCGCCGAAAGGGACGGCGAGGACTCCGTTACTGGACAATCCAACGAAAGGCGGACGACTTTTTGATTAGATAGGGTAGTCCCGGCGGATGGACTACTCCCAGCGGCATACGGCTTCCCATGGAAGACACCATCCCATGGATACGGTTGGAGGACCCGCATGAGATTGGAGGACGGAGCAGAATTGGGGTTTTCATGTCGACTGCCGTAGCTCGCTGAAAGGAGCAATTTCCTGCGACGGTGGTGACAATGTCGACAATGTCGACACGAATAACGTGTCATAACGAGCCAAGCGAAGCGCGCATTGATAACGCATTGGGACTTGTGGCGCATGTACTGGTGTACAGCGAAAAATGGAATCGAAATCTTGTTTGGAAGTCGAGGTCGAGAATCATGTCGCCTGCTTGTCCTGAACAGTGTACCTCACCTCTATCTCGGCACACTTGAGCTGCGACCCTTGCTCATCGTCTTGATCGTGCACCTCTACCTCATCGCCGCCATAATCTCCCCCGCCATCACCATGCTTCCCCTCCGCAAGTGCCCTATACTTCCTCCTCTTCTTCTTTTCACCACTCGCCTTCTTTTTCGCCTTGACCGCCTGCTTCACGGCCGGCCGGCTTCCTGCACCATTCAACGCCTCATCCACCTTATCGGCTAGTATCTGCCGTGCTATTTTGTAGTTCTGCGCTCGGGACCGTGTGGATTGATTCTTCACAACAATTCCCGTTGGGAGGTGGGTTATCTGCGCTGCCGACGCGGTCTTGTTAATGACCTGTCCGCCGGGTCCGCGGCCGAGAACGAAGTCGTGCTTGAGGTCTGAGTCGAGGAGCTGGATTCTGGGTGGGAACTGGGGTTGCTTGAGTACACAGGGAGTAGTGCTGAGGACGCGGCTTGTGGTTGCAGTGGTAGGCTTCACGCGGAGAGCGAGGATCTCTCGGAGATGTCTTGTAACGGCCGCGGTAGTATGCAGTAGGGGCATCTCATGAGAGAGCGAGATCCGGGGCGCATTCGTAGTGTGTAGGTCTTTTGATGGCCGTTGCCAGACATGTACGGAGTAAGTCATTTCCCTCACGCACTGTAGCATTCAGCGTGGGGTCCTCGTTTGCATTCGGCGTATGTGTTCCGCTCGCCAAGAAATTTTGCCGAGCCCAAATCAGACCGATCACCAAAGCCTCTCGCGACCTTCTCAACGGTGCTGCGACTCTGCCTCGCGGACAGGCATTGCAAGTCACGAGCAGGACGCATTCACTTCGCCTCAGTCACGAACAGCACGAAGCTGAGAGCAGCTAGTCGACACCCCCACTCCGAGAACGTTCTGGTCGCAACCTGTTCAGCCACAACTGAGCCCGCTCTAATCCCTCTCGCAAATATGGAATACAACAGCGCGAACAACTACAGTGTCACTTTCCAACATCAGTTTCGGAACATTCCAGCAAAAACGTTCTGGAAGAGCAGGAATATTCATTTGACGTGTAGAGCATGTTCCGGAGAACGTCGCTCTTGAGTATCTGTGGAGATATTATGCCAATTCTTCCACCTTCATCTAAGGTACTTCATAGAACGCAGACAGGCTCTCGCTCCAATAGATCCGTATGGCCCTCTTCGAAATTTTGGTTAATCGACGTTGAAATGGGTCGCCTATTCATCAGATCTCTGGATTCGGTTCCTGCTTGATATCGGGGACTTGGTTCTAGTCATGCATGTCAGTCCGAATACTCAGAAGTTGCTTTTCCTAATACTTACCAGCTGCTCTGCTTTGGCCATCAGCTCCTCGAAGTACGCCGCGAAATTTTCCTCTCTGAGAATGGCTTCGAGGTCCTCCATGATAGCAATAAGCATGTTGTTCTTCATGCTTTGCACCATGTTGCCCGTTGCACGCTGCGTGCGGTTGCCGATCGCCACATTGCCGTGCACGACGTCCGCCTCTACCACCTTCTTCACCCTTGCGCTCAAGAAGACCACAGCAGCTTCGAGAACTTGAAGCTTCGTCGCGGTTGGGCTAGACATGGTGCTTGCTTGGTTGCAGCGGTGGAGGGGTTGTTTGAGAGTTGAAAGGTGAGTCGTTGGTCGGTGTATCGATAGGTATACACAGGAAGACGTATATCCGTCCGATCTCAATTGATCTACGAGGATGACATCTACAGTGAATATAACACTAGTCACTTTTTACTCGTCTCGCTCACTTTCAGATCAATTGCAGGACTATTCTACACCCGGAATCAGTGGTTGAGATGAGGTCAAAGGTAAAGACAGGATTCAAAACACTGCACTTCACGGACTGCACTGCGAGGCGCCATTGAGGCCTCCGCTTCAAGCTGTCATTGAGTACGGCACTTCGAGCTACTAGCAGTGAATACAATCACTTCTCTCAGTGAATCTGGCATCGATCAGTCCGATCGATCTTGGTCTTTAAATATTAACTTCTCCTTCCCTCTACTTCTACTCTCTTTCATCCCCATCATATCGACAACGCCCAGTGAACGTTACAGCGCACGTTGTAGCGACATTCACAATGGCCTTCCGATCGCACGTCTTTCGCCTTATTGCTGCGCAGGAGGGTGCCAGGGCTTGCATCACCGACACAGACGACGTCGATCTGACGACAGGCGATGACGAAGAGTCACCGTTCGAAGGTTCTCAGATACCGACGAGACGGAGCAGTCATCAATCACACTCGACCACAACGATGAAGCCGCCCGGCAAGCGATTTCACCAGAGCCCGCCCCAGTCCGCCGTCGCCGTCCGCTGGCTCACGAAGACGAAGATGAGTTCGACTACCTCCCTCCTGCAAAGAGACCCAAGCCGTATTTGCGTATCCGCCCGAGCCTCTTGCTCTCATGATCGATGTCACCAAGCCCCGACATCCGTACGTCATGCCAGAGAAGGAAACTCGCCCCAATCTCGAGTATTACCACGCATTCAGAACTGAAGCTCGAAACGCGCTCGCACGTGGCACTGCGTTACCTATCCCCTCTGCACGCATAAGTCCCTTCCTGCAGAAGCTCAAGGGCAGTCTCAAGGAGTTCGACAAGATTACGAAACGCCGTGAGCATCGGGAAGCTGGAAGTCCTCCGCAGCTCCTGCTTCGAGCTCGAGACGCGCATATTTGGCACAGAGATGCAGATCAGCAAGTAAGTTTAGCCACTTTTTATAACCTCTCGGATGTATCTCGCATCATCTTCATACTTCTCGGAGAGCTGCTTCATTCTTCTCTCAGCCATCTCTGAAGTTCTCCTGGCGGCTGCTTGATGATTGTCTGGCGTCGAGTTCTCCTCCAGTTCTGCTTGAGAAGCACTCGAATTCCTGGTTCATGCTGACGAATACCGGCAGGCTCAACATGAAGACAACACCCGGCGCTATGCTGGTCATATTGTCTACTTCCAGTCGGGTCAGATCGCTAGTGAGCATCAAAAACTCCTCCATCGAAAAGGTGAACGTCAGGTCAGCGACCATAAGACTGCCTGGCGCAAGAAGTACATGGACTGGACCCGATCGACTCAACATGCCATTCTTCAGCTATTCAAGGACGCCATCGAATCTCTCACCGCCCTGTACACATGGGATGTTCTCTCTCGCTGCACACAAGCACAGATGAACGAGATCTTCGAAGGTATCTTCATGAAGCATGAGCTTGCCCATGCTATGGCGATGTTCTCACGATGTGCTGGCAGTGTTGACTTTGAAGGCATCTTCCTGAAGAGTACTATCCCTGCTGAGGAGGAGTATCGCAAGAAATTCCGTCGGGCGATCAAGTTCAGATTCATCAAGGCCTGCCAGTGGACCTGGACCTATCGTGTCAACGTGGACCAAGAACTAGAGCGGTATTACAAGGAAACTGCCTTCGAGAAGTGGCGAAACCTGGTCACAGATAATGAGGAATACCAGAAGGTGCTGGAAGGTTTCAACAACGTCGACTCTGTCCCGACCCCGTCAGATACCGACCAGGCACAAAACAACGATGGTCTCTTCAAGAGCTAGAAGTTTCCTGCCCGCGGCCTCCTGGTGGAGCCTTTTCATTTCTCGCAACATTCGATGAACGTTGAGCTCAGCGTTAGCCAGGCGTTCAAATACGACCATCGTTATTTCGTTTTCACTTTCGTAACCCGAAGTCATGGGCGGCTGGAAGGGGATTTTGGGGTGGGCTTTTTTTTCCGACTGCACAGGCATTTCGACTCAATGCCACCGAATGCAGCACGGCGGCTCAGGGCTGGATATGGTCTTCGAGGGTCCTATCACGGACACAAGCAACGACGAGCAGCGCCTGGAGTCGTGAGCGGGTGGGAGGAGGCTCCAGAAAAGCACGAAGGCAGAGCAGAATAATGCCAAGCATTGCGCCGCAGCTCGACCATTGAAAATCGAATATCATTGAGCTCGTAGCAACGTAAAGAATGGTATCTGAAAACACTCGCTTTTTCTCTCGTGCGCATGTGTGCTTGAACATGACATTGGTGCCGTACTTGCACTCATTCTGTAGACTCGTTCCGAGGATTCGCAACACCATGCGTGCATACTGAAATAAAAAAGAACTCATTGTCGTCTCTCGTGGAGCAAACTAAATCGAAGAGAATTGCCGGTTAATACGACAGCGTTGTTGAACAACGCCGTGAGAAAATGAAGAAGACAAATAATGTGCTGTACACGTGTAGGGAACATTTCCGAGATATTCGAGGTTGTGGTAACTCAGGTGTCGAGCTGAGCAGTGAGACCGGCAGTGCCATCTGCTTTATTTCGTGTAATAATGGCTTCGGTGAGTGCATTGTCGAAGAACTCGCACTCGAGCTGGGCACAGTGCCGGTGCATATGGGCGTCCCTCTGATCCCGATCCTTTGAATGCCATCTCTTCTGGCAACCGTCGAAGCCACATATATAACTATACACACGACATTGAAACTCGTCGTGGAACGTCTGGCTCACAATGGCTTCTCCACAACGCTCGCATTGCTTGTCGGCAATAGAGACGTCGAAGTCCGGAATAGTGGTAGTGTTCCGCCACTGAGCATCATCGAGTGCGAATACTTCCATTGCACCTTTGCCGATGGGCGATTTGCTGGCCTTGGCCAGCGCTGTTACTGACCATGCCTTGAGGAGGTTCTCGATCGGCCGGTCACGTGCGCCAGATGGCAGCTGGCCTTGTGTGCTGATCCACCAGATTGTGTTGACGATTTTGGCAATGTCGAAACACTGCCATCGAGAATGCTGCTTCTCTCCTGGAAGAGGGTAGTGGCCGCCTAGTTCGAAGCCGGTGTCTATCCAGAGCTTGATTGACTGGAACTTTCCAGTGTTAATGATCGGTTTGAGGGCTCGTGCCCAGCCTAGTGCGTTGGAAGACCATGAATCCATGCCAACTTGAATACAGTGCACGTTGGGACACTCAGTGTCTTTGAGGAACTCGATGCTCTGGTCATCGAGTAGCTCTTGACCCACTCGCCACCGTCCTCGGCCGGGTCGATCGGCTCTGTAGGAGCCACGCGACGGAGCGTCTAGAGGCATGATGCTGGGAATGGTCCGGATGACATGGTTGACATCTTTAGCCTTCAAGCCGTTGAGCACCTGAGCCTCGAACTTCTCGAGTAGCACGGGAGACCGCTCGTTGAACGTGTCCGTATGTCGCTCCACTTGCTCTCGGCCTTCGTTCTCGCAGCTGTACCTCATCAAAGTTATTACTGCTGTGCCGCCATTCTTCTTTGCGAGCGTGATTCTGGGCGACCGCGCCTTGACAAACGTGGCTTCTTCCTTGCGCAGTCTGATTTGCTCAGCAGCATCTGGCTGCCACTCTCCCATAAGTCGACCGATCTCAGCGTCCGACTTGCCAAGAGCGATGAACTCACGGATAAGAATGTCGTCACAAGCAGTGAAGAGATATTCTTCTCGGAACCAGCGTTTTGCCTTTGGCACAACGTGTAGGGGACGTGTCTGTGACGTTTCGTAAGTGCGCTTGGCGGTCAAGTACCCCATACTTAGAAGCCAAGGAGGTACTGGAATAGGCTGACTGACAACAGCAGACGTTCCGAGCGGAACACTCTTCTTGGCGGCTTCATCGGCGGCGACTTTGGCGAAAACGGTTTTGGCAATCTTTTGCTTGTTCTTGTACGTAAAGTTGCCGGATAGGAGTCCGGAGACACGGAGCGCGGTCATCTCATCCTCACTCAGCCGGTTTCTGAGATTGCAGACCCGGTGAAGAACTCTATCTCTGAGCTTCTTCCACCATGGCTGGCCACGCTTTGCATGACTACCAAAGAGGGTCACTGCGATCTCATCACTTGGCTTACCTTCGAAAAGGCCCTGCAATAGCACTCGGTCTTCTTCCGGTGTCCAGATATGATGATCGTCAGGATCATAGAAATCCTCTGCGCTGTAGTCGAAGTTCTTGCGGGCTGCTTCTTGTTCTGGGGTGACTAGTAATCTTTAGCAAGCACTTGATGTAGACGAAATGGCACATACCTTTAATTCTGGTCTTTGGTTGACCCCACATGTTCACCAGCGCACGAGGTAGCGAGGCGTTTGTTCCAGTAGGTGCATTGCCGTCCAATGGGTTGGCCTCGGCGATATCGAGCAGGTCTTGGTCTGTAATGCCATCTTCGAACTCAGGATCGTTCTGACTGATTGGTTCTGAGCTCAAGTCTTCCTGAGCTCCAGACTGGCGTTTCTTGCTCGCCTTTTGCCTCTCTGACCTATCAAGGCCCTCATACACGCAGGTCTTGCCATACTTCCTGCAATTTGAGCACACAGGTCTGTTGTTGTCGCATTTTTTCCTGCGACCACGGCAAAACGTGCAGGCTATTGGGACGGGTTTGCGTGGTGCGCGAGAAGTGATGGTTGTCTTGGGCGACGCCTCTGAGCCCGACGTTGTGTCCTCTGAGTCGGAGGCTTCTGTCTTCACACGCTTTGCTAGAGGATCTGCCTCGGCAAAGGATAGAGTTGTCTGGCGTTTCGACATGATTACCTTTGTATTGCTAATGGTACAAGAATAGTTGTCTTCAGGAGTACAGGTAATAGTGAGGGCAAAGAAAGGAGTCGGGTGCACGAGAAGGACTAGAACACCGTCCTGCAGGACTTACCGGAAAGACAGAGGCTGCCACCCTGGGAATCAATCATCCTGAGCAGCCAGACGCTGGATCAATGATCTTGATCTAGGACGGCGGATGAATGCCAAGTATTGCCCATCATACGCTGCTCGTCCAATGAGGGGCAGCTTGCCTCGTGGCTCGCATGGCAGATCAGAGAGTTGGCAAGTCATTAAGGTTTCTGATCCAGCGACATGCACGTTGATTAGAATGACCCCTCAACATTCACTGCACATTACCTTGACGTATTCTCGCTTCCGCAACGTTCTGCAGAACGTTCTGAGATGCATCGCGGATAGGTGTTGTATAGTTGTACTCAAGTCTGTAAAATGCTCTGAGACTTTGTCGATATATAGAACTGTAGCATGTCAGTGTAGTACTTCTTGTTGCCAGGCCAATCTGTCGTTGCTGTGCTATTGCGCCGTTGCCACCAGTACGAGGCTGCCATGTGTTGCTGCTCGCGAAATAGGCGGTTTAGAACGTGTTTGAACTTCACGATCGTGACGATCGCATGCTTGCGACACTCTTTCATCGGTCGTCGTTGTTGCTGACTGATTACTGTGCTCGATGCTAATTTTCGCTTCCTGTAGTCGTTAGATGTCTGCTCGGAGAGAAGCCAGGAGATTTGTAGTCGCCGTAAAGAACCAAGACCTAGTCGCGTTTGCAAGAGATCTCTGCTTTGAACACAAGGCTGAAGTGCGTTCGTCTGCGCTAGCTGCGGTCGTCCAGGAAACTGTCTGTCGCATGAAGATAGAGACCTGCAACCTGCGGCGCTCGGCGCCCGTGATCGATCGGTTGTGGTCCCGCCCCCTAGAGTACCGGTCAATCCAGCCAAAGCATGCCAGTAGGTCTTCGCAACTCCCGAGCCTGGTCCAGCCAGACCATATTCAGAGTCAGAAAGAGGTGGACAAGCGCAAAGAGACTGCGTCGTGTCGGCTCGCCAGGCAGAGTGCCGACTCGATGATGCTGGGTGAAGTTGAGCTATCGCATCTTCGATCGGATGCGATGGGAATTCAGCAATCGAGAGCTTCGACAGGTACGACATTCTTCCCCGCCGCCTCCGATCCAGCGCTCAGACCATGTATCACGTCTCACCAGCTGACCACAAAAGACAATGGCGAAGGCGAAGCTTGCAGCGCGGCGGTAGAGTCGCATCCTGTCCATACTGCTCCAGGAGAGAGCCGGCGGCTGAAGTGTTGGCGGGCGTCGGGTCGCAGTTCACGCAAAAGGCTAGGCCACGATGTTTCCGCAAGTGACGCTGGTCGCACTGGTGCGCGAACGGTGATACATGAGACACTTGGACCGCAGTGCGAGGGTCACCTGAAGCCACATCGTCACCGGAAACGACACCGAGCTAGACACACGTCGCGGACTCGATGTACGCAGTGTCCACAAGCAGCGAAGAGGAGAAGGGTGCAAGCCGAAGCAAAGCACATATTCACACTGCGAAATACGCTTGACGATGCTGTTATGCTGTTCCCTGGACCGACGTTTCGTACCACCTCGCATCAGGCAGCAAGTCGATCATGGCTGCAGTCGAGCATAAACAGTGAAGCTATTCTGTGTGCGACTATTCAATGGCTGTATTTTCCCAACTCCACACCGAAGCGAACGCTCCGAAGATTTCTGCATGGGCGCGTGGGGCGTTGAAAGACTACCGTCGCCGGTTTTGATGAGAAGCCTGTGAGCGGAAGCTGGCACAAGATGAGTTGGACGGATGTCAAGGATCCCAGCAATGGATGGTTAAAACTGCCAGACCTGATGAAATGGACGATGATCGATGACTCCTGGGCACGTCTCTCGGAGCGGTTCACCACTTGAGGCGCGGGTCGAAGGGCTCACCATGGCACGAATGCTGATAGCTTTGGTAGTTTCTCTTCTCAACAGCGCCCTGCATCGTCTCATTGTTCGGCTTCGACTACACTCCCCAGTCATATTGTCCTGAGCATGTGCTTTGCATTGATCCTGGGTATCGTTGATTGAGGCAACACCACGATGCAACCCTGTCTCGTGTAGTCTGGCGTACTGGAGGTCACTACTGACGCTATACAAGATATCAGATTGGTGTTTGACTCGTGGCCGAGACGATTGGGGCCAGTGCTCTTGCCTCGCGTGACGGACGGCGTTCCTTTGCTTCTCAGACCATACGAAGAACTTGGTGCAGCAGCCACTTTCCATAGGCGAACAGCTTTGGTATTGACTTTCCGCATGGAGCACAATCTGGACTGGTGTGCAGTGGAAAGAAGGGCCCTAGCCAGAATGACGACGGAGCTGGCCCAGCAGAACAATCCAAGTTATACTTGGAGTGTGCACCAGCCCTGATTCCTTCGGGCGCCGAGACCCTCGTTTGCGCCATGCCACAGACGGAAGAACGACATATCGGCTCAGCGAGGTCAATCATCATGAAGTTCGGAGTGCTATGAGGACGGCGCGGGCGGCGATGGAGCGAGGCAGATATGGTCAATGAAACAGTCTATCGATCAGGTGGAAACCAGTAGTAATCGTGCCTCTTCTGGCAGGCGACTTGTTTCTTGAGTGCAACACACTCCTTGAACAACAAAGTTGATACCCCAGCAGCTCTTACACAGCTGGATTTATGGACCAGCAACCTATTCGTGGCAGCAGAGAGGTCGTAAGAGTGTTCCAGAGTGGTTTTCAAAAGAGCTGAGTTCACGGTGAGGTGACGTTGACAGTGAGTTGCCAAGACATTGCGGACCCCTCAGGCTAAAATTTCATGGATCTATGACAAGTGTCCCGAGTCCCGACATTTCTGAGGTGCGCCTCACCCGATGCTGGTAGGTACATTCCCAAATTTATTTGGTGCTACAGTTCGTGTGAGTGTTCCCCCTTGCACCGTCAGCAGGTACAATATGTGACTGCTTCGCTGAGACGTCCCTTGTCTTTTTGTACCCTTCGAGCGACAACGACCACCCCACCAGCGACCAGGTGCAGAAAGATCGAGGAGACGAAGAAGAAGGGCTGGGACAACGTTGAGAAGGCGAATATCGCGTAACGGAAGGGTGGCGCCGAGTCAACTGAGGCTTTGATGTGTGTGTCGTGAACTATCGTCACGTCGATCAATGTCGCTTAACATGCGGGTGTCGAAAATTCACCTGCCACATGAATAGCGGGCCCTTCGCAGCATCAAACCTCTCAAGCCAGCCCAAGCTGCTGCGGAGTCATGGCTCCCTTCTTCAACAGCCCCATGACCACCGGTCCAGAGTCACTAAAGACCTGCGTCTGCTTCAACTTGAAACCCTGGCCCTCCTTTTTATAATAAAACTTGAACGCGCCAGGCAGACTCATCTCCCAACTCTCGCCTTTTCCATCCTTGACCTTTTTCTCCTCCTCTTTGCCCGGCAGGTTGATATATACAGTCGCGCACCCGATCATCTCGTAATCTCCACTATTTCCTGATTCAATAGCGATGAGGAAGAATGGCTCATGATGAAATTTGGCCAACGGAGCGTAGCTCTGGGATAGAGCGTTGAAGGCCTCTTGGGTGCCCTTTGTGGAACTACCGTTGGCCGCGACGTACTCGAAGTCCTGCAAATCTGATTAGCCTTGTGTCGGGAAACGGACGTAGGCTGGAAGATAGGATTGTGGGGCTACTTAGAGCAGCTTTCTTGTCAACCAGAGACATTTGCTCGGACAATTCTCAACGCAACGCTCGTTTCCCGATACAAGATTGACCTTGGGAGAGCAACTTACAGGAGTATGCCAGTCGTTGAGTTGAGAGCCCATCGTCTGGAGGCCGGAGTCGAGGGTGTTGGTGTAGCGCTCGAAGAACTCCATGGCGGGGTGTTTGCGGGTCTCGGCATCCCAGTCGCCGGTGTGGACGAAGGCAGGGGATGTGGGGAAGGACATGATCGTGTGAGGACTGCTGGTAGGTGATTTTGGCAAGGGAGCGGTTGCTGAAAGGTGGACCTGGGTGCTGTAGATCGCGGGAGATGGCTTTCGGTTGCGTTTTAGATGATCGATCTCGGTAGAGTCCTGCTGAGATGGGCTTTGGCAATGGCGACCGAGGTCAAGAGCGCTTCTCCTGACTGTTGAGCAAAATGGTCATCTTATAGTCCTCCTTGCGTAGAACTGCGAACTCCTCTCGAGGTCAAGTCAGCCTTTCCCACTCGCATATACCTGCTGCACCGTAGGGGAAGACTGCGCCAGCCCTAGGGCTGATGCTGAGCCACGTGAAGCCTGTACCAGCATTGTGCATTGGCGATTGGCCAAAAGCAGGTTTCACAGCCATATATTCAGCAGGCTTCGTGCAGAACACGACCAAAGCTCTGCTTTAAAGTTCGAAAACTCACCTATACCACTACTCGTGGCGCGAGCTGAAATGCACACTGCCCAGGTGGGCAATTATGAACCGCATTTAGCTGGCTGTTCATGGGGGCGTGCCGTACATCGTCATTGACTGTAATTAGTGGCTGTACGCATGAGCCATTGTTGCAGGCGAGCCGCCAGAGGGCTGAAGCACTTAGCACTGCTGGATCATTGTTAGGCTGGGCCGTGTGCCACTGTACTTAAGTGTGTATGCGTTTGGCCAGAGACCTGTCTCCTCGTACAGTACCCCCATTATCGAGGAGTCAAAACAAGCTCTCCCCACAGTATCTTGATTCTCGTGTCGACCCAGAGTCGCGGTCATGGTACCATAATGCTCGACTACCAGACAGTGATACTAGTCGACCACACTTCTTGCTTCTTTGTTGGCGTATGGCTGACAGATCCGACCATAAGCATGGGCTGGCTGATTCACGAGCGACTCGCAATGCATGAAATGCCTGCGACCGAGGGACCATGGGCATTACCAGGAGCATGCAGGCAGCTGAGGGGCTGCACGTGTTCGAAAGCCGTGGTGCCGGAAAAAGAAAGCGGTTTCGAAAAACGTGGTTCGCGCGGTGGTCTCGAACTTTCGGACCAAGTCCGTGAGACCGGATCTCCTCAAGAATGAGCAACTCGCTCTCAGGTGTTGCTTGTCACCGCTTGTCGTCGGGAGAGGGCCGATCATATCGTGCATCTGTCAAACGTAGTGCGTGCATATTTCCCTGCTCAGATCGAGCACTGTTGCGTTGTAGCGTGAGTTTCCCAGAAGTGATTTGGGCGACTCGCTCTTGCCCAGAAGAATTGTTGTTAGACGTTATTGGCAGGTGCGATGGCTTGTGGCTGGCTGACCTTAGCGCACAACGAACAAGATCTGCAGGTCAACCCTTCGCCAAATTCTAAGGGCACTCGACCAAGCGACTTCGAACCGAAAAGGACCCCGGTGTCTGCAGCTGATTCCGAAGTTCTCAATTGCCTGAGCAGAGCGCTGCGTTGAATTACTGACGAGCACAGAAACCTCGCATATGTGCTACATATGGGCTCAGTGGTAATGGTGAGGCTACATTGCGCAGCAGCGGATTGGCTTTGGTATGGCAGAAGAACATTTTTTCGTTGCACCCCGCGGAGACTTGAGGTCCAGAACCTGACCTACCAGGATGTCCCCAGACTCTCTTAAGCATGCCGGCTTGCCGATCGCTCCATTAGCCGAGCTGCTAATCCCAACCCGCATAGGCACATGTTCCTGAGGTCCTCAGGAGAGTAGTCGCCGAACGGTTGGTTGGCCGGCTCTCGTTTTACCTGAATAGTTGCCTTCCTCGTGTTCCTCTTCTTTAAACCTCGCGCCTTACACACGACCACCACAACCGTGCGGGCGAGGGGCGCTGAGATCGTGGATCAGCTGTGACATGGCGGTGTCTACCACCGGAAGTCAAGTCTCACCGTCCAAGAAGGAATCTGAGGCCAAGAAACGACCCGAACTCAAGGAGCGTCGGAAACGAAACTGCACCAAAAAGACTCGTACAGGGTGCCTCACCTGTAAACAACGGAGAGTCAAATGCGACGAACACAAGCCAGCATGCTGGAATTGCCTGAAATCCTCGGCGCGTGTGTGCGAAGGCTTTCCATTTGTCAAGCCAGACGACGTTGAGCCTGACAATGGCTTTCATGTCCGCCTCGAGACTGGGTTCAACGTGCCGGCAACGACTCCATCGAGCACATTCGGCTCTATCCAGTCACTGCTGAGTACGGACAGCAGTGCCAGCGGGACTCCAACAGGCTTGCACCTTCCGCAGCCAAGCCCTCACTGGAGAGAATCTCAGTATACACCGCCATCGTCAGCATCGAGCGGCAACTATGGCGATGAGCCGAGCTACTTCTTACACCATGCAACCAAGTACCGAAGTCCATGGACCAGCGCAGGGCCTGCTGATGGCATCTTGACAGGAACTCTATCTGACAACAATGGAGTACTCACACTGCCACCGATCATGCGAACACACTTCTCCTGGCCGAGTACCGCACAAGCAGTGGAGCAGCACAAACCATACAAAGTCCCACAAACACCAGATCTCATTTTGGACGGCCCGACTCGACCACCAGCAAGACGGACGAAGAGCGCTGAATATGTCGACAGATCTCGTCAGCCGACAAGTCAAATCGGTCTACCACTCGCTCGCACACTAGACGTCTCGCCGTTCGCCGATCATCCTCAAGCAGCGCATTCCTTCGAATTCTACATGGCCCACACCGGTGCAGCCATGGGCGCCCGCAGCTCGGAACTATTCTTCCTGTACACAATCCCTCAAGTTGCGGCACAATACGACTTCGTCCGCTATGCACTTCTAGCGACCTCCCTTGTCGACGAGTCTGTGGACGATACCTTCACGGACCAAGGTCGCCAAGGGCCCGGTATCGAATGTGTCAATTTCGAAGCACGTCGACTAAGTTTTGAGATGTACGGACGCAGTGTACGAGCACTGTGCGCCGCGCAGAGCAAACACCACGCCACCTATCGCGACACCGATAACGCCCTTGCTGCCTCCTTGATCACGTGTATACTGCTGTCTAGCTTCGAGTACTGGTTGTGGAATATTCAAAATGCCAGTCGGCATATCGACGGAGCACGAGAGCTGATTCAGAACTACGAGAAGACGTCTGCTGGACAAGAGAAACGGGCAGGCTTGTTGCAAGGCCAGGTGCTCGAGATGCTCAACACGGCGACCAGGTTTCATGAGATGAGTGTGAAATTCAAGATGCCCGCGAGCCACTGCACTGAGGGACGGACTTGGGGGCCAGAGCGGCCATTGGCCGCGGTGTAGTCCGAAAAAAGCTGGTGGTGGTAATGTTCTGCTTCTGGGATGGTAATAGTTCGTGAGCGTTCAGCAGGGCGCAAGATACCTAGGGACTTGGGGTAAGGTAATATCAGATAATGGACATTGATGGAAATCAAAACTTGCACGCCAATAGTTGTGAGTAATGCTCATTTGATCTAGTCAACAGCTGTGGTGAGTGCCAGAGTCTGCTGCAATTCTGCAATGACCTAACGTAGAGCTCGTAAAATGCCTAAGCTGTAGAAGGGACTACGAAGACCGATGAAAGGAGGTCTTTTGGCTAGCCGGTTGACCGGCGGAACACGCCGGGTTGAAGTGGGGAACCCCTGGATACGGTTGGCTGCTGCCGGGACTCGGAATCCCCAAGCATAGATCGTCAACTTACGATACGCAAGCCACCATTGTTTTCGTAGTAGATTTTTCACAGAGATGCGAATCTATCAAGACTGATGAATGGTGGCCAGAATAGCATCATGCGAAAGCTGTCTGGATACCGCTGGTTTACCACCACAGCACGCCGCCCATTATTCGTGTTGTGGGTTTCGCACTAATGATGGCCGACGTTGAAGCGCGCTCGATCCGGCGAACCAAAACAGCCTCCGTTTTGCTAGCTCCGTTGTTGCCTGGAATGCGGTCAGTCTTGAGGCGCCTGTGAATACTGCTTCGATGAATGCACACTACCTCATTCTCGTGTCGGTTGCGAGTGTCGCGTGCGTATGATCAGGTCACCATGGTCGCCTACCCGGCAATCAAAGCATCGAATGCCGCCATCGATGAGTCAACTATGCCACAAGTTGCAGTCTTCGTTGGAGGTACCTCTGGTAAGTTGACCGCCACGAACAGAAGCAGTTGAAGAGCTATCGACAATTCGCGTTGGACTTCACCTACCTACAACGTACAGGCTTCTCGTATTAAAGCATGAGGCCGATGAACGCTGACTGACGACATGGGCCACAGGCATAGGAAAGCTCACCATCAAAGCTCTTGTCGCAACCGGCCACAGCACTCGGATCTACCTCGTTGGCCGCAAGTCCTCGGAAGGACGCACGAAAGCCTTCATTGAAGAGCAGCGTAGCGTCAACCCAAAAGCAGAAATCGTCTGGATCGAAGGCGAAGTTTCCCTCTTAGCTGACACGAAACGAATATGCGACCTCATCAAATCCAAAGAAACTTGCATCGACCTGCTGTTTCTGACCGCCGGATATGCTCAATTCTGGAAGCTCGAATTGACATCAGAAGGCCACGGGATCGTACAGACCTTAGAATACTATTCCCGAATGCTCTTCGTGGAGCAGCTTCTCCCACAACTCAAACGAGCAAATGCTGGCAGGGTCATCAGTGTAGCAGGTGGAGGGTTGGAAACGACAAGAATCGACCTGGAAGACCTGGATTTGAAGAAGAACTTCAGCAGTTTCAAAGGCCAGCCTCTCTACCTCACCCAGAACTCATTGTACATGGAACAGCTTGCCGATGACAACCCAGACGTGTCGTTCATACATACCTGGCCAGGTTTTGTCGACACGGGCAACTTGTGGAGAAGTGTCGACCGTAACTCCTGGATGGGGTGGGTGTTATGGCTTACACTCCAGCCCCTCATCAGCCTTCTGACGTACACGGACGACGAAGCTGGACAAAGATACTTGTTCCAGTCGACCAGTGCAGCGTTTGGCGGGCAGGGAGTAGACTGGCATAGCAAGCCCGGCCGAAATTCGTATGACAGACAGGCCAATGGATTGTACCTTGTCAACCATAGGTGCGATTGTACGCCAAATGCCAAGACGATGGCAACATTGCGCAAGGAGGCTAGAGGCAAGAACTGGGCTCATACACAATCGGTGCTGGGGCCATATCTTTGATCCATGAAGTCGGTATCTGTTCCGGACAATGAGTTGGCACAACGCCTATCTGGAGGCATTTGGACTGCTCCAGGGAGCGAGGCGCGTCTTCAAGGATGTCGAATGTTTAGCCGGGCGATGTTCTTACAATGTTCCTTAATATCTAAACCCATCGTGATCGAGGAATCCTGTGGGTGTGGTATCCAACTCGACGCCAAACGGACATACAAACCACGTCATCGGAAGTGGTACCTAGGTAGTCACGTTTTTGTATACTTCAACACCCTCTGATAGTCAAGTCAGGTCTTGTGACACTGTGCAATGATCCGCTCGACCATACGAGGGTAGCCGCACGTTAGTAAGGCAAAATCTCGTCACTGCCACTTTCCCAACGCCACGCCCGCGATCGCCACAGTCTGAGGCGCCAAGCGAGTGACGTAGCTTTGCTCTGGAACTTGAATCCAACCATTCACAACAGACGTACTTTCTTGCTTCCATCGATCAACCTGTCAGATCAAGATCGACCACTCACCATCCGCATGATGTTTCCGTTGAGTTTTCCAGATCTGACCACAAGCGAGACATTCGCGAGAACTTTGTCATGACCTCGGATACCTCGTGCCTGTGCGTGAGCAACGACGAAGGGTGGGCGCGAGAAGACGCGGTGCAAGAACGACTCACCTTCGTCAATGACGAGTTCGAAGTCCAGGCCAAATTTTCTCCGATCGGTCTCGCGCCGCGATTTAGGTCCTTTCAGCTGCACCAAAATCATGCAAGGAAGGTTTCCTATTTGTGCATTTCGCCTCCAAAGATGTAACGGAGAACTGGGGTTGGCCTTCACAAGAACGTGCCACTTCCGGTCCCCTGTCATGTCAGGCGTTTTCTTTCACACCTTCGATCTCGATCTCGTGGTCGAATCTGTTCCGTCCAACAAAGCACGGTCAGATCTTGTACTAACGACCTTTTCTTTCTTTTTACTTCTGTCATTCCGAAAAACCTTAGCACAAGTCACCTGCCCCAGAGTATTCCCCTCGGTTTTACCTTCGTCATTACTCCAGGCTCACCCTGCAGATGATCGATGCCGGTAAATTGACGACCTGCATGCTTCTCTGTTCTGTATAATAGCGCTTGTGCCACATTTGAGAGACTGCTGTGCCACACCAAGATCTGAAACCACCCGTCGATTCAACAACCTCTGTACTACAGCCGTTAATACCGCTGCAAACATCCCACGCGACATCAAAGCCGCTGAACTCAACAAACACACCTCGACCACCGTCGGCCAGTACATCTACCGCCTCAAGGCGCCAGTGCAGTCAACACAGCCGAGGCATCGACGGGCCTAAAAACCGCATATACATCACTCCACAACCACCACAACCTCATAGCCGGTCTGGTACATACATCACAAGCCAGCATGCCCTCAAAACAATCCTCAATAACAACCCCTGACTCCCTGCCACACAGCCGCATGATTCGCTTTCCAACATTCAAGGACACACCACCACAATGCGCAGCCGACTCGTTACGGCATATCCTCGCCAAGTGCCAGTACACATCGCAACACACGTCCTCAGAACGAAGGTCGAGTTCAACAAGTTCGTCGAGCACTAGCACCAGCGCCGCTAGCAGTCCAAGCACGAGCCGGAGGGGTAGTCCTACGGGGACAGGCATTATAGACACGGCGAGTTTGAGGAGCGAGAGGAGTGGGGAGAGTGTTGTGTCTGTGAAGACGGGGAAGGAGGCATTGCGGTGACCTTTAGGCTCTGGACAGCGGTGGAAAGGTGGGTCCAGCAGCTATGGCCAAGCGCTGGACAACTTGCCTCACAGCCATACCGACACAACCGACGGACGACGTCCCAAGCATCCTTGCCCCTACGAGCTAGACGAATGGCATGCTGTCACCAACGTCTGATTGTCAGCATCTCCCCCGACCACCGACAACGCATGACCCCATCTGGCGTTTCTGGGCATTTCGCATTTTATACCACACCGGCTTTCACAAGCTGTGATCAGAGGGAGGAGTGATTGACTGATACTTCGTAGCACCATCTATGCATTAGTGTTAAGCACGCTACCACATTATACGCTGTCCCAATTTCCTGCACGTCCGTTCTCGAATCTAGTATCTTTAAGTGGACTGCACCTGCCGATTCTTCACTGGCTTCGCTTTCACACCTCGTCAATCCTCATGCAACCAGTAGTGGTTGTATCCTAGCCGAGTTAGTGAAGCGATCGTTTCGCTCTGCGTCGGACGTCCACCTCGCGGAGAGGTATAAGTAGCTGTCTTGTCCTCGTTGTCATCCTCTCCTCTTCTGCAACCATGCTGATGATTCCGGTGACGCATTGTCATGCCTTGTTAGCACCTACTGCTGACTGGTGGGACGAGTGCCTTCATGTTATGTAGAGTTCCCTCTTGAGACCATGTTCAAGAATGTCTTCGTCCAGCTTGAAATGACACCGCTTGCCATGTATCGGACTCTGTGCTAGTGCGGCCGTCTTCCCAAGGCTGCTGGCACACCAATGGAACCTACCTCTAGAAACAAAAGGCAAAAAGCGATAGCAGCACCTAGAATCGAACTAGGATCTTCTTCATGGGAGGATCACCACCTCACCAGATCCGTTAGGACCTGGCTCGTGGTTGCTTCACAAGCTATGGACCCTCGCCGATGTGCTCGCCGTTGCACCATGCTGCTGAAATGGACGAGAAATCGTGAAGTTGTTGATGGGCAAATTCTGAGAGAAGTAAGTATATAGACCTTTCCCCAGTGAAGAATGCTAGTTGTGTCACTGCTCAGACAGTGTCCACCGGCCTATCACCGGCTTAGGTCGCGCCCAGCGCCAGCGACTATAGGACCTGAACAGCAGCAAAATCAAAAAGCAAAAAGGACAAAGCCATAGCAGCACCCAGAATCGAACTAGGATCTTCTTCAGCGAGTGGTGGCGTCAGGTCCATCAGAACCCTCAGCTCATCATGGCCGAAGCCTAAGGGGGGCCTCGCTGAGATGTGCTTGCCGTTGCACCATGCTGCTGAAAGGTTACATGGAGATGACACAGGTGTTTGATGGGCCAGATTTGAGGCATTGAAACATATATACTTTTCCTCGGTAAAGACCATCAATTGTATCGGCTGTTCGATGACGGGCGAGTGAGTCCGGAAGTCGAGATGGACAGACATGGGCGACAGGTGCGATGCTGATCAAACAGAGGTAGGACAAACCAAAGCTCGAATAGGTCGTTCTCCTATCTCGATACGAAATCTGCCATTGACACGACCGCTCACTTCATCTTTAGCCATTACCTCGCCCTTCCAAAGTCCTAAGCGCCGACTTTCGACTCAACCTCCTTAGCCTCCTCCTTAGCCTTCGCCTCAACCTTCTTTCCATCTCCCTTGATCGTAGCCCACATAGACGAGAACGCCGCGCCAGTCGAGCCCTCTACCTCCTTCCGGTACAAGAAAATTCGGGATGTCTGTACGAGGCCCACGAGGAAGAGGCAGAAGTTCACGCCAGCGAGACTGTTGAAATGCTTATTAGTATGGCCGAAAGGAAGCCGAACCCGACGATCGATATAGGCTGGAGGACTTGAAGCACTTACAGCATGTTCTTGGGCCGAATAACGAAACACCATCTTGTCCAGATCGAGCCAGTCGCAAGAAGAGCCATATTCTGCGTCAAGCTCAACTTCTCCGCCGGGCGCAAGAAATCGCTCGCACCAGCAGCCACAACACCCCACTTCATCACCGGCGCCCAAAAGTGCACGGTTTTGGGTCCGATTTCGCTGTTCCAAAAGCTGGGTTTTGGCGCTGCTGCTCCATCGATGGCGGCTGCGTTGACCCCGGCCGTGGTTTGATGTCGCTTGAAGGTGCGCGCGAAGGTCTGGCGGGCTTGCGCGAAGAAGCGCAGGCCTGCTCGCGGGGTGGCCATCTTGTGTAGAGGGTGGTATATGGCCGGTCGGCGGTAGAGCGGATTGTTGGGGAGGACCGCCGCTAGCTCTCGCACGGTTGGGGAGTACGGTCGACGACGGCGCTGGTGAGTCGTAGAGTATGACAGTCGGCAGCAACGATTGTGCTGGCTGCCCTTGTCTGATCTATGTGAGGCAGATTAGAAATGTAGAGCGAGGCCGGGTGTGAGGAGTTGTGAGTCGTGAGGAGCAGTTCGGGTAATCGTTAACTTTCGCCCGGATATAGAAACCATAAATCCGCGCCAGCTCTTTCCCCAGATCAACTTCAATGCACTAGAAGACGCTGCAATGCTCGGGGACGCACACTGGCGGGACTGATAGAGCATTGCGGGCTTCGAAGACTCCAAATTGTCCGGCACAGCTCGCCATGGCTGCACGATACGCCTTCGGCAGCACTCTGCGCGAGGTGCGCTTCCATCTCTGCTCCTCTTCACAAGCTAGCGATGCGGCGAGGTACGGGACCTGTACATGCCTTTTTGCGAACGGCGGAGCTAACATATGGGTCGCAGAACATTCATCAAGCGCGCATACCCTACGATGAAGAAGCACAACCCAGAGACACCCATCCTCATACGAGAAGCTACGGGTGTGGCACCGAAAGTTTGGGCAAGATATGGTGAGGCACACTGAAGCACGTATACCTGGACAACGACTGATCTGTGGCCAGCGAAAGGAGTTGAGCGGTCAGAGGAGCTGTCAGGTGAGTTCTTGAGCCGATTCCTTGAGCCTCTAGCTAACCAGGACAGGTCTGAGTGACAAGGAAATCGAGGACAAAGTTTCAACATTAGTCAAAGCGGAGTCATAGCCATGGTCACGCTGGACCAAAATGTACAAAAACGACTTCTCTGGAAGGCCCATCAAGCCTGAACCTCACCAAACCGATACTGCGCCCAAGACATCGACCCCTCGGGTAACGTCCACAACTGCTTCCCTCTATCACCCCCCGCGGCCCCAACACCAATATGAATCGGCAACAAATGCTCAAAAGTAGGATGTGCCTGCCTCGCATCCCTCCTCTTCAACAATCCCTTCATCTCCTCATCCCTCTCACTCCCCGGCTCCGTCTCCACCGCCTCCCTCAACGCCTCATCAAACGACTTCGCATACGGCATTGTCCCACCCCCGCCCCTCACCCGCATGAAATCCCTCAAATTATGCACCGCCATCCCACTCACAACCACCACCACATTCTCCTCTCTCAACTTCTGCACCGCCCTTCCCAACCTGATATGTCCCTCCGCATCAGCCTCGTCCTCCAACAAACTGACCTGCACGATCGGCACGCCCACGGGATTCTTCTCCGGATCAAACATGATCTTAAACGGCACAAACACGCCATGATCCAAGCCCCTCTCCTCTTCCACAACCTCAAACCCTCCCTCCTTCAACAATCCCCCCACCCGCTGCGCCACCTCCTTCGAGCCCCGATTCGGGAATTTCTCCGCATAGTAGTGCCGCGGAAACCCGTAGAAATCGTATAGCAGCGGCTCTGACTCGGAGTAGTTGATCTCAATCGTGTTGGGTGGGCCGCGGGAAGCCTGCCAGTGCGCGGAGAAGACGACGATGGCAGAGGGACGGACTTTTTGGGTGATTTCGGCGCCGATGGCTTGCAGGCGGGGAAAGACTGGGTGGCTGGTGTCGTACATTGTGGTGGGGCCGCCGTGGGAGACGAAGTAGACTGGTGTGCGGCGTTTTGGTGGTGTGGTAGACATTTTGCTGTGCAGGATGGCTGACAGTGCCGTACGAGTTGGGAGCTTGTACGTGATGCTGCGGATGAATGCCAGGTTTGGCAGAATGAGTGCTGTTATTGATAGCAGTATGCTGAGTACGGTAATTAATGTTGTGGATCTATGCATTCAAGATGCTCTAGGATCCACGTCCCTTTATAGTCCTGATCAGAAGAGTTTCTTGATGTTGTAAGCAAGCACGCAACAGTCCACGAGACGGAAGGTGCACCTCGACGAATTGTCGGGATGTTGCCTTATTTAGGCGAATTCTTAAGCAGGTCATTCAGTGGGGAGGAACGGGATCTGTTCCGCGCTACTGATCAGCATTGGGACGTGTATGAATCAGCTTGCTTCACTTCACACTCTGACCATTTCGCTTCAAGCTCCTTCAGTACCGAATCTCGTGTGCTTCCACTCGGACGTCTCGGAGTCTCGGGTCCGAATTGTGCAGTGGGAGAGATCGAGGACAGAGTCGACATGCTCATGCTCACCCCTTTTCTGCCCTGGTGCGCTTGCCTCCAGGAGCCTCTGCCTGAGGTTGCTGGCAGCAATATGGTCTCAGCAACTGCCAGTAGTTACATCGACGCTACTGAACTGTCGTGTCTCTGATCCTGAGGCCTTCGAGGCTATGACCAACGATGTCTCATCCGACGATGGAGGCACCCGAACAGCTTCGATCTGTAGTCACAACTACCTTGAGTCGCAAGCCACATGCTTCTCTTGAGTATCGGTAGGTATGGCCCTCACCTCACTCTCAGACGCAATGCAGGCACCTCAAGCCCCTCATCTCCTTCAGGTATATTTGCATTCACTCCCATTCGGCCAGTCACTGATGCCTATGAGCACTACTTACACATCTGCTTCGTTCTATATGACTTCTCGCCCTCTGCACATCTCCCTTCGCACATAGTGTCCGAGTTCTCCGACTTCCAAATCACACGAGCAAAGCTCTGATTTGCTCAGCTCCTTCCCGACTGACTGATCTCGATTCCTCCAGAGTTCGAACGGTTTCAAGACTGATCTGCCAGGCTCTGAAACTCGCACACAGCGAAAGGTGGTAAGATGTCGTCGCCTTGGGAGCGGCCGTTAGAGGCTTTGGAACACACCATAGGAGGTACACGTACTCTGCTGACTCGTATGGGCAACCTATCATCGACAACCAGCCGCGACAAATCCAGGATCAATGAGTTGGAACCCCAGCTGAATGAACACTTCCAAGCCGTCAAGAACGTCCTTGAGACGGACCTCTCAGGAACCCTTTCTTTGCCCACACCCACATCAGATCCAAACGTGGACCCGACTCGAAGTACAGATGATATCAAAGCGATCAAACATCTGCAGGGCTGCCTGAACAACGCCAAGAAGCAGATCAAGGACCTCAAAAGTATCTCAACACTGCATCTCGGCGCAGTCAAGCGACAGAAACAGGAATATGATAGTCTGCTTCGACACTTAACTGGTGTTGAGACGATCCTTCACTCTAAATCGCCCGAGGAGGTTGGCAGAGCACAGGAAATCGAAAGATAAGGAGGAGGCACAGAAGAGTTCCGAATGTATTGCCGACCTCAACAACAGGCTCGCTGAGAAGGAAGGCATTATTACGGCGCTTCAGAGTGGTCAAGACGGGTTCGAATTTGAGGACGAGGAGAATCAAGGGACTTCGGGGCAGAGCCATCAGCAGGTTGCGATGGAGGCTCTGAAGGAACTGGATGATGCAAAGTCGGCGGCGCAGCAGAAAGATCTTCACATTAAGCAGCTGGAGCAGGCTCAGCGAGCGACAAGCGACAAGAACGAGAAGCTCAAAGCCGAGGTCCTGAAGAAAGACAGCCACATTAGGGAGCTTCAGCAGACGCAGCAAGAGGTGATCGATGAGAACGATGAGCTCAAACTGAAGGGCCGGAAAAAGAACGCCCACATCAAGAAGCTAGAACAAACACAGCAAGCGATGAGCGAAGAGATCGGGACGCTCAAAGCCGAAGTCCTGGAGAAAGACACCCACATCGAACAGATCCAACAGAACCAGCCAGTGGTAAGCGATGAGAACGAGAAGCTTAGAGCCGACAGCTCGGAGAAAGATCTTCGCATCAAGGAACTCGAACAGAGCCAACAAGCGACGAGCGAAGACAACGCCAAGCTCAGGGCTGACATCCTCAAGAAAGACCAGCAGCTCGGCAAGGTCAAAGAGCACGGCACCAAGCACACCGGCAGCAACATCCCTAAGTACGTTGCCACGATGACGAAGGACTTCGCCGACGTACCAGAAGCCGAAAAGGCCGAACTGGTAGTGCAGCTGGTCGGAGATGCTGAAGCCGAGGAGGGAGAAGGTCGACTCTTGCAAAGATGGCTCAAGAAAACGCTGAAGCGTTCTGCTAGCAAGGTCTGCAAAGCTTGCACCAAGCACGAATTTAATAGTGACAAGCTGGAGAATCAGCTGGCCGAGTCAAAGCAGGAGATCCAATATCTATGGCGCCAAATGATCCGGCTGAGGGCATCAGCTGATCGCAGTTCCGTCGAACCAGCCAGCAAGCGACCTAGAACGGAATGATGTCTTTGCCGCACAAGCCCGTGCGAGTTCTCAAACCGAGACGATGCCTTCGTCGCTGGACGTGCCCGCCCTTCGAGTCTACCTGCTCCCGTCCTGGGACAAATGGGCAAGGGTCTCAATGCAGCGCATACGGGCAGGAGTGCGTGAAGCACACGTTCGCCACGGTCTCGAAGGTCTGGAGCAAGAAGTAATTGGAGGTCGAACTATTCCAGCATATGCCGTTGCTGCTATGGCTACAGTGAAACCTCAGAGCATGTCAGATCATCCACATCTAATCAATATTAGCCATACTGATCCAGTCCTCAAAGCAGGCAATTCCGTTGAGCACTTAGCTGGAATACCAAGCGAAATTCCCGCGAGCACCCTGATTTCGACCTTCGTTCTCATACAATGCCTTCGCCATCTCCGCCCTTCCGTATCTTGTGCATTCATCCGTTCCGAATCGCCTCGACCTTCGCTCCTCAGCACGACACGGCCTGGCATACTGCAAGTCTTGACGGCTTGATCTTTCGTAAGTATTGTACGACCTGGGCCTCTTTGCTGATGCACTTAAGGTAGACTTAGCTCAATCTAGCAAGGTAGGGTCGGCAAACGGCGCCTCTCCAGTTCCGAGGCCACTTGTCACCCAGAGGAAGCCATTTCAGAACAAAGCCTTCACGTGAGCAAGTGTCACCGTTCGGTGGGGCATTGTTGCCTAGAGCGCTCTGTCTGTTGATGTCTTCCCTTCAAGCTTGCAACGCCACCAGCCACTGTCTCTCCATTACACGATACCACCTTCTGAATCTACGACAGAAATCCTGGCACGCATATGACGATGGCCTTTCAACGTTTGTCGCTCCTCACCAAAGCATCGACTCCTAGAAGTCTCGCCTTACTCAAAACTCCAGGCCATTTGAGGTGTGGCCCGCAAGTGCGCAGCATGAACATCACCTCGACCCAGCCATTGGAGCCCGATTTAGCAGAATGGTACTGGTCCACACCAGGTTCACAACGTCGCATTGGATTCAGAGAATGTGCAAGTCTCGCTTTCAGGCTCCGCAAATTCCCCTGCGAACTGAAAAAGGTATACGAGAAGGAGAACGATCACTATGAACCAGCCGACGTCCTAGAGATATACAACCAGATCCAGAAGCTCGAGCACGCGCTTCATGCCTACTGCAGGGGCACGAGTCGGGATGATCTCCTCGAGGATGCACGCGTCGCGCTGATGGAAGGCGACATCAAAGCCGCGTTGGTAAAGACCTCAAATCTGCAGGAAAAGCACTACGAGGCAACGACAGCCCTCAGAAGCAAGGTTCAAGAGATCAAAGAGATCAGAGCACAGCTTGTGCAGACAGAAGGTGCCCCTGGTGATCCTATCCCCGAGGTCGAAGTAAAGAAGGAGAGGAGTGAGGTCCGCGAAGAAGCTTCGCGGCCTCGCCCGGGCACTGGGCCTGCAGAAGGCGCCGCGATGAAGGTATTGGCTGAGCATCATATGTCTGACGAAGCGGTCCGAGCATTGATTCAAGCCGGGGCTGACAAGATCCGATCCGTGATCCAAGTCGACCTTGACAAGCTCCAAGCCGAGACTGACAAGAGAGTCCAGTCGGATGCGCGTCTTCAGGAACAAGTACGAGAGCTTCGCCGTAGTCTAGATGCTGGATCACACGAGAACCTGTCATCATGCCCAGCCGGTCCCAGCGTCAAGCCCTGACTCGAAGGAGGTTGTCTCGAAGGAGGAGGTTTTCGACCACACTTCCGGCATCGAGGCCCTTAAGCAAGAATGAGCGACATCGACAAAGATGTGCGAGTTTCGCGAGCAGCTACACACATCGTTGAGTGGCTCTAACGACTGGTCAGAGCGATCTAAGACCAGGGATTCGAAGCGGATGGCTATCGAAGGCGAATGTATCTGAGAAAGTCGCACCTCTGCCTCGGCCGTACAGTACTCCTCCATGGGTTTGAGCAGTCAAGGCTATCTCAGGACGATGCCATCTCAGAACGAACGCAGCCCAGATCAGATCATGTCTCTAGAAAACAGAGCTGCTAGCATCAGATCGAAGCGAGCCGATTCGTGGCGGAAGCAACTTAAACCGTACGCAACCAAAGCATAATGCTGCGTCTTCAGGTAGCAAGTAGGCACAGGCACAACCAGCAATTCTCCATTCCCTTCTCATGGTACACTTCCCACAGCCGAGCCTCCTCGATCTCTCGTCGCTCATGCTACCTCGAGCGAAGCGATGAATCTCTCACCGTAAGCCAGGTCTCGTGGTCCAAAAGAGTCCTCCATCGGCGTTATGCCAAGTTTGACCCAGCTCTAGTCTGGCAACCTCGAGAAACGTGCCCTCGGTCCCAACACCCTTGCTAGCTAAAACCGTGCCGCCACCCGCAAACGATCGATTTGACGTAGCCGGATCGAACCTCCATTGAGTGCCAATATTCTTAGCTAGAGAGCTCTTTATAAATTTCGACTTCATGTCATAGGTATGGCATGTTTACATGCATCCTGGCCGCAGGCTCCACAAGCGCGTCTGCTCTTGACATTATCCTCATACTCGATGCGCATATTAGAGAGACAGAAGACTAAATCTGTTCATGTTGCAGGCATGTCCATTGGGACAGGCTGCCTAAGCCCACCCACGCACGCTCGATGCTCGACAATAGCCTTTGACATAGCGTATGGGCTCGAAGCCTTTGTACTCCCTGATGTTAGAAATACTCTTCTCCGCCCAGCTTTGGTCGCCCTCGAGGTACTCATCAAGCTTGCCACTCAAGCGACAATTGCCCATCAGGTAAGGCCAGAAGAAGTCCGTGAACCAGACAAGTACCGAGGTCAGGAGATCATCGTGTGAGTGTACATGCTCGAAGAAGATGAGTTCGCCACCAGGCTTGAGAAGTCGATGGACAAGATTGATCGTGGCTTTCAGTTCTTCTGGTGGTGCTGAGCAAAGGCTTTTGACTGTGACGATCGTGTCGAAGAGGCCGTCGTTGGGAATCCTCTCGTCCTTGATGAGCCCTTGTCGTACCAGTGCCGGAAGGAGGGACGTGGGTTGAGCACCGCAAGTGAGGACTGTGTACTGTTCTAGACCAGCGGCGGCACAGTTCTTTTGCAGCTTGGTATGGAGGTTTTCATTGGGCTCAGCGCCGTATAGGTGAGTGATCTGTTCTGGTCTGTAGTGTCGTGCTTCTGGACTTCTTGTCAGTTATCGACATCACCCGTAGGTAGATTCTGATGCATCAGATAGACGATATTCTGAAGCGCTTACTTACGATCACCAGTCCCAGGACCAAATTCGAGAACGGTTCCTCTTGCTCTTCCGAGCAGGGCTGAGATGTAAGGTTCTTGATATGGCACGGCGGCCATCATAGGGCCAATCTTAGCCCATAGTCGCGAGAACCATAGTTTCCGGAATTCCTCTAGGTCGAGTTTGTACTTGAAGAAGTCAAAGATCAAGGCGATCAAGAAGAATTTGATCGATTGAGATATCAGCCATGCGGGTTCCATGTAGGATACCAGACGAGCTTTGATGGGAGCCATATTGCTGAGCGCGGAAAGTGAGAGTCAGTGAAGCTGTACAAACTTTATCGATGCCGACGAAGGACTGGACTGGGAGCGACGTGGCAGGACAATCGCCTGGTCAGCGTCAAAGCCAGAGCCCTGAGACTCGATATACTGGATATCACTATGGTGCGTACTCAGGGAGGCCTTTGCAGCAGGTACAATATGGTCAAGGGAAGCAAAAGGTGAGAGTAAAGCAGTGGAAACAAGGAACAGACTGAGTTCAAGCGGGAGGAGCTCTTTCTCGTATTTGCCTCGGGCTAGATCGTGCCTACCCGTGGCAATGCGGCGGAGCTGAGCAAAGTTGCCTGTGCATCTCGTGATGGTCGTCCGAAGACTGGCTCGACTTGTCTCTGACAGCCGCCATACCTGAGCGGGCGGTGAAGCTTTCCACGTGAGGTGAAGAAGTCTGTTATCGAAGGTGCGTGGTCGAAACACAGGGCTTGATTAGGCTTGGCGTTGCGATAAGCGAGTGACGAGTGCCTGAAGAAGGCGCCGGAAGGCAGCAACGGTGGGCGCTGCCTAAATCCAGGGTTTGCCAGGCTGTACTGTGCTTCGTACGGGCATGTACTTGACGTTCTCCGGTCGATCGATTTCTCGGGCAGGGAGGGCGCTGTGAGTCTGGAACTTTTTGATTTTGGTTCTATCTACCTATCTAGAGCTTTCATGGGCTCAATGTCGGCCCATATTCACCAGGACAATGCTGAACATCTAGTGACTGTGCTGGACACGATCTTCACTGCCGCGAGGCACGTACTTGACTGGCACCAGAACGACTACCCAGCCAGGTTTCACGTCAGAAGGGCCCTGCGTAACTTCTTGTTTTTGATCCTCAGAAGAAAGGGCCGGTCAAGGTGCCCTTCCACCATGCGTTCACCTAGCCCGCCATATAGGTGCTCAAAACACGTTTCGCATCCTCACTGAGTCCCTCGGCTGACTTGCTGATTCGGCCCGCATGCCGTCTGTCAGCATCAGCAAGATAGCCGCCTACCCAGTGGCGCAAGTCGCCAATTTCTGGGAAGGGGTCCACAATCGGTTTTCTGATGGTGTTCAAGCTCGTGAAACCCACACCGAAGCTGGAATCCTCAACGTCTTGTTCATGGACCAGGTCATCCTTTGGAGGAGGTACGGGAGGATTTTCCAGCAGCTTGAGTAACGTGTTACACGTCAAGGCCCAGCCTTTCGGGTAACGCTGCACGAAGGCCTCGCTGTCTGCGAGACTCTTTGTGAGGGACACCGCTGCAATCTTGCGGTCTATTGGCCGAGCGAGCTCCTGGGTCTTGGGGAGGATGATGGAGAGGTACAGGCCGCGGAAGATATCTTGGTTCTGTACTTTGTCCGTGGCAGCGATGAAGAAGTCCGCACCAAGACCTTTGTCATCTCGTGAGGCAACGAAGTGGTAGAGACGTACAAATCGCGACGTAAAAGCCACAGAAGGGTTCTTTTGCAGGCGAGTGAAGATGATGTTTAGTATTGGGACCCAATAGTTCTCGAGCGCGGCGGGTGAGAAGTTGGCAATGGCGATCTCGAGGAGCTCGAAAGCGTAAGCTTCAAAGTTCTTGGAAGCGATCAGCTTCTGGAAGATGCCGAGTACGTTTTCGATCTGGCCGCTGGCTTGCATATCGGCGGCGGACCGCATGATCAGTGCGCTGAGCATACGGACGAGGGCAGGAACATTGCCACGCTGTTCCCACAGTGCTGGAGCGAGGATTGGAGCAATCAGCGGCTGAAGCATGTCGGGTAGCGGTTTGTCCGGCTCGGCTTCGACGATGGCGGCAAGGAGTTGGAACACATAAGGCGTGAATTCTTCCACACCGTTCCGGAGGACGTCGGTAAACGGATTGAAGAGAGTCTTGATGAGCTTGTCATAGTCCTCGCTGTTGGCGAATCGGACGACGGCGCCCAGAGATTCGAAGTGGTAGTAGTAGAATTTCGGGTTCGAGGGATTGGTTGAGATGATGCGTGTGATGCTGGCCAGGTGGTTGAGAGTAGACTCGAAGACTGCAGGAACGCGATTTCGGATGACTATAAGGACTCGCATGATACAGCGCATGAGGAACTCGTTCTCTTGCACTTTTTGCGGTGCTGGATCGCGCTCAATGAGGCTGAAGAGATGTTCGAGAAGATCTTTGGCCAGAGGCGCGATGTTAGCCGGCTCGATCACTGGCTGCCCATCTTGGCCATACATGGCAAGAACGCGTTCCACCGTGACAGCTGCATATGTGTAGACGCAGTAGTTGCTGTTCCCTAGATGATTGACAAGCATTGACATGACCTGTTGCCACTGCTCGCGAGTAATGATACTTCTGAAGACGTAGAGATATTTGATGGCATCCACCGACAGAAGTGGATGTGCGTTCTGGTCTTGGAGATCTCCAGCTAGATTTCTCGAGAAGAAGTCGCCGATGTCGAGCGTCTCGTTGGTTTTTGTAACGCCGTGAGTCGATGTTGCCTGTCCCTTAGCAGCTGTAGCGTAGAACAAATTGGTCGCGGTATCCTTTGATCGCCAATTCTCTGCAGGATTCTTAGTATAGTCCTCGAGACATTTTCCAATGACATTCATCGTGATCTGAGTGACCGATGTCTCGAACACATCGCTGAGTTGGCGCAAGAAGTCTGAAGCTGCTCTTCTCCGGGTCTCGCTGTCTGAGCCTTCTAGATCTCGCCGGATGAATTCGATTGGTTCGTCCTCGAACATTTCTATGTCGGAATCTCGTAGGGCCACATTGGGAAGTATGACTTTCTCCACGATCTGGGACTGGATGCTTGCGTCACTGAAGACCTGCGCTTGGCTGTTGATACGGCAGACCGACGTCAGGAACAGTAAAGCTTTGCTGACCAGGATGTCGTTCTTTGAATCGGCGCTTGTCGTCGTCAGGAGCGTCCACGAGCTTGAGACGAAACCAGGAATCTGGCCCGAGAAATCCTCATAGTACTTGGTCGTGAACAAAGTGAGCACCTCGAACACGTTTGCCTTAACGTTTTCCAATGGACCAGTCTCCGACTCGTCATCGGTCTGTAGCAAGGTATTGTCGTATGTGAGATATTTGAGGAGGATAGAACCAATGCCAGCCAGGTTGTCTTCGAAAACAGGCGACAGATCGTGACACGAGAGGTCGTAAAAGATCATGAGAATGAGATCAAGCTCGGTGAATGCTTTGGTCAGGTTCGCTTTGTCATTGCTATGGGCCTCGATATAGGCATCCAAGCTCTGCCACACGCTCAGAAAAGGTGCAGCAAACTTGCTCAGCACGTGGTTGATCTCTGTGTACAGCTCGTCGGATCTGAACAAAGGTCTCCAACGCCCAAAGATGGAATGCGCAACCTGGAGTACACCAATGTTGACAGTCAGATCCTCTGGCTTCAGGCGTGACACCAAGTCGTCGACGAGTGTTTCCCATCGCTCCCAGAAATCGCTGTCCGCGATGACACTTATGGCTTCACCCAATTGTGTCTGTATACCAGCCGGGACGTTGGTCATGAGACCAATGATCTCTGTTTTGATTGATGTGACATCTTGAGGTGCGAGCTTGTAGTTACCCTCCACATCGGTCCAATTCCGCTTGATGAAGTTCTTGAAGAAGAGGGCGCTGGCGAGTCGGGTATTGTAGGAGAAGGCATCGGTCGCAGTGATCTGAAGTAGCTTGAGAGCGAAGCCGGGCTGCTTTTCTTCGGCGCGGATCTTAAGCTCGGACTCTTTATTGGTGCGCGGATCCAAGCTGGCATCCAGCAACTGCGCCAAAGTATCGAGCGACGCATGATCAGCAGTTCATGGTCTTACTGAGAACCCCTCGGCCGCTGCGGAAGGAACGACAGTTGGTCTCCTAGTAGATTGTACAGAACGCAGCAGGCAGGAAATCAGCCAAAACACAAAGCAATGAGGTAGAAGGCAACCGCAAGTGAACGACGTACTTGAAACGGCAAACTGTTGTCACTGCACTACCCGAATTCGTGGACCAAAAAATTAGAGGCGCCCGGAGACGTGGCGCAACTCCAGGTGTGGCTTGAAGGCACGACGTCAACTTTAGGCTCTCACGGTTGCACTTTCCCGCAACAATAAAAGCCAATGGAAACCGAGTTGATGGAGTCCAACCAACCGTGACTTCCTCTTCAAGTTCGCGAACCATGAGTCGTTATCTCCCAGTCCTCCTCGTCATCCAGTATTTATGACTTCAATCCTACCCTTCATCACTGACCAGTAAAGAACTTTTCGCAGTGCCTGTGTACGATCCAGTAAGCAACGGCATTCTCAGGACGACTCATCCCACCACATCAACACCCAGTACATTTTCTTAAACTTCCGCGCCAGGCATCCACATCTTGAGGACAAAGCCTCACAACGAGAATCCATCAATTCCTGAGACCAGCTGTTGAGACATAAGCCCAAGCGATAGATCAAATACTCGCTATCGATCAAGGCAGCGTGTGGAAGCGCTACGGCCAACTCGCCATGGTGAGCAGGCCTCGTCGCCGGAAGACGACCCGCCGCTCCCATGGATGCTCTGGACCTCAATGCGGAAAAGTTCAAACAGGATGCAGCATATGCCAGGCAATGGGTTGCTGACTATGCGCAACTGACCGAGAAAGAGGAGCTGCCCACTTCTCTTCTTGACGTTTTCGAGCGTTCCCCGGATGTGCTGACAGAGTACGCCGATTTCCTTGGCGATGCATTGCGGGACTGGTACAGCCGTCTAATAGCGGCGGTCAAAGCGAAGCGAGAAAGTCCCCAAGATCAGACACTCAGAGTGGCAGCGGTCTCTGCATCGAGGGACTTCACCTGGCTGCTCGCGTTCATCAAAAAGTCGCTCGTAAGCGTCAGCCCTGCACAGGACACCAAGAGGCCACCGTGTCTTCGATTGACACAGCAAATCACTAAGCTGGCGTTAACCTCGAGAGAGCCGAGTGACATACAGTATGCTATCGACATCCTCATACTCGTTGTGCAACGGTTTCAACTGCCAGAAGAGTCCTTGGAAGATGCGCTTCGAATACTTTGCGCTTCAGCAATGCGCTTGCAGCCCATCCCAGATCCGCTTCGCCAGTCTTTCCGTGAGATCATGGAAGGATCATTCTCCCGTCAGGCCATGGACGTCATGCTCGAATTTGTCGCGAAACCGACTGCCGAAAACAAGGCTGTCGGACTCCAGGTTGGACGCGGATCGTTACGACTCCTACAAGGCATCGTGGATCTTAGGGATGAACACGGAGCTTGGACGCTAGATATGCCGAAGCTGCTGACTTCGACGCAGCTTGCAGCATCGCAGCATATTCTTCGGTATACACCTGATCTTGTGAACACTCTACATGTTGTGTTGGCTCATGAGTCCCGCAAGGCACAGTTGCCGGAGCTCAAGATTGCTGAACTTCTCTCGGTGCTCCAGAACTGCTTGCAAGCAGAGTCGCCCGATCAGGAAGTGAGCTCTTCAAGCGAGCGGTACACTGAAGATCGAAATGCTGGAATCAGAGCTATTGGGAACGACATTGAGGCATCATGGAGAGCCCTAAGTATGCAGCAGAAGACCGATGTGAGCGACTATGCCATACAGAACCCGCGAATGGTGTCCACGGAGCTGTTGCGGTCCTGTCTAGACTTCATCAGTGAGGGCCAGCATCTGACCTTTCAGACCGAGCGTTGGCGCGAAAGGACTCAATGGATTCTGCAGCATATCATCAGAGATGGCGACCTGCACCCGGATGGACGTCTTAGTGCGATTAAAGCTCTGAGTCAGGCCATGACGGCTCTGGGCCCGACTCCTTCTGATGAAGCATTCAAGGACAGCGTCGAGGTCGTGATTGGAGACTACAAGAAAGTCCTTCTACTTCAACTCAAAGACGAAAAGGACAAAACAGTACTCGCAGAGATCAGTGATGCGCTCATTATTCTGGCAAGACGTGGGGGATGCACAGTGTATATCATGACAGAACTTACTCAGACAGTGATCGATGGACTTCCCACGAAAGGGCGTGGGAAGAATGCGCTTTTTGCCACCAGAACGCTTGTCACCATATTTGCAGAAACATTCGAGCCTTCCCCGAAGCTCGCCCTGAGAGCCTACAGTGGTCTCGTCAAGATATCGAGCCTTGATTGTCCGTTCCGCGCTGCCCGTATCGCAGCTATGCGCATCTTGTTCAGCCTTCGCAGCACTCATGATGGCTTTGTCTTCATTACCGACGACATGAGCGCAGGATACATTGCAACAGCTCTGTGCAGAACACGAGAGTCTGCGGAAGCATTCGATAACGGAGTCACGAATTTCGATCGGCACTCGACAAGTTCTTCGAGCATATCCAATCCGACAGGTCCTAGTTATGAGCCAACCTGGATGTTCGACGACGAGGACAACTTAGCATCGCCACGCACCAGGCCCTCGAAACACATTACGGCGGACAAAGTATTGAGTAAAAGCAACGCCGATCTGACTCATCTAGACGTGACGGCGTGGTTGTTGGAGCTCATTCGGGTCATCCAAAAGGACGATGATTGGGAAGTCTACAGCTGGGTCATGGTCAACCTCGGATCTCAGCTTGCGAATGTCAAGCTGTTTTGCTCATCGCTCGAGACCATTGTATTCCTACGTCAAGTCGTATGTGCTCAAATCAACGACTACAAGATGCACGAACCGCCAGTAGCATCAGGTCTGAAGAAATCCGATGTGGCTATGTGTCTGTTCAACATCCTCACGCCACTGATCGCGTATGCCACTAAGCGCGGCGAGGTGATCCAGAAAGAATTCGGGGACGAGCTAGTGAAAGCCTTCCTCAACGGCGTTGCCAGCCAGCACTACGAAGGAACCGCTCGAGGCTGCATCCACGCACTTTCCATCTGCATTTTCGAGATACCGTCCTCGGTTGCGTCGCTCTTTCCAAATATTCTGGAACGAGCATCACGCAGTATGACGCAGTCGCATCTTACACTTCACATGCTCGAATTCCTCTCGGAAGTGGCGAGTCTAGAAGAGCTGCATTCCAACTTCATGCAACAGGAAGTTGCGAAGATGTTTGGCATGTGCATCCAATTTCTGGAAAGAACACGAGAACAGGCGACGCTGTCAATGAGCAATGTACAACCAAGAGTGGCAACGCCGTCGAGACAAAGCGGTGTCACTCTGAAGCGCCCACCATACAGAGCAGCAATGATGAAGGATGTGGGCGTACCACAGTACGCCTCGGCTCTCGCGTACCACACGATGATCCGGTGGTTCCTGTCGCTACGTCTGGAAGTCAGAGCTCGTCTAGTGTCTTGGATCGTTCCCCGCTTCATCTGGAAGAGCAGCCAAGGCGAAGAGATGATTGATGAGCAAAGCGAGGTATTCATCGACATGATGCAACGCACTGCGTTTTCCGATCTCGGAGAGACGCAACCCAATCCGTCCTTCTCCAAACCGACCGACGGATCTATCTCGTCAGCCTCATGGGTAATGGGCTACAGTATCATCACCGCCGAAACGGCAGGTCACACAGGTTTGACACAAATTACCAAACGGCAAGCCTCTGGCACCACGCACGCCATCTACCAACAGCTGACCACCAAGGTGCCCGGACATCTGGCGCCGTCCAACACCGAGATCCAGCCTGGCGCCGAGAATGACGGACCGCCGACGGAAATGCTTCCAGCTCACATTTTGCTTCAAATGGTCTCCACCGCTGCACCCATTCCAACAGAAGATCAACCAATCACTCTTCCGCACGATGACTTCGTCAACCGGGCCCTGACCTCCTTTGATCGTATACCAACCGTCGATAGCCACAAAGCCGGTGTCATCTACATTGGACCAGGTCAGACCGAGGAAGCAGACTATCTTTCGGCCGGCAGCGGGTCGGCAGATTATGACCGCTTTGTGGATGGACTAGGCTACAAAGTCGCTCTTGAGGGCGATCTCGAATTCAACCCGCAGGGCCTGAGCCACCCACGCGATGGCAGCACCACAGTCGCCTGGCGAGACCGAGTCACCGAAATGGTCTTCCTGATCCCGACAATGATGCCACCCAACCCGAACGACGACCCAGAGTGGCTGCACAAGAAAGCACACGTCGGCAATTGCTTCGTCAACATCATATTCAACAACTCCGGCCTCCCCTGGGACTTTGAGCGTCTCCGCTCGCAGTTGAACTACATCAACATCGTGATCACGCCCGCAGATACCATCGATGAAGTCGATGCTATCGATACTAAGAAGTCACCGTCGATGCCAGCCTTCTACCATGTCCAAGTCCTCACAAAGCCCTCTTTTCCCAACATCTCGCCTGCTGCAGACCTCAAGGTCATTTCTGCGACTCAGCTACCGAAGTTCGTGCGTGTGCTCGCAATCAATGCGAACGTATTCGCACAGTGCTGGCAGACGAAGGACACGGATAAGGAGTTTCCAAGCAATTGGCGGGAGCGGCTAGCGCAGATCAAGCGGCTGAAAGCACGTATGGCGGTACGGATTGGTAGTGGAACAGACAATGTGGCTGGGGCTGGAACGACGATGAGTCCTCCGCCATCATCGGGTGGTGGAGGAGGTCGCAGGACCCCAGCACCGAAAGACGATACGGGTGGTGGCGGTAAAGCTGATGGAGCATTGGCTAAACAGTTGGATTTCGGGCGCTGGACATTTTGAGAGTGCGGATGACAGTAGCGTACAGCTGCGGAGAACAGGACATCTCAACTCAGCAAAGCAGGTAACAGGAGCAGTGCATCATCGGAAAGGCAATGTGCATATAGTGCGGCGTGTTCACCATTTTTTCGGATACTGTCGGGGTATATAAAAGTTCACATACCACTATCCGCGGTCCATCCACATTTCATGGCATGACTTCAAATTCGATAAGGCTGATGTGGTAGTCGTACCTAGCATGATCAGATATGGGCGCAGCGAAGCGTCGGACTGGCGCAAGACACTGTCAGGGCTGTTCACGCAGCGAAAATGCATGGGTGTGGGTTGACCTCCCTCGAAGGCTGTCCTGAGTCAACCGGTTTCGCATGGGCCATGTCCCCAAGGCTGTCACCCGGTCTTGTACAAGGCCTTGTTCGCCGCGTAGTCATCCGGTCTCGGCAAAACTCAAAACTCTGGTGACACTCGCGATCCATTTCACTGTGACGCGTTTCTCTCCACATCCGCATTGCAATCTTGCAGTGCTGATCTCAATGAACTTCACTTGGCACGTTCGGACTGCTGCAAATATAGCCGCTGGACTTTCTATAGTCGACACTGGCCACTGGCCGTCTCGATGATGAGATGCAACTACCTACACGCCAGTCGAATTTCCTGTAAACCGAGTCGTCTTGCGCAGTCCTCCAGACTCTTCGCTTGTTCGGCTGCGTAGAGCTTCTCTGACGACAGCACCGAGCATCCCAGAGCCTGCTCGAGACTCGCTTGATTCCCAGCGGGCAGCGACACAGGCATGCCGTCCTGATGGTGGCCATCACCAAGATTTGACCGGAAGATGCCTGCAGCAGAGAAAGGAAGAAAGTCTTCATACGTGATGGGGCTCGCAATGAGCTTGCCCTTCGCCATCAACGACGTGACTGTGTCACTGCCTCGCGCCACGCTGCCAGGTGTGTCTGCGGATCCGACGACCTTGAATGTGCAGAAGATCAGGCCCTGTGCCAAAAGCTCGTCAAGCTGATCCGGGAACGCCTTGAAAGCACTCGAATAGCCTTGATTGCCTCCAATACCACGGGCTTCGATGCCTTTCGCGAGCACTTCATCATACAGCGATCGACCTTTGCTGGTCAGTGCAGCTCCGCGCTCCTCGATCTCTCCGAACCGAGCTGTATGGCTGGCCGCGATCAATTCGCCATTGTCAGTCGGGAATTCGATGTCCTCCTCAAAGGCTAGGAAACTTGTCTGCCGCAGTAGTATCGGTATCTTCCGCGCAGGCGGACCCTCGATACTGCTTTTGACATTCAACTCTGCCGCCTTCATTCGATGTTCCGCAAGGCCAATGTCCAAAACGCGTGGAGTGAGATGATTGATATGCGCAGTGTTGAAGCAAACGATATCAGCAAGTATCGGATGTTCTGTTTTCAACATCTGATACTCCTCGCGGCTGGCACCAGCGACTGTCTGCCAGCGAAATGTTCGGATGGCCTCTAGCACAAATATCTCGCCTTGTGCGGCGGTCAAACCCCCCTGGCTCTCCCCTATCTCAATCAATTCGAGAAGCTTACGACTGAATATCTGCCGTTGTCGCAGTAACTTTAAAGCCACCTCGCGCGTTTCAGCGCTCAGCAACTCCGGACGAAGCAATGTCGTGAACACACGGAACGGGTTCTTCCCGAGCGCCACGGCATTCACTGGTCGGAAGGCTGTTGCGTGCATGGGCAAGCCAGCCACGGACAAGTCGTAGTAGTCCACCGGGTACAGGCCGATCAGAGCGAAGATGCGTCTGACGGTCTGCAGCTCGTGCGCTGTGCCGAGTCGAATGGCGCCGTGTCGCTCGAGGTGGAGGCGTTCGGTGATGCTGAAGGTCTCGCTCGTGGCGACTTCGTCGTTGACTTCTCGGACAAGGTCTATCAGCGTGCCGTATGCGGGTACTTCGTGTTGATACATTGTTGACATCGCCAGGGCGAAACTGGTTCGGAGTTCATCCTTATCGCAATAAGTGGTAGGTACTGGATGCTCAGCCCGAGCTAGTGGTGTCTGGGTCATCGCCATGTTTTGGAAGCCTGGGATGGTGAAGCCTCACAAACGGCGATGCCTCATATCTATATTTCCCGCTACGAAGTCGCTCGCTATATCTATACCTCATATCCAGATACGGAATCACCCGCTAAGACCCGTGGTATCCACTATCCCGCACCTGTCGCCAAGAACTCTCGGAATCCTGCCGACCTCCGAATGTTCAACTACACATAGGAGGTTGTTTTGCCTGGCGACGATTTGTGACGGGCAGGATGTTGATGCAGCCCCCATGTCCGCCTCCCCTTGCTTGACAGTACTCTGATTCAGGTAGCAAAGCGCCATGGGTTGGCAACACCCGTACGCTCCTCCTCCTTCACAATGGCCTTGTTCTTGCGCATAGCCCACCAGCGGACCATCAAGCAGAAGATGACTGTCAGACCACATCCCACAATGATGATTCCACCGCCCGTCTGGTACCTTGGCTCCTGAGACCGCAGGAAGAAGTACGGCGAGAACCAATGCGATACAGCTGAAACGCAATTCGCAAATGCCACCAGCGCCGCACGCTTCGTACGTGGGCGAGGCACCACTGTGGTTTCCCATGATAGTTGGAGCTAGAGGAGGCGTCAGTGCGTGATCATAAATGCAGATATATCAAAACACAGGACGAATACTCACATTCAACCCGAGGAATGGGCCAGAACAGAGGAGGATCAACCCAAAGTATCTTGCTCCAACATTGAGAGTCGATATCAGCAGCACCGCGCCAAGCATGCACGCCAAAATGCAGGAAACAATATGCCAGCATGCCTCACCACGTCGACCGGATGACCAGGAAACGGCAAGGGTGACGAAGTAAGCGATGATGTATGGTGGAGCTTGCACTAGGTAGGTCTGCATCTTGGTGAACCCTAGCGTCGCAACGACCTAGCCGCAACGTTAGTATCCGTCACAGCATATTTACTGAAGGGCGTACCGATGGGAAGAAATCCTTGAAAGATTGTGCCGTCACAAGTCCAAAATGCATGCCTGCGAACATCCAGGTGAACGGATCTGGAACGGGTCAGTCGGAAAGCTTCGTTGCGGTGTGAGGAGCGCAACGGGACAGAGAGCGGACTGACCTCTCATCGCCAAAGCAAACCCTGACCAGTAACCACCTTCGTCATCCTCAGAATGACCGCCCGCTGACACTTTGACACGATACTGTGCCATCTGGCTTTCTTCAGGCGTGAAGAAGTATGTACCAGTGTTGTCTGGCCAATTCGGCAGACCCCAGAATCCGACTACTGCTACTAGGATACTCACGATACCTGGAACGGTTAGCTGTGCACTTTCTGACCAATGTCAATGCCTGGTGCAGGAGGACCAACCTTCGATCAAGAAGAACCACTGCCATGCGTGCAAGCCAGCGATGTTATCCATGTGCTCGAGAATGCCCGCTGCTAAGAATCCAGAGATGACGTTCGATATGATATTGCCGGCGTGCCAGATTCCCATACGCAGTGGTGATTCTTCTTTGCTGGGACGGCATCAGCATGCATACACAGGGGATGGAAAGTGCTGAGTGACTCACGTGTACCATGAGCTGGTAAGGAGAGCGACACCGGGTACGAAGGGACCTAATGAAACCCGAGTAAGTAGTTGCTCGAAGCACATCTCAGAGAGTGCGCTGCATCAGCCTCACCTTCGAAGACTCCAACAAGAAAGCGACAAAGCATGAAACCCCAGGCGCTCTTGACTGCTGGCATGGATATAGTGAGGACGGACCAGCCGAGCATGACGGTGGGAAGTAGGACGCGTGGTTTGCCCTTGGCAATGATGACGTTGGCTGGTACTTGTGATATAATATAGCCGACGTAGAACAGGGAGATGCCGGCAGACCACTCGACGTCGCTCATGTGGAAGTCCTCTTGCATACCAGCAAGGCGGGCATTGGAAACGTTAATGCGGTCAAGGTAGCTGTTGAAAGCTTGTCAGCGGGGTGTCCAGCAGAATTGGAGTTGCGAGGCGGCATACTTCATTAGCAGCATCATCGTAATGGTGGTCAGGAACCTCCAGTCGAGTTTCTTGACGACCTTCTTGTTCAAAGCTGCCAGCTCCTGCTTGGACTTGCCAGCGAGGAGGTCATATTGCTGGAGCCAAAGCTCTTCGTTGGCCGCTTGAATGGACTCGACGACCTCCACGTCGGCTTCTTTGTCCATTGAAGATCTTCGTGCCGGCTGGGGCGTGGATGGTCTTGCCTCTGCTGGGGAGGATGAGTTTGCGTTTGCTGCCATCTTTGAGGTACAGTCCAGGCTTGAGAAAGGGGAGGCGAGACGGAGAAGAGTGCGCGCTGGCTTTATACTCCATGTCAACACGTTTCTTGGAAGTCGATACCCCATGGTCCGAGTGTTCAGGCATTGCGGAGTTGGACATCGTGTTCGAGAACCCCGGACACAGAGCGCGCCAAGATCAACAAAGGTTTGCCCAGGCCCGGCGCAACACCTTCGTGAGTCCTGGTGCTCATGTTCTCCTGCTCAGAGGCGAGCTGCAAAGGTGCCAAGGTGGCCCCATCGGCAGCCAAGCACAGGTGGCTGCATGGACAGCGGAAGGGGATGCAAGCCAAGAAGGCCATTGTACGGAGAGAGCGGGCAAGCGGGTAGCATGGTCATGCGAAGTGTTCGGTATCATGCCGAAACATTGATGATCATGAGGGCGGACAGAAGTAGGACGCATCATTCTTGCTGCACTGCCTCGATCGTGGGGTACGCTGGATACTAGGATATTCAGCGCACTGGAGAAAGACTCGGAATCTTGGCTTGATCGTGACGATGTGCTTGAGGCCAGGCCCGACGAACGAAGAAAGAACGACAAGTGATGATCACGGTTTCCCGGGGGGTAAAACACTGGGTTGAGCGTTGGGAAAAGGCACGGGGGAAGTCGTGGAGGAAGTCGTCACTGCATCAAGATGCGAACTAAGAGCGTGGAGAAGCAGGGAAGTGCAACTTCGTCGTAGTAGGTAGGCATTATAGTGAAGGCGCGAGGCGAACTCACGCGAGACCGGGCGACCGGAGGATTATCCAAAGCCGGGTGACCAGATCATCGCTCAGGGATTTGCATTTGCTTATTCTTTCATTTATCTTGCCCGTGACAAGCCATGACCAATTGTCACAGAGCGAGTTGATGCCTCATTGAAAGCGCAGCGCCTCACACGGCCGTTTGTAGATTGCAGATATAGTCTGACAGACGGGTATCGACGTGTAGGGCTGCCATTACCTACAGGAAGGCCAGACGACTTTATGGATTCATGAAAGTCTCCGCTCCGCCAAACCGATGGCAAGCGCAAATGCTATTCCGTTCAGCGCAGTAGACAGGCCTGCAAATTGTGGTCAGCGAGGACGAACGCATCGCCGTGCTTCCTGGGGCTTGTTGCTTACCGTGACAAGCACCCAGACTGATGACATATCCTTTGAGGACAATGCCCTTCAGCTCTCCCGTTAGCCTTACAATATAGCTCGTATTACCAAGCACTTGGTCAATGATTGTGTCCGCATCGTCCCGGCCTTGCAAAGCTTTCCGAAGCCATTTGGACAGTACAGAGCGTAATATCGTGCCGGAAGCTGCGAGACCACCGACCTGGCCGACACTTTGAGCTAGGTATTGACACGCAGTCGCTACAGCGTAGTACTCGGGCTCTAGCACTGCTGTCACAGCCGTGTATGTTGCTGATCCCACCGCGCCGGCTCCGAATCCTCCTGGGAGTGTGAAGAACGACTTCATGGGCTGCAATTCTTCCCTCCAAAAGAACAGCAAGAGAATGTTGGAAAACGCCGAAAGGCTGATGCCCACAAGAATAGGCCATTTGTATCGACCACACCTCTTCGAGTAGTGGCCGGTTGCCAGACCTCCCAACGCACTACCTACAACAGCTGGAATGAGTTGCAGACCTGCAGCAGTTGCACTATCCCTTGGGTGACCTGGAAGTGTATAGGCACACTGTACATCATTCCGATATGTGCAGCAGCTTGGAACGCGAGCGCGCCGAAACTCATCATCGCATCTTTGTTCCGCATGACTGTAGGATGAACGATCGGATCTGTGGCATACCGATGCTCTACGAGCACAAAGACCGCCAGTAGTATAATGGACACACTAGGGACACCACAAGAAACCCAAAGACCTCCTGGAAGCTTCGATCCGGCTGCCAACGGAAGCATCAGACCAATGACCGCAAGCATGATCAGGCTGGCTCCCAGGAAGTCGATGCTCTGGAGCCTTTGTCCCAGAGTCAATTCTGAAGCTTCGTCACACTTATCTGTGTTAGGTTTCCTGCTGGTGGTTGGAAGGTAAAGTACTGCTGTGCCGGATGCGAAGATGAGGATAGGTACCTGGGCCATGAATGCCCATCGCCACCCGACCATGTCTGTGATATAGCCACCAACCGGACCGCCCAAACTGCGGGATCCAGTACCGACCAGGTTGAGATAGCCTCGCCAGGGGCCGACCTCGCGAATGGGGACTAGATCGGTAGTGATGACCGCGACCAGGGTTGACACGCCAGCACCTCCCATACCCGAAATAGTTCGTCCTATGAGCACTTGACTGAAGGTATTGGCCGTAGCGCATTGTAGACAACCTAGCGCGATGAAGAGGTAAGAGCATAAAAGCACCGACTTCCTTGTAAAGACATCGCTCAATTTACCGATCAGAGGTTGCAGTGCTGCCATGGCGAGCGCATAAGTTGTGATCAGCCAGTCCGACTCAGACAGGCAGTTGAATTCGGACGCGATCGTGGGGTGCATGGTGAGCACCAGAGATACTCCAAGTTGCGCAACACCTGCCCCGAGCATCAGACTGATCAATGCGAGAAGCTGTGTGCTCTTCCCGTGAGATTTCTTGACATCGCAGCTCTCAGAGCGATTGGCCGTCTGCTCCTCCGGCGATGGCAACAGAGGTGATTCTTCATCTGCTTCGCGTGCGAAGTGTGGGGCTTTTCGATCGGCCATGGCTGTATGAGATTGTATTTCGTGAGCTCCGTCGAAATCGTGTGGGACGGGCGATGTATCAGAGAAGTACAGAAATCGAGTTCTTGTAGTGTAGATGCCTTATTGCATCGGCATGCAAAGGAGAGATATCTTGGCTCGGGAAGTCGCCATTGGGAGCGCCAAGAAGACGTACGAACAGCGGAGATAGCTGTGTTGGCGCTTGTGAAACGCTATAAAAACGCCTTCCGAGTAGACGTCGCCCGACTCGGCCGTCTCTCAGCCCAATCGGCATCGGATGTCATGTCGACTGTGGCAAGGTGCTTCTTTGCGCTCCTCCGGCCTGGTAGCCTCATAGAGCAGCGCGATTCTTGGCACGCATCAGTCTTGGCGGGTAGACTTGAAGGAGCAATGCCGAGATCCGACCGGGGTCACGTCGGCATCTTACCGAGTGTAGCTGCTTTCGACTCAGTGGTCCTGTCCGTAAAAGAAGCGCGGCAGTGGGGCCGTTGGTACTGATGGCAGCTTCCCCATGTTTGGAGAAAGCGAGACTGCCATCAGCTGAAACGCTTGCTTCACTAGCGAACTGTTGGTCGGGAGACCTGAAGACCTTCCGTCAACGACAAGAACGATGGGTGGCAAGTTTGATCCACGTTCACCTAGTCTGCGTGGGGATGATAAAGAACCTCTTGAGTGGAAAGTGTCATGCCACCGCACCGTCGTTTGCTATACCGAAGTCGAGTCGCGAAGCATCGTTTCTGGCACAAAGCACTATCTTGAGGCTGAGCTCTGGAGGTTGGAGAGCGTGCGTACTAGCCGTACTCTGGATGTCCAAATGTGTCGTGCAACGTCCAGCTAGCAATAGTAGGGTTGAAGCCACCACTCGCATCGTAGTTAAACCATGGTTGGAAATCGTTGAGTTGGTCGTCCATACTAAGGGTAGCTGAATAGTCTGATTCTGGCTGAAGCCCGATCGCAAGTGGTTGACTCGCATAAACATATTCTTGCTGCGGGAGGACTGGACCGGCCTCGCCCAGATACCCCATTCGCTGACCTGCTGTTGTGCGATTCGGCACACTGGGCGATGCAATGCCCTCAACGCTGGGACTTGTGATCGTATCGCGGCTCGGCGTGAGTGGGTGACTCGAGATACTGCTTGCTATTCTGGCTTGTCCCTGCGATGGCGTTGCGACCTTCAGACGAGCAGCGATGATGTCAATACTTCTGCGTATCCCTGGGGTCTGGCGGGCTTCTGTTTCGAGCATTTGCATAATAGTCGAAAGTCGTTCGGCCACAGCCATCGAGCCTTCTCCAGGCGCCCGGTCCAATTCCAATAGCTCAACTGTAGCAGCAGTATACACGCAATAAGACGTCAGATAGGTCTGGTTTCGAAAACTGAACGTGTGTCCATGAAGGCGGAAGAAAGCATTGACTCTGGTCGAGTTTTCAAGGCAAACCTGCCTCGCTCGTCGAGAGAGCGATTGCGGCACTCGGCCCGATAAGAAGGGTCGATACATCAGAATCATCAAGGTGTGGTAAAGAATGCTTTGGACGTTAGCCCTTGCAACAGTAGGACGATAGTACTCACTGCAAGCCAAGGATATGAGGTGGAGGACATGCGACGAGGTCTTCCGCATTGTCAATACGTAGTGCTGATGGGAGCCGTTCGTAGAAAGCACGCAGCTTTTTCTCGAGGTCTGAAATGAGCTTCATTTTCAGTCCTGTCGTATTGCCACTGTAGATGGTGTTGTAACAATCATTCACAAGCTGGATGGGTCCACTTAGTAGGATTCCGTTGATAACGACAGATTCCTAGTACCATTGATAACTCACAAAACTTCGTAAACGTAAGCGACGTAAGCGATTGCGTCGGAGGATATGCTACAGCATGATCTTTGAGATAGTAAGGCACCCAGTCTTCCGCGTCACCAGAATAATCCATAAGGCTGCTCGGAGCGTAGGGCATCTCTGTGAGCGAGGGTGGGCGGCCCAGGCATAAGCTGATGGACTTGTCCCAGGCATAGGCCGACATGAAAAGGCGTTTCCTGGCCTCAAGATCGTCTGGCTCTAAGTCCTTGGAGAGATGAGCCTTTCCTCCGTTCAGGTGCAGACCTAAGTCTTTGATCATTCTGATGGCCTAGCAACACCGTCATGTCAGTGCGTGGAAGAAGTTCTTTGCATCAGTCACTCACCATGCCAGTGTACAGCCATCCTTCGCTGTGCTTACCTATCGCACATTGTCGACCACCAAGAATGAGCAGACCTTGTATGGTGGGCACACGAGGTGTGTCTGCCTCCAATTCCGAAAGCAAGAGATGCTTCGCCTTCCGCAGGAAGTCCTCTCCTTGACCAACGTGTGCATATATTGGATCATCATCAGGAATATGACGGCTAGCGTGTGCGTATATGACGTTCAATAAGAAAGACGAGAAATATGGTCCTTGCATTACCACATCGCGGAAGAAGCCTAGCAAAGTCAGCTAGCGACCGACGTCACTTATACAAGAGCCCACATTGTCGGTAGACACAGTTATGCAGAGGTGCCTGCCAAGTCCAGTAAATGCGCAGAAGAGTGGTAGAGACATGCGCGTCGACTTCCGGGTCCTGTTGAAGCTTCAGATATGCCATCTCCTCCCAGGACTTCTGGAAGCGCGCATTTGACTGGAGCCATTTGGCATGGAAAGCGCGATCTCCAGCCTGTTGTGTCTCGCCATCTGTGCGAGGCTGAGGACGGCTGTGAAATCGTGAGGTCGCCCCGAAGTAAGAGAGCTTTGTGCATTAGCAACATCACATGAGCTTGGGTAAACATTACCGAGCCATCCTCATCGATGCTGACCTCTGCTTGCCGAGCGCGAGACTCTTCCTCATCTGCGCATTGATCGCCGAGGTCGTCGGTATGTTCTGCCTCCGTCTCATCGGGCTCGGTTTGTACCGAAGGACCCGTCGATTTGACCATATCACTCAGATCCCGGATCTTGCGTTCACGGTCTTCTGCTGTAGCTAAAGTGAGGGACTCGATGCCTCTCTTCAGATCGTTCAAGTGGGATTGACAGCGACTCAGCTCTGCCTTGAGATGGCTTATTTGCGATTCGCTTGATTTGTAGGAGCAGAAGACCTCGGCCTTAACGCACTTTCTGCAGCTTGGTTTCTCGCCACCACACTTGACCTTGCGGCTCCGACACTGAATGCAAGCAAAGCCATAACGGCGTTGCTGCGAGCCTGCGTCGTCCATGACGCCCAAGTCTTTGAGTCGATGCGTGAACGAACGACCTCACAACGCAAAACGGGGGCGAAAGTGCTACCAAGCTCGATGCACACGTGCTGCCGCTCGCCACCGTAGACATCGGGTTTTCGTCCCTTCCAAGTGCTCCAACTGAGAACATAGATTGCCCCAAGAACTGCCCCATGGGCAGGCCAAAGAGTCTGATCAATCGGGAATTGAGGCGTGGATGGGTCTAGTCTAAGGCAGTCAGTCACCGGGTTTTCCTCCGCTGAATGATGCAGAGCTTCTCTGTCGTCGGCATCTTGCCAGGAGGCGTTGCCAGTCAACGCTCGGCTTCACCCCGAGCGGCTTAGAAGGTCTGCCCCTGCTGGGCCTGTCCAGCCCAAGCAGACTTTCCACACGCGGGGACTCGGACCGTTCAGACGGGGTACTGGGGTTTGCTCGGCGAGTCTTGCAAGGTGGCCCTTGGCTTGCATTATAAGTCTATAAGAATGCCTTGGTGCAATGCTTGACTGCAGTCTTGACTCAGTATATCACTTCTTGTATCCTCGAAATACTTCATCACATATTGAGATTGCCAGTGATAGCAACATGACTGTCGAGCAAGGTTCACAGTACGACGCCGACGTCAAGTCCGGCACCAGCGAGATCGAGGTCGGCGACCAGCAACATGGCCAGCTCGACTATTCGGACAAAGAAGAGAAGCAAGCCGTCTGGAAGCTTGATATTGTTCTGATTCCACTGTCAGTCTTGCCCAAGACTATCAGAAATGCTTATGCTGACTCGGACAAGCTTGAGTGCCATCTACTTATTCTCCTACATCGATCGGGGCAATATCGGCAACGCAAAGACTGCTGGCATGACCAAGGAGCTGAGGATTTCAAGCTCGGAATACGGCTGGCTCATATCGATCTACTATATCGCCTACATATGTTTTCACTGGGTGCGTTGACCCGCTCCATCTACCGACCCAAGTGACTGGCTAACGCAGAGCAGACGATTCTTGTCTGGAAGGTCGTCGACCCCCCAACATGGGTAGCAATCATGGCCCTCGGGTTTGGTGGCCTAAGCATGATACAAGGAGCTGCCAACAACTGGAGTGGGCTGATGGCGCTTCGCTTTCTCATCGGCGTGTTTGAGGCTGGCTATGGCCCAGGCGTTGCCTTCTTCCTCTCCTGGTTCTACTCACGGTCAGAGATGGCACTGCGCTACGGTCTCTTTATCGGCGCGTCTGCCCTCGCGAATGCCATCGCGTCGTCGCTTGCTTACGGCATCGTTCAAGCGAATGCTGCCATCAGCGACTGGCGGCTGCTCTTCATCGTTGGTAAGTGTCCGCACCGGAAAGGAGATGTCGTCTTTATCTGACTCCATTGCAGAAGGCACACCAACGCTTGTTATTGCCGTCATAGCATACTTCCTGATTCCTAGAGGCCCGGCATCGGTCAGATTTCTGAGTCGCCGTCACAATGCCATCGTTGCGGACAGGGCTATCAAGGCGCGCGGGGAAATCGCCAACGAGGGCAAGGTGAGCATCACCGAAGCGCTCAAGGTCTTCCTCGACTACAAATGCTGGATGCAGGCATGCATCATCTTCTGTTTCAACTCATCGTTCGGCTCCCTCCCAGCGTTTCTACCAACCATCATCAAAGAAATGGGCTTCACATCCATTCGGGCGCAAGGGTTGTCGGCTCCACCCTACCTGGCAGCATACGTGCTCTGCATTTCGCTTTCGTTCCTTTCGGATCGCCTGAAGAGCCGGGGCCTCCTGATCGGCATCTTTGCCTACATTGGTGCAGCCGGCTACCTGATGCTGCGCCTCTCCGAGACTACGGCAACGCGGTACGGCGCAGTGTATTTGGTCACTTGCGGCGTGTTTCCTTGCATCGGCCTCACCTTCTCTTGGGTCACAGACAACCAGATGTCTTCCAACCGTCGTGGCGCTGGACTGGCTCTTTTCGGAATGATCGGCCAATGCGGCAGTTTCCTCGGTGCGAATATTTTCCCCGACGAGACTGCTCCATTCTTTCACTACGGTATGAGCATCATCACAGGTGTGTTGTTCGCGGGTGGCACTCTTGCACTGCTGCTCAGTGCGGCACTTCGGTTCGAGAATAGGCGCAAGACGAGAAATGGTGAGATTGATCCAAACAAGCTCTTTGTACCGTAATTAGGGAGGCTGAGATTATCGGAAGTTGGGCTGCGGCTCGACAAGGAGCCACCAAGGCGAATACCTATGCAGTTTCTGGTTATATAGTCAAATTTACATCTGTTTGCCCGATATCTCAACGGTACTGGTGTTGCACGTCGGGATCCTGCTGCAAGATGGCCATGGGTAGCTTTTCCAGCCATGATCTTGACTGCCAAGGGTTGCCTACGAGTGACCGAACCCTGGCAGCTGACATGCCGTAGCATATCTTCCACCTGCTCAACCTATCTTAGGACACATCCTCTCTAGAAGATGAAAGGTCAACACACTTCTATCCTCAATGAGCCTACTTCTGTCACATAGGTCTGGTGTCTCAAACTTCCATAACTTTGGCTTCCTGACCAAGACCGCACGGAAAAGCATGAACAAAAGGAAATCTCACATGAACCATGAGCATTTCGCTAGCAACACTGTCCCCATGCCACTCATCTATCTCTCCTTTGTATTCAGCTGAACTCGATACACCTTGTTTCGCCCAACAATATACAAATGATCACCAACCCAAACCATGTTCACAGCCACATCATCCTTATCGACCTTGATCCGTCCTAGCAACGTCCCATATTCATCGAACACATCGACCGAACCCGTCACGGCTCCATACACACGTCCATCTTTGTCCGTTTTGATCCCATCGGGAAAGCCAGAATCAACGTACGCGAAGACCTGTCTGTTTGCAAGACCGTTCTCGGTGATGTCGTACGCAAACATTGTACGTCCGCCATCCGCATCTCCACTCGCAAAGCCACGCATGGTAACAAACAGCCTAGTCTGCTCGGCATTGAACGCAACGCCGTTGGGGTTGAAGAGTGTTCCATCAGCGGCGCCGGCTACCATGCGGATATTGCCTGTCTGGAGATCCCATCGGTAGACGCCATTGGCCAGCTCTGGCTCCAGTGAGTCCTTAAAGTTGTCGCGGCCGTAGTAGCCATCGGTGAAGTATGCCCTCCCAGTATCAGACACGACGACATCGTTAGGGGAGTTGAAACGGTGGCCATAGAAGTTGTTCTGGACTGGTTCGGTCTTCAGAGTGAAGGGATCCATACGGACAAGTCCACCTGGAGTTGACCAGTTGCCTTCTTGAGCCCAGTATACGGAACCGTTGTGGTAGTGTGCCCCGTTAGCGATCGTCAAGGCCGGGCTGGGATATGCTTTGCTGGCAGTGGCAGAGGTCGTTGAGGCATTTGAGATCTGCCAGACAAATGGGATGGCATGCATGTAAGCACCGGGCTTTGGTGAATACAATTCCGCAAAGAAGATGGTGTCGGTCTCGGGAATGTACACTGTGCCATCGTGGATTTGGCGTTGGGCATAGGAAGGAGGTGGTGGGAATGTAAAGATCGTTTCGATCTCCTTGATGTCTTCGTAGCTATTGACGCCCAGAAGCTTTGTCCTGTTAGCAACGTCGACAGCGAATGGAGTCTTGTCTTACCTCGTAAAAGCTCTCGTCATATGTAATGAAAGTCGCATTCGCCAAAAACTCCAGATCTTCATTAACTTCAGCACTCGTGCCATTGAGCAAGTTCGTTTGCCAACTCGCCACAGACACATTTCGATTGAAGTTGTTGAAAGGAAACACGCTGTTGAAGTCCGGCGAGACCTCGACAATGGATGGTCCGATCTTCAGTCCCTGGGAAGCCGCACCGGCTATGAGCAAGGCTAGCTGTGCCATGCTGAGGCTCTTGTGCGTCCGAGACGATGGAGTGGCTGGTGACATGTTGACGTATGTATGCTGCGAACGGGCTGGCAATGAGCTGGTTCTTGGCTTAGTTTGCTGCAATGATCTGGTAGGAGGTCCTCTGCTGGTACTTCGCCTACCAAGACCTGTGCTAAGGCTGGGCAGTGGATCGAGGAATACCTTATCAAGTAGTTGTACTGTACGTGAGTTCACGAGCGCCCTTCGGCATCATGCCGTACGCCATGGCCGTTAGGCTCGTGGAGACCCCGTGGGCCAGAACTGCCCGGGGTAAAGGCGAAATGGCACCCTGTGTATAGCTTCCGAGACAGGAGGTCGTCATAACAGCTTCAACAAAATACATGTATAGTATAGAAATCGCCAAAAAATGATTCCGGTGGCATACGTTGAATGAATCTAGAGCCATCTTAGCTCGTCTGACCCTAAAGGCTTCGGCATCACGTCCCAGCCAACTTTGACTCCCTCCACAGATGCCGAGTGCTTCACAGACCTCATCTGCCCGAATCCAGACTCACGAGTTTCCATGAACTCGTCGGCGACTTCCGAAGGAGAGTCGTAGTCCTGGCACTGGAAACCCGAGTCACCAGGAAACTGTCCGAGACTGCGGAGATACTTCATAGTCCCAGCAAGACTGACGTGTACTTCGTAAGAACCACCCTCGGTAGCCTTCTTGTACAATGCCGCCATGATACCGGCGGCGAGGAAGTAGCCTCCTGCGTGATCGAGCGCCTGGCACGGTGTAGGCCTTGCGACTTCGCCCTTACCAGCATGTTCAGCCTCTGAGACGTTCATACCGGAGCAGGTCTGCACTAGTGAATCAAAACCTCTCCTGCCGCTCCAGGGTCCGGTAGGCCCGTATGCTGACATATTGGCCACCACGATGCCGTGAGAATTGTCAGATGCGAGCTCCTTGGCAGACAGGCCTTTGCTGGCCAAGCTGCCGGGTCGGTACCCTTGGATGAAGACATCGGCCTCGCGAAGCAGTGACTTCAAGGCCGACCTTTGGCTCTTGCTTTGCAAGTCCACCTGAGCTGTCCGTTTCCCTCGGCCGAAGTCTCTGTCCATTGTTGGTAGGTCTGGCAGATTCGGCGAAGTGATCCATAGTACGTCCGCGCCGTGCACAGCAAGTGTCTTGCCGGCGAGAGGAGCCGCAATCACACGACTCATGTCGATTACGCGGAGTCCTCTCAATGCCTTATCTGCACCTCCAGAGAAGCCTTCTGGTAGTGTTGGTGGTCCATCAGCGATCTTCTTTATCGATATAGGGAAATCTGCAATAGCCCTGGACTGAGGCAAGCAATCCCATTCATCGTAGGAGCGAAGCGCAGAGATGACTAACTCGCTTTCGAATGCTGTCGCCTCGAGATCAACTGCTTTCCACTTCTTTGCAGCTTTTGCGATGTCCTTCCGTTCGGCATTATCTGAGCACCCGAGCAGAGCTTTGGCCCCGTCGCGATGATTTGGGAAGGAATCATGTAAGCGGACATAGCCGTCAGCAGTGGTGTGAAGACCACCTATTGGGCCCCAGGGTGAAGGCGCTGGCTTTCCGTCGATTGAGTACAGACGCTCAGACTTGAATTCGATCGCAGCATGCAGCAGTGGTACTGCGATCTTTGGCACCGGACTGTTCGTACGCACAGAATGAAGGAGCCCAGCCAGAAGTGCTGTCAGACCAATGGAGGCTTGGGCTAAGTGGGCAATCTTGAAAGATGAAGGTAAGCCGAGTCCATCACCTGGTAGTTGAGCGCTTTGCAGTGCGGACTTCGGTAGTCCCAGTTCTGTCCACAGATACTCCAGGCTATCAATGGCTGTGAATGATTGTCTGTTGGAGATCGCGCCGTTGGCACTGCCGTTCGTCTTGTGCATACCATTGACCCCATTCATGTGGACACCGTTCAGCGATGGCTCTTTGGTGGTAGCGCCTAAAACGCTGGTTCCGTTGAGCTTTGCTGGACTGCCCTTTCGCATCGGCGGGACCCGAAGTCCAAGCAGAGGCGCATGCTGCTGTGTACCCAGAGTGTCGCGCTCCCCTACACTACCCTGAGCCCAAGGCCGTTTGAAAGTGCACTTCCAGGCAAGCGCAGGGGCGAAGTACATGTTCGTGATGATGTCTTCCGGTCGTAAATGATACAGCTTCTGTATAGCTTCATTATTCAGGATGTCAGCAGCCTTGAGCCTTTCGTAGGCGTCTTTGGTGTCACACATCACGTCGATTGTAAGCTCGAATGGCCCACTGTTCTTGGAACGAATGATTCTGGCGACTTGAACCAGATCGCACTCTTCCTTTGGCACGGTCTTGAAGCTCAGCGGGGTCAGAGGTTGTGCCTCCAATGCGGCTATGGCGGACTCTTCGATGAATGGAGCTGCCGACGACGCTGAGCTCGTGTTGTCGCCGATTGAATGATAGGTGGTTGGGAACAGCGACAGTTCCTCTTCTGGTTCGAGATCAACGAGATGGTATAGGCTGAACTTGAAAACCGGTCCAGCATGGGTCTCATGCGGTGACAGCGGAGAGGCAAAGTTACCGGTCGTCGCAATCTGGCCCTCATAGGGCATGTGCAAGATTGACGCACGAGCATTGTTGGCAATTGTGTGAGACAACTCCTGCGATTCTGCAACAACCTCTCCAAGGACGCCGATTTCGTGTCCCACGCGTGCAGCAGGTTCCAGCGGGCCCATCACTGCATCTCGGCCGTATATGTGGAAGATGAGTCGACACTGATCAGATTTGTCAAGTTCTGGAAACAAGTTTTGGGTGTACTTCCTGACACCCTCAAGGAAGTCGTCGATCTGCGAGATCAAGATTGGGTCTCGGATGCCACCGATGAATATGGTTCGATAGCCGAGCTTTTCGACGCCTTCGAGCTTGATCTGATAGACTGGACTGGACTCGAATGTGGCGCCCTTGACTCGAAGTGTCTTTTCTGTCAGCTGCACATACTCTGCCCCGTCGAGGTTCAAGATTCCACCTGGTCCTGGCAATCTGTCTGGTCGAGTCTTCTCGTATAGCGTATGGGATGCCACAGAAAGCGGCGTGCACCTCTCGTTGGGCGCGAGTGGAGTCAGGTCAAATGAGTCTGCTCGCATAGTCGCAATCATCGACCGACCTTTGGGTACAGCGCAGATACCGCCGCATTCCATGATCTTCCCCATGTGCCAGCCGATTGCGGGTTGGACGCCATGGAACATGCTGAACGCTGCAAATGGCGCGGGGTCGTATGCGCGACCACCAAGAATGATGTCGGGGTCGCCCTTGAGGGCTTCTAAGAACGGTTCCGCGCCCATCTGTGCGACGACATCTACTGCGCGGTCCACGGCTTCTTCGCTCAGGTCTTCCACGGGTCCGCATGGTCCAACTCGGCCAACTCTGATGCGACTCTTGACGAAATCTCTGTCAATCCCCGCGTCTATGGTCGCGACTTTGAACGCAAATCCCTTGCTTCGCGTGATTTCGGTCACGATCTCAAGCATCTCGGCCACATGCTTGGTACTCCCATCACCACCAACAGAGCCGATCAGAACCTTGATCTTCCTGTGGTAGCAGGCCTCCAGAAGTGGCGTCAAGTCGCGAACGTATGACCCTTTACCACACGTCATCTTGTTCAGACCTAGCTTGTACGGACCGCCATCGGTTGATCCGCTGTCGACAATGATGGCCTTTGGCTTGTATTTCTCGATGCCATACCAGAACTGCTCCAGCTTAAAGCCGTAGCCGAGCATGGCATTGGGGGTGAGGATGTTGAACTCCGACATGATTGCAAGGTGGCCTCATCAGATGCAAGCGCTTTGAAGCTCAGTGGGATCATTCGATGTCATCCATACTACGAGACATGATATATCTCTTCGACTATGGCCATCGACGGTCGCCGCGGACTTTCGCCTTTGATGGCGGCGGCCGCCGTCATGCAGAAAGGATTCTCGGCATCTGCTCTCCAAGGAAAAGATGTGAGGGCTCCGAGGCACGGCATGATGCCGAGACTTTCCCCACAAGAATCTTATCTTGCCGGTCACTCTTTCGGTGTTTTCACTTCACGACTTGCCACCGACTCATGGCCAAATATGCTTCGCAAGGTAAGAGTGCGCGACTGCCGCTGAGCTGTCGCTCGGTAAAGCTGATGACTCACATGCCAGTGGTATTTGGCGTTTAGCTAAAGTCTGCTCGGTCTGACGACTTGGGGTTTGTATTCTTTGCAAATCTTTGTGGTATATCGACATGGACTTCACAGGAATCTCTAAGCTTGCCAGAAGCTGGCTTCTTCCATTCGGTTTTGTGTCGACCACTACTTCTGCTCCCAGCCCTCCGTACGTCAAGCAGGCCAATTGCGTGAATATCGACGCGAAAAGACCCAAGTTTTACGAGTTGCCTTTACAACAGGGAGATCCAAAGGCTTCAGCCTGGGGCCTCTGGGGTCGAGATGATGAACGGGGAACGCTAAACCTCATCACGTCAGACGTCGTGGCACGCGCTCGCGAAGAGATCCAGATCGGTGTTGTCACCTCCCTCAAGTAATATAAGCATCTCGGATTACCTCGATTGGCCAGTTCTGACGACGTGCTTGTAGTCTACCTATTAATGTACCTCGACGACCAATGAATCCTCGGAGGAAGCCTTGCGAACATCGGATCATCGCAAAGGGCCACGCAAATGATGATGAGGTACGAGTCTCGCTACGGAGCTGACGAGTTGCGTTAACCTGCCCAGCTCGACATCAACACTCAGAGCTCCACTCACTGGGATGGCCTGCGACACTTCCCTTACTCAGAGACGAAGCAATTCTACAACGGAGTGACTCAAGACGACATTTCCGGAGCATCTGCTTCGGCCAAGATTGGCATTCAGAGTAAGGGCATCACCCCAACTGATGTAGCCAGACACTAAGTCAAGACAGATATTGCTTCAAGTCCTGTCGTTACACGTGGTGTACTCCTTGACTGGTATGCGTACGCAGAACGGCACTCGATCAACGTCCTTGCTTTCAAGAACCAAGCTATTCCGCTTTCGCAGCTAAAGGAGGTAGCTCGAGAGCAAGGAGTAGCTTTCCGTCAAGGTGATGTGCTGCTGATTCGGACTGGCTGGCTCAAGAAGTACTATCAACTCTCTGATCAGCAACAAGATGAGCTTGGTGGGCGCGACGACAGGGCTTCATGCGGCGTTGAGGCAACGGAGGAATCGATTAGATGGCACTGGGAACAAGGATTTGCGGCTGTAGCAAGCGATACAGTGGCGTACGAGGCTTGGCCGTCGCCGAAGGCCTGGGGTGTGAGCATGCACGAGGTACGTGTACGCGTTTCTTGACTTCCGGCCTGACCTCATGTTGTGCATCTGCTGATCAAAACAACTTGACAGGTATTTTTGAGTGGCTGGGGAATGCCGATAGGGGAGTGCTTTGACCTAGAGGCACTGAGTGAGAGATGCAATGAATTGGGAAGATGGACGTTCATGTTCACCAGCCAGCCCCTACATATCCCTGCCGGTGTTGCTAGTCCTGCAAACGCGATGGCCATTTTCTAGATACTCTGATCAAATCTATCGTCGCTGATCCCGGACAAGTCTCGATTTCAAGCATTCGTAAGTGATATAGGATGCTCATTTGACGATTGATCAACACGCCATAACTTGAATAGCTAACAAGATCACGTGACGTACTGACGTCAACTACTACGCGCCCTAGTAGGGGTGGCAGCTCTCCAGCTCGAGTTCCTGATCGTGGTACGACCAAGCTTCATATTTGTGCTCAACCGGGCAAGGACTTTCGCCAGCGCGTGCGGACGTGGTAACGCAGAACACTCACTCCAGATACATCGTGGAAGGCCAACGATAGCGAGGCCGATCCGAGCCAATAAAGATGCAGGATGTACGACGTTGCCGATCTGACCAACTGTCAGGATCGGGGTAACTACTAACAATGCGGTTTTCTTCTCAAGGGCATGGCCGAAGGCGCCAGTGATCATTGCGTTCAATGCGACTCGCGGAGAGGAAGCCTCCGACGTGAAAGCATGACAGGCGATTTCGCGAAGTCCTGCTGCGGCGGGTGTAGCCGTCCAACAGCTTGTTCTGGCCATCAGATCAGTGTCGAGCCTGGCAAGCACGACTCAGCCGCGCGTGTGAGAGCCTGCGATGTTCTACACGCAACTTACGAACCGCATCCGGCATAAGTTATCATCGCTTGTTTCCATCACAATGACCCTGGCTTGATGGTCAGTTGCTTGCTTTCGAAAGACAAACGGCATTAGCTGATTAGTCAACTTCTGTCGTGAAAGGGTTCCTAAGATCTTGAGGCAGAATCCACGGGGAACCAGAGCGACAGCGTATGGTCACTGCGACGCTTCAAGTGACAGACGCTCACTTTTTCTGCCAAGGCCGGCTTTGACGAGATATACCACAAACTAATATTTCTAGGAGATCTTTAACGTCGTAGTTATCCGCTTTCATCGATATATGCGCCATCATCCGAACTGTTGCAAGATGGTGTCAAAGTCCGATGACGGTAAGATATCCCTCGTGGCTGACTACCACTGCAAGTAAGCTGACAATGTGAGGAGCCCTTGATGAGGAGATAGTCACTCTGTGGTACGACGAGCCGTGGCATCTAGAACGCCACGACCCGCCAGTTCGAATCAGCATACGGATCCCGAAGCGAGTCCTCATACAGGAGAGCGGCGAGTTTGATAGACGGTTGAATAGCTCATCCGAGGTTAGAGACGTGTTCATCCACTTTCGTCGTACCCTACTTACACATTTTACTCAGGAGGCAAAGTCCAACATCAAACAAGTCAACGAATACCACACCGCTGGTCTTCATGTCATTCTCAAAGCTTTAGCAGCGGGTGATTCCCACCAGAGCCTCCGCAATGATCCTGCGATCTCGAATTTCGCCGTTGCTCAGGATGTGTACTTCATCACCAAAGCATACGACATGCCGGCTCTCCATATCCTGGTCGTCGAAATGCTCTTGCCTCGAGCTTTGGACATTGCGTGGGCCACACAGGATCCTTCCAATCGCCTAACTGCGGCTGAGTTCAAGTTCACTCACTATGACCTTTTAAAAGGTCGTCGATCTGCACCCTCTGAATACCCGAGCGACCTGTGGCCACTCTTTCTCAAAGCACTTATACACTATCAGCGTGTGGAGCCAGATTTTGACCTGTTCTCCTACATTGATGATGCAAATATGGCGTGCTATCTGGCTAAGCAGCTCAGCATCAAACTGGTGGCCGAGGAAGACAAGACCGTGAACCTTACCACACAGCTGAAGGCATCGGGGGAACCTGCAAACGAGCGCAGCAACTACTTAGCCACCCAAATCAAGAAGGTCAGAAGTCTTACCGCACGGGTAAAGGCTTTAGAAGAGCACACAAATGAACTCAACAGCAAGCTAGACGCTCGGGACGCAGAAGTCAGCAAGCTCACTGGTGAGCTTGCAAGCGAACAAATCAAGGCCAAAGATGTCGATACCAAGTTCGCCCGCGAACAGGAGAAGCTCGTGGCTCACAACGACAAGTTATTCGCCATTGGAGCTGGACTTCAAAATCTTGGCAAGCAGCTGCAAGCGTAGCCAAGACAGAGTGCCCAGGATCTCAACAGCATCCTCTGGACCGAAGAACCAAGATCGAAGGTCTCGCAAGCTGCCTCGGCACTAGGAGGGAGGAAGTCGCAACGCTGGTGCGTGGGACTGCAAGTAGCTTCCGAAACCTCGGCAAGATTGTGACGGCATGTTTGAGAGACAGATCGCGAAGCAGTACTGGGAGCCCCTAAGCAAGCAGTCGACGAACGTCCTATGGACAGATTGATGGGGTCGGACGATTTGGACAAGGGTAGGGGTCCTGGCTATTACAGTCTTTTCGGTACGGCAAGGGCCTGGATTTCTTTCTCGAGTTTGGCCTGGACGACTGTAGTGGGGCAGGTGCCGGGGATATCGAAGTGATGGCATGCACTGGGAGCCACTCTAGCACTTCAGGTGACTGTTCCTCAATTCTTCTGCCAAGACGCCACAGACTTAACAACAAAAATCCCCTGACAACTTCTGAACCTAAAGCTCACATTCTCCACGTTAAGACTCACAGCTACGTCCTCTTTCATACCTTTGTTGCTCACAGGAGCAAGTCACGTTAAGTCAGAGAGACGACAGCATTGTCAAAATATAGCACAATGGCTTCGAAGCCGGAAGATGGTAAGATGCTCCAGAAGGCTTGACTTTGACGCGAACGAAGTCGTCATGCGTGCTCTACTCCTTCCGAGGATGCACCACCAGAACTAACGATGCTAGACAAACCCACCAACGCCCTCGTCACCATCTGGCATGACAATCCCGAACAAACGTCAGACCAGCAGGCCCGCATGAGGACACGAATGCAGAAGCGATTCCTTGTGCAAGAGAGCGGCTACTTTAAGGCGATGTTGGACAGTCCATTCTTGGTCAGTAGTTTTCATTGCTATCTCTGCGGTTGACAAGCCCCTGACGATCCCCTAGGAAGCAAGCTCTGGCATCATTCAACTCCATGAAGATCCAGCCAGAGGTCTTAAACTTGTCCTTGACGCATTGGACACGGGTCCAAGCGCACATCAGATCCTGCGGAGCAGCTTTGTAGGCAACGGATTGAGCGACGCACGTCGCATATCTGATGCTGAGGAGATGTATATCGTCGCAGACAAATACGATATGCCCTCCGTCCGAAAGCTGGTTGTCGAGGAATTCCTGCCCCAAGCTTTCAACAACTTCTGTCTTAGCCACCCCTATAGCTCCATGTCTAGGGCCAGCCTCCTGTCCACACACTACAGCTTCCTGAACAAGCACTTCTCTGCAATGGGAGGGTACCCAAGCGACCTCTGGCCCTTCTACGTCACCATGGTTGTGGACTATCAGCACACCGATCCAGAAGTCGACCTCTTCTCCCACCTCGAGGATAATCCAAAGATGGCATGCTACGTGGCGAAACAGCTCAGCGTCAGACTGGTTGAAATGGGAAATGTGGTGGAGGAACTCATGCCGTGGGTACGACGGCCCAGCACAGAAGGCAGCAAACAAAACGCGAACACTAGGAAGAGCATATATCCTGAAGGCGCTCGCAAAGATGCGTACAAAGACTTCGTCCAAGTGTTCGATTCGAAGGTCTCAGGATCGCATCAAGACGGCTGAGACGAAATGTCGACAGAGCAGATCCAAAACCCAAGGTAGCTTCCGGACTCGCTTCCGCAGCAAATTGTCAACGCACGGAACGCACAGGGTGCTGGACTAGTCGAGAGATTACTTCTCAGCCACGACCATTGTCCTAACCCACATTGCAATCAGCGAAAAGATTCATCTGATGGCCCACATACTCCTTACGCGGAAGGGACAGGAGCAAGTCCGCTGAAAGCACAGGTCAACAGAGTCCCCGCTGCCGCCTACTGAGAGGAACAAAACGCACTGCAGGCATAGCGTTTGCATTTCTGCAACCCATTTTCCATACCTGCCTGGAATCTTGACCTGGACTTGAGATATATGCACGATCTTTCGACAGACTGGATTGATTGGGCAGAGCAGCAAGCCAGACACAACCTGGGTGTATGAGATTGTGGGTGCACAGCTCCAGCTGCAGGACACGCCGACAGAACCCGATATTTCGGATGTCTCTCAGGGCCATTTGAGATTTACACGCCCCCAGGATAGTTCTGGCGTCACAGATAGGCTCCGAGGATTCTCTCTGAGCTTCACCTGAGCGACTGTAGCGAGTCTGAGGCTGGCTATCGCAAAAGTGACAACGGGACAGTCGACTCAGCACTTCAAGTGAACAAGGGTCATAGCTTTTGCCAAGGCAGCCCAATTGACAATATTCACTACAGACAATTATTCCCACCATCGCATCGTCCGTCTTCGACTTCATTGAACCGCTGTCCATCTCGCATATTGCTGCACCACCGTCGCATCCTACAGATTCTACACTACTCGAAGCGACCAAAACTGACTCTCCGCGCCGCTAGTCATCGCTGACACGACCTGCATTATGCTTCAACGCCCAACAAAGGTAAGCTAGATTCTGTGGCTCTAGAGACTGCGCAAAATATTGCTACCTTTGCTTCAGAACTTGACCGAGGTGCGCGATGGCCGCTAACGATGCTAGAAGAACCCGATGCGTCGATGGTGACTATATGGTATGAATATATTCAGGTCGGCGGAGCAACAAACCACCACGTCGAGTCAGCACACGTATCCCAAAGCGAACCCTCACACAAGAAAGTGAATACTTCAAAGCTATGTTGGACGGCTCGTTCATGGTGAGGGCAATATCCCTCCACTAACATTGATTCCACTATCTCACGATCTTCTAGGAAGCCAGCTCTGGCGTCGTTCACCTCCACGATGATCCATGTCGTGGCCTCCGTCTCGTTCTAAATGCTCTCACGACCTCCACTCCGCACCAGTACCTCCGTGGAGCCGACTATCGTCTCATTCAAGAGGCATACATCGTCACAGACAAATACAAGATGGCTTCCCTCCATCGAACGGTGACTGAAAGACTATTACCCGACATCTTCGCGTTCACATGGGAGCTGACTCACCACGCTCTCCGTCTAAGCTCGAATAAATTCAAGTCCTGCCACTACGATTTCTTCAACGAGTACTTCTCTGGGTATCCGGAAGACCTGTGGCCACTCTACGCCAAAGCACTCGTGCACTACCAGCGCGTAGAGCCTGACGCTGACCTGATATCCCATCTCTTCGAAGATAACTCAAAGATGGCGCACTTCATGATCAAGCAGCTCACCAAGGAAGTAGCCGTTCACGAAGATCATGCCAAAGGCTTTAAGTCAAAGCTCGAAGCTGAGGAAGCCAAAGTCGCCGCTCTGAACAAGAAGGTGCGTGACATCGGAGACGACCTCAACGTTCTCGCTGGGAAGCTGAAGGTATAGTGAGCCAGGGATCGATGGAGCGTAGATAGAAACGAATGTACTGAACAGCCTCGCCTCAGATCAGTGAACAGAGCCGGCCAAAGGGAGGCCTGCGATCACACAGCACGACGCACAGGAGCATTTTGGCAGACATCATGTGCGTAGGCCGACGGACTGGACTCGACGAGTATCACTTTAGCGCATCGAAGTGATGGCGTGCACTGGCAGCGACTCTAGTACTTCAGGTGACCACTCTTCAACTCTTCTGCCAAGACGTGCTTTGACAAGATACACCACAAACAGATATTCCAATTAGCACCTCCGAAGTCCTCGACTCTTGCGCCATCTCTATCTTTGATGTTGCTGTGACCCGGCCGTGCCTCCCACACTTGCTGTTCGCGCCACCGAGGGCCGTCCACACCGACTTCGCACACCCGATAGCGACCGTTAAATCCGTCAGACCATGACTTCAGAGTCCAGTGAAGGTAAGACGTCGCCTGTAGTTAATACCCCTGCAGTTTGAGCCGCCAATTCCGCGATCCACCCCATGGCGGTCGTCCATCCATGACTAACGATGCTAGGCGATCCCGGTCGGTCGATGGTAACTGTATGGTACGACGGCTACACGTTTTCTGCCCCCTTGGTTGTAAGGCCTGGCAGAGTCAGCTTGTCGATCCAAAAGCAATACCTCACAAAGAAAAGTGGATATTTCAAGGCGATGCTCGAGAATGGCAGTTCGTTCAAGGTTAGAACCCTCTGCGCATTTGACTTTCAAACCAGCTGACGTTCTTCACTAGGAAGCAAACTCTGGCGTTATCGAATTACACGAAGATGGTCGCAGAGCTATCGATACCATGATGAATGCAATGGCAACGGGTGACGCACACAGCTATCTGCGGTACCTGTCGCCGTTATCACCAGACCTGGCTCGGCAATCCTACCTAGTTGCTGACAAGTACGATATGCCTTCGCTCCAAGCGCTGATTGCCATCGAGCTACTGCCTCAAAGTCTCACTTTGAGCTGGGATAGCTCTGTACCCAAGATCACAGCATCTCAATTCAAGACCAATTACTACGACTTCTTCAACGACCACTTCTCCGCAGTCGCTGGCTACCCAGAGGACCTATGGCCACTGTACACCGAAGCAGTCGTGTATTACCAAGGTGCAGAGCCGGATTTCGATCTGTTGTCTCACCTCACCAGCGACAAACCGGAGATGGCGTGCTTCATAGCCAAGCAGCTCAGCAAGAAGTTGGCGGCTGCGGAGGATACTGTCAAAGACCTCAGCAAGAAGGTGAAAGCTATCAAAGACACAGTAGACGCATGGCGCTGATCCTCTGTTGCGAGCACTTCGCCGTCAGTACACTCGAGAAGAACTTCTACCTGAGGACACCCGCGGCAAAGCAATAGGGGCTGTACTCTGGAGTCAGACAGAGTTAGCTTACGAGCACGACGTGCTGCGATCCGGCTAGAGATGGATGTACCCAAACAACCAGATGTCCTGTCTGCGAGCAACATATGACATGGGCTCACTAGTGGATGTCTTGATGGCAGGATGACACAGTTAGATGGCTTGCACAAGAAGTGGCCTCGTGTCTAGCAGTCTTTTCGTACGGGCAGGCTCTAGAGGGCTTGTGACCTTGACCTGAGCGACTGCTCAGGTGCCTGAAGATCTCGAAGTCATGCTCGACTGGCAACCACTGCAACACTGCAAGTGACGAGTTTTTACTTCTTCCGCCAAGGCCTCAATGAACGAAACATCACAAACAAATATCTGTCTGTCAATTGCTCAGCGCTTCGACCACTTCAATCATCGTTGGAATCGTTGTAGCGCGGGCGCATCTTCACTGAGTGATCCCTTTCTATGATTGAAAGCAACTCTTATTAGTTCAGGGCTCCGACAGCCACCATCGAAGTTGGCCACATCATGGCTTCGAGCTCGAACGATGGTAAGACGGATCCTACGACTACACGTCAACCGGCATGAAATGCTTCACCTGCCTTATACCATTCACATTGCAGCCGGAGACTAATGATTTCAGACAACCTCGACGACCCAATGATTACCGTTCGCTGGCAGAAGTACGAAAGTGACTGCCCACCCGCCCCTGATGAACCTGGCATTGGCATCAGAATCCGGAAAAGCATCCTCACAACCGAAAGTGCACACTTCAAGACACTTCTCGACGGTCCATTCAAGGTCAGCAGCCATTGCTCAATCCGCTGGAACCTCGGCTTACTTCTTCTAGGAGGCAAATTCTGATGTCGTCGACCTGTACGGCGACAGCCCGCTCGCCATGGGTGACGTGCTGCATGCATTGGCATACGGTGATCCACAGTATTCCCTACTGACCAGCCCGGCCGCTGGGGACTACCATATTGCTCAAGAGGTATACATCATCGTCGACAAATACGATCTCAAATCGCTCCGCAGCTTCGTCGTCGACAAGCTCCTCCCGGGAGCGTGGGCTGCTCGGTGGCGTTGTCCTAAGTATGCGACATTGCCTGGTTGCGCTGAGGGCTTCGAACGCTTTCACTACGACCACCTCGTTCAACACTTCTCTGATTATCCCAAGGAGCTATGGCCGTTCTACGCCAATGCGCTTGTGCATTACAGACGCGCAGAACCAGAAGCCGATCTGTTTGGGCACCTCCTCGAGGACAATCCTGAGATGGCGTGTGGTATAGCTAGAGAGCTCATCATCCAGCTAGCTGCCACAAAAGACGAGGTCGCGGGGCTTCGGCAGGGTTTGTCGGACAGCGCAGCTGTCGTTGTAGACCTCAGGGACACGCTGAAGGCAACGGAAGAGGGCCTGCAGGAGCTAAGCAAGGACCTGACGGCTAATATCAAAAAGCAGATGGATGCCGCCATTTCTGGCGTCAAGAAGTCGTTTGGACATAATGGCAATCCCGAGGGACTGCACAAGTCAAGCTAGTCAGGGGAGAAGTCGCCGGTTAAATGCGCAATGACAGCAACGACAGTAGTCTCTGTCTGGCCATGAATGGGAGGCGTGCATTAGCGCAGATTGGCTCAGTCGATGCACTGACTGTCATCTTATGGAGTCGTCGAGGCAAGTCGCACTATCGTAGGTTGTGCGCGGTGCACGAACGGAGCTGCTGGATGAGTAGCTCACTCCATCAGCCGTCTGGACTGGAGTCTGATTGGAAAGGTATTCTATTGCTATCGGTATGCTGAGAAAGTCTCTTGCTGCGAGCAGCAGTCCGGCGTGGGTCGTACCAGGAGTGTCAGGACAGTCGATGGGAACACAAAATATCACACAAGCAAGAATGCCCAGCTTCATCCATCCGCCTCGTGACGCTTCCTTCGTGACATGATAACCCTTGTCCCTACACCATGAGCGTTCCCATGTCGGCGAAAGTACGAACCGCCACGTTTGACAGTTTCTTATTACTGCCGAATTCGCGAGTCCACGCATCAACCGTCTCCCCAGCCATGAGCAGACGCTGTGGAAACCGCTGAGCTTCAATCTTGGACTTTAGTGTCAAGAACGGTTCTCCCATTTTAGTCCAAACCTCAAGCTCGTGTCCTCGCTCTCTGAAATGCACGCGCCACTGGCCGTTGGGCTCGTAGTGCATACGCTCCTGACCGTTCAGGCGAGTCGAACGGCGGACCGTTGGCGTGCCTGCAAGATTGGGGCCAGTCTCGATCGATGGGATGATCTGATCCTGGTCAAGAGCAAGTTCCGGCCGACCGCGTGTAGCCTGATCATCAGTGTCGTCTTCCTCGTCAGATGAGATGACGATGTACTCGGGATCGGACTCTGCGGCTTGTTGGCGAGCAGGCTGTTTGGCAGCCTCCTTTTCCCTACGTTTCTTGAGCGCTTTCTGGGTTTGCTTCGCGCGAGTCTCTCAGCCTTGGTAATTCTGGCGGTCATCGCATTAGCCGCGCGTTTTGCAATTCCCTTGGCACGCTCGAAGACTGGGTGTCGAGTCGTAGCTGTCGAAGACTTCGCAGTAGAAGGCGCCGCTGCATTCGGGATGGGTGTGTTCACGAGCTCGCCTGTCTCGACATCTAGATCTTGTCTGTGTAGCATCGAATCTATCGCGAGCTGGATACGCTGATCTGTGTATGTCAGTACCAAGGTTCGAACAGTTGATTTCCCTGCCTGGATGCGTCATAGGAAGAAGTGGAGGACCGGTGCAGGACGGTCATTTTGTCCGCTTGATGGGATGTGTGCTGTCTGATGTACTTACCGATAGGGAGGGAATGGGTGTCGGTAGCAGTGGGCGCAATGTAGGCTGTTTTCGGCTGCCTTTTAGCAGTAGGGATGACCGGAAGGGCAGGGACAGGCTTCACACCAAGCTCGGAAGCCTCTGGTGTAGCATCTCTGGCATTTTCAGGGAACCAAATGCGCCGGACTGCTCGTAGCTTCTCGACAAAGCGACGATGAAGAATATTTGATTGATCTAAATTGCCGTCGACGTGCCTCGCGGTAAAGCTGTCGACCACATCGCGGCGACCTCGAATGGCGCAGTTCAGTAGCCTCAATACTTGAGTAGGTATTGGCTTGCCAGCACGAGCGTTGAGCTGCTCAAGTCAAGCGTCAGTGTGTGACTTTAGGGTGATGTCGACGGTCAAAGGGAGACTCTGAGCTTTGAGAGTGTACTGACCACATGAAATGGCGCGAAGTCCCAATCCTCCGTGGTGTGGACCTTCACGCCGTGACTCTTGATGAAGTTTTCAACCGCACGTTGGAAGTCGTGGTACTCATCTACATTCTCTTGGACCATTTGACGCACGCTGGGGCGCGATCGAGACGAGGCGGCCATGTTCCGTCGCTATAGACGAGGAATGTTGATGAGGAAGATTCGGGGAAAGATAGAAAAGCGACGACGTGTTGGCAGTGAAGAACGAAAAGAACTGTTTGTAGAAGTGAAGGTGCATCGTTGTTGCCGTAGTGGCTCGACCCAGTCGCAACTTCCTCATCGTAGAGGGGGCCCGGAGCTCGAAGGTACTTGACTGCAGCGTAAGAGGGAACTCACGACCCGGTCACCCACCATCACTCATGAATCTTGCTAACGGAAAACGCTGCCATCCGAGACATCTGTCAGCTCAGGTCGGTGTGTGCTCGCATTCAAACATGTCTGATACATACTGTAAACTTCGTTCCCAAATACGCTAAACCAACATCGCATACCTAAGTCGAGCTGAGTTCTCAAGCTCCGCTTCCGTTATAAACAATTCGGTTAGGACTTCCATTAGGATTCGCAATCTGCCCTGTAGTCGCCAGCGCCACAACCCTACTCACAGTAGCACTAGCACTCGCAAGTCCTTCCAGAGCCTTGAGGTACACCACCAGCCCAGCAACATGAGGCGTAGCCATCGAGGTACCAGAAATGACGTTCGTAGCGGTAGTAGACCCGATCCAAGCGGAGCGCACGCTCACGCCAGGAGCATGCACGTCCACAATAGTGCCGTAGTTGGACCACACAGGACGGTTGTTGGAGGAGTCGATGGCGCCGACGGTTATGGCGTCTGTCGCTGAGGCGGGGGAGACTTCGTTGGCGTTGATCTGTATGTCATCATCAGCGCGGGCAACGAAGAAGGGCAGGCGCGGGGCTTACCGCGACGCTGTTGACGCCATTGCCGGCAGCGACAACGGAGACCACGCCGTTCGCAAACGCTGCATTGACCATGCTGTTGAATGCTGTCACAACGCCACGCTCTGGACAACGTTAGCTTGTCTTGGGTCAGGGTTATGTTGGACATACCAGTGCCAAGACTCATGTTGATCACCGAGACGCCTGTACGGCCCTTGCTCGTGATGTCGTTGACAGCCCATTCGAAGCCTTGCATGATGGTCGACGTCGGGCTTGACCCCGTGCCAAAGACCTTGACTGAGATGAGATTGGTCTGCTTAGCAACCCCATATGTGGTACCTCCAATGGTCCCGGAAACATGAGTGCCATGGCCACCGCTGTCGACATGGCTACCACCAACAAAGTTTTGGCCCAGTGATGCACGCCCGCCAAATTCGACATGCTGAATGTTGATTCCAGAGTCGATGACATATGCGTACGTCCCGCGACCCGCGCTGTCATCATAGACGTACTGAGTGGACGGCGCTGTGCGATGGCTTATGCGGCCCAGGCCCCATTCTGCGTTGTTCTGCGTGACTAATGCGCTCATGTAGCAAGGCAGGTCCGGCTCGATCGTGGCAACCTGTCATGGTAAGCGTCAGATCTGGTAGGGCCAGACGGACATACATCATCTCTTGCTCCAATTTCCGCAACTTCTGCTTCGTCAAATGTACCAGCATAGCCCTGGAAGTCGAACAAGTTGAAAGTCTTAAGATCTCCACCTGACTCCTGACGTCGAGCGAGGCCACGTCGCTGCAGACTGCTGGCCCAAGCGACACTCTCGTTCATCTGGACGCCAGGCTTGAGGGTGACGATGTATCCCTGACTTGGCATTACGGGTTGCACCACTGGTAGATCTTCTTCTGCCTGCGCAATTGGTGCTGCGAACACATTTGAAGCCGCCAAGAGGCCGGCGATGGCCGTTGCTGCTGTCCACTTCATGCTGAAGATTGTGCTTCCCACTGATTGAGTCCTATAAGTTGTCGATGGCTAATGGAACGGGGAAGTTGCTGTTGAAGTAGCGCTCCTGAGAAATTTGTCAAGTAAACGAATGAACGGGTAAGGGAACGAATGTATGGGTAACTGCAAAGAATGGACGTTGACCGAAGTCAACAACGCGAAGAAGCTGATCGAGACGGGAAGCTGGGTGCTTTATTGTGCTACACCGGAGGAGAGGCACTCTTTATAGTACTCAAGAGTCCATCGAACTCGGCATTGCTTCTGTTCCCATGGTCACACCGGTCAGTGGATGTGCTGCGGTGAGTCGTTGTCGGCACTTCATCGTCAGGCAATTGTGCAGTGACTTGGCGCAAGATGTACCTTTAGTCTCGGAATCAGTTCTCGAAAGGTTCTCAACGACCGTGATGTATACCACCTCATGCACGAGAATCAAGAAACTTCAATATACCCCATGGGCGGGTCTCAATCACAGTCAGTGACCTGCCTATTCCGGCATCGTCGAAGTTGATAGCCACTTCGAATGTCAAGGTCAAGGCTTTGCTCAACGGCGATCATCGGCAGGGACCGGGCCAGTAGCAAGTCGAGAAAGGTAAGTATTGTGTATAGCGTGAGCAGCGGCGCGTTTGAGGCCAGCGAGCAAGGCGATAAGAGCACGGACGTAGTTGCCGTAACAGATAGCCGAGCCTATACGCAATATATTGACGATAGCAAGGCGCCTTGGAAGCTGGAAGCGAATACATGGCATGTGCGTCGATGGAGATGTGTATCGGAAGTGCCTCGTCTCTGGGCTTCGCACTGGCTACCCAGGTGCTGCGAGCCAGCTGACTTCAATGATCGTACACGATTGTACTGAGGCTGTCGTCACATCCGCGATATTTACTCAACAGCGACTCGAATGGACGGACCGTTGCGCTCAACATACCTGAACAAGACGGAGTAGAGGATGTTATTGTGGGGGATGTGCAAGAAGGAAGCCAGGACTACCTACTAGTAGGTAAGATCGCGTCGAAATTACATGATGTTTAGCGGCTTGGCGCTCCGATCCTCGACTCCGCTCTCTCGGAGCGAGGTGGCGTCTCGAACGTCGCGTGCCTGCCTCCTTTGTTGACAGACGCGAAACCATCAATTTTGGAACAAACACAGTCAAACACACTCCAACGGATGCCAGTAGGTCTATGGCATCAGTCCGTCTTGACCAGCTTCCAGCCTTTGTCGGTGTGTTCAAATTGTGCCTTCGTGGACTTTGCGGTCTCTTCCATCACTTCCAATGGCAACACGGCCGAGGGACATTCGCGCCGGAGATTGTCGTCGTCCAGTCCATGATACATCAAAGGTAGTATCGACGAATTCCAGACACCCCACGGATGGCCTCTTGTTGGGAGATATGCTGACGGTTTTTCTGTGGTACTTACGACTTCGTAGCCAAGTCGATTGACCTTGAGCGAGGAATTGAACATGGTCATGACGAGTAGGGTGGCAGTGAGTGCAATGAGAGCCGCTGGAAAGATGAGCCACAGCCACTGGACATGGACGCATGTGGCGGGCTCCATGAGTACGCCTGCCGCTGGAGAGTTGGCGTCGGAAACGTTTTTGGGGGGCTTGCCGTCCGTAAGGGTAGATGGTAGCTCTGGGCTTCCGGTAGCACGCATTTCAGAAGAAATACTTGCAGCAATGTTACTAAAGACCTGCTGCACAAATGGCAACGAAATCTTGGGGCTGTTGAGTAGTTTCAGTAATGCTGCAGGGCCAATCAACCGACTATGTTGCGTGATACTGCCATCTAGTAGCGTTCCCAGCCATGTATGCATGCTGCAATGAGAGTGTTGGCTCATTTGAAAAAGACACATCGGGTCGATAGATTGGAGTGCAGCATCGGCAAGTGTTTCGTTGTTAGCATATGGGACGTGTCTTGTGTTACCTGCGTCCGTCAAGTTGTACCAGTCGCCGTCTTTTGGCTCAATGCTGAGGTCGTAAGCCATCCAGTCGGTGTCTGTGGGGAGAGCGTATCCGTGATCTTGCAGAACGCGTCGGCTGCGGCTATCCAGACAGGTATATGCAGCATAGCATAATCACCTGATCCACGAACTGATCCAACGGCCCAAGTCTCAGTACTGTTCACCACTGTCTCTGTCGTCGTTCCGTTGATGACTGTAGCGTTGATCGAACTGACATGGGGCTTGATGTTGCATTCCACAGCAGCATAGCCTCTACATTGCCAAGATGTCCCAGCATCATCCGCCTCCTGTTGTGTACAGTTGACTTTCATCATAGTGGAGTCAAGTTCAAAGATAAATCGGAATGGAGCCAGTGTCTTGCCACAGTGCTCATACGACGGGACCTGAGATAACAAATGTTGAGCGTATGTAGGATCTTGTTTGGAATATATTGTTGTCGAAAGGGTCAGATTGTCCAGTTTGCTACCATGGGCATCATTCCAAGACGGCAGCGTGTAGTTGATTCCTCTAACGTCACCCAAGTCCTCAGTCGGTCGTGCGATTGTCAATTGCGCAGTGACATCAGTGCATGACGAGTAGACCCCGACAGTATGAAAGACCTCGGGAAATGAACAGGTTCCTGACAGACAGGAGGCCAATGTTTGGCTCGGATCAGAAGCAAATACACCATCGAATATCGCTGATTGCACTGATGAAGGCGGCGATCGAGTTGCGTCGTCGCTGTTCATATACCAGTACAACGCTTGGCGTGGGATGAAAGCCTTAGAATTGCTTGACGGAAGCTGACAAGCCTCATACCTAACAAGCTGTTGCACCATGGGGCCCGTTGCTATACTGAGAATTATGATGGCCGCGGCGAGAGCTGCAGACACGCTCCAGGAAGATGGTGAGGCGAGCAGCAACACGCAGCCCCATGGGCCACGACTCGCTCCATCAATTATAGTCATATGACTCAATGGCCTGCTTTGCGAGAACCAGGTCCATTTATGCTGACTGAGCGCTTGAGCACTGACATACACTACCCCAGCCCGAAGCGTTACCGTCAAGATAGAGATGATTGCGTTGACTGATATCGCGCGTGGCCAGTCGGGTAGACCTTTGCCTACGTAAGGCACCACCACTGCTATGATGCCAGCAAACGCGGCCAGAGAGAGCGCGAGAGTCAGTAGCTCGGGGTACCAGAGGCGCAGCAAGTTATGACGGTGCTTTGCGACGTCGTGGGATGATGGAATCGAGTCCGATACAGTCGGTGTATCCTGTTCGTCATTGGAAGAGGCTCTCTCGCTGGGAGAGCGTTGATCGATGGGAGACGGTTCATTGTGCGAAGACCGTCCCACGCGAGGAGATTGTTCATCGTGAGGAGACGGTTCAGTGTTGAGAGGCTGTTCATCGCTAGGTAAAGGTTCAGCGTTAGGAGAGTGGTCTTCGCTAGGGAAAGGCTCAGCCTTATGAAGGGGTTCGTCGTTGTTAGTCTCCGCGTCCACATGCGCGCCATCCGGCAAAGGCTTCCGTCGGGGCCGTCGTGCTGAGCTTGTCTCTAGCAGTCGCTCGTCCTCGGGACTGGTGACGCGCGCTGATGCTCCCGTCGCAAAAGCCATTCGTACTCGTCAGCGGATAGTTGGTGGGCGATCCCAACGATCGATCCAGAGGGTTGAGGAGATGCGGTTGGTGACGTCTCCCATATGCAGATCTGACCATTTTCGCAAACAGCAAGTCGAAAGCATATGAAAGAAGAGATGGCACTTATCGTGACTGAATCTGAGACAAGGCTGGCCTGGATCGTGTCGAGCCACTGGCGCACCGCTCCAAGGTGTGACAAGCGGTCAACCGACGCGTGGCTGACAGGCAAGGCTGGTTCACAAGGCGCCTTCCGCTTGACAGTTTCGACCAGTGACGAGATCTGAGTCTCTTCCAAGGACAGAGCGTCGATTTGGAAGGTTGCCCCCATCATGTTTCCCGCGACAAGCTCGTCACCATATTGGTGACCCGTCGACTAAATACGGCGCAAATTGTTCGCATGCTGACAAGAACAATCAGCGCACTTACCTTTGTCAACCGCACCTGATTGCAGTGCAACCGCCAGGCTGCATGACGCCCAAAGATTGGCATTCAAGGCGTACTGCTGCAATCTCTAGATGAGCGAAAGTACGAATCTGAACCAGAACCGCCGGGGCAGGCAACCAAATCTGGAATTGACAGCGGTTCGCCATGCAGCTCGTGGCTTGGATGTCAGCCAACAGGCAAACTCGACGCTGCAATCGAGCCTGCCACCACTCCAGCAGGATTCAACACTCTCGCAGTAGCCAGACCATTGGCCAAGAAGAGAGCTCACTGCCGTGACTCAAGCAAGGGATATATGGAGCACGTCGAAGTTCGAGTTGGCAGCTCCCCGTGAACCTCAGGCTCTGCCTCCGGTGGCCTGGGTGGCTGGCGGCGCCGAGCCAAGCGTAAATGCTTGATTGGGGGCCTAAATTTCTAGGACGTTTTACGCGGCCTGAAAAGGTCTGTTCGCGTTTGTGCTTTGGAAGGGCTGACGATTCCATATGGTTGTGTCGGGGTTCTGACAGACGCGCGCATTTTGGAAGGCGAGTATACTACTGCTCAGTCGCAGTAGCTGGATTCGTCAGTTTAAGATACTCTCTTCTATTCCAAGGTTGAATGCTGATTATTGGGGACACGCTTCTCCTAGCAACTCACGCCGCTCATTCTCCCACCCTGGAAGTCTAAACCACGGTCTTCTCTAGCAGCTCGATGCCATACTTCTCCTTGAGCTCCACCAGCAGAGGCTCAGCAACATCCCAGGTCACAGGCGCGAGGACACCCTTCTTGCTGATCCGTCCATCTAGCACCATCAGACATGCAACAGCGCAAGGAACACCGACTAGCTTGGCCATGGCAGAGTAACCCTTCGGGTCGCCGTACTCAACCAACGTTGACGTACGCGTCTCCTTGTTGCCGTCCTTGTGCTCGATCTCGAATTTGTGTTGCAGCATCACCATATCTCGCTCGTTCTCTTCATACTGCATCTTCTGCTCCAGGGTGGCGCAGAGAGTGTCGAGAGGATTGCCACGAGGTGTGATCTTGGTGTCTGGCGAGAACAAGCCCAGCCACTTCATGCCACTGAGAATACGATTCTTCTCGGCGGTGTCGGCGAATGTGGTCTTTGAAGAGATGCCCCATTGTAAGTCGCTCTCAGAGCCGGAAGAGACGCCAATGATCTTCTGAGTTGCCTCGGCCCATGAAATAGGCTTGTCCAAGAAGTCACGCTTCTCGTCAGACAGGAAGCCAACATCGACGAGGACCTTGACGAATTGTGGGAAGCCAGCATAGCGCAGAGTACCGCGGACAACAGTCTGTGCTTCAGGGATCGAGTAGCGCTCTCGATAAGGTGTGCTGTCACGGTTGGGATACGCGACGAAGGCGAAGCCAGGGTAGATGTGATAGGGCACGGCGGTGGCCATGAGATCCGGACCAGCGATCGAGACCTCCTTACCGTCTTGGTAGTACTTGGCTGCGTTTCTCAAGGCAAGGAGGACACCTCTCGAGGACCAAGAGAACTTGTAGCCGAGTGGGTTGTCGGAGGCTTCTGGGGCAGGAAGACCGCCGCAGTAGGAGTAGAAGCCAGTGATTTTGCCGCCCTCCTTGTGGACTTCCTCGATAGTCTTGACTGCATACAGATGGTCGATGCCAGGGTCGAGGCCGATCTCGTTCATGACTGTAATGCCAGCATCTTGACACTGCTGCTCCAGCTCTTCCATAGCAGGCGACACGTAGGAAGTTGTGACAACATTCTTCTTGTTGCGAATGGCAGACTTGATGACAGTGGCGTGGAAGGTGTATGGAATGAGTGAGATGACCAGATCTGAGCGGGCCACTTCGGCGTCGAGGGCCTTCTCGTCATTGACATCGAGCGAGACCGGGCGGGTATTCTTGATGGTGGAGGAGAGCTTCTTTGCCGACTCGAGGGTTCTGCAGGCTATGAGAAGTCAGTACCGTCCCTCAAGTCAGACTGGCTCCCGACGTGTGTGAGCTTTTGTATGCCGTTCTCTGCCCATGATCTTGCCGATGTAGGGCATGGAGGGGAGACGATTGGGACGTACCGATAGTCACCTCAATGCCGGCATTTGCCAGGATCTCGATTGTTGGTTTGGTCACGAAGCCCGCACCGAGCAGTAGGGCCTTCTGGCCATCGTACTTGCCTCCGGTCATTGCGATCTTGTGTAGGTAAGGAGCGTTACGAGGACATGTGCAGTCCTACTTGAGTATCTATTTACTGAGTCAAAAAAGTTTTGAGCCGGAAAAATGCCGTGAGTCGTAGGGCGGGGGAGATCTCCAAAATCCTTATCGATTGCAGGGCTAGTCATTGCGGTACCTGATACCATCGTGACTGAGTCATGTATCGAACGCCGTTGCCGGGTGACGAAGTGTTTCCATTCCCAATTGAAGCAAGTCTGAGACATCACACTAGACCACCGCTTGCTGCGCTTTACATCATAGAAGTTGAGCGTCGTTGATCTTTTCGCGTCCCTCCAGGCTCGCAAGGTGTCAGCTTCGCTTGGCTTCTCTGCTTTCTAGCTGTTGCTGCAACATCTCTGAGGCTCACCACGCCCTACCTTCGGTACCGCTGCAATGGCGGTCACACCGCTCTCGCCTCGCTCGCAGCAGGCGCAGAATATGGCCATGCCAATGCCACCGCCTTTGCTTCACACGCGGTCCGGCAATGAAGCATACGATCGACCCAGCACACCCAACAGCAATGCCTTCGTTAGTCCTTCACAGACTCCGGTTGGTAGTCCAAGCAAGAAGCAGCTGCCTCCTGGCAGTACTGATCTGCCCAATGTGTTCGACAATGCTCTCAAGCTTGCGCCATCGTCACCCACCAAAGGACCAATCTCACCAAACAAGCTCGCTCTAGCGGATGACAGTATGCTCCGACAAGACTACAATGACCCATTCGGCCGGTCTGAGAGTCCGACGAGGCAGTCAAACAAGGAGAACACACCAGCCGGAGATGGGAAAGCTGTACAGAGTCACGCGGCGATGTCGAGGAGAGGCCAGTATGAGACTGTTGATTCCAGGCGCAACATTCCTACACGAGGCTTGACTCCGGAAGAGTTACAGAAGCTGCAGAACCCCAAGATGAAGCGGTTGGCCAACGTCACCCAGCTGTGTAAGTACCGAGTGTCCACGGGCAGTAATGGTTGCTGATACTCTGCAGATTTCCTCGATCACTACTACGATCTCCTCACATACGTCCACAATCGACAAGTCCGTGATGATCTCTTCAGAGAAGCATATCCTGCCGACTCCACTACTCCTCAAGAACGGGAAGCAGCGTTCAGCAAGCATCTCGGCAAGGAGCGAGCAGGTCTACGAAAGCGACGAACTCGCCTTCGACACGGCGACTTTCAGATCCTGACACAGGTCGGGCAAGGTGGCTATGGTCAAGTCTACTTGGCGCAAAAGAAAGACACTAGGGAAGTCTGTGCGCTTAAGGTGATGAGAAAGAAGCTGCTGTTTAAGCTCGACGAGATCCGACACATTTTGACCGAACGAGACATCCTCACCGCCGCTAAGTCCGAATGGTTGGTCAAGCTCTTGTACTCGTTCCAGGACGATGAGCAGATCTACTTGGCCATGGAATACGTCCCTGGAGGCGATTTCAGAACGCTACTGAACAACACTGGTGTCCTACACAATCGCCATGCTCGCTTCTATATTGCCGAGATGTTCGAATGTGTCGATGCACTGCACACTCTGGGCTACATTCACCGCGATCTAAAGCCAGAGAATTTCCTCATCGACGCCACTGGCCACGTCAAACTCACCGACTTCGGTCTCGCAGCCGGTATGCTAAGTCCTATCAAAATTGAGAGCATGCGAGTCAAGCTCGAGGAAGTCGGAAATACTCCGGTACCATTCGGTCTACCGCCTCCAGAAGAGCGCACAGCCGAGCAGAGACGAGAAGGGTATCGATCACTCCGCCGCAAGGACATGAACTACGCCAAGTCGATCGTTGGTTCTCCCGACTACATGGCTCCCGAAGTGCTGAAAGGCGAGCAGTACGACTCCACAGTCGACTACTGGTCTCTCGGCTGCATGTTGTTCGAGGCTCTGGCCGGCTACCCTCCATTCGCTGGCGCCACGGTCGACGAGACCTGGCAGAACCTCAAGCGTTGGCAACGCGTACTCCGCAAGCCGGTTTACGACGATCCTAACTATTTTTTGAGTAAGCGGACTTGGGACCTGATTACTCGTCTGGTGGCTGGCAAGGAGAATCGCTTCAAGAACATTGGCGAGATCCACAAGCACGAGTACTTTGCAGAGGTAGACTGGGCCGGTCTTCGCGAACAAAAGGCTCCATTCGTGCCAGAGCTCGACAGCGACACTGATGCCGGCTACTTCGATGACTTCAGCAACGAGGCAGACATGGCCAAGTACAAGGAGGTGCACGACAAGCAGCGTGCATTGGAGGATATGGCCGAGAGGGACGAGAAGATGAACAAGAATTTGTTCGTGGGATTCACCTTCAGGTATGCTTCTTCCTCCTGCAAGTCAAGGTTCGGACATAGACTAACAGTATACAGACACCGCAAGCCGAACGTCGATGGCGAAGGCAAGCCTGAGAGCCCGAGGAAGGCCATTGCTACCGATGGCACCTTCGGCACTATGTTCTGAATGTCATAGCTGTGTTGACATTTGTCGACAATCATGACAACAGTTCACTTCCATGAGCATGTTTGAGGCAGCGTGACTTGTCTTACTGTACCAAAATTTGAGAAAGCAACATACGTCCGGACGACTGATGCGAGATGAGAGTAATAACGACACGGATCGACGGACGAGTTGCTCGCAGCATGGAGAACTTCTTTCGGAAACCGGGTTTTGCGTGGTGGGATGGGATTGAGGGAGCGCCTGTTGTGGTTTTGAGAGGCACTTCAGGGCAGAGTATCACCATAGCGAAACGTGCATCGCAGGAAGTTCGTATCAACAGCAGACAGGATTTCTAGGAGCACTATGCATTGTGGAACAGCATATGACCTCGTTCTCGGTCTTCTTTCTCGTTCTCATCTCCATCGTCCCCCGCATCGAACACCGCGATACACTGCCTCTCTCGAGGACAATCATGAACGCTGCCGGGCAGCGACTGACTCCAATGCACGCAAAGTAGCGTGCATGCCTCTTTGCCGAGTCTTGCCGCGTCAGTGCAGTCAAAGTCTCGCTTTGCATCGGACCTTGACTTTGTAGAGGTTGTATAAATAGTGGCCACGCCCGCGACAGCATACTTTTCTTCCTTTCCTCCACGATGGACCAAAAGAAACTCTTGACTTGTCATGCCATGGTAGCATTTGCTGCTGTCTAGCGGGGCGAGTCAGACGAGAGAAACATCGCTAAATATCAGGAGCAGTCGATCATGTATCTTCGACAAAATCGTGCAACGAGTTGCCAGTGTGCGCGAAACCGCCGTTCACGCTCCTAGACTAGCCACGAACTCCAGCACTTCTTTGTTGAATCGCTCGGCGTCCTCGTAGAATAGCCAGTGTCCGCACTCGTAGACGCTCTCCTTAGCCAGCGGCTGCCCTCCTCTGGCCTGGCTGCCGCCGTTGATCCGTCTGACCGATTCGCGCATGCCCTCCAGAGGGAAGCAGCCCGAGTAACGACCCATTATTACCAACGTGGGGACGCGTACCAATTCAAGTGCTTCGCGGTGGTCGTACGCCGTGTGGTCTGCGATGAGCAGACCGAGCCACTCCCCGCTCGGGCATTGCGATGAGATCGCGTTGAAGAACTCGAAGTCTGCTTTCTGCCTGTCCTGTGAGGGCTTTGATCCTGGATAGTCGGGATGGTAGTAGCCTAAGCATCCCTCGATCAGCCCCTTTTGCGCGTTCACTCGGTCAGTCGCCCAGGCATGCTGTGCGGCAAGAATTGTTTGCAGATCATAACAACCTGTGTGCGCTTTCGTTTCGTTCCAATCACCGCGAGGACTGCGATTCTGCAATGGCGCCTGATCCACGAAGATCAAGCCAGCGAAGTCTTTGTCGCCGAAGAGCTCGGCATACGTCCACAGCACAGCCGCGCCGATCGAGCAGCCTACGGGGAAGAACCTGATGTCATTGCTGCTTTGCTGGCCGCGAAGATGTAGGATGAGTTCGCGCAGGTCGGCGGCGAGGCGGGCGACGTGGTACCCGCCGGGCGTGAGGTCGGAGCGGCCGTGGCCACGCATGTCCGGTGCAACAACCCAGAACTGTGAGGCTAGAGCAGTAGTGTTGTGCTTGAAGTACGCACTTGAGCCGCTGAAGCCGTGCATTAGCAGGATACAGGTGTTGGGTTGGTGGGAATTTGTTCGAGAGGTAGAGGCATAGGCTAGGCGGCAGCCGTCTGATGCGGTGATGAAGTTGTATTCCATGGTTGGGGGCAACTTTGTGCAGGGATGATGGTCTGCTACCAGATACTTGGGATTTAGCTATCGAAAGTGAGTCTTTCAATGCATCGCGGTTGGTCCATCAAGAGGAGCTATAGGAGCAGCTGGCTGCTCAGCTACAGTGGCGCCGTGTCGACCGACGAGGAGACGGCAATGACGAAGCAGACGATTCGTTGATGTCCGAGACGAGTACTCAACAAGCATGTCGCCGTCATCAAGCCCCAAGCACATTAGCCTTGGCACTCCGAGGCCGAGGCGGAGAGTCAGATAAGGCAAATTTGAGCCTGAAGCCAAACTCGGCCCCAGATCAGCTCCTGGTCATGCCTAGAAGATGGGCACAGACTCACTGGCACGTCCTCGAAGAGTGAGTTAGCGCATACTGGAGGCATATGCAATCGATTTTCAGACACCGAAAAACAGTGAATGTCTTCTGGCTGAATCAATGAAGTGATCCTTGCGGTTTGCCGCGGATCTCCACTTTGTGAGAATGATATAAGTAGTCGAGCTGCCCACAACCTTCGTCCTCTTCGCTTCCCTCACGCTCACGATCTTCCTCAAGGACGCATTGTCATGCCTTGGTAGTGTCTGCCGCCTGGCGAGACGAGCAACTTGCAACCAACGTCTACCGAACCATTTTCTACACATGCGGGATTCTAGACAACACGCATCTAGCATGCTCTTCTGTGGTTTACCGCTGCAGGTGCACGCCCGCCGCCTTGTGTTCGGATCGCTACCGCACCGTGGTCTGGGTGTACTGATATGTGATTCCTTCTAGCACTCGTCGACCACAACGTGCGCGCGCCCACAAAAGTAAATCCTTGATCCTGCCTCTTTCCCAAAATGGTATCACCTTTCGCCATATCGATGCTGTGTTATCTAAGCCACCTCCCCACGTATGCTTACACATCCAAAGACCCCTCAATCTACCATCCATCGACCTCGAGCCATCCTGGACCTTACTGCTACCTCTCTCGTGCATACATTCCCTTCAGCTCAACCGAGCCAAAGACTAGCGCTGTGGCACAGCTTGGTCTTGATTTGCAAGCAATGCAGCAAGGCCCACGGCAGCCCTGGAGGTGGACATGAGCCCAGGGCGCTACCTGCTGTCTCGATAGCCGTACACGTCCACTAGCAACGCTCTCGCTATTCCTACTGTACCTAGGTACGTACGTAGGACATATGTATCATCCGTGTTGACTCCAGCCAACCAGAATACACGACCCGATCTTGATTTGCAAGCAATCAGAGCGGGAAGCGGATCGTGAAGCGAGCACTTCGAAATATCTTAGCCACATGTGTATAGATGCGGAGCACAACGCTCAGGCAGCAGATGCGGCGTATGCAGTATGGGTCTCTCGTATAGGTAGGTATGCTATGGTTAATTCACATGCTAGTACAATACGCAGACGGCAGACGTTGGTGCTAACTAGGGTATGTACTTGATGATTAGGCCCGTGCCTGAATCCGGCGCTCGGTAACTGGCTGCTCGATTACGGCATTGGGAAAGTTTTGCTTGTGTGACGTAGCGCAGGACAGTCACTGGTATGTTCGCGCGCAGCGGCATGGAGGAAGCAAGATAACAGCCCGCACGGATAGCTCTCTTGTTGGAGGGAGGGCTCTTGGTGGCTGCTGAAGTAATGAAGCGCGTCGCTTTCACTTTCAGCTGGGCAAAGCTCCCCGACCCGACGAATGAGGACTGAGGAGTGTATGCGTTGCAGCCGACTGCGCCAGGGCACATAAAGAGAGCAGCCATCCGCTGGCGCTTGAATGTCGCACTTACCAACGTCCCTAACACATTCTCCATCAAGACTAGCATCCCGCCATCATCACCGCCCACTATGACGTCCACCACCAACGAGAAGACCTTCAAAGTCTTCACCGGCTCCCCAAATTCTTCTCCCTCCATCAAGACCGCGAGCCACCGCGCCCCTGGCCCCCGCGAAGCCCTCGTCAAAATCACCCACAGCGGCGTCTGCGGCACCGACCTGCACTATGCCGGTGCCCCAATGGGGCTCGGCCACGAAGTTGTCGGCACAGTCACCCAACTCGGCGCGCATGCCTCCGCCATCTCAGACCTGAAGATCGGCGACCGCGTCGGGCTGGGGTGGATGCAAAAGGTGTGCTTGCATTGTGATGAGTGTCTCGCGGGAGAGGTGTTCCGGTGCAAAGAGGCTGTGTGTTTTGGGGCGGAGGGGAGTGATATGAAGCAAGGCGGTTTGGGGGAGGAGGGGTGTTGGGATGTTAGCTGTTTGTTCAGGGTGCCGGAGGGGGTGAGTAGTGAGGATGCGGGGCCGTTGATGTGTGGAGGGGCGACTGTTTGGGGACCGCTGTACTGAGCGAGGGGATGCACCCTGGTGACCGCGTGGGCGTTGTTGGCGTGGGCGGTCTAGGTGAGTTGGTCTTCGGCGCGTCGAAAGTGTGATTTAGGTGTGCTGACCTTACGGCGTTTTAGGGCATCTGGCGATCCAGTACGGGAGTAAGATGGGGTATGAGATGGTTGTGTTCTCCGGAACAGAATCGAAGAAGGCCGAGGCGTTGAACTTTGGTGCAGCGGAGTTCTATGCCACGCAAGGCGTGAGCAAGTTCGAGGGTGTCAAGCCCATCGATCATCTGCTCATTACCACGAGCGTGCTGCCAGACCTGAATCTGTGAGTCTGCCTGGGAGACTGTGTATGTGTGTCTGTATGCTGACGTGGTTTCCACTCAGGTTTGCACCGATCTTCAAGACAGGCGCCAAGATCTTTCCACTTACCATATCGATGGAGCCCCTACAGGTACCCATGATGCCGCTGATCTCAACTGGTCTGAAGATTATCGGAAGTGCTGGAGCCAGATTCTGGAGTTTGCGGACGATGCTCGAGTTTTCGGCGAAGCATGGTGTCAAGCCCCAGATCGAGAAGTTTGACTTCACGGATGAAGGTGTGAACGGTGCTATAGAGAAGCTGAAGGATGGCAAGATGCGGTATCGTGGTGTAGTTGTTGTAGCTTGAAGGTCGGAACTGTCAGCAGCTCAAATATCTTCAGACGCAGAACCAGTCGTTCCCAGTCACCGGCCTGGTCTGATGCCAACCTTTATCATTCGTGACAAATATGGCCCTCTCTTGCCAGAGGCCTCTCTACACTTGTCCGGTGGCGGCAGTCCCACGGTAGAGACGTCAATGCTGTCTCGATACAGTCAATAGCAGTGGTTAGATTTGAGCTTGACGGACACGACCTTAGATGGTGAGAGAGTCGTGTCGTTGTAAGTCCAGGTCAGCATATTTACCTTTTTGGGGCCTTATCTAGCACTCAACGGCAAGAACAGCATAAAACGATCGTCCGAAGGTCTATGCCACCATGCAGTCGCCGATGGCACTCCCAGTCATCATTACGAAATGTTGCTCCTAACACCACGACGTCGACCAGTCCTGCGACAACTGCAGTCTCAGAGCAAGAAAAGCGATGTGTTCGGCGGCGGAGAGGTGCTGAACCAATCGCCTAGCAGTTTCAGAGCACTGCCGCGCTCGGCCGCGAAGAATGATGGCGGGTTGCGTCAGCGTCTCGTTAACGGCCGGAAATACTCAGGCTGCAATGTATCAACATACTTGCGCCAGCCACGGAGCGACGAGCGAATAAATGGACAGAGGGACGGCAGCATCGGTCGGACGTATGCTGATGCAGACCGAGCAGTTTCTTACACCATCTGAGGCATTTGCATCCCTGTAAAGAACTGAACTGCTCTTCGCTGAAGTTACCCAGCATCACGTGACCAACTTAGCGCGGCTCTAAGACGGTGGCTGAGGCAACTCTACCTGGAGACAAGAGTGACTCTCTGTCAGCTTCACAAAGAACTCTTCACAATCCCATCTCTATCATCCACAAACCTCGCCCATCCTCGCCATTCACACCTCAATTCGTCTGCCATCTTCCCAAGCGCTCCGAACGCACACACGAAAGAACTGTCCGCGCAATCCCTCCTGAGTCCGAATCATCCGTCTTCCCAACCACCGCAGTCATGTCCAACGAGCAGCCTTACGATCCGTATATCCCGCTGGAGGCCAGGGAGGCGCTGCTGGCGGTCAGAATCCGGGCAATCAGCGGACGGCGGCTCTTCAAGCTGTAAGTCAGACCCTTTTTGGGAGTTCGCGCAGTCCCTAGGCAGCGAGATAGATAGGGGCGCAACGGCATGCTCAGGACTTGACCGAGCCGGCAGCGGCCTCTCGAGTCGAGTACCTGTCCAGCGCTCTGGAGTCGCGGTATCGCGCCGACGGCTGGACTACCATCTCAACGCACTGCCCTGTCTGGATATATACTGACTTGCGACGATAGCAAATCGATGACACCGTCGGCGTAATGAGAGAAAACATCAACAAAGTATCTCAGAGAGGCGAGCGACTCGATTCGTTGCAAGATAAGACCGACAACTTGGCAGTCTCAGCTCAAGCTTCCGCCGTGGTGCCAACAGAGTCCGCAAGCAGATGTGGTGGAAGGACATGAAGATGCGCATGTGTCTTATTGTCGGCATTATCATCCTCTTGGTTGTCATTATTGTGCCAGCCGGTATGTCTAAACACCGAATTGTACGAGAAGAGTTACTGACCTCAATACAGTTGTTGCGACTACGAAGTAATTATGTGGACCGATTCGATACGCCCATCTCAGAACGATGGCGATTTGGCTTATGTACATTTGCGAACACCTACCACAGCGAATTGAATTGGAAGCGACACGATCGATGATGAGGAATTGTCGAAGCAACAGACCGAAGGTGCCGTTCTCGCGCCACCGCGGTTTTGAGCACACATGTATCAATGGATGGCGTTCACGAGGCGCATGTCAGCGTGTCTGGGCGCTATGAGCTAGGTACGACAATGACACTTGTTCCGAGCTTGCTTGCTTGCGGTCTCTCTGATCCTGAAGATCTATTCCTCCCTGGTCAAGTAAACTATTTCTCGTGAGCATCGAGTCGGGAAGATGGGCATGCCCGGCGCCTTTCGATCGCTGAGAACATCAGCGAACGGCGATGCCATTACCATGACCACATCTAAGAAGACATGCGACCGCAGCACTCGCAGCAAGAAGATGTCTAGAAATGCACTTTGCGGAGCGGACCATCGACCTGCAGCAGCATGCATGACGGAAATGGGCGCTACCAAAAATTTTCCTCACGCGCATGAACAGAAATGAACGAAAATTCGCAATATTTTGCTGATAGCAATTTTCATGCCCTCGACAAAACCCGTAGAATCCTCTCCGTCCCAGACAAGTGAATTTACTGCTTGACACAGTCATAAAGTATCTAAAAGCAGTGTTGTCGTGTGCCCTCACCGCCGCCCGCCGACTGCGGAGAAAAGTGTTCGACCTCTCCAATACGACTGCCCGCTATCAAAGCCCTCCCGCGCGTCAGATCTTTCTACTGACCTCGAACATATCTGCCGCATGACAACGTGAAGCCATGTCAGCTGTAAGCGCGGCTGCGGTGCGTGCAGCATCGCGGTCCTCTCGACTGGTCGGCAGCACACAATCAAGCAGAGCCCGCCTTGTGCGGCCTGCGCTCACAATAGCTTCACGGTCGCAGCGGCGGCAATATGCCTCCCACGAACCTCAACAACTATCTACGAGGTCGACAGTGGTCCAGCTGCTCAGTAACATTGGGTCAAAGCGAGAAGTGCAGCAATACCTGTCACACTTCACCTCAGTCTCATCGCAGCAATTCGCTGTCATCAAAGTGGGCGGTGCTATCTTGACGGAGCACCTACAGACCCTGTCTTCGGCGCTCGCATTCCTCAATCATGTTGGACTGTACCCTATTGTCGTCCACGGTGCAGGTCCGCAGCTGAACAAGATATTGGAAGATTCAGGCGTTGAACCACAATTCGAGGAAGGTATCAGAATAACAGACCCAAAGACACTGGGCATTGCTCGCGCTCTATTTCTGGAGGAGAATCTACGGCTTGTGGAGGAACTTGAGAGACTCGGCATCCGAGCGCGGCCTATCAATTCAGGCGTCTTCACCGCCGACTACCTCGACAAGGATAAATGGAACCTGGTGGGCAAGATCACAAGTGTGGACAAGAAGCCTATTGAGGCAGCGATCCAGGCCGGCTGTCTACCTATCTTGACATCTATGGCCGAGTCGTCATCTGGACAGATTCTTAACGTCAATGCAGATGTCGCAGCCGGTGAGCTGGCGCGTGCTATTCAGCCGCTGAAGATTGTCTATCTATCTGAGAAGGGCGGTCTGTTCAATGGCGACACTAAGGAGAAGATCTCCGCTATCAATCTTGATGAGGAGTACGATGACTTGATGTCACAATGGTGGGTCAGACACGGAACACGCCTCAAGATCAAGGAAATGAAGGACTTGCTCATGGACCTCCCTCGCACATCAAGTGTGGCTATCATCCACCCCGCGGATCTGCAAAAGGAATTGTTCACAGACTCTGGTGCTGGGACACTGATACGGCGCGGCAACAAAGTTCACGTCAACTCCTCGATCAGCGACTTCGCGACGTGAACCAGTTGAAGGAGGTTCTGATACGTGAACGAGAGGGTCTAGACGCTCGCGCGGTGGTGGATCGGTACGTCACCGACTTGCAAGGCAAGCCATTCAAAGCCTACTACGACGAACCTATGGAAGCACTTGCCATTGTCATGCCGCCAGCAGAGGGCACTCAGCTCGCACACCTCGCAACCTTGACAATCACTCGACAAGGATGGCTCACCAACGTGGCCGACAACATCTTTGCCAGCATCCGCAAAGATTTCCCTAAGCTGATGTGGACAGTCAAAGAGGACGACGAGAATCTCACCTGGTTCTTCGACAAGGCAGATGGCAGCTTTTCGAAAGATGGGGAGGTTTTGTTCTGGTACGGACTTGAGACTACGAATGAGGTGCAGGAACTGATGGTCGAGTTTAACAAACACGGGCGTGAGATGTTTGGCGGCATCAATCTCGAGTCCAAGTTGCAGAAAGCTGCACGGGCTGCGGCCAACCTTGCGTCATCAGCTGCTCGCTCAGCGGGTCTCTCCCAGGCTCGTGCCTACTCAACATCCACTCGAACACCCAGACGTCCTCAAGTGACCCAACCTTCGACTCAATCACGGAGGACATATGCAACAACTACCAACCCCAATCCTCCACTTGGGTCGAAGAACAGCTCCAACGACAAGCCATCGAGAGTGGCCATCATTGGCGCCCGCGGCTACACTGGCAAAGCTCTCATTGACCTCATCAACCGACACCCAAACCTAGACCTGCGGCATGTCTCTTCACGCGAACTTGCTGGGCAGAAGCTGCAAGGCTACAACAAGCGTGACATCACCTACGAGAATCTCTCCGTAGAAGAGGTCCGTCAGAAGGCAGAAAACGGCGATGTGGACTGCTGGGTGATGGCACTGCCCAATGGCGTTTGCAAGCCTTTCGTTGATGCCATCGATCAGACTGGCAAGGATCAGGTCGTCATCGACCTGAGCGCTGATTACCGCTTCGACTCAGGTTGGACATACGGTCTTCCAGAGTTGGTCGATCGCTCTGCCATCGCCCGAGCCAAGCGTATCTCAAACCCTGGATGCTATGCGACTGCTGCTCAGCTTGGTATTGCGCCTCTTCTAGAGCACCTCGGAGGTCAGCCAACCGTCTTCGGCGTGTCTGGTTACTCTGGCGCTGGCACTAAGCCCAGTCCAAAGAACGATGTCTCCAACTTGACGGACAATCTGATTCCGTACAGTTTGACAGACCATATCCACGAGCGGGAAATCACAGCACAGCTTGGCACGCCAATCGCGTTCATCCCTCACGTTGCTGTATGGTTCCAGGGCATCCACCATACCATCAACATCCCTCTAGCCAAGGAGATGTCATCACGGGATATCAGAAACGTGTATCAGGATCGATATGCTGGCGAAAAACTTCTCAAGGTCATCGGCGAAGCACCTCTGGTGAAGCAGATCTCTGGTCGACATGGAGTTGAGATGGGCGGATTTGCTGTTCACTCGAGTGGAAAGCGTGTGGTTGTGTGCGCTACGATTGACAATCTGCTTAAGGGTGCGGCGACTCAGTGTCTACGTAAGTCCCGTCTCGTCCCACAACGTTCAATTTTACTAATTGTGCACAGAGAACATGAATTTGGCTCTGGGTTATGGCGAGTATGAGGGAATACCACTTGATTGAACTGGATGAAGGTCGGACTGGGTTCTGGAACGGCGACACAAAAGTTTTGCACAACACTGGCCACGGCCAGCATAACGTAGAGAGGGGCATAAATCCATAATCTAGACCATTTGCGTCTCAGAGCACCGGTAGGATCTTGTCAATGGTACAAAATCCCAATGTCTAGCAGCAAAATTGGCGGGCCTCAGCCTGTGCTAGGATTGAAGAATCTCGATGTCGACGCCGCAGTGAGTTGCTGGTCACGCTGAACCAACTTTGTCCTATTTTGTTGTAGCAGGCGCGACTTTCATAATCCGCCCACACCTGCACCACGAACACTGCTCATCCTACCACCTCGACTTGATGCGACAAGTCGCACTTTCCCTTCTGCTGCAACGTTGTTGTCACTTCCGCCGTACTGTCTGCAAGTTGTTCATTTTTACTTTCGTAGCGAGGGCTTCCTCGTGTCGCCATGTTCTACAGCCACGAGCTTCTGACCAGCCGCCAGTACGGCGTTGCAACAATATGGTATGTGTGTTTCTGTCGGTGTTGGGTCTCTGCTGATGGTCTATCATGCTTGTCGCAACACTAGGCGCGAAATCGAACCTGAAGAAGGTGACTCGAAAGGCCATCCTCGACGTCGACATCCCAAGAGCATGCAACACAATCACCGACCCTGAGACACCACTTGCGCTGCGTTTACAAGCTAGTCTCCTGTAAGTGTCTTTGACTCATGCTGTGACACTTCTGATTATGCTAGCTATGGCATCTCGAGAGTCCACTCACAACAGTGCAATTATGTGCTCACCGACACACAAAGCTTTCGCGACAAGATGCGAGGCATCGCTCAGGTCATGCAGGATCTCGAGATTGACCCGGAAGTCAGTCGCACGAGGTACACGATTCCCTTCCTCGGAGATGCTGGGCGCAATGCTCATCAGTCTGCAGACCGGAACAGCTCAATCTTGCAGAAGATTCAGGATTCATCCCCGAACTGGACCTGATGTTCGACCTCTCTGCCTTCGACTTTCCCTCTACTGAGGTCAGCTCTCGTGGTTCGAGCGTTCTCTCACCATTCTCTCGACCTTCCAGTCAGAGCAGTGTCCACCTGGAAGAAGATGGCGATCTTGGTCTCGACATCCCATCTCTCGACACTCCTGGTGATTTCGGTGGCACGGGCTTCGGGCTTGGAGTTGAGTCCAGTGCTGGTACTCGCAGTGTTGCCAGGTCCGCCGCTTTGCAGCCGTATGAAGAAGAAGGTATCATCGCTGAGCCTGAATTCGAGATTGCCGAAGATGGAAGCTTGGTGGCCGCGACCAAGACTCGGTCAGAAGATGTCCATACGCCTGGCGGCAGCGGCGTAGCCGTCGGTGAGCCTGACTTTGCTGCACAAGGAGGTTCAGACCATGGGCTTGGGATCGATGCCGATGAAGTAAGTTTCTGATAGGTCCGAGACGCGTTATTGACTGGTTGAAGATTGCACGACGCGTTCAAGATGACGACATGATTATGTTTGGCGACGATGATGAGATGCGACTGCCAACTGCTGAGCCCTTCCCTGCAGTTCCTCGAACAGACAACGTTCAACCCGCGGATCTGCCACCACCTACTTCTCCTGTTCAAGCGTCTACAGCTGGCACATCATCGGCTGCTGCTCCTCAACAACGCGTCCGACCACAAAAGCAAGTCAAGGCCGACCACCGCACAGAGCTTCAGAACAAGGACCTAGGGGACTGGAGTAATGACTACCTCGACAACATGAAAGAGCTGGCGAAAGCCAAGGAACAGCATAGGTCTACCCTCCAAGGCAAGAGAAATGCTGCATTTTGGGTCTTAGGACAAGGTGTCGGCGGAGTCCAGGCGAATTTCGGCGTCGACAGAGAGCCTCACCCACTTGCAATCTTCAGTGGTCAAACATTACTCGATGCACTGATGGGTCCGCAAACCCAGCGAAGCCCCACGGGATCCAAGCGCGCAAGGAGTCAGTCTCCTGGTGCTGCAGACGGGCGCAGAGTCCGGGCCCGGTCCGAAGAAGACGCTGACGAGGTTGCGAGGCGTCTCGACGATGATCAAGTCATGCTTGGTCTTGATGATGAAGGCATTATGGTTCAAGGGGATGAGCAGAACCTGGTAAGAGCGTTCCTCGCTTGTTGCTTCTGTCTTGCTGACCACAATCTGCAGGAGAGCGAAGTTGGACGTCGCGCAGGATCCAGCTTGCCTGACCCCGACTCAATTCTGCCGTGGAACCGATCTGCAAGCGCTTCTCGTCACGGATCCGCTCGACCCTTCGGTGGCAGCGGTGGCCCTGGCATCAGCTCTAGTGTCGGTGGTGTCGGCAGCTTTCGTGGACCTGGCAGCAGCGTTGATCTTCCTCGCAGTCGTCAAGCTTCGGTTTTGGCTAAGTTCCGCAACCGTCGACTTTCTGCCAGCCCTTCGATGGGGAGGGGCGCAATGCCACCCATGGACCTCGAGGATCTTAGGGACATCCACGGGAATCGTCTGTCTGATCTGCTCGACGAGGAAGGCATTCTTCCAGGTGGCGATGAGTACGACCTCGCCATCGGTAACGACGAGTTCGAACAGTATGGCCCTGCTGCCAATGTCGACACCCAGACCGCTCAGACGAGTCAGTGGATGCGCAAGACTCTCGAAGATGAGTCGCTCAACTTCTTGGGCTTCGTTGAGCTCAATCTACAAGGCACTCGTGTCGATGAGGAAGGCATAGAAGTTCAAGTGAGGGAGTCACGAGACGAGGTCACTATGGATGATCTTCTTCCGCCCAAGGAGAATTCACCTGTGGTAGCCGCTCAGGCTCTGCTGCACGTCCTGACTTTGGTCACGAAGGGTATGTTGACAGTGCGGCAGGATGAGCCGTTCGACTCGCCGATTGTACTGAGCGCTGTCGAGCATGAACCTGTTCGCCGCAACGAATCAGATGAAGGTGATGCTGACAACGAGAGGGTTGCTGATCACACCGAACGACAAGATGAAGGCCATGAGGACGATCAAGAAGAAGAAGAGTACCACACCGCTGAGGAGGACAATGGCGGCGAAGAGTCTGATGGCGCTGATGGCGACGACGAGGATGACGAGCTGTGATCTGTGAGATCTGCGTGTATTCGATCGAACGCTGTGGAGTTGCGTGGAACGACACCAATGTCGACAACCCGAGGATCATGTTGTAACAGCAGGCAGCATCGAAGCGTGAATGCGCCTCGACGTTACAAGAGCGCGGGCCGAGAAGAAGTGTGCCGATGGAACGGGAGGACTCAGACGAGATGAGACCAGCCGTGTAATGTACATCTCGAGTGCATCGACATGGTGCTGCGATTAGCAATGATAGCTGCACTCGTTTGCTCCGAGAATATCACGCACACCCTCCTGTCATCAGCACCCTCATGTCAAAGCTGCTGCCGAGATCGTCAACCGGGCCGTTCGCATAATTAAATAGCTGTGCCAGCGCCAAGATTGCCCCAGTAGCCATACCCTTTCGCTCACCCAAATGTCGACTTCTCACTTTCAGCCTTCCCCTTTCAGATCCCCTGGGGATCGTCAAGGAAGTCCAACCATATTGTGTCCACGGATACTCATGCTCGGGGCGGCAAGGACCCCATGGGGAGACGCGATCCTCAAAATCAGCTTTCGTAGACAACAAAATTGATCTCACGCGTCTTGAGACTGTAGCTTCGAGATGACTATGATCGGATAGAGCTCAGACTGAAACTCATTCTGACATAGGGGCCAGTGTAGGACGGATCTGTAGGAGGTGTGATGAAGGTTGAAAGTTGTGGTGAGTGTCTTGGCAGAGATGGAGGGAGGGTGATTGATCACAGATAGTGACCATCGGTCGAGCGCCTCTGAGGGTCCGTGTTGACGAGCTTCCGCGGGAATGGCAACGTGTGAGCATAGCAGGTCGTGTGTGTGCGCTGAAGAGGGGCCAGCAGCTGGTAAAGATCGACCGGGTGGTGGTGGTGGTGATAGTGGTCATCCGGTCTCATGTAGAAATTAGCTGCGCCGGTTGACATGGACTAGTGGGCTTGTCATCCGGTCTCGTGTAGAAGTTGACTTCGCCGGTTGACAAGACGTGCCGGTGGAGTTCGCGTGACGCCTTCTGTTCGTGGCATCGTCACGATATCTTGATGACGGTCGCCTTCGTGGCGTCCCTGCTGCTCCGGCGCAGCTTACAAGCGCGAGTAGAGAGCGTAGCACCGGTGAGACTCAGACCGTTATCCGGTCTCACGTAAGGCTTGGCTGAGCCGGTTGACGCTTCGGACGGGCGAGGAAGGCGCATTGGTGAAGCACCTGCCGTTCGAGGCATTGCCAAGGGGATCTGAGCACAGGTGGCAGGTACATCATAGCGAGCGCTCCTTCCCACCAGCATTCCTTGACAACACCACGATCGGCAGGCGCATCACACGAGCGCACCTTCACATTCATGGTCGCTGACGATGTTACGAGTGGCAGGCGCATCACAGCGATCGCTCCTTCTCAACAGTGTTCCCTAACGACGTCACGACTGGCAGGTGCGTCGCCTCGCACCTTCCACGAATGTTTGCGTTGTCATCCGGCTTGTCATGGTTCTTCGAGAGACCGGATGACAAAATCATCTCGACGTTGCGATTCCAGCTGTTGTGGCTTATCTGTGGTTTGTGAGGTGCGGTCGCTGGTGGACCAGCTCTGTTGCTCGTGTCCTTGAAGAGGACTGGGGCGTAGGCCGCAAGCGAGGGCGATACGAAGTCGAAAGCCCTCGTCATCCGGTTTATGAAACTTCATGAGCGCCCGTCAGCCCGTCGTACGAATATATTCCCTTGTGAAGGGCTTTCTTGAAGGTCATGGACATCTTTTGCTACATCGACTACCTTCTGTAACCCAATCTGACTCGGCCATCAAATAGCCCGTCCCCCATCAATATGATGGTCCACACCCGTAACAAAACTCGCTTCATCACTCGCAAGCCACAGCGCGACATTCGCAACGTCCTCCTTCGTCGTCACGCGCCCCAGCGGGATCTGCAGCACCTGCGCCGCCTTCTTGTGTTGCTCCTCGGACCCATCGAATCCGGGAATGAAATTCGACGCCAACTGTGTGGGCACCAGCACTGGACAAACGCAATTGCATCGGATCCCCTTCCCACCAAACTCGTGCGCGAGAGCCTTGGAGGCGTTTGAGACGGCGGCTTTCGAGGAGTTGTACCATGTCAAGCCTCCGCGTGGGCGGATTGCGGCGATGGACGAGATGTTGACTACTGAGCCGGCCCCGCGCGCGATCATTAGTGGAAAGATGGCTTGGACGGAGTGGAATATTGACTTGACGTTGACCGTGTAGACTTTGTCGAACTCGCGTTCGGCGACCGTGAGAGATGACTGGTTTGGGTAGGCTGTACCGGCGTTGTTGACTAGTACATCGACCTGCCCGCCGTATGCTTTGGAGATGTGTGCCGCAATTCTGTCCCAATCTGGCCGGCTGGTGACGTCGTGGTGCAATGCTTCTGCTCGATGGCCTTGAGAAGCCAGGGCGTCCGCCACGGTTTTCGCGGCGCCCTCGTTGAAGTCTGTGACCAGAATCGTGGCTCCTTCTTGAGCGAACTTCTTGCAGATGGCTTCGCCTATGCCAGCTCCACCGCCAGTCACAAGGACTACTTTGCCATCTAAGCGTCCCGACTTGCTCAAGTGCCCTGCGGCTTGAGCAAGCCGGTCTGTTGGCGACATGCTGCTGATCAGGGTGAGACTGTGCAAAAGGTGACTTATGATACCAATGCACCGCTTAGCTGAATGATGTGAAGATAAGCCTACTCTCGTGCCCAACCCAGGGTTCTGGTACTAATACTCCCCATATGCCAAGACCTGGTAGGTTTGTGGAGGGGGCCGCCTTAACGCCGCAGACCCAGATGATCGGCACTGGCGCTCTGCCACTCAATCCGAGCCGCGGTCAAACGACAACAAGCATGTGTAGCTCTGGCGGACTTTGAGTGGCAGCGCGCGTCGGGAACGGTGGATACAAATGCGAACGGTTCCTTCCAACCAATGACTGGGAATCAGTATACAATTCATCGCTTTCATGCTTATGCTCTGCGGCTTCCGAAGAGTTCGTTCCTCAAATATCAGCCATGCAGAAGACCAGTAGGTTGCTTCAAGCATCTCGCGATCTGTGCATTCCTCCTCTGAGACGGGGCCTGGCAACCGCAACGACAACGACAACAGTTCGAGCAACCCCACTGAGTGAGAGATTCGGCGCTGAAGTTTCCGGCATCGACTGGAGCCGCCCTCTTAGCCCAGAGGTCGTGAGAACAATCATCGAGCTGCAGAACAAATGGGGCGTGCTTGCTTTCCGACAGACCAACCTGAACGACGATGGCCACGTAACGTATTCCAGGAACTTCGGCGCACTCGAGACGGCACACGCACTCAACAAGCCACGTCGAGCTTCTTCAGTTCATCTATACGATGCCGGGAACCTAGGACCAGACGACAAGATCATCCCTCAGCATTCCAGAGCCTGGTGGCACACAAAGGCGAACGGTCTGTGGCACACCGATTCCTCTTTCCGCCAGCATCGATCATCCTATAGCGCGCTGCGGGCAGTCGAGCTACCTCCTGCTGGTGGTCAGACTAAGTATGCCGACATGCGGACAGCGTATTTAGAGCTTCCCCAAGACTTGAAGGACGTCGCGAAGAATGCCGTCGCCGAACACTGGATATGGCATTCCAGGAAACTAGCGGCGCCTGGCGAGTTCGAGAAGCCCACAGAGGAAGAGAGGACCGCCATACCTCCAGCATACCACAAAGTCGTGCAACTTGCACCGGATGGCGTAAGCGATACGCTCTACGTAGCAAGCCATATCAGGAAGATCGTGGGCATGTCTGAAAGAGACTCCACCGCGTTGATCAAGGCGTTGTTGGACCATGCTCAGCAAGAGAAGTATCAGATTGGCGTCAAGTGGAAGAACGTTGGCGACATCGTCCAGTGGGACAATCGGTGTACGATGCATCGCGCAACGGCTTTCAAGGACCAGGAAAACCGCCGGGACATGCGTCGAACCACTGTCTTCGACTATGGAAACGCTGCCTTCGGAGTGAAGCACGAACTAGGGCGCAGCGATGTTGATCTGCTTGTTGGTGGTAGCAGGGATATTGCTGCAGAGCGAACTCCTGAGACTCAGACCCAGCAGCAGATATTCGATCTGTAGCAGAAGTTGGCTATCGCAAACATCGCTAGTTCCGGCCGGCACTTAATTCTGACAAAACCGGTTCATTGTAATCATATGTTGAAGAATTCTGTTGAGTCCTGATCATTGATGAGCCACGATGGCCAGTTGTTGGCGTCCATATCAAAGATGTCGGCGTGCATAACACCGTAAAGGTGCTCATCGGGCGCCAGTCCAGTATTGGCTAAGGTCGGCTCTGTTATGACTGATTGAAACACTTGTCCGTAGTCCATGCCATTTTGCGTGCTAGGAGTGCTCTGCTGATCAAATACTGGAATCTGAGTATCGAGGATCTCTGCGCTGAGGCCAGCAACAGCTTCAAAATCGGCTGGTGCTAGCGCAGAATATGTGCCGCCGGCGTCTGAGTTCATTCCAGCGTTAGGATCAGGTGCTCTTCCGACCCTAAGCTGTGATGAAGAATCGACGGCTACCTTCTGAGTCGATGCAGTCGATTTCCGGCGTCGTGTGCTGACGCCAGTCTTGAGGAGTGGGTCGAGGCGCTGCAGTGCTCGCGAGCAGCATTTCATGCTTTCGTTCTGCTGGCCGAGTCTCAAGAAGATTCTTTTGCAAGAGTGCCATGCGCTCGTAGCCTCGTCTCTGATAGTCGGAGTGGTATTTGGCGCTCTGATCGCAACAAGACAGATGAGTGCAGCGTGAAAGGCCCGAAACCAATGCATAAACGTAATGCTTGCCATTTTTGGGAACGAGTCTTGCAACACTTTCCAGCTCGCAGAGATCGCAATGGCAGCCCGAAAGCACGGTTCGGCAGCCTCGGGCGAAGACGTCTCCAATAGCGGCTTGCGAAAGATAACGAGGATGCTGTGATTCACAATCATGTGTAGCACGAGTGATTGAACGCATCGAGCTCTCTCCTCAACCCCGACCAGCCCATGAGCGTGCATCACAGATCCGTCATGCTGCAGGAGTGCAGGTAGCGTTTCAAACCAGTCCAGAATTCGTTTCTGTCCCGATCTGGCTCTAGCCAAGTCGAACTTGTGAATATCGCTAGTAGAATCTTGAACCACGGTTCGAATGATCTCCATCAGCTGAAATGTACAGCGGTTGTAGGAAATCTCATGAGGATACGCAACAGAATGATTGACATCGCCTCCGAACAGATGATCGTCGCTGATGTCTTCCGGCAGGTCAGTGTCAAAGTAGCCGAGCCCTGTTGGGCGCCCGAACATGATCGACAAAGCCGTCTCCTGAGCTGCGATGGTGTGGAAGATGCGACGCCGAACCTCCGCCTCTTCCCTTGAGAGGTTGCTGATCCATCGCGGATCTCGATGTAACCCCATAGATTGCGCTATTCGGATTACCATGCCCATAAGTGGCCAGTACTCGTTCAGACGGCCCTCATGCTGCAGATACACAGCAATATAGGAGAACGTGGCCACAGTGTCGAGTGACGGCATCGTCAAGAACTTCGAGATTCGGAGCAAGTGCAGCGATGCACTGATGAACTGCCACGAAGATTCGTCTGGACCGACCAGATCACCCAGCGCAAGGATCGCAAAGATCAATGCCACCTCTTGGGGAGGCGGGAGTGAATCCGCAGTAATGCAGCGCTCGAACTTTGCACTATCCACGGGGTGGGAAGATAATGGTGCAAAGGGTCGACAATCTCAAAATACGAATCGAGGTGCTGCTCGAGCTGCTCCTTTCCCATGGCGTGTAGTAGACCGACCATTTCTGGAACGCCATAATGGGCTGGGAACATTTGACCAAAGAGATCCCGATCACTGGTGACAGTCTGACCGTCTGTGCCACCAAAGAAAGCAAACAGCAGATCGGAGGAGTTGTTGGGTGCCAACGAGATCATCCGTTGCAGCAGAGTAGGCGCGCTAGTGCCGCCCATGTAAAACGACCGTCCATAATACACGTCTTCATCAGGTAGCGTGCTTTCCGACGTACGTCGTCGTTTCTGACCACGAGCGGAATCTGCCTTCTGCTGTTTTCGCAGGGACGACAGAGCTGCTTCCAATTCCGCGACACGTGCTCGTAAGACCCGGCCCTCATCCTCGGCAGAGGCATCTGAGTCGTTCAGGGTTGATAAAGCTTCTGAGCTCAGTGCTTCGTAGGCACACTCGGTCGTCCGCTGGCGCTTAAGGCATTCGGAGCACGGTACTCGCCTATTGCATTTCCGCTTCGAGCGATGGCACGGTATGCAAGCTTGTAGCGACCGTGCCCGCATCGTCCTAGTCGCTTCAATCTGCTGCACGTTAGTTTTACCAGTCATGGATCATGTTGGCAAGCCAGATCTGTATGGCACAACGATCAAGCTACAGCGACTGTGTGCGTTGCAGCTGTGGCAGAAGCGGGATGTTGTTCTCCACACAGATATGCAGTAACACATGGTAACAGCAAGACGGAACGGCTGTCCGGGAAGAAATCCTGGGGTTAGTGCTCGGCTAAACGGCCGAACGGCTGTCTCCCACGGCCGACATGCCAGTCACACGGGAGGGCGACGCTCGGCGTCTGAGTATAAGTCTTCGAAGTGAGGTTCTTAAGCGGCATGCTCAGACTTGCAAGGGATTCATGCAGAATCTCATGCCACTTGAGCAGTGATGTGGCAAACCAATAGAAACCGTCAAGGCTTGATTGTAAATCATGAAGGAGGAATTCAGCAGACTGAAGTCGTACTATCAGCATGTCTGCTGCCTCGAGCTAGTAAGTATGTCAATAAGGCAGGTCCCATAATGCTCTTCTCGATGATCGGCCGTCGTGGGTGAAGTGATCGAGGTGGGCGCGAAGGACTTGAAGGAAGCTGGAGCTCGGAGGAGTTGCTCTCAACCGTCTTGGCGCGTGACCGGGCTGACTGAACCGCCCGTCGCGCCGGATGACAAAGACTTTCCTGACGCGGTTTTAACGACAACTGCCTTTTCCAACGCTTGGTCGACGATCCCGCTCTTGAAAAAAGACTTCATCGGGTTAAGGCTAAGGAGTCAACGACAAGAATATACAATGACATGCGAGTTTCGGTCATCTGGGCAATTGAAGACAGTATTATGCTATGGAAGACTTATTCACCTTAAGAGCGCCAGGCGGCACTTACCTAGACAGCGCGGCAGGAATGCACAAGGCTCGACCCTTCTCAGCCCTCACCGAACAAAGGCACAGGTGGCCGGTGCTTCATCCACTGTTTTCCTCGCCTGCCGGTCCAGTTGCCCGGCACAGTCAAGCTCAACGTGAATCCGAATGACGGATCTCGTGGAGCATACCCTGCTCGCATTGACTCGCAACAGGAAACAACAGCAGATGGTCATAGAGGCAATCGTTATGAAGCTGATGTGAAAAAACTACAAGAAGCGACGAAGCGTAAGTTGTCCACCATTGAATTGGCTACGCGAAATGCATCTTCACCGGCATCTTCCTTAACCTGCTACACCCTGGATCGACGTCGACCCAGGCAACCATCCTTATATTCTTGCTTTACTCGCGCGTCTGTCAGGTACAGCCATCACCATGGTCTTGGTAATCTGAAACTCCTGCAGGCCCCACTTTCCGCCCTCGACACCAAAGCCGCTGTGCTTCACCCCACTGAAGGGTATCTCTCCGCCAGCAATGACACCGGTATTGATGGCGACCATACCAACTTCGAGACCCTCGCCCATCCGCCACATCCTTGCATGGTCCTGCGTGCACACATAGCTACCCAGCCCCACCTCAGATGCATTGGCCATCTCCAGAACCTCTTCTTCTGTGTCAAAGGCATACAGGGGTGCGACAGGCCCAAAGATCTCCTCGCCGTGTGACAGCATGTCCGGCTTCATGCCTGACAGCACAGCTGGTTGGACGAAGAAGCCACTGCCGCCATCACCACTCGATTCTGACTTTTCCGTCGGTTTCCCAAACAGTACATCAGCTCCCTTCTGGATCGCGTCCCGAACATGGGCCTGCACTTTCTCCAACCCTCTCCCCGTTGTCAGCGGTCCAACAACTACGCCGTCTCCAAATCCATCACCAAATTTGAGCTTCTGGAATCTACCCACCAGCCCCTTCGAAAAAGCCTCATACACTCCGCGCTGCACGTAGATCCGATTCGCACAAACACACGTCTGACCTGAGTTCCTTACCTTGGCCGCCATGACGGCGTCAAGCGCCGTCTCAAGGTCACAGTCGTCAAACACAATGAACGGCGCGTTCCCGCCGAGCTCGAGACTCAGCTTCTTGAGACTGTCCGCACACTGCTTCATTAACAACTTCCCAACAGCAGTTGAGCCAGTGAACGACAGCTTCTTGATCGTGGGCTCCCGACACAGCGCCTCTCCGACCTCCGCGAGCCTCTGCGGACCACAGGTTACGACATTGAGCACGCCGGCCGGCAAGCCCGCCTCAGCACCCAAATGTGCAATCGCAAGCGCCGTCAGCGACGTCTCCCCTGCCGGCTTCAGCACAACAGAACAGCCTGCCGCGATTGCGGCCCCAGCCTTCCTCGTCACCATCGCCGCTGGGAAGTTCCAGGGCGTCAGACATGCCACCACACCGATCGGCTGCTGCAGTGCGAAGACACGATTGTCCGCATTCGTTAACGATGGAACGACTTCTCCGTACTGCCGCTCCGCTTCGCCCGCGTAGAAGTGCAGGTAGGATGCCGCGAAGGCGACTTCGCCCTTGGCTTCGGCATATGGCTTGCCGTTCTCCATCGTGAGGATCGTGCCGATATCTGCGGCATTGGCGATGAGGAGGTCAGCCCATTTGCGGAGTATGGTGCCGCGAGTTTTGGGATTGGTTGTTTTCCAGTTTTTGAACGCGCGTGCGGCGTGGTTGGAGGCAATACTGACGTCTTGGGCTGTGCAGTCCGGAAGAGTGGCGATCGTGCGTTCAGTCGAGGGGTTGATGACGGTGAAGGCGTTGCCTGTTGATGCCCTGGCCCATTCGCCGTTGATGTAGCAGTCGGTGCGCCACAGGTTGGCGTTGGAGAGGTTTGGCGGCGACATGTTGCTCGTTCTTCTGTGTGTTATGTTGGTGAGAGCAACAACAAGCACGGCAGAGGCTCGTACGAATCAGTAGTGCCATGCTTGAGCTACTCGAAGCCAATCGTCGTCCAAATTGGATCAAGCGGGCGGCTTGAATGCCGAATGTGAGATGCGGCGATAGTGCGGAAACGGGGTGTTCACCATACTGATGTGCCAAGACCACCGTCGATACCAGCACTGTCTCTTATGCTGGATCATAGTCCATCAGACTGCCTTTGACCAGAGTGTGGACACCTCGTCGACATTTCAACATGAACGGGCAGAACCACCAGAACGGAACAAGCACACACTCAACCGGCTCCCTGGAGGCCGCCCTCCAGGATGCCAAGCCCAACCATATGAAGGCCCAACTAGCTGCCGGGGCTGTCGTCAGCGCCATGTCGATCCGCTATTCTCGCGGCATCGAAATCGTTGGCTACGCTGCGGCAGCCAAGATGGATGGCGTCCTCATCGACCTCGAGCACAGCAGCATCGACCTCGACCAGTGTGCACAGTTCACCCTTGCAGCGCTCGCTCACGGCATCACACCCGTCGTCCGCGTACCATCACTCGCCAGCTCTTATGTGGCGAGGGCGCTGGACGGCGGCGCTCAGGGCATCATCATGCCACATGCTGAGACCGCAGCAGATGCGACAGCCTGTGCTAAGGCAGCCAAGTTCTTTCCAGATGGGAATCGCTCGGCTATAGGCGGGTTGGCGGCGTTAGGGTATGGGGCCCATGCTACGATTGATGCGAATCGAGCAGTCAACGGGCAAGTGCTGACCATCATCATGATCGAAACGTTGGCTGCTCTGGACAATCTGGAGCAGATTGCTGCTGTCCCGGGCGTCGATGTGTTGCTTATTGGGACGAATGACTTGACGGCGCAGTACGAGATTCCGGGACAGCATGATGATACGAGAATCACACAGGCGTACCAGAGAGTCATTGATGTGTGTAGGAAATCGAACAAAGCTGTTGGAATTGGCGGCTTGTATGCTAGGCAGGATCTAATTGACAAGTTTGTGAAGATGGCGGACGGAATCGGGCGGTTCGTCATGTGTGGAAGTGACCAGGACTATGTTCTTGAGGGCGCCAGGAGAACAGCGAAGTGGCTTGATAGTTATAACGATGCTTGATATTATGGTCCATCCCTAAATGACCATGAGAATGCACGATCCCGAGCTCTTCTGCAGGTTTGCGAGACACACGCAGGTTTTTCAGACAGAAGTCAGAATCGGGCAAGCAACATTCCACATCAGGATGACCTTCAAATCCTGTCGATCTTCCTTGTCGGTAGCAAACAATCGAAATGCAGTCGCACCGTTTCATGGGCACCCCAAAGCATCTTTGTCTTGGGCTTCCTGCTCTTCACCGCTGCTGCCCTGATCATGACACAGATTCGCGTACGCAAGCCTCACTCCTTGCCCGCCCTACCGCCACGACCCCATACACCTGCTTCGTTGCGTGCTGCCCTGCGCATGAGGGAGAGCCGCGGTACATTGCAAGGTTTGCATGGAGATGCGCTCACCGCCGCCCAACGACGTTCGTCCCATACGACGACCCCCGCTACGACCAACTAGACATGCTATCGAGAGATGCTTCCACTCTGCCCTGTACATCGAGCACCCTTTCTTGTATACACTAATTGCATGGACATGGATATTTCCAATACGAATGCGCGGTACGATTAACAGGTGGTGGCAAGGGGAGCAACGGCGGTTGTACCTGTCGAACCTCCACCGCTACTGACTCGGCTAGCCTCTCGTGCCAGATTCTTTTGCAACTTGTCGCGTGCCTTTTCCAATTCGGCCATGTTGAGGTAGCAGTAGGTGATCATTCGACCGCGACTGAAGCGTGCTTCGACGGCTTGATAGGTGGGCACACGTTGTCGGTAAGAGGTGTTGCGTACCTCCTTGTTCATGGTATCCCACTGGTGGTACAGGTAGACGCTGAATGTCATCAGCAACAATTCGTCGCTCAAAACGCTTGGCAGGCCATGGTCGGTTGCATGCTGCCATCAAAACGACCATCAGGATAGAGCCATCGCACCGTGGCCAGAGGTTGATCCAATTGGTCCAACAGGGTGTTTTGGGTTTCGTCCCACAAACGACCATCGACCGTACTCTGGACCCGATCCGACGCCCAACGGAAGTTGAGGTTGCCAAGGCGGAATGGCATGAACTGTTGGTTGCGTGATCGATCCACTTGGTAGTTGCACTTGATCTCCAATCCACCATCGGCACTCTTGATCGTGCCCGATCCTGGTGTATAGGTTACTGCAGGTTGCTTGCCAGGTGGATAGTTTGCCGATCCTTGATACCATCCAAACTTCTTGCGGAAGCCGCCCAGCGGACGCATGTTCAACTCGTATCCGACCGTCGTTTCGTCGTGCAAACACCATTTGACCATCTTCAAGGGACCCCACGGTTCCAAATCAAAGGCATCCTCGACCTGGACACGCCAACGATCCTTGGGACGACTGCCACGGTTGGCCGTCCAACCGGCCAATCCCATCGGATCATACGGCGGCGGTTGCGACATGTAGCCCGCTGGAGCTTGCGGTGGCAGGTGGAAATTGCGAACGTCGACCCAGGTCGATTCGGCCTCGGGGTGAAACATTGGTGGCATCGGCGGCATGTCAGGGCCAAGGCCGTACATGTGTTTCTCGTCTTGCATCATGCTGTGTTGTGGTGATCGGTTGTGATGATGGAGCAAAGTCACATGGTATGACCAGGCCTTACATACTGAATGGATGTCGTCCCATCTGGCCTTGAGGTGGTCCGTGAACCGGCTGGCAATGGTGTTGCACTGCCCTGCTCCATACTAAGCTTTTTGATGGAGTACGTCAGCGTAGGCGTTTGGCGTTTTCGACGCTAGAGACCGGCGGGTCACGTTGGATCGGAAAGTAGGCTCTGGAGCAGTGTTCGAGCGGCATTATCCGGGCCCCTTAGTGCGGCTTGCAGCACGCGCTTATCGTCGTTGTATTGAGGGCTGCAATTTGTAGTGACGTGCGGCAAAAGCCCGTGTGGGGCGCGACGGCAGTCGATGCAAGGACCTGGACAGCTTTGACGCCGCTGCGAGGTGCGACCCTAAAAGCCCTGCAACGTGTCAACCGCTTCCGTTATCTTGTCAAGACACCGTCCTCGCAGTTGAACAGGGAGGAGCCTGAGTAGCCCCGGTGATTTATACTCCGAATTATAGATGCCCTTTTCCCATTTAATCCAGTATGAGATTAATGTATCAATCTCCGACGTTTTGCTGCAGGCTCGCGAGACACTGACAAGAACCGCAGATAAAAGCTGGAATTGCTTGATCTGGAAGGCTGCCTTCCTACATTGGGTAAGATGGCTATGTATTGCAGACTGTCAGACCAAGCTATAGTATCAAACTCGAATGATGTTTTGGGATCTGCATCCCGAGACGTGATCGTGCAGGCCATATTAGGAACTAGTCTCAAACATCCTCTTTGTGGACACATGCGCCCTTCTGTAGCTCCAGGTCATTGGCATGAGTTCGATCGTTGTCGATGGTAGCCACGGCCTTGTCATTGATGACATCTCCCTCGGCACCTGCCCGCTTGACCAGCTCGAAATGGCTGCCCAAACGCTCTTGGCCGCAAGCGGTGAAGATGGCGACAGAAACGAAGACAATGCTCATCACTATAGCCATGACCTGACTGTAGTTGGGCTTCAGACCATTCTTCGCAGGCTTGATCCATCCGCTCGCAGCCACGGTCTGGATCTGCGCCGCCGGCGCACTAAGCATGTTTCCTGTGCATTCCGTCAGCTCCGAAACATGAGTTTGACTTGTGTATTTCAGCTTACCGAGTTGGTAGACGGTTCCAGGGAAGACTCCCCGAAACTGTGGCGGAGCGTATTCGTTCAACAAGATTGGCATCACGCCCCAAGCGCCGTTCACGGCAGCTTGTATGAGGAATGTGCCCCCAGCAATGGCACCCCAGCTGTTTGGGATTACCCAAAGTGGTATCATGCACGCGCCGAAAATGCATGCAATGACCACCGTCAGTCGTCGACCGATGAACTGGGAGTAGTAGCCGCAGATTGCTCCGCCAGTGATAGCACCGCATTGGCCGATGATCGTTGCAGTGCTCTTTGCGCTGGGCGTGAAGCCTTTCTGGACCTGGAGGTAGGATGGGTAAACATCTGTAGAAAGTCATCATTAGCCAAGACCAGGATGTGTCCAAAGAGAGCCTGTACCTTGACTGCCATGGCTCATCCAGTTGAAGCCCATGGAGAGTATGACGCAGTAGAGGAACCGGCCCCAGTACTGCCTGGCAGCTTTCTTGAGGTCTTTAGCGACCGCTCGAGCACGCTCGTTCCAGCCCTTGATATCTTCCTCGTCTTTGTATATCTTGGATTCCGGCATTATGCACACCAGGATCGCCATCAAGCCTGTGAACCCAGCACCAACATGGAAGATAGCCTTCCAGCCCTCTCCGGAGTACCGGACGGCAGTCAGGTTGATCACTGCCGCGATTAGATACCCAAGAGCATAGCCTTGTTGTAAGATGCCGGAGAAGAGCCCGCGACAGTCGACTGGCATGTTCTCCAACGAGATGGCGGCTGACAAACCCCAAACACCACCCATGCGATGCCAAAGATTGCCCGTACGCCAATGAAGGCCTGAAAGCTCCCTGCGTATGCTGTGCCGATCTGCAGTACGGCGAGAATGAAGAGATCGATCGCGAGTGGCCACTTGCGACCGTAGGAGTCTGCCAGCATGCCAAAGATGAAGGCTCCGATGGATCGAAAGAGCAGTGTGAGCGTGATTGAAAGCGTGATATCAGTCAAGGGCCTGTCGAAGACCACGGACAGGTTTGTAGCGACGAGGTTGACAGCATTGAAATCGTAGCCATCAGCTGTCCATGCTCCACTAATGAGAGCAGCGTTAGCCGGCGACCCTTTTGTGTCTGCAGCAGACCAGGCAGAAGCTACCTACAGACCAAGCAAGAAGTACATCCACGCTTTCTTGTCCATCAGGGCAATCACCTTCCATGGTGCTGGAGGGACCACTCGTGGGATTTCTTTGGTGACTTCTTCGCCATTGCTGTCGATGAAGGTGACATTGTTCTTCCAGAGCTTGAGGTTTTGCGCGACACCCATACTGCCGTGAAGTCGTCGATGAAGTGGCTGTAGAGGCTCGCGTCGGGATGATGGTCTTGTGTAGTTGTTGCGACATGGTCTCTGTTTGCTATATACTCACAGTAGCTGGACATATATCGACGCCGAGCCCGTTTACCCGTTTACCCCAACTTCATCTGCGGCGTTAGAGCGGTCGCTCTCCACAGCCCCAGGAAAGTCTAAAGCCGGGGAACACTGGCTGGATTGGACCTGGATTGGTGGCCAGAAGCAAGGACGGCACGGATCAAGGTCAAATGACCTTCTCACACCATGGGAAATCGCTTGGAAATGACTGACTGTGTGCCGCGTGAGTTGATGGCGTGTCGTACGAAACGCCGGCAGCGAGACAACCCTGGAGGACCATTATCGAAGACATATCGGAGTGAGCTATGGCGCCGGTGCAGGAATCTCACTGCCGGTCATAGGTCTCCGTCCGGAAAGATGATTGCTTGATGAATTGACTGGGCTTGGCAGGAACGGATGGATTGGTAGGGATGTGCTTGACAGTGTCAGGCTTGATCTGGCTGTCGTGTCATTTGCTTCTGTCGCCATGATACCTCGATGTGGTTTGAGATGCACATTTGATTGATCAGACGATATTCCGACGGACCTACCCAGTTGATACGCTTCCATGATTGTAGCTTCGAGATGATCTGGTCAACCAAGTCGGAGCAGAGGTGATCGCTATATAGGTTGGTCAGTAGGAGTTGTTGCAACGGCTGCAGCAGTCCCGCGCTAGGCAGCGGCTGCTGTGGCGGGCCATTATAGTGACCATAAGTATCGATGGCACAGCTGCCATAACGATGTTGCAGAAAGTCTGCTGTTGATGCATCTTCCGTAGGTTATCCATTGACGAGGTTTCGACTTATCGCGTTCGTAGCACTGCCTGTCAGCTGTGATGGCACACGATCCTGCCCACAACATCATGATCGGTCTTAGACCTTGTCGGATTGGCATACGGGGTAGGCACGAGGTGCACTGATGAAGGGATCGGAAGGAGGTTCCGCTTCTTACCATCTTGCAACATGCCTTCTTATTGCCCTGGGCGGGAATAGCTGTACCTTGGACATTGAATACTTTGGAGCTCTGATCACAGCATGCATCGTAACAAGTGCATTAGCGAAGCTGCTGACCCGCATGATGTTGATGTTGAAAACAAGGATACACGTCTGGCAGAAATTGGCGCCACGATTGATGGCTGTGCAATTTTCTGTACAAGCCACAGTGGTGCCGCAATCGCGGGTACTCGGCGTGGTTCTTACCAGGATCATGACCAACTATGGTTCTACTTTGCGAATATCTTCCTCAGCTCGACAGGCATTGTATGACTCTGGCTTCGTGGGTTAGTTGGACCAAACAGCAAAATGATGCGCCGTGTTGTTGCGGTCCCGACTCCTGAGTATTGGAGGCTCTGGAGTCTTGGTGGTGAAAGAGGCTTCAGCGAATAAGACGGCTGTGCCTTGCATCGCGGCTTCGAGTGGGTTTGCGAGACCAGCGAATTATGGTGATGATGCGCTCTATCATGCATTGATGGATTTCGAGGTAGGGCTGTCTACTGCGGACAACACTGAAGGGCAGGAGGATGCAATGTCCCTTCCACTGCAGCACAGGAGGAACAGAGTGTCTCAGGTCCTGTATATGGGCGAAGTTCGCCGTCGCTCCCCTGCGGCAGAGGGGTTCATGGAAATCTTGTTCCGCTCATATCAATAATCTTTCACGATATCTCCTGCGCAGAAGTTGGCGAGATTACTCTGCCAGATGGCTTACAAGGGTCGCACTACCTGTCGACACCGCAGAGTCATGAACGCACTGCATCAGGCAGCTACTTAGATAGAATACACTCTGGAGCACAAGCAAAACTTGGATATCTCTAAGTCGCTTATCCTGTCGCGTGCATGCACCCCTGCGAACACACACGCGCGTTCGCTTCGCTTGCCCGGCTGCTTGCCGCGACGATAAGTTCATCATGTGGGTAACTACAGTTGGGCTTTCGAGGCAGTGAACCCTTTCCTTCTCTTCCAGCACAATAAAGACGGGCAAGTCACGCCCAGGCTTTCCGTCAGTACTTTGGACTGCAAACAAGATCTGTGACGAAATCATCGAGTCGAGCGTTTCAGATTTCCTCGGAATCGGAAGAACGCAACTGCCAACCCCTACCAAGGGTGATCTCTGACTGCGATCCTGACCCGCAGTTCGAGTTCTGTTCTGGAAGGTCCCATTCTTCCTCTCTTTCCGTGCAGAGTCTACCGCAGGTTCATGAGAGGAGTGAGCGTGGTGTACGAAAGCAAAGAAAGCGCAGTGTGAAAGAAGATGCCCTAGACCTCAAAGGGAGCGTCATCCACATTCCTTTGTTCCCAGGCTGTCAACCGCGCCCGCTGTCAAGCCTACGATCGAGACTGCGCTTCTGTTTGCGTAAAGGCCGCATTTGCAGTCGCTGTCGCTCGCATTTCCCAGTCTGGGAATCTGCGTCGACGCTCTCAAGTCTGCACTTCAGACGTTGGTCCTCCGTGTGAAGTAGCCATACCTTAACATGGCTACTCGAGGCTACCCTCCCCCACGGCAGCCCCAATACCAGCAACAGCACGGGCCTCCACCAGTGAGACATTACGATCAGCGCCCGGATCAGAGGTATCAGCAGGACCCACACCAGCGCATGCCACCTCAGCGGCAGCCGCAGTACGATCAATACTATGACCAGAATGGCTACCAGAACGACTATGGCTATGATCAACAAGGGCAATATCAAGAGCAGTATGAGGAACAATATCAATATAATGATTATCCGCAGTATGACCAGCGAGGACATCCACCGCCCCAGCGGCAGTACAATTATGATGAACGATATCATCAGCATGCACAAGATCGACAGCCTCCACATCCGCAGCAAGGACACCAACAGCGCCCGAGACAACAACGGCCGCCTGATACGAATGCTCCGCCGCACCAGCAGAAGCCTCGAGACCGTATCCTTAAGAAGGAACCTGAGTCGCCGAAGACACTAGCCTGGGACAATCCATTCGGTGCATTTCCAGGGAAGAAAAAGGACGGCGGGAAGCCCGACCTGAGTCCTCAATCACAGGACAAGCATAGACGACATGGCAGTCTCGACGCCTCACAACAGCGACCAAAGGAATGGAACTCGCCGCCGAGACAGAGAGGTGGCCCTCAAGATCCCCGTCCGCAAGCATCGCAGGATCATCGATGGCAGGATCCGCCTAGACCGAACACTTCGCACGGGCAGCATGGACAGCGGCAACAAATGTCGCCGCCGTTGAACGGCCCTCCGATGAACGGTGACGGTCGATTTGGTCGCTCAAAGGCGGACCTGGTGGGCACTGCGCCCAATCCGCCCAGACCGAGCACGTCGCATGATCAGAGACAGCACATGTCACCGCCTCCGAATGGCCCTCCGATCAATGGCAATGATGGCTACGGTCGTTCCAAGGCCGACCTGGTTGGCACCGCACCTCAGCGGCCGCCCATGCCACCGGTAAATTCGAGCAATGGATCTTCGCGGCAGGCCCTTGGACTTGAAGGGCCTGGCTCTAGACAAAGACAAGGACAGCGACCTCCAATGCCTGGCCAGGCTGCGTCAGACCCACGAGCAGGTCCCCCACAGCGATCTGTGACACAGCCAGACATGTCGCATAACGGCCCAGGACCAGCGATGGATCAACAGTACCACAACCACCAAGATCGAGCACAATACGAGATAGTGACAGATCGAAGGCCACCCGTGCGACAACCTAGCGACCATCAGTACGAGCCCGAGCGAGGTCCACCTCTTGCAAAGGCCAGGACATTCGATCAGGGTCCCAGATCACCAGGTATGCCGAATTTCGATGCAATACCGCCCATGATGGCAGAAACGCTCACTGGCCCGAGACCCGTGGAAGAGCCGATCTACGCAAAGAAGTCCTACCAAGCTCTAGCTGTCGACTCGAATCCAGCTCGCGCAGGACCGCCTCAAAATGACACAACTTCACCTCTGGCAGAATTCGCCTTCGGCTTGCCGCATAGTAACTCGGCGCCGCCGACGGTAGGCAATGCCCTCACCTCACCACCTCCAAGCGCTCAGGATGCGAGAAGTCTTGCATCGCCGCCTCCTAGTGCACAGGGAGCGAGAACTGTCACGCCGGTTGGCGACATTGACTACAACAACCCACCACTCTCGCCGGCAGTGCCGATTACCCGACCAGGAAATTATGATCCGAGAATTGCTCCTCGAGGAATCGCGAATGGGCAAGGGCGGGCAACTCCTAATCAGCAATTTCCACCACGTGGCGCGAGTAGAGCGGATGATCAGAAATTTCCGCCACGGGGTGCCAGTAGAGCAGACGGCGCGCCGACGCCAACGCAGGCCTCTTTCCCGCAGGAGTTACAGGACTCGGGCTACTGGACGAGCCCTGATCGCACTCATCCGCCGCAGCCGAGAGACGTTGTCCGAGAGCACGGCTATGATGGATTTGCAGGAGGTCCAGACTTCAATCAGGGCTACGAGGAGCCGTCGTATCAACAGACAGGCTACGATCAGTACGCACAAATTTCTTCACAACAACAGAGTCAGCCTCCTGCAGGGCTCCCGCAGGGAGGTCCTCGAAGTTACAAATCCAATGGAATGTCTGCTCATCCTCCACCCGTCCGGCAGCATGCAGATCGCACGAGTGGTCCAGATATGCCACCTAATGGCGCGGGCGGAATGGATCGACCACCTCCTTTCAGACCAGGACTGATGAACCAGTCTTCTCAGCAGTCGCAGGCATCGTTCCAACAGCAAGCGCCGATGATGAGACCGCCACAGCAGCAGCCACCGCCTCAACAGCAACAGCCTCCACAGATGCGGCCTCAGCAAGCACCTCTGCCAGTAGCAGCACCTCCTCCACCAGCAGACACGCGACGCTCCTCTAACCAATCAACTGCAGAAGACCCTCCCATCACAATCGCCGAACTCAACCAACTCCGCGAACAATTCAAAGACCGCCCCACCGACTTCGCCCTCGGACTCCGCTTCGCCAAACGCCTTGTCGAAGCCGCCAAAGTCCTCTCCTCCGAGAACGGCCGTGCCGACCCCAAAACCACCCTCCGCAACCGCGAGCGCTACATCAACGATGCGCACAAAGTCGTCAAGAAAATGGTCAATGCTGGATCCGTGGACGCCATGTTCTACCTAGCCGACTGCTTTGGCCAAGGCTCGCTTGGTCTGCCCGTTGACGCGAAAGAAGCGTTCCAGCTGTATCAGAGTGCAGCGAAGCTCAATCATGCCCAGTCCGCTTATCGCGTAGCCGTGTGCTGCGAGCTAGGGCATGAGGAAGGTGGCGGGACGAGAAGGGACCCGATGAAGGCTATCCAGTGGTATAAGCGCGCTGCTACGTTGGGAGACACGCCTGCGATGTACAAGATGGGGATGATTCTGCTTAAGGGGTTGTTGGGCCAGCCAAGGAATCCGAGGGAGGCGGTGTCATGGCTCAAGCGTGCGGCTGAGAAAGCAGACAAGGAGAACCCGCATGCATTACACGAGCTGGGGTTGTTGTACGAGAGCGCGCGACCGGAAGACCATATCCTTCGGGACGAAGGCTACGCGTACCAACTCTTCCTCCAAGCCGCTGAGTTGGGGTACAAATACTCGCAATTTCGGCTTGGCTCAGCCTACGAGTACGCCGCGCTGGGTTGCCCCATCGATCAACGGCAGAGTATAGCGTGGTATTCTCGAGCGGCGAGTCAGAGGGAGCACCAGGCGGAGCTGGCCCTGAGTGGGTGGTATTTGACGGGCGCGGGGGACTTAGTGCAGCAGAACGACCAGGAGGCGTATCTTTGGGCGCGGAAGGCGGCGATGAGCGGGTTGGCGAAGGCGGAGTTCGCGATGGGGTATTTTGCTGAGACCGGGATCGGGTGTACAGTTGATCCGGAGGAGGCGAAGAGGTGGTATTATCGGGCGGCTGGTGAGTACTTCTTTCTTCTGGAGGTGCTGTTGTTGTGTGGTCGGCGAGAGTTCGTGGTGTATCCATGCTGACCTGGAGTGATAACAGCGCAAGGATTCCCGAAAGCGAAAGAGCGGCTGGAGGAGCTGAAAGCTGGTGCTAAAGCGAAGAAGAGGGACAAGAGGGATATTAGGAGGAGCAACGCTAAGGAAGGGGACTGTGTTGTCATGTGATTGATGTGTCTACAGAACAGGTGGCTTGATTGTGAGAGACAAGAAGGGCACTCTCTGCTGCAGATGGCCATTAAAGATGGTCAGGGAGAGCAGCATATCGACAGAAGCGGAGGTCGAGAGGTCACTTTGCTTGACTTGTGGTTCTTTCGACCCGATAGGTGGGTATCTGCGCTGATTGCAAGCACATGAGTCGATGATCTACGTGACACGACTTTACAGTGATCGGGATAATCGTTCCATCAATGGTGACTTGGTAGAGTAGGCAACACGAAAGGGGAAAGCCTTAAAGGTCTCTAGCAACCCCGGTTCGTACTACATTCGAGTACTGCAGGGCGGGAGAGGTGGACACCATTCAGCAACAGAAGGCAATCTATAGCTGAGTCCATTAAGCTACGCGACACAGGGAAACTACTGTTATCGAACAGGTCTGAGCTCGAGGTTGGGAGTGATAATACACTGTCAGAATTGAATCTAGCCTATACGCAGAATCTCATCCTATACCAATTGCCGCTCTTGTGTCGACACTGTACACATTTAAAATTAGGTAGCCTCGTGGTCCGTGGTGATGATACACGCTGTCGATGTCCGCCAATTTATTACCAAACCTCTATTGCTAACGCCATTCCCAGTCATTAAAAGTATAAGATTAACGTTGATTGCCAGAGAACACAACTTTTCGATGCCGGAAAACAATCACCCGGCTTTCGTTGACGTGAATGTCTTTCTACTCAACCAGCAATGCCACTGATCATGGCCATTTAAGGGTATTGGGGTATTATCGTGCTTTTGTACACCGAAGAACCAGTCTCCGTCGAAGTAAAATCCATAGGCCTTGACAAAAAGTGCCGTTGGTCGTAGTCATTGGGAAAAACCAGTCCGCAACATGCTATTGTGCCGTCCGTTGTTGTAGAATCCGCTGATGAAAGCGCCGTTGCTGCTTACGATGCAAGGCGGTCGTAATCGATAGCGGTCGTCCGATCCAGAACATCTCGCTCTTACACGTGATCATTCGTGCTGATCTCACGGGAGGAGATTTGCTTCTGCACCGCAGAATAGATTGCAGTGCCGGCAGCGGAAACGAAGAAACCCGCAACGATGAAGTTCAGGAAGCTGACCTTGCCGACTTCGGTACTCGACAACATCACGGTACCACACAACATCAGCAGGGCAGTGGTGAGGCTCCCACCAAGGGCATATGCCAACACCTTCGTCGGACTCTCGAAGAAGTGCTCAACCAATAGGCTCACCCATCCGATGTTGAGCAACATCGCGACAGTGATGATCGTCCAGCGCAGCTGTACAAAGCATCTCTCGTCGAAAAGAGCGCTGCTCGCGATTGCTGCAACGAGGCTAGCCGAGCCGAAACACCTTTTCTTGACTTTGTCGGTCTGGTATGCGTAGACGTAGCCAAAGACAGCTACGACCACGGCCCCCAGGACCGGGGTCGTGTATTGCCAAGCGGTCGACACGTCGGAAGCTTGATTGCCGTTGTTGGCGGCGGTATCGCCCTTGCTGTCACTGTCGGTGGCCGGAGTAGGAAGACTCAGGGGTGGTCTCAAGCCCCGCATGGTGGTCACGGTAGAGGTGGTGGATCGGTGATGTGAGGAAATGAAAGGAAGGAAAGGAATGTTCAGCGAATGAATGCTCGGGCAACTTTGCAATAACGAAATACTGTTCCTGAGGCACGAAGCGGGTTGAAGAGCGGACAGCAACATGCGTCCAGTCTGAGATTGTTCGAGCGACAGGAGGGGCAGAAGCCCACTCTGTGTAACATGAGCCTGGCCCCCACATTCTTGTTGACGGCGGCGGTCCAAACTCGAGGTTCGACTCTCGTAATCTCACCCTTCGTGGCCATGTAGATGAACAACACGGTTGCGATGGGCCAAAGAGTACTGCAATGGCTAGCAGAGTCCCTGAGGCGCGGTGCACGACGCGCATGTGATGCAGTATGCTTGTCAGCTCTGACGACAAGAAGCGTCTGCGTGAGCCTGTATGAAGTCGACCTTTGGTCAACACCGGAGGAGCAGATAGCGAGTCGCAACAACAGGTTTCGGGGTAGACAGCGACTAGAGCGCGCCAGCCTGAGCACAGCTTTCCATGTCTCACAGCGATTCATAAGACCAAGTTTTGCAGCGCGAGCGATGCCCAACTGGACTTACCTCAGCCTTCAGAGCAAGGTGGCCGGAGGAAGGCGTTCGTTAAGTGACAGGTCCATCATGGTGGCATCGCTGTGTCGAAGAAGATGAAGTAATACCATGAAGTGGCTCATCCCACCAGGCAGGAGTATGTACTGCCAAGGTATGACGATCAATCATCTGCTCCATGATGTCTGTGTGGGCAAACGGAGAAGAGAAGAAAGTTGAGGACAAGATGAATACTTAAGTCTTTCCAGCAGAACGAGAGCCGGGGCAGACCGAGTTGATCATTTCATTGACTCCCAGGAAGCATTCACTTTTCTTGGCATGATCGTGGTTTCGATAATGTTATGCAGTGACTCGTCCGAAAGCGTGTGACGAACAGTGACAGGTCTTCGACCGAGTCAGTGAAGTCATCGTCCCGGCATCTGACGGATTCCACTTTTGGTGAAGAGATATAAGTACACTACTCGCACCTCGATGACTTCTCTTTTCAACCAACCTCCGAAGGTGGCGAGACTGGTAGGGAAGACTTATCGAGAAGGTCTACTTGTCAAGCTAAGGTAACAACAATTACTACCACGCAGGACGAGGTTGTGCGATGAGTTCACAAGGGCACTCAGAAGTCTTCCAAATTGTATTCCCGTTACTGGTGGTTCAGTCGAAATAGGATTTATTGACTAAGCAATGACAGTACAGAAACGAGTGTTATGTCCCGGTTCCTCCTACTCCTAGAAACAGGTCTGCTTCGTCCCAAAGGCTGTCCCCTTATCTTGTTTCCGACGCCAGGCTGATCACTGCATCTAGAAATCGCAACCGAAGTTCTGAATGAAATTCTTGTCGGAGAAGAATCCACACCCCAGCCTCGGCGGAGCAACAACATTACAGCTGGACAGCAGAGTAGCCTGATCAGCGGTTTGATCAGCCCCGAAAGTCCAGATCTCCCTGGTCCTCTCGCTATTGGTGATTGGGTCGAGGATGCCACACCCTCTGACCTCGAACAAGAGGTTGGGATTGTCTTTGAATTGCCTGACCTCGTTGCATCCGTCGCCGATGAAGACGGCTTTGGTGCAAGGGTCTTGGCCGCCAACCCAGGCGAAGTTTTGGCTGTTCTGGTCGCGGCCCATGCTGATGGATCCTGCATAGACGGAGGATATGAGGATTGGGGTGAGGGTTAAGAGTGATAGGAATTGCATTGTAACGATTGTAGTGGTGCGAATGTACTTTGTGTGGATGATGTGGTTTTGATGGAAGGAAACGAAATGAAATACTGATGCTGTAGGAAAGTCGTGACTGATGATGGACGGAACGTCAGAAGTGCGGCTCAGAACTGCGCTATATAGTGTAGGGTGTTGAGGCTGTAGGTCAAGTTGCCGGCTTCGCTGTGTCCGCATATAGTAACACTCGACGGTAAGCCATTCTATTATTGTTACCGCTCCATGACTTGGCAGGAATTCGAGCTGTGAGGCAACTTAGTATTGCAGGATCATGGTGTGGACCATGCTACCGGTCAAGACGCAAGGTGGAGCGTGAAGCATCTAATGCGCAGTTTGCACCGTGGGAACTGCGGTTATGTGCGCGGGGCGGCATCATGCTGCTGTCGAGCATCCTTTGTGGCTGAGGGGTCATCTGAGTGTCCGCCCACATAGTTAGAGCAGGCGGTGGCGGCGGCGCCATGCATCTCGCCAGTGATGGGTGCTACAACACCAGCTCTAAGCCCTACCACAACCCATTAGTATTGTGGCTGAAAGCAGATAATCGTTTATCATCGGGCTGACCTCCGAGGTTTTGTCCACAAGGGGAAATTTTTGATGTTTGCTGAAACTCGGCGTAGTGATTTTTGGTTACCTAGATCTCAAATCAGACCAAGTCCTTCCACTTTCGATGTCGCCCGGAGGAGATCTCGTATCTGCACATAGTATGGCGCCGAAGTACAGAGATCCCGTTGGTAGGGTCGAAGGCACTTGTGCAGGGTGAGCTCCTGATGGAGACGTCGGGTCAAGGACCTCAGAGGGCGAAATTGGATGCCCCAATGTACTGTAGCCGGATGGTCTTGCAGAAGCAGTAGATGCATTGTTCGCTCTTGCGGAAGCAGTGTATGCATCGTTTGAGGCGGAAGTCACTGCTGTCGCCGTCCTAAGCCAAAATTTTCACACCGCACCTTCCTCAAATCCGACTGTTGCTTCATAACCTCATATCAACGACCAACTTCCCACTTACTTTCCCACCCTCATACTCTGTCACCAAATCGTTCAGCCCCTCCAGTCCAAATGTCTTGATCCGCGCCTTCACCTCGTGTTCGGCCGCAAAAGCCAGCATATCCCTCAGATCTTTGTTTCGACCAGTGAGAACGCCCACAATCTCAATATCCCGGAAGACAGTGTCTCGTGTTGAAACTTCCACCCATCCTTCGGAAAACTCACAACGACACATCTTGCGTGGTTCTTGAGAACCGCCATTCCCCAGTTGAAGGCGGCCTGTGCTTCTGGAAGGATGATACTGGCGTGGGCGCCGATTTCATCTTCCAAGGCATCTTGAGCGGCGTTGAAGAGCTCTGGCTGTTGGCTTTTGAGTTGTGCGGCGGATGTGGCGGCTGAGTCGACGACGTGTACCCTGCCGGCGTTGGAATAGCCAGCGCATTCGCTTGCGATTTCGCGGCAGAGTGCCAGAGCGGATGGGCCGACGTCTGCGGCGATGACGGTCGCACCGAGTCGGCTGGCGAACTGGACGCCCAGGTGGCCAAGGCCGCCTCCTGCGCCAAGAATAGCGATCGCAAGGCCCGCGTTGTCTAGTCTACCGCTGTGATCCGAGTTGGGAGACAGAGCGTCCATCTTCAGACCCGCCCGCTTTAATGCAGACCACACCGTTACGCCCGCGCACATCAACGGCGCAACATCCACAGCCGCCATCTTTGACTCGCCTTCCGAAGTCGTCGGCACAGGCGCAACCTGCCGCCCATCCACAACGCACCACTCCTGCCATCCGCCATCCACACTCAGACCTAAGTTCCCGGCTTTCGAACACCACACCCCATACCCCTGCGCATCACCCGCTGATTTACCAGAGCGGCACTCCTCACAGCTGCCGCATGGCCCCTTAGCTCGACCCGGCACACCAACCAGCTGCCCCACCGAAAGCCCAAGCTCATTTTGAGCTTCAGGGGAGGATAACGCGGGGCCGAAACTGTGGATTGTACCGGCGAACTCATGGCTGCCGATACGTGGGAGCTGAGGTTGCATGGCGCCGGAGGCGAAGACATGGTCGGTGTGGCAGTAGGATGCAGCGGCGACGCGGACCAGGATCTCATGCCCCTTCAGGTCAGATGGTGTCGATATAGGGAGGGTATGGTCTGGCGTGTAGGTGTATGGTTGGTTGAATTCGTGCAAGATCTGGGCGCGCTGGGTTTGGGGGAGAGCAACGGGCGGAGGTTGTGCTTCGGCCATTCTGGCGAATGTTGAGCTGGAAATCGTTTCGGTGGGTAACGTGGGAGAAGCACGATTGTATTGGTGGTGGTTGCGGACCCGCTGCCTCTGCTGTCTCGGGTCTACGAGCACTGCTGGACGATGCCTATATCGTGTTACAGGGAACGATATAGTGCTTCGAGAGATAGATGATGGTGTCCTTGCGCGCCTGAGCAGCGTTCGGCTGAAGTTTATGCTGCTGCTAGCACCCAGCACTGGCGCTAACGTGGATTGTATAGTGCCGTTTGCCCGCTACAGTGCTGCCGTTCTCAATTCGACTTAGTGCCAAGGTCTGTCTAGATTTCGAAGTCCTCTGTGTGTGATCTTTGATGCGTTCGTGTTAGTAGTAGCGCGCGTCGACAATGTCCTTTCCGCAACGACGTTGGGAAGAAAGTCGTCTCGCCGTCATTCCCCTCCCACATACTTGATGTTTACCCCAATGTTCGTTCAGTTCTCCAATTCGGGGTAGCCCCGCAGAGAGCGCGGTCAACCGGCTTATCGAGACGACACGGGCCGCCGTTGGACGCAATTGAATGATGCTCGAGGCAGTGAAGTGCTCGTTTCGGTTTGCCGCGGGTCTTGACTTTGTCAGAAAGGTATAAGATGCCGTCTTGCCCTCGACCTCGGTTGCAACTCTTTCATACTCGCGGCCAACGCTCGAGAATGTGATTACACGGCGTGTTGTCATGCCATGGTAGTAGCTGCTACTGCCTGGCGGGGCGAGTGGAAAGGAACCTCGACGTCGGGAGTAAAGACCTTGCCAATATCGAACTTTGCTGAAGCGAAGACAGTTCTGCCTTGTACCTCGATAGCAACCTCCTCATCCATGGATCGATGCTTACTCCCTCCTCACCCGCGGCATCCCCCTCGAATCCCGCCCCTTCTCCCGCTTCTGCCGCCTCTTCTCGGCTTTATCTCTTGCTTTCTTGCCCATGGCTTCCTTTCGCACCTCCTCCGCTTGCTTCCTGATCTCCCCGGGTTTCAGGTAGAACGGCTTCGCTTTCTTCCCCTCCCTGATCGCCGCCTTCTCCTTTGCATTATGCTCAGCCACAACCTTCTCCTCCCGCGCTACCCTCTCGCTGTTCCGTAACTTGGCCTCGAGGGACATCAGCTGCCTCTTCAAACTATCCTGCTGCTCAACATCGCCCGAGGCGGCGGCTTTCTTGATCTGTTGTTTTAGGGAGAGGACTTCGTCGGCCTGGTAAGAGGTCAAGAAGGAGTAGTTCCTGTTGGCTTTTGAGACCGAGGATTTGTTGAGGGTGGCAGACATGACAGTAGGGTCGAAGCGTGGGTCGCGGGATTTCGTGGTGGCGGGCGGAGGGGAGAAGATGGAACGCGTGCGGGAGACTTGTTGGCGGGAGGAGTGGATTGCGGGGGCGTGTTTGATTGTCGAGAAGACTTTGGCTGGGGGTCCATAGCGGTCTCTGTCTTTGGCGGCGGGTGGTCGGGCGGCTGTGTTGGTGTCGGCGTCGTGGTCGGCATCGAAGCCTGTGGGCAGTTTCCTCTTGCGAGATTGTGGTGCGAAGCGTTCTTGAGCTTCGGCGAGGGTGCCGAAGTCAATGTCTTTCAAGACTTCTTTCTCTTCTGGTGGCTCTGTGTCCTCTGTGTCGTCTGCATTGTCGCTGTCATTGGCAGAATCATGCTGCTCCTCAGACCCATCGTCACTTGGACTTGCAGATGCCCCGTTGGCAGACGCTTCATCTTCTGAATCCTCTTCTGATGGCCACTCAACATCATCCTCGGCATCGGAGATGTCGTGCCGTAATTGTATTGGCCCTCTCGAGGTCAGCTGAGCAGTCATGTTGTGAATAAAAGTCATGTGTAGAGATCGACTTGCGTTTCGCAACTTTTTGGTCGAGTAGCTAATCGATAAGAGATCTAATAGGGAGTTTTGGCAAACCTTCCTTTTGGGGAACATTCCTTCTTAACAACAACTTCAACTTTTCCGCACTGTCGCCTTCGTTACTTCGACATGATCTCAACATAAGTCGACGCTCATTGTAGACTCACCCTGGCAACAGCGAGACCGGCTGACAAGATTCTCCGGCGTCTCCAAAAAGTGACTCTCCCTCGCGACCATGTCTCTGCAGAGCATTACTAACGCACCTCATCAGTGGACGAACGCAGGATATTCCGCTCTGTCTGTGCCTCCACCATACATTTCGCCATACCCTTACAACCCTAGTCTCGACGCCATGGGCCGCAAGAAAGGCGGCGCATTCTACACGCCCGTATACCCTGCGGAATGGACGCCAGACACTCGACATACGCAGGCGCAATCGCTCCATGTCCCGCAGCAGCCACGCTCTGCTCAATCCATTGTTCAATCACTTGCCCAGTCTCGGCGCAGTGCTCAGAATCAAGCTAGTGTGAGTAAGCGCGCGATATATAATATTGTCGATGCTTGGAGAGCATACAAGTCTGACACTACCAATCAGTACAATGGCGACAATCAATACCAGTCAAACTACCAGCAGTTGCCGCACTACCAGCAGCAGGTCCCCGAATTTGATGCAAACTTCCAACCGCTTCCACCATATCAGCAGCAGTTGTTTCTGCCATCCTTCAACCCACAATGGTCTCAGCAAAGTCTCTGGACAGCTGCCCAAACGCTGCCGCAACCACCCCAGTTGGCTCCGCAAGCCACGGCATTTCGACCTGTACAGAGGTTAGTGAATGGCTACATGCCACACTCAGATTACAGAGTTAACAAGTCAAGCCGCTACAACCTCAGAGCTCGACCCATGAGCACCATGCACAAGACCAAATCATCCAGTCCATCGAAACCGACGATGTCCCTCGACAACTCCCTATCCGACCAGTCAAACAACGATCTGCGCGTCAACCAACGCCTCGTCGCGGTCCGACCCCCATCAACGAAGCCATCGCCCCTGTTAAGATCCCAGAGCCCTCCCAAACTTACCTCCACACCGCCGCCCTTCCGTCCCAACAACTCCTCCAACCCCAAAAGCTCCTAGTCCTCCTCGACCTCAACGGCACCCTCGTCTACCGGACCGGCTACATGCGCCGCGAAGTCGTCAAACGCCCCGGCGTCGACCGTCTCGTGCAGTACCTCTTCGCCAACCACCACGTCATGCTCTTCACCTCCGCCACCCTCAAGTCTGCCGAGCGCATGGCTAAGACACTCCTCACGCCAGAGCAGTACAGCCAACTGATTACGATCCGCTCTCGAGAGGACCTCGACCTAACGCACGAGCAGTTCATCAACAAAGTCCAGGTCTACAAGGATCTGAACGTGATCTGGAAGGACAAAGCCATTGTGCAAGCCGCGCCGATCTGGGTGTGAGGTGGGATATGTCCAGTACGGTGTTGATCGACGACAGCGTGATCAAAGCCAAGTCCCATCCGCATAATCTGCTTCAGGTGACGGAGTTTCTGGAGCCAGAGCCGAATGCGAGCAAGAAGGAGAAAGCGGCATTCAAGCTGCGGGAGACAGTCGCGATGAGAAGTGTGGAGGAGAAGTTGGAGAGCTTGAAGTGGCAGGTTAATGTGGCTTGTTGTATTAGGGAGTGGCAAGAGGCAGCGAACAAGAAGAAGAAGAAGGGTCTCGGACTCGATGCTGAGGAGGCCTCTGCTCGGGAGTCCTTGGACGAAGCGGAGAAGGCTATCTGGAGTCGTGCTGCGGATGAGGAGTACGCCACGCCTGTCAGCATGGACGGTAACAGCAGTGGTATTGTCGCCAAGCCCGAGGCTGACGACGGCGCCACTGAGCCAACAACGAAAACCCACGAGGAAGAAGAGGAAGAGTACGAGCCCGACGAATGGCAAGGCGTCAAGCTCCCAACTCCATCGCCCGAAGTCGAGCTCGGTGCCGTGGAGAAGCTCAAGGCACTGGCCGGCAGTGTCAGCAAGCCTGCGACGGCGCCGCCAGGGAAGCGCTACAGTTTCATGGACGCCCGCGACAGTGGCAATCGCAACATGTCGACAGCACGAGAGGTCAGTCCGGTCACAGAGGAGGATTTCAAGTGGTTGAGTCTAGACGAGAAGACATCAGCGGATGTGACCAAGGCTAAACAGACATAGATACTAGAGTGACTAAGCAGGGATAGACATCAGAGAGACTGATTGACCTTCTGAGTCCACCGAGTTGTACGATGAGAGTCCGTATTTGCTTAATGCCACACAATTTTTGATGGATGCCACTTTGATCTGTGTTGCACGATTCTCTGTGAGGTTGCTGGGAGAGAATAGGGCAGGGGTGGACTATGCGAGGAAAGAGAGAATTGGGTGTGAGCGATACGATTTTCTGGGAAATTGCTGGGAGAAGAACGCGGCGGGGGAGGACTATGCGAGGAAGGAGAGAACTGCGTGTGAGCGATTCGATTCCATCTATCGAGGGCATCAAAATTCGCTTTTCTGTGATCTGAAGGGAAGCCTCGAACGATCTATCAACGCAAAATGCTTCGCAGTGATAAGACATGCTCGCTAGCTGGCTCACTGCACAACAGCCGAGCGCTTTGGTGACTTTGGCAGCCGCACCTCACACATGACACATCGTTCCGTGCATGACTCGTGCTGCTCCTGTTCTTCCACATCATGCCGTCGTCTAAAAAGTCGTGAAATCGATGCACACAGATTGGGCCGACTGAGGAGCCCTTCGATGTCGGGAGTCCATGCGTCGTGAAAGGCCGGGGCTCTCGCAATCTTGTGGTCGCTCAGCCTCTACTTGAAGACCTTGCCGTCGGCCCATTCGTACTCTGTATAATAATGTTAGTAAACTCAGTCATGTCGGGAGGGCTCTGGTAAAACATACCCTTGCCATCAACAGTGATGGGCTTATCCCAAGACCACTCGTCCTCGACGAGCTTCTTGTCCTCAGCCTTGGATGGATCAAGCTTGACGAACTCATATGACTCCCAATCCGGAGCGACGTCGAACGCAGGGATAGCCTCCTGACCGCGGACGAGGAAAGCACCCTGGATGACACTGTCGTTGGCCTTGCCGTAGACTGACAGAGCACCGAAGAGGTACTTGCGGGAAGCCTCGAGACGGGCGAAGAAACCACCGACCAAGTTGGCGCTCATGAAGGTGAGAGTGAGATCCTCGTTGTACTTGTAGTTGACCTTCCAGAGCGAGTACTCATCGGGCTTGTAGTTCTCCCAGAACCAAGGCAGGGCAACCTCTCGAGTCTCCTCGTTGGAGTATTTGCGCTTCCAGTCATCGAGGATCAATGTTGGCTTGCCGAGAGCTTCGATGGGGTGCTTGGCCTTAGGCGCCTCTGGCTTTGGCTCGTCATCCTCGTCATCAGCAGCCGGCTTGGGAGCGGCCTTTGGCTTCTCGGCCTTTGGTGCAGCAGCAGCAGCCGCCGGCTTGGGCTCCTTCTTTGGTGGGGTGTACTTGACGGCCTCCTCAACGAATACTGGCTTCTCGACAACGGCCTTCCAGATCGGCTGGTTGACAATGGTCTCATACCAACGGGTGGTGTTGGGGTTCTCAGAGCGCCACTCCTTGTCAAGGACGTATTGGAAACCGCGCGAGATCTGGGAGGCGACATAGAGATCGGCTAGGGTGAGGCGTTCGCCGACGAAGAAGCTGTTGACGAGGAAGTGGCTCTCGAGGACGGCTAAGCACTTGAGGGCAGCAGCTTGGCATCTTCGACATTCTTCTTGTTGTAAGGGTCTCTGCCGATGAGAGGGCGGAACCACGAGCCAATGGCAGGCAGGAGGTGCGAGTTGCTGAAGGACATGAACTGGACGATCTTGGCATAGTCTTTCTTGGTCTTTCCGAGCAGACGTGTCGACTCGTTCTGTGATGCAACTTTGAAACATTAGCACGTATTCCGCTAAAGTACGTCGCTATATCGGAATTCAAATGGGGTGATCAGAGGTGTGGTAGTCAACATTGGTTGTTCTGTCAGGGATAACTGATGTGATGGTTTCTCATCTTTTCAAGGGATTCGTGTAGAGCGCCTGTACTCACAATAGATCGCAATAGCAATGCTCTCAGTCAGAACCCAGCCATCGGCGCTCTGGTATGTTGGGACACGGTCGAGGGCGTGGAGTTTGATGTAGTCTGCGGAGCTGGCTCGTGTGTGAGTAACATGACTCTAACATGTGCTTGGGGTGTTGTGACTCACTTGGTAGGTGTGCGGGTGTCTACAAGCTCGATGTCGAGTTTGCTGTGGTTGCCGTCAGTATTCGATCACTGGCGGTGTCTCTGTCAACGAGCACGTCGCATGGCGGCGCTCGGCGCCGGCTGAAGATCTAGAGGCATGCAAGAGACTCACTTCTCCTTGGCCAAGGCCAAAAGCACTGAGCACGGTTAGCATGATCTTTCAAGGACTGTGTCATTGGTGAGGGGCAGGCTGTCGCATTCACTATTGCGGCAGGAAGAGGTTCTGGGACATACCGACGGAGCGCGCATTGTCAGAAAAGCCGTACAGCTTTCCGAAAGACATCTTGAGCTGTAGTGAATAGCAATCGAGGTACAGAAACGCGGGACAATGGTGTTTGCGAAAGTGTGAGTCGGAGTCCTGCTCGTTCAAAATATTTCACCGCACTCGAAGCCTTGCAACAGTTTCTCCACTTTGCCAAGATATCAAGATATTCCTGCTTGGACGACACTCGTTCTCTTACAATCATCACATCATGCCTTGCATCTTGCCTTGAACATATTTCTTTCACTTGAAGGGTTCCTGATGTCTCAAAGTTTGTAGCTGCTACTTTGAGCCAGTGAGACCCGAATCATTCAGCGAGGGTCCGCTTCTTGAATACTGAATCAGCCGGGCCTTCTCTCTGCGCATGCGTTCCACGAGTTTCACCCGGCTCGGAGTCATAGTGCGATGATCATGTACTTCTGAATGTCCCGAGCGGCGTAGGCAGAAGTGGGAGTTAGTCACAATGCGGACTCGAAACAGGATTTCAGAGAGAGCCACACCGTTGCTGACTGACTCCCTGGGTGCACCGGAGTAGGCTCTACTATGCTATCGATGTGAGTTCCAGCAAGTCAGATTGATGGCAGAGATCATCATGACTGTAGTATGAAATACTCTCGCTGTGAAGGACCAGTAGCCATTCCGAAGTGCGTCCTGTCGAGAACTTCGTTGATTTTCGACTCCAGGAACCTCATTTTGTAAGTTGTTTTGCACGCACTAACGACAATCACGAACGCAAAAGAACCGAATTACAGCATCACACATCAACATGGTCGAAAATGCAAAAAGTGGGCGCCTAATATAGCAGGGTGGCCCAGGAGCTACGAAGCCATTTGATGCGGTACCCAACCCTGCTACCCAGCTGAGACTCAGGCGGTGGCTTATATTGCCCCAATCTTCCAATTTCTGGTCGATTGTTGGACTAGAATATGGACGCACGAATATATGAAGACCACTTGCCAAAAATGTCTCTGCCAAGACCAGGCGGTGGTGGGTTGGGTGGCAAGTGATGTTGCTGGGGCGATGTCGATATCACTTTTGCGTCTTGGCTAACATTGTGAAGGCCGACTCGAGGTGCTCGCAAGGGACTACGTGGTATCTCAAAATTTCTTCTCGCTTCCTCTATCAACATCGTCGGCTGGCAATACGACCATTCAAGATGGCCGTCCTCAGCACCACCTCTCCTACCAAGCCCACCAGCAAAGACATCGTCATGTCCGACTCTCAGACTGCGCCAGAGTCGGAGCCGTCAAAGTCCCAGACCACTTCGACCCTCGAGACTGTCTCCTCGTCCAACAGCGCGTCTGCAAGCTCGTCCCGTCAGACCACGCCAATCACCCCAGACTTCCCCGACCTCGACTTCGAAACCAAAGAAGACGAAGCCACCCACAGCGACAACGAAGACACCACTCCCACCACGGCCGAAGCTTCCCCCAGAAGTCCACTCGCACGATCGATTCCCGAATCTGGTTCCGCAATTTCATCAAATCTCAGAGCCAGAAAGCCGAGAAAGACAAGACGCCGCTCTGGACACCGGAGATGCGTGCGGAGTTGGATCGTACTTGGGTCGCTTCGCCAGCCATGGCCAAAGTCAAGAAGGATGTTGCGAAGGTTCTTGCTAGTCGCGTTCCTCAGTGGGGTCTGCGTTCTGCTGCGGAGAGACGCGGTGCTTGAGATGAATGGTATGGTAAGTTGGCATGGTGTTGAAGTGGTTTGTCTCTAATGATGGTGAGCAGATATGTAGTTTCGAGGCTACTACTACTGCATGATCGAGAAGGCGCAACCTTGGGTACTGTACGACTGCCTGGAAGCCTTCTTCGCCACATTCAACGATCTGGACAAAGACGACACAAGTATCTTGGCAAGGAGTCTTCCCTGTCTGTGAAGCAGCACCAGAGAAACATTGGGATCGGGGTGTGTCAATGATGTGCCTGCCGGACTCTACGCCTTAAACGCTAGAGCGATCACGCCCTACTTGAAGGTGTCAGGTGGACAAACCAAAACATCTACTCAGTACGAAAACCCTCAGCACATGAAGTTTTCCTTCTCTCCAAATGACTTCCCCTTCTTCTTCCGTCCTGATCTCTGCATCCTTGCTCTGCTTTCTTACTTTCTGGTCGATGGTTAGCGAAGGTCCTGAGACGGGTGACTCGGATCAGCGAGTAGCCATGATACCTGAGCCACTGCTGCCATCCAGCCCACAATAACGCTCTCGTCGGCTTGCATGGACTGCGCCTTCGCGTCATTCGAGCTCTTGAGTTCTAAGAACCTACGCACTTCCATATAAGCTGGCATACTGGTGCGCCCTTTCAAGGCACTTGACCATTGTTGTAGGTTGGCACAAGCCAGCCATAAGCACATCACACGGTCGCACACTTGACTCTATAATTCCTCAATGATGTCTTTGAAGAGAGTCGCCCCAGCACATAGCATCGGATGCTATTCTAGTATGGCAAGTGGACCAGATCGAAGTGTATTGGCATTCGGGAGAAGGGGGAAAGACAAGTTCGAGTGGCAACCCAACTACATATAGTCGTCAGCCAAAGTGGAGATCAAGGCTAGACACGGAGGAACCATTCTACTGACTCACTCCCGAAAGGTATTCACTGCTCGTTGCATGATTCAGTAATGGCTGTGGTCGGCTGTGTAGCCGCTTGAAGGCGGATGCTGACAGCAGCAATCTCAAAGTGGCTTGAACAACGTTCAAATTATAGGCACGAGATACATTACCGGCCACTCCCAGCTCAACCCATCGGCACACTCCTCCCATCCCACGCGCCTGAGCACCAATTATTCCCCTGAAAATGATCTTCCACCGCCTGCAGATACTCCACGGGCTGGAAATCCGGCATTGCCGCCATCTGTTGAAAGTCACCTGTCATGCCAAAGTTATTGAAATCCCCCAAGACCGGCACCCAGTCCATATTATTAGCTTGACTCATGCCGAAACCCATGCCATTGTTCGGTATCGGCCCGTACACTCCACTTGGGTCCTGCAAAGCGCCTACATTGCCGTCCACCATCATGTACTGCTCTGTTGACGACTGTGGTGTCAGTGACGGTCGATTGCCCAATGTGTTCCACTGTCGTGCAGGCGACTGCGAGGTCTGTGCGATTTGGATCTGTCTGGCCACGTTGTTGAGCCCGACCACGGCTTTCGCGATAGGAACGTACTCGAACCGCACGGTCGCGGCTTTCCGCATAACAGCACAGATCCTCTCAAGCCGAACAATATCATCCTTGTAGTCATCAGGGTTGTCGCTGGTCAAGATATGGTAGTACAGCGAGAAGAACCCGCGAAAGGGATAGAAAGCTATGCTGTACATATACAGCGCGCCATGGACTGTGCTTCGCTGGGTGATGTCGTTGAACTTTAGCACGGCATCGACCAGCACACGGGAGATGCGGAGGGATCGTGGCGTTACGTGGACTTTGGTATTGTCGGTCCGTAGCTTGTCCATATGGAGGAGCATGGTGAATGTGCCAATCACCGTTTCGGCGTATGCCCAGGCTTTGATCGTGTCGTCGTTTTGGATCTCCATGAGTGTTACCTGCAGCTGGAGTTCAGTATGCGGAAGCAAGTTGACGACGGATACGTACAAGATCCCAGTCATTGATCATGCCCTCGATCTCATCACAGATAGAGTCCACCTGGGCCTGAAATGCATGTCCCAAGATTTTCTTTGGATCATCTCTGATCCGGTCGTACTGGTCGTAAAACCCCTTCGCTAATACTGTCACCCTGCCCCAGATCATGTGGGGTACCATTACTCCAGCGTACGGCCGCGCATTAGCGAGATCCAGCATTTCAGGAAAGTGTATGAAATTAGGCGAAGCATCTGCGCTGATGGAGGACTCCCGGCCGTAGCAAAGCCGGAAGAACAAATCACAGAGAACCAGATGCCAGAAGCCCATTCGCTGGTGATGCTGCAATTCAGCTTCCTTGGTGCCCTTGGACGACAGCACGTCCAAGTGTTGCAGCCCCATTTGCTTGGCGAACTTGCAACTTTGGGTATGGAAGCGATAAGCCAGTCGGTAGTCGAAGCTGAGGACACATGTCCACTGCATGATGCAGCAGCCAATAAGATCCATCATTGATCCCATAGCGGATTCCTGCCAGACTGAGACTGCCTGGAGGCACTGTAGGTAGAGAGCTCTTGCGGCCAGTGGACTTTGACAGTCGCCAATAACACAGCCTTGGAACGCTAAGTTGTAGTAGATCAACCGCGCGGCAGGATCGATCTTGATATGTGGAGTTGTGATGATGTTTGACAGGGACATGAGGTAGGCTTCGTCGAGCATGCTCGTAAAGAACTCTCCTCGCATCACCTCAAGGGCAACTGCATTCACGTCAGAGTCGTTCCTTCTTTATTACAATGTTTTTCGAGATCGAAAGCAGTCGAGGGGGACTTCAGGATAGCAACCGGCATTCAGTCGTTAGGACTATTACCTTTGACATATTCTTTGGCCTCATCATTAGACATCAGTGCGCTCGGATCTTCGTTGTTGATCACATCGCCAATGTCGGCCAGATTCGTCAATGAGTTATCGAGATCGAGGACCGCTTGAGTCACAGAGGGATCCTGAGCAGGCGATTCGCCATCGGCCCCCGTCAAGCGATTGAGTGAGAAGGTCTTCGCATCATGTAGTTCACGGTCGAGCCAGTCTGATAGTGCAGCATCAGTCACGCTGCCCCTCAAAGTCGATGAAGCAATCAGACTCACCCGCATCAAATGCACTTTTTACTTCCTCCACGCTGCTTTTGACAGCTGACGTGGTCGATGTCGTAGTAGTCCGGACTAAAGGTGGCGTCTTCGCGCCCGCTGCTGGACTGGTGCTTTGAGATTGTGCATTGAATGCTGGCTCTCCGTTCTGCAGAGCACGTTCAAGCAGATCTATTCGTTGGTTGAGCGTCGCAATAACGTGAGCCTCATTTGCTTTCCGCGACACACGGGCCTTTCGTTCGGCGGTAGCGCATGGCGCATTGGCCTGTATGCAGCGGTCGCAAGGGTCTCTCCGATCACATTTCAATTTCTTGGTCTTACACCGGATGCACTGCGGGCTTGTTAGAATGCAGAGGGCTCGAGCAACATGATCCGACTCGCCGAAAGCTTCATTTGAGAAAGTCCAAGCACAGAACGGCTGCGACCGTAGATGTCGTAAGCAGGATCTTACTATTTAGAACACTGCTTCTTTGTGCCGTTCAATATATCATCTGTTATCCATTTTGAGGAAGCCGAAATGAAGCATTAAGAAGCAGAGGGATCCGTGATCATGCCGTGAGTTGTGGCAGCCGCCGCTGTAGGTTCAACCGGTATAGTCGTAGGGCTGGCTTAAAGTTATGGGCGGGTTGCCTTATAGCCGCCCATAACCTTTGCCAATGCTCGCACCGCCACGCCAAGGGGTTCCGCGGATCCCAACTTTGTACAGATCTACGCCTGAGTTGGATGTCGTACGTGCATTATTCCCCACGTGAGATCTTGATTACTCACTCGTTGTCCGCCTGCTCAAGCTTGAGTCGTAGACTTATCAGCTTCGTGCATGAACCTTGGACCTATGCCAAGCATTGGACAGCGTACTGGGTCGTAAATTAGCGTCCAAGATATCGCAAAAGGCCCGGTCGGAGTCGTCGAATTCGTCCGAGTGTAGGTCGTATCGTGCTTTATGCACCACCCAAGAACCCCATTACACTGCCTTGGCCAGCACCAGCGATCCTGCCTTTGAGGTTCTTTGGCGCATATCTTGCCTCGCTCAGCCTCACGCCTTTCTCAACGCTGTCAAGCACCCACTGAGCCGTAACGTATTTGATACCCTTCCCACCAACTGTGGTGACCTCTTTCTGAATCTTACCATGTGCTAGTCCGCCGCCACAGTCTTCACCGATCACGACGTGCGTCGTTGTGCGTCTTCCTAGCATGATCGACATGTTACCTCCGTGCTGAGCGACGAGTTGCTTCAGGCGGTGGTCTGACACTAGTGGTGCTGTACTGCCGTTGAGATAGACTGTCAGGCCAGCGAAGATTTGAGGCGCTGGCTTTGACGGTGGCGAAGTGGTGTCGTCATTTGTTCCTGAGAACGAGTCTGGTTGTATTCGTGTATCATCGTTGATAGAGTATGCTTGCGACGAGATATGGTGGAGGCCATGACTAGGTATCGAGGGTTTAGACGTGGGTGTGGTTTTTGGCTCGGGCTGTGCTGAAGAGAATGGCAGTGTGTCTGAATCGCTCGAAGAAGTGAACGAAAGCCCCTCGTCTGTATCATGGTCGCTTATATGCCGTTTCAGACTTGCCGTGGGCTGCTGCTGACCTATAAGATCAGTCTGATCGCTTATGCCTCTCTTCAAACTCGTGTCTCGGTTTCGATCCAGATTTCCGACAGCCTTTCTCTTCGAACCACCCATCAAGCCTCTTATATCTTGCCAGCCACTTTCTCTGAGGCCCGGAGCTCCCTTCTCCCAGTCGCCATTCTCTTTACGACCATCTTTGCCAAAATTCTCGCTACCAGCACCTACTAGATCAGAGAGATGCGTTTGCCCACCTCTGCCGCTACTGTCCTTGAGTTGGTGTGCAAGTTTGTACGAACGACTGTCGCGCCACGACGTGGAGCCCGACAGGCGGTTTTCGGCTCGCTGGTGGCCGGTAGACGAGGAGTTGTATGGATCGAAGAAGACTTTGGTGGGCAAGGGCGCCTTCGGGACAGCAGGGTGTTTGGGCGCCATCATGAGAAAGACATGGTCTGTCGTTAGCGACGCGATCAGAGTAATGGAGGTAAACCGCTCGGTATTTATGGCTGCGTAGTGTGTCAATCGCACGTGTTGTCTTGCGGGTTAGATCAAGATCGGTGGAGATCGAGCAGATGACGTGCATTAGTCGAAGCGATGGAAGTTGACGCGAATCGCGTACCTTCCACGATATCACATGACTCAAAGCACAGTCAGCCGGTCTCAACTGAGCTTTGTCATCCGGTCTGATCTGTATCTCATCTACCCTCACGGAACAAGCAGATGCTTCGCGTTGTGAACCATCGACTGCAGCTGCGCTGTTGGGGCGCGTCGAGCTTATCATGCGTTGTTCTGCTCGACATGTCATCGATACCTCTGAGTGAGCCTGGTTCGTACAAAGCGGGACCGACTCTGTACGAGAATATAAATGAGGAGGGTCCCATTGATAACACTAATCGCAGCAGGCATGCGCTACCAGAGCCCTTCTGACAAGTTTAACCTTGAGTTGAACTCGACTTCCAGCGTGGCGGCGATCAAAACATCTTCGCTCTGACTCAAACAGCACTTCAACTTTGTGGCATGACAACACACAGTCCAGACCGAATGAAAGTCTTCTTCAACGCGGTCTCAGCGACACAGACGATCAAAGCATGAAGCTGCTCGTCCCACCAGGCAGCACCAGGTACTATCGAGGTATGACAACATGCAATGATCACCCGATCGATGGCAGTATTGTCAAGAAGGGGAGGTGATGAGGTCGAAGGCAAGATGAGTACTTATACCTCTTTGTCATTGTCGAGGTCCGAAGCAAACCGAGTGATTGCTTCACCGACTTAGCAGGAGACCTTCACTGATATCTGCGTGGTACTGAGTCTGTTACTGCCTAGCATGTACAATTGCATATTCCGCGAGGATTCAAGCCAGATCTGTGCTACGGGACCCGCGGTCCATACCCTCGAATGTCGCCGACTACGTGCCGAGAACCCTCCATACCATGGGCTCCGTCAGCGAAGTGTCTGGGTGTCACCATCTGCCTGCCATCGTCCGTGCATGTGAGTTGTCCTTGTTTGTTCACAATGCGGCCGTACCAATCAAAGGAACAGGTCGTCACTGTGCAAGGCTCAGAGCTGCATTGTTGCCCCCCAATGCTATTGTCCCGATCGAAGCATCCTGTCACTGTCCATCATCTTTGTGCAGCTCTTGATCCTTCATCCTGGCGCATAAATGTTTGACGGTGAGCGAGTGCTAGGAGTTCTTGCTTTCCAAACCAGCAAACATGTCGCGCAACGAATACGGGCCATTCGGCTTAGATCTGTTTAATCTCAACCACCGGTCATCCAGATCTGGTCAAGGATCATCACGCCGAGACTCTTCATCTCGCCACGACAGCAACTACCTGCTACCAAGCTCAAGGTATGCTCCTCCACCCAGCTCTAACCGTGCATCAGGACGCCGAAGCTCTCGATCAGCCTACGACTCTGACTACCAGCTACCCAAAGTGTCGTATGGAAGTACAAAGGCCTCCTCATCAAGCTCCACCAGACCGGGATTGTCGCGCAGCGGCGCTCTATCAGCGAAGCATGAGCCCTCGGGCTTGGGATGGGGAGATACTAACTCCCGTATGGATCTGCGTAATCCGTATTCCAGCATACCAGAGAGCCGCTCTTCGCGGCGGCCGTCGTTCGTTTCTGACTGCGCCGACTCACGAGCGCCTTGCCGAAGCGACCGTCATGATCATGGCACGTCTCTAGGTAGGTCAGCTACCACCCGTGTCGGCGGCAGCTCAACCTCTCGAGCGCGGTACAGCTCCTCTCCGGTCTCGGATTTGAGCCGTTCGTTCAGCACACGTCTAAGCCTAACTCCGCCATCACCTATGTCCAGCTTTCGTGATAGCGGGTATGGGACGCCATCGCTTCGTCGTTCGCGTGGCGATGTGGGTCGAGAGCGATCTTCAGACTACGCAACAAAGGGCATCGATCTGAGCTCGTTTGATGGTTGGTTTTCCAAAGATCGTTAGAGTTGGGAAGTGTAGAATGGTCGTGATGGACGGTAAGGTTACATCTAATTGAGTTTCTAGTAAGATAGACATATCTGCTGGGCAGAATGTATGATGGACATGAATTTGACAGGCTACGAGTGGGTCAGTAGACAACTAGAGACAAGAACAATAGCATTCACATCCACTGCAAAGTTCCATGTCGATTATCAGCTGTAGTGAGCATTGCCCTCGAAGGCATCCCTTCGAGAATCACTCGCTGATTACTGCTACCCTTGAACATTGTGTCTGCCCTCTTAGAGCTTCATCAAAAAGACAAAAAGGCAAGGTTCATTGGACAGCACCCGTACTCGAACCAGGATTCTCAATCCATTCGGAGGGTTCCGTATTACGCGAGGAACAATCATGCTCCTAGGGTTATTGAGACGGCTATCGAGAGCCGCCACCAATATCGCTCGATGTGCTCGCCGTTGCACCATGCCGCCAAAGTCGTGTACTCGCCATGCGAACCTCAGAGGTGAATGATGGGCAGATTTCGGCAATATCATTTATATGAAGCTTGAGAGGCAGACTTCACTTTGCTTCTGAATGAGGTGAAGCGAATGACAAGTTGGGAGAGAAGGAGGCAGGGACCGTACCTCACTATGGCCAAAATGGCAGGCGCAGGAAGAGAGAGTCACATTAGCAGCAGAGCATTTCGGTGTCGGATCCCACATTACAGGTGCAGATACGGTAGCATCGATGTCAAGCAGCTACATATAGCAGCGATATCTATGCTCAGGAAGAAAGGTCTGAGTAACGCTGCATGACTCGTCGCATTCCACGTTCCGAAAATCCATGACTCAGCACAATAATAGCAGCTGAACACACCTCAACTAGTTGCATGCTCTGTCTACCAGGTGGCCTCCTCGCACGTGTAGCTGATGAGCTTCCGGGCCCTGGAGCTGGTGAAGCTGGGTCTCTACTGTCAAGAGGGTCTCTCGATCTCGGACCCAGAGGCGATCATGCTGTCAGTAACGCAATGACATTAATGCGATCTCCAGGTCGCGTAATCAACATGAGATACATGCGCAGCGCGCGCGACCCCGAGGGCCGCCGCCGGCCAGAAGAATGGCGAGTATATCCAGGGAGTATCGCCTTGTTCATCTTGGTTTCTGTACTTTGTCCTATTGCCAAACCTTAGTTGTCCCTGATCCTGCCCATGAGTGGTCACGACCAGTTGCTCAGCTTGAGCGCCGCGATACAATGCATAGTTGGCGAAAGTTACCCAGCAACCCTCACGATGTGGACCAGCGCAGATGTGGCTATTGAGAGGCACGCTCACGGGCACAAGGAAGTGAGCCTCCACGGTCACGGTCCATATATTTATGCCGATTCCATCGACAACCCTGATGGCGATCATTCGAGCCATCCGCCGCCTTGCTCACTTCTCACACTGGCTGCTGGCAATAACTTGTACTCTGGATTCAAGTATACAACATGCGTAGCGAAAGACTGCGCTCCGTTCCTGACACCAAAACCAACAAGCTCGCTATCTCTATTCCCGATTCGCACCATACGGTTCAGGCCACATCCCAATCCGCAGGTATCGAACTCCGACGCAGACCATGGAGTGCGACGGACTCCAGTCATGGTACAGGTCTACCAAAGCCCACACCCACCACAAAGCATTTCGACATCAACCAGGATACTGAGCCCGCGTCCCTTTACTATACTCCTGCAACTTGCCCACCGGACGAGTTCGTCCTTGAGAATGGGTACACACTCCAAACAGCGAGTCCCCACCAGCCCCTAGAGCTGCTAATTGGCGTAACATACTACAACGAGAGCAGATCTTTCCTAGCCAAATCTCTCCAAGGCGTTCTCGATAACGTGCGCCACGCTGCAAGGCATACATCGATAGATGGCTGTGATGCTGCTGATGCTGTGTCGCGGAGGACAGTGATATGCCTACTCCTGGATGGCTATGAGCACTGTGATTCGGAAGTGCTGGAACTACTCACATCAATTGGAATCTTCCAGGAGGAGCTCATGCGATCGCAGGTCGATGGCGTTGCAACTACAGCACACATCTTTGAGCGTACATGTTGGTTGTCATCCTCGGAATTGAGCAGCGATAGGATAATCGAAGTTGAGAACGACGAGATTCGGACCCCCATGCAGATCCTTCTATGCCTGAAAGAAAAGAACGCGAAGAAAATCAATTCCCACCGCTGGCTCTTCAACGCATTCGGCCGAATCCTCAATCCGAACGTCTGCATCCTTCTCGACGCAGGCACGAGACCCCAGCCATCAGCTCTAACTGGAATATGGAAAGCGTTTCAGGACGATCCCAACCTCGGTGGTGCATGTGGCGAGCTCTGCGTCGACGTGGGCCCACGGTGGAAGAATCTACTCAATCCTCTTGTTGCTGTTCAGAACTTCGAGTACAAGATGAGCCACATCATGGACAAAAGCCTGGAGAGCTGTGTGGGTTACGTCTCTGTGCTGCCAGGAGCATTCTCTGCATACCGGTATGAGGCGCTGCGAGGCGAGCCGCTCCGACGCTATTTCCAAGGAGATCACTCCTGTCAATCATCGTCGGAGCTTGCACGATACTCAACCGTCTTCCACAAGAACATGTTCCTGGCCGAGGACAGGGTTCTGGGCTTCGAGATTCTGGCAAAGGCAGGCGCCAAATGGCATCTAGGCTACGTCTGGGGCTGTCGTGCTGACACGGACGCACCTCCCGACATTGTGGAGCTCCTTGGTCAGCGGCGACGCTGGCTTAATGGCGCATTCGCCGTTTTTATTTATTCAGTTGTTGAGTTCCCACGCCTGGTTAGAACCAAGCACTCAGCGCCCCGACTGGCATTATTGGGAGTGCATATGTGCTACAACATCGCGGCAAGCTTGATTGCGTGGTTTGCGCCAACCATCCTCTTTCTCGTGACTGCGGTCATAATCAAGCTCAAACCGACACAGTCGCGGGCACAGCGTCAGCCCACGCCTCCACGATCGCCACGATCAATAACTACCTTCTCGGATTTTACGTCTGGTTCTTGGTGTTCCAGATCATTCTCGCCCTCGGCTCGCGACCACGAGACCTCCGCTACCTCAACCTGCTCTCAGCTCTCGTCTTCTGCATGTTCTCAGCCTACATCCTCTCCCTCTCCATCTACTCGCTCCAAGCCCTCGCCCAATCCTATGCCAACGCACAACCCTACCCAGGCAGCACAGCATTATTCTCCAAGTCCAACCTAACCAGCTCCATCCTCGTGCTAGCAGTCATATTCGGTGGCCCAATAATCTGCTCCCTCGCCCACCTCTCCGCCTGGCACATACTCACCTCCTGGCTTCAGTACATCCTCTTCGCGCCCTGCTTCGTCAATCTGCTCATGCTCCATGCGTTCTGCAACTGGCATGATGTCTCCTGGGGCACCAAAGGCAGCGATGTGGCGCAGCAAGTAACAATAACTCCAGCACTCGAGCGCGCCTCAGGCCGAAGCTGGACTGTTCCCGGCGAGGAGTTCAAAGAGCGGCCCACACCACTGAGAAGGCTGCTGACGCGGCTTTCGTCCCGACAATCCTCCCTGAATGCTGGGTTGCAGGAGCAGTCCGAGGCATATCGGAAGCTCAGAACCTACTTGCTGCTGGCTTGGCTCCTTTCAAACTTCGCAATCGCTGTCTGCATCGGCTCGTGGGATATCGAGGTGCGTACACGAAACGAGAAATTGCCTTGAACTTCCCGAATCCTCTTGCGCACGCCGCTAACAAAAGACTGAAACAGGAACCGCTGCAACCCACCGAGACGTACGCTCTCCGCGTAGTAGGCTGGATTTGCATGGGCATCACGTCGATTCGCACGTGTGGTTCACTGTGCTTTCTGGCCGGTACATTTGGGCATTGGGCGCTTCGGCGGGTTTCAACGAGATCTGCAGATTCGTGGAAGGGCTCACAAAAAGTCTTCACGAGGCCATCTGTGTGGTTTGCGGTGTGGCTGCGACGGGGAAAGGTGGTGGCCGCGAAGGGCCGACACCTCCACACCGTCTAGGAGAGCACAGCGAGCATTAGGCTGGATGCCGTGAGGCCGGAAGCAGCGCCGCGGGCGAGTAGGGGAGGGCACTGGGACAGGGTCTCGCTCGCGAGGTCGGAGAGACGGTTAAGAATGTCTGCGGGGGATGGTCGGTTGTTGGGCTGGGGTGTTGTGGGTCGATAGGAGGGAGGGTATGGCTGAACTGGGAAAAGTGGTGGCAATGAGACTCGGAAGTCAACGAGACAACAGTACGATGGCTCGATGTTTGGATGGTACGGATGGATGCGTTAATACGAATTCAAAGTAAAGGAACGCATAGGAGCGACATCAGTGCTCGATTCAGGGAGCGAGATTTGGGTATACGGTTTCACATTTTTTGTCTGAGTTTCTCCCCCTTTCTATCGTACATATGTATGGGCAGGCATTCTATGGGTGCATTGAAAAGGCTTTGACTAGGCAGTAAGGCAAGTGCAGATCCACACAGTGCAGTGCTGTCAGCATTCAGGCCTCTGCCGCCCGCCAGCGCTGCTCTGATGGTCAAGGCGGGCTCTAAGGCAGCATACGCTGCTATGGCCTGGCTTTTGGTAGCAACACCCAAAGTATGGCCTTCTGCGCCGTGTGATCTGTCCTTCTGGTCATAGCATCGCACAAGACGTATCAAAGCCCGGACGAACCGTCCTGTCCGCATACGGTGCCCATAGGTGGACCAGCTCATCAGTCGTCATGATGGATTACAATACAGAAGAGTATGGTTCCTTCTCGAAATCCGCCTCCCGATCGATCCGTGTGGTACTAGGCATGCTACTTCGTGCCGCTGGCACCTTCACTACCATACCTTTCTCCAACCACCTCGCAGTCGGCTTTGAAACATGAGTGTTTCCACCGTAAGCGACGATCGTCAGCTTCTTGGTCTTCACCTCCTTCAGTAGCCGCGCAGTGGGTATGGATTCTGCACCACCGGTGTGGGCAAACAATCTCTTCCTGCTTCTGACCTGAAGCTTGAACTCCTCTAGAGGCGTCTTTCGCGCTGCCAGACGTTCGAGGAGCCCCTCGAGACAGGCATTTTCAAAGGGTGGCAGTGCTCTCGCGGGATGGACCTGCTCACTGAATGGGTCGTGAAGCGTGAGCTCGATTACCTTGACGCACTCGAAAGCTTTTCGACTTAGACTGTCCAGGTGGAGTAGAGTGCGACCCAGAGCACCTTTGAAGAAGGCTGGCTTGCCAGATGAAAAGTCGCTAGAGTGATAATTGCTGATTTCTTCGTGACCGGCGACGATCGTCAACGTTGTGCAAGGGTACAGATAATCGAGGGCTTCATTGTAGGTGCGATGGTTGACGCGAAGCATCTGAGCTCCGCACAGAAATTCTGAGATCGGTCTCTGTAGCTCATCGGCAGTGAGGGCATCATTGACCTTTCGCACCTGGCGGTCCCTCAGATACGCTTCATCGTTCGCGCGGATGGCTTCGTAAATCGGATTTCGCAACTCCCCGGGAAGATCCATGAACCGGGATCCTGTAATCCCCGTCCCATGGCTTATGGTTGAGTCTGGAATATCTTGCGGAGGTCTCGAGACCACGGTCAGCAGCATGTTCTTGCGGACATTGTCGGCTCGAAGGAGTTCATCGAGAGGCGTCTCGGAGATGTCTTTACCGTGGAGAGTCGCGGCTTTGACGCTGCGAATATCCTCTTTCTTCAGATTATCCCCAAGGCCTGGCAGAGAATCTGTGATGTCGAGCTCGCCACAGACCTTGGCATACGACCCCTCCAGACTGAACGTGATGTTCACCTTAAGACGTCCGGCAGCACCATTCGGTGGCAGACGAGAGCGGTCATAACTCAAGCTGATGAGGCGCGCTTCGGGGATATTGGCGGCCTTCAGAAACATGTCTGCACTGTAGAACACCGTGAAGTCGAACGGCCCCTGCTGAACGCCCTCATGAGTCACAGTGGTGTGTACTTCGAGCATGACTGTGTAGTGGGCATCGCGATTCTCCGGGCTAGCTGGCATGGGACGGATGTCGGAGACGCGGAGACCTCGATGATGACGTTCGATTTGCCGAAAGAGCTTCTCTTCGGTTGTGTTGAGGGGCGAAAGATAGGGGTCGAGAGGGAGACCATCCAGGCGGCGCGGCTTCCTCTCACTCCCATAAAGCAAGGCTTGGATCGGTGTACCAGTAAGTGGAAAATCTGTCGAGTCCGCGCCAGACAGAGACCATAAGTCGAACGCTTTGGCAGCCAGCGAATCGGACCCGAATTCGACCGTTCTGCCATACGACATTCTGAAGGACGACACTTGCTTGCCGTTGCGGTAGCGGAAGCGCATTTCCTCCCTGCTGACACTAACGACGGGGTTAAGAGAGACACGGCGTTTCATTGACTTGTCGGCATGACCTGCGAGGCGTGGCCGCTTTGCGGGACGGTCGAGGCTGGCACCGTCCATGCTGGTTAGCTTCTAGGATACAGGAGGATGCTGGCGCTGTGACCGAAGTCAAGAGAGATGGAAGCGATGCGGCTTTGACTGGTCCGAAAAATTAGTTTGCGGCCAGTGTGACAGAGAGCAGCACTTACGATTCAGAGCTGATCGAACTCGCGCTGAAAGCAACTCAAGCCGCGCTCGAAGCCAAGTCGAGGATCGACTCAGACGCAAGTAATGGCAGGTGGAAGGCTCAAAGGCAAACCGGACTCAATGCTCGATGTTGCAAAAGTCGAGGATCGACGAAGTCGACATCAGCGGCTTCGAGCGAGGGGGAGGTGGATACTTATAGACAATGGCCAGTCTCCACTAGCAGTGAAATAGTGTGATGCTTTGGCAAGCAGTAAACAATGGGGATGATGCAATGGTAGTCGGGGGCGATGGGGAAGGTTGTGATGCAATGGCATTGCATAGTAGGCTCGTGAACTGAAAAGGGACGTGAGCCAGAGGGCCCGGGCTCGGGGCCAGGTAAAACATAAGTTAGATAGGACGTGGGCCAGCTTGGACGTGAGGGACACTGCGTTTAGAGCACAAAAGGCATGTATTGTGGGCAGAGAGGGAATGGTGACAGGCACAGAGCACGAAGTGGGAAGGGAACAGGACAGGTTGAGCAAGACAAGATACGACACAGAGAACCAGAGACAGATAGATGAGGGAGGTGTATGGACAGTGGGATTGGAAAGACAGCATCTCCATTCTTTGACTTGTGAATCTGTAAGGGTTTTGTGATTGAAGCAAAGAAGGAGCAAACATACCTCAACTATGCCAGGAGGCAGTCGCGATGAACTCCCGGGACTAGAAGGTACAACGCTCTCCAATAGCAGAACTGCAGCCACCTCAAATCGTATTCGACAGATCCGGATATCTCAGCCCACACCGTCTCATTACGCCTTAATCCACGGTTGCTCGAATGTACCAACCCAACCCTCCACCTCCTTCCTTAGCTCCATGATCTCGGTTTCTGACTCGCCTTCGCCAAGGTATTCTAGGAACGCCTTGACACTGCCGGGAGCTTTTCGTTTCTTCGCCTCGGCATCATCCCTAGCCTTTTTGTCAACGCGTATGGTTATGCTGACGGCTCGGTCTACAATATCAGCAACCCTCGCGAAGTCTGCTGGCTGAAAGCCACGAGTTGTCATTGCTGGAGTGCCCATCCTGAATATGATCAGTATTCACAGCGATCATTGAAAGGGGCAAAGAACCTACCGCAAGCCACCAGGCTTCAACGCCGACTTGTCGCCAGGGACAGTGTTCTTGTTAGCTGCCAGACCACACAGCTCAAGCACTCTCTCCACCCTCGCACCATCGACGCCCTTGCTCTTCAAATCGACAAGCACAAGATGATTGTCAGTGCCACCACTGACCACGTTATAGCCCAAACCATCAGCACTTGTGGGATTCCCGAGCCGATTAGCCAGAGACTTGGCGTTCTGCAAGACCAGCTGCTGATACTCCTTGAAAGCCTTGGTTTGTGCCTGGCCCAGAGCAACCGCCAACGCACTGATTGTATGATTGTGCGGGCCACCTTGATGGCCTGGGAAAACAGAAGCATTGATTGGGTTCTCCAAATCATACATGACCTTCTCACCAGTTTTGGTTGTTGATCGGACACCCTTGCGGAAGAAGATCATAGCGCCACGTGGTCCGCGCAATGACTTGTGAGTTGTGGTCGTGACGATATCAGAGTGTGGGAATGGTGAGGGAATGACATCGCCAGCAACGAGACCTGAAATGTGTGCCATATCAGACAGTAGATAAGCATTCACGGAATTCGCGATCTCCCGCATTCGCTCATAATCGATCAGACGAGAGTATGCCGAAGTTCCAGCAATGATCAGCTTTGGCCGGTACAAATGTGCCAGGTCGTTCAGCTTGTCATAATCGATCAAGCCTGTCTTCTCGTCCAATCGATAGGGTAAGGTCTCGAAATACTTCGAAATCATGCTGATCTTCTTGGTGGCAGTCTGGTAGCCATGGGACAAATGACCACCGTGCGGGAGATCAAGCCCCATGATACGGTCATGTGTGTTGAGCACAGCTGAGTACGCATAGAGATTTGCTGGTGACCCAGATAGCGGCTGAACGTTGACACCCCATTCATCTGGATTCAACCTGAAAGTCTCCAACGCCCTCTTCTGGCACAGCCTCTCGGCCTCATCGATGTGTTCGTTGCCTCCATAATAGCGAGCTCCTGGGTATCCTTCGGAATACTTATTCTGCATTACACTGCCAAGAGTATCCAGCACCGCTTGGGAGGTAAAGTTCTCTGACGGAATCAAATTGATGAAATGCTGCTGCCGCCTGATCTCCCGCTGGACGATCTCGTACATCTGCGGGTCGGCCTTCTCCAGGTGCTCTCCCAGTAGTTCATTCTGGGCGGACGACAAGGCCGCAACCGGGCGTGTGGTGGCGAATGTTCGTCTTGACTGAAGACATGAAGAGCAGACTCTATGTCGGAGTGCCGTCGAGGTCTTTTGTGAGAGTGTTGTCCCGAGTGGACGAAGTATGCGTGCTGTCGACATATTTGTCGTATGTACAACTTCAAAAGAAGCCCAAGGGCGGTGTCAGAGACGACCGATATGTACGGGTCGCTGACCTCAGAGCAATCAGCAGAGCCGCCACGGCAGGTAATGCTATACGGCCCGAGTCACAGATATGGCAGGTGCAAATGAAGGCAGTCACTCGTGCCAGACAGGTGTCCTACGCCTGGTGCAACACCACAATAGAAGACTTTGTCCCCAGATTAAGCTGTGTCGTACAAGAAGACCGGCACGCACTTCGCGGCGTGAAGTTGAAAACCTTCTCCACTTTAAGCGGGAGCTAAGCTCGAAGTGCGCTAGCTGATAAATCTTGGGTAGTGGTCTCTCGGCAAACAACGACGTCAAGTCATCTTCCTCTCCTCACAACTAAATCTGCGATGAAGAGGCGCTATATCGTCAAAACAGCTCCCGCGCTTTGCTCTTCGGAGCAGAGGTCTGTGGGCGATGCTGATGTGTCGTGGCCCAATCACCACATTGAGCGGCAAGGGAATTGTCTGAGCAGAAAAAAAATGTTGTTTATTCATGGCAATGTTGACGGACGGCTGTAACTAGCAAGTTCCTCACTGGCATCTCAGCACAGCGCGAAGCTCTCCTTGGGATCAGTGTTATCAACGATGCAAACAGCAGCTGTGGCCGCCACTCCTGCGAAGCAATATGCACAGCTTCCGAGTGTGATCGCAATGTTGAAAAGACAGCGACAGGAGATGCCCAGCCCAAAAGCCTGCCTTGCCTTGGAGTCGAATGCACCGGTCATTTCTGAACGACCAGGTGTTCGACTTTCTTTGGCAAATTCAACGCTTCATTCCAACGTGTCCATTGAATTGAGTACACTGGGCAGCAGCGGATCCTAGCCCACATATGGACAGTGACTACCTCCTGAGGTAGCCGACTAATTGGAGTGACTGTTCCGTGCCTGCTCTTGGCTATCTTCGTCAGAGGCTATAAGTATTTGTCTTGCCCTCGACTTTCCTCTCCCTCTTCTCTCCTCACGTCGATCTCGTTGCAAACATGAGCTTGCCAAGTCACGATAGCATCCGCTGCTTTTTGGTGGGGCGAGCGTCAAGCACATCGACCAAGCAGTCTGATCTGGTTCAGCTGGTAGGCCAGGCACACCAATGGACCTATTGGAGCCACGGTGTACTTCATGACCTACGATGGTATCGTGGTCATCGAGCTCCGAGCGCCGATCACAGCTCAAGCAACCGTTTCTGCCCCGTCTTCTCCCTCGCCACATCCTTCGCAACGCCCAGCTTCTCCTTCGCCGTATCCGTGACAGGACGCAACTTCTCCTTAACCACCTCCTTCGCACCAACCAACTTCTCCTTCATCTCTTCCGTAGGAGTATTCTTGATATCCCTCGCCTTCTGCCTCGCACTCTCCGCCGCTTCCCTCGCCTTGACCTTCCCCGTCTCCGCAGCCTCCACCGCCGTAGCCTTCGCACTCTTAACCCCCTCCTTGACCTTCTGCTCCAATTCCTGCACCTGCTCCGTCTGCCTGACCCCAGACCACGCGGCTGCGATCTTCTGCTCGTAGATCTCCCTCTGCCGCGTCCAGTCCGTCGTCTGTATATTCTTCACTAGCCGCTCGACCTCGCGATTCCAGCCATCCTTCAGCTGTTCTGTCAAGCCCGCTCTTCTGATCTCATATGGTGGTGGATCGGGAACAGGCTGTGGAGGTTCTACGACAGAGTTGAGGACGCCGTTGGACTGTTGGAGGATGGTGTGTTGGATGTTGCGGTTCGCTTTGTGGATATAGATTGTGAGGTAGAGGACGGAGTAGGTGAGGGTCACGCCGCCGAGCTTGAGGGATATGTTAGTGGGTGTCGGGAGCTGTTCACAATGGGAAGATGCTCACGAAGCCAGTGGTGAAGCCCATGGCGGGCTAGAGAGCCCCTTTGAAGCGTTTAGGCGCTCTCGGTCGAGCGTGCCTCGATATGTTCGCAGCCTTTAGAGGTTATGTTGCGAGAGGGATCCGGAAGATACAGCTGTGACAAAGTCGGAGCTCTCGCAAAGGATTGTGGACGCTGGTGTCGTCAGATTTGACTCGTGAAGCTTACGACTACTGCCGCAGGCTACTCCAGTGTCGTCGTCGGATTTTTGCTGGCTTGTTGGGCGTGCGATCGAGCTCACGTCGCCGGTCGAAAACAGCATGAGCTTTCCCGCGCGTCCGAATAGGGCAAGTTTAGCGAAGGAAATTATTTGGACCGACGACGACATCTCGTCGGCACTGCATCGAGCAGCTCTACCTGCCCATCCAAATACACAAGCACTCGTTTTTACAGTCCCGACTCTGTATTACTACACCTTTTCCACTTGCTCAAGCTCGCCTTCAAACCCGAAACATTCACATAGCGCCGAAGTCTCGCAGAAGTAGCATAGCAGCCCAACTTCGGCGAGAGCACTTCGGTGCACCCATCCCCCTCCACCGTGAACAACCACCCAACCCTCTCTCACAATGCCCGCCCTCCGCAAACTCTCCCGCGACAGCGCCCACCGCCGCGCCATGCTCCGCAACATGGCGACCTCTCTGATCCAACACGAAGTCCTGCAAACCACCTGGCCCAAAGCCAAAGAAACACAACGCTGGGTCGACAAACTAATAACCCTGGGCAAACGCAACACCAACGCCTCCCGCAACTCCGCCATGGCCATGATCTTCGAGCAAACCACCTGGATGCCGAAGATCTTCGGCGAGCTGGCGCAACGCTACAAGTCCCGACCGGGCGGGTATACGAGGGTGCTGAGGACGGAGAGCCATAGGAATGATGCGGCGGATAGTGCGATATTGAGTCTGGTGGATGGACCGCGGGATATTAAATTCGCGATGACGGCGAAGGCGTTGGCGTTCAATGAGGCGAGAGGGGAGGGGAATGAGCCGCAGACGGTGTTGGACATGCATAAGGTGACGAGGTTTAGGGAGAACGGGGAGGAGGAGCTGCAGGCGGAGATCGAGCGGTTACGAAATATCGAGGAGGGTACGACGGAAGCGGAACAGGAGGCGTTCGAGAGTAATGGCACGCAGTTCGAGTGGGTGAGGGCGCATAAGAAGGCGGGACCAGGGCATATGAGGAAGAAGCGGATTGATACTGGTGTGCCGGGTGAAGATCCGGCGGATTTGGTGGACAAGGCGGGTTACAAGGGAAGGAGCTTGAATTTGGTGTCGCATCCGAAAGAGGAGTTGTTGATGAAGGGTTGATGTTGGTGTGTATGATTAGGACAGAACATATCCTAGAACCACGCAGCTGTGTCACTTGGCAATGGCCTGCGGAAGGGTTGTCATGAGAATGGCATACTATTACGCCTATCCAACTTCTGATCAAATACTCCAACGCTTGCCCTATCGGTGACACCTACGCTGGTATTTGAGAGCACCCCCATCTATGCCAATGCCTTCTCACAATGATGCTACCTTTCCGCGTCCTCATCGAAAAGCGCCATGAGTTCCTTGAATCGTACAGGCTTGCAAAGGTAGTAGTCCGCTCCAGCCCTAAGCATCTCACCTCTGGTCGTATCCGCTCCCAGACCTGTAAGAGCGATGATCTTCGCAGTGCCCTCCCCACGCCGAAGACCGCGCTTCTTCTCCAGCTGTCGGATCTGCCGCGTGGCCTCGATGCCGTCCATGACAGGCATGCTGATGTCCATTACAACATACTTGAACGGTTTCGTCTGTGGTGTGGCATGTAGGGCACTCTCATAGGCTTGAACCGCTTGTAGCCCATCGGCAGCTGTAGCGTATGGGCGACCGGACTTCTTGACGAATGCCATGAGTAATTGCAGATTGACATGATTGTCGTCAACAACAAGGACTGGCGACGTATCATTGCTGTCCTTGGCGTCTCGGCTTTGCGACATCGGCGAGGTAGGGTCAGCTGACCAGGCAGGAGTCGATCCTGCCGACAGACTGTGACGCTTCCCAGTGCTGTCCAATTGCGTGGACTGCATACTCGTGTCGATGCTCATCGGTACGCCCTCTGTTTGCCGATTCGCCAGCCGGGGTCGCTTCGGGGACGCTTTTGTGGTAGGTACTTCGGCTGCTGGTGGCGTCATTGACCTTTCCGTCGCATGGTTTGATGTTGCGCTGTCAGAGCCCTGTGCTCGACTGTTGTGGTCCTGAACGTGTTCGTTTGCTGTCTCGTCAAACGCCGGCCGGTCTGACCTCGAGTCGTCAAGCGTATCAAGCCTGGAGAAACATCGATGCAAGGCACTTGCAAATTTGTGGGGTCCACATGGCTGCGAGATGATCTCGATGACCCTTCCCAGTTCAGAAAGTCGACTCACGCCTTGCGAGGCCAGCTCTACGCTTTCGAACGCGTTAGTAGTCAGTATGATCAATGGCACTTCTTTGTCGGTGCGCGAGTGACCGTGGTGTTCGATAAGATGCGAGATTGGCGGTGGCTCGGGATATATGAAGAAGTCGGCTTCCTGGTCCGTCATAGTGGCCGCTTCAGTGGTGTTCACACCGAACCAGCTGGTCGCTAGTTTGTGCAAGGATGACTGAACAGGCTTTGCATCTCCCTCCTTGGCCGTTGGTTCGTAAGAGCTGGGAATAAGCATGCACGCCGTCTTTCCCTGGGTCCGAGTCTGAACATCTTTCAAGACATCATCGTGGCCCGACGATGACGGAGAAAGTGACATTCGCGGCAAGGTGAGATGGATAGTGACCTCAGTCCCGACGCCTTTCTCGCTATCAATCTCAATGCGGCCATGGAGAGAGTCCACGATCTGGCGGACAATACTCAGACCCAAGCCGGTGCCGACGGACAGATATGACTCCTGGCTGAACGGGGTGAAGGCGTGGTCTCGTAGGAATGCCTTGCTCATGCCATGGCCTGTGTCTCGAACCTTGAAACACACCGCTTTGCACCTTTTTTCGTCGTTATATTCATCGTGCCCGGTCATGGAGATCGTTATGCTGCCCTCACTCGTGTACTTCAACGCATTCCCGACGATGTTCATCAGGATCCTTCTTATGCCCCCTGGTTCCGTTTGTACGTGCCAGTCATCATTCCTCTCTACATCAAGAAGCACGCGCACATTGGCACTCCTGCTTTTGGCCGAGGCATGGCCCGAAGGTGTGTCTGATGCATGATCCATGTCATATTTGTAGCCAAAGCCCGTAAACACCGCTTCGATGGCCTCTTCCACAACATTTGCAAGGTCCACGTCGCGGACAAGACTTGCCGCCGATACCTTCTGTGCAGCAGCGTCTTCTGAAGTAGTACGTCTCAGAAGTCGTCTCCGTTGCCTGCGAGAAGACTCGCTCGAAAGTTGATTAATCTTGGAGTAATCCAATACGTGCTCGACGGTATCCAGTAAAGTCTTAGCGCAAGTCTCAACAGCACGAGCCATGGAAGATTGGAAGCCGTCTAGTACAGTCTCCTGTAGAAATTCTGTGCTGCCAAGAATGCCGTGAAGAGGAGATCGCAATTCGTGGGAGATGTTGGCGATGAAGGTGCTCTTCGCATCTTCCGAGGCTTTCGCATCAAGGCGCATCAGAGACATCATGATGCTGTTTCCGAATGTTTGTAGGTAAGACAAGTCATCCTGGCGGGTAATAAGGCATGATCGAGCCTCGACCACAGAAACGTGCCGGCGCACCACCGGTTCTTGTTATGATCGTACAGCGGCATCCAGAGAACACTTCTGGCACCTGGCATCGCCTGAATTAGTTCTGTCGCGATTGTTCGTTCTGTCTGAGCAATTCCGGAAGAGTCGGAAGAATCACCGGCGCCCGAACTAGCTGAAATGTCCCCCTCTGCTGTGAAGCAGAAGACCTTGCCCCTCGGATAGCGACGAATGAAACGTCGTAGCACCCGGTCTGTCACTCCAAGGGTTTGAATCGTCCCAACATTTGCTGTCGAAGCCATTGATACATCTAGAGAGGACCCCAGGACGCCACATGTCTGCTTCGCCGCTTTCTGTCGTTTATGACCTGTCAAGGTGCCCTCTGACTCTCCAGAACTACTGGTGTGGTCCACATTATCGGACGATGCGCTCAAGCTATCGCTTCTGTTCTTGTCACTGCTGCTGATTGACTTGTGGTGGAAGGAGGATCCTCGTGCGTCTCTGAGGCTGACTGTGGCAGCATCGAAGAATATCACGCCGTCAGCCAGTGTGCACTGCCGGAGGATGTTTGCGGCTCGCCCGAACAGGCGCTGAACGGCACTTGGACGTGCTGGTGCCGCGGTCAGATCATCACGTAGATTGGGCATCGCTGCTTCCGGGGCTGGCTTTGTGCCTGCAGCTAAGCCCGAGGACTCGTGATCCTGACGCGATCCACTATCTCCCGGCTGAGGAGTCGCAGCAGGCGTGTCATCCATTCGCGAGTTCTGCACTTCGCGGAGGGCGCTGGGGTCGGCATCAGTTACTGCCATCCCCTTGAACTGTCGAGCGACGTCTTGGAAAGAGGGGTCTGGGTTGCCTTCACGCGGATTGGCGCGATTGGCCTCTCCCTCGGACGCGGGCACGGATGTAAGACCTCGCATAAAACTTCCCAGTCCCATGACAAGCTTCTCACCACGATGCCGAGCAGCATCGTTGTAGACCATTTCAATATGTGCTTGTATCACGCGCGCCATTTCCTGCATGAAGAGTAGGTCAACCCTTGAGATTGCCGGTCTTGGACAATCATCAATGAGAGCATAGACTCCGATGTGGTGTCCAGATTTCGAGACCAGGGGTACTCCGGCATAGAATGTCGCACCGTGTCCAGCAAGAGGATGATCTTTCAAGTCCATGTGTTTGCGCAAGTCGGGTATGATCAGCGCATCGGTAGTATGTGTTCGGCCACGGGTATCCGTAGCCACATACTGTGGTGGATTCAAGGCATGGTATGAGATTCCTTGATCTCTTGGCATCGAAGCATTTCCGAACCATAGCTCGTCCCCTTCATCGTCTTCAGGAAACCCGGACTCGAGAGACAGAGATCTCGTTGCCTCGGCTATGACATACTCCCGCGTTGATGAGATCAAGCTGATCAGACCACGCTTCGTCCGCAGCCGCATGCATCCGAGTTGGGCGAACGAGATAAGGCTTTGTCGTTTCCCGGACGAAGAATAGTGCCATCCTCGTGGTGCCGTATGCCTGGGGTGGATGTGTCATCGTAGTTGTATCCGAACGAACTCTCGAGCCATGTCTGATAGTATTTGAGAGCATCTCTCTCTCGTGCACGCTCAGACGACATGGTTTGGCCCTCCAATTAGGGCTGTCCTCAACTTCGCCACCCGGAATCGCGTGTCGTGCGTAATGGGAAAACCGTGGGAACGATACGCCACGGTCAAGTCGTGGCCAGCCCAGCAGCGAAAGCATCGACTCTCTGGTAATCCATCGTGTGATGACGCGGGAAATCAGACTATGCAGGTACCTAGGTACACATACTTCGTAATGGTCGGTACAGAGGGGTCGAAGGGTCCTTTAGGGAGATGCGAAATTTAGAGATTGCCATGATTCGAGAATGCAGATCTCCCGGTTCCACTTGTGCGGAACGACTTTGAGGCTTCCTTTGCTTGTTTCCCATCGACTGGCGCCCAGGATCGTGCAACGTGTGATGACAGATCTTCACAACGCATCAGTCTTGGGAACACATGGCTAAATTCAATTATGCGCACAGCTGGATCTGTCTCACCGCTGGCCCAGGATACGAAGATTCGGAGCCTGTGATCGCGTAGACGGAAATGACTATCCGTTGGGGCAGCAGCTTCCTTCAGGGCTGCCAGTGCTAAAGAACCGAGTCCTACGCCTAAACAGTCCAGCTCATCCATCGCTCCTTCCCTTGTTCCACGCTTTCACGAGCGAAGTCACGTTGATTGTGATTGAGCTAGCCAGTAAGCTAGCACTTCCAGTAATGGCTCTTGCAATGCAGGCGCCATAATCTTAGCAGCGACAAGAAAGGACCGATCTTCGCAGCAGAAGCCGCTGACGATCTTTGCATGCGCAAAGCTCGTGTCGCCTAGCTGGGCATTTTGCTTGAACTCTAATTTTCGAGCCGATGTTCGGAAGAACGCCTGTGCGAGCTACCAGGCCGTCCAAGTCCCACTGCATAGTCTCGATGTGACAAGGCATCCCAGACAAGGCAACTATGCCATCTCGAGTGCTATTCCTAGGGCCACTGTCATCATACTCTCACGCAGCAGCTGTGTCAATATACCCAGATGCTGCCGAGCTCGTTCCATTACCTGACTTTCCAACTATATTTCGAAATCTTGACAAGCCAACCACATCAGCGGATACAGTAGTAGATACTCGGGGCGAACCATCCCAATCCTCGCAAATTTACGGTGAGAGATCCGCCTCGCCATCAACCACGCACTCACCGCATCACGAATATGCCGTCATCCCAGTCTACAACAGCACCAACGGCCCCGTTGCACCCGTCATTGACTTCCTGAAGCGCTCAGGGAACGGCACAATTCTGGCCGAGCTCACGAGACACGGCCTGCGAGAACTTGACGATGGCGACAGCAACGAGTCTAGGACGATCATAGATGCACAGCATGGCGAAGTAAAGACTCATACATTGTCTCCAGACCACCCTCCTGCACCAGTCTCAATCGAACCTCACGAACGCCGCGACTACTATCCAAACATAGAACTCGCTCCACCGTACACTTACGCCCTAGCTGTACACCACCATCTTTACGTCCACCCAGTCTGTCCTGTTGACTCCATACCTTCCACGCACCCAGCATCATCAACCCACCCAGCGCAGATCATATCTCTGCACACCCATCCACAAGTCTGGACTCAATGCACGCGCTTCCTGGACACGCACTTCCCCAACCCCGAATCATCAACACCGAGCCCCCCAATACACTCTGAACCCCCTGCCACCATGACTAATACGGCACGAATATCGCACAACTCGACCTCAGAAGCAGCAGCATACGTCCTTAACACGAAACCGCCAACAGCCGGAGAAGAGGGCTGGCCGGCAGTTCTGTGCAGCGAAATGGCGGGCACGCGGTACGGGTTGAAGTGCATTGCGCAGAACATTGAGGATGATGTGGATGGAAACCAGACGACATTCATTGTGCTGAGGAATCGTTTACAGGTGGGACTTGAGAATGGGGGTTTGATAACATAGCTCTATCGAGGAGGGTGCTAGACTGAATTGCAATCTTGAGATAGACGGGCAGAGGACCCTTGGCGCAGAAATGAAGCGCTGAGGGCAAGGCAGGAAAACGCAGCACATGACTTGTACTTGTACGGGCTGGGAGAACAAGATCACAAGTTCAGGACAGCATTTTGAGAGTCTCTCTGACATTTGAATGAGCGTATTGCCCACCTTGTGGTCTGAGTCTGACCACGAAGGGTGCTATGTAGACCATCTACTGTGGACCTAGGTGTGTGTGAAGGTGTCCCGGTGGCTCGACTAGTCGTAATGAGCGAGCATCTGGACTCCCCTGTGTCCTTTTGGGCGGAAAACTTGCTTAAACGAGCGGTGTGGTGCGCACACGGTGTTCGATAGCCTTCCAAACTTGATCGTCTTGACCTTTCGGCGAGTCGCTATCGGATTTCGGTGGACTAAATTGGTACTGTGTCTTGGACTTATTTCGTCTCGGGAACGAGACGAACGCCGAAGTGAGTCGCCATTTAGACTGTCGCTATGGCCACATTCCGGAGACTTGTCCTTCCTGCTTAGTTCATTAGAGAGTCTTCCTCGAGTATAGTGGACAAAGACATACCGTGGCGTAATTCCATATCTTGCTTAGCTGGAGCTTTGCCCGCCTGCTCGCTTGCCTGCAGGTCGAGACGTGACTTGAGGCGCGCAGGTAGAGCCTTGGCTTGTACTTTCGATGCCGCCGGTGCATGGCCGCCAATAGCAGGCTTCGGCGTGGAGGTGGCTATTGTAGCTGTCTCGGCTGGGCGAGACAAGACAGCGTCCTCAAAGGAACGCTGTGATGGACGGGGCGCGTCATCTCGGCTTGCCTTCAGATCATCGCTGCGATTGGCTGTGCTCAGCTTGCTGCTCTCGATGTCTGGTGGTGGTTGTTGTCGTTGCGCCTCGCCCTCATGGAGGCTATCCTCTTGTCAATCGTCATAGAACTCATCATCATCACTGTAATCAGCTAACTGCTCAAAGTTGAGTTTGTAGCGGAGGATGGCGCCGATTCCACCGAATCCCTTCACGAACTGATTGCCTTCGCTGGAGCGATCGGACACAAATTCGAGAGTAGCACCTTGCTCGCGATGGTGCTCAGCAAGCCACTCGAGGAATGGCATCTGGTCGACGACTTCCATCTCTTGGCCGGATTCGGGATCCATGAATTTGGATCGATCCTGCTCTTGGATCTTATTCGTATGCAAGATTACTTCCCTGCCGGCAGAGTCCTTCAGCGTCCATCTCGTGATGTCTAGGTCCTCGTACACAATCAGAGTCTCAGCAGCACTACCTTCGAGGGCTTTGAGAGTGTCTTCGATACCGTAGCAGATGCGACCACTGTCCTGACTGATCTCTTCGAAGTATCGGTTAATCAGCTTCTTCTCCTGAATGAACTTGACGTTGCTCAGAGTCTCCGAAGACAGGTCAATCGCTTGATTGAAGCCGTTCTCTCCTCCATAGGATACGTCCACAACCTTGATGACCTTAGCTTGCAAACGGTTGTCAAACATATCGGACTGGTTGAGATCGTTTTTGAAATCGGCGCTGCCGGCAAGGATAAGGCCAGCGACGTTGACCTTGTCGTTGGTGATGAAGTTCTGGACAGCCAACTCGGCGACCTTGCGGACGTAGTTGTGGCGTTTCTCCTCACGCAGACGAGCGAAACGGAGAGCGGATTGACCACCACGACCGTGCTTCTTGGGTAGATCGACTGAGAACTTGTGGACGACCTCACGAGTATTGCCGGAGAGAGTGCCGAATAACGCTCCGTTTCCGTCCATGATGATGAAGCCAAACTTCTGATCTGACTCGAGGAGCTCACTGAGCGCTTCGGTATGGAACTTGTTGTCACACAGGTACAGTGATGTGTTGATAGGCTTGAACGGCTCGAAGTCGATGTTCAATTTTCTCTCCTTTCCCTCCGAGGTGATGATTTCACCGCAGAAGACGACCAGACCATTTTTAGGCACCTTGGTATGCAGCTTCAATCGATTGATGGTGGATGTGATGGCGGACAGCACCGACAGACGGTTGACTCGTGATTTGATATTGGAGGCTGTGCCCTGCTCTTCAGCCAACATTTTGGCCACTTGTGAAATCTGGGACTTTGGGGGAATGATGAGGGAGATCATAGAGGTGCCGTTGCCTCTGGCGGATTCGAGTTTCTTGACCAGCTTCTTGATCTTCCACATCTCGATGTTCTTGTCCGCCTCGCTCGGGCCATCTTTGTTGTCGGACATGGCGGCGGGGGTTGATTTTAGACTGCGGCTTAGTTCGGTAATTCAGACGCAGTCGTTGGTGGTGAGGGTAATTTGGGCGGGGTGACGGTCCAGATTCGTGACAGTGGCTGTGTGCATTCGACTGGAACTCGTGCGATGCAAAGAAAAAGACGGGGTGACAGGAGTAGAGGAGCGGTAATGGGTGCACTGAACCATGATAAATTCAACTTGTTCGTTGTTCGTTTTTTGGCGGGGTGAAGCGTCACCAATCAACGTGGGCCGAGCCTTCAGCCTTTGGACAATGGAAACGAAAGCCACTCTTTCACAATCTGCTTTTCTTTGACTACTCTACACGACCCAAACAACGACAGAAGCCACGGCCTTATATGTGATGATAGTGGTGACCTCGACAGGCATCAGTTGCCAGTCCAAGCGATCCACGTTGGACAGAAGCATCACTCCGACTCTTCCAAACTGATTTCTTGTCAACCAGACTCAGAATGACTCACACGAAGTCAAGGCCGGGCGCACGCGCGCTTGTGGTCATGGCAGCCGTCAAGTACAGTCCATAGAGACTCTCGGACTGCCTGTGAATTACCGCCAGCGCGCTCGACGCAGACGTTAATTGCGACTTCCCAAATACCATTACTATGATGCAGAGTGACGACTGGCAATGCTGCTATCCGCCATCCCCGGATCATTAATTCCGGGCAGTGCCTTCCCTGTTGCTCTCATCCGTGCCTGGGATCAGCTGCCACGTTAACAGTCGATTTTGATCATGGTAGGTGCTGCTCTCAGCCTCCAGGTTAACTTTGCTGGTCAAGGAAGAGCTCCCACAAAAGTCTGCGATCAATCTATACTATGTATATATGGGCCCGTCCGTGCCATCTTGGGGGCACGTGAGCACACCCGGCTATGATGACCTAAGACGTCCCTGGGCGTCCCGCTCTTATCAGAAGTCCCCTCTTATAAGCGAGTATCTCCTCACCAAAAATTCTTTGCATGCTCGTCGTTGCTCGCGAGCAGCGCGATCTCGTCCTGCATCCAGACCAGGGTATCACGAATTTTTTTTCATCTTCATGAGGGTCCGGATATCTGTCTTTACTGGGTAGTTATTGCTCGCATTTTGGCTGGCCTCCTTGATTGATTCCTGTACATACATAATATGCTTTGAACGCGAACCCAGCTGTCCCCATCTAGCCGGTCTTTACCACAACAGCAGCACATAATCACCTCCACCACCGACCACCATGAGCCGGAACAAGAAGCCCTCACCCATCAGTTGGGACGCTTATGCCCGTGGCAGGACCTCGAGCTCTGGCTCCGTCGACTCCATCCCCGAGAACGGCCAACCTGCCACGTTGTCCGCCTCCGCACCTCGCAACATCCCCGATGGTGGAGAAGGCGAAGGTACCTTGAGAAGGCGATCTTCCATCACAGCAAGATTCAATTCCGTGAGACAGATGGGTGGTGTCAATAGCATGGACAATTTTGCGCGCTCCTGGCAGCGAGCTGCTGGCTTTCGAGAGATCACGCCGGTGCGGAGGAGCTCTGTATCTATGCAGCAGGGAGACGGACCGGAAGATGGACTGCCCCAGACGGATGGTCCGTCTCAGACCAAGTCTCTGCTCAGACAACAATTTGAAGCTGCCGGCGGCCATGGTCAACACGAGTCGGCCGTTCAGGAGACAAACGGCGAGCAAGCCTCCACGAACGAAAGGACTCGGCTACTACAGCCATCTACGAAGCCGTCAATAGGAGACTCTCTACGTATACGCGCCAGTGTGGCAGGTTCTAGCTTTGGGCAAAGCTACGGGAGCATCTCCTCTCGACTGACTGCCACCGCACAGCGGCGTGCGTCCATATTGATCGACCAGCGACGCGAAGCAAGCATGCGAGCCCTTGAGGACGACGACTCGGAATACAAAGCAGAGCTCGAACAACAACATATCGAGCAAGAAGTCCGACCCGACGGCGAAGTCATCGAGCGCATCTGCGGCGAGTCCACCATGCCTCAGACCATCTTCAACAGCGTCAATGTCCTCATCGGAGTCGGGATCCTCGCCCTTCCACTGGCCGTCCGCCTCTCCGGCTGGGTCCTCGGCATGATCATGCTGATCTTGGCCGCCCTTGCTACCAACTATACCGCCCGCCTCCTTGCCCGCTGTCTGGACACTAATTCCGGTGCCACAACGTATGGAGACATCGCTTTCCTCGCCTTCGGCAGCATTGGCCGCAACGCAGTCGAAGCTCTCTTCATCCTCGAACTCACCGCCGCCAACGTCGCCTTAATCATCCTCTTTGGCGACACCATGAACTCCCTGTTTCCCGACATCACCATCACGTCCTGGAAGTTCCTCCTCGCCCTTGGGCTCATACCTCTGAACTTCGCCCCTTTCCGCATTCTTTCTGTCACCTCCATTCTCGGCATAATGTGCTGCCTCGGCATCATCCTAATCGTCCTCACTGACGGTCTCATCAAGCCCTACACTCCGGGCTCCTTGCGCGAAACGGCCGCCACCTACGCCTTTCCTGAAGACTGGCGTACTGTTCCCCTATCCCTCGGCCTCTTCATGGCCCCTTGGGGCGGCCACTCCGTCTTCCCTGCTATCTACAAGGACATGCGCCACCCAACGAAATACCCTCGCGCTCTCCTCTACACCTACATTGCCACCTACGGTCTCGACCTCGCTATGGCGCTGCTCGGCTACCTCATGTTCGGCGACGGCGTTCGCGACGAGGTCACTACGAACATCCTCAAGGCCAAGTCCAATGCATACCCACACGCTCTCAATGTTATCATCGTGGTGCTGATCGCCATCATACCCATTACCAAAATTCCTTTGACGAACCGGCCCATGACGGACACAGTCAATAAAAAATTCCTCATCGATCTGCGCCAGATGGACCCCAAGGCGCGTCGGCACAGCGAGAAGTCCTGGAAGCACAACACTGCGCGAGCGGTCATTGCCTGCTCTGCGAACATTATTCAGTTGGGAGTCGCAGTTCTAGTGCCGGATTTTGACAGTATCATGGGCTTGATGGGCAGTGCGCTGTGTTTTAGCATTTGTGTGATTATGCCGGTGGCGTTCTACTTGAAGATCTTCTCGAGGGAAGGAGAGGAGATTCCGGGATGGGAAAGAGTGGTTGGATATGTCTTAATTGTCGTGTGTACGGTGTTGGGCGGATTGGGGACTGTGTGGGCGGTGTTGCCGCGGGACATGACTGGGAGGTGACGTTGAAGGGGACGGTTCGTGGGAAGGCATATGCATACTCTAGTGTACATGGGTTGATGTGAGATGATCATTTGACTGTGGAGATGTGTGTCGATATCATTCATACCAACGACGTTCTTCTCCTCGGCCGGCCCTGCTCGGGCTGTGTGCTCCAACTTGCCTGGCGCCGGGATTTCCAGCTCGGGCTGTGTGCTCCAACTTGCCTGGCGCCGGGATTTCCAGAACGGCAACGTTTACCTCACCAATGCCTACGCCTCATTATCGGTGACCTTCGGCCCTTGTCTCAAGTGTTTCAGCTCTCCAGAAGTCAATGCTCTCGACTGGGCTCTCATGTCCTGTGTTTCACCGCTACCTTCAGCCGTGCCGACAGTGCGCCATTGACGGAGATCAGACCCCTTCTATTCCTCGTTGCCATCATCTGTAGTCTTTGGAGGGAGGCCACAACGATCAATTGCCCGACGAAGGTTCAACACGCCTGAGGAGAAGGGTTCCGACTTTTCGCAGATGTTTGCATCGTCCTCATCCTCGAGAAGCCAGAGACCAATCCGCAGATTATCGCATTCCTGCATGTTCGACTCCAGCTCGCTCTGAATACGCCAGAACTCTCTCTCGATGGCCTTCATAGCGGCTCTGGCGAGTTTCGCGACGTATTGGCGTAGCTCTGGGTACTCAGCGGCCGCCACGAACATAGCCTCGGCGTCTTGTCCGGCGCGGATGTTCAGAAGCAAGACCGTCTTATACAAGTCGAAGAGGTCTTCTGGGAAGTCGCCTAAACGATCGCAGACGACCCGAAAGAACTTCTTCAAAAAGCCCTGTTCGTGGTATTGTGCTCTGGCCCGCTTGTCTCCATGAGTATTCAACAAGATCATTAGGAATCTCGGGAAGAACTCCTCGGTGCAAATCTTGCGAAGGCCGTCCATCAAGTATTTGTCGGCAATGACATAGAGATCGATCAGTTCGTTCAGCAGTCGCATATCCTGCCTCTGGTCATCCCAATTGTCTTCATCCCCGATTTGCCACGGGTCCTCGACCTCGAAGAAACCATAGTGTTCGCGATCCCACCAAGCCCCTAGGCGATCCTGAAGCTTGGAACCACGAGGACCACGGAGGTAGTAGAGCACCAGATTCATTGTGTCGCCGTCGCCTTCCAGCTCGACCTTGCTCGACATGGTTTCCTGTGTGCGGTCAGATGGCACCGTTCAAATGAGAGGTCTTCCTTTCGACATACCTTGCAAGGATTACGAAACATTGCCTTGAAATAGTCGCTCTCGGCAATGAGTACTGACTTTGATATGTAGTAAAGCCGCGAGATACTCGTGTCTGTGTTGTAGACTGCGATGGTCTCCTCACCTTCATCGGGGCCCTGGGAGAAGGGAATGTTGTCGGCGAGACTGGTCGTTCGGGTGGCCGAAAGGCCTTGCGCCAAAGCCGCAACGGCGGTGGAGTCAGACATAGCTGCGTGCGGAAATCGTCCACAGTCTCATCGGTTGTCCGAAGCGGCGCGATCAAAAAGAAGGGATGCTGCTCACAAGCTGTCGACGATATGCACAACGAGCGGGTGGCAGCGATAAAACAATGGATCGGAGTGCAGCTACAAGTTTCAAAGCGCAAATTTCAAGTGAAGAAGCTTGCAAGGCAACAACGCCAAGAGTTTTCTTTGATGGCGACCTCTTAGCACCTGATCTGCTTCAGGCCATCGTGAAGGGCTTTTTGCTGGCTACACGGCTTCGCCGACTACCTCAGACCTTGGTACGGTCGCACGGTCTGTAGCTGGAGCTTCGCATGACCTGGACGTTGCCTAGCCCTCAGTCAAGTCCTCATGCACAACATCTGTCCCTGAAAGGAATGTCTCGGTCCTTCATCTCCTTGATGAGCTTGTCCCTCAGCGATCCCGCGCCACTCAGTGCCTCCACCAGCTTCTTGTTAAGGTATACAGACAGCTTCGGGTTGCCCTCGAGCGCATCAACCAGACCGTCCGCGTTGCCTCGCTTCTCGAAACAGAACATGACACCAAAACAGTATGCATCCCAAAGATCTCGAGGATATTCGCCGGAGTGGTCGCATATAGTGTTGAGATGTTTAGTCTGGCGTGGGACCGAACTCCATGTCGATACACCCACCATACCGAAGGCCATGATGAAGAGCTTTTCGGTGCATAGTTGACGGAGGGATTGCATGTCGTACTTATCGGCCGCAAGGTACAATTCAAGGACGCGGTCCAGGTAGTCCCCCGACTCGTGGTAGCACTTGTAACGGCGTTCCTCAAGAGAGCGGTGTTGAGCCCATACGACCTCATACACAGATCTGCCACCGAAAAACGAGAGAAGGTCAAGCATGCCACCAAACTCTTTACCGTCATCGTGTAGACGGACCTCTGCGAGCTGCGACTCCTACAATGCATTAGCCTGTGGAATGTGTGGCACATTTGCAAATGGTCCCACCTGGAAATCATGCTGGAACATGCGGCGGAAGAAGCCGCTGTCTTTTACGAGGGTCGACTTCAGGATGCGATGGCTCACATTTTGTGAGTCGATCACAGTGACAAATCCCTTATCCTTTTCAGCGGTTGCATGGTCGTCTTGCGTAGCTTGGGCTTGAGGCATCGCCACAGGAGGTCTATCACGTTGTTAGACTGATGCTTGTCCTCGTTGAATATCACAACATACATCTCGACTGGTCCGTCCAACTTCTGCGCCATCGCTGGACCGGTGAAATGGAAGACTGACTATGGAGAAAGATACGCAAGCAAACTGCAGCGAAAATGTCTGGAGAAAAAGCAAGCGTTGGTTTGTAAGTGGAGCTACTTCTGCAAGTGAAGGAGCGCAAAGTCTTACAGGAAGGCACTCACGCGCAGGAGGGCGTCTTTACGTGTCAGTGAATGCGAATCTGGAATTTCGTCTGGATTGGCTATTCTAAGGGAAGAGAGGCCTCCCGCCTGCTTACAAACTATCGTCAGAGCCACGAGAAACATCTGCGCAGGATGCCAGGTCTAGAATATCGCTGGCTAGCATCTTTGACGATCAGGACGATACTCGACGATGCACATTCGCACGTCTTTGGGTGTCACCTTCGTTGACAATGCACCTCATTCTGGCAGACTCGTAATCGCTCTTGAGCCCTCTCAACAAACGTCATGGTGATTCACCAAACATCGCTGAGCGCGACCCACTTCCGGTAGCCTGTGTCTGATTTCCATGTCCGACCCTCATGATACCACAGTTCGCCTCAACACAAATCGACTACACCCCAGCTGAGACTTCAGGAGTGCTCACGGACTTGGGCAGACCAGGCCAGTGATGTCGAAAGTCTTGCGACCGTGCAACATGGTCAACGCCATGCCATGTTCGTCCTGATGGGCAATGTTGGATTACCACCAACGGTCCAGTGGACCATTGGAACCACCGTGGTTTCCGTAGGGGCCTCTGCCGTAGCTTCTAGTGTGTTCCAACTCGGCTTCTTTCTCTTCCAGCTTGTCTTCCAGCTGGAGCACTTTCTTATGCTCAACCTTCCACAGCGTGCAGAGATACTCGTTGATGTTGCACGCCAAGGCCGGGTACTCTTGCAGCGCTTTGAACAACGTAGTGATCTCTCCCGACTTGCTGGATTCGGTCATGAACAGTCTCACTGCGACTCTGACGACAGCGCACAGCTCGATGGGATAGTTATTCTCCATGACCTCGACGACGGGTTTGATGTAGTACTCGATGAACTCCTTGGGACCCCAAAGCGGGGGTGCACCCGGAATCCGAACCCAGGGGCCAAGGTGGTCGCGATCATCATCAGGCGCAATGTAGTGGGAGACAGCACTGCACAAGAAGTCATCGACGATGTCGTAGAGAATGAAGTTCATGGTGTACAGGTGGGCCACAGCAAAGACCTCCAATAGCAGCTCAAACATGTTGGATGAGTGCTCGTCGGCGGAGTCAGCGAGGAGCCGGTAGAAGGTGATCTGATGGTCGAGGTGGTGAGGTGGGTGCGTGAGAGTCAGCTTTGGCAAGAAGGCCATGACCAATGCTAGAGCCTGACTGTCATCGCCAGCAAGATGGATTTCACCAGGATGCGATTCCTGAGAGCGTCAGCTAATCGTCGCCAGTCGAACGATGTGGGCCAACGAACCTGCCATTTGGGCGAAAGCGCTGTATCAAAGTGTTCGCTTTGACGAACGGCTATAGACTTGAGGATGCGCCATGACTGGTTGGTGTCTTTGTTGACGATGGTGACGTACTCCCCACTGGCCGCACTGGACGCTTCATCATCTTTGCTCGACTTCTCGACCGTCGCTTGGTTCACCTGCACCGAAGTCTCCTCAGACGCTTCGCCATGACTGACTGCTTGCTGGCCAGACGCTACCTTGGGTGTCACGATGTCGCTCAAGCTCAACTGGTCTGTCGCACTGCGTGAGATCAGTCAGCTTGAACACTACTTCCTGCGCCTTTGCGACTTGAACTTACCGAGCAACATCATCGGGAGACGAGGCCGCCACAGCGAGACCTTTCTACCAGAAGCGCGAAAGCGCTGATTGATTTTCAGCCTTGCGAATTCACACTGTCGATAGTGGTTGAAGACAGTCAAATTCTTGGCCGATGTTCAAGTTGCAGTGCAATCGCGAAATGGGCGGGGCACGAGCGACTTAAGTAGTCCATTGAGACTATCAAGCCACTCGTGCACTGTTGCCAAATTTTCGGGTAGCAAAGAGCATGAGAGACTGTGAACACCTTCATTTGATGAGGCGGCGAGTTCAAGGGTTCACCTGAAGGTAAGGAGAGGAAATGGCCCGGGACGATTTTGAAAGGGCCAGTGAATTTTGTGTTGCTCTGTTGGCGAGTGTCGATCCTGTCAGGCAAGATTCCTCTTCAAGGTCGAAGCATCGATGATGCCATATGCGCGACGGAGGCAAGTACCAGTCTGTGAGAGCTGTGACCGACACCAGTGCTGAGAGGACCGCATTGAACTGTAAGCGAGGTTGCAGCTAAGAGTAACTATCTGAGCGTATTGTCTCTTTGCTGATAATGTCTTGCCAGCCGAAGGCCTGCTCAGCCCAACTGCGAACGATCGGTCCATAAGACACAGTCGACGTAGCGACATCGCTGCTTCCTCCGACAAAGATCAGTCGATCCCAGGACATCGAACTCTTCCGCCAATCTGACTGTGTCCGACACGCGCTCACTTCCGCAATTTCAATTCAAGAGGCATACCTAGTCTCTTCCACAAGTTACATGGGCGAGGTCGTTGCTCTTATGCTACGTCCGCACCGAGAAGTCTTCATTCACTATCCAAGTCGTCCGTATCAGTGTGCCTGTAGATATAGTGCCGGACCTCATCGACGATGTCTTCAGCGTTCTCCATTGCCTTGCGCACGCCATCCAACCATTTCTGCTTCCTTACAATCCACTGGAACTGGCTTGCGTAGGCGTTCGCAAGACGGCTTCTGACGAATTGGGCCAGCTCCGGATGATTCGTGAGTGGCTCCAACAGCAATTCTGTATTACCATCTTCCTGGAGATAATGGATCACAGCATCGCCGTACAGGTCAAAGATCTGGCGAGGATAGCCGCCGGGTTGAGATATGTTGTCGAAGAAGCCTCGCATGAAGCCGCGTTGGCTCAATCGACGATCATCTCTTCTCCTCCAAACAGTGGGCCGACGAATGACGAAAGCGGCCGAGTCCAAGCACGCCTCCTCTAATCTGTGGAAGCCACGGGCCTGAGCAAAGTCCAGCGTGTCCAACACAGACTTCAGGCAGGCTTTGATGCTAGCTTTGTGGTGCGAGTCGAAGGACGTCCAAATCCGTGGTGCTCGACCCACCCAATCACAGTCGTTGGGATGTTCCATGATCTCCGTGAAGACAAAGTCTGCTACCTCCAAAGTGCTCTCTAAGAGAGGATCGGTGCTCTGCTGATCGTCAGATATTTGCGACAGCGTCCTCCTGGCATACGTACCGACCAGCGTGCGAACTTGGCACGAGCCCACTCGCTTTCCCTCATCAAGGCAGACTTGAGGACTCTGTAGCTTTTCTGATCGCCATGATCGGGGATGACGGTAATGTTGACGAACTCATCGCCATTGGGGGCTTCGTCACTGCTATTGATCAGTGGAAACATCAAGTACGACGCCATTTCGCTCGCTGCGCGAGACGCGTCAGCGGCAGACACGATGCAATAGCGATGGAAAGTCTTGGCAGCTCAATCTGTGTCTGACTATCGAAGGCCGAGCACCGCTGGGTGGTAGCAAAGTAAGGATTACCTATGAGGTATATTTGTAGTTGTGGAAGAGACTGCCAAAGATATACCCGCCATCAAGCCCATTACGCTACAAAGAGACAAAGATATGGTCTGTGTTGGAAGCAAACTGAATTTCAATTAGCGCCTATTCCTTGAGGTCTGTGTTGGTCCATCAGATACTGGCCCGACCATAGATGGTTCTATAGAATGCCTGGGAAAGAAGGCAACCGCCAAGATCAAAGTGGAGCAGAAGGCATCCGTGGAATGCGTGGTGATCTTCGCATTTCAAGAACTTCCTATCTCCCATCATTATCTGAGGTATGCTTCAACTTCAACGCGACAAAGTGGTTGCGTCGTTGACAGAATCCAGTCCTGGAGTCCTTCAGTTGTGGATGACCAAGTCGTCAGCCGTTCCCAGGACTGCCCTCACAACGCCAGTGACATCCCATCAATACTCATACCCATAGCTTGTTTGCTGACATACCGATCAAGTCCTTGCGCCCGTGTCCGTCTACATTGTATTACAGTCTGGCTTGACTAGAGCGCCCACGATCATTCCCTTGCCTTCTTGTCTCTCCATCGCCAGAGCAGCCCTCGCCGCGGCCGCTTTCGTCTGCGGCGTCAATTCCTCTAGCACCATAGCCTCCTCGAACCTGGATTTCCAGAACCTCCATCTCTCCAACCCAGTACTCGCACCGTGATAGAACGCGCCATTCCTGATCGGCCAGTAATGCATGCCCTCTGGCTTCTCTTGTGATGATTCAGGGGTGTGCACAATGCCTTTCCATAGCAATTTTGGGCTGTGAATGACCCACATAGCAGCTCGTTGAATACGCATGTCAGTGCCTAGGCCGTAGATGAGTGAGCCGTCCTCGAAAGCGATCTCTAAGCCATCCGCCTGAGCTTCGATGGCGATCCCGGTGCAGTTGATAATACCTGCTTCGCATAGGCGGGCGACGAACGCGATCCAGTTGATGAATTCGGGGTCTCGAGACTCTTCATCATGATCTTCGTCCACACTGGAATCCACTAGAGACTCCCGTCAGCATTGATGTCCAAGGGCTGTGGAGACACGTACTCTGTAATTTTGCATTGAGACCTTCTTCGAATTCTCCGGCTGACCAGCGGGCCGCGCCAGACTATTGACAGTCAATTGAAACGTTTCAGACCACCGAGAACGTATGTGTTTACATCACCTGCTTGAAGCGCCTTGAACAATGAGACGAGCCGATCTTGAGAAGGATTTTCAGCCGGAACCTGCCGAGCGAGATCTTCGATGAAGTGAGCCAGGATCTCATGATGAAACTTGTCGCCAAAGCGCTTGCCCGAAGACGTAAAGACACCTCGGAGCTTTACTGAAGCATCGACGGTTGAGAGATCCGATTTTGGTTGAAGATAAGTCTCGAAGATGTCGAATGATCGCTTCTCCTCACCGTTGGGATCTTCGCTCACATATTCGCGAAATTTGAGAGTCAGCCGAGACATTCTGATTTCCGGGCTGCTTTCTTGGATCGCTGGCGCGGATATTGGCGAGTGTGGTATGCGAGATGAACATAATGGGTTGTGAATGATGCTGGAATAAGGTAGATAAAATTAGGCAAGACTTTGCGCACTTGATGTTAGATACACTCTCGGTGCGAGTATTGCCATCGAATTCCCCTCATGCCATGGACGCTCCATACTGTTGGCCTCTCGAAGCTGCAAGCGCTACCCAAGATGTTTTTGGAGCGGAGGCGGATTTTTGTCTCAGGCCCGCAGGGCAGCACGCAGCCTCTTTGTATCTAGACCATAGGTACCTTCCTCATCTACCCTTTGAGATTTGCTGAGTGCGTTCCTCGAGCTCTTCCACCTTGTCCTCGCCGACCAGAAATCTCTTGCCAAGCTCTTTTTCTACATGGCAAACCATCTCTGGATCGCATGAATGATTCGACGCAAGAGACCACTCTCCGGTTCCGTTCGCTGATAGTGCAGAAGAGCTGCAACGCAGAGTGTCCATAGGTCCTTGGGAAACTCGGAGAAGTACTGGGTGAAGTGGTCGTAGTGATCGCGCTTGAAATCAGCTGCGGTGAGTCGACAGCGGAGCACAGAATTCATGGTGCGTTCTTCACCAACCCATACCCGAGCCCAAACCCCTGGTAGCATCTCGTCGACGATGAACTCATGGAGGGACGTCATTCCGTACTTGTCGGTGAAAGTATACAAGTCCTGGGCGGCTTCAATCGAAGTAAAGGTTCGATCGTTATTCTGAGCTACTGCTCGAAGATAGGACTTTGGATCACCTGTTGCGATGGATCGAAGAGCATAATTTGCTGCTTGCACGCTATCCTCGTGGAGGTGGATGACACCGGTAATCGACTCCTGGAGAATGTGAGCAGTGCAAGTCGACTCTAATGGGATTGCGGACCTTGAATGAACCCTCAAGCATTGCTCTGAAATATGCGCTCTCGGCTATGAGCAACTTCTTCGACACCCATACGCTGGATCTGCCTGCACGAGATCTAGGACTGTCGTAGTACACCGTGACCATTGTATCGTCAATGTTGACTGGTCTTCCAGTCTTGTCCATGCGCCTGAAGCGAGGCACATACGCAGCGTTTCGTTCTGCAGCCGGTTGTCGCTGCTCTCCATCTCCCGAGCCACTATGACTGGTATCCGTAGTCATTGTGCGACAGCATCGACTTCAGTCAATTGCCGACGCTTCCCAAGGTCGCTGTAGATGAGTTCTACCTCTCGATATTGTCGAAGATTGCCGAAGTAGATGTGGCACAAAACACCGATGGCGGGTAATGCGATGATCACGTTGAAATCAAGCGAAGTCGCAGATCAAGTGAGCATCGGCAACGAGTCTGCCTCGAAAACAATCTGTGAGGTCGTCTTTAGTAGTGAGTGTTTGCCATTTCTTCTTCCCTGATACGAAACTTAGCTTGACTTCAGCCTTTGCCATGACTGTACCTTGTCCATTTGTTGGACCTCGACACTCAACGCATCCCATTCGATCTTGTGAAGCGTGCCGCTGTCCCTCGGTTGTTCATGGCCTCGTAGGTATTGCGACGTCATGCACCCACAGTCCTGCCGCAAGAACGCCCTGCCTACACGTGTAGCTGCGTCCGTACGAGAACGCTGAATAGGAGTGCAGATTACGGACAGCACCGGCCTTTCCTTTGGAGCGCCAGCGTACAGCTTCAATCGATAGCTATTTCTGGTACAGTCCGTGTGCGACTTACGGTAGTTACTGTCCGTACAGCCCTCCCATCTTCAGGTACCTTGAGCTCATTCTTCACTGCTGCAATGAATAACGCAGTAATGACAACGATTGTGTGACAGCAAATCAGTGGCATATCAGTGCCTAGAATCCCACACCAAATCAGCAGAGATATGCATCGGAGGGGTGGCGTCCTTCTGCCGTCCGGCTACAACGAGTTGTTGACAAAACCTTACTCGGCTAGCAAGTCTCGAGGCGCCTCTTGTCGATGGTCATCTACGAACGGGTCAAGGGCAGTCTCGATTGCAATCGAAGAAGGGCAATAAGGAAAGCAGGACGGACAAACTTGAGGCCATGAGCTCGCCCCTTTTCCCAAGCCCTGTCATGAACTATCCACGTGACGCATCCGCAAAACAGCACCACAATCATCCTAGCGCCACTGCCCCAGCAAGCACGCCCAAAAACTCCCGACAGTCCCGCCGAAATTTGTCCTTATTCTTCTATTTCCTCTTTCGTGCAATTCTCAGCGCGTCTCGATGAAGCCCATCGGAACGCATGAAGGCCATCCCGTTGCGATCTTCGGGCAGCTCACGGATATCGGATGTCTACATGCGCCCTGCGAGATTCTCACATGCTCGGTGCCGCAGGATTGTAGGAGCCGCCTGCGATCACTGCGCAGTAGCGAAAAAGTGTCAGAAGTACGCGTGTCTCGAGCTCACGAACGCGTCACAAACGCGGTATTGCCATGACTGTTTTGTGATGATCAATGCCCATTGACGCCACTCGTGCTGCTGTTGGCGGTGCGCCGCCCATCAGGTATGTACTTGTTGAGGACTAATGAGGTGCATCAAAGCATTGTCGTTAACTCATCGTCCTTCCTCTCAAGGTCCTTCCCAAGTCTTCCCAGACCTCTACTTCTTGTTTACAGGGTTTCTTTGCCCATAGGCCTTTGTGGCATAATCGCCATCCTATAGCAGGAGTCAGTTATGCACTTGAACGTGATAGGGGCCAAACGCGCCTTTACGATGAGGTCCTCGGGTCTGTAATCATGCTTGCCGGAGAAGTAGCTGGTCAGGATAGCCTTGGTGCCAGCCGCGTACCGTTCCTGGGCATCGATCGAGGTACCGGACATGTGGGGAACCATGGCATTGCCGCCACCCCATGGGTTCTTGGCAGTTCGGAGTGGGTGCTCCTTGGGTGCGGGTTGCGGGAACCACACATCACCACCGTAGCCGTTGAGCTGGCCAGACTTGAGTGCTTCGGCGACGTCTTCCTTGACGACAATGGCGCCACGGGCGGTGTTGACGAGCCATGCGCCTGAGAGCATGTGTTAGCGTGAGGGTAAGGGTTGGGGAGGCGGTGCACGTACCCTTCTTCATCTTGCTGATCAGCTCCTTGTTGAACAGACCACGGGTCTTCTCGTGCAGCGGGCAGTTGATGGTAACAATGTCACACTGGGCCAACATCTCCTCGAGATCCTCAACTCTTCGGCAGCCAATCTCCTTCTCAATTTCCGGCTTGAGGGGCTGGTAGTCGAAGTACAGAAGCTCCTTGCAGTCGAAGGGCTTGAGTCTTCGGAGAACACGCTCACCGATGCGGCCAACAGCGACGGTACCGACAACCTTGTTCTCGAGATCGTACTCGTTCTTGGCAACAGCGGCGACGTTCCAGTCGCCACGCTCGATCTGCTCGTGGGCTGGGACGAAGTTGCGGACCAGGGTCAAGATGGTCATGACGACGTGTTCGGCGACGGAGACGACGTTTGAGCCAGTGACTTCGGCAACGGTGATACCGCCGTTGGTCTTGTTGGCGGCGTTCAGGTCGACGTGGTCAGATCCAATACCGGCGGTGACGGCAATCTTGAGCTTCTTTGCCTTTGCCAGGCGCTCAGCGGTCAGGTAACCAGGATGGAAACTTGAGATTGCTGTTAGCACGTGCCAATCGGTGGCTGCCGTCGTACTCACGGTGTGGTGATGATGACCTCAGCATCGACGAGTTCCTGGTCAAATTTAGAGTTCTCGCCCTCCTTGTCGGAGGTGGTGACGAGCTCGTGACCTTGATCCTCGAGCCATTTTCTCAGGCCCAGCTCATTCTCGGTGGTACCTAGGAGACGAGGTTGGTCGCGAGCGTGCTCGTGGCCCTGTCACGGTCATATCAGTCTATGCTCATGCCCCGGCGAGGTCAGATCAGGTCGGAATACTCACATCATAGAGAACCAACAGAACTTTTCCCTGTCGAGCAGCAGAAGCTGTCAGTGTGCGTTTGGCAAAGCCGGCGACTGAGGGTGTAGCAGTTCGGCGGGCGGCAGCAGCTTGACCAGCAAGCAAGGAGGAGATGGGACGGTGCAGTGACCGTGTAGCGGAGCGAGCAAATACCATTTTGAAAGCTCAACTGTCTAAAATACCCAGAAATGAAGGGAGTTGAGAGTCGGTAAGTGATTTGCGGAAAAAGAAGTCGACGTGTAAATTCGGGTCGATGGGAAGGTAGCTTTCTTTTAGTACGTCAGGTACAAGGGAGCTGGGGTAGAAAGCTAGTTAGCTTCCTGGAACGATTGTCTCGTGCAGACCGAGTAGGTAAGCTTAGCTGAATGACATGTCTGTGCAGGAGGGGAAGCACGCGCTTCGTAGTGTATGATGATGCTGACGACAAGCTCCCTCATAGCTTCGGTAGCAGTTGAGTTTGAATGATTTCAATTGGCCTGAAGGGGTATGCGAGCGCGGAGAATGGGGTATGGCAGGGACTGGAAGCAGCTACTGAGGCAGCTTGGGGAGCACTTGCTGTACACTGAACTAGGCACAATGTTAGCTTCAGGTCTGGTTCAATATCACAGTCCGGCAGAATGAACAACCGCGAAATGCTCTGTAGACCTAGAGCACGATCACGGGAAGGTAAAGCGTGTGAACGGTCTGCCGTTAGAGCCGCAGGACATGGTAGCGTGGCTTTACACTCTTGCCGAACGCATGCCCGAAACCACGAAAGACGCGTGTTGTATGCTCGTTTTGGGGTAAAGAAATTCGCGACCAGTTCGTCCTCCGCAGGAAGAGGGGCACCCAGGACTGGAGGGGCTTCAGTGAGAGGGGCTTCGAATCGTCCTCGTTCGCTCGCTTGTCGTGAGGGGTTGTCAACGCCCAGAGTTCCCTAATTCCTCCGCGGGCAACACATCCTTCCAGTACATCACTGCAGAAGTGCCGCGATCGGATACGTCCTCCGAAGGAAGATGTCGGTGGTCCTGAAAGCCAAAAGTTTCACGAAAGAAATGAGAGCTCACCTTGAACGATATGGGAGATGTTTCCGGGCCGTGCGATATCGTCGTCGATGGCTCACGAGAACGCTGGTATCACCACTTACGTGGTGCCTTGCTCTTGTCTTTCGAAACCTCTTGGGAGTGCTTGAAAGTTGTGCCGTGGTAATGGACGGGTCGGTATGTCTTGTGCTAGACAATGGTATCAGGCTTTGCTGTATCGAGTGCAGCAACTATGCAGTGTTCAAACACCAAAATCACTGGGCTCTACGACAGCTATATACTTCTTCTTCTGGGCCATCATATCGATGCAAATTTGCGAATGTTCCCGTGAGCAACCCAATTGCTTGCTAGCTATGACATCCATCGTCCTCGCTGCCCCTCTTCGATGAACAGGGTGCCCCTCTCCTGATGCCACACAGAGAACGTGGAAACGATGCTTGGTTGTGCATAACGGTCCGTGAGACGGGTCATACGCCCCACTTACCCGTGTCGGAAGCGATTCGACCATTTGCTGCTGTCTGCGGACCTCAAATTGACTCGCATTGGTTTACCGCGTCTACAAGACGACCCTACAGCCGACACAACCCCGATCCTAAGTCTCTGCTTTGTATCAACCACCACCGCTTCGTGCCTGCACGATGGCCATATGCCAGCACCACATATCGATGCTGACCCACCCTTGGGGCCATGTGGACATGCTTGCGGTTGCTCACGGTTGCTTGGCTAGGACAATTCCCATTGCAATGATGGTCCGAGCACCGAGAACAGATGCCTTTTCCACTTCACCTTGAGGATCCTGAACTTTGCAGTGCCTTCCTCGCCCTCCTACATGCTCCGAGCACATGCACCGCCCGAAGCTCCGCTGTCTAATTCCCCTTACGGGGCACTAAAGAGCGGCGGTCTTCTCACCTGTAATTCCGCCCATCTAGACCGAACCCTTCTGCCGCCCCGTCCGGGGTTCTCTCGGGTTTGCCTGATTCCGATACTTTAACCGCCTCTGATTTCGTGGCGGCTCTATTCTACCGAGAAATGCTTCTCACATGCTCCCCGGAGACTCCAGACTTGGCTTCGGTCTGGGCCTGCTTCGCTTGCAAGCCTTTGTGTTGTACCCAGGGCCCTCTCCACAGCAACATTTGAAAAGACCGCCAGAACATTTAGCCGTACTGGTAGAGGTAGACGACACCATTTTCGATCGTTCTGTACGGGTGTCGTCGGCGGCTCCTGCTCGATGCTAAGTGATCACTTACTTGCGTCTGAGCCAAGCGCGCAACATGGCATAGCTGTGGGCTCGGCCAACATTCGGCGTTCACAAGAGGTGGGTTTCGTTCGCTCTGCTTTGCTGTTTCTAGGGAATGGAGCGTAAGCCTCATCAGATGGCAGCTTTGTCCTTCTCCGAGGAGGCATGGCACTGGATTACGCTTGCACACGCCAGATCAGTGGGCTCTTCCTCTGGAGTGATGCGAAAAGGGACGTTAGCTCTGGTGTCCATAAGGTACTTACTGGGCACATGCAGTGGTTGCACCTGCAGCCTTATTGTACCAGTAATGTCCACTGCTAGGAAGGAGGACTTGACAAAATGACTACGGTTGGGCTAAGTCACGATCTGGGAATGTTGCTGCATTGAAATTGGCATTGGGAGGAAGAGACCTCGAGAAGATATGCGTGGTCATTGGATGCAGTTGCCTGAGTCTCGAAAGGACGCCTTCCGAATTGTGTATCCCGTGAAACGGGATGCTTTGGCAAGAACGACCCTGTGCTGGTGCAGTGTACTAGCACTTGCAGAAGGCGTTCGACCCGGTCTCTTCGATGCGACCCCAGAGGTAATATTCGTCGAGGCCTTTCGCAGACGGCCGTGCCTTCGAACACTGGGGCCATTCCCGTGACTGTTCGCAATAATATGTTCGAATGACCAATACGCACAACCGACAGACCCAGAATGACGGATCACCCAAGAGCAATGCCGTTCCCCTCTTCCCGCTCCGCTCGGTCACACTGCTGGGACCCACGACCCGATCCGTGGACAATATCCCGTGCCCAAACTGAGTGGCTCGCGTACCCTGCGTTCAGCCACCTGCCCGAGCTCGCATCTGGCATCTGCGGCCCCACTCGAAGGACGACCAGTCTAGCTCGATACTGCTCGAGCTGCACGAGCCTCTGACCATGAGTCATGCAGTGTACCTGGCTGCATTAGGAACGTACCCGTACAGGCGACAGACCCTGCCAGAAGTCATGGGCATGCATGATTGTCGAGCACTTTTAGATCTTTTTGGGCTAGATCGACGAGACAGGTGCTTTGATGCCCGTGCTATCCACGGAGTCTTCCTGGGTCGCAGATCTGCCTGGAAAATCGTATATACTCGCTCCCAAATCCTAAGACTTATCACGGCGGTCCACGCCGCATCTTGTCCCCACACACTTGATCCGAATCCACGGTATTCACTTGAGCCTCCAGACGTTTGGCGTCCACACGAAGTTCCCACAACCTGTGGTCAATAGCCGATCTGCTGGCATCTCCGGATATAGCGCTCGAACTCGCAGCCACTGCACGACGCACTTGGTTATCTGTCCCGGGGCACGAATACAACAAGGCCCATCCGAAGAGCCCCAATAACACCTTCACAATGCTTCTCGTGAGAAGAAGTCCTGACTCTGGTTCGTCGCAATACTACTTTTATAGTCACCGGTCCAAACGAGCAAGCCATGTATCAGAGCTGACGTCTTGAAAAGCGAAAGACGAAAATGTCCCGAGCAATCAGCCGTGGACGCAGAATTAGCATAGACTCGCAGTCTTGCAAATCTACTCGCTGGTATCGGCAACTTCCAACGTTCACCTGCATCAACAGCACCACACAAAGACAAGACGTTCTGGTAATTAATTTTATTCCTGTTCGCCAGTGAGCGGCTTCGAGTTTGACCCTCCTCATCCGACTCTTTACGGCAGTGCCTCTCAGTCTCAGCAGTTGTTGCAGACAACGACGAGGGCGCCATCAGTCTTGACCTTCTTTGCCGACGTATGATCCTCTTCGACTTCGACTTTGACGGATGCTGGTGTCTTGCGCTTGCCTTTACCTTTGGCAGAAGACCGCCGTCGAGCTCATCTTCATATTTGCTAAAGGCTCGCAGACATGGATGTATCGGACCTCTATTCCTCCTTTCAACTTCACGACCCGTACTTTGAAAGGCTTGTCAGCGGAAGTGCGCATGATCTGCGTAACTTCGTCTTGATGCTACTCCCCGAGTGACCCGTCCAGCTTTACTAGCTGTCCTCCATGCTTATCGAGCCAGGGCCCATTCTCATCGACTTCTCGACCGTGAGCATGAACAGGCGTCCCTCACGCCAGAAGAACTGATACTTGTTCTTTGGTTTGAACAAGATACTCGCACCGTTCAGCTGCTTCTCGTACAAGCGCTCATTCGATACGTTATTTCGTAGGTATTGCATGGAAGTGGCACTCATGTAGCGTTGCGACACGATCAGTTTCTTCTTTGCCAGGAATGAGACGAAGCTGCCGTTCAGAGCAATGTCTTCGGGACCGCCGAGGTTGCTGCAGGCCAGAGATCTGTGCAGTCCTTGCGCCTAGAATTGTGCTTATACACATGGACCGGCTTTCTATCGCTTTCGTCTAGAATGACCTCTCTGCAGCAGACACAGCCGATACGACCTTTGCAATCATCATCGGTGGGTTGTGAGATCTTGGTAGCTTTGTCATGGCTTTCGTCATGGCCAAAGGACAAGCCTGACATGTTGAGCATTGTTATAGGAGTGATGAGGTGATAACGGAGATAAGAGGTGCTGTGATGACCAGACCTGCTGTCCGAACCTTTCGATTTTGGGAGGCCAAGTCAATGTTCTGTAGTTGACAGAGCACGATTTTCAGCTCTTCTGGCGCCTCTATGATATATATATTGCGTGGAGGTAATGATGTGTGAGTGTCTTACCGATCCGGATCGAGAGGCTTGGCTCGCTTGTCGTTCCGTCTGCGTGTCTGGCCGGTGTTAGTCCCCATCCTTTGAGACTATTGTTCAGTGAGTGTGGCACTAGTCACTGGTTCGGTATTTGTGCCAAGCGTGTGGACGAAGCTGCTCTTGCCACTGATAGGAGCCAAGTTTGTGCCAGTCACACAGACGGTGCTACTCTGGCTACTCCTTCATTGGCAAGGGTTCGATAGTCGAAGAGAGTAGCTATGTGATCAAGGGAGTCCATGAGATCAAGGCCCCTTTAAATGTCTTCGGAGATTAATAGCCGGATCGTTGTCTAAGCCTTGTTGAGATTACCGTCATTCGTGTATAATCTTGGTTTGCGAATGCCATGCTTGCAGCGTTGTACTCATGCACGAGTCTAGACTCGCCCGTGAAGTAGACTCAGCTGTCCCTCGGATTCAGGTGCTCAGCAATAAGATCACGAAAGAATTTGCTGACCAGCATGAGTGCCGCGAAGCCCTGTACAAGACCTGAGATACCCATATTCCAGTCGTATCTGTCGTATATCGGGTAGCCCTTGTTACGTATAGCGAGACTCAAGGACCAGTTGAAGGTGGTTTGGCCGCAGTAGAACTTGTGGCCGCGTTGGCGAGGTTTGACCATGATGGCGGTATTGAGGCGGGAGTCGGGGAGGGTGCGGGCGAGGATGCGGGCGAGAATTTAGCCAAGGTGGCGGGACATGTAGTCGATCTTTGTTTGTTCGACACATTTCTAGGATTTGTTATTCCCTGAAGTGTCTATGGCAGAGCCTGTGTTGGACTTGGTTGTTGAGTGCTAATGTGTTCCGCTGCGGTGATGTGTGAGATTCTGACGGCCGCCTCGTCGGCGAGCGGTGTACTCCAAGCCGATCAGGTGATCTGCAGCAAGGATGTTGCGTGGATGTGCTTCATCTTTGGGGCGAATTCGTTGAAGTCCATTGTTGGGAGGACCTTGATTGGGATCGGGACCAGATGCGTCGATGTAGGCGGTTCAGAGTGCAGGCCCGCAGGCAGCATTTTACTGCCTCAGTTCTCCCGTCCAACTGGCCCATAGCGAACAGCCTCGTTGTGTCGAAATACGCACCTTGAGCGCCAGCTTTTCTCGTACATAAATTCATATATATTGCCGACGGCTTGGTGGGTCGTACTGGGTCTTGACAGGAAAAGAGACTAGACGATTCCCTGCTCGCAGCCCGTGCATCATAGTACAAGAGCTTGCCATCATCCAGCGCCCATCCGGCAGACACCGCGGCCGAGGATGAGATCAAGCTCGATCGATAGTGTATGGGAATGAGGGTCCGGGGCGCAAGACTATCCGTGAGCGTCTCCATGGTAGTTGAGGTCTGGTCGCATGGTGAAGAGAAGATTGTTGGCTGGTGTGATTTCGTGCAACGTCTGCATAGCTGGTGAAGCGCCTTGACATCCTCGCTCGTTCCAGTCTCGGCGGCAGCAACAGAACGAGTGTGCTGATCGTGACCTTGTGAGCCCGCGTGCAGGAACACGAGAACGCAGTCCGTGGGACTATGGTTCTTGCTCCCCAGGACAGGGCTGGTCAAATGAATTTCGTCTGCAGTAGTCGCAAGTGCTGTGGAGGCAGCCACAGGTGTGGCAGCCGTTCTGCGTAGAATGACCACCGAGAGGGATTTTGCAGTCTACTCTTGGCCCAACGAGACCGTGCGCTTGCTGACGAGCCACGCGACGGCGTGGACGGGTAGTGAGTGGTGCCGGGCGCCTTCTTGATCTTGCGCTTCTTGGTGGAGGGTGAGCGGTGGTGGTGGCGCCAGAGGAAGAGGATGTACCGCGTATATATACGATTGATCGACCCAGTGATCGTTGGAAGCTGGTCGATTATCCCCTTACCAGAAGGAGCACTGACCCTCGGGCGACGTCGAAGAGGTTTGGGATGGTTGCCGACAGAAGGCCGCGCTGAATGTTTGGGAGACGTCTGGCTCGCAGAATCACTGGTCGTCGATGATGGACTCGAGCATCATGCTGGGTAGCACAGCGAACCTATATACCTGAGAGGCCTCCTTCGTTTGCAATATCTGTCCGGACGCTAAGGTCAAATTCCCTATAGTGACGGAAGCACAGGATCAGAGGCACCTGTCTTTTGCTCTCTGCACGACGAAACACTTACCCGTGAAATGCATCAGCTGAGTCTAGGGAAAATGACTGACCTATGCTGTCAGCTGTCAATGTCCTGACAGGCACAGTGAACAGGGGAATAAGAAAGTGACGGTCAAGGCTTACAAACACAGCATCTGTGGTAGAGTGCTGGCTTCAAACGAACGACGTACTATTGTTAGTGTTATTGTTCAAGCTGTTCATATCAGCAGTGATCATTGGAATCGCCGGAGTGCTTCATGGTCTCGGCAAACTTCATCGTTCGGAGTCTTGCAAGGTCTCAGTCACTTTGCTGGCATTTGCATTTATCGACTGATTGGCACTGGCAGTTAAAATTGCGTAGGGAAAAGCGTGTGTAGGTGCAGACCGCCGGTTGTGTGGCTGCCAGGATGGACTCGAAGAAGGGGTCATGGCCAAGTCGATGCTGCACGCGTTTACCGACGCCAACGACCACGAGACGTCCGTGCTGTCTCACTTCAGCACTTCTTACCTATTCTGTCCTTGAATGCAGATGGCCAAGTGATCGTGCACGGCGTGACTGACCGACCAGCCACAACTGGCGGAATGCTGCTCATGAGAAGCTTAGCGACTCGATGTGGTAGCGACCGAATCTCGAAACTCGTCCCATTGATGCCGGACGTGCCCCAATGAGTCAGAGCGACTGCAGAGAGGGAAGCACAAACGAATGGGATGTGTGATGACTTCGGCAAGGATGGCTGAGAGCAAAGGGCGTCGAGGGAACTTGAACGACCGAGTCTCGGCAGATGACAAGGTCACGTGAGGATGTAGAATGACATCGGTCATCTTCCGGCGAGCATGCCGCAAACACGTGCCCTCCACACATTTGCGCCAGCTTGGTGTACTCAACTGTCCTTGCAGATACGTCGATCATCACTGCGCCGATCAGATATGGCGGCGACGAGGCCCGTGTTCTCATATGCGAGCCTTTTCCGCGCCATCAGATCTTGCGCGCCCAGGACATACCAATCTCTACGAAAGCCTCCACCCCAACAGAATCGCAGCCTGAAAACCACTACCCGCCGACGGCAGGAGACCTACTCCTCGCGCTACGGGCCAGCAGCTAACAGCAATCTCCCGCCACCAGACAAGCCGGACGATCTCAAGTTCCCTCAAGAAGTCCCCGAACCCACCAAGAAGGAGCACAAAGAAGACCCGGACAGCAATCCCGTCCACGAAGATGTCGAGCACCGCACGATGCGCAAAGGCGGCGACTCGGACTACGCCCTCAAAGCCGAGCCCGTCCTCGATGGCGAGCCTCTCGGCCACAAGGAGCTCGACATGGTCCTCTCCATACCCTCCCCGTCAGAACTGAAAGGCGAGAACTCCCACTCTCGGCACCCGCACCTCGAAGCCTCTCCCTACGAGCACCATTTCGATACCTACAGTCTTGTCCAGCAGCTTGCTACCGAGAAGGCCTACGGACCTGAGCAGTCCGTGACCCTGATGAAAGCCATCCGCCTCATGCTCGCCATCAACCTGGACGTCGCGAAAGAAGGCCTGGTCTCCAAATCCGACACCGAGAACGAAGCGTACCTTTTCCGCGCCGCCTGCTCTGAACTACGGACCACTTTGCAGACCGCACGGCATTCCGAAATGCTCAAGCAGCGCTCACATCGGGCAACATTGCAGCATGAGTCCGACCTGCTGAACCAGAAAGTCACGCAGGATCTAGCGACCATGCGCGAGGAGCTGAAGGGCATGTTCAACGACCGCAAATTGGGTCTCGAGGAGCAGAAGCGGCAAATCGATAGCAAGATCCAAGGACTGAATCACAAGATTACCATCTTGCTCAACTCTGAGGCGAAGAGCGAGGCGGAGGGTCTCCGCTGGATCCTGACTCGAAGGGCTGCTACTGCTATTGCGATTTGTGCTTGTACGTCCTCCTTCTCATTCCCTTGAGTCGTTCCGTTTTAACAGCTCTGCCTCCAGTCATGATAATCAATGCCTTGAACTACTCCTCCATCAAAACACGCGAGCGCGAAGAAGCGGAGAAGAAGAAGGAAGCACTGAAAAAGAAAAAACGAGAACAGGAACAGCGAGCCGAGAGCGATGCGCAGGCGATGAGGTTCACTACGCCGAGTCGTGATCAAGGCGTGCAGACTTCGTCAACTTCGACGGGTACGGGGAGTGGGGCTTTCGAGGAGAGTTTGGGTTGAGATCAGTTGGATTGACGCGAATGATGAGTTGAGAAGGCCTCAGCGGAGCGAGCGTCAGATAGAGCCTTGCAAGCAAGTGAGCGAGTGAGCGACCATTTCATAAATATACCCACAGTCCAGCTGGACCGTAGCGAGCAAACGAGCAACAAAGATCTCAATATTTCTGAAGAACACATTGGCATCTCCTCATCTGCAACGTGCGATGATGATCTTGATCTGAGGTACAAAATCTGCTGGAAACACAATCGCACTGGGAATGCCAACTGATCTGATTGGAATTCATCTAACGTCAAGACTGTCACAGCCCAGCCCAGTCCACAGCGCTCTCCTCCAGAGCCGATTGTTTCTCTCGACCATGATCTGCTCCAGTGAACATCCCAGCAAAAGCCAAACTCGTCCCATTACCCACAAGCCCCAATCGAGCCCGCTCGCGCCGTTTCTCCAGACGCAGACGCGCTGCTGTGGCGCGGTCGGGCGCTAGTGTTGTAACAGCGGCGACTCTGGTAGCAGTAGATGGCTGGTCCAATGGTTGGACAGCGTGCAAGGAATCAGCCACTTCTATGGATGGTCGATCGGAAGCATCGATTGTAGTGCCGGAAGCGCTGGTCTTGGGAATGGACGTCGATGGTTGTCTGCTGCTGCAATTTCTCGCAGATGGACGAGGCGGCTCAGCAGGTTGCTCGAGCTGTTCGCTGAGGAGGACTGTGAGGGAAGGAGGTGAGTTGCGACTGCGGACTCGCGGTCTGTCTGTACTGCGGATCGAGACACTGCGATTGACTGGGGATGCTGGCCGTGTTGCAGGTTCCCTGCCTGCATCATCTCGATTGTCGGATCTGGTGGTGTGCACTTGCTGATTGCCTTTGTCGTCGGGCCTTGACTGTATAGGCTTTGGATCTTCGTGAACGTGGATGCTCGGTCTCCTTCGTCGCCTGGATGCGCTGTCGGTATCCAAGGTAGTGGTTTTGGGCCGATGGGGGAGAGATGCGCTGTCTGTACTAGCCTCCGGGGCTATGGCTTCCTGGCCACGCAATGACCGCTTGAATGCCTCGGTCCTCGACAAAGCATCCGCTGCCTGATCTGCATGAACTCGAGCCCCAAGCGGTGCCTTCCTGTCTCGTCTGCTACCGCGATCTGAAACATCGGTGGTGGCTTCCTTCGTCGGGCCACCGCTATTGCCTCCGTTCACAGGTATTCGCTCCTTCTCCTCTAGTCTGGCCTTCAGTCGTGCATTCTCTGCCTTCAACTCCGCGACCATACCCTTCAGGATGACATTCTGCTCATCCGCCCGCTTCGCGTAGTCCTTGATCTTCTTCTGGTGCCGCAGTATCTGCTTGACCTCCATCTCCGTTCTACGTTGATAGGCCTCTCGTTCCGGATCGTGCGCTGTGGCAGGCATTATGTCCGAGACTGTTGTCTGTTTGCTGGTCTTCCTGACCTTCTTCGACACCACATGTGCTTGGTCTGGCGCTGTATTCTTCTTCCCACCGTCGATCGATGCCTCAAGCTCCTGCTGAAGCTCGTCAATCTCCTTCTCTAGCGACACCACATCCACCTTGCCCAGCACAGGCGCAGTAGCATTTCTCTGCTTCACCGCCATCACCTCAGGGCTGACACTCTTGAACTTGACATTCACATCCCTCAGGCTCTTAGCTCGCGGTGTCGGCGCGCCACCAGGCGTGCGCAGGATCGACTTTGTTGGTGAGAGCTGCGGCGCTGCTGGTGCAGCATCACTGCGCTTGCGCTTCTGCGGACTCGCTAGAGTTGGGATGCCTTCGAGGATGATCTTCTTCAGCGATGGTGATACTGGACGAGCGTTCTCCTTGCCGGAACCCACACTGCCCGGGACCAAGTTGTTGTCAATTTCGGGCGACTCGGGCGAGCCGTACACGAAGCCGCGAAGAGCGCGCCAGGCAAATTTATGGGCGGGTGTGACGGGCGCAAAGGATATGAGGGTCTCTTCGGAGGCCATGACGCGTTATCAAATGCATCGACGCGTGCGACGCGCTATGTTGAGGCTCAGATATAGGTCCAAGTGGTAGTTGTGCACGCGATGTCATGTCGAATACAGATGTCCATTTTGGGGATAGTCTGTGAGGGTCTTGGCATTTCGTCGTGAGCCATTGTTCTCTGCTGGCTTCTGCGGATTTCTAACATTACATCCCTCTCTTATCACCCGGCGCGGCGTATCTCTGCCTACCATGTACACCATTTCGTAGCCATAAGCCGTCAGAACTCCCGGTACTGTACATAGTGACCTGACACGTAGTGCGACTCGATCTGTCTCCGGCTGTCTCGTAGACCGCATGGGACCGCGTTGTCGAGTCGGTGTCCTTCAGTCATCCTCTTCATCACTCTCCCCATCCTGACCACCCTTATCCATAACCTTCTTCCACTCTTCCATCATATCCTTCATCGCACTGGGCGTCATACCCGCATCCACCACTTCCCTTGGCAGCTTGTGCGCACTGTACTTTGCACTCGCAAGGTTGGCCTCAGGGTCGTCCCTTGCCACTAATCTGAACTCCGGATCAAAGATCTCCTCTTCCGTCTCCGCATCGTCATCATCCGGCACCGGCATCGTCAACAATTCCAGCCACGAGAATAGCAATGGATCGGTGCGTTGTGCCCACGGGTTGATGTCGATTAGCCAGACTTTCTCATGGGGTGGCGGGATGTAGACGTCGAAGACAAAGTCTGGGTCGGGGAAATTGGGGAGGAGGTGGTCTTCGAGGAAGTCCTCGATCTTGGCTTTAAAGGACTCTCGTAGGGTAGACAGAAAATCGAAGTGATTCATCTCGCGCTGTGAGACGGCGATCAAGCGGCGGTCGCGAACGAAGCAGCGGAATTCTAGGGCTGGATTGAGGACGAATGATTTCCGTAGTGCTAGGTGGTAGGGGATGGGTGCTGTGTCGATGCAGCCTTCTAGAGCGTGCTCGAGATCGTGGGTGACGAAGTCGCTAGACTTCAATAGCAGGTAAATATCATTGGCTGACCTGCACTCCATGTCGTTCGTCGTGGCGATCCAGGTGGCGTCTTTCGGGGCGGACCAGTTTAGTTTGGGTACGGCTTTGCCTAGTTCTTTGACTGTGGCGACTATTTCGTCGTGGAGATCTCGCCAGTCGGCGGCGGGGTCCATCTCATCCTCGTCATCCGAGTAGCCGCTGTCATCATCGCGCCGGACGTCTGGTGGGAGGACGATGCCGTCGGCACGGAGATAGTCCAGAAATGGGTCTGTGAGAGGGATGACTCGGGCTTTGGGCGAGACTTGGCGTAGTTTTGGGTACCAAGAGTGGAAGGAGCAGTTGAGAATATGAGTGGCAGTGAGCGGTGGAAATGGTAGGGTCGTTAGAGGACGCTCCGAAGAGTCTGTCGCGGTGGGCATGGTGATTCTTCGGTGATGCTGAATCGTAGGTAGAGAGATGACAGCAAATGCTTGTGGTAGATTTGAATCTCGAAAGTGGATGAGTCATTCTCGGGGCAATTCTTTCGCGGGCTGAGGCGGGAACAACAACGCCCGAAAATCAAGCCCATCCCACCTCTTGATGAGCGTATATATTTGTGTCACTTCAAATTTTGCTTCAACAATCACCACAAGGGCGTCTGGTCTAGTGAGTTCTTCTCAATACCTTTCGCTGCATTCATTCTAACCAGTTCCCAAGTCGGTATGATTCTCCCTTAGCAAAAATAGGTCTTCAAACGACCTAGAAACCTGGGAGCGGTGCCCGGTTCGACTCCGGGGTCGTCCACGAGTTGTTTTCTCTTTTTCTTCTTTCTTTTTGGTCCAGAAACAAGTCCTCAGAGCTGTAAAGAGCCAGGAATGAGGTCGGGGTGAAGGTGGCTAAAACTAGCCGTTTCGTGCTTTTTGCAGCCGCAAGACAGCGTCCGGCCAAGCTTCAAGTCTCACAGGCATCAAAACATGCCCACAGGACCCCGAGCACCGGTTGTGGGTTGGCGGAAATCAGCGTAGCACAATTTTCACCTATGCCAAGACCTGACCGGATATGGTCGCTCAAAGCGGTCATCATGAGATCCGTGCGACACCCCAGACTTTGAATGCATAGATAGGCCATGGGTATACTTTGGAAGGAGGCTGTGGATTCGGAATTTATGGGACAGGGGCAGCTAGCAAGTTCTCGCGATGTTGGTGGCCTACATACCAAAATGCCAAGACCGAAGTACCCGATCGGGAAAGCCCGCGACGGCGACGATCAGGAAGGAGCAGGTCGCCGCGGCTGCCGAAAGTCCTCAAGTACTACATGACTACCTACTGTCCATTCATGCTACGCCTCGTTGACCACTCGCGACCGTTCGAGAAAAACTTGAAGCAGTGGATAATTCCCAAATTTCTCTCGTCCGGAGACTACCTGTACCCTTCGATCTGCGTCCTTCCTATTGACAGCTGCAATTTAAGAAGCACGATGCGGACTTCGTCCCAATTCTCAATTGAGCCGCAGTTGTCGACATCTCTACAGCGCCCGCCCTGGGTAATACTGCTCGATAAGTCATTCCTAGTGTTCAATGCTCAAGGGAGCCTCATCCAAAACCACCGACGTGACCGGTGACAGTATGTTCGCCCTCCAGCGCCCTCCCAGGCTTGCCGCGTTCAACACCAGATGCCGTCTGGCCCACCGCCATTTCTGCCATTCAATCACTGAAAACCTGACGAACAATAATGACCTCGCGTGGATGGCGAAATTGATGAGATGGAGACCGTCGATGAGAACACCTCTCGAATCTTGATGCTGCTAAGGAATTTGCTTGCGTAAGCTTGTCAGCTGAAGGTCTGCAATCTTCGCCTCAGCGGGCTCGTCGACTTGAGTCCCTCGGTAGTGAGCACCGTCACTGCGTCTGCTTATGTTTGGCTTGCTACGTACTCAACCTGAACATGCGGCACTGTGCGACTGCTCGGAATCGACATCGGGGTTTTGGTGCAACGTTCGAGCTAGTTGCGGTCGGGGTTTAGGGATCGTGGCCCCGGTATTGACACCGTTCGTAGGCGCAGGGAGGACTCTGGCAGCACGGGTCCATAATTTGTTCTTCTCTGATGTTGTCGGTTCGAACGTGAACCACATGGAACGGGCGAGTAGCTCAAGTGATGTACGGCTCGGGAACTGCGTGGCGAGGCGTCGATGGCGAGATTCGAGTCCGGCAGAGTCCTCCGAAGCTGTACAACCTTCTGAACGCCGCAGCTTCTCGGGGTATTGATGCGTTGCTCACGGTGAGAGTTTGTGCGTAGCGACGACCTGAAGGCGAAGGAAACTGTCGTCGATCTTGTTGCGCGAGGCGTTTCGCCGATAACCTGCAAGGACGATGATGCGCTTGATTGTCTCAATCACTCGTGTACGCTTTGCAGAATGAGTATGTTCGCATGTGACAAGCTAGCGCTCAGATGCACGTCCCGCCACCATTCTTCCACCTTGAGGATTTCTTCCATGGATCATCCGACACACCTTATGCTTGATATAGCCGAAACGGGTCGCAGTATCGTCGGGGAGGGCACCAGATAAATGATACTGCCATGTAAGTAAGCTTGCCCAGCAGACGCCACCGTGCATTCTTGTTGGTGCCGTCATCAGGCAGCTCGGTTCCACTATCGGAGGCGAGTCGCGTCAACGGCGGTAGCAACTTGAGATTCTCTCAGTAAGTCACGCAGGCCTTGCATTGGTGGCTGAAGCCAGGCAACCACATTCCGTCATTGTGTTTGAGCTGCGTCAACTTCAGCATCACCGCGGCCTCGCCTGTGATACGCGCAACCTCCCCATTGAGTTGAGTGGCGGTGAATGTAGGTCATGGTGCTGTATTCTTCGAAGGGCTGTTCAGACACTAGTTTTGCTCAAAGTTCCATATTCTTCTATCGACGAGGAGGACTCTATGCTGATGAAGTGTGGTCGAATCGGGTCTCAACTTGATCGAGGCGTCAAAGGCTGGAAGAGCTTCTCGATGTGTGGCGAGCACAGTCAGTGTCCCTAGCAGACTCCCCGAATCGCGTTACCATCTCTGAGCAGGCACAACATAAATCCTATACGGATAGTTGCGGTCCACTTCGATTGATGGCGTGTGCGTCGATGTAGGCTGCACGAGGTTGATCTTCCCTACTCTGCGCAGTCGATGGGTGTCTTGCCGAGAAAGGAGATGTCGACCGCATGCTTGGATGTTGTTGTGTCGTAAGCGGTAATCCAAGTAGACGAGGTCGACCCGTGCCACGAGGAAAAGCTGAGACGGACTCCTTGAATCGCAGATGCCAAATTTAAGGCTTCATGTCGTTCGGCTGCCATATGGATAAAAGAGAAGCAGTCGCGATAATCCAACGACCCTTGAGAGATATTGACGCCACGCTCCTAGGTCTGCGGCGTATTGGTGGCGAAATGCTTGATCTGCGCCATGCTCTTTTCTCATCGCTTCGATATCCAAGGTGATAACGACTTTAGCACATGAATATCAGCGGCAGTGTAAGTGCAGTAGCGAAGGCGATAAAAGAATGCTCCGGCTATAAAGTGGATTCCTGGCTGCGAAATGGCTGGCTTGCGGTATGTTCTTCAGATTTTATCACTTCGTTCCATCAGGCTTCAAGCCTCTATCGGCTCTATTGCGTCAATGGATGCGAAAGCGATCGAAGTGTGCTGCGCCAATGAGATAAATGTCGTGCGCCAAACTGGAGATCGTGTGTTATGCCTTCATTGTTGCCTTGCTTTGTTGGGCCTTGAGCCACTATCGGCTCTATCGGGTCAACGAAAGCGAACGCGGCGAGAATGTGCTGCGGCAATTGAGGCGTAGACCTTGCCATAGACTGAAGTCGACGTATCAGGCTCTCACTATCGCCATGCTCCGTCAGGCAGATAAACCTCCATTGCTTTTTCATGCGTCAGCGGAAGCTTTGATAGCGATAGTGGTGAGGATTTGAATGTTGGTCAGGGCGGACGCCGTGCTGTATTCCAGAAATGATGTGCCGTGTCTCGTCATCGCCTTAGTCCATCAGGGCGATAGAGCCACTGTCGGCTTGCCATGCGTCGACGGCAGCTTCGCAAGTTGCGATAGCGAAGGCAATGGGTCTGCAGCATTAATATGGCGAATGCTTTGCTGCAGACCGAAGACGTTGTATCGTGCTCTCATCGTTCTGGTCCATCAAGGCAGATTAAGCCACTATCGGCTTGTCATGCGTAGACGGAAGCTTGCGCAAAGCGAGAGCGAAGGCGGGAAGAATTGCGCAGAGAGAGGGTGTCGATACCTAGAGCTAGCTGGGAACATCGCCTTCCGAAAGCCACTATGATTCTTCTTCCATGATGGCGGTCCACGCTCAACAGAAGCCGAGGTCGGCGCAAATGAGATTGTGTTGTGGTCGCTCAATGTATGAGATCCGGTTTGACTGTGAACAAAGTGGATGAAGAGCAAGTCGAAAAGCTTGGCGTTCTCCTGATTGTGCGTCGAAAATGATAACCTGCTATTGATCGTCAACGCTTGCGGACAACGTTTGGAGGAGAATGTCTTACCTTGGTTGCGGAAAGAACGATCCATGAAGAAACCCGACATGCTGGTCGACGTCGAAATTGTGCGTAGGCCAAATAGTGGAAGGTTCAAGAATCAGAGGCCTCCCAATGTCGAAAGAGCAGCGCATCGTTGGTTACACTGAGTCGGAATTTAGTTCATGACTGGTATCTACCGAAGCAGCAACAGACTGAAGTTAGAGAGCTGTGACTGTAGAGGCCTGGGTTGCCCAAGTCAATGTGACCGGGAGGGCGAGGGGGTTGACCGGCTGGAGAGAAGAAAAAACGATTGCGGGTGGGAGGGAGCTGGGTATTTATAAGTCGACGGCGCCAGGCAGCAGCGAGGAGTGGGGCAACGGCTCCACCGGCTGTCAACGGTGAAGTGGTAATATTGCAATTGACGTGCTGAAGTTCTTGATATTGACGAGGCAACCAGGAGGCGTTCATTCTCCGATAATTCGTCGTCGATCATTGAATAACGAAACTGCGAGCTCAAGCTGAAGGACTTGCCCGAGTCTAATTGGTCGAATGTTCTACAACCTTCCATACTCACTCTTCATGAAGTGCTGAGTTGCAGTGACTGTTAACTAGTTCGCCGCCAAAAAGCGTCCATGGCTAGCCACTGCGAAGACTAGCCCCCAGCGATCGAATGACGCCTCAAACCGAGACGTAGGTCGGCCTTTCTTGCTGCTCCTCCTTTTTCGCCTCTGCCTTCCCTAGGATCGGCAACGAGCTGACCCGCATGCCGGGCCATTCTTTCAAGACCCCTAGCACAAATCTTATCAGAGCGTCAGGATTTATTTGCTCCGAGAAGCTGCCCAGTAATCGATCCGCAGTCTCCGATCGAAGCTGTTGTGTTGTAGTCAAGTAAAGTAAGGAGATCGCCACTGGACACATCGCATATTGACCCCAGAACACGCCAGAAGCCGGATGAAGCAAGACTCCCACCACCTCGGCTATCTTCTTACACAACTCATTCTGCGCGGTCGTCGAAAACGACTCGGTCCACTCGGGTTCAGCTTTCAGCTCGGGCGATGTGAGGCAAGCCACATGCATAATGTTGTTAGTGATGAGTTTCAACGTCCAAAAGCATGACACCAGCTGTGCAGCTACCATGTCTGTTGGGGTCGGCGTGTCGGACAGTCGCGTTCGAAGGTCCTTAAGCTCTTCAGCAGGAAGCTGTTCCTGTTCCCAGGTTTCAAGGTCCTTGCGTACGACAATGTATGCTTTGCGGAGACGCAAGGCGGCGTCAAAGTCGTCATCCCTCGTCCAAAGCTCCAGGTCTTCCATCATAGCTGGGATCTGAATCATTGCATCCAGCATGTAGTCTTTGGCGGTCTTGGGAATGTAGGTCCATGGTATATGAACCCATTCAGGCTCCGCCAGGAAGCATCGTTTCTTGTTCATGAACGACGCAAGCGCCAATTGCACGCGACTATCTGCGAAAAGCTGGTGCGCCCGACCAAACATATACTCCTCAGGACGGCGTCGTGTCATGATAGCTCCTTGGCCCTGGTTGTGACTGTGCCAGCTTCTTGCTCTGGACACGTGGACAGCACGAACCTCATCTAAGCTCCCAAGGAGCTCGTATGCTGCGAGTGCTCTTGAGGCAACAAGCATTGCGTCGTCGGAATCAGTCGGGCTACTGCTCAATGCCGTCCGTACCTCGTCCAACGCATTAGTGTACAGCTGAAGTGATTCGTGAATCATCCATTGCTGCTTCTCCCTTTGCCCAACAACGGTCATACATACTGCCAGCAACGACTTTCTCGCTGCGTCATTGTAGCATGACAACTCCTTCGCGATGTTGATCCAGCTGCCAATCGGATATGGTCCTGCTAGCTTGTTGCCGCAAGGGCTGCCGTTAGGCAGGTAAATGTTCCAGAACAAGCTCAAATACTGTTCCTCATAGGCGGCCAGATTGAACGAGTGTCTTAATGCGACGTTCGGTCTCTCGCGGGCGACAATCACGCCTTTGGCGGTTGCAGTCGTGTTGACGAAGACTATCGGCACCCTGTAGCCGCCGCATTCGATTCCAGCTTTCCGGCACCGGAGACAGATTGGTTGTTCCAGGGAGCACTGGCTCAACGTCAGCTTCACCAACGCTGAAAAGAAGAAGGGACAGACCTTTTTCTTCCTACGCCGACACGTACTACATCCTCTTACCTTACCCGCTGAGTTGACCATCGCGTCGAGAAACCCCGGAGTGGAAAACGCGTCATGAAAGGGCTTCGGGAGAACTTCTTGTCATTTGTGTAGCGCTACCGTCGACGACAGCGGGCAGTCTTCTCAGGTGATGGGGCATATCCGTCCCATATAACAACCTTGGAACGTGGGACTCCAGATATAGTCGCCATCTTGGCCCATGCCTTTCAGAAACACCGGTTGGAACAGAAACGGGTATTTACCCTCCGCTAGACAGACTCTCGTAAGCGAGGCTGCAAGTGCGGAAATCGGCTGGATCTCATCCCTTTTAGGATATGAATCGCGCCATGACAGCAGGTATCGTTGGGGCCACGAAAGCCAAATACATCCTACTTGGCGCCCAGCGGCCTATTCTGAGGCGGACGGGTTCTCTTCGATTAGCTAATGAAGACAATACAGTACCGGTCTGTACCTGAGCTCGGCGAGTCGTACACCATCCTCCTTCTAGACCTCGCTCTCGGCGATTACAGCCAAGGACTTTATGTACGGTGGGAACTTGCCAAAGAGTCGAAGCACCGACACCACACAGACTTCAGCACTTGTCACGTCGGAAGATTCACACCGATGTTGGACTTTGGTTGCCTGAATGCACAGCGGAGCGGCGTGTTGTGCTGGCATGGCTTTTAAGTTTTCTATGTCGATTCGTCCGGGCGGACTTCAGGGGTCGTACGTTTCCAAGTTTTCTCCAACCGCCAACCAAGCGCCTGTTGGTCATCACAATATTCAGAACTGCGCTGAAGATTCCGGAATACTGGCTGTGGCTCACCACGACCATCCGCCCGAAAGACAACTACCCTGCCGTATGACAGCGCATGCGACCTGGCTTGATGTGTCGTTGGCTTCGGGCCATCAGCTTCCAACCGTAGCATCGAGATTCGTGTACAACGTGCGAAGATTCTAACAATGCCTGGCAACGTCGTGCAGGCACGCGGAGCAAACGCTCATGATTCATTGCTTGAGCATATTGCAGGTCTCACAACATTTCGCACGCAGATCGGACTATGGCACTTTCTCTACGCATGGCGAGCAGGACCCTTCATGTTCCGATTAAGGGGGGGCCAAACCAGCTCCGGTATCGTTGGCTCCAAGGACCAGTCCATGCTATCGACCTCCTTTGATACATATTGAATCATCGCCATGTGCTATGCCCACAGCGTCCGCCTCGTGCGGTATTTGTTGGTGTCTAATATTGGGCGTCAATATCTGGCCTGAGCAACACCCATGATCCAGACCCCCCTGTGACTCAATTTCGCCCAATCCCCACAATACCGAATCGAAGAGTATTTCGCGGTGCATCAGCATCCGCAGGGCTTCCACACCTACCGAGCCGGCCTCGGATGAACATTGTTGATTCGCAGTATTTGCACAGATTGTACATTTTTTTGTCGCTATCACCGCAGCTGCGACAGGCAACCGGCCGGTAGTGCTGCGCTGCGCTTTTGGCACCGTTCTTCACCCATTCGAGTCCAAATCATTGGCAAGGGCTGATCCTCCACGTCAGGAAACGACCATCGTATGCCTTGTGTGTATCGCCTGCGCTCAGATGGTCCTGTCATTGGTTTCCCAGGGTCGTGATGGTTCATGGTGAAGTTTGTTTTGTGATTAGATCCTTCGGTGCGATTCAGAACGTGTACGTTACTGGTGTTCCAATGGACTTGGTCACGGTCGGCTTGGGCCTGCGTCCACGAAGCTCCACATCAAGGGCATGAGAGGTGGTCAGGAGGTATGAAAAGAGCTCACCCACGAGGAGATTGAAGCATTCTGCGACATTGGGCAAGTGCCCTATCAATGCGAAGCAATAATGGGCGCTCTTGTCCAGAGCTATTGGCGTCGGTCGGGGAGACTGAAAACACTGTCATGATTCACAAGGAGACCGTCGCACAGACCTGCAGCCAAATGTCAGGAAGATCGTCAACAGCGACGTACGCGAACAATCATGTGCATTCCGAATGGGCACCAAAACCGTGGCTCGGTCATCGAGTCGTTTGCCTAGAGCCAAGCAGCAATACTTGCAATCACAGAGAGTCCACCGCTACATCGAATCGAAGTCGTGAGAGTTCGCGGCAGCCGACCAGAGGGCATCAGTGCTGATTGTGGCATAGGAACAGATGCTACGGATCGACGAGAGTGCGCAGAACGCTCGCAACTGTCGTGTTTGTGCCATTGATGTTATGACATAAATGCGTCAGCCAGACGATGCTGTCTGACTCAGATGCCATGCACGTAGCTGACACCCGAGTCCAGTCTTTCCATCGGGACTTTAGTATTGGTGGGCAGCGAATTTGAGGCGGAACGTCTAGTCCTCACTGCGCTTGCGCAAAGTCGAATCAATGGACCATGCAGAGGCGTTCAAGATCTTTGTCTCTCAAAGCGTTGCGGAGGATCGTGCGTAGTCCATGCAGATGACGCTCGAGCGCAGGACGTTTGATCTAATAATGAGTGCCTCGACCACTGTGCCGTTGCGACTCTGATTTCAAGATAAGCTTCAGGGGTGTCCGAAACAAGTATAGCGTCGGAGCGTGTTCGCCTCGCCAATTTCGATGATTTCTCTGAATCCTCTCAAATCTCTCTGTTCTACAGTGGCGAAATGACGAGCTCCAGTCATCCTCCGAAGCGGGCGACTCGGTCCACAACTGATGAGTGTGTTTGTACTACCCAGCACGGAGCGTTCAACCGAGTAAAATGCATCTGTGCTGGTCTTTGGACTCGCTCTCCCGATCCGAAGTTTTCGGGAAAAGTTGTAGGGGTACGCTGCACAGAATCGTCTGGAACAGGAGCGGCAGAGCCATGCCTTGGACGGTACGCGAAGATCGAAGCATCCACTGACAGGAATTGGCAGCCACTGTCAGCAAGATGTGGCTGTGTACAACACACTGAATCCGTGGTAAGCGACCGCTCCTTTCGCAAAAAACCATCACCACGAATCCCCCGGTTTTGAGACCGTGAATAGCATTTCTTTGGCGCCGAACTTTCCGGTCAACAAATTGATATGTTGGCCCTCCGCCGAACTCATCTCACGATGTTTCCGCCCCGAAAGCTGTTATTTCTGCCGCTCTGCGTGCGATCACTGCAACACAAGCCTTGGATATAGAGAGTAAGCTAATCAGGCAATCTGGTGTGTGGAGTCCTGGGCAGCCACTCAGGGGCCCGCGGCTCGAGATGGAGCCAGAATGCTGACTATATGATTGGACTCCTGATCACCACCACCATCATAAACCCGGGCTAGCAGTGCTGCTCAATTTCCCGTCGTCGTGAGCGGCGAGCGCGCTGATATATCTACTTCCTCTTGCGGGAGGCCGTACCTCTCTTCTTTCTTCTCTTCAGTTTAGTACTCACAGTCAAACTCAGTCACTCGTTGCACAACAGGCTCGCTCGTCGACCGTCCACTCTTTCAACCAAATCCGCGAATAATCCCACCATCCTCTTCAACCTCCCAAAACCAAAACCACCAACCCCAACAAGATCAAAATGAAGTCCGTCATTGCTCTCGCCTTTGCCGCCGGCGCTCTTGCCGTGCCCGCTTGGAGCGACGCCCCAGTCGATGGTGCTACCACCACGACCACGACCACCTCTGCTTCAACTACCTGGGCCGACTACCCAGTGAAGCCAACCACCACCTCCACCACCACCAGCTACGACCCGTGGAAGGATGACCCGCTCAAGGGTAAGACCACCACCACCACTACCACCACGGGCTACACCTGGGCCGACTACACCAGCTCAACCACCAAGCCAGTGAAGGACACCAGCTCCACCACTACCACCTCGCTACGTGGGCTGACTACACCCCAACCGTGACCACCACTGTCACCGACACCATCACCACCTACTGCTCGACCCCCACCGCTTGGGTTCACAAGGGAGTCTCTGACAGCTGCACTGCTGGCGAGTCCAAGACCCTGACCAAGGGCCCCTACACCATCACCATTGAAGTCTCGTACGAGACATCAACTGTCTGCACTGCCAAGCCAACCTCCTCTACCCCTGCTGCCGCTTCTTCCACTGGCAGCTGGGCCGATGTCCCAGTTGATGCTACTGCTGCTTCAAGCAGCTGGGCTGATGTCCCTGTTGCCCGTAAGTCGCTCAGTTGTCTACACAATGAACGATCACTAACATGAGAATAGCTACCGGTACTGCCAAGCCCCCTGTCGCCGCCTACACTGGCTCTGCCTCCAAGATGGCTGGCGGTGCTCTTGCCGGTGTTGCCGCCATTGCTGCTCTTCTCCTGTAAATTCCGGGATCGCCTTGATGGGATGATTTCACGAATGCGCAGATACCACAAACATGTTTGTGTCTTGTAAATACTTGGGGATGGGGTTCCAGGCCAGGACTCGATATGGAAACAGTCAGCATCTGGTCGCGTCTGGGGATGTTCGAATGGTAGTGAACGTGTTCGCAGGTGATCTGGCTGGTCGAGAATGACGCATGGAACCTGGGATTGGAGCTAGTTGTTGATCTGTTAATCAAACATGGTGTCATAAAACTTCAATTCTTCTGCGCTCTGTGATCTGAATGCCGTTGTCCAAGTGAAGATCTTTCGTGCTGGTTGCGACTGGCCGCCGGATCGTCATATGGTGCGTGTACGTGCACCACTTAAGATCATTCTAGATCACGTGCAGTCTCGTCGACTCCCTTTTTCTCGTGTATAGTCTCAATTGTATGAGCTTCCAACTCAGCAATTTATCACACAAAGCACATCGCAAACCACCGCAAGTAATGTCTGCGTTTGTCCAGCTCAGAGAAGTGGTCAAAGTCCGATCACAAAGATTTTGACTGAAACCAAGTGCAAGAATATAAATGCTGTTGGCCACCGAGCTCCCCTTTCCGTCACTGACACTACAGCAAGAACATGACGCACACCACACCGCTAAAGGTCTTTCGGATATGTCCCAAGCCCAGGCCACTCCCATGCAGTCCTGCCCTCCGAGTCGTTGCGTTTCACAACCTTGACTTCATCACCGACACTAAAGACTGCTTGCCTCCCATCAGCCCCTGGGCCCTTCCCAGCGAGGAACCCATACTTTCCAAAGATCGGACTCCATTTGCTTCCCGGATCGACTCTGCGATCCTTCGACAGTGTTGCGAGCAGCTTTCCCGTCTCGCCTTCGGCTACTTTGCCGGTCTTGTAGTCGACATTCAAAGAATTGCAACGCGCACAATTCTGGGTCAGCACAATCTTCGCCTCGTCACCACCAGACTTCGGGCTGAACATCAACTCTGCCCAATAATCCTCCTCGAATGCATCGTCAGCACCTTCGACCACAATGTTCGGCCGGAACTTGGAGATGTCGATGTCCTCTGGATTTTCGAAGCGCTTGGCCGCGTTCGCGTGAGAAGTTGCGCTGACGACAAGGAATGGCGCCACGTCCGAGAAGCCGATACCTTGGTCGATACCATCTTCTCCGTTGCTTACGCCTGCACCGACCATGCTACCACTGACACTGCTTACAGTCGACTTGATCGCGGAAGTCAGCCCACCGAGCCATCCTCCACCACTGGCTGCACCATCCTCGTCTGCAGCGTTCTTCAGCCCGTCATATTGCTTCAACTCGCCCCTTCTCTGCTTTGCGTGCACATCAGGAGCCACATTTCCCAATACCTTCCTCCTGTTCGTCCCTAGGTATAGCAGCTTTACCTCAAACCCAAATCTCTCGGTGAACCACTTGTTGTACTTCTCACCCATATCCCACGCATTTGTAGGCGAATGATGCATCCTAACCTTCACGCTCTCTAGCCTCAACACCTCAACATCCGGCTCGACCGGCACCAGCAAGCTCTCCTTCCCAACTTCCTTGGCCGAGTCCTTGAAGGAGTGAGACTTCCCATAACGCACCTCAATCTGCCTCAGCTCAGAAACCGGCTTCGAAGACTCCGCGTCGGGAATGTGCGTGGTGAATAAGCACATCGATTCGAACCCTGAGACGTGCATGTTGGTGAACAGACCGGTCTTAGGATCGATCTTGGTGGAGACCAGCATGAAGCGCCTATCGAGGGCGAAGCCTAGGGGTGTGGCGGGGAGCGTGGGAAGGGACATGCCGCGGATTGATTTAATGGGGTACGTGTATAGCTGTGGAGTTTGAGCATTCTCTTGTCAGTATTCCATCGTGATATTGGCATGCCGATTCATTGTGTTGGTCTGAGAAGTGGCATCTGAGCCGACAACCCAGGCGGAACTCACCTGCTTGACCTTCAGCCTTGGAGTGCCCGCCTTTGCAGGCTCTGTCGCCGTCATCGTAGTTGTTGCCATGCTGATGTCTTTGCTCCTCGCCACCAGCTTCAAGTATGCGGAATGGGATTGAGCGGGTCAACGATCTGTTCCGTGGGCAGGACTGCTGTCAAATGACTAAAAGTATTTCGGAAAGTGCTTCAGCACGGCTGTACCGACCCACTAGGCCTTGGGAACACTCAGCCAACTTCCTCATCAATACAAAACGAACCAAGGTCTGGTCTTTCATGATGTGGTGTGTCTTCATGGAAGTAAAGTCTATCCATCCCTCGGCTCCCACAATTTCGTGGGGTAATCTTAAAGGCTTTCGATGAGCCGGTAGTCCGCGGCAAGGACTCCCGTCCGCATACAGCATACCCATTACTACTACTGGTCTTCTTGTGCTCCTTTATCGTCGACCGCCGGCGCGACTTGAAACCTTTCCACCGTATTCGAGCCCTCGAACCTAGAGCACACACCAATAACATCTGAGGCGCTATCAGTATCTACTATCATTATGGTCTATGACTTTGCACGAGTTGTCTTGTCCTCCTCTGAGTGCCTGCACGTCTTTCCCTCAGGCATCTCCACTAGAGTTACGCTGCTCAGCCACATTCTCCAGCTCCTCCTTCACATTAGTCTCGTCGCTCATGACCCAACACATGACCCTCCAGAATCCCACAAAGAACTCCGCCCGCTCCCCTACACTCAGGAGGTCGTAGTACTTGGAGCGCTTCAGCTGGAGGATGTCTGATTCTGTGACGTCCCGACTCTTTTTCTGCTTCGTGGGCGGACCATTCTTCTGCAATGCAGGGTCATTGTGCTCCGTCGTTGATGTGCTTGGATGACTATGGGATGCTTCTGGACTCCCAGTCTCCAGCCAGTGCAGATACCGCTTGCTGACTCGAATTTTGAGGAGGGCGACGTGATGGTTGACGCAGGAAAGCTGGAAAAATTCGTCGAAGTCGTCGGCAACGTAACGTTCACGTTCTTGGTCGCCGAAAGCCGTGGGCGCAGGTGTTGCCGGCTTAGTGTCTGCTGCCGGCGATCCGCCGACAATGCCGTCCGCTGTGTCCTTATGCTCATCCGCAGCCGTATCTTTCATCGCCTCCGGACAGCCAATTCGTCTCCAAACGACTCTCTCATCCCAAGAACTCACGTTCGGCTTGACAATCTTCCATTGCTGAAACCACTTCCTCCTCATCGGTGCTGTATACATGAGTCTTCGTCCATCTTTGAACTCGCCTTCCTCTTTCCGCTTGGTCTCCGCTGTACGACTAGCGCTGATACTCTGTCTAGGCATGATTCTGGTCGTTGTCATTGCCGGGTTCGATGGCCCGTTCCTGAGCTGCTGTGAGTAGAGCGAATGAGACGAAGACGTTTCGCTTGGAGATGTGGGCGTTGGTGGGGTGGCGTCGCCAATCCCGTCGACCGTGTTCGCAGGAGTTTGTGAGTCGTTGTAGGCGGCTAGCGAGGATGTGTTTGTAGAGCTCGACGTCTTCTCAGTGGCGTTGTCCGAGCTCGAGACCGGTACTGTCAAGCGATTCTTCTTCTTCGGCGGCTTCTCGTCGTTCTCAGCCCCCGGGGTTGCACCAATCGCATTCTCGGTCGGGGTCAACGTTGAGATGCGGCTTGAAATTTGCTCGGCCGACAAGCCCGTTGGTGGGTTTGCACCGTCTGAACCACCAGATAGAGAGGCGGCCTTCTCACTTTTGGCGATCATGTCCTCAACGCTCAGTCGATCGTTCCCCTTAGCAATCTCGTCGATCTTCCTCATCTCATCTTGAGCCTTGTCCCGCTTCTCCGTCTGCAATCTGAACTCCTCTGGACTCCAGCTTGGATCTTCGTCCTCGAAGACCTCATTCGCAAGCATACCCCATTTCATCTCACCGCCACCCCATCGTGGATTTCGAGCCCACCACCAGTCCTGAGTGACGCGGTCGTGCTCGGAATCCTTCTTCTTTCCCTCACGATTACGCTGCAAAGCTGTCGCCAATGCCGCGCCAGTCTCGCGAAGCAGGTCGACCTCTGCGCCCAAACAGTCGCCAACTTCGGCCTTCTCCCGAGTCTTCATGAGATCGCTATACAGCTTATCGTTGAAGACGCTTTCGTGCCGGATGCTGACGCTCATCACAGGTCCTTCAACATATCTAGCTCGAGCAAGCGCGCGATCAGTAGGGACCTTTCCTATCATGAAGTGATACATCACAAGACCTTGAGGTAAATTCACATCTCTGATCCGAAGACGCTCTTTCATCGAGATGTCGTAATCACGACAGTTGAACTTGTGAATGACCATCTTCAGAAGATTGCGTACCAACCCGTTTCGAGTCGCTGAAGGGACTTGTGCTGCATTTCCAAGACGATGGCCTTTGTACATGGGCGTCGTTTTCTTTGCCGTAGAGTTTGCGATGTCAGACATCTTGGAGTCTCCATCGGCATCCGTATCGTCATCTGTGGCATCGAAGTAGTTGTCCTCCGACGAGTCCATGTATCGAGACATATCCTCTAAGCTCCCATAGAAGTTGCGTGAGTATGTAATGCGTGGTTTCGAACGACCTTCCTTCGGCACTTGTCGAAGTACTTCCCGGAACGCATCTTCATTCTCTATTCCGATCTCTGCGAGCAGATCCTCGAATTCGGCATCATAGGGATATGGCCGGTTTGACAAGAAGTCAGCAGGGACCAGATCATCTATTGGCACATCAGGAATAAGGTGCAAATTGAGCAGCTCGATGACAGCCTCATTGTTGTCCGTAGGTCGCCTCAAGCGAGTATGGCCTGCCGTAGAGCCGACATGCGTTTTCGGCTGAGTGGCCTTGGCTGGCACTTGGGAACATGATTCGGGAAGTCCAGCGGCAGAGGTCGTGGTGGCGGCGCTCGTGCTTTGTCGAGAGCATTGCCAGTTGGGATCGATGCTGTGTTGTCATAGTCAGCCACATACGGATGCGGGAAAGGGTATGGTGATGCCGGAGGAGTATGTGGCAAAGAGATGACAGGCTTGGGCAGCGGAGAGGGCAATTGGAACGAGCGATCTTCCTGAAGCGACAGTGACAAGAACAGTCCAAGGCCAAACTCCATGACTGCCTGGAGCAGCCTCGACTGCCGGCACCCATGACTCTGCCTTATGAGAGACTGTTAAGTCGCGCATTGTTCTTGATGACGGAACAATCATAGCCTTGTGAAACAACTCGAGGTTCTTCGTCAGGTTGAACGCACGGCCTTCCGACTCTTTGGTAATTTCGGCGAACCGTTGCCGAACGATCTGAGGACGTTTGAGGAGATATGAAACAGTATATGACTTACCAAGGCCTCCCCATAGTCCGGCACCGCTTCCGAACATGACCACGCTGTGACGAATTTGGGCGGGAGAGGTGCTCCGGACGGTGGTGAGGGGGTTCAAGTGCCTTGCCTGCGTCGCATTTGATTGATGCGCGACGTAGCTGATTCAGTCGCTCATGGTGGTTAGGTAGAGTTTGAGTCAACCACGAATCTATGGTATCGCAGTTGAGGTCGACATCGTTCGTCCCTTGAGCTCCTATGATGTCTGCTTGACGACAGTGGCGGTGACGAGCATCAGTTCATCTGTGTTGACTGTGTGCTTATGGCTCGTGATAGTGGTCGGATCTGTTCTGCCCGGCCTGTGATCTTTCGCGAATGAGCACGCGACAAAGGTGCTCGTAAATAGTCTTTGTACAAGCATCCGAGGAAATATCGGCAGTGCGAAGCGTTATAGACAGAAATGCAAGCATTAAACGGTCAACGTCACTCCCTGAACATCTGAACCTGCATACTATGCAGGGGATGATGCGCTGGCTGGTAGAAGTGATGGTAGCCAAGGTCAGCTCAAGGACTAGTATTTTGCCGGCATGAAAAATACGGATGCAGTGTGACCCTTCCGGCATTGATCCTAAGCTTGACGATAGGCAAGCGCTCGAGCTACGACTTTGATGATCGCCCTTTTCTGGACTCCAGTCATCGGTAAATGACAATGAATGTACTCGAGAGATTGATCATGCTACAGCAGATCGATGAGGGGCGTTGGCAATAGTGGGCTGGCAAGTGTCACTCGCCTAACGAGGTGGCGCTTAACGGCTAATCATAGACCGCCTTCTGGGCATTGCTGTCTCTGGTCACAACTGAGCTGTGCGAAGGAGGCCGACCTCAAGGGCCGAGCAAACACAACGCATTAAATTGACTTGAATCAAACGAGCCTGCTGGAAGTTGTGACATTCGCATGGCTTTGCTTGAAAATTGTGCAAAAATCTTGTCCTCATCGTGATCAGAAGCTAGAGACATGACAGCTCTCGAATCCAAAAGGATCACATCGCTCTCGTGCTTCAACTGCAGCTGCGGCCATGGGTCGTCGAAACCGTTCACAACAACACATGCTGTCTGCACGTCTCGTGCTTAGCTTGAAAGAAGATCCAGATTTGCAACTCTGCAGAGCCATTTGGCGCAATCCGTAGAAGCACCGCATACCGACATCATCGCGAACAACCCCGTAGACATCTACTCCTTGGTCTCCTCTTCCTCACCAGCAAGAGCATTGCGCTTCTGGGTAACACGCTCCTGTCGTCTCTCACGAGCAGCCTTGGTCTTCGCACGCTTGGCATCCATCTCCTCCTTGAGGATTCTCTCACGTTGCTTCTCGGCCTTGGCCTTGTGGATCTGTGATCATGTGTTAGAAGTTGGTATATTCTGATTGTGATAGCAGCCAAGCTTACGTGTTCAACGAGAGCGCGCTTGTGCTTGAAGGTGTTACCCTTCGAGAGTTGGTAGAGTTCGTGATAGAGGTGTTTGTCGATCTTGCCAGCGGCACGGTACTTGACCAACAACCGACGGAGGACTCTTAGACGTCTCATCCATAGAACCTGACTGTACATCTATCCGTCAGCAAGAATTCATCCTCTCGGGCGTTCTGTCACGACTTACGCAGGCATTCTAGCATCTGCAGTACCCTTTCTCTTACCATATCCTCGATGTCTGCCGATTCGTCGGGCTTGGTTGAGGGCTCTGGCGCGGGCGCGGGAGTGCATAGCAACGGGCTTGCGAATGATAAGGCCATCGCTGACGAGCTTGCGGATAGTCTGTCGGGAGTTGGCGTTCGAGATCTCGTTGACCTCGTTGGGGTCCAGCCAGATCTTGCGCTTGCCGCAGCCGACGACGGACGCCGCCAGGCGCTTCTGAGTACGGAGATTGACCCTATTTTCCAAGTACAATCAGCATTGAGGCCGTCGTGAAGGTCGTGGACGTCATGACGCCGAGGAGGTCTTCGATGGGGGTCTCGATGATATTGGACTTGCTGCGAAGGTGTCCTGTGATCAGGAATATGGTATAGCACTTACATCTTACTGAATCTCGGAAGAGATTGATGGTCGGGTTGTCGATGAACTAGAGATGGATGACCGGTCTACCGCAAGGTGGTCGTGGCCAAGAGTCAGTCGAGATTTCCGCAGGTGCGGCCTGTGTGCCAAGCAAAATTGAAATCACGTGCTTGCTATCTTCTTCAAATTATTACCCCGCATCCGCATCGCATCACATCAAGACCATCTCGAAAGATTCCCGCACTGAGACCAGACGCCTTCCTGACTGGGGGGTCAACATAGCAACTAGCTTGTGTTCCTCGTCTGCACAGATCGTCTCCTTTTGGCTTAGGGCTAATATTGGCTGCCATAGTTGAGCAATTCATCATAGCTTGAGTACGACCATCAAGGTTGTCTTGCCAGGCACTTACGGCAGATGCCAACAAGTACCTCTCTTCTCACACGTAGCATCAGGGAGAACTTTGGAAGGTTCGTTTCGACCGTTTCAACCATTTCTACGCACGAACGTGTAGGAGCAGATTGCACCAAAATGACATCGTTTTTGTCTATCCGAAGACGAACTGCCGGCTCAAACATCCCTTGCTTCCTCAGTCGTTCCTTATCCTCGAGGGACAATGCGCCTTGTCTCGGAAGCGACCTGGAACTGAGATCCCGAAGCAAGGGAAACCGTAGGCTTCATCATCAAACAAGTTCAACGCTTCCGGTGCAGGTTTGCCAGTCATACATCTTCTTTTTCAGAAGAGTCATTACTTCCGTGTATTCGTGAGAGCCATTTCCATCCTCCCTTTACCGTTTCACAATTGTCGTGTCTCATGCGGCGCTCCTGAAGTTCGTAGAATTGCAAAAGCAGAAGAGAACATGAAGGGCCTGTAGCTCGTTCCACGCAAATTCGGAGGGCGTCGACTTGTCAGCGTACAGGCCGATCCGCACAACGCTCGCCTCCAGGTGTTCCGTCTGCCCGCGCATCCTCGTTTATCCCGCATTTCCATCCCATCCTCGCTCCTGCGAACTAAAAAGATTCGTGTCATTAGGTCGTTAAAATCAGTTTTTGGTCACCGTGTGGCTTTCTCACACAGGAGCGTAAAATCTTATCGTGTCGTGAAGTGGCGCCCCTTGATCTTCAAGTCTTTTCAAAATTTTCACGGGCATTATTTGATGTTGTTTCATCAGTCGTCATGGCGGTCTGCGTCGAAGGTGGGGAGCGCAGTGATGATGCTGGCCGCTAGCGTTGGCCACCGCCGCTCTTGATAGCTTGCATGTGAGGAGGTGCATTGAGCGCCATACCGAAACTTTCTTGGCGCATTGGTCCGGTCTTTTGTCGTTTGTAGTCATAATCTCGGCTGTCTGGTCGGTCTTGGTCGTCATCTTCCCGTCCACGTTTCATGCCCCCACCAGAATAGGCAGAGCTGGGATAGTTGCCATCTGAGCTCGGACCATTCGAACTAGTGCCGTTGCCGACAACGTTGTAAACGTTGCTCGAGCTGTTGCCACGGGGCGGAGTGCGATAATCTTGCCCAGGCCAGCCAGCTTGCGTGGGAGCCATGGTTCGAGGAGTGCCGCGACCAGAGACCGTCTGGTGAGGCGAGCCAGTGACTTCTGGAGACAGATGATGCTCAGTGGTTGGGTTGTAGCTGTAAGCTCGTGGCGCTCCATAGGCAGAAGGATAGCCGTTCTCGGCATGGGAACCTTCGTGGTGTTCTGAACCGTGGCTGGCATCGTGCGGCTCAAGAGGCGCGGAGGGCACCGTTGGCGGACCCATCTCACTCTTTGTGTACGAGGAAGGGTGTCCATATCGAGCGTCCGGGTGCGGTGGATAGCCAGAGGCGGAGCCAGGAGTGGTGTTGTAGGGAGGCTTGCTATCATACCCTGCTTGGCCTTGGTAGCCTTGCATGTTCGCCTGGGTCTGAGTTGGTGGCGTGGTTGCTGGTGTTGTTGGCATAGATCGTGCATTGATTCCGGTATCGATCGACAGCGGCTGTGCTCCGTTCACACCGTTGGCCATATGTTGCGGCCCCCATTCGTAACTGCTACCAGTGCTACCCATACCCATGACACTCGAAGCACTAGTTGGCGGAGTGGGAAAAGTGTGAGCACGGTCAATACCTGGTCTACCAGCACCGTTCGCCGCCAAGGAGTGTGGTGTTGGAGGCGCCTGCGATGGCATGGATCCGGACATCGAATGATGATGGTGAAGTGAAGGCGCACTGCCACCAGACGATGGGGGACGTCCGCCATCTATGCTGTCCATACGTCGACGCTCCGTCGTTGCGGCTACTACGGCATTAGTTCGCGGCGCATTTTCTGGATTGTACAGTAGGCCACCGATGTTGTGTACAAAGAGTGGGTACAAGATGTCGGTGATCTTTTCACGATTCGCAAAATCCAGAGCTCTGTCGAAAGGGATCCTGCAAACATCAGCAAAGTGAACAAGCAGCCAGTCGGTAAACTAACCAAACACCCTTCAAGTGCATTGGCCCAATCTTCACCACATGTCTCGTCTTTTCTGACTTCAATATACCGTCTCTCCGACCCCTGGTCATGCCAGCAACGTTCAGAAGCTTTGTCCCATTGATGAAATGATTGTCTGATCGTTGTCAACCAGTATCACTGCCTTCAGATGTAGTTCTTACCTTCTCTTCGCGCCACACAAACGCCCTTCGCCTCGACTTGAAAGCATAGACTTCCTTCGTCTTCCCACAATGTTGCGGTCACACGCGGCTTCATCCCCGGAGGTGGATTTTGGCCAGTAGAATCGAACGGCACATTGGAGGGATAGGCTTGGGGAGGGGGTGCACTTTGTGGAGGGAATGCCTGTGGCCCGCCCATACCTGGGCCCATTGCTGTGGCATGGTTAGCTACGTGTCATGGATGACCCTGGATATCATGCTTACCGGGCAGACTAAGGCCATTGTGGTGTCCCATAGGACCTCCAGCAGATTGAGGCGAGGTAACGCCATTGTGATAGGGATAACTGTACGGCTGCGACGGTGCGTAGTGGGCAGGCCCTGGCGGCATCACAGGTTGATGTTGATATTGCTGCGGATATTGCATGGGCGCTGGTGCCGAATGCGAGTAAGACGGTGCAGATGACATATGCGGTGCGCCATGCATGTCCATGTGTGGCTGACCGTAATTCATCGCTCCTGGGGTGTCCTATTCGTGCACCGCTGGCCTCAATGCAGACTGTTCGGCGCGCCGATAAGAACAAGATCTTACAATTCAGCTAGCCTCCCACTGTACAGTGCTCAATCGTGGGCTCTGGTAAGAGCGAATATGATTGACAGATCCTTGAACTTCTTTCTAGAACGTGAAATCGTACGCTTTCGTGACGTCGTTATAGTTGCCAATGAGTGGCAGCTACCGTTCGTGATGCGCTAGTCCAGCAAGCGCGGGCACCTGCCGACGAAGAATTTGGCACGGAAAGCCGCTGTATCAACCTGGTCTGGACTTGTTCTTGAGACTCTGTGGCGGTCCTGGGCCTCTCGCGAAGCAATCCGACCAGATACAACGCGGACACCACTCGTACTGAGTAGAAGGTTCGTCAGCGAAAGGTACAAGCATGGTTGAGTGGTTGGCGTGGTTTGAAGCACGTCTGAGCGGGCAAGCCGAATCCATGCGATGATGATCCGCGGTTGTCGTGGATACAAAAGCAGCGTCTTAGAAACAATGCCGCCAGTTTTGTGACTTGAAGTCTTCTATATGGATGCATTTGTTGTGCGTTGCTGTGGAAGGTATCATTGAGTGGGAAGAACTTACCAAGGACTGCGATAATTGTGTGCGACTTCCCTGGAGCGGTGCAGTTCTTGCTTCCCAGCGAGGCAACCACGATCTCAGCTAGCACACCTCTCCGCCCAGATAAATGCTCAACGTCTCAGATGGCTGATATCATCCAGAGACCGCGCGTCAATTATTGGACGTAAGAGGATTCAAGCAGTGAGAACAGACTGCAGTAAGGCAGCAAGGCAAGATAGTAGGCAGGTTGCTTGCAGAAATGCAAGATGCGCAGTAGCCGAAGCGGGAGGGCCAGAGCTGCATTAGACAGATTCTAAGAGGAACTCATGGGAGGACTGCATTATGAATAATGGAGAAGCTGGGAGTCCAGAGGTGACTGGGTAGTGGGCGCCCTCTTCCTCTGCTGGACAAGGGTCCGGGAGGAGAAGACACGATCGGGGTTACTTTGGAGGGGCCAGAGCCTGAGCTGGGCCGCGAAAACTGGTGAGAACAGGCTAGAGAAGCATCATAGCGTAAAGACGACTTCGCCAGCAGCCGATTTGCAGACTTGAGGGTGGATCTACACGGAATGGAGTGCAAAGAGTTCCTCCCAGGATCGCTTCTGGTCTAGAGCAGAGGCCGATGGCGCCCATTAACAGGTCGTCCGGCAAGCCTGGTGGACCTGGTACCCCGGTCACTGTACGAGGGAACCTCACTCCGGCGGCGTTATGGTCTCTGACGCCCCGACGATACTGACCTGCCTTATCAGAAGTATACCTATCGACGTCTTTGTCACACCATCACCGTATCCAACAGAGTGGTCGGTATGAGACGGTGTTCCCAGATATTGTCAACGAGCTGGAGGAAGGGGTATGCGTCGAATGGCATCTTTGTACGAACGGAGGGACCTCGATTCAGGTATACTTAAGCTCTCGCAGGCTATCGTGCCTTATGATCTGAAGCTTCATCGATACCTGATATCCTTCCTGGTTCAATGCCAGACTAAGCAGTATAGCTACCACAGCGGGACTACCAGTCACCCAGCCACACGAATGTCCATATACGTGTGTTGTATATGTTCAGATAATTGCGGCGAGGACGAAGTCGATGAACCGGGCTGCTCCCCAAGCCCCCACCCTCAACGCTTGTCATTGGCAAGATTCTCCAAGCCACAGTGGGAGCCTTTTGCCAGACGAGCGAGTCGAGGTCCTCGAGGACCGTGCTTTTCTTTACTAGTGCACCCTCCTCCCCGAGTGTAAGGCAATACCTCTCGTTTCACGGGCGGCTATTCATGATGGCGAGCTGAGTGTGCTTTTCTGCTTAACTTCAAACATTAGCATCAACCATCAGACTCAGTCCTTGCATACAATGCGTGTGGTAAACCACCGGGAGTCCTCCTCAGCCGCAGGATCTTGGTATCTGGCCGATCCTTGTCGACAATGGAGAATCACACGTGTGGAACAATGGCTTCCCAAGGGAGATCCTCATCATTCATTTGATTCATCAGTCCGGCCTGCCAGTTGTAAAACTGACCGCCTCAGGTCTCAGGATCAAAAGCAAGCTCCGTCATGCAAGGCAATACCAAGTTTTGCCTTCTGTCACACAGGGAGCTCGGAATTCTCAATCCTGTGGCACTGCCAATCCTTCCCGTCCCGCTCTGAAGAGCTGGAGCTGTTTTGCGGTACCGTCGGGAAGTCAAGGGCCAATTCTTTGGAACGTAGCCACTTGACCGTGTTGGAAGATTTGATCAACGCATCAGAAGACTCACTTTATTTCTTGTTGTATCAACACGGAGCCCCCACCTATATGTTATTGACGTGGCAGATCCGACGGCATTGGCAGCCAAAGCCCACAGTCGTCAAACTTGACAGATGTCGGTTTCTGTCTCCTTAGTTTCCGCCTCCCTTCAGTGCCACATGCAAGAAATCCAACGGCAGCAGCTGCCTGCCGTTGCGTGACTGCTGCACTATTGGCACCGACTCCTCTTGCCTTACCAGCATATGCTTGAATGTTTGACATACGTTTCCTGATACGGAGCCAAGACATTGAACATCGCAGCTTCCATCAACAGCGAGATCAACAGTCTCGTTAATGAGATCAACCCATCAAGACCTCGATCATTTTACCTGGAGCACATTAACGTAATATCTGTGCCCCCACGCGCGCATATCTGGCTTTTGCAAGTGGCGAGGAAGAAGTAGCCAAGAATCACGGCGGACAATGCGCCGATTCACGAGTCAGAGGCGGCGCTTATGTTCAACTTCGATTTGCCAGTAGTAGCAATCGATGCCATACTATACACGACGGGCAACGACGACAGCTCGGTGGAACTGGCATGTTGTCTGCTAACGTTCCTGCAGATCATCCATTACTCGTGTACCTGACATGATTCCTTCGGAGTCGCCTTGACGCTGACATACGAACCCCGCCTCGGGTTTAGCAAACCCTCTCAACAGAAGCGGCTAGCAAGTTCATTTGAAAGACAAGAGTCACAAGACTCTTGCCATCTTGTCCAATATCGCAACACTTCAAATGGATGGCTGGGCTATCCTAGTGATCATGGCATTGAGCATGCACGTCATGAAACGGTGACTTTTGCCACGAGTGGCTTGACATGGTGCCATTCCCAGCCCCAAGGTTTTGTGACACTGATAGTGAGTCCACTACAGATGGTGGAAGTTGGTGGTCTGACTACAAGTCGACATCAACAATTCATTCTTCTGGAGGCCTTCTGAAGGCATCTGTTCAGAAGTGCAGGGCGTTTGCTATACTGAATCACTGATCGTCGTCCGCTGGGCCTGGATCGGCTAAGATATCCAGCCTGCGAAGTACTTTTGCCTCGGCCCTACAGCACTCCGCTCGGGGAGCGATAAGCAAAAAGCTCTGCCGTGCGTGCATGCATAGTATAGGACTTTTCGACTCCGCATGCCGGGTACCATTATACGCACAGGCACATAGGTCTCTATACAGCGATGATAACTGCAGCAATGCTCGACACGCACCTGCAAAAGAGTTGAACGACGTTGAAATACACTCCTGACCCAGTCTCATGTACCTTTCATGCCGAGTGAGATCTCTCAGGCTCTTGCATCCGCCATGCATGCAGGGCCCGGGCAGCAGTTCGTGTGATGCCGGTTCCTGCCTGATGTACATTAGAGTCGCATTGCATGGAGCAACTCCTACCCCCAAGAGTCCAAGACGACGCACATGCAAGATTCGTCCTGCAGTGAGAGTAATTCTCCTTGAGCAAGCGATGCACACGGAAAAGCTTCTGGCAACGTAGAAGGAGTTCGCAGTCCACAGAGGCAAGGAACCACCATCTGCGTGAAAGAGCGGTGTGGTTTTCAGCCAAAACCCACTCGGCTCGCTTGGGAAGACTCAAGTTACTAGTGGTTACATGACAGAACGCTTCTCTGGTGTGATGTGTAACCAGACTGGCTTTCCTCTTGCGCGATGCCCCCCGACCGTGTCTCCATCCTGAGAACGGGCTGGGTTCGCTTGCGCCGGAGTTGTCAGCACTTTTCTCCTCTTTCAATCATGATAGAGGGGCTGGTTGGTTATTGGCAACAACGATGTCCACGTTTAACGAAAACCAGCGCCAGGACGAGCCGCCGGTCCCGCTTCTTGAAGTCTTGTCTGCGCCAACGCCTGCGCGATCGCGGGCGCTCATAGGCGATCTAGGACCCCGCTTGCTTCAGGTGGCTTCTTGCTCCATCCCTGCTGCTGTGTTGGCATGGCGGGATTGGTCGCGATTACTTCAAGCTGCTCCTCTTCTGAGAAACCATGAGCAGCGAGTTGTCTTTAAGCAATCGTTCGATGAAGGTGGTTCTACGTGACTTGTTGACTGGAAAGATCGGTGGTCCACTAGGGCGCTGACCGGTCGGTCGCTGTGGTAGAGACCGCAAGTCGCGCTCTGCCGAAGGCACTGAGAGCTGGAGGCCGATTCACTGTCGACGAATTTTCAAAGAATTTCAGTGCTTGTCGATCGACGCAGTCCATCTACAGAGTTACTCCCTACCTCTTGCGTCTCGTATGCAGACCGACCAGGTACGTACCCATCATTGTGATTCCGAGACATGATTAGACAGTCTTACGGGAAGCTACTGGACAGGGCTGATTGCTGCACGATGTTTTGCATGAAAATCTTCTCTGGAACGCATGGCTTCGGGCCTTGTCATTCGTCCTTCGCTTCTGAAGCCCGATGAACACAATCTCCAAAATGCGGTTCCCAACCGGCAGCCGTCTAAGGATACGGGTCTGAATTGTGGGCTTCTCACGGGAAATGTCGTGTCACGTCCGTCGATTGGTCTGATCCCGTGTGGTGGCCTTGCAGTGATCCTTGATTCTTGTACATGTCTTTGGGCACTCGCGTCGCCTTGCATGAGGGATCTGGCAGCTGCTGCTGATGTATCGAAATTGTGCAGTGTGGAAATCACCCCTGATGTCCTTGCATCGACGAAACTCCAGCGCTGCTTAGTCTTTTGATGAGGTTTTCATCTTCTGGGCTTGATTGGCTTACAGATCGATAACGTCGACTCAGGAGGCCTCGAAGCTGTTTCCGAAGAATCTTGATTGCAAGTAAATGCTTCCAGTCAGCCACAGATAGGCGGATGCGGCCATCGATGACGATAGCTCCACTGAACAGATTGATGTCAACGTCGGAGCCCAAGAACAACGACAGTGCCATTTCTGGGATACGTGACGCCTCCTGGATCGCGATTGTGTTTCCGGCCTTCAATCTCATGGCTTCTGAGAAGGATAACCATTGAGGAGGTTTTGGCATTGCCCGAATGACAGATCCGCTTGCTGGTGTAGCTTGTTGATTTGAGAAACAATTGCGATAGCCTTTGCCTTCACTGACCAGAACGCGGGGATAGAGGGATGTTGCGAGCAGGGAGAGAAGCAGATCGTCGCTTACGCTGGTGTTGTACCGGTCTGGGATGGAGTAGGACGTGCGGTGCCTATTGTTGGATCGGGCGTTGCTGAGCATTCTCTTCTCCTCCTCATTCAATTCCACGACACCGCCGTCAACAAGGTACACAAGGAGCTGGATTTTGCCTTCGTCGATCTCTGGAAGATTTACCAGATGGTGCTTGCGAGCAAATTGAGGACCCTGCCCCGCCGCTGAAGCTCGCTGCCAGCTTTCGAATGCATTCAGAGCACTCAATTGGTCCGATCCGCTCCGGAGAAAAGCGGCTTTGCCATCACCTTTTGCCGAGAATATACTCTTGGATGTCATCAACGAGATGATGGTCAACACGGGCTCGAGGCATCCGAATATGGTGCCGAAAATCGCCAGCTTCGCAAGCGAGACGTCCAACGGCAGACCTGATACCTTCTCCCCAAGAGGCGTCAAACGCTCGGATCTATCAAGCGCTCCAGCCTCCTTGAGCCTCTCGATGGCTCTGTGAACGTTCTTGCTTGACGGAGGGTCGATAGCTGCTGCCAATGTCTCCTCAATAGCAGCGTCTGCGTCCCACACCTTGATCCGCATTATTGAGTCCTGTAAGCTCAATCTCAGCATTTCTGGGACCTGCTGCTCGAGGAACAGGTTGTCGTGACGATGCTTCGTGACCAGATGAAAACAAAGACCTTCCTGGACACGAGCAGCGCGACCGCGTCGTTGCTTGGCGCTGCTTTTAGCAATGAAGCCTTCTGTCAGCCGACTGAGCTGGCGTCGCTCATCGAATCTCATGATCTTCTCTTTGCAGGTATCGATCACAGCCGTCACATCTGGGATGGTAATGCCAGTCTCTGCAATGTTGGTCGCGATAACAATCTTTCTGCGTCCTGGTGGAGGTATGACGAATGCGCCTTCCAGGTCCTCAGTTGAGAAAGACGAATGCAACATATGGATGTCCCACTTCTGTGCGAAGGTCGGATGCGAGAGCAGCGCGCTGTTCAGGCGCCTGATCTCCGCAATACCTGGCATGAATACGAGGATGGCCTTGCTGAACTTGATGAAAGCATTTTCTGTGGCAATGGCGACGGCCAGCCGGACAATGAGGTCGTAGTTGATCTTGTACTCGTCTATCTCGGCCAGACGTCGAATGGTCTGGATGCTGTAGCCCTTCAAGGAGTCTCGATCGGTGCTTTTCTTAGTCTCGTGCTCATCTGTATCGATATCCTCCTCGACGTGATTTGATCGATCCCCGCCCATGCTTATGATCTTGTTAGTACATTCTAATGCATCTTCCAAGTATTGTATTGTTACAGGATATGTCCGACCCTCGATGTCCAGAACGGGTGCGCCACCAAAATAGTCAGAGAATTGTTTGGCGTTCACCGTGGCAGACATGAGGATGATTTTGAGGCTCGGACGCAGACGCTGCAGCTGCCGTAATGCGATGAATGCAAGGTCCATCTCCATGCTCCGCTCGTGGACCTCGTCGAGAATGAGATAGTCCAACTGCTCAAGCGTTGGCGAGGTCTCGAGCATGCGTAGCAAGACACCCGTCGTTGCGAAGGTCAACCTCGTTGCTTCGCTCGTCTTGCTCTCGAGGCGAATGGCATACCCAACGAGTGAGCGCAAGGTACCAAGATCTCCTCGACCTTCTCCGATCTCCTGAGAGACCCGACGAGCCAGAGAAATGGCAGAGATGCGCCTCGGCTGAGTGACCAGAATATGACAGTCGTTGCCAGCCATCAGCTGTTGCTCGAGGATATAGCTACCAGCTTGCGTTGATTTACCACTTCCTGTCTCGGCGCAGACGACGACTACTGGGTTGTTGGCGATCGTGTCCAGTATGGTCTCTTTGTGACGGTAGATCGGCAGCTGGGCACGGACTTCGAGCATTTTCTTGAAGGCGACTCGTGACGCTCTAGCAGTCCAAGCTCCTCGAGCCTCTTCTGGATTCAGGCATTGCAACGGAGGTCGTTCGCGTCGACGCGGAGCAGGCGCAGCAGGTCTGTGGGGCAGTTGCGACAACGTGGGCTGTGAGTTATCGTCGTTGGTGTCTCTGACAGACTGGATGATCTCGCGGATCTGGCGAAGCGTATCTTTCTCATCTTGCTGGCTCAATCTCGTACGGCTACCTTTCAACTCGGCGAAGAGAGTTGGCCAAGGACTCGGCAGACGCTTCAATGCTTTCTCATCTTGCTCTGGAAGGCTTGACAACAGGAATAGCGTCAAAGCTGACACAAAGTCTGCGGATGATGTAGCGGAAGTTGTAGCTATCGTCCTCATCTCGATCTGCACTGGTATGTGCCAACCTCAGTAACTATGCCCTCTAGGATCGCTTTGACTGCGTAACTGTCTGGCACTAAGGGTCTGGACCACTGACAAATAATACGATGCCGGACAGAATGCGTCGTCTGGTGAAGACTCGTGTACTTGATCACTGACTTTGCATCGATCGACTGTGCCACCTGCTTCAACAGGTTTTGAGGGGTCAAACCCGCATACTTGCCCATGTCACGGACCTGGACATGTCCAGTCTCGACGGGCTCTGACGGTATTGGTTGCTGGTCCTCAAATATGGCTCCCAGGCCGTGCTCATCACCGAGAACGTCATCGTCCTCCACTGACGGCGAACCAGTGCCATTCGCGACGCCGGATTCTACCGACTTGGAACCCGTCCCAACGTTTGCTGTTGCTCGTGCAGTGGCGGCTTCTCTCTGAAGACCCACCTTAACAAGAGTCCACTGTGGCTCTGCAACGTAAATGTCGAACAGGATATCTCGCTCGATCTGTGCAATCTTCTGTGTCAATTTTTGAACAGCCCTGTTGTGCTTGACCTTGCCTACGTGTCCTTCGTTCTCTTTAGTCCACAGGCGGCTCTTGAGCCTGAGCCACCTGTCCGTGAGGTGTGATGGATCATCGTCGTCATCGTCCGAGCCAGACGATCCCTCGCTCGAGATGGCATCTGCTTGGGGAGAGCCAGCTTCATCAGCAGATCTTGGACCTGCTGACGAGTTGGGTACACCCGGAGATCGGTCTCTGCTCACAGAGTGCCGACGGAAGCCGCCACGGACATCTACAACGCGTGGCTGAGGTCTCTGGTCTTGAAAGTAAGGTAATTCTGCTTGTTTGTAATTGAAAGCATACCAATCAAGTGCTTCCTCAAGCCCGTAAGCTAGGCCCGAGTTAGCTCCAACCGACTGAGAGACCGATGCACCCATCACATGACCGATCGCCTTCCCGATATCTGGAAACTTGAGGGCAGCAAGAACGCGATGCAGAATCCACAGATCAAGGAGAAGTTTCTCGTCACCGTTGCTTTCCGATGCTTCACGCTCGCGGTAAACAGGACTGTTGTCGAATTGAGCCAGAGACCATGCCAAGCAGTCTTCATTGAGCCAGTCTGATGGATGCATGGCATAGGACTGTGCCTGACTTTGTCGCCTATCGGTTTCCAATCTGGCGACGCTCCGCTTGCTATCAGCTCGGCAGCGTGCCCCTTGTCGGTCGATCAAGTCTGGAGTTCAGCTTCCTCGAGATGATGCTCGAGAGCTTCCGGCGACATGTCCTGGATCGACGACGAGCTTCCTTGCCCATTCTGTGCGGCGATGGGATGCTGACTCTCGCTGGCCGGTGTGCTGGTCTCGGCACCGGTCTGGGAGGTAGCTTTCGCGCCAACATCAAGGTCAGGATCTATAGTCCTGGCCTTCGAGGGCTGTGAAGTCGTAGTAAAACCACGCGCCGGGTTGCTCGCGACCTTCTTTTTCTTCTTTGGCGCCATGATAGGTAGAGAAAGAATTTCCAATGCAAGTCAAGTGGTCCCGTGTGTCCAAATACGCATCTCAACCTACCTGTAGATCATCATGTCTTTAACAAGAAGGCTCCACCAAAGCTTCGACACGTGATAGACAGACATCATGGATGCTGGTGGTCAAGTGAAGGAGTTGGAACATTGTGAAGCCATGTTCGGTCAAAATTCGCCCACTGAGGCAATGACACATGAAGAAATTTGCTTGGCATTCTTGCCGAGGCGGCCCTCAAGGTCAACACATCGAACATTTTCATATTGCGACCTGGTGGGACACAGCAAGCACTTACTGGCCGTATACTTCGGCTCCGGTGGTGCTACTATGGCTGAGGACTCCAGCGGTCCAGACTTGGACGATGTTGACGTTCAGCTGCGCGGGCTTCGGAGCGGCTCGACGCGACTACGAACAGAAATTCTCAGACGAATACTTCAATCTGTGGAAGTCGAACACGATACGATCGACTCGGAGCGCGATCGGCAAGCCAACTCGAAAGATGGCTCTAGGAAAGTGTCGGAGGCTCAACTTCTTGCCCCTGTGCCGCACATTTTAGCAACATACCCTCTGTACAAAGACCGAGCGTCACGGAAGCTCGTGCAGCACATCCTTCGAGCATATCTACGAGACCCTGTCGTGGGCGCAAAATGCACAAAGGCGATCACGAGCTATCTGCAGAATGAAGCGCAGAAGCCCGTCATTGCTCCGAGCAATGCCTTCGTACTGCTAGAATGGTGTGCGTTGGTGCAAGAAGAATTAGCAAAGTCCTCAGCATATCTCGACACATATCTACCCCAGCTGGTCACGTCTGCCGCAGCATGTCTTGACAAGACGGCTGACAGAGATGTCAGAGCTAGTCTGCGCTCAAGCGCACTTGTTGTCGCCAGACGTGGCGTACGCAGCCTTCTCAGGCGCGACGAGGTGGGTCAAAAGGCACTTGATACCATTATTTCCACTCTTGCCTCCAGCACATCGGCGTCTGCTAGAAACGCCGAGTACTTGGACGTAGTCGCCGGCACCAGCTACAGGTTGGAATCCAGAAGAGGGCAATTTGCAGCTCAGCGAGGGAAGATCCTCGAGTTCTACGTCAAGCACATACTGGGTTCCAAGGTCGTATTACCAGAGCACCAGTCATACGCACTGCACGAGTTCTTTTCAAACTTCGTCGACCCCAAAGACGTGACTGACACGCTCATTCCAGCAGTTGAGAAGGGCATTCTAAGATCTGGCGAGGTCGTCCTGCAAGGACCAGTTGTCGGTTTAGCACTGCAGTTGAGGGCTGACATTGACATAAGTGCTGCTGTGCAAGCCAGATTGATCAAGCCTTTGGTTGCTGCTATGGCTTCAACCAATGCGCAGGTCAGAGAAGGAGCCGGGAAGACGATGACAGCTCTTCTCAAGAGAGGCGGCGACCATGCACTAGCTGAGAAAATTACTATCGACTTGGTGGCGGCATTCAAGGCTACCAAAGCTGCCTCCCACGAGATCCGGGGCATGCTATCAGACGTGATGCTAGTGCTCCAGCCTCAGGCAGCCACCTCGCTTGTGGTAGTCGATGGTCTGCTTCCTGGGGCCTCAAAGGAGGCGAACGAGCCCACCTTCAGGAAGGGACTCAATGCTATTGCTTACCATCTCCCTGTGTTGATACAAGAGGACAAGCTCACAAAAGCTACGGCAGACACTCTCCTAAAAAATTGTGCAGACAAGAAACCTGTCAACCGAAAATGCTGGCACTTATGCTTAGCATCGGCAGTCCGGATGCTGGATGAAGTGCCCACTGCAGGGTCTTCACGAGACTTCGTTTCCTCGGTCCTCCGGCTCTTGCAGCAAGTCTACGATGAAGTGTCTGCCAACGCGCTTCCCGCTGTGCAGTCAGGTATCGCTGCAGCTGCATACGCCTTGCCTGTTTTATGCGGCGCAGGCAACCAGCTACCTGTTGAGTTGCAGGAGAAGGTGAGGTCAGCTGCATTTTCGGCATCCACTGGATCATCATTCATCCTCAATCCAAAAGTCTACACCAAGATGACCAACGTCGATGATCAAATGTGGGCAGCAAGGTCACTGCAAGGCATCGCTGCAGGCTTGCCAGAGGCCGGCGAATTCAATCAGTCTTCGTGGGCTCGCGCATTCCTGCATTTTATATTGTCGGCTGATGTTCATCCGGACGTGCGTCGAGACGCTACGCTTCTGCTGAAGTCGACCTATCTTCAACATCCCGAGTCCGTCGGCCAAAGCGTGCTGCACGGAGTTTGGGACTTGCTGAAAGAGATTCACGAGCAGCAAAGTGACCCAACACTGCCACTGGGTGACATCAAGCTTCATCACGCCTTGAAGAGCATTCTGACAAGTAGAAGTGCCGTTGTCAATGGCGCCCTAGTTGAAACTTCGATCCTCGAACGACAGGCGATCCGCTCTATCGCGCTCTTCAGGCCCGAACTGATTGCTCACACGGAGTGGATAGCGGCATGCCTCGCGCAAGGTCTCGATCCTGGCAATCTCGCCCAAAGAGAGCATGTAGCGTTGCTGGCGGAAATCACTGGCAAGTTCAGCCAAGCGAAGCTCGCGCCTCTAGATGTCTTCGAAGTTGCAGCATCGAACGCCGCAGCATCTTTGGCCTTTGTCGCACCCGAGAGCATAGTACCGCTTCTCCTGAAAGCAATTGAGGATGATCTGAGTCCCGCGAAGCTGGAAGATATTAGTCCGGTAGATATGGCTATTGCTCGCGCGCCGGAGGGTGAAGTTGTGGTGGACGTTCTATCCCAAAAATCCAATGGAGTCGTGGAAAACAAGAACGTCAAAGACTACGATATCATGAAATGGGAGGAAGAGATGCGTTCCAGACTTGCCCAGAAGAAAGGAGCGCAACCCAAGAAGCTCACGGCAGACCAGCAAGCAAAGGTTGACGCTCAATTGAGGCACGAGACGCAGGTGCGGAAAAGTATCAGACAAACATCTGCACAGCTTCGTCGAGGCTCGCAGTTCATCAAAAGTCTGGCGCAGGGTCCGCCCACAGAGCCTCGAACATGGATGTCTGGTGCTATTTCTGCATTGATGGGCGCATTGTCGGCAGGTGGCGATCTCATTGTGGACGACGAGCTCTTCTCTGCGTATCTTGCGTGTTCCTCGAAAGTGAGCGACCGTATAGGCAACTTGCGACCCTTCATTGGCATTGCCACGCTCCGATCACTTTCTAACGCTTCGATCCCTGACCAGTACTCTGAAGAGGCGCTCGGAGAGCTGACAACCCGGGTACTGTATCGCCTGCGATTTGCAGCTGAGCAGCGACCCTTCGACACCGCATCCTTTGCATATATTCTGCCGCTCATGTTTGCAGTTCTCCGTCAAGGCGGCGTCGGGGAGCTATCAGACGAAGACGCCGATGCGCAGGTGCTGCTTGCCATCGAGTTCCTGTCGTTCCAGATGCCCGTCTGCGACGACACGTATCTGCCGCGCATGCAAATTATAGAGCATCTCATCTATTCGATGCAACGCTATCCACAGCATCACAGACTTCTGAAGGATTCTCTGGCGGACTTGTGCAGAGCCATCGCGGAAACGCTGTCGGATGCTGAGCGCGATATTCTCTTGGCTTCGACTACGGCTGCACAGTCCGCAGTACGAAGTGCTGTGCTTCAGGCAGTCCAGGCTGAACTGGATCTGACTGATAGCCCGCCTTCCGTACACATTTGGATTGCCTGCCAGGATGAGGAAGACGAAAACGCCGAGACAGCACTAGCAATTTGGGAAGAAAGTGGATTCAGCCTCACAAGCGAGCTTGTTCAGCAGCTGCCGGGCTTCCTGTTTACTGTCGCCAGATCTACACGGTCAGCAGCTGCGAAAGCTCTGGCACAGGCTTTGTTGGCAATGCCCAATTCTGCTGCCGCCGTTGTCGAGAACCTCAAAGACTCCTATGTTGAGGAAGCACAGCCACTGGTTCCGAAAGCTAATAAATTCGGGATCATCCAGAGAGGCGAACTCATTGACCAGTGGGAGCGACGTAGCGGTATAGCATTGGCCTGTAAAGAGCTTGCTAGTGTGTACAAAGCCTCTGACCTCGTCGCCATGTTCGAATTCTTGGTCAACAAGGGGCCACTTGCTGATCGAAATGCGACTGTCAGAGCGGAGATGGTCGATGCTGGGAAGACTATTGTCTCCCTTCGCGGCAAGGAATGCTTGGAACCACTCATGCAGCTATTCGAGACTACTATGCAACAGCCGGACAAGGGCACGCAAGAATTCGACTGGGCCAATGAAGCGGTCATCGTCCTCTACGGATCACTCGCGCAGCATCTACCCGACGGAGACAAGAGGATTGACTCGGTTGTGTCGAAACTTATCGCAACCCTGAGTACACCCTCAGAGTCTGTTCAGTATGCAGTCGCTCTTTGCCTGCCTCCGTTAGTGCGAGCTAAATTTGTTGACGTCGGAACAACGCTTACGGCATTGCTTGAACAGCTATTCGGACACAAGAAGTATGCTGCCAGACGTGGTGCAGCCTACGGCATTGCGGGTGTCGTCAAAGGCAAGGGTGTAGCAGCGCTCCGGCAGTACCGCGTCATGAGTTCTCTGAGAGGCGCTACTGAGAACAAAAAGAGTCCGGAGCATCGTCAAGGTGCTATGTTTGCATACGAGCTCATGTCGCTCCTCCTGGGGCGTGGGTTTGAGCCGTACGTGGTTGAGATACTGCCTCAACTGCTGGCCTGCTTTGGTGATCCGAATGCGGGCGTCCGAGAGGCGTGTCTGGATGCCGCAAAGACCTGCTTCGCCAGTCTGAGCTCATTCGGCGTTCGCAAAGTGCTGCCACAGCTCCTCGAGGGCTTGGATGACACTCAATGGCGAAGCAAGAAAGGAGCTTGCGATCTTCTGGGAGCTATGGCCTATCTAGACCCTCAGCAACTGGCCACAAGTCTGCCAGACATCATTCCACCTCTGACAGCTGTCCTGACAGATAGCCACAAAGAAGTCCGCAATGCTGCTAACAGTAGCTTACAACGATTCGGGGAGGTCATCACGAATCCAGAAGTCAAGAGTCTTGTGAATGTTCTGCTGAAGGCACTCAGCGATCCCACGAAGCACACTGAGGAAGCACTCGACAGCCTGATCAAAGTATCCTTCATCCATTATCTTGATGCGCCGTCGCTTGCCCTTGTTGCGCGAATACTCGAACGCGGACTGAACGATCGATCGTCCACGAAACGCAAAGCTGCTCAGATCATCGGAAGCTTGGCGCATTTGACCGAAAAGAGAGACATTGTTGTCCATCTACCCATTCTCGTACAAGGCCTGCGACTGGCAACGATAGATCCGGTGCCGACCACCCGTGCTACAGCATCGAAAGCACTGGGCAGTCTGGTGGAGAAATTGGGAGAAGATGCCTTCCCAGATTTGATCCCAAGCTTGATGTCATCGCTGCGCACAGAGACAGGTGCTGGCGACCGGCTCGGCTCGGCTCAAGCGCTTTCCGAAGTTCTGGCCGGCTTGGGTACTTCACGACTTGAGGAGACGCTGCCGTCAATCTTGCAAAATGTTTCCAGCTCTCGAGCCACGGTTCGGGAGGGCTTCATGACCTTGTTCATTTACCTACCAGCATGCTTCGGCAACAGCTTCGCCAACTATCTTGGTCACATCATTCCATCGGTGCTGAGCGGGCTTGCTGATGAGGTTGAGGCTATCCGAGAGACTGCACTGAAAGCCGGTCGTCTGCTGGTGAAGAACTTTGCCTCGAAAGCAATTGATCTATTGCTACCAGAGCTTCAACGTGGTCTGGAAGATGACAACTATCGCATTCGCTTGAGTTCCGTCGAGCTGGTCGGCGATCTGCTCTTCAGTCTTACAGGCACCACCGCTCAAGAAGATGGCGATGAAGAAGTGGCCGAGAACGCTGCTCAAGCCGGTCAATCGCTACTCGAGGTACTCGGCGAAGAACGACGCAACAAGGTCTTGTCTTCTCTGTACATCTGCCGATGTGACACATCAGGTTTGGTCCGATCAGCTGCGATCAATGTGTGGAAGGCTTTGGTAGCAACTCCAAAGACTCTGAAGGAGATTGTGCCAACACTGACACAAATGATCATTGCTCGTTTGGCATCATCCAACATGGAGCATAAGGTCATTGCTGGTAATGCTCTCGGAGAAGTCATTCGCAAGGCTGGGGAAGGCATATTCTCCACCCTGCTTCCTTCCTTGGAGGAGGGATTGCAAATATCCACTGATGCAGATCAGCGTCAAGGTATCTGCATGGCATTGAAGGAGATTGTCAGTGCCGCATCGCCAGATGCGCTGGAGGATTACGAGAAGCAGCTCATTGTTATCATCCGTATTGCACTAGTCGATTCGGACGACGATGTTCGTGAAACAGCTGCAGAATCTTTCGATGCACTACAACAGACCTTCGGCAATCGTGCTGTCAATCAAGTGCTGCCCCATCTGCTCAGTCTTCTACGGGACGAGGACGAAGCCGAGAATGCCCTGGCAGCTCTTCTCACATTGCTTACAGAGACAACGCGAGCCAATGTCATATTGCCAAATTTGGTGCCGACTCTGCTCACTAGCCCAATCACTGCATTCAACGCCAGAGCTCTGGCATCGTTGGCCAACGTCGGTGGCTCAAGCATGACGAGGCGGCTGCCCACGATTCTGAACACGCTTTGCGACAATATCGTCGCCTGCAATGATGACGAACTCAAAGAGGAGCTTGATACCGCTTTCGACGCCGTACTAGGCGCAGTGGATGAGTTCGATGGTCTCAACATGGCAATGAGCGTCATGCTCGCAATGGTCAAGCACGATGATCACAGAAAGCGAGCCGTTGCTGCCACTCACCTGGCTACATTCTTCTCCGCGACAGAGGTTGACTATTCGCGATACAACCAAGATCTTGTGCGGGTCCTACTTATCTCATTCGGCGATCGTGACAAGGCAGTCGTCTCTGCGGCATGGTCTGCACTCAGCCAACTTCAATCCCATATGCGCAAGGAAGAGATGGAGTCTCTAGTTGCCTCGACTCGCCAGACCCTGCAACAAGCTGGTACCGCTGGATCCAACCTACCAGGTTTTGCGCTTCCGAAGGGAATCCAACCTGTCATGCAGATCTTCTTGCAAGGTCTCCTGAACGGTACGCAGGATCAGCGAGTGCAGGCTGCCATGGGTCTCTCGGACATCATTGAGCGAACTAGTCCCGAGTCACTGAAAGTCTTCCAGACGCACATCGCTGGTCCGCTTATCCGTGTGGTCGGAGAGCGTTCAACGGACGTCAAAGTTGCGATCCTCAGCACGCTCAACCTCTTGCTGGAGAAGATCGGGGTGTTCCTGAAACCATTCATCCCACAACTGCAGCGTACATTCACCAAGTCCATGGCAGATCCATCCAGCAGCCTTCTCCGTCAACGTGCTACGAAGGCGCTGAGCACCCTGATCCCACTACAGGCAAGAATCGACCCCTTGATCACGGAGCTCGTCACGGGAGCCAAAAGCGCCGATGACGGCGTGAGGAGCGCGATGCTGAAGGGTTTGCAGGAAGTTGTGACTAAGGTGGGCGGCAACATGAGCGATGCTTCCCGCGAATCGATCCTGGCCTCATGGACCAGACAGATGCACAAGATGACAACACTATGGAGACATTCGCCCGTCTACTTGGTGGCATGATCAAAGTACTGCCGAACGACAAAGCGGCTGGCCTGGTCAAGAGCCGAGTGCTCGTGGAACCTTCAACCCGCGCATCGATTCTGGCTCTGAATGCCACGCTGCTCGACAACGCGGCTCAACTAATCCAGGACTTTGGCACGGAGACAAGATCTGCGATAGCGAACAGTATCTCCGGCACTAACACATTCATCCAGCAGAACGCTGCCCTTGCGGCCGGCAAGTATCTGCTCTCGGAAGGCACCTTGAGCCACGAAGCAGAGTGTATGCCTCTGATCTCAGCACTCGCTTCCGTCATACAGCCACCTGGAGACATCGACACCCGACGCCTCGCCCTCGTCGTTGTTCGCACAGTCGCCCGTAACCATTCTGGCGATGGCGTGAAGCCGTTCGTTCCCCATCTCGTACCACCGGTCTTTGCTAGCGTACGAGATCCTGTCATTCCCATCAAACTTGCGGCGGAGGCAGCATTCCTGCAGCTCTTCAGCGTCATGGACGAAGAATCTGCCGTGTTCGATGAGTATATGGCTGGTCCGGGGAAGTCTCTGCCGCCTGCCCAGCAGAGGCCAATGACTGACTACTTCAAACGCGTGGCATTGAGACTGGGCGCTCAGGCTCGGGAGAGACGAGACGCCGAAGGAGGTACTGGAGGACTAGGCCTGAGTAGTGATGAGCAGGAGGACGAGAGGGAAGTGTGGAGTGTGGGCAAGGTCGACTTGGGGGAGGGCGGGTTTGGGGATGAGTAGCAGATTTGTGAGACATGAGGTTGAGAACGATATGGATAGAGCAGAAGCCGGTGCTTCCTGTTCATAGACCAAAAGCGATTGCACATACTTTGACGAAAGGCACGAATTGACCGACGGTGACATGGACTGGAGCAGTCTCTCGTACTCAAAAGCACATATCTATCCTCCTCGCTCTTCGAGTACTACTAGTACATGTTCAATCCACTTGTGACCGACCACTATTGTTGTTCTTAGATCTTGTGCCTAAGACAGTAAATGTAGGCACATCTGCGGGAATTTTGGGTTGGCAGGCTGTGATCGAAAGAACTGGGCGTTTTCGTACAGCGCCCGCCCTAGCCAGAGAGAACACGAGGTATCATCTTTTGCACTGACACACAAGTGAGGTTCATCTCAAGCCCACCCACCTGCTGAGCGTGATTTCTCTATAGCGTCAACGCCCTCCCTGGCCGAGAATGTCATGATGAACAGCATCCACAGCTCGAACACAGAAGATGGTAGACCGGGAGACAACGCCCAGTACTTCCGGTCACAGCTCGGTTGGCCATCATTACCTAATCCGCGGAATTCGTGGCGGCTCTTTCCAAGTCATGGAGCTCCAGCCAGTACTGTGTATTGTTGTGCCTTCCACTATGTTTCATAATGCGTCGAATCGCGCTTTCCCGTCGCGCGACTGCCACTCTCTGTTCTGCAATGAGGCAGTGACGTTCGATCCCGCAGCTGCTGCGCTCTCCTCGCTGAATCATGGTGAGGGTCTCCGCTCACAGGCTTTCGCATCGTGGGACATCTTTCGGGCCCGGCATCATAAATCTCTCCGTCGATGCTGATCGTCGGCACGTTTGTATTAAACACGATTGCCAGTGCCACTGAAATACGGTGCATCGCACAGCACCGACCTGTACAGCCATTGCAAGTCATTTCCAGACTCCTTGGAAGGCATGGCGTTGCTCCACGACTCCACCTTCAAAGGTGGGCAGGCTAGCTCGATAGGGTTATCACTGCGATGATTTGCAACAGCATATCCATGCATCAGGATCGACGTGATTGAGGATCACGTACCTGACCGTCGCCCTTTTGCTGCCAGAGCCACGTTTCACCGTGACATCTCCTTGCTATGGTCAATCTTGTGGATTGGGGGCCATGCCGCAGCCACCAACAATTCCTTTGCCGCAAGCCGATCAGCTCGCACTCATGGACGCCATGGTGCTGTGCTATACTGGGGCGATGATCGCTGGTTGTCTATATAGCACTGAACCCCCAACCTCGCCGACTGACCCTAGCAGACACAGAACGAACGATACTAAACAGACTGAGCATGGCTGGACAAATACCAGGCCCTCGCGGCCTGCCGCTGCTCGGCAATCTACTTGATGTTGACTTTGAAGTGCCTCTAGCGGGCATTGAACGACTTGCGGATCAGTATGGACCGATCTACCAGATGACGATAAGAGGCAAACGGCAGGTTGTGTGCAGCAGTGCAGCACTGATGGAGGAGTTGACGGACGAAAAGCGTTTCGTGAAAGTTCCACCTGGAGCGATAACCGAAGTCGATGGACCAAGGGGACTATTTGCTGCCACGAACGAAGATCCGGACTGGCACCAAGCTCATCGTATCCTGATGCCGAGCTTTTCGACGATGGCCGTCCAGGGCATGTTCGATGGTACGGTGTACTTCCATCACGCCATCTACATTCTCTTGCTGACACGGCTTAGGCATGAAGGATATCGCGAATCAACTCATCCTCAGCTGGGCTCGGAAAGGTCCTGAGAATGTCATCAACGCACCCAAGGATTTCACCAAGCTCACACTGGACACTATTGCATTATGTACTATGGACTATCGCTTCAATTCGTTCTACCAGGACACGATGCATCCTTTCATCGACGCCATGGTGAAGGTACTTGTCGAGAATGGCAACCGGTCAACGCGCCCCGGCTTCCTCAACAAGGTCATGCTGCGCAAAGAGAAGGAGCACGCAGAGCGAAGGCTGTATCTTCGTAAGGTCGGTCTTGACATCGTTGAGAATCGTCGACAGAACCCAAAGGAGGGTAAGGATGTGCTGAACACGATGATCTACGGGAAAGACCCAAAGACAGGACAGGTCATGCGAGATGAGTTGATTTCTGAGCAGATGTTGACGTTCCTGATTGCAGGTACGTACTGGGTGACCTTTGGAAAGATCTCGCGACTTACAAACGTCAGGACATGAGACGACCTCAGGATTGCTGTCTTTCGCCTTCGCCGAGATGCTCAGAAATCCAGAGACCTACTTCAAGGCCCAGGCAGAGGTCGATCGTGTGGTCGGACAGCGAGCCATCCAATTCGAGGACATCAAAGATCTACATTATCTCAATGCCGTACTCAGAGAAACGCTGCGTTTGAGACCGACGGTGCCAGTCCTGTCCAAGAGCATTCACCCTGAGAGGAAGCATCAATCGTGACGCTAGATGGATATGTCGTCAAGCCGGAAGACAGGATCATCGTCATGTTGGCTAAAGCTCAGCGAGATCCGAAGGTATGGGGCGATGACGCCGATCAGTTCAAGCCAGATCGCATGTTGGATGAGAACTTTGAGCGAATCTCAGCCCAGTTCCCCGGATCGTGGAAGCCGTTCGGCAATGGTCGTCGCGCATGTATTGGACGACCTTTTGCCTGGCAGGAGGCACTCCTTGTCACAGCAATGGTTCTACAAAGCTTTGATGTGAAGCTCGAGGATCCGTCCTACAACATTCCCGTAAAGCAGACGCTGACGCTGAAGCCTGATAATTTCAAGATCAGAGTCGCACCACGAGATGGCCAGACCGCAACTGACGTGGATCAATTCATCCACACAGGCAAAGCTACTACCACAAACAAGGACACTCGCTCCAACGGTGCTGCTGCCAGCAATGGTACGGTCAGACGGCCCCTGAAGATTCTGTACGGATCCAACACGGGCACATGTCAAGCACTGGCTCAAAGAGCAGCCTCAGATGCTGCAAGTCTGGGCTTTGCTGCAGAGATCTCCGACATGGACAGCGCGACTGGCCCGATGTCCTCCAAGAATGGACCCGTCGTGATCTTCACGTCTTCGTACGAAGGCGAGCCACCTGATAACGCTGCGAGGTTCATCGAGTGGCTACAAACATGCTCGAATACGTCGTTGTCTGGGGTCGAATTTGCTGTCTTCGGGTGTGGTCATAGGGACTGGGTCCGCACCCTACATCGCATTCCGAAGCTCACTGATGAGCTGATGGCCAGAGCTGGAGGAAAGCGCATGGCTCAGGCGGGCTTCACTGATGTCGCCAAGGGCAATGTCTACGGCGACTTTGAAGAGTGGCTCGACGCTACTCTGTGGCCTGCACTCCGTTCTACAGGAAGCGTCGATAGCGATGAAGGTCTCCCTGGGCTCGACTTCGAGCTCTCTACAGATGCACGAGCTACGGCTCTTCGCTTCGACGTGCAGCCAGCCACTGTGAAAGCCAATAACAGGCTCACTTCCGGGACTGAGCCCGAGAAGTATCACCTCGAAATCAATCTGCCGTCCAACACCACCTACGAGTGCGGTGATTACCTTGCGATACTTCCGCAGAACTCCGACCTTGCCGTCAAAGAAGCAATGTCGATCTTCAACCTACCTTGGGACAGTGTCATCACTCTCAAAGGCAACGGCCCTTCCTGCATCCCCCTAAACACCCCAATGCCGGTCTCCGAGATCCTTCGCTCCTACGTCGAGCTATCCCAACCATGCACCAAAAAGACCATCCGCTTGCTAGCTTCACACAGTCACGATAGCCACGTCCGCAACCACCTCAGCTCGCTCGCCGCGAATGACGCCCTGTACACTGCCGAGATCACCAAGAAACGCGTATCCCTCCTTCACCTCTACGCCCAATACTCGACTTCGATTGCCCTCCCCATCGGCACGTTCCTGTCCCTCCTCCCTCCGCTCCAAGTCCGCCAATACTCCATCTCCTCCTCTCAACTCGCCCACCAGGGTACCTGCACGCTCACGTACGGTGTCCTCGACACCACATCCTTGATTGACCCCACGCTACGGTTCCAAGGAGTCACGTCGAACTACCTCCGCAGCCTCCAGCGCGGCGACACGATCCATGTTGCTGTCCGGCCTGCCGCCAAAAAGTCCTTCCGCTTGCCCCTCGACATTGAAAGCACGCCCATGCTCATGTTTGCGGCCGGCACAGGCCTCGCTCCCTTCCGTGGCTTCTGCCAGCAGCGCGCAATCCTGGCTGCCAGCGGCCGGAAGTTGGCTCCAGCAATGCTGTTCTTAGGTTGTCGATCCCGCACGACAGATCGACTGTATGCTCAGGAGATGGATCGGTGGGTGGCGGATGAGGTTGTGGATGTGAGGTATGCATTCTCGCAGGAGTCGGAGTGGAGTGCCGGGTGCAGGTACGTCAAGGAGAGGGTGGTGAAGGATCAAGAGGAGGTGAGAGGGCTGTGGAGGGATGGGGCAAGGGTGTATTTGTGTGGGAGCAGAGCGTTTGCCGAGGGGGTGAGGGAGGCAGCGGGGGAGATCGTGAGAGGGTTGATCAGGGAGAAAGCGGATGGGACGATAAGAAACGAGGCGGCACTGCAGGAGGTGGACCAGAGGTTCAAGGAGATGTTGGTTGAGAGGGTTGCTAGTGATGTCTTTGATTGAGTACAGTGATATCTTGGCAGAGCTTTGTGCTAGGTCCGCTGGGTAGTAAAGGTGCTGGGCTCGAAGTAAACCCGTCTTATTGTACCTTTGCGATCGCTTCAGCACCGTGATGTCTACATCACGGGAGGCCTCCACTAATCGCAATCAGTCTATATATTGTCCAACGACGAAATTTTGGGCCATCAACACAACATATCCAATCCTCTTTCGACGGCATAGTACAAATCGGTCTAGTACATCGAGAGGAAGAGAGAAGTAGTCTAGAGAACGCTCTCTCATTCTCTTGAAGATCCTAGTTCGATTCTGGGTGCTGCTGTCTGTGACTTTTTGGTTTTTTGGGAAGCCGTTGAGGCTCATGGGTGTGCTTGCGACCTGCCTCGCTAGATCTCGGCGTGAGGGGAGAGTGAGTGCAGTAGCAGGAAAGCGAAAGACGAAGAGAAGGAGCAAGTCAAGTCAGTCAGATCAGAACAACAAATTTCTGGAATTTCTGGCTCCCTGCAGTAGCAGGGGCTAGCAAACTTAGCTAGCTACCTTATGCGCTTCGAGCCCGATCCCAGGCGGATTGATGCCATCACGGCACATGCCTCCCACTTCGAAGCACGATCGCTTCCCCTTCTTTGACGTCGCCGAGTATAGAAAGGTTTCCGTGCGCCGCGTACATGCGTGCTCTCGTAAGATCGACTGGCAAGGGATCGCGAAGTTATGCCGCCGTTATGGTGCAGGTCTTTCGTTTCGAAAAGCGAGACCGTTTTCTCATCATTGACAGAATTTGTCAAGACGACATTTAATTTGATACTTTCGTACTTTCGTCGCATCTTTGGTCGGTGGCCGGCCACGCGGCCGCGCCTATCGGCCGCTGTTCGCCACGGAGAAGCTATCGGTCTTTTTAGATCAAGACGAATGATCAGCCCATGAACACTTCGAGGCAAGTGGACGAGGTCAGAGGGCGCCTAGCCTACCTTACGCCTTTTCTTCCTAGCACCGTCACTCTCGTCTTCCGCATCTGGATCATTATTGATGTCGTTATCAGGATCCGAATAGCCATCGCCATATCCCACGAAGCTGTTGTCACCGTAACTACGCTTCTTGCCTCGTGTCTGCCGTTTCGCGTCGGCTGCGTTCGGCGGTGGTCTGAGAAGACCGTTTGGGCGTTGTAAAGATGCTGCTGAGGTCGAAAGAGACGCATGTCCACCGCCGGGCGGTATAGGTCTTATCTTCTCATGGCCAAGCACCTCGTCCCACTTCTGTTCGTCGCGGACCTTGCCTGGCTGCATCTGCATAGCTGAGCGAAGTTTGGTGGCGAAGTCGCTGTCGACTCCGATTGTGCGTGCGGCGTGTTTCGCGTCCCAGGCTTCATCGGATTCTAGCGGCGCTGGCCACTGGCCACTGCCTATCGATTCTCTGAATCCTGGTCCGCTGGCGGCTTCGTGCTTGACTGGCTTGTTCCTCCCTGACAGCTGGAAACCCTTGATCTGTCCTTCGTACGACTTGCGTAGTTTGTTGATCTTCTCGCCTGTGATCGGGTCGAACCTGGCGACGGTGCGCAGTAATGGACCAAGACCGTACATGCTGAGGATGTGATTGTTGACATCTGGCTTGGTGGGAGACACTTCTAGAGTGGCAATGTTAATACACTGTGCAGGAGTTGAGAGCTGGAACAGAGTGAGCCTTACTGGACCTGCCGAGTAGAAATGGTTCACCCATATCTTCATCTAGCTGTTCCAGCGCAGCCTTTGTTCTGTTCTCTCGCACTTTCGCGGCTTCATCAGATACATCCTCCTCCTTCTCGTCTTTCGACCGCTCGTGGTTAGTAGGCGATATCGAGCAATCCACCTCCATCTCATCGTGCTTATCGTCATCTCGTCTTTGTCGCTTATCGCGATGTCGGTCCGGGTCGTCGTTCATGGCGCTACTGGGCGCGCCGTGACTGCTATTGGGCGTCGAATATGGTTGGCTGTTGCGCTGTGTGGAAGCAGGTCTGGTATAGGAGGAAGCCGAAGAAGGCGATCTGGGCGATGATCGCGACGTCGCCTCATCCAGGTGCGATGTCTGACTGTAAGATGCATAGCTTTTCGTGGCGACTGACATATGCGGAGGCGAAGGCAGCGCTCTGAACTGGGTCTCGGACGTCCTCCGTCGCTTGAGACCAGTCTCGGGAGGTGATGAGGGCGACAGTGGTATTTGATGCGTTTGTTGTCGCGCGGACATGGACGTTTGGTAGTCGGGAAATCGAGGCGCCGCCGGCGCGTCCTCTCAAGAGGAAGCGTGGAACTCGTTGAGTGCAGGCGGGTTGCGGACAAGTGACATTCGTCGTGGGGCTGTATCTCGGAAACGAGGCAGAGATCGGCGAGGGCGACTTCGAGCGGCAAGGAGCGCTGATCGCGATGAGTCGTCGTAGTATTCGTAGGCGTAAGTTGTGTCGGAGCTATGCGAGTGTGCTGAAAGTATGCGAAAGATGGCGTGAGGTTGGTAGAAGTCGACGTTGGGCTGCAAGATGGAACAAAGACGTAGCAGGTAAGAAGGCAGTCGAACAAGCCATCCGCATCCACTTGGCGGGAGGCTGCAGTTGATTGGTCATAGACAGGATGACCGCTCCACCAGCAGCAGATGCCTTTTGATCCGAATCCGGACCGTGAACGCGCTTGCCTCGATTGTCAGTTTCAACTTGTTCACTGTGTCATCGCTTGTCTTGCTGACTTCATCTTCTGCAAACATTATTCACATGGTTCTGAGTCTACGACGGTGAAGCGTGGACAGCAGATCGACTTCAACAATTGGGGTACTACGACCTCAGAAGATTGCTAGCATACCATATCTCAACAGCGGCAAGGAGGAGATTGCGCGTACAAGTAGCACAAGATACAGGAGTCAGGATTTGTGCATTCATCCGTCTATCAACATTGAGCGACCTCTAGAACAGTCAACTCATGATCTGAGCAGTCAACCCTCTTAGGCCGTCCGCCACCAACAATCGCTCCAAACGCCGCTGGAAATGCATTCAGATGGTATCGCTGCCGGCCATAACTTCATAGCAATTTTCATATCCTCGTCTCCCACAATCCATACTCAACAACCCTACTGTGTCTGGCATTGAGCACCCTGGCTTCTTCTTCGTCCTCCCACTGACCGCGACCCTCTTCGCCGCCAATATCTTCTATGTCAGCCTCCTCATACTCGACCGGGTCCACAACATCAGCCTCAATAGCCGGTGCAGGTCCAGGCAACATCTTCTTCATAGACTCGATGGTGGCGGGGTCTGTAAAGAAGCCATCCTCGGGGAACTCAACCTCGACGATTAGGTACAAATCACCCTTGGCCTCGGATCGCTTGATAGGCATGCCTTCTCCTGGGATCTTGATCACGTCCTGCGGGCGGAGGACCTTGCCATCTTCGTAGGGATGAGTCATTTCGATGCCTCGTCCATCAAGATGCTTGATGACGACGCGGTTGAAGCCAAACAGAGCCTCAGCCAGTGTCACGTCCAGCTTCGCGCTCAAATCATTGCCGGTGCGCTGGAAGTTGTCGTCAGGTAACTCAACAAGATGGAACACAATGTCTCCCGTCGACTCTGTTCCCGGGACCTGATCTGCTTCGCCCTCGAGCCGAATCTGGTCGCCTTCCTTGGATCCAGGTGGAATATATAATTCGAGCTGCTTCTTCTCCTCGGTCGTCTTCTTGCCCTTGCACTTTTTGCATTTATCCTTCGCATCCCAGATCTCACCCGTACCCTCACAGGCCCCACAAGGGACAACTCTCTGAGTCAGCATGGGCCCAACCTGGCTGACTACTTGCCGCACACCCTGGCCCTTGCAGGTCGCGCATTGTTGAGCCTTTGCGCCGTCTTTGCCGCCGCTCCCACTGCATTTTGAGCAGAGGACCTGCTTGGTCGAACTGAACTTGACCGTCTTGCCCTTGTAGAGATCTTCTAGCGAAACTTCGTATTTCTGGTTCTCGTCGGGCGATTTCCTCGCTCTTTGACGACCTCCGCCCATTCCGCCGAAGGCACCGCCCATACCGGGTATGCCGCCGCCCATGCCGAACATATTGAGGATGTCTTCCATGTTGACGTCTCCAGCACCAGGGCCGCCGCCTTCGAAGGCAGCCATGCCATGTTGGTCGTACATGGCCCTTTTCTGGTCATCAAATAGAATTTCGTAGGCCTGACCAGCTGCCTTGAACCGCTGTTCTGACTCTTCGCGGTCTTCTGGAGCGACTTTGTCTGGATGATTCTTCATTGCAGCCTTGTGGTAGGCTTTCTTGATCTCATTCTTCGAGGCGGTCTTGGAGACTCCGAGAATACCGTAGAGGTCGATCTGAGGAGCGCCATCGCCTGGCGCATTGCCGTTCATTCCGTCCATTCTGGTTGATAGTTATGAGGTGATCAAATCGTGTTGGGGAAAGGCCACTGGCCAATCTTGAGTATCCGATATGAGATGCCGGTTGATCTCAATTTGCTTAGGCACAAACGCAGTCAAAAGTGCGTGAGGAAAAGTCAGGTAGCAGCGCTTGATAGTCCTTGTTTCATCAACTCAGTCAGGCACGCCGTGAGAAATAGCAAGAGGAATACTGGTCCAGGCGAGGCGAGGCAGTGAATAATAGAGTCTTCGAGAAAGCGCTCCACATGTCGAAAATTGGGGGCGGAAATTTCGATGGTCATCTTCCATTTTATTCACCACATCATGGACGCGCTTCATTACTCACCCGCAGATGCGCGTTCGGTCGAGTTTCATTGCCGCCTCGGGCGCTTTATAATTACTACGTCGAAACCATGATGGGATAAGTAGCTTTGGCACGATTCGACCATGCGCCCGCGAACAGCCGGATCAATTCGGTCGTCTTTCTGGACTTGCGATTCATGCCGATCGAGCCTGAGCAAAAGACGCGTCGCTCAGCAGCCTACTCACTCCGTGAAGAGGCCGCTGAGCTCGTCGCAACGTCTATACCGCGGCAAGCTGCCTGATACTCCGGCTCGTACCAGGTTCGCACCTAGTCCGACTGGGAATCTGCATCTAGGTTCTATCAGAACCGCGTTGTTCAACTATCTGTTGGCTCGGAAGACGAAAGGTCAATTTCTGCTTCGGCTCGAAGACACAGACCAGAAGCGGACTCTGCCGGTGCCGAAGAGAAGCTATATCAAGATCTTCAGTGGGCTGGTCTACAATGGGATGAAGGTCAGTTGACGCAGGCCAGTCATTATCATCGGCTAAAGACAAGGTAGGTCCTGTAGTCGGCGGTCCATTTGGTCCGTATCGCCAGTCCGAGCGTTTGCATTCATATCAAGCCCACTTGAAAGGTCTGGTGCAGAGCGGGCATGCCTATCACTGCTTCTGCACCCCCGAGCGCCTGGACGAGCTGAACCGACGTAGACACGATCTTGGTCTTGAGCTAGGCTATGATCGCAAATGTGCTGCTATTGACCCGGAACAGGCTCACGACAGAGCTGTAGCTGGTGAAGCACATGTGGTACGATTTCGAGCGCCTGACCGCTGGCCACGATACAACGACCTGGTCTTTGGAAACTCCGGTCATGGCGACAAAGGCAACAAGAAGCTGTACTCCGACGCTCCAGTCTGGGAAGATGCCATTCTGCTCAAGAGGGATGGTTTCCCAACTTACCACTGGGCCAATGTCTGTGACGATCACGATATGAACATCACACATGTGGTAAGAGGGTCTGAATGGATGTCCTCAACCCCTCTGCACGTCGCCATGTACGAAGCGAAAAGCTGGAAGCCGCCCATCTACGCACATGTACCACTACTCGTCGATTCGAACAAGCAGAAGCTTAGCAAGCGCAACTTTGACATTGACATCGCGTCCTATCAAGTCCGGGGTATATTCAAAGAGGCTCTAATCAATTTCACAGCCCTGCTCGGCTGGTCACATCAGGGCAAGAATGATGTGTTCAATCTGCAAGAACTGGAAGAGGCTTTCGATCTCAAGATCACAAAAGGTAACACTATCGTCGCCTTCGGGAAGCTGCAGTATCTGCAAGAGCAGCATGCTCGTCGACGGATCAGCGCTGGTGGTGAACCTTTCGAGCAGATGATCCGTGATGTTTCTGTTGCACTTCTGGAAAGGTTCGGCGCCGGAAAGGTCGTCAACCTCGTCGGCAAAAGGGACCTTCGCGATGTGGTTGCGAACATGCTGCAGGCAGATTCTCTGCCCTATCGCTCCGCTGCCGAGTTCGCTGAGCAATGTTCGATTTTTGCTGAGGTGCCACGACTGTCGAAGCCTGATGTGAAGGATGTGGAATTGCACAAAGAGCTGTCCGTCGCTGCATCGACCCTGACGCTTGTGCCGGATGCCGAGTGGACGTATCAGACGCACGCGGAGAGTCTAAAACAGCTTGACTTTGCGAAAGGCCCAGATGCTGATACGGCAGACAGAAAGAAGTGGAAGACAGAATTGTATCATTACCTGCGCTGGGCTCTGCTTGACGGCGCCCGAGGACCCAGTATGCCGCATATCATGGCGATACTAGGCCGTGATATCTGTGTCGAAAGGATTGCACGAGCCGCTAAAGAGACGCGGCTTGCTACTCAGACAGAGTCGAATGCATCGAGTCGGCCAGACGTTACCACTACGGCATTCAAGTCGGCTGCGTGGCCTCCAACTTCTCCTTGAGCAGGTCTGTAATGATCTGGCAAGCCAGCCTCGACCAACCTGGCAGAACACGTCTGCTTCGAAGATGGCTGGAGGGTCTCATGGTCCCGAGCATGCCGCCACAAGTCTTCCCAACCTTTGGCTACGATAATGCTTCGGGACCCTTGACGCTGACAAAGGACGTGCGGTGGGTAATCACAGCTTCGCTCAGCCCACAATCCGCAGTCTTGTACCAATATAGTAGGCGAGCATCCTGATCAACTCCTTCCCCATGGAGGTCACTGCATACCTTAGTCTACATGACTGCATACGATCTGATAGAGTTCCGAGGTTTTAAGTCCTTCTTTGCATTCTTCTAGAAGAGTTCCCCATCTGGCCGAAATTTTCCGACAGTTTTCCTGTCAAATGAAGCTGCTATCGCCGAGTTATGCTCGTGAGGTTGCACTCGCGATCTACAGGTCGGCTTTCTACGGCATAGCATCGACGAGATGATCGTCCTACTCGCCCGCTTGCGCCTTGGCGAATGTTTGGTCTCTTTGTCCGCCCAATCAATGCTTGTCGCCAAGAATGATGGCGCTCGTTCTCCGCCTGGAGTCCCCTGCACGCCCAGCTTTTTAGACTGAGGAAGGAACACGCTCGTCGTGCCATAGGTTGAACGGAAGCATTTGCCAACTTGGCTCTCAAGCAGCCCGTGAGAACAAGCTGCAGAAGACTTTCGGTGGCGTCCACAAGCATGAAGAAGCACTCGGGTATGCGATGGCCATCCCCTCCAACTACGTCAGGTCGGATTCAGCTGGGTGTGAAGTCAGTCACCCAGATTTGCAGATGGTCAACACCGTTCAACGAGCGCGCTGCGAATGTACAAATGTTTAGAAGTAAGAACGATGAGAGCAGGGACATTGTCAGAGTTCCAGCATCGCAGAAATCCGCCGCAAAACTAGCCATGTGGGCACAGAATGCAGCAAACACTGAGGCGAAACTCTTCCGCTACCATGAGGTCAGTCCGCTCACGATCGCCATCCCTCTAACCCCTCTTGATGGCTGAGTTCCAGCACTCGGGCGCGTCACAACTTCGCTTCCACCTCGATCTACCGGGATCGAAATGCGCTACGGGAGTCAGTCATGCACTTGACACACTACCTGCCAGTAACGAAAACCATCTATCAACTAGTGCTCAATTATTCTGCCATTTTCACGAGCACGAGACTACCTGGTCACCTCCAGATAATCATCCCCACAGAGGTGAAGTCGGCTAACTATAAAGCCCATGTGCCTTCCCATGCAGTGCGACTTCCCCTCGCCAACCTGAGCGCCATCGTGCTTTCCTCATCCTCTTTCTCGGCTCGTTACACAACTTCCTTCCTCTCCTCGCACAAGACTATACCTTGATCTCACCCAGGTACTCAAGCATTGCTACCAAGCATCTGCCTTAGTTACGCACACACAAGCCAAGCATATACTAGAGCTTCATCTCCACTCTCGTCCTACTTACCTCCAACATCATGCCTGAGCATGGAGAACCAGCCGAGGCATGGCCCCGCGGCACGTTCGCGACAGCGAAGCAATCCTTTGGCGATCTCTTCCGTTGGAAGCAACGCACCCAAATCACCAACGACTATGGCGAGTCGCACTTTGTCTGGCAGAATCCCGAGCCACTCAAGAACCCGATCAGTCTATTTGGTCAATTGACCGCAAAGGCATGGCTCTTCTTCATTGTCGGCCTCCTGGCCTGGACTGCGGATGCATTCGACTTCCATTCCCTTTCCATCCAGACCGTCAAGCTGGCAAAGTACTACGACACCTCCAAGACCAATGTCACCACCGCTATCACCCTGACTCTGCTCCTGCGATCCGTCGGCGCAGCTTTCTTCGGCGTTGCAGGTGACAAGTATGGTCGGAAATACCCCATGGTGATCAACATGATTGTGCTGGGCGTCTTGCAGATAGCTACCATCTACTGTGCGACCTTCGGCCAATTTCTTGCCGTACGTAGTCTGTTCGGCCTGTTCATGGGCGGCGTCTACGGCAATGCCATTGCTATGGCGTTGGAGAACTGTCCCGGAAATGCCAGAGGACTCATGTCTGGTATCCTGCAGCAAGGCTATTCGTTGGGCTACGTGATTGCTGCTTGCGTCAACTTGGGCATTGGAGGCTCGACCGACTCCTGGAAGACGATGTTCTGGGTTGGTGCTGGCTTCTCGATTGCTGTAGGCCTGATCAGGCTGGCATTCCCTGAGTCGAGACAATTCATTGAGGCGAAGAAGGCTGGTGTCAAGGGGACGAGTGCGGGTGCGTTCTGGCAGGAGTCGAAGGTCATGCTGCGTAAGGAGTGGCGGATGTGTGTTTACTGCATCATCTTGATGACTTGGGTGAGTCCCATAATCTGCCTTCACGCATATCGCACAATCTCGACACAACGCTGACTAGAACTCCAGTTCAACTACTACTCGCACACGTCACAGGACAGCTACACGACATTCATGCTCACGGAGAAGGAGCTCTCAAACGCACCCGCCACTCGCGCCTCCATCCTCATGAAGACCGGCGCTTGCGTTGGCGGTACCATCATCGGCTACCTCTCGCAATGGATTGGGCGTCGTCGTGCCATGCCATCTCTGCCATCATGTCCTGCATCCTCGTCCCGGCCTGGATCCTGCCGACCACTGAGCGATCGTTGTCTGCTTCAGGCTGTAAGTCCCACGACCCCAAAATCCTCCATGTGAGAACTCCTCGCTAATGTTCGAACCAGTCTTCATGCAATTCTTTGTCCAGGGTGCCTGGGGCGTAATCCCTATTCACCTCAACGAATTGAGCCCTCCTGCCTTCCGCTCCTGTTTCGTGGGGGTCACCTACCAGATCGGCAACATGATCTCTTCCCCATCAGCACAGATCGTCAACGCCTTGTCCGAGTCCCACTTCCTCACGGCACCCAGCGGCGACCGCGTCGAGGCTTACGGCCCAGTGATGGGCATTGCTACTGTCATCATCGCTTTGGGCATTGCGGTAACAGTGGCGTTTGGTCCGGAGCACAAGGGTAGCAGGTTCGAGTTGGCGAAGCCGGCGGGTGTGCAGGAGGAGGAGGTTAGAGGCAAGTTGGGCAGTGATGCTGGGTTGGAGAGGGGTGAGGTTGAGAAGGCCGTGCCGTCTCAGTTCGAGAATGTTGATTTGGAGAGGCGTGTTGGTGAGAAGGTCTAAGTGAACTTGTTGGAGTATCGTCTGGCAGGGAAGATCTGGAGCGGGTGTTGAATATGACGAGTCTGGGTACAGCACATCATGGTTCTTCGGCAGAGTCGGAGCGGTCGACGTCACGATACCACTGATAGTCCGCACGCTGCATTTCGAGGTTGATCCAAGACTGCCTGAGGAATGTCCAAGGGCACAATGTATGACAGTTACGAGGGGCCGGATTGGAGCGAGACTTGACAGAAGGTCAATCGTATAACTTGATGACAGGACATCAGATCTGAGTGTATATGAGATACTGCACGACATTCTAGCCTGATGAATACTTATCTACATATATATCCTTGCCAAGCGACCACTTCGCTTCAGACCCCCACAGTTCTCTTCCTTCATGCTGGCGCTGCGCTGACAGATCATTGACATCGCATTAATCCTGCGACCGGCAAGGCACCACATCTATTTGGACACACCTGCTTGCACCGAACATGTCTGCAATACATGCGAAAGTTGAGTCATCCGGTCTTACGAAGCGCCCAGTGTCATCCGGCGATAGCTGAGCGCATCGACATCCTGTCATCCGGTCTCACATTAAACCATCTGTCAATCGGCTTCTACAAGAGGTGCGAGATACATGTGAACTGCAATTCAAGACACAGATTTGTGTTCGTCGCTACAGACCACTATCGTGAGCATCACCTCCGAAATACACCCACCCCCCAACAAAACCTCAACACCGCCAATCCCCACGCCATCCCAATACTATCCCACAGCACATTCAACTTACTCCCAACCACCTCCCGCCACCCAATCGCCACCTCCGCCACCGGAATGCCCGCGAACTCCGCCAACATCAACATCTCCACATCAAAGATCCAGCCCTCGGTATGCATATACGGCACGATATACGGCAGACTCGCCCTGCTAAACAGCTTGAAGCCACACTGCGTGTCCTTTATCCTCCCCGTTGCAGGCGGCGTCATCACCCAAAGCAACAAGTGGAACGAATGCATCAGGAAGTTCCGCAATTTGCTGCGCTTGACGACTGCTTCGGAACCGACGAGATGGTTCCGTGATCCCACCGCAACGCCACGGCCCTGGCTGTCGGAGATGTTTTCGCAAGCGGACACGAGTTTGCCCAGATCCGTGATCTGGCTCGCGCCGTCGGCGTCAGCAAAGACGACATACTGGCCGCGGGCATGGCGCATGCCGTGGGTGACGGCGCCTCCCTTGCCGCGGTTCTGGGTGAGGGTGACCATGCGGATCGAGCCGGGCTTGATTTTCACGCCTTGCTCGGAGCGGTGTGTCCAGGGCCCGGACATGCGTCGCGGGAGGGCGGGGAGGATGTGGTCTTGGCAGAATTTGGTGCAGACGGAGAGGGTGCCGTCGGTGGAGCCGTCGTTGATAAGGAGGATTTCCCAGCCGCGGAGCTGGGGTGCGTGTGCTGTGCCGTTGGCGGGCTTTCTTGAGCGGACGTCGCCGTTGGGAGTGGCCGAGGTTTCGGCCGTTGCTGGGAGTTTCTGTGCAACGGCCGAAGAGCCGTACTCGGTTTCGAGGTAGTTGACTGCTTCTTCTAGCATGCCCATGAGGCGCTTTTCTTCGTTGTAGGCGGGCACGACGACGGTCATGAAGACTTCGGCTGGCTCGATTTCTGTTTCTGGTTTCAGGTCTCGCCCTTCCGCGTATGCTTTGGTCATCTTCTTCGCTAGCTCGTCGTACCAGCACGGAAGTGGCTCCGGCTCTGTGAGGTTGCCGACATGGTCGACGGTACGGTATGTCTTTTCGCTCTGTTGTGGTGGTCGCGGCCTGGGGACGACGTAATTTGTGAAGACGAAGAGCTGGTCTAAATCAGTTCTGGCAAGACTAAGAGTCCAGATATGGCAGACTTACAGCCAGCACAATTGAGAAGGCCGCCCAGATCAGCATGAAGGGTATCAGCTTCCAACTATAGCGGCCTGTATCGTTGTTGACCATTGCGAGGAAGTATCCTCCGGGATAGCCTGATTCGCCCATGTTGGAGGACACATTGGCAGAATTCAAGGCTAAGAACGAGCAATAACAAGACTTGGTATCAGAGCCGGGTCATCAGGCAGGTACAGTAACACTTTGCTCAAGGGAGTCTGAATATGCGCTCAGTTCTGCAACTTTTTGGAACATTGCCCTACGATGACAGCAAGGGGCCGCGGCGCGGCGGCGGCGGGGAACGGCTCGCCGCAAACTCTAACTCTCGGCGAAGTCAGGAACGCCCGGAGATGATACTACTATCTCCTCGTGCAAGCAGGACGTCACCATTCAGTGCATATTCAAACCGTAGCACGATGGTTGTCTTCCTCTGTATATGCCTCTTCATTTGCTCAAGTCGGTCCTCGGGAGACAAATACCTCGTCTGAACGTTCGCCCACTCATCATGGCGGACAAGATGGCAACCTACTCGCCATCGGACGCCAAAGTCCTGAACGTCGAGCCAATAGTAAGCATTCCAGTTCCATTTCCCCTCCTGGAAAGTATACTGAACGGGCTACTTACAGAAGCCAGAAGAAGCAAAATGGATCAGATTAAACAAGATCAATTACCAGGATCCGTCTGGTGGGAAGCGAGTCTGGGAGAGTGCTGAGCGACAGGTAGGTCAATGTTGAGCAATTCTGGATCAACAGCGCCATTTAGTCGGGCATTACAGCGTCTGACCACGCCCAGACCCGCCGCGCACATACCGAAGCAGACGGCGTCGGCGTAATCGCCATCCTCCAATTCCCCAACAAGCCCGCCTCACTCCTCCTGCAAAAGCAATTCCGCCCACCCGTCAACAGAGTCACCATCGAAGTCCCCAGCGGCTTGATCGACGAGGGCGAAGACATCGCCACTGCAGCGCTGCGCGAGCTGAAGGAGGAGACGGGCTATGTGGGCACGATCCCGGGCGACGAGGAGGCGAGGAAGGTTGCGGAGGGGTTTTTGATGTGGAATGACCCAGGGTTTTGCAATACTAACACGAAGATGATTTTTGTCCAAGTTGACACTGACGCGCCCGAGAATCGGGATCCCAAGCCGGAGCTGGAGGAGAATGAGTATATTGAGACATTTACCCTGCCGCTGGCTACCCTGTGGATGATCTGATGGAGCTGGATCGTCAGGGATACGGGATCGATGCGAGAGTTGCGACGTTGGCGCAAGGCATGGAGCTGGCGAAGCGGTGGAAGGGTAGTGTATTGGCCTGAGGGTGGTGATATAACTCAGACTCGCCTATAGCCATCCTACCCACCAGCAGTGAACTCCCCTCGATACCAAGCGCTTTCAATCCCGTGGCCCATCTCTATGATTTTGCCACCGCTTGGGTAATACACCCTGATCTGCTCGCTCCCATCAGGATCTCTGTAAGTTACCGCAGCAATTCCATCACTCACATCATCAGCCTTGGGCCACATTGTTCCATTGTGCACAACAATTTGCATGTCCAGACTTGGCGGCCGGACCTGCCATTCCGTGACGACGCGGTCTGGGTTGATGAACCACATGCGCGTTACAACGCCGCTGCCGTCTGTGCTGTTGTCCAGAGAAGGGAGGGTGCAGATTGCGAGGTTTGTTGGTGCTGGGAGGTCGGGGTTGGTGGGGTGTGGGTAGGGTCCCACTAGTTGAGGTGGTTAGTGGATGCTGTATGTCATCACGTGAAGCAGGAGCGGTGGCGGAAAAGGACCCGGAGAAGGAAGGAGAAGAACGCGGAGAGGGAAGGATAGGTAACGTACAGAAAGAGAAGTGGTCGAAGTCCCAACGATTGTTGAACACGTCCCCGTTCGGCGTGTCAATCCAGTACAGACTTGGACCCAAGATTGGCAGCGTCTCTACTGTCATCGCAGCTGGAGAGTTGTTGCGCATTGCTCCTGGCCCGGCGGGCGCGCCACAATTTGGGGGCAGGCGGGTGCTTCTGTCCCAGCCGTAGCTGCAGATGTCCCCGTTGGAGGCGGTGTAGGCGGTGTGCATTTGAAGGTCGTCGTTGGCGGTTGAGCCCCATTGCACGAACGACAGCTGAGATGTGTCGGAAATGTTGGGCGCATTGATGCGAGGCCCGCTGATTTGGAGCACACCCGGGCAAGTTTGCAGTGTGACAGGTGTGCTGGAGTCCTGGCAGGCAAGCTCCATTTCATATATATCTGGGTATGTAGTGTTGGAGATCATCTGTAGAGAGACCTGAGCAGTGTCAGTATACACAACAGCACTGAAATATGCTCTATTTAGTAAGCGTACCCTTCGATGGTTTCCATCTTGCCAGGTCGCAGCCGCTAACGAATTGGCCATGCGCGGTGGTACTGGAAGTCCACTCAGCACACCACGATCTTGCCACGCCACGTTGCTGATCGTGTTGTGGACATGAATACCCTCCTCCGTGGCGTCAAGGTAGAAGATAAATGCGGCTTCATTGTCTCGCGCAATGGCAATGCTCGGATAGCGGGACGTTGTGCGCGCTGTCGAATCTGTACTGTTCGACTGAGATCCGGTACCCGGCGCGTCGGTATCGTTATTCGGCGTGCCTGGCGACGAGCCCGACGAGCCATTGTTCGTGCTTGACTCTTCCCTGTACGAAATCAGCCTTACGTTCTTTGAAGCAGGAGCATCTCCGTTTATGGACTGACTTATTGTCGTTGGACTTTCGACTGCCTAAAACACCTCCCAGCACCGCAGCAATTACCACGATCAGCAGTACAACGCCAGCAACGAGCCATCGCCGCCGTATACCGCAATATCTCTTGCCTTTTCTTCTTGATGCGACAGCTCCAGCCGAAGTCGTACCCTCTGTCTTCAGTGGTACTGCTTCCGGCGGATCTCTCGACGCCTGATAAGGCGTCTTGTACGTGTCTCGCTCTGCATCATGGTCGAAGATCTTGTACGTATCGCCATCGTGATTGACAGCTTCGGGCAGTGTATGGTCTTGATTTCCGGCGTTTAGTGGCTTTCTGGAGTCATCTGACTCCGACACATTAGTTCATAGATCGCTGCAGCGCAAAGTCCAGCCTTACCATATTGTTCTCTGGCCGTGCTGTAGCTCCCTAGCTTGTACATCTAAAGAACTGTAGCAGTGGCCACCGCTGGCGAGGTAGGCTGCCCGCGCGCTTTTGAACTTGAAAGACCCTGTCGGTCATCGAGCCGCAGTCCCAGGTTTCTGCTCTGCGCCCATGCTAGTGATTTGGCCCCCTTTGATGATCATGCACAAGTAGCGTGAAGCTAGTGTGTTGGCACATCTCAGCCGAACTGCTGGCGCGCATCGCGCAGGCGTCTGGCAATTGACGAAACATCGCCGTCGACGACGATTCTCTCTCATTGCTGTATGTCCGCATGATAAGAGAGCATTCTGCAAGTGTAGCTGACAGTCATTGGGATCTGTTCACATCGAAACAAGCCTGTATTGACATCGTGCGTACTGGTACTTTTGTAGAAGCTTCAGTAACGGCCCGTGGGCGGAAATCGGCGCCTAATTGTACGCCAATCAAGGACTCATCTCGAGGCCAAAAACATGGCATTTTAGCTCATTTCGGCTGGAGATATGGGTATCTCGTACCAGTCAGGCCGTTCGGGCATAAAGTGGGCGTTTTGTATAATTGTCCGTTGAAATTTCAGGTCAGGGCGGGCTCTGAGGACCAGAATGGTCTTGCAGATTGAGCCACCAAGTTTGAGATAAGCCTCACTTCATTACTAAGTCGCTGGAACAACCCGTCGTTAGTTTTCTTGCCAGGGAAGGTGCTGTAGGAGTTCGTGGTGTCTGGGTTAGAGCTGGAGAAAACGCCCATATCTTGGCCGAACGACTTGCCAGTCTTGCCAGTGGACCCGGCGCGCATCGATCTGCTGGTCTGGGCGCCCATCTTCTCGCCTATGAGGTAGCGACCTCGGGAATATGAATGATTCGTGACGCCATCCCACGAACCGACTTTGGACACGCATGATGTATTATGCTGTAGACTTATAGTCGTTCACCGAATGTTAATCGATGTGTAAGTTCCGGTCTCTGCGTTAGATCTGAATGCTGGTTCGCAATTGCCATGGAACACGGGTTATATCTTTCTAAAGACAACGTCGTGGCAAAGAAGGAAGAAGACCTGGGTCGAGCTTGCCACTCTTTAACAGCAATTCGGTAAGTGCGTGGTCTACGCCTGGTCGCATACCTAGGGATCACTCTGAGCTGGATCTTGCTAGGTATTGGAGCTAGCGTAGGTAGTTAACTCAGACAATCCATCACTGACTCTTTCGCGAACGATATTGAATTAGAGCAAGTCCTGACCAAAGCACTTGTAAATTATCCGCGTTTCGACCAATTGTCTCGAACGGGCGACTGGCTCATGCAGAGCAGAGCACATCACTAGAACCCCTCCCTCGCCACGTTACCTACTGCCTCCGCAAGTTGACCGAACAGGACCCCTTTGAGCACCGTCTCTCCTTGCTCTTCAAGCCAATGCCCAGTCTCTGACAATCTCTTCTTCCAGCTGTGCTTCTGACCCTCAGTCAATTCCTCCCATTTCCGCACTGTCTCCTCTTTTACGACCCTCGACGTCGTGATGCAGGAGCTCAGCAGATACGTCACTGCCGGTGTCACGCACGACAATCGCCTTCGGCGTCTTCAACCCGGCAGACTCAGCAGCGCCTGCTGCCGCGCTCGAAACGGTGTACGAAGCGGAAGCTACAGCTGCTGAGAGCTGGTCTTGTAGAGCAGACAATGAGGGTGGCTCGAGGATGTTAGTAGGGATGCTGCCAGGAGCCGAGGAGATGGCGTCGATGATGCTCGAGATGGACGAGGAAGCCGCCGAAGGGCTTAGTGAGGGGTAAGGCTGTGCGATCAGGGACGAGACGCGTGGGGAAAGCCAATTTGCAGCACCGAGCGTTGGAGGTAGTGCGCCGCGGATTTCGCAGAAGACTTGCATGAGGAAGGCGACGAGAGTAATGACGAAGAAGGCGATGAAGATGTTGATCGAGGTCTGGAGTGTTGAGGCAGGTGGCTCCTGGAGTATGTACCGAGGTGTGTGGCTCTCCACGGGCCAAGGTCGAAGGGGCATATTTTGCACGACGACGGTCTGGTCCACGCCAACGGAAGCAAGTCGAACATGCTGCGGTGGTGTTTTGTTGGCCGGTGTGCTCGGCTTGATGAAGTTCGAGAAGACTATGCGAGTCAAAGGTCCGCTGTGTACATCACGGAGGAATCCAACATTGTTGAAACGTCCCATCCCTGCTGTGTTGTTGTAGTCGATTGTCAAGAGTTCGATAGAAGACTCCTGCGTAGCAACAGCAATGATGGTTTGGAAGTCGCCTGCTGGATTTGACGAGAGCGGGCAGACATCCAAGCCAACAGCTGCCTTCGTACTCTTGCCTAATGCCTTCTTCAGCGTAATGCGACCACTTGACATGTCTGATGAGAGCTTGAGGATGATGAGCGAAGTGCCTGTTCGCGCGGGCTTGTTTTGTAGGAGTAGGATGTATCTGGGCGAAATGAATCGAAGGGCTCTGAACTTCGGTCTTCTAGACGGTGCCACTGACGAAGTAGATTCGACAGTCTCATAGACCTTGACAGGAGCCTCTATTCTGCTTCCCTTCGTCCTAGGCAGCTGCTGCAAGAAAACAGCGTCGTCTGTGCAGTAGGCAAGGCAGTGTCCGTTCCCTTCGATTGGTACGACATCGACGTCGGCAGCTTCCTTCTTTCCAAGACTGATGCGTGAAATCTCATCCACAGTGCTAGTGACGGCATTGGACACCGGCTGGAATACGACGACCTCATTCTCGGGAGCAAGGCCAGTTGCTATGGCGGCAATCCGTGCTTCGCTTCTCGACTTGATCCGCGACGTCGCGAGCACTCTCTGATACGTCTCATTCTTGGGACCGTTGGCACTCTTGAAAAGAGCATTCTTGCCCAAGGCTTGTGTGCCTCTGTTCGGACTTTCTATCTTTTCAACATTTGTTCCATCCACTTTTCTTTTTCGTGCTGGTAATGAAATCCGAAACGATCGTAGATGCTCATTCTTGCCAGCCGCCTGCTCTGCATCTGAGCTATTGATACCGGCTATAGCTGTGAGAGCGTGCTCTGTAGACGAAGCGACGGCCAAAGTTGTGACAGAATCTTCGTCCTTTGCCAGTTCAACCTCTGCTACCTCGTGAAGCTCATCTCTCCGAGACGTGTCGATGAGGGAGATCTTGTTCGGTACGCCAGTAGAGCTCGATCCACCTCCGCCACCAACGAGCAAGAAGTCCGGGTTGAGAGGGTCGAAGTCGGCACCATACAGAGGATAGCCCAGCTTCTTGCGAAGCTGAGATACGTTTGGCGTCATGACGGGAGGGCTCTCGATGCTGGAAATTTCGCAGAAAGCGAGAGAGGGACGAAGCCACTATCAAATCTCCTGTGCTTCCATGAGGATAACAGACCTCATGTACTGATCAATGTACTAATGATGCTCTCGTAGGCGTGGTTTGCTGTGAGTATTTGTGCAAGGTGCCATCATTGCATGTGCTACCGGTGGCGCAATGGGCCTAGGCAATGGGCCCACTATGACGCCTAGCCCCTAGATCGCGCTAGTGATCAATTGATGTTAAGCTTAAGTACTAGGCATCCAAGTATTGGGGACATGGCAATATGCAATAAAATCTCATGGTCTAACATGCTGACATGCTGTTGAACACTACGACACTTTCTGTGTGCCCATAGTTGACTTCATCACTGGCTCGTATTGGCCATCAGCACCAGCCTACGAGACAGCAACACACAGGTCATTATCCATTCGTGCAGAGTCCTCTGCATTAGCAGCTCTACACCTCCAGGCGTCGAATCACGCATCTCTCACTATCCAGGTACACGTCTCACTTCTTGAATCCCTTCTGCAACTCATGCCCTTGACTATGCGGTGCGCTTCGTCTGGCCACGGTATTGGGTCCATCGCCTCAGCAAGTGGCCAAGAATGGCATGTTCCAGAGCTGAGATCAAGACCTCGTATCGCCCCTCATTCGTGGCTCCTGACAGCTACCCTCATCCCGCAGAACCAACATCGAGAAGCAGAAGCGGAAGCTTCTCCCGTATCGAAGCCTTGATCTACTTGAGCTGAAAGCAATAGTACGAGTAGAACATGGTATTGATTCGGCTGAGCCAAATGTTGAACGACTTCCGGTAAGTTCCATTGCTTCTCGTGTTGTACATCCGAGACATTGGGACAATTTGCCATGCTGTCAAGCGTGGATACGAATGCTTGGGTGCGAGCTTGGGCTAGAACCACCACGGCCCTCAGATGAAGTTATAAGGATGTCGTTATGCCCGGGCTCGCGTCACGCCTGCTGTCTCGCGTCTAAGACAGTCCGTGTGCGAATCAGCAACCAAAGCAGCAAATTCTAGTAGGAATCGATCAAAAGATGTTTCCTCTTGGGTCACACATCCTCTCGTTGACCTATGTGCTCGCTTTGGCCGAGAACGCCGCTGCCGGGAAAGCGTGGGGACCCTGGGGAGGCAAGCCGATGTTTGTCAGTGCTGGACAATCAATCCAGTCGGCCATCACCTCTGCACAGCCGGGGGCCAAGATCATCGTCAAGCCCGGCACCTATGCCGAACAACTTCTCATCACGCAGAGCGGACTCTCCTTGATTGGTCTGCCAGGCGCCACGCTTGTGCCGCCAACTACTCCGTCTCCAAATGTCTGCACCAATGTTGGCGGCACAGAGAATGATCAAGCGGGCATTTGTGTTGCTGGAAAGGATGTGGTCTTTGCAGACGCCGTTGCTGAGCATAAGAAGGTCTCGACTGTCGGCCAACGCGTCAAAGATGTGACCATATCCGGCTTCACCATCAAAGGTTTCTCCGGAGAGAACATTGCCCTTGTCGGAGCAGAAAGCACAAAAGTTCTTGGAAATACGCTCATCGACGGTGGGAGGTACGGTGTCCTCTCGGACGGTTGCATCGACTCATTAATCTATGGAAATACAGTCACCAAGTCACCTCCCTTGGGTTTCATCAGTATCTGTGTAGACGACGTCAGCGGAGCAAAAGTCCAGGACAACCAAGTGGATGGCACCTATGTTGGGCTGTGCACACAGACCAGCGGTGCAGATGTCAGTGGCAACACTGTCAAAAACACCTGTCAAGCGGTCTTCATCGATCCTGACATTGCTGGCGCAAAAGTACACGACAATCATCTGAGCGACTCAAATCCAGCGTGCAACAAAGCCGAAGACAATCCTGTAGGCAACTACGGTGTCATAGCTGCAGGCAGCATCGGTGCAGTGATCAAGGACAACACTGTCGAGCGCATCTCCTCAGGAGGGCAGACGAACCCGTTCGCGGCCGGTATTGCGATTATTGACTGGCCAGCACCGCCGACGCTGGCAAGCGATAACGTCGTCGAAGGCAACGTGTTGAGCGAGAATGACTTCGATGTTCTGCTATTTACCAATGGCACTGGGAATGTGGTGCAGGACAATGAGTGCAGCACTTCAGCGCCGCCGGGATTGTGTTGAGAAGCAGCTGGTCACTCAATGTTGTGGGCAGATGGATAATGCATGTGGCCACAGGGGAGCATCACCAGAGGCCGGCCTGTGCCGGATGAGACATGCATTGGAGAAGCTGTGCTTGCACGAAATTGCTCACGATACAAAGCAAACCATGTCATCGTCGATGCTCACTTATCTGGACCAAGAAGTCGGTGTTGCTGGTGAGCGGCATCTGTCCTTAAACGGTTGAGATCTCGCTTGCAGTAGCCTAGTGGGCCCTTCTGACACGCTTGAATTATTGATGCCTAGGGTTTGGGTGGTAAGCTCTCTCGACGTTGTCGGGGTCTCAGGGTCTTTAGTTCAGGCGTCACTTCCAAATCAAAGAAAGCACTGCCTCATCTTCGCTGCCTTAGATCCAAAGTTCCCTGCCAAGCTTCGACTGCCAGAACGGGCATAGTTTGAAATGAGTCTTCTATTGCTTGTTGTTGAACGGTTTTGATGTTCGCCTCTGATACACACCACCTCTCAACATAAATCTCGTCGTATATCTGCTCACCAGATCCAGGCGTGAACACGTCTTGGGCCGATCGTGAGTTTCAAAGGCGCCTGTCAGCGGAAAAAGAAGGCCTGGACGAGCGGCTCGACAAGTAACATCAGGACGATCTTCGCCGAGATGGCCAAGGAACATGTCCATGGGAAGCCTTCACTCCCTGAATTTAATGCGACCGTGGACCCGACTCTTGCACCTTTTCAAATCTCCCAAGGAACTTACCTCGAGAACAATCCGACGGTTCTTTACAAGTCAACAGAGTATCACATCAATGGAGGCATAGGGTCAGGAGCGGTCGTCATTACCGATGCCGATGTCTTCGCAAAGTCCGGAAGCAACGCAACAGAATTGCCACAGACGACCATGGCCTCGCAGCAACAGCAACCGAGAGTCCTCCTGGTCCGGCGCGCTCCTACCGATTCGTCGCCGAACCTCTGGGAAGTACCTGGAGGTGCCGTAGATTTCGACGATCCGACGATCCTTCATGGCGCGGCACGAGAGCTCTGGGAAGAGGCAGGTCTGCACGCCACGGCTTTCCACCGAATTGTGGGACCAGAGCATGGTCAAGTGTTGACAACAAGAAGAGGACGACTGTTCGTCAAGTTCCACTTCTTGGTTGACGTCAAGTCTTACGACGTGAAGCTGGACGAGAATGAACACAGTGACTTTTGCTGGGCGACAGAGGCTGAATGTGAAGTGGGAACGGTCAAACGAAGGGTTGAAGGGCAGGAGACGACATTAGACATTCCCTTCACCTCGGAGGCACAGAAAGCTGCGATCATGGCGGGCTTCGAAGCCTGGAGGAAGGTGCAGGCTGCAGCAAACTGACGGCAGTCTTCGCGCGCCGATCCGCACAGCGCTGCCATCTGCAGACCAGCCCATGTGTGTCTGATGCATTTGATGGTAAATGGACTGAATTCGATTGAGGTTGAAAAGCGGCTAGAGCATATTTGGTGTACGTGGACCACCGTACTATCATTGCGGTCAACCTTAAAGGAGCGTAAACTTGATTGAATCTTCAGTCGTTATTTGGTAGACAATCTTCGCCATCATCTGCATTTCTTTTTGTCGCTCTTTTGTAAGAAATCCAGTTAGAAATTCAGTTTGCGAGGAGTAAGTCAGCATTCCACGTGTGATGGTGTTGCGATGTCGTACATCAAGACTTGATCGCCAGATCGTACAATCGTGGACAAAACATGGAGATTGTCATAGGTCACTTTCGCAGCACGGCCGTAGACATGGATTTAGCACAGTTGCGAGACAATGGCAGCAGGTCTCAAATGTTCGAAACATCGGCATCATTGCACACATCGATGCGGGCAAGACGACGACCACAGAGCGAATGCTATTCTATGCAGGCCACACGCGAAGGATCGGCAATGTCGACGAGGGCTCCACGGTGACCGACTTCTTACCGGCCGAGCGGTCAAGAGGCATTACGATTCAGTCAGCTGCGATAACTTTCGACTGGCCTCCAAACGATCTCCTTGGCGATGGGGCAACGCCTTCCCGTAAACCTCACCACGTCAATCTAATTGACACGCCCGGACATGCAGACTTCACGTTCGAAGTACGGAGGTCGATACGCGTCCTCGATGGCGCGGTCTGTATCCTTGATGGCGTCGCGGGCGTCGAAGCTCAAACCGAGCAAGTCTGGAACCAGGCAGGCGAGTGGAAGATACCTCGGATTATCTATGTCAACAAGCTCGATCGCGACGGAGCAGCTTTCGGACGGTCGGTACGAGAAATCGGACTAAGACTAGATGTCTGGCCAGCTTTGTGTCAAATACCTTGGTTCGAGGGTGGCAGGGGCAGCTTCACGGGTGTCGCAGACGTAGTGGCTCTCGAAGCTCTGAAGTACGATCTCGGTTCCGACGGTACGGCTTTTAAGCGTTTCTCTTTGTCGCACCTGAGCACGATCGAGCCCAATCTAGCTGAAGAGCTACGAAGAGCACGAATTGCACTCGTTGAGCTCCTAAGTGAGCACGACGACGTGCTTGTGGAAGCTTTCTTCGCTGCCAACGAAGATCATCTTGCTGTGTCCAGTACAGATATACTGCAAAGTCTCCGACGATGTCTGTTGCGCGAGACGCCGGTCATCGTACCAGTGTTTGCAGGTGCAAGCTTCCGCAATATTGGCGTTCAGCCTCTGCTTGATGCTGTAAACGACCTTTTCCCTGCACCGGAGGAGCGGAGCGATCCAGAAATCAGTATGGGACCAACCAAGGGCACATTATCAGCACTTGTCGCTGGGAAGCTCAACATTCGATCAGCCATCAAAGATTTCAGGAAGAAAGTCGCATCTGGCTCTGAGATCGGCAAGCACCTGCAAGGTTGCGCCCTGGCTTTCAAGGTCGTCAACGACCCTAAGAAGGGCGTTCTGGTGTACATTCGAGTATACTCTGGCACTATCCGTCGGAACGACGTCTTGTACAACACAAACGTCCAAGAGTGGGAGCGTGCAATGACATTACTACGTATGTACGGCTCCGATTCGGAGCCCGTCGAAAGTGTCCAAGCTGGCCAGATCGCTGTCATTGCTGGATCGAAATTTCACCGTACTGGAGACACGCTGATCTGTTACGCTGAACAACACAGAAAGGTGCCACCGGAGCCTGTGAACGAGCTGCAGCTGAGGCCCATCCATGTTCCACCGCCTGTCTTCTTTGCTGCCATCGAGCCGAACAGCCTGAAAGATGAACGAGACCTGCATGCTAAGCTGCAACTCTTGCTTCGTGAGGATCCAAGCTTGTCTGTCAAACAAGACGAGGACACCGGGCAGACGTTGCTCAGCGGTATGGGAGAACTGCATCTCGAGATCGCCCGAGATAGGCTGGTGCACGACCTGAAAGCCAATGCAAGGATGGGCCAATCACCATTGGCTACCGCGAGGCTCTCACTGGTCCTTCGAAGGCTGTGCAGAAGATCTTCGAGAGCGATAAGTTGGGCAGCAAGGGCAAGGCAGGCTGCACAGCGCAAATCGAACCGATAGACGAGAGCCAAATTAGCAGCGAGCGATCTCAAAACAGCGTCTCCTTCCACCAAGATGGAAATGAGATAGTAGTTGAAGCGCCAAGCTTGAATAGCAAGGGAAAGGCTACCACCACGGACGGCGTTGGTCTAGCCCAAGACCTGTTCCAGAAACAAATTAAGGCGGGCGCCCAAGTCCTGACGCTCAGAGAAATTCAGACAGCTTTCAGCAACGGTGCTTCAGCAGCATTGTCGCGAGGGCCGACATTCTCATATCCAATGCGGAATCAACGAGTCACGCTGACTTTGGATCCTGCCAACCATATCTTTGGCACAGAGACCACGAATGCGGCGTTGTCTGCTGCGGCTCTCTGGCGACAATTGCGGCTCTCAAGGATTCTGCAGCAAGGTCGAAAGTCGTCCTCTTGGAGCCTGTCATGAACGTGGACATCAGCGTAGATGACGCCTCGCTTGGCAAGATCGTCCAGGACATCTCCTCAAGCCGCGGCGGTCACATTGTGTCATTGGGGGATAATGAAGCAGAAAAGGCCGATAATGATTCTGCCAAATTGATTGACGTGGAGAGAATCTATGCCCCGAAGGACCCCTTTGAATCTTCGGGCTCGGGTCCGGCTCTGGGCGACCACCAAGTCACCAATATTCAGCGCACCGTCACTGCGAAGGTGCCGCTAAAAGAGATGGTCGGCTACCTGAAGCATCTCCGAAGCATGACTGGTGGGAGGGGAACTTTTGTTATGACTGTCGATCGATTCGAACGCGTCACAGGAGTCCGCGAGAAGATGTTGATGCAGGAATTGCGAGGTGGCGCGACGAAGCAATAAGTGCTCGAATGTACAACATGATACCCAAAGACTACCATTTTCATCTCCTGAACATCTCTCCCTCTCCTAAGTATGGCAGTGTAGAATGACCTCTGGGTGACGTAGTTTAGCCGGGGTTTGGCCGTCAGCTGTTCCTCGACTTACCACAATAACATGTGCTCACACTCACCACAATAGTACGCATCTTCAGTCTGCTGCGAACAGTGCGCTCTCTTGTTTTCCATTCATTTCTTCACATTCATTACTCAACATGGCTACTAAGGCGTCTTGGGAAGTAGACCCAGAAACTCGTAGTAAAGTAAGTTCAGCAGCCCGCTGTCCTGTCCGATAAACGTGGCACGAGTTGATTACAAGACAAATCTCTGACACTCCCTACAGCTGTCACAAATATCTAAGAAGGAGGGCGCCGGAAACGACAAGTGCTGCGACTGTGGTGCACCCAGCCCTCAATGGGTGAGCATACTCTGCCCGCTACAATGCGCAGCGCAACACTCAATTCTAACCACCACACAGGCCTCCCCAAAATTCGGCAACTTCATCTGTCTAACATGTGCTGGCACCCATCGCGGACTGGGTGTTCATGTCTCATTCGTCCGTTCCATATCCATGGATGCCTTCAAGTCCGCAGAGATAAGCCGCATGGACACCGGCGGCAATAAGAGGTGGCAGGATTTCTTCACCGCCAACAACCCCTCAGGCGCATCCTTCGATGAATGTACGATCAAAGAGCGCTATGATAGCGAAGTAGGCGAAGAGTGGAAGGAGCGCCTGTCGGCCGAAGTCGAGGATAGGACATTCGACGAAGCCGCCTTCAAGAAGCAGATGGAGGTCATGCGACAAAAGAAGGCTCAGAAGGAGCAAGAACGGTCAACACAGAACAGCCGGAGTGGCACACCTGTCGCCGGTCGGAGCATAAGTTCGCAACGACGGACTGAAAGCCCTGCAGCTGGTGGTCCCGGCAAACGAGGCCCTGGCATTACGGCAGAGCAGAAGGCACAGAATGAGGCATACTTTGCGAGAATGGGCGATGCCAACGCCAGCAGACCCGATGGCGTGCCACCTAGCCAAGGCGGCAAATATGGTGGCTTCGGCAGCTCTGCTCCAGTTGGTCAATCAGCTGGTCAGGAGGGTGGCTTGCCTGGTGCGGATGAGTTCCAGAAGGACCCGGTGGCCGCAATAACCAAGGGATTCGGCTGGCTTGGTGGCATGGTCAGCAAGCAGGCCAAGGTGGTCAACGAGAGCTATATTCAGCCCACCGCAAAGAATGTGAGTATACGCTGGACAATCTTAATGGTCAGTTCAGGGAGTCGGAGGCTAATTTTTACGCTATAGATCGCATCATCAGATTTCGCCGCACAAGCTCGAACTGGAATAGCTACAGCAGGGTCGACCATTGCCTCAGGCACAAAGAACGCAGCCGAAAACTTCAACAAGTTCATCGAAGGCCAAGACGAGAAGGCCGCGAACGCAGGCTCAGCTCGTCGCGTCGAGCCCGAACGGAAAGACTTCTGGGACAGCTTCGGTGGATCCAACGAGCCCACCACAGCGAAGAGCGGTAGTCTCGGTACAAGCGCCATGAAGAAGGGCCCTAGCCAACCGGGTCAGAAGAAGGACGACGGCTGGGGTGACGACTGGTAGAAATGGCTGTTCGAAAAACTGTGTCTTTGCAGTAAACGCCTGGCGTCTGCGCTTAAGGACTCAGCCAGGATATGAATCGATTTGCTCAAGCAGGATAAAGATTCCCAGCAGTGGCGATCAGAGACGGAGTGATGAATTTACAGCGCGAAAGAACATCAAGACTTTCGCTCCCTATCTCAATGAGTAGGTATGACTCAAGAGAGAATCGCACGAAAAGAGTGCGAATAAGAATCCTGTTCGGGGGTCCTTTGTCTGTTATTCTACAATTTGCTCTCAAATAACGACTTCTGTCCGGGCTTCAAAACATGATACGTCTCTTGAACACACGACGCGATCAAGTCTCCCTTCTGGTTGAATATCCGCGAATTCGCCATTCCCCTCCCGTCGCCCGTCCACGGCGAAGTGACCTCGACGTACATCAGCTCGTCTGCTCGAAAATCATACGAATGTATATGCACCGTATGATTTAGGCTCGTGAACATGCTCGCCATGGCTTCCGTGGGCTTCCCACTCGCATCTCCAATCGCCGGCAGCCCCAACGTATAACCATGCAGATCTGACGGCGCAGCAAGAACATGATAATCCGAAAGATTCAACAACCCCAGCACATGCGGAATCGTCCCTGTCTCCGCCTGCATCGGCCCAATAATATGCGCAACCACCGGCTTCACGCTCGTGTGCACCTCCCTCGGATCCCGGTGCACAAGCGGCAGCCGCTGAAATTTCATATACCCGCCCCTGACAGTCCTGCCCCGCTCGAGATCATCAATCGTGATCTCTCTTACCCGCTCCTTGCCCACTCGCGGCACCGAATGCCTCATGCTCGGTCCCTTCCATGGTGAGGCATTGATGAACGCCATCGTCACGCTCACGATATTCCGCCCCGCTTGCGTGACGACGGCAGAGCGTACGCGAAAGCGTTTGCCATCCGTCAGAGGCTGGATGGTAATGGTATAGGGCTCGTCCGGGTTGGAGCCGGAAAGGAATTGGCAGTGAAGGTTGTCGAGGGCGTAGGCGGGGTCAGCAGGGAGGGTCTGGTAGGCTGCATGGGCGGCCATGGACATGAGGCAGCCGCCGGGGACGACGGTGCTGTTGGGCCAGGTCCATTGCGGGTGGAGTGGGCGGAAGGTTGTGGGGGAGAGGCGGGTTAGGGAGAGGGATTGTTCGAATGTTAGGGTGGGTGTTGCCATCCTTGGAGCCAGGTCAGGGCGAGGGGATGCTCGGAGATCAGGGAAGTGCTGTCATGATTCCTTACATGATCGAGAAGGCGGACGGTGCGAGCCAGTCGCAGATATATCGCCTCTTCGAGTTGCGTACTCGAACATGTGAGCCGAGGTACCTTTGAACGAGGCAAACAGGCGTCCAACGAGGCGGGAAGGAGCATTTGGGCACGAGCGATATCTTTAGGGTTAGGGTCTAAAGTGCTTGCTGGATCCGCAGGCATGAACTCAACTGGCAGCCACGAGAAAGTCGTCTATCACTTGTAGAGTTGCAAGACTTCACTGCCCAACATTCGTGTATTACTAGATCTGTCGACTTTCATTCCTTTGCTTCTTGCCTCCGCAGAGAACCAGGCGGCGCCATTCCCAACACACACTCGCGCTTCACACGCACAAAACATCGCGCCGTGCTCTTCAGATTCATATCGAGTTCTTTCTCTCATGCACAAAGAACTTCATCAGACATCGCCTGCTCTGAGGCCCTGCCTCAAGGCGCGGTCAGATGTCCGCTCCAGCACGCGGTAAGCGCAAGCACAGCGAGCGCTCGTACTCCGGCGACGACTATTCGAGGCCCTCACCTCATCGACCTGAGGAGCTAGGCCTGTCGCGCAACCCGCGCTCGCCGACTGGCAGCCGGCAGCAAGGCTACGAGACCAGGGGAAGAGGACGTGGTCGCGGTCGAGGCAGAGGCAGAGGCGGTTCACAATACCAACAGAGCAGACCGAACGGCACATTAGATCCTGCGGCGCAGCTTTCGAGCCTAACCCGCAACCTGCTGCGACTCCTGCAGAGCCGACATCCAGCATGCCTGCGGTGAACGATGTCGACGAGACTGGTCAGGAAGCAGTCGAAGAGCCACTTCTCGATGTTCCCTACGACTACACAATCCTTACAGATGAGATCTGCCAAAGCCTGACCGAAGACAATCTAGATGCCGTCCCTGCCTTGTTCGCGCTCGGAGAGAATGACAATGACACGGACGCATTGCTTGCGATGCAAGAGCTGGTACACGCGGTGGCTTCTGGCCGGATAGATCCCAAGGTAGCTGGAGCCTTGATCAGCGGCTTCGCTCCGGTTGAAGACGACGACGCAGACAGCGAAACGGCGGATCCGACGCAGATCACGCAAGCTCTACAAAGCGCGGTCGTGGATGCAATCTCAGTCCTCTACGACGACAATGGCTCCCTACCTTTTCGTCGCATCTCAGATTTCCTATCTGCTACACAGATACCTGTCGATATCCTGCGCAATGCTCTTGATCAGAAGCTTCTGATGAGCATGGGCCTAGTTCAGAGCATCTTCGACAAACAAGCTATTAGGAAACAGACGAATGTGGTCTACCGGCAAGCCAACTTCAACCTGGTGCGAGAGGAATCAGAAGGCTTTGCAAAGCTGGTAACGGAAGTCTTCTCGTGCTGCACATCACAAGAACCGACCGGCACAAATGCGGAAGAGGCCGTTGAGAAGGTAAAGGCTCTCATCGGTGCTTTCGACTTGGATGTTGGCCGAAGTCTGGACGTCGTTCTGGACGTGTTCGGATCAGTGCTGGTTCGCTCGTTCCGATTCTTTGTCAAATTCCTTCGAGCCAGCCCTTGGTGGCCACGTGGTAGTCAAGACGATGGCTGGTCAACGCGCGGACTGCCTCGGTGGGCTTTGCCTGGTGTTGAAGATTGGAAAATCACCGAAGAGCAGAGAGCCGAAATTGCGAGCGAGAATCTTTCCCGCGATGCAGATTTTTGGGCTCTTGCGAAGGACCAAGGTCTTCGCGCCTTCTATCAGCTTGGGCTTTCGCATATCCCCGGTGCAGCATCATACGACTCCAACGACGAGTTCAGCAAAGCTTGGGTCGAGGAGACAGGTACCCAGCCACCGTCCGGCAACCACGATGCAGCTCAATTGCTAGGCTTCAAGCTTCGCTTCTATTCCGAGTCTCCCGCCCGGGATGAGTCTGATACTTTGCCTGACAATTTGATGTTTTTGTCAGCACTGCTCATCAAAATCGGCTTCATCTCGCTCAAGGATCTATTCCCACACCTCTGGCGACAAGATGAGGCTATGGAGCAGCTCAAAGCTCAAAAGATTGTCGAGAAGGAAGAACGCGAGCGTGCGGCAAGACCCGGAGCTGGTACAAAGAATGCTCTGTTGACTGCTGGTGCACTGTCTGACGATCCGGAACCTTCGGCCGGACCGCGCTCAGCCGTGCCGCGACGGCTTAATGAGGCCTCAACCCGCGCTGGCACACCTTCCAGAGAACCAGAAGCGGACAAGGCTTCCACGAAAGGTACGACGGATGAGCCAGCCGACCAGAAGATCGCGCTACTAAAAGCACTTCTCGCGATTGGCGCCCTACCAGAAGCTTTATTCATGATCGGACGATTTCCGTGGGTCCTAGAACTTATACCAGACTTGCCAGAGTACTTCTTTCGCATTCTGAAGTACTGCATCAGCTCTGTGTCTGCCCAATCTCAGCCTCTTGCAGACAGGGCCACGTTGCAGCAGACCTTGCCCTACTACGAGACCGATATTCCAGGACTGCCGAAAGGTCAAGTAAAAGTTGAAGAGAATCACAAAGCAAAAGAACTTCGATGGCCTTACCTCGACAAGGCAGACTCACCTGATGGCAAAAGCTACAAGTTCTACTTCGACGAGTGGAATGATCTGCTGCCAGTCTGTCAAACAGTGGATGATGTCTTCGTCCTGTTCGACACATTGCTTCCTCTCGTGGGTGTCAAAATTGGCCATGATCCAGAACTGGTCACCAAAATTGCACGAATCGGCAAATGTAGCTTAAAGCAGGACTCAACGGAGGCGAATCGTGATCGGTGGCTCGACTTCTCAAAACGAATCTTGCTTCCATGCATCAGCCTAACGAAGGCTAATGCCGGAGTCGTCAACGAAGTCTTCGAGTTGTTGATATTCTTCCCAACAAGAACAAGGTACCTGCTGTATCTCGAGTGGCGAGATGGCCGTACGTCTCGCAATCCGGATGTCAAGATTGCTACCGAGCAAGCAAGAGCCGAGACGCGAGACCTCTTGAAGCGGATATCAAAGACCAATGCACGCCAAATGGCACGATCTCTGGCCAAGATCGCCTATGCCAACCCCCATATTGTTACAACGGTTGCACTGAATCAGATTGAGTCATACGACAGCATCTCAACAGTGTTCGTTGAAGGGTCTCGATATTTTACCGACTTGGGGTATGATGTCTTGACATGGAATTTGATCTTCTCCATGGCGAAAGCTGGTCGTAGCAATACGCAAGACGGCGGAATCTTCGCTAGCAGATGGCTAACAGCACTATCGCGATTCGCTGGAGACATCTACAAGAGATACAGCATGATGAAAGCTGGGCCGATCTTGCAATATATCGCACGAGAGCTTGGTCACGGCAACACCATGGATCTGAAAATGCTGGAGAATATCGTGACGTCTATGGCGGGCATCACAAACGATACAACATACAACGAGTCACAGCTTCAAGCCATGGGCGGTGGATCCTTGTTACAGTCTCAGACCATCTTGCAGCTGCTGGATGCTCGACACGAGAAGCATGCCACGTCCAAGCGTCTCATGGCGGCTCTACAGTCCACTGGTCTGACAGGCAAATTCTTGGTACTGATGGCTCAGCAACGACAGGCTTGCCTCACCTCGAAATCAGACGCTCCACTCAAAGTGATTGGCAACACCTACGACGACGTTCACAGAGTCCTAGTCCAATACCTCGACCTTCTGCAACACGGACTGGGCATGAGAATCTTCGCAGAAGTTGTGCCTGACGTCGTGGCTCTAATGGTGGCCTACGAGATTCCCCCCGAGATTGCATTCATGATTTGCAGATCTGTGCTGTCGCGGAAGATCACTGAGTACGAGCGCAAGAAGGCTGATGATGCTTCACTAGCCGCACAGGAGGCGCCCAACGATGTTGACATGAAGGACGCCGAGAGCTCGGAAGAGGATGGCGAAGCCGAAGAAGACGAGCCCACCGAAGTCAATGGCGCCACACCAACAGAGGATGATACACTCAACGCTGCGACGGAATCCGAGCCTATTGATGGCGCCCTGAATGAGCATTCCTGGCACCCCATACTGGAGAAGGTCATGGATGATTTGAGAGATCATCTGCCGCAAGAGGTTCTCGAGACTCTGGGCATCGGTTCTATGTCACCTTCTGGCAGCTCTCACTCTATGACATCGCTATTCCCAGGAAGGCGTATTCCGACGAGATTGCACGGCAGAAAAAGAAGCGCGATGCTGTCAAGCTCGAACGAGCCGTCGGGTCCAGTGCAACGCGAAAGAAGGAAGATGCTGTCAAAGCTTTAGACAAGCTGATCAACGACCTTCTTGCCGAAAATGGCCAGCACGTCAAGGCACAGATCGCTTGCCGGAAACGACTCAGTGCTGAGAAGCAAGCGTGGTTCGTGGGTCAGGCTCGGAATAGTGAGCGCCTCAGTACTGCTCTGTGGGAGTATTGTTTACTACCTCGAATTCTGGCGTCGCCTCTGGATGCATATTTCAGCTTCGCCTTGGTCAAATCCCTTCACAGTCTTGGAACGCCAAACTTCTCGACTCTTGGGCTCTACGATCTCTTCTTCCGAACGGACCGCTTAGTCTCTCTGATCTTCTCGAGCTCATCGAAAGAAGCCGAGCACTTCGGTCGCTTCTTAGCTGAACTTCTAAAGGACCTCAACAGATGGCATAAGTCGAAGACCATTTATGAGAAAGAGGCGTGGGGATTAAAGAAACAGCTTCCCGGGTTCGCTACCAAATCAGAAGGCGGCAAGCCGATCGCTTTCATGCCCTACGATACCTTCAGGAAGCTTCTCTACAAATGGCACACCATCACCCATCAGGCATTCCAGAAATGCCTGAAGTCGACAGAGTACATGCATGTGCGCAATGCCATTTCAATACTGCACGCTGTCTCGGAAGGCGGAACATACCCAGTCATCAACATCCACGGTGTCAGTCTCCAGACCACCATCGACAAGTTGAGGTCTTCTGAGATGCAGGACCTGGTAGTAGCATCGACATCTCTGCTCTCGGCCCTGAAACGAAGCGAGAAGCAGTGGATACCCCCTTCGTCTTTCAATCCAGGTATCGCAAAAGAGTCAACGCCTGTACCTCCACCCGTCAAAAAGGAAGCCACTCCGGCTGTCGAGGCCCCTCAAACAAAGAAGGAAGATCAATCGACAACGAGAGATGTTGATATGATTGACGTCTCTTCCGGTGCGCCAAAATCCGAAAGTGGAAGAGAGTCGAAGGGCAATCCGCAGTCAGACAGCCCCAGCAAGCTGCCGCCGCGTCCAGGTGCAGTCGATGGCGTCGCTACAAGAGAGCGGGACCCACGGAGCTCTAGTAGGCAAGGTCGTCCCGAGGCGCCACGATCAACGTTACCGAGAAAGCTATCGCCGCCTCCCCGACACACTCCTCCAGCCGCGAATCTACCGACCAGACCAGACCAGACCGACAGTCGCAACGCCGGACGTGACCGCGAACCACCAAGGCTACCTCGCGCACCACAAGACGGCACAAGACCACCTCATGCTCGGGACAGTCGCGATGCGCGTGACGTCCGTGATTCTCGAGACGCTAGAGACCCTCGAGACATTAGGGATCCTCGTAGTAGCTATCGTGGTGCGGAAACACATTACGAAGACTACGAACGTCTGCCTCGCAGATACGAGCAGCCAGATGTGCGGGCGCCCAATGGTCGGGACGACCGAGGATATCCCCGCGAAAGAGATGCTCCTAGACCTCAGGAACGTCTGCGTGACTCGGAGCGAGATCGTGACAAAGGATCTGATAGAGATAGACCACCAACCAGGAACCATTCGAGGGAGCGAGAATCTAGAGATCGACCGCCACGGGAGAGTGCTATTCGACAGCCAGCTGATGATAGCTCAAATCGACCGCCAAGGATATCCTCACGAGCTGAGCCAGCACCTCCAGCTTCCCAACCAGATATCGCTGTCAATCCCGCACGAGCAGCTCTGATCAATACGATCGACAACAGAGGACCTCCAATCTCGACCACTCGTCCACCACCATCGCGATCAGACCACCCTCAGCGGGCTTCATCACCGAGACGCGAAGATCCTCGGGACCGTTTTGGTATGAATCGCAATCGTGATGATAGGCAGAGTAGTGACAGGCTTCCTCCTGATTCACATCAGTCCCGCCATACAACACCCTCGCAAGCCCCACGCTCAGAGTATCCACCTCGATCCTCACGCGATGAGCGACCTCCGCATCGAAATGTCGACATGGAGGCTGGCCGACTCGAGCGTGAGCCTGCTCCTTCAGCTCAACCTCGTAATGAACCCAAGCCCGACATTCCCTCTGGTCCGCGGGCAGCAGGTAGCATGCCAGCACCTCGAGGTCCCGGTGGCCCTCCAGCAATCAACACACGTATCACGCAGCAGCCGTCTAACGACCGGCCGCCCACAGGTCCGTCGTCCGGTCGCCATTCCCGAGCGCCGTCTCTTTCAGATCAAAGCGGCTCTAAAACGCCCGATACAGCTGGAGTGCATCCCTCCCGCATGGGTATGCTGACATCGCCTGTTGCTCCTCCACCTGCCGGACCGCGTGGTCGAGGTACTGGCCCTCCTGCGCAAGCCCCGTCTGGACCTGCGCCAGTCTCCCGTGGACCGCCTGCCGGACCAGCATCTGCTGAGATGGGTCGTGGAGCACGCCCGGCCAGAAACCAAATGAACGCTGTTAATGACACCCTGGCGCAAGCCTCAACGACTAGTCGAGGTCGCGGCGGACGGACGGTTAGCAGCAACTACCCACCTCATGGCGGCGCACCAAATGGTCCGCCACTGCCTACCTCTGCTCCCGATCGAGGTCCTCGTAACGACAACTATGGCCAGAACGATCTCTTCGCGTCTCACAGCAGTGCGAATGACACGCCCATCGGAGCACGGCCGCAATCTACCTGCCAAGATAGCATGCGTTCGAACGATCGCCGCCCGCCATCCAGTAGCGCCCGGCCTGACGAGCGCCCGCCACAGAGCGATGATCTTCGACGATCTACGCGCTCACGCAACGACGATCCGAGAGATCATCACGACGCTCGCAATGGCGGACGGGATCGCGATACTCGCGGCGATCACTCGTCGTCTTCTGGCAGGCCCACCGACCAACATCATCACCACCACCGAGACGCTCCGCCTTCGCAATCGTCGAGGCGTGGTGGTGGTGATGACCGGCCCAACCGGAGACACGATGGCCCTCCGGGTGGCACGAGCAGCTCGTACAATGATGATCGCAGCGGCGGTCCTGGAGGTGCAAGAGGGGAGTACAGAAACGACGGAGGCCCACCGCCTTCAGGTCCAGGTGGTCGGAAACATCCGCGCAGCGACGAGAATGGCGCTGGACAGTATGATGGTGGCAGAGGCGGAGGCAGAGGCGGGCGGGTGGCTAGTGAGAGCAAGCGGCCGAGGAGAGGGGCTTAGTCGGTCAGGTCTCTGCGATGGAAGTCTTTTGGGAAAGTCAACACGCGGTGAATGAATGAATGCGAGGCCGATGATTTGGGATCAGAGCTTTGCAGACAACCCACATCGAAAGTCAGGAGTGGAAAGTTATGTAGCAAACACTCGAAGATGGTATAGCCTCCGACAGAGATGTTCAAAACACTATTTTCTCGCATATGCTACATTTCATTCCTCGCTCAGAGTACCTCCTGCACATCAATCGAATTCGATAATCTCTTCCCTGACTTCGCCTTCCCCAGGCCCCACGCCTTCGAGCCAGAACGAGTGGAATTCTTCAGCGCTGAAGGCGGTGCTGCCCTCCGCAGGACCGAACTTACAATCATCAATGGTACGCCGCCATCGCCGCTTGAAGCCATACGTGACTTTGGCCTGACGGTCGGAGAGTAGCTGTATGTCTGTGATGATGAACTTGGTGTTACTGGCGCTGACACCATCGCCCAGATTGCACGACATGGGGAGGTGCGTCGTGCTCGTCATCGCCGCCGTGGTACTGCCCGAGCAATTGGAGTTTGCCGCGGCGATCGAGTTGCCCTCCTCGGTGAGGGAAATTAAACGCTCGGCTAGGCGAGCGGCGACGAGGCCTGTCCCAGATGCCTTCGCGGCGGTTGGTGGAGTGCAGGAGGTGGAGGGCGCGGTCGCGGAGCGGGATGTTGGTGGTGCGTGTGGCTATTTCGAAGAGTAGGGGGATTATGCCTAGGCAGGAGACGAATGGTGTTGGCGGCTGGGTTCGGGCGGGCTTTGGGTTGGTGTCTGTTGTTTGTGGGTAGGTTTGAAGGCCGAGCAGGCTCTGGGCGTGGTCCAGGATTGCGACGTTGTCGTTGAGATAGTCGTCGTAGCTTTGCTCGCCGTTGACGAAGACCTGGAGGTCGATGTGCAGCGATGTGAGGAAGACCTTTAAGGCCAGGCGGGCCTCGTTCGACTTTATTGTTGGGATTTGTTGGTATTGGTGCTCAAGTGATGCCAGAGCATTGGTGATTTCAGTGTGCTTGCCAATCGCCGACTGGTATGCCGGCAAAAGTAAAGGAGCAACGGAGCCACGCACCCATGGATAGTCCTGATGGAACGTCTCGGCGGCTTCGAAGAGATCCAGGACCTGGAATGACAGCAGTTGGACTTGTGCTAGAAGGTCCTCCGCCGTCAGGGTGGACTTTGGCGCCACGAGGAGGCGGTTCACCAAACCAGGACCTCCGATTTTGAATTGCTCACTGTTCGCTTGACAGACCTGGTCCCGAAGCTCCAAGTAGATCTGCAGAAGAACCTCATTTGTGATCGCCGACACCGTCTGTCTCTCCGTATGAGCAGCGATCATCTTCAGCCCAGCAACAGCATGGTTCGTGGCCTGCTCGAACTGGCCCTGCAGACTCGCGAAGCTGTAAAAGATGAGACAGATGCTTAGCAAGATGTCGAAGTGCTCGGCCCCAACCTCAAGTCGGGTGGCCTCCCTGAGAGCCTTCTGCTGATAATGCAATCCATAAGAACGAAGCAGGGGACTGCTCTCGCCGCTGCCGCCGAAATAGTTTTCGTGGGCAGCACTTAGGGCATACACGGCATGGCGAATGATGGTGTCGTGTTGGAGCAATGTCGGTACTACATTGCACCAAAATGCCGAACGGAATGGGCCTTGCAGGTGTTCCAGTGTGCGATTGTAGAAGTGGTCGAGGGCGCGGTGTTCATGCGATGGAGGCGTCGTGTGGGAGTGAGCACGCGGTAGGAGCGTAGATTACTACCTTGAGTGCAGGTGCGGCGGCCTCGAGCTTGCCGTAGAAGCAGGCTCGCTGTGCTTTGGAACAGCGATTGCAGGTTGGGTGGGTTTCGTCGCACTTGACGCGGCGTACTGGTTTGGTCGGTCAGTGCTTGTATGTCTCAACCTCGGGCAACCTTTCTCGTCCAGGACTCAGGAGCACATCGACCAGGTACTTACGCTTGCATGTCTGGCATCCTGTCTGGCTCCGATTCGACTGGACTCGTAGGTGCTTCTCTGTTGTTTTCTTGAATGCCATAGTTGCAGCAGCGCGCTATCAACTCCATATTGATACATTCAGATCTTCACGTGGGTGGTCCCCCGGTCATTGAAAGAGCCAAAGCTGCTCTGCGTTCAACACCATGATATTGTCCATGGAGTCTGCCTGATGGGTGACTCACGAGGGCCTTGAGTTATTCTTAGAAAGGGAGACGTAATGGCGTAGTATACATCGTAGGGGCTCATCGGTACAGGCGCAACCTAGTACTTGAACGGTAATGCCAAACCTTGATGCTCAAAAAGTCTGTTGTCAGGGCTGTACCAGATCTCGCCGCTTCCGAGCATAGAAGCATCCGACAACCTTTCCAGAACATGGCATAACAGTTTTGTTCCTGGATGCCATACTTCAGCGTGGAACTTTCGACATGCTCCATACCTAATCACTGATGTGAAGAGATTGGAGCAGACAGCTGAATGGTAAAATGACAGCTAGTGCCGTGGAAAGATGTTGCTGCTGTTAGAAATTTATATCCACGAGCTTAAAACACGCCGGATGACTGGACCTACATCACAAGACCGACCACCGTAATACGTACTTTTCCTTCCCGCCTTGAACCATCTCAAAAACCCCCGGGATCAGCGGGTTATCTCCTCCTCGCCGGTTCTACACATTCTCAAGTCTGGCGAGGTAATGCCTCGACGGGGCGAACCATTTCTCGAAAAGCCCTGTTGATGGGAACTGATATTGAGGTTTCTCAATTTTGGATCGTTGATCGAGAAACTCGTATCGATGGATAGAGCCTGGTCAGCGACGCATCCACATCTAGGGGAAGCTGCGTAGCTGATCTGTCGGAGATGTGGTGAAGGTTGGAACGCTGGGTGAAGGTCTTGGCGGAGGCGAGTTCATAGGCAGCATGAGCAACGTACAGGTGCAGCTGTCTCAGCCGCGACTGCTTGCTCGAATGCCAATCACTTGTCCTGCGATATTCTGTGGAAGACGATGTCATCGGAGACTTACAGCACCCACGAATGATCGCAGAGATGTCGTCTCGTTCTCTTCGCTCGGAACGCTCCCAGGTAATAACGGGGCTCGCCCCACCCAGTAGCAGTCGATGCTAACAAGGCATGGCGGTGGGCAGTTGCGCGTCGCATGCTTTTGGTGAGCAGGGCAAAAAGGGAGTCGAGGGCGAAGCAGATACTTATGGTTGTGGCTGCTGGTTGAGGATCCGCGGCAAACCGAAGCGATCACTTCAATGACTCGGCCAGGCAGCAGCTGATCTTGAATTGTGCAACGAACAATGAATCCTTGCTCACACAGTCAGTGCATGAGTCGTTCGCTTCGCCGCGGATCATGACTTTGTCGATGAAGTATAAGTATCTTCCTTGCCCTGCACTGCTACCTTCTTTTCTTCCCCACAGCTGGCGACAACTATCTCTAATTTTGCCATGGCATGATAGCGCTGCTATCTGATGGGGCGACTCTTCGAACACTTCTCAGAGACTAAGTACGCATTTGGCACAAATGACAGTACATTTACCGAGGTGCGAGTAGGCCTTCCTTCCTACTCGATCGTTCAGCCTCGTGGGATATGCATATCCTGCGTCAGTATCGATGTCGTGGGTCAAGTGTTTCAAAGTTCATCAATTTGTGGAAGTTCACGAAGTTTTCATTGCTCAACATTCAGGCCTAACAGATCGTCTGACCTTTCTTATGTAGCCAGCGCCCTCTCTGGTCTTTCCACGGGGGTTTCCGCTCATAACGGTCGCACTTCAACCTTCCGAGAACGACGTAGACCCAGCCACCTTAGCCCAGGCGCTCTCCAGCTGGCTCTCTATCATCTCGTCCGCCTTCTCCGCGCCAACATCACTCACGCCGATCCCATCAGAAGACTTGATCTGGCCCTCGGACGACTTCGGTCTCGCCTCAGTCGTCGTGTTTGGCAGATTACTGGTGTAGATAACCGCCGCGAACGCGTCCAGCTCCCTCACATCTGCGTCCGCTTTGGCGAGGTACTCGTTGGTGGCGCCGTTATTGCTCTGCCCTATCACATGTGCCTGTCGAGTGACGATAGCGAGGACGTTAGCTAACTTGACTCGTGGCTCGGCAGGCACGACTGTGACGGCGGAGTCGAGCTCTTGTATCCGGGGATGTGGGGCGCTGGCTTCGGAAGCTGGAGGGGATTGTAGCTGGGCTGCGGGTAGAGTGCTTGGATGACCTTCTGGTCGAAGAGCAAGCTGAACATCGAGTTCAAGATGAGGGTGTGGATTTTGGTGAAGGAGGGCGAGTCGATCAGATCGGCGGTCTCGTCGAGGAGGTCTCGTAAGGGGCCGCTTGACGTGTCGACATATGATTTTCGCTCTTTCGGTGGCGAGTCGGCTGTGCTTGATTCGCCGAAGGAGGATGATGACGAGGTTTGGGGTGGGGTGATGATATTGGACTCGACCAGGAGTGCCTCCTCTTCTTCTCTTGGTGGAAGCAGATATGGCAGCCACCGGGTAAGATATCGGTCTTGCTCTGTGGCACCTTCGACTCGCTTTCTGACCTCCAATACCAGTTCTCGCAGCCGGTCGGCGGACAGAGATTCCTGAGGTCTGACTGGACCGAATACTTCTTCCACTGCGTTTCTGACCTTCTCCATGATCTGGGCGTAGCCGCGATGCAGCAGTTGGTAGGAGAAAATCAGATATCTTCTCGTGTCATCATAGTTATCACCAATGGTTGCGCCTGTCTCACCATCATGGTCTTCGAGCACAATCGAATTGGACGGACTCGTGATGGGTTGTGCCAAAGCCATGACCGACCGCACATAGTCCATGCGTCCAAGCAGATTGAGCTGGATGCGAGTGAACAGAATGAGTAACGATAGTGAGTAGATCATGGTGAAAGCCCTTGTGATAGACGTGGTCTTCAGTTCGCCCCAAAGCTGTGCTTTCGTTCGTGGTGGTGCATTTGGGTCGCTCTCTAGCACTCGGCTAGTATGTACAAAGCTGCCGGTCTGCAGACTGGACATGCTGATAGTGTCGCCATCTCTCAGACTTGACGATTCCGACGCGCCCTCGCCTGATGTTCGTGCCAGGCGCTCGGCTCGTCTAGCAGTGAGTTCATTCGTCAAGTCCTCGCATGGCAGTCTGGCAAGGATGTTCTCGTTGAGCGTAGGTAGCAGAGCGAGCACTGTCAACGTGCAGTCTGTCTGGTTCTGTTCGAATCGTCTCTTGATACTAAGGACTTGTTAGCCCTCTGTGTCCTAACCAGGGCGCGTGTCTCGTACTTATCCTTTGCGATCTTGTCCAACTGTGATCGCTGTCTAGCCTCTGTAATCTTGTTCAAGACATATTGGCCCACGTAATATGTTCCTCCCACCACAGCAGCTCCAAACGCGATGCGATTCCGGTTCCGCTTGAGCCAGCGGCCGGCACCTGCGAACATTTTGGTTCACAAGGCTATCTTGGGTGACGTCGAATTGAGGGCATAATGTGGTGACGACAACGTTGTGTCTTCGATGGCGGCCTCGGACGAGTCGGTCGACTGGTGAGTCGGTCTCAGTGAAGAGGAAACTGGGATATGAAGCTTGCTGGATGAGCGATGTCGTTCTTCTTGTATCGTGACCACTTCAACCGTGCCCTTGGAAGAGTAATTGCAGCAGTGACATGCCGAGGTTCCAGCCACAGAAAGAGGCACGCGCCTGGGGAGTACGGTGGCCGATAGTGCATCAGATTGGATGGTGGCTGATGCCCCTCTATGCAACGCACTGCATGACCAGGGTACAGATACATTGCCGCAAATGGTCCAAGGCACTTGACCTGCCCAAGCAAACAGTCAAGTACTCATGAACACTCTGCAATGCAAACCATAATCATGATCTGAGCAGTTCCTACCTCCAGGCGCCACAACTGTGGTTGCCTCTCCCTTGCTCACCACCAAACCCCTCACACACACATTACCGACATCGTGTCCTCCCACCACCAAAAGTGACAATGACCCAACCCCAACAACACCGCACCTACATCCTCGACCTCTTCTCCGACCAATCCACCGTCCGCGACCTCGTCAAGGGCATCCTGCACACCATCTTCTTCCACCGCTACTTCCCCTCCATCCGCCCCTCCCTGTACGTTCCCTCCTCCTCGTCTACCTCCTCATCAAACCAAACATCCCTACCTGTCCCGCTCCCAGCAATCCTCGACCCACCTGAAATCGCAGCTGCGATCGACACGCATACGGCCGCTCTGATCGCGCAATTGACGGCGCCGGGCCCGACGAACGTGCCGCCGGGAGGGAGTCGGGGAGAGATTGTGGTGCAGTTCTTTGATCGTAAGCGGAGGAGGACGGGCGGATATACGGGCGGATGGTTGGGGAGGCTAGGTGGTGGGGGTGGAGTGCAGGCTGATGAGGAGGTCTGTTGGGAGGAGTGGTGTTTGCAGGTTGTGGTGGCGCGGCCGAGGAGTGAAGCTGGTATGTTCTTTTTTTACTGTTGCGTGGAGGGATTGAGACCCAAACGCCGGAGGTCGCGCACACGTGCTGACACAACGTACAGATCGCATCAAAGTGAGAAGAGCGATGGAATCAAGTCTCACCAAGACAGCGCACAAGATCGTGGCCACGGTCATTCGTGACAAGGACCATATTCCGCCTATCACCACGAGTGAACAGAATCCGTTCCCATACAGGATAGCAGTCAATCCCAAACAGCAGCAGAACCTAGATAGAGGATTCGGTGGTTGGAATTGAGATCATTACGGCACGGCGAATTGGTCATTGTACTACCAATGAATTCTATCAGTCCTAGTTGAAACTCCTGGATATGTTTGCTCCCGTGTCTCTGCTTCCCAGCTCCCAAGCCTCGTCAAACACACGCCATCCCGTCACCTGCTCCCCAGCAGATTGTACAGAGTGCTCACCAGTCGGCAAAAGAAAATTGTGACATTGGATCGTTATTTCGTTCCAAACGCACGTAGAACTCTCCTTGGCGATACATCGTAGAATTCGTCTTTGACTGCGTCTTTGAGTGTTTGCAACGCTTCTGGAACGCTCACGCGTTGCTCAGAGATTGTTCGTCGCAGCTCGCTTGTTTTTCGAAGCTACTGGCTCTTGCCAGCGGCGTCAGCCTTGGCTCGTAGATCAGCGGCGGTTGTGCCGGAGGTCGAAAAGAAGCGGGAGAAGACTGGCTGGATGAAAGAGCGGAAGACAATCTGTGCACCGCTGGTGACTGGGAGGGCCATCCAGAGGATCAAGATGAACTTGAAGGTGTAGTAGAATGCTAGGACTGGTTAGTAATACTGCTGCCTGGGAGGAGAGGGTGTACATACGAAACCAGTAGACGGCATTGATCAAGTTCTCAAAGACGTTGAGGAATGCATAGACAACCCAATACTGTGGTTAGATGCGTTAGTAGACTACATGCGGTATGGAGGTGTATGGGCTTACGGTCAACCATTGAGTATCATCGACCTTGCTGGCAGAGAAGAGGGCTTCAAGGGAATAGTAGCCAGGCAGGATGAAGCCAGCGAAGTTGACGAGGAATGCACCACCGAGGTTGAAGAAGACCAGGAAGAAGTACAGGCCGCCCAAGCCGAGGATCACGTAGACCTTGGGCACGCCAGCTTGCTTCTCGAAATTGTTGAGCACCTCATATTTGGACAGCTAGGGACACATCTCGTCAGCATCCTGCCTCAACTTCAAGCACGCATAAGTGTGCCTGCTGTCCAGATATTCTCACCTCTTTGTCCAGCTGACCTATCTGGTGCTGAGCTTTATCTTGGAAGGACGACATCTTGCAATGGGTTTCGTTGAGGGGCTTTCTGATAAGGGTCGGTAGGTGTGGTGGAAGGAGATTTGGACTGGGAGAACGAGTTCTTTTGTATGCCTCGATGTGACACTGTGAAAACACAATTTGGATGGGCTTGATACAGTGATGAGATGAGGAAGGACTGAAGCAGTCTCAGGGCAGGTGAGAGTGGGTAGATGATGGTGTGTGTGGTCACTTGCAAATGACGTCGCACTTTCCCGGCTAAGCCCTGTTGAGCAGCAACCGGCTAGGAAGCAGGAACTGCACCGGGCTTGCTCTTGTCTTCTTTCTTACAGGCTGTTCACTTTCAACTATGGACTGCATCTCCAGGCTGCATTTGACATGTGATTGAATGCCCAATATTATATTGGATTATTGCTGTCGAACGATGTGATGCCGCCGGTAGGTGCCTGCTGCTGATCTGACGATGATCAAACAGATCAGATTGTCATTCTCGAATTTTGGCGTCCTCCTCAGATGCGAGGGACCAGTTTGTGGGTTTCGTCGCAGCCTTTGCGAAATCGAAGTCAAGCAGGAGCGCAAAAGCGGCAAGTTGTGGGCTCGAAGTTCCGCATATGGCGCCTAAGGATGCCGCCCGAAAGCTGCCCAGGTGGGTGTGGCTTTCAAGTTGAGTCGAATTCACTCTGGCCAAAATTAACCCTAACCCCTGCCAAGCGAACCGGACTCGTGGTCGGCGGCTCGCGGAATGTTTTGCGAATCTCCACAGCAACGCAAATCAACAACACTGACTTCTGGCACGCAGCTCCAATGCGCTTACTGCCGCAGCAAACTCACTAACTCGCGATAGATTTCAGCTCACTCGACTCGACTCGTCATGTTGAGCAGTTTCTAGGCCGATTCAAAACACGTCGTCTGACTATCGTCGCTGTCGCAGCTCAAACGTCATTGTTTTGGTCGACAGCAAACCATTGAACCGAACCACGCGAGCGTGCATGAACTGTCCAACAGAAAGCAAGAAGGTCAACAAGTCGCTCATATGAAGTCGTAGGCATAAGCTAGTCTGCCGTCGCACGTCATTGGGAAGTAACGTCAACATCTGCGCGGTCGAGGGGGTGCTTTCTGCCGCATGTAACTGCGGTGACGAGTCGATCGCTTCGAAGACATTCAAGATGCAGATGCCGTTGGCACTAGCTCCAGCGGACGATGGCACGCGAAAGAGCGCTCAGAGCCGACCAGCCAGAAGAAGATCCTCGGCATCTTCAACATCGCATACGAAAGAAAAGTTAAGACCGAAATCCCGAACTTCAACAACCAGCCTGCAATCTGTCGATGTAGGCAACTCGTTTCAACAACCCTCTGCCAATGCACAAGCTGCTCAGCGCCCGAACTCAGCGTCGCAAGACCCAAATGTTCACCACCGACCGATGTTTGCGTCCAACCACGATGCCTACCAAGCGATGATGCAACAACAACAGTACGAGAAAGAATTCAATAGTAATCAGCCGATGCCACAGCAGCCCGTGGCTCATCAAATACCGCAACACATCCCATACTCACACGCGATGCCGCAAAATATGCCACACCAGATGCCGAACGGTCACTATGCTATTCAGCCCGCCATGCATCCTGCAGAGATGCAAGCCATGGCATCACAACCATTGCCATTCACACAGCCTCCATACAGCGTGTACAACGGCGCCTCGGCTCACTTTCCGCCTCAGTCGCAACACTTCCGCCGTGACTCGATGGGCTATGAGGCTCTCCAGCTCCAGATGACTCCAACAATGAGAACAAGCGAAAGAAGGGCACGCCGTCCACTTTGGCCAATGACCAGGAGCTACGCCGTGCTCTTCAGCAACACGAAGGTCAGACTCTGCAGGAGCTTGCCCTTAAGGTACAACAAACTGAAGGTCAGAATGGTGGAAGGGCCGAGAAAGCAAAGCAAGTCTTTGCGATGGTTTGGTAAGTTGATCATCCTGGTCTGTTTCAAAATCCTGACCTCTCGAAGGCTGCGTGAGAATTGTGTTAAAGGCACCACCCATGTACGCCGAGACAGAGTCTTCACTCGATACACAAAACGATGCGGAAGTGAAAGAGTGCCTACCCTCAACCCAGCCTCATTCGGTAAACTGGTTCGCATCATCTTTCCAAATGTCCAGACTCGGCGCCTTGGCATGAGAGGTGAATCCAAGTACCACTACGTCGATCTTGATCTGGTCCCCGAAGGTCAACAAGCTGTTGACTCTCAGTTGATGTCGACCAACGCTGCTCGGCCTTCAACTTCCGGAGGATACAAGGAAGAGCCTGGTCTCGGCCACGGACCCGGCACAACATTCGACGAAGGTAGCCGACCTGTTTCTCGACACGATATGGAGACCGCAGACTTTCCAGTACCGGAGGTAGATCAGCAGGCCGAGTTCGCACCTACTGGTGGTCCGGTTCAAGATCCGCAATCCATACCTGCACCGACGCGTCTTTGCTGCAAACATGCAAATGCCGGCACGATTCAGATCCCTCTCAGCAAAGTGTCACCGCAATTGGCCGAAGAGCTACCGCGTGTTCTTCCCAATCTTCCTGCAACTTTACATACCTACCACGCGATGCCACAACCCGATCTCATCGACCCGGAGAATGCACGACCTGCACCTGTGGAACTGCCTGATATCGCACCCTACTTAGCCGGCATCGAGCACGACACCGACGCCGCATTGACTTTGTACAGCCTCTACCGGTCCCACTGCACTGACATAGTCGAAGCTTTCCGAAAGGTTATGGACAAAACATTTTTCCACCACTACAATGCATTCAATGGCAAGATGACTGTACCAGTATCAAGACTATTTGGTCTGCCTGAACTCAAAGACTGGATCCAGGAATGCGATATGCGGATGTACAAAGCAATGGCACGATTCGTCGTTCCCATAGTGATTCAGCAGGTGCCCGAGGTTGTTTGGGGGCGGCTCAATGCCATCGCTCATAAGCTTGTCGAACATGTCATAACCTCATTCCAGGAAAAATGCCCCGTGCATGTGGTGGCTGCGAAGGTAGTGCCAGCTGCACGATTTGCCAACCTCCTGAAGAAGCTTAAGACAGCAAATGCCTTCACTTTACAGCTAAGCACCACGCTCGACAACGCTGACATTCGCACGAGTATGTGGCTCGATCTATTGAGCATGGTTGACCCTGCTGCTGCACTCGAGGAAAGTCGACCACCACCTGAATGCCTGCCCCAGATCCGCGGCATTCTCAAACACGATCTGAGAACACTCCTGGATCCCAGTCACAATGAATTCACTGCACGGGCCGAAGAAGAATACGGTGCCTACTCAGACTTCCTCAAAGATGCCACTGTCGGCGCCGGTGTCTTCAGCTCTGACGCTCTGGACCAACCCTGGTCAAGCCCTCTAGACAAATGGATCAGCTGGGTTCGATGCCTGCCTGCTGCTTTCGAACACCATCATCCTCTCTGCATGCTCGACTGGCACACCCGATTTTGGCACAGCATTTGCCACCAGCTCGGCGATCGTGGCGCCAAGAGCTTCCAGTTCTGGTGGTATGCCGAAGCATTCACCACTTCTCTACTACAATGGATGGCCGAAATGCAAGGCTTGTTAATGTCGAAGTCTGATCAAGTGTTGGCAGACCAGCGCGACACAAAGAAGATGGCCGAGGTTCAGTCCAACGCCAGCACGCTCGGCAAGCGAATGCGCGACTGGGATACTCTCGCTGAAGAAACCAACGATCAGGATACTCACCGCCCTCATAAGCGACCAAGTCTCGACACTGCCCGCGGAGCAGCACAGCCGAGCTCGCCGCCATCGTACCCTTTTCTCCCGCCCAATGCCGCGGATCCGATGTATGGTGTGACTCAGCCGATCGAAGAACCGGAACTGCCCGAGCTCCCACGCGGAAAGCAGCGCGTCACCAACGGCGACCTGGAAGACGATACCCGTCCAGACGACCCGAACAAGCTGCCGAGTCTGGTTGAATATCATATCAGTAGTCCGGTCAAATTGTCGAGGGAGCCTCCACAGCACATGATCCGTATCGGTCATCCCAGCTTGAACAATAATGATGTTGATGACTCTGGCATTGGGGCCGATTTGGATGACGAGGAAGTTGGAGGACCCGTGGGAGATCACAAAGGAAAAGGGAGGGAGCACGATCATGGAGATTGGCTGTTGAATATGACGAGTGATGCGGTTGAGCCTGTGCCTGATCATGACAAGCGAGATTTGGACGGGGAGATCAGGATAATGTATCGACATTTTGGGACGACGACTTGGGATATGTATGATGTGACGACGACAGCGCTGGGGCTTTGGATGTGAGAGACCATATTTGGATGTTGAGAAGTTGGGATAGCGCGGCGCCAGGTGAGATGACGATTTTTGGGGGTGTGTACAAACTTCTTTTGGGGTGTACCTTATTTTCTGGATTGAGATCAAGTCAGGATGTTAAGCTCAAGCTCAATTGGCAGGCAGGTCAGGTTAGCTGTCGAGCGAGCGAAGGGGATGAGAGTGTGATCCACTCGGAGTGGTTGACGAGAGCGTTGACTAGTCGAAGTGCTGTACGAGAGACCAGGAGTGAGGTTCCGATCAGCCTCAGCCTGACAGGGCTTGCAAGGGTTGCCCCTCCGTTGCGCGGATGCTGGTCTGACACCATGGGATCAGCGCTGTGAAATCGGGGTGTAGTGCACACTAGCTCTGATTAGTCTGTACCATCTAGGTAGAGGTATCAGGGTAACATCAATGTGAACGTCTCTGACACAAGCCACCCACCCAGACTTTTCTCACGCGACGTTCAAACAAAGACTAGTAGACAAGGTTCGGTGTATCATCGTCGTAACATTGACTTTGAATTGTACCTGAAAATATCGGGTCCGCCGCGACGTCGAGCACATGGTTGTGAAAACATGGCACAGCTGCTAGAAGTACGCCTAGCTAAAACATGGCTCGCGAGCTTATCAAAGTCTTCCTTCGATATTCTCATAGCGGCAACAACAGTGACCATGGTCATGATGCCGCTTTAAAAGAGAACAAATGACCGTGACGCTAGCCACAGCCCATGCGGATAGGCTTCAGCTTCGTGGAGTACGAGTACAAGCAGTTCCTCAGATCTCCCAGGCAGGCATACCTTCACGAAGCCGCCCTTCACTGTCGCCGATGACTGTTCTCGTGCGGTCATCGTTCATCGATATCCCCTGCTAGGAAAGAACCTTGGCCCGCCATAGCCATGCGCTGTAATACTCTGGACGTCAATGTTGGCGTTGGGACAGGGCGCCCATAGTTTGATGAGGATGTAGCGACCGGCACTAGAAGTTCGTAGTTGTTAGCAGGCAGCTTAATGACGTGCTGAGGAGCGGAAGGGTGGCGAAATGGGGGTAAAATAAAGAGAGGGTCAGAGCATACACAGGAGGATCAAAATTGACAGCAACACTGCTCCGGTTGCGAGGGATGTAGAACCTCGCGTGAGGTGCGACCACGTCCGACGCATTGATAGATTCGTCTACTGTCACGCCGCTGTCGCCGTCGGTCGGGAACTTGCTGCTGGCTACCGCGGCCTCTGCGTCCGAGTTGATCCGCTCGTAGCCGCCATGCGTTGAGGGCATACGATGACGACTGGGGACTGGCACGTCTGAGTCGGGTTCTTCGTCAGAGCGATTCGAATGATCGGTATGAGGTCCACGTGGGTCAACGAGCCCGGATAGTCGGGCAGCTCTGCGTTGGCGGTAACGTGCTGCCGCTCCACGAAGTTGGCGACGTGTTGGGCTATCGTGATCATGCTCGTCAATCTCGTTGAGGACGGCTGCCATTTCTGCCGCGTCTACGGCCAGGTTGTCGGCTAGGTCGTCTTCTGAATCGCTTGAGTCATCGGATCGATCGTTTGGCTCGTGAGGGAGGGGATCCTCTTCGTGGTAGCGAGGGCGATATCTGTCAACAAAGCGCGGCAGACCGCCGTCGAAAGCGTGCTCGTGCCACGGGCGAGGCGATGGAGGGCTCGTTGGCTGGGTTTCGTCGTCGGATGGTGGTCCGGTGCTGATGTCAAAGCCAGGTATGACGGCGCTTTCTAGGAAAGGATCGTTCTCAAACCGCCGCGGAAGTGCATTCGGGTTTCTTAGGTATCGAGTGCGATCAATCGTGCGTAGTGGTGAGCGAGCTGGATCGACGTATTCCTGTTCAGTGCGGGCTCTTGCAAAGTGATAGCGGTGCTGCCGGTAGTTGCGAGGGGAGTAGTAAGTCTCAAAGTGCGAGGTCTTTTCGAGTATATCGTGATCTGACATGGCTACGAAGATCATGCCTTCCTGAATTGGCGCATCGTAGCCTGAGCGTGGAGCCTTGACGACTATCTTGGTCAGGGAGAATGGCATGCCGCTGGCATGTCTGAGTAGCATATTGCATCTGTTGCTCTTCGTACAATAGACGCTGGCATCATCCTCGAGCACATTTCGAGGCCAAGAAGTGGCGGGAACGTGAGGATCTTGGTACTCGCCGCCATCGCAGCTAGCGATTTCGAGTTTGAGTTGGCCGGGCATGGCTTGACCGAAGAAGCCGTAGGATATGGCCTTTGACTCGTTCTCGTAGGTTCCGTCATCCAGTTTGCGGCGCTTAGCTCGCGACCCACGCCCGGCATATGGATCTGCTGGTTCTGGTAGTGGCGAGGCTGGCCGTGTATAAGTTGCTGGTGGTGCAAAGTTCTGGACGATTCGGTCTCTATGATGCCTGGCTAAGCGCTCACTCGGCCGGAAAGCACGCCTCCTGGTCCTCACGAGATTGGCGGGGCTCGAGCCAGCTGGTACTGGCCCAGATGGGATGGAAGATGGGACTCGATCTGCCTCCTGAGGTTCGGTCGGTACGTTGATGTATGGTCTTCGCCGCTCGTTTGATCGCAGCTGAGATGCTCTGGCGGAGATGGACCGAGTATCGTCCTGTGCCATATCCGCCATTTCTTGCTCAAATGCCTCTCTGGCTCGAGATTGCTCGGCGGGTGTGTTGCGTTCTGTGGCGAGGAGTGCTCTGAGGTTTTGCAGTCTCGACGAGACGACGTGGAGTTGTCTGACGGATTCTCTTAGCTCTCGAGGCGTCTCACTGGACTGAATATGTTAGCAAGGTCCTCAAACGTCGCCACCACTTGATTGGGCTGAGACGGACCATCTCGAGGCTAGAGAGATTGTGAGCGCTCAGTTGTTGTCGTCGAGGATCTACAGAATCTGAGGGACAGTATAGTAACGGCACAGGTGCGAGAAGGTCTTCAAGGGAGATGTGTGGTGCGTGGCAGCAGGTTGGTGGTTGCAAAGGTGAGGTTGAGACCATGGAGGGGCCACGCCCAGTCGATTTCGTTGTCCTAAAGAAGCGGCCCGGGCGTTTCTAGCGGCAGGGGCCACCCGAAGCCCGCCCGCAATTTCTTGTTGCCGCTGCAGGGCCACGGCGGATGATCTGACCGACGTAATCTGCAGCTTGAAGTCACTTCAACATGGCTTCGATTTCAAGTCGGAGTTTCCTTGAATTCACTCAGGGAGGCGCCTCGCCTCGCGCGTCTTCACCAGACCGTATAATCACGCCAGATCTTCACTTGCGAGACCCTCGTCAAAATGGCCGATGGTCTTCCCACCGAAAATGGGCTACAACTTGATGCCACTGAAGGCTTTGCCGACCCATCACAATTCGAATCTTTGAACGGCTTTGCAAACGACCCGAACTTGATGATGTCGCAGATGGGCATGGCTACAGTGCCGATGATGGATCAGCCAGTGGCCGCACCTATCACCGCCGAAGAGATTGCCCTGTATGACCGCCAGATCCGACTCTGGGGAGTACAGGCTCAGGAGAAGATCCGATCAGCCAACATCCTTCTCATTGGCTTCGGAGGACTGGGAGTAGAGATCACGAAAAACCTAGTGCTGGCCGGCATCGGCACACTCACGATCCTTGAGCATGCGCTGGTCATGGAGGAAGACTTGGGCACAAACTTCTTCGTCAACGAGGAGCACATCGGCCAGAATCGTGTCGAGGCTGCTATGCCTGAGATCAAGAAGCTCAACCCACGAGTCAACCTCTACAACGACACCGATATTGTCTTCACCAAAATGCCTGAATACTTCCAGAGCTTCGACATCACAATAGCCACAGGTCTACCTCTCAACGCCGTCAGCACCATCAATTCCAACTGCCGAGGTTTTGGCCAGAAGTTCTATGCTGCCGACGTGCAGGGCATGTATGGCTACATCTTCGCCGATCTGGTCATACACCAATTCACCCAAGAGCGCCTCCAGTCCAACGTCCCCACAAAGCCTGGCAAGAAGGAGACGTCTACTCAGACCGTCATCAGCGTCTCCGAGAAGATCGAGAACGGCAAGAACATGGAAGTGGTCCTCAAGCAGGAAGAGTACTCGCCATTCCTTCTCGCCAATACCGCACAACTTCCCGCCGAGCTCACCAGGACCGTTGCCAAACGCAAAAAGATCACACCCCTACTCTCATGCCTCCGTGCACTATTTGACTTCCAAGATGCAATGGGTCGTCTACCAGGTGCTACCGCCGAAGATCTGCAGAATTACACCAAACTAGTACACGCCAAACATCTCGAGCTCGGTCTTCCGAACGAGACGATGAAGGCCGAGTTTCTGAGAAGCTTCCTACAGAATCTTGGTTCCGAGATCAGTCCGGTCGTGGCCTATCTTGGTGGTCGACTGGCCCAGGACGTCATCAACGTGCTCGGTCAACGAGAACAGCCGCTCCAGAACTTCCTCCTATTCGATGCCGAGACTCTCACCTGCCCGGTTTACTCACTGCAACCGGTCTTCGATGACAGTGCACTGCAGCCAGTCTTTGACAGCATGCTCGCCGCGACTGAGATGCAGAATGGTGTTCTAGCCACCACCTAGACATGGTTTGGCGTTCTGAAAGGTTCCAACGAGTCGATAGCGGAAACGACCCAGCTACGTCGCCTTCTCGGATATCGCGACACGGAGAGGAACTCCTACGGAACGACCTCCGAGGTCCTCGAAGAATATGAGATCCTCGGAAATTAGCGAGCATGGGGAAGGCAGCGAACAGGTCGAACTGATGAGGCGGCTAATCTTTCCAACAGCAGACCTGGAAAGCCTTGCATCGTCCAGCTTCTTAGCATTCTACATAGATCATAGATACCCCGGGAGCGCTCCCATAGAGCGCGACATGTAGAGCGGCATTTCCGTCGCAGCTTTGGCTAAAGTAAAGAAAATGAAATCTGACTCGAAACCACGGAAGCCAAATCTTCACAATTTCCAAATTCGACGTCTTGGCTAAATGAAACCATTTCAATCTTCGACTTTTGCTGTGCACGTCCAATCCATCAAGTCTGCGAAGCCTGCGTCTCGGATCTAGCTCTTCTTCGATGTCAATGGCTGTGCTCGACGAAGCGATTGCTCTTCCACACCATGACCGAAGGACTCGACACATCGGACTCGACCGACGAAGAAGAAGAAATCAACACAGCCAAGTTCTCTACCAGCACTGAATCTGAATTAGCCAAGGCACCCTTAACTGCGTACCAACCCCGTCTCAACGGCCCGCCACAGCAAATTGGCACATCTATTACTACACCCAGGTCAAAGTTCCCAACATCGCTGTCCGATCTCTACGTCGATCCCTTCAGCTCATCTCGACTCTCGCTCTACAAAACCCTGGGCCAACTCCACCACTCAACCCTCTCCCCCCTCCCCCGCCTCCGCTCCATCCTGCAGGCTCCCACTTCATCACCCGTCTCCACCACCACACCTCCCTGCCCCTGATCTCCAACGAGCGCTGCGGCTCCTGGTACATCCCACCCGCCCTAAAATCCGGGTCTGCGTACTTCAAGAGCACGGACGGCCATGTCGGACAGTGGGCGTTTAGTCTACGACGGCTGAATTTGGAGTTATTGAAGGTGCTGGGGAGGGAGGGTGGGGCGGCGTTGGTGGATAGTACGCGGAGGGGGAAGGCGATGCCGGATGCATTGAGGCGGACGGTGGTCATTTGGGTGGCGGTGGTGAATCGGGTGTTGTTTGGGGAGGGGGTGGAGGTGCAGACGCTGGAGGGGGAGGAGGGGTTGACGAGGAGTGAAAGGAGGTTGGTTGAGGGGAGGGTGGAGGGGTGGTGCAAGGATTTTAGGAAACTGGGACTTGATATTGAGGCATTGAGGGAGATGTTGAAGAGGCCGGTGAGGTGTGTTTGGGCGGTGAATGGGACGTGGGACTTCGAACAAGAGTTTGACAAGGGGACATATGCGAGTGCTGGACAGAATGTGCTCGTTCTGGCAAGCGCAAGCAGGCGAGTCAGAGGGGCGGAGATGAGTGAGGGTGGGTATATACAAGGTGCTGCTGACGATGCTGAGGGTTGGAGCAGGGGTCTAACTGCAAGCTTGTGGTGGGAGAACTCGGAGCGATTGTTGGCAGCTGATGCAGCAGATGTCGAGGGCATGATTGATAAAATTGTGCTTGCGCAGAAGCTCGCACAGCTGAAGAGTCATGGAGGAGAAATTCAGATTCGGAAGGCGCCCTTCGTCTTCATTGCCAAAGGGCCGAGAGCAGACGCTTGTGATTGGGACCTCATCATCGACTGTCATGGCAAGGACGAGACCTGGAGCGAGGACAAGAAGGTTCTGCATCTAAGATGCAGAGAGGGAAAGCTCGGGAGTAAGGATCTTCGAGAGAAGATCACCATGGCTGTAGCTGCTGGTCGTGCAGCATTAGTTACAGGGGGCAGCCGCATTCTCATAACATGCTCGAAGGGAACAGATCTTAGCGTGGGAGTCGCTCTTGCCTTGATTTGTATGCTGTACGATGACAATGGTAAGTCAGGAAGACAGGGTCGCGAAACTTCGCTGACTATTTGCAAAGGTCAAATCCTTACCCCAGATACGGACATCACACGGCTGGACCACATCGACAAGCTAATGGTTAAGAAGCGGCTGGCTTGGATCACAGAATCCAAACCTGATGCGAACCCGTCCAGAGCAACGATGCAGGCTGTCAACTCATTTTTGATGGAGCGGCCGAGATGAAGACGACGATAGCTTAAGATGTGTTGACGAAGTGCTCAGCAACGCTCAAGAGAACGTCAAAGAAGCACGCCCCACCTAGTCGCAGTTCCTGCTACCGAGGCATGGCATGTGCTGGGAGCCAGAAGGACCCTCTCGTGCTATGAGCGAAGGAGGAAAGAAGTCGATGGCAAAGGACCTCTTTATACCTTATCAACAGAGTGGAGACCCGGGGCAGACAGACGCGATCACTTCACTGCATCGGGCGGACCGCATTCACTGGTCTTCGCACGAATCAGCGTGAGTCACTGTTTGCTGTTTTCAAATGAAGTGCTGACAAGGCGCCAGGCGACGCTTGAGAGAGATCACATCAAGACTGCTGAAACCTGACTCGGGCAAAGATGCGGGTTCTCCAGCTGCTGCATAATGCTCCCGAGCTATGGACGCCGCCCTTACCAGCTCAACCGAATTTAGGCTCCTGCTTCGCGCCATCCACGGGCTAAAGGAAGGTCAGCTCGTCGAGTCTTACGACTGGACTTCAACACTCACAACAAGGTAGTCTACTCTGTCCTTGGTGTAGAACTCGACACCGACCTTGTTTCCAAGGCTCGCATGCCCGCCGTCCAGACCACCCGCTTTGACGCATGTCATGTCTGGCATAACTTCGAGCTCGGTATAGAGGCTGCTCCCGCAATTCGAGCAGAACCAGTGCTTGTTGATCTTGCCGCTGTCGCCGACGGCGTCATAGTCCTTGGGCTTTCCTGCTTGAGTCAGAGATTTGTTGGCTTGGGATACCTGCAGGGGCTCGCGTACCCTGGGTCACCTTGAATGACTTTCGGGGCACGACGGCGTTCGATGTGTATGGTCCACCGGTCCATTTCTGGCCTTGTAGTTGTCAGGAGACCTTCAGCTGATTGGAGAATGAAATTCAGGACTCACAATCGATGCAGTGACACAAAGCTGTCACGGCAGGCTCCCCTGGAGGCCGTTATTAACACACTTCTTTATGCTTCTCTGCGGGGTGCACTTGCCGTCATATTCATACTTCACCTGCCCACACATACAACTTCCTTTGGCCATTTTGGGATCGCGAAGGTGGTATCTGAGGATTTTGAGAAGAACTATGTACGCCGAGTACCGACTATGTCGAGGCCGATAGCCGCTTCTTATACCGCGAAGTCCTTCAGATACGGCCCAGATCTCCGATGATGTCGCCCAAACCTACGGCACTGCGGGGAACGCATCGTTCAGTATTTGTCACCGCCTGGACGGAGCAGGCACGCCCGCGATCTCTGGTGGGCTTCCTGCTGTCCGAACATCATGATAGGGCCACGCAAGCAGATACATGAGCGATAGAGGTCTGGGCATGCGGGCTCACAGACCTCGAGCCAACCTTGGGCGTTCCGCCGGGCTGCGGGTCGTCCGGACTGATTCAGTGATCTGGTCGCCACTGCATGATCGGAGAAGCGCGATGCTCATCTTGCCGTCTTAAATATTCTAGAGGCAGCATGCGGCGAAGGACGATGCAAATCGATGTACGCGTGACTTGACGCGAGCGACGCGTCTTGCACAAGAAGCGCTCGTGAGAGATGTACCCTATGGCGCTGACACTCAAAGAAGCGATTCCCCTTATTGAACTTGATATTAGCTGAAATCCGATTGGTTGTTAGGCGAGCTGATGACCACTGACCGAGGCTGTTGTTCGGCCCGACAGGGCCCAAGTTGCCGCCAATGTATGTATCGGCCTCACATTATACCATGTACTTGTTGTTTATAATGGAAGACATTGGAAAAGCCTTGGATCAGCACACAGCAGTGTAGGAAGGCGTAACATCAACACCATAACAGTCTGGCAGCTTGGCAGGAACAATGGTCATCTACAACGCCGAGAAGGACTATCCATTACCAAACCTCGATCTCCTCTCACTTCTGTTCGAATCGGAACTATCTCTGACCAAGGAGGACACGGTGATACACGCAGAAGCAGCCGACCCAAGCAACCGAATCACCAAAGCAGAAGGCAGAGCACTAACCAAACGAATAGCCTACCAGCTTCGCAACTCCTTCGGCATCGGCAAGAATGGTCCCAGCAAAGACGTGGTGGTGTGCATCGCCTCCGGCCAGATCCTCCTGCCAACGCTGTTCTGGGGCGTGATCGCTGCAGGTGGTGTCTACTCTGCGGCGAGCTCTGCCTTCACGCCGAACGAGTTGGCTCGGCAGGTCAAGCAGGGTTCTTCCAACTTGATCGTTGCTAGCAGTGATTGCAAGGATGTGGCAGTCAAGACGGCAAAGCTTTGTGGTGTGCCGTTGGAGCGAGTGTTGATTCTGGAGTCGATGGGACATCAGAGAGTCCTTCAGCCTGCGACGGGCGCTGCCAACCTGTTGGATGGTCCGGGCAGACCGCACGAGTCGCTGGAGTGGGAGCGGATCACTGATCGGGCTGTCCTTGAGGATCGTGTCATTTGTTTGCTGTACTCGTCTGGAACGACGGGTGTGCCTAAAGGAGTGAATCTGACGCACATGAACTTGGTGTCTGAGGGTCTGATACCACAACTCCAGCTTCGCGAGTATTTCGCTCGTCAGCAAAGGAAGGACCCATCGTACAAATTCGAGTACAGGACTCTTGCACATCTGCCGGCGGCACACATCGCGGGCTGCCAAGGATACTTCGTCAATCCGATGATCGCCGTAAGTCCCTCTCCTCGCGTCTGCCATTCCAGGGACTAGGCTAATGATATGCAAAGGGTGGACCTGTGTTCTGGATGCCCAAGTTCGATTTTCCGAAGTTTTTGGAGTACAACAAAACGCACAAAGTCACTTCCTTCTTCACCGTCCCACCAATCTACCTCTTGATCGCCAAATCGCCCCTCGTAACAGACCAATTCGCAACACTGCAGCATGCCATCACAGGCGCCGCACCGATGGGACCTGAGCTGATGGCCATGGCACAGGCCAAGCTTGGCTGCCAGATCTCACAGACTTGGGGTCTGAGCGAGACGACGGGCTCAATGACAGTCATGCCCTGGGATCAGCACGACGATACAGGTGGTGTAAGCCCACTCATGCCCAATTGCAAGATGCGGATAGTGTGTGATGATGAGAAGGATGTCAAGGAGGGCGAAGAGGGAGAGCTGCTTTGCAAGGGCCCGAATGTATGTAAGGGGTATTTCGATAATGAGAAGGCAACGAGAGAGTCGTTTACGCATGACGGGTGGTTCAAGACGGGAGATATTGGCGTGAGGAGAGATGGGAAGTTCTATGTGGTGGATCGGAAGAAGGTATGTCTTGTCCCTCCATCTTTTCAGCACCATCATGCACGACATCCATGCTTACCAACTCATCTACAGGAACTCATCAAATACAAAGGCCTACAAGTCGCGCCGGCCGAGCTCGAAGCCCTCCTGCTCTCGCACGACAAGATCCTCGACGCCGCCGTCATCGGCATTCCGGACCCGAACGGCAGTGGGAATGAATTACCGAGGGCGTATGTTGTGGCAGATCAGGCGAAGATTGATGCGGAGGAGATCAAGAAGTTTGTGAAGGAGAATCTGGCGCAGCATAAGCAGTTGAGGGGTGGAGTGGTGTATCTGGAAGCGATTCCGAAGAGTCCGAGTGGGAAGATTTTGAGGCGGGAGTTGAGGGATGCTGTGAAGCGAGAGCAGAAGGCAGAGCAGGCGAAGCTGTGAACTGTAGAGATGCTTGATTGGCAGCGTGGGATGTGGTGCTTGCAGTGGGCGTTGTGCATAGACCAGCTTCTCTAGACTCCTGGGATACACCGGTCGGCTTAGGATAGAAGCTCTGTGATGCCATTCGTACAGCACCTTCACCTCCGGGTGCTCTGTTTGTCGTGTGTGCTGCACGAGCCATATTCTGCTGTTCATATAAGCGTATTATCTCTCTTAACAATCTGCCGTGATTGATCACTATCGCGGTCCGTGTCCTCGCACAATTGGAACGGGATCGGGCGCTTCCAATACTGAATTCGGCAATAACCATTTCTCGGCGCTGCACTCGCTGTGTCAGAGAGCTTACAAATTCCGCCAATTACAACTCTAGCGATTGTCTATATGTACCTACCACTCGATGAAGCATACCCATGGTAAAGCGGCTATCAGCATATCGCAGCAATCATGGCAAAACACACGCCCCTCTCCGTCCTCCACAAATTCTACGATGCAGAACGAGTCTACACCTCCGCGCCCGCCGGGTCAAACCCCGATTTCACCCCCGTAGGCAACATGCTATCCTCCGACTTCTACATGGAGCAGTCCAGCGAACTCCCTTGGGCAGGCACCTACCACGGACCCGAGAGCTTCAAGTCATTCTTCGATCAGGCGTCCGAGTGGTGTACGATCGATGTGCGGGATCCGGAGATCTTGGAGAAGGAGGGGAGCGATAAGATTGTGGTGCTGTCGACGATTTACTACTTTTGTAGGAAGACGGGCGAGACGCCGAGCTTTCCATTGAGTCAGACGTTTGTGATTGATACGGAGAGGGGGTTGATTCGGGAGATTAGGAGTTTTTATTGGGATATTAAGAAGTTGAATGTGGCCATGGGATATGCGAAGTGATGCGGAATGGATGGTGGTGGGCGAGTTTGCGTCCTCCATCCGGCGAGATACTCATCACATCCTTTAAGGCCTCGCATATGTGCCGGTAGAGCATCTGGTTGCGCTCTTCTTTGGCGTCATTAGTTTCGAGGATACTAGGTCCCGGTCTAGGTATCGTGCGACTCCAATAGACTCTGCGTCTCCCTGATTCGCGTCACTGCAGGAATAGTAGTTGAAGCAGGTCAGGCCTGTACACAGTACCAGTCTCGATGCTCGTGTTGGCGTCGCTGAATAGTAGAGACACGGAAGCTGTCAACGCAAGCTTACCTGAGCGCACGAGGAGACGACGCATTCGCGATTGGACTTCCAGGCGCTATTGTCGTCGACTGACATATTGGTATGAGCGCATACAGACTACCCAGTTGTTCCATGATAACAAAAAGCGCAATCGTTAAGGAGAGCGGATGAGGATGAAAGAAGAACAATGCAGCCCGAGACTTGAAGTTCGTGGTGAACACTCCGCCGCGGAGGTTCTCTTCCGAGGTTGCCTAGAACCTAAGCAATCCCAGTCACGGGTGCCAACCTTCCAGGGCGCTCTTCCTCTTTTTCTCTTCGAAATGTTCGCATGCAATCTGCATCGAGCTCTCTTTCGAACACGCTTCCGTACTGAAGAATATCTTGCTCTCGTCTGCCATGGTCTCTTTGGAATCGTCACGCCGCCCCCGCGTCGAGAACGTTGATCGTAGAGAAGACCACACGGCCGGAGGCCCGAATCGCTTCAGATGCATGCTATGACGCTAATGCTGCAAGCCAAATCGACAGACATGGTGGCCTGGGTCGCTGTCACAACCGGTCAACGGTGGCTGAAAGCTCCCTCAACAGCTGATCTCGCCTTGCCTTGTGCCGTCCCTCTTCTGCTCACTCGTCCTTGGAGCAACACACAAACCCAATGGCCAACCTCGATCTTGCGGGCGTCATTGGCACCTGGGTCGCGGCAGGCCTGGCTGTGATCGCGCTAGTGGGTATTGTCGGGCCTCTTCTTGTTTACAGAGCCAGTCGCAAAGAACGCCATCGTGCTATCACTGAAGTTGGCAGGAATAATAACTCATACATCAGTCCTGGCATTCCACTTTGGCCGGGTGTTCGCTTTTGGCAGCAGGTTCGCGTGCCTAGACTGGACAAGCCGAAAGCGTTCGAGGATGAAGAATGGAAGCTGTTCGATCCTTCGCGGGCACATCTATCGAATCCTGGACCGGCACCTTCTTGGGTTCAGCTCGGTGCATCTTTGCAGGCATACGGCGTGAAATACACGGCCGACGGCAACCTGTTCGTCAACGGAGGTCGAGCTTATCTTCCAGTACATCAGTTTTACCTTCACTTGTTATGCATTGTTGGTCGCTTCAGCCGTACGAAGGCCCCGAGAGCTGCCAGGGTTCCCGGAATGGATGAAGTTCCCATAATTCTGTCTCAGCAGTTCCACACTGGAAAGAATCGAAGGATCGTTACTGCTGACGGGAGTCTACTAACGTCTGACGAGGCATTCTACCGCGGAATCACTGCACGTGAAGCAAAGCTCTATGGTCATTGTGGGACTCTGCAAGTCCGACCCGATTCCCTGACCTCGACCGCCGAGGGATCGCCGTACCAAGATGCAAGACTGCTCAGTTTCAGCACCACGACATTGTGGCCGGAAAAGGGACAACACAAGGATCGACTCAGCTTGGTGACTCTTGCCCTTCTGAGTTGTGGATTTCTGCCCTGTGTGGGTGATACCTATATATGCCTCATTGACCAGCCCGATGACGACAGTGATGTAGACGATGAGAGCTCACACCCATCAGATCGGGCAAGGATTACCTATAACTATGAACCTGGACTTCTCAGGCGCGGCCGTCGTTCACGACGCAAGCGAGAGGCTCAGTGGCGTGCTATGGAGCTTCGAGAGGGACGCCTAGACATCGGATCACTCCACCATCTGCTGAAGGATGAGCAACTGGAGTCGCTGGCTTTCAGGACTGTCCCAAGCAGTCGGTCTCTCGTAGCAGAGATCGAGAAGTTCGCTGGCGCCACATTCGTGCCACCATTAGAAAACTGGATTCGAGCGAGAGGCATCGATCGAGGTGAGGTGTATGTTCGAAGATCGGACGCACAGAAGCTGGCACGAGCGCTACTGATGCTGGATTGGCACCCACAGGGCTACGTTCTCGCAGGAGCGCGAGATGACCAGCAAATGGCTACAGCACTGCTGACAATGGCGGCACCTAGTGCCCCACCATTCATGTTACGTGTCAGAGAAGCCGCTGCTGATTTCGGCTGGGCGGCATCTGAACGGTCTGGTTTCGTCAAAGCCATCGGAGAGGTACTGAAGCGCCCAGAGTCGTCGAAGGCTCTGTTTGAACTCGACAATTTGCTGCTCCGCCTGCAACATGAGAACACGTTGGTCAACCAGATGGTCGGCGTTCTTACAATCACGAATCAAGAATTCCACTCTTTGCTCTATCGATCGACACATCACTTGGCCATGTCGTTACAGAGTCAAACTGAGATTGACACCACATCAGGACGGCTCAAAATCAAAGGAGCGTTCAACGTCCTTCAGACGTTCGAGGTCGATATGGACATTTTTCCCACAAGTCCTGCAACAATGGGCTCTCAAGTATTGAACGTCCGTCACGCTACGATACTGGTCGCTGCACTAATAGCATGTCTTCGCAGCGTGATGCTCCAGACGTGCATCGAGCCTGATGCTATTCGCGAGTTGTTTCATGAAGAAGATGAGGTTTTCCTTGTGCAGTGAGGCTCAATGTCCTGTCATTGAACACTGCCAACCTTGCCTCATTGTGGATCGTGAGCTACCAGCCCTTGCATACTCTGTCACATCTGAGAAAGCAGTGCAGGGCTGCCATCGTCGACGATCCAACTCTCATCTGTGCACCATATCGCAACCCAATCCCGCTCCGCATCGGTACATGCACCCCAACCAGCCAAATCCTGACTGCCGCCCTCCGCGATCCCGACGCATCTTCCGGAATTCACAGTAATGCTCTCCGGTTTGTACGCCACTTCGCTACATGCGAAAGGTCCCTGGCGGCCGTTGTCGGTATAGTAGTCGCACTTACGGACAAGTCCGGGCCATGGGAGACCTTTCCATGGGGTCAGGCTGATAGGACCTTCGCCCTCAACCAGGTACTGGTAGGCGATGGGGTGTGAGTATTGCAGACCGGTAGCGTTGGGTCGCGAGGAGGACGACAGGATAGGCTAAGGGTAGAGCTCACCATGCGATCTCCGTCCTTACCCCAATGGTCGCAGTCTTGGTCGTAGATAGTGTACTGCCATGCCGCAGTAAAGGTGGCAAGAACAAGTGGGGTGGCGAGCTCTGAGGGACGCATACTTGCTATTTCTCGGGGTTGTGCTGCCTTTGCGTCAAGTAGAGGTCTTAGCTATCAGATAGTGACAACGTGTCTGATCTTAAGCGGGAGCGAAATGAAAATCTGCTCGCACGTAATCCAATCTCGAGCTCCTGGCTAGGAAAATCATATTTGCAAGCGATGTTGACGTTCGTAGACCCCGTACCCTCAAGCGGAATGTCAGCTCGCAGTTCTCACTGTCGAATGCAGGGCGGGTGTCGATGATTATGTAAGATTCTCGTGACTGGTTCGGTTATGGATGCTCCCCCTTATACTAATGTCGTCGTGTATCCGGTCAGGTAGAGAGGGACCTGCCGCAGTGTTCAACATTCGGGAGACCATGCAGTACTGGTCCATCGCGAACGTTTCTCGAAGAAAAGTTGTCTGTCGCGAGGTACTCATGGTAATAGCTTTGCGGCCAGCGGCTCCTTCGGCCTGTAGGGCTCCAATGCTACCGGTATATCACCAGTGTAGCCCACCTCACCCTGTGCCTGCTCCAGCTTGGCTGCCACCCGGCCGACCATCTTGGCGATCCATCTATCATTCACCATTCCGGCGACGGCGACCTTCTTGAAACCTTGCTTCGTGGCCTGGTTCAAGTCACGGGTGAATTGGCGAATATCCTCCTTTGTAGTGCCGTCTGCCAAGCTCTGGAAAGTGCGTTTCGAAAATGCCTTGAACTTCGACTTTCTGGTCGCTGAGTCAGTGGTGCCGATTGTGTCAAGCTGTCGGTTGACGCTATTGTCGAGACACGTTCCAGACCGGGCACTGGGTCTCTCGATGCATCATCTTCGACGGTGTTGACATCTTGGTCTGCGTCCTTCTCGAACTCAATGACTTTGGTTGCCTTCACGACAGCAGCCACAAAGTTCAGTAGAGACTGATCCAGAACCGCTGGCAAGCTACCATGCACACTCATGGTAACAACTGTTTCATCCTTGAGGACCCTCTTAAGCTCAGACTCCGCCCTGACAGACTTGATCTTATCATCTGTGTCGTTAATGACGACCTGGAACTCGGCCTTGTCCTCTTTCGTCGGCTCGGGTGGGATGATATGCTCATGGTGAGGTAGTAAGAAGGAAGGTATCGTAAAGCTCGCATCCGCGCCACCTAGTCGTAGAACTTGGGCAGTACTTCCAGAGTCAGGTAATGTGCGATAAGCTACAACTTCGGATAGCTTCAACTGAGCCACGCTGCTGTAATCCGTGCTCAAAGGAACATATGTCTGACCCGTAACATCGATCAGCTGAATGCAAAAATTGGCGTCGTTCAGCCAATGCGAGATCTTCCGTTGCAATCGTCGGAGCTCGGCGTTGTGATCGGCGTAGTGACGGAATATCTGCTGCTGCAATACAGCTTTGAACCACTTCCCAGAACCTGCTGCACTGATTGAAGCAAAGGTAATCGTGTGGAAATAGCTGAGCACCATCAGGAGCAGGCGCAGAAGGAAAGGCAATCGGTGCAAGAACCGCCTAGTAGCCGGGCTTGACAGATTCTGGAGAGTTGTGACCTTAATGCTCCGTTCTGGTGGATGAGGCACGGAAGGCAGCTCGTGCATGCCCGTGCAGACGGCAGCGAGTAGTTGTCGTTCGGACAGTGCTTCCACACCGTTCACGCCAGCCTTCTGGCGAAGGTCGGCCCTCGACTGGTAGATAGCACTCGTCCGACGAATTTCATTCAGCAGTTCGCGATACTTCTGGTCCGCTGCAGCGTCGTCAGGCGATAATGTAGTTATCTGGTCGAGACCATCTCCAGCCGAGATATTCGTCATGCTTTGAGCGCCAGTGAGCGACTCACGAAGCTTTGGCCGATCCTTGAAGCCCTCGGAGCCAACAGTAGCAGCACGCAGTAGTGCTGTGTTTGTGAAGATGCCGTCGTCATCATTAGTGTCCTCGGTATCTTCCTCGATCTCTGCGAAGGTAGTCTCACTGCCGCCTTTGATGTTCGCCAGCACGTCGCCGACTTTTATCTCGCGAAAGAGACGGATAGTCACCTCCTCGCAGTGTGCGGCCAACTCAATGTCGTCCGCTAGCTTTATGCCTGACTACATTAGCTAGGTCGGATTCCCATGCGGAGACTGCTTACCCAGTTCGATACCGTGAGCTACAGCGGTCAGGCTCGAGAGCTGGATTGTTAGGCCTCTGATGACCATCAGACCGTCAACTTCAGTGTCGATCTCCATAGCAGGCAGGTTGAAGAGTGCAATCTTATCCCTAGTGAAATGCAATTGCTTGAGCAGATTTCGGAAGTTCTTCCGGACAAAGTCCGCCACAATGGTGAACTGCAGCAGACATGTAAGGCCGACGCAGGGAACCATGAACGCGGTAAAGCCCAAGTACAAGAGCCAAGACGTCGAAGATACGGCATAGATAACGTTAAGTGTCGCCAGGATCGTCCAGAGCGGGATGTTGCCTAGTATTCGCGTGCCATTTCTCGAGCCATAGATTAGTACCAGACTCTCGACGCCACACCCTGAGAGCAGCCATCTTCGTGGCCATTGTAGAGTCGCGACGGCTGCCACAACGGCTGCAGTGGCGAGCAGCGGGGTGGTGATGCCGAGAGGCGGTTTCGCTCTTATTGAGTTCGGCCGCGACTCGCCATGTCGGCGTGGAAACATCACCGGGTTGAGCGGCATGGCCGGAAAGAAGCGCTTTTGCTGGGTGACATGAGTAGTATTGAGGTTCTCAGATATCAACGTGCCGTTGCAATTTGGGAAGTTGGGTAAATATTGATACGTCATAGGTACTTTGGAGGAATCCGTGGCTTGCTCTGTTCAAGTTCTGCAGGACTCACCAGACTACGAAGCGGAATCATCTTTGCTTCTCGCACTTGGTTGTAGATGTCAGGACTACAGTGACTCGTTCCTGCCTCAGCTGCGTTTGCACTGCCTTGCGGTAGCAGGTGCGAACAAGCTCAAGCAATCACCTTTTATCCAGTCATCGTCTTCTCACAGTCAAGTGAGTCTTACCCGCAGAAGTCTTCGACTTCTGCCCATGCGTCCGACAACAACAGTGCGTGTCCGGCGTATGTGCATTGGCGCCGCCATAGTGTTGGGCGATCTGAGGGACAAACTAACACGCTTGCTGCTGGAATGAGGCCCAGGTCGAGCGTGAGAACAAGAGCAGACGGCGCCAGCGTATCGGCTGTTCGATGTTGACGGCCGGACAGCGACATCGATCTGCGCTATATCAGACAGATGGATAAGGAGCTGGATTCGCGACGCGGCTGATACAAGGTACACACAGCAAGCAGACGGATGTCAGACTCAAACTGCTTAGACAGCAGTAACACGCGCCGAGCTTGGCGAGGGGCGGAGGGACGCGTCGGACGCCTGGAGCTGGTTCTTACTACCCAAATATTTTTGCTACTTGTTGACTTCAAGTCCATGAACGATCCTCTGCCACAAACGCGACACTGCACGCGTTATACCTTGTAACAAGTGCCGCAGTGCAGTTGTTCGAGACCTCTGTCAACCACTGGAGATAGTCCTTTACGCTCGCCGAAGAGCGTACTGATGACGTCCACAGAAGTTGACGACTTTGTTGTCGTCGATCTGCCTGTGCCAACCAGGTCCAGACAGGCACTGTTGATTCAGCGTCGCCGCGAGTCTTCGACATGGCTAGATCGAGCCGCAGATTGCATCTCTCCGTCAACGGCGTCGGCAACGCCGCTCCACACGTGCAGACTGACACGATCGTTCGGATCGCGCACAGCTGACCCTCCAGCTTGAGCTTCGGGCGCTTGCAAGATCAAGGGTTTCACTCCCACCCGCTGCGCTGGGCGCCCAAAATTGTAGGTGGAAATTCTCGTCCGCCGGGCCTGGCCATGGAACACAACTAGAAGAAACCTTATTGCCCGATTCGGACAAACACCTCACCAAATAGTCTCCCCACAATTTCTTCACGTCAATATGTGGAAGACCTGGGCGTCAAGTCTATACCAAGCTCTGCCTTGTGGCTGACCAAGTCTTGACTTGACCGACTTGTTGTTGATGCTGTGCAGTACACACAATGCATGCATAGCCGACCCACGTGGTCCAGATCGAAGGCGTACGGTAGCGAGGTCTATCGGTCTATCGATTCAGCTTTCAGCCATGGTAGAGCCTCGTGCAAGCCTCAGTCGAGAGACACAACAGCGGAGCGGCTTATATGATGCTCGAGGTGCCTCCTCGAGGAACCTTCCGTCTCTCAAGCTCAGACATACTCACCCACAGTCACTCATTCCAGTGCCATCATCATGCACGTCCACTCGTTCCTGCCCATCGTGGGCCTCACACTCGTTACCATTGCTGCTGCACAGGATAACTCGACCCAGCAAGCGTCGATTCCTGGTGGTATGTTTGTCTTGACCGACACGAATGGCACCACACCCAATAAGAGATGGCTTCCACCTGCATCCTCTGCCATGCGACGGGCACCGGTCAAACGAGCCATTGCTGGCATCTGTGACAATCTGCCATCAAAATGGAGCTACCAAGGATGCTTTACCGATTCACCATCGCTACGAGTGCTCTCTGGCCCAAGCACCTGTTTCGATGACACCGGCTCGAATGGTGCCACACAGGAGAAGTGCATCGAGTTTTGTGACCAAGCTGGCTACTCAGTCGCTGGTGTTGAATGGGGCAAGGAGTGCTACTGTGGCTACCTCCTCGACTCGTCCGCAGTCAAATCCCCCGAAACAGACTGCAGCATGACCTGCACGGGCAACGACGCCGAGAACTGCGGCAACGGCGGCCGCATCAACGTCTTCACCAACGGCGACAGCGCACCAGCCATCCTCGCCGCAACAGGCGACTTCACCTCCCAGGGTTGCTACTCCGACTCCGCCTCAGCCCGCACACTCACGACCCGCGTCAGCCTACCAGGCAACGTCAGAGTCAGCGACTGCACGACCGCCTGCGCTGCACAAGGCTTCCCCTACGCCGGCGTGAGTCACTCCCCAAACTTGAACCGTGAACGAAGTCGAGACTGAAGGTCTGAGACTTGTTTCTATTGCCTTTGTCTCGTACTCCAGTACCAGGTCCCCTTCCAATCTAGTCCATCACTTCCCACTCGGTTCCCAATCCAAGCTAATGAAGAAAATAGCTCGAGTTCGGCCAAGAGTGCTACTGTGGCGCGTCCATCCAAAACGGCGGAGCCCCAATCGCCGACAAGCAATGCGATATGGCTTGTACCGCAGACAAGACCCAATACTGTGGCGGTCGCGGCGCTATCAACATCTACAAGAGCAACCTCCCCGCACGCGGACCCAGCACGGTGCCCGACGGTTGGACATCAGAGAAATGCTACACGGACAGCCCCTCCAACCGCGCTCTGTCCTTCAAGGTCCCCAACTTCAGCAAGTTCAGCGTCGCCCAATGCATTGCTGAATGCGACGAGAACGGCTACGTATGTCTCACCTGCCCTCACACATATCCCCAGCTACTAACCAAACCAACAGACCCTTGCTGGAACTGAATATGGCACGGAGTGCTATTGCGGTAACAGCATCCAAAACGGCAATACCCCAGCCTCTTCGGGCTGCGACATGGCCTGCGCCGGTAACACAGCCGACACATGCGGCGGCGCTGGCCACATCAACATCTTCCAAAAGAACTGCTCGCCCGTCCCAGGCTGCCACTACGGCTACGGCTACTTGTCGACAACCCACGTCGGAGGGCTTGCCAACTGTGCCGATGCGTGCCAGGCAAATCCGGACTGCCAGAGCATCCAATGGGGCACAGATCCGTACGAAGGCAGCGGTCAACCTTTCTGCAATCAGTAAGTCCTCCTCTCTGTATTCGCCCAGCTAGACCTGTTTAAATGCAATGCTAACACAAGATGCCAGGTTCAAGTACGCACTGCCTCTGCCGGTCTTACAATCCTATCACGACGCGAGGTGCGACTCATTCAGCTTCTACGACAAGGCTTGCTCGTTCTAGGCATTGTTGCACTGTTTGGTCAACAGCATGGCGTAGCATTGGAAGCATCACGGCATCAGGCGTTCGGAGAGGCTGCGGTAATCTCATAATACGCACGCGCACTATTCGCGCAGCTCTATCCACAATCAACGGGAAGCAATCTCTTAGACTTTGACACGTTCGGAACTTCCCATCAGCGCCGTGATCAACCGCCTTGATCAGGCGATTTGCCTGAGGCCGGTCATGGCTCGAACTCCCCTTTTTGTGCAATCGTAACCCCAATCCTCCCTACCACATCAGCTTTCGCACAGCTCGTCGCCACCAAAGCCTCCCACTCTCCACCAGGTACCACCCACCGATACCGTTCCTCCTCCCAGTGCGCAAACGTCTCCTTCACATCCACATTCATCGTCACCACCTCTTGTTGCCCAGGACTCAGATCAGCCGTCTTGCCAAACCCTACGAGTGTCTTGACCGGTCTTCCTAGCTCTCTCGATTGGGTCTGATCTTTCAACGCGACGTAGACCTGCAGAGTCTCTCTGCCGGGTAGACTTCCTGTGTTGCGCACTGTAGCCGAGACGGTGAATGTCGAGTTCGCCTTCAAATTCTGCTCCGAGATCTTGACGGCCTCAACGTCAAAAGTCGTATAGCTTCCGCCAAACCCAAACGGGAACAACACCTTGCCCTCCTCCTCCCCGTCATAGTACCTATACCCAATCCTCACACCCTCCTCATAAACAACCTTCAAATCCTCCAACTTTCCCGTACACGGAAAATTCTTATAAGTTGGCACATCCTCCACCCGCCTGGGAAATGTAACGGGCAGCTTCCCACTAGGATTCACCTTCCCCAATAACACGTCCGCGATCGAATACCCTGCCTCCTGACCCGGGAACCACGCTTGTACCACCGCCTTGACATCATTTAACCAGGGCATCGCGATCGGACTTCCGGTGCTCGAAACTATGACGACGTTCGGGTTGACTTTGGCGACGGCACGGATCAACTCATCTTGCGACCCGTCCATCGGCAAATTCATGCTCTCCCGGTCACACCCCTCCGTTTCCCAGACGGACGTGTGTCCCACCAACACAATCGCGACATCGCTCTTCTCCGCTGCCGCAGTGGCGTCAGCCAACAAGTCAGCCTCGAATTCTGCCTGTGACGCGAAGCCGAGGTTCAGGCAGATGAGTGCGTTGGGAAGGATGGAGAGGTCGTGGTCGCCGCCTTTGATCGAGTCGGCTTCGATCTTGATGTCATAGGACTTGCCGGCGATAAAGTCGTACTGTTTGCGTTCCTCGGTGGCGGTACCGAGGAGCATGGCCATGGGGTCGGCGGAGAGGGCGGGGCAATCGAACACGAGGGAGTCGTTGATGGTGACTTTGCTTTTGCCAAGAGTGGCGAAGGAGAGGTAGTGCTTTCCGGAGGTTTGTGGGGTGTATGTGCCAGTGATGACCACGGACTCGATCCCGGGTTTCTCGATGGACATGAGTGTTGAGGCTGGTATGTTCTTTGTTTCTGTTTCTCCTGTTACGGTCAGGGTGCATGTGAAGCCTGGTTGGCCATTCGCATCGACGACATCGTCCTGCATGGGCTTGAGATTGCGAAGGATCCGGCTCCTTCGGCGTAGTTGAGTTGGACCGTGTCGCCGATGGCCTCTGTGAGCGCGTCGAATGCGGTGATCTTGTGGTGGGCGTTCACGGCGGCAGAGCCTCCGCCATGCCCAAGGAATTCTTTGGATAGGCCAACCAAAGCCACCGACTTGAGCTGATCCATCCTGAGAGGCAGAACATTGCTTCATTCTTCAGCAGCACCATTCCCTCGGCACCGGCGCGACGAATCAGCTCGCGATGGCTGGCCTTGTCCACAGCCTTCTCCTCAGGTATCGTCGGATCATCAAACTTCCCCGTCCGCTCCAGTAGCTCCAATACTTTCTTCACACGCCCATTGAGCGTCGCCTCAGTCAGCTTGCCCTTCTTGATGGCTTCAGCAACCTTCGCGACCGTCCGCCAGCTGGCAGGTCCAGGCATCTCAAGATCATGTCCAGCATTGAGACTCTCGGCCGTTGAATTGACGCCTCCCCAATCGCTCATGATCAGACCTTTGAAGCCCCACTCCTCGCGCAGAACTTTGCGGATGAGGAACTCGTTGGAATCAGCATGTGTGCCATTCACAAGATTGTAGCTCGTCATCAGCGCCCACGGGTCTGATTTCTTGACCGCGATCTCGAATGGTTTGAGGTAGATCTCGCGGAGAGCGCGGGCGGAGACCTCGGCGTCGATGGTGAACCGCTTCGTCTCAGACTCGTTGGCGGCATAATGCTTAATCGTTGCTCCAACACCCTCCGCCTGAAGCCCATTGATATACTCAGCTGCCAGCTCGCCCGCAAGAAGAGGGTCTTCAGAAAAGGATTCGAAGTTCCTACCACCACGAGGGTCTCGGTGAGGGCATACTGTCGGCCCAAGCAGCACCGTTGCTCCCTTCGTCCTAGTCTCCTCAGCTAACGCCTTCCCAATGTGCCTGGCAAGCCCTTTATCGAATGTGGCAGCTAGTGACACACAGGCTGGGAAACAGGCACTCTTGACGCCTCCCTTGAATGCCTCCCCTCGAGCACCATTCGGTCCATCTGACACCTTCAACGACGGGACACCTAACCTGGGCACAGCATTCGTTGTCCAGAAGTCCTTGCCAGCCAGCAGGCTGACCTTCTCCTCGAGCGTGAGCTCTTTGATGATAGAGCCCAGGCTAGAAGCCTGTGGTGCGATTGATCCCATAGTGTGTAAGGCGATTTGCTTCAGTCTGTCCGCCATTGTGCCTCACAGTGTGAATAGCTGTTATATACACCTCATTGCTGACGATGTCCATCCTCTGATCCAGCGAGGTTTACCCGTGTTCAGATCCCATCCGACTTCGGATTCTGCTCATCGCCGTGCACCGCCGTCTTTCTGGGGCATCCCGAAGTTCTGGCAGAGGATTCCCGCAGTACCGGTCTGGCGAGCGGGGAGGAAACTTGGGGTGTTCTTCGAAGACCGTTCAAGGCCGCAGGAGAAGAAAGTCCTCGCGAGGCTTTCTCCAATCACAATTTCTCCTCAGGCAAAAGAGCATCTTGTGTCTCCTCTCTCGGCGATCCCTCGGCACGCCTATTCCTGCTCAAATTCAGGCCTAAAGGCATAACGACAAATCTTCCAAGCCCCAGACAGCTTCACCCACATCTCGCTTCCCCAGACAAGCAGTGTCCAATGATGCCCAGATTCTCAGAACGATTCTAGACGCCTTTAGCACTGGTTACTTCCACGTGAGGCCCCACTTGAGACTGTGAATGTGATTTCGTGGCGTCGTTTGTGCCCGCACGCCAAATGACTCGCAGCACCTCGCGTCGACGCCATGTCATGTAGGTTGGAAACTGAAGGTCTGTCTTCGGCCTTTGGGTCTTGTGAGCCGGCAGTTTGCAATATCGAAGCTCCGGAAAGAGCACTTCCATTCCCTGGCGACTTCACAGCCCGAGGAATACAAATAGCTGGCGGGGCGCACACTGCGATCCCCAGAAGAGCACAGTTCAGCAAATCTCAACTCCAAAGTCAGAGCATCCGAAGAAGCACCAACTATGGCAGTCACAGAGGTCAATGAGAAGGTCACCAGCTCCGCCGTTGAGCAGGTGTCTAGTGCTGAAAAGCATGAGCATCACCACGTCAAGCACGAACCGCACAAGGGCATCTTCGAAGCCTTTCGGGAATATCCATGGGCAGTCGTTTACTGCTTGTATCCTCTCTTTACCTGCATCATGTGGTATGTTCATGGCTTCTCTGCATGCAAGAGCCGGCGTGCTGACGATCACGCAGGGGATATGACGGCTTGGCAGCGGCGATCGTGCTCTCGATCCCCAAGTGGCGAGAGGACTATGGCTACCTGTACCAAGACCAATATGTTGTGTCGGCGAACTGGCAGCTGGCCTTTACAGCTGCGTCCATGATAGGTCTGTTCGTTGGTGGTCTGGCGACAGGTGCCGTGGCCAGAGCGATGGGTCAGAAGTTCTGCCTGTTGTGTGGCCATGTTCTGACTGTCGCTGGTGTTTTCTGCCAGTGGTACTCGCCGGGCAAGATGGCCCTCTTCTTTGGCGGAAAGCTTCTTACCGGAATACCGTTGGGCATCTTCCTAACCATCGCACCGACATACTGCTCCGAGGTCGGTCCTCCAGCACTTCGCGGTGCGCTCGTCGCTGCTGTCAACTTCTCCATCGTCATAGGTCAGCTGCTCGGCTATGGTGTCATGCGTGAGACCCAAGCCATGGCTGGCCAGAATTCATACCGCGTCATGTATGCCGTGCAATGGGGCTTCGCTGGCGTCGGGTTGGCCTTCTTGCCATTCATTCCCGATTCGCCTTTCCGTCTGTTGGCTCGAGGCAAGGAGGATGCCGCACGCAAGAGTATCCGAAAGCTTTACGGCGAAGCAACCGTCGACACGAGAGTTGAGGAGATCAGGGACATCCTTACAAATGAAGAAGCGGCTGCGAAGCAAGGTGGCAGTTACAGAGACTGCTTCAACTCCGTCAATCGCCTGAGGACGACGATTGTACTGAGTGTGTTCTTCATCCAGAATATGTCCGGTATTGGTTGGGTCGTCGGTACGTGGCTTGGTCTTGGTGACTACCGGACAGGGTACTGACATTGTCTTCAGGTTATATGGGATACTTCATGCAGCTCAGCGGCATGCAAGGCGCTTCAGTCTTCGACGCAACAGTCGGCGTCGCAGGCGTGATGGCTGTTGGAAATATTGCTTCGTGGCCGCTGCTTGAATATGCTGGTCGACGACCGACGATATTCTGGGGTAAGTCTTTGCACATAGAGTAGCTTCGTGGGCTGAATTGACTTGTTACAGGTCTTGTGACAATGACCGTCAGCTTCCTGCTCATTGGAGTCTTGACGCAATTTGTCACCAGGAATGCATCCATCGCCCTTGCGCAGGTCAGCTTCATGGCCATCTGGTCGTTCGCATATCAGGCCTCAATTGGTGCTGCAGGCTATTCGCTCATGGCTGAGGTTCCTACTTCATGCTGCGCGGTGTCACACAGTCAATGGGGACGGCGATGAACGGTTTGTCTGGAGCTGTCTGGAGCTTTGCACTCCCGTACTGCATCAACCCTGACGAGGGCAACCTCGGTGGAAACGTCGCCTTTATCTTCATGGGCTTGATGGTCATCTCTACCACATTTGTGTGGTTCTACTACCCAGAGACCAAGGGACGATCCTTCGAAGAGATTGACGAGCTTTTCCGCCGCAAGGTCAAGCCACGGCACTTCCACAAGACACAATTGGCTTAAAGCAAGCAACGCGTTGAGCCTTAGCCGACAGCAGCATTGATCTCGCTCGAGCTATTGCCCATCTGACTGCAGAGCATCATCTGTGAATCCTGGAAGGTGGCCGAGTCCATCTGTGTGAGCAAAGTCAAGAACTTGTCGATGAGGCTGTCCGCACGCTCCGCCAGACGGTGCTGGTGTTGCTCATCAGGACTTGCTGCTTGAGGGCTGCCTGGAAAGAACGAGGTCTGCGAACGACCTGACGAATAGTCCAGGAGCAGGGCAGCTACCTGGCGGATCTTAAATGATATGGTCACTCCGTTGCTTTCCAGATTCCGAATTGTAACACTTGCTAAGAATTGAAGAAGATCGTCGCATATTGCTTCGTGCTCGGAGATGATGAGGCTGCGGTTCGTCACAGCTTTGCCGTAGAGCGCTTCCTGGACTGCGACTAGTCTGTCGAAGATGAGATATCGGGCCCAAAGACGGGTCACATGGATGTTAGCCCGCATCGATGCCAGTTGGTCAGCCAAGGCTTGCTGAACTTCAGCGGGCTGGAAGTTTGGATCTAGCCACAATGCTAGTGGACGTGGCATGTGATCGGCGACACGGTGAATTCGAAGCAACATGTCCTGGAGGTCATCAGATGCTTTCCGGTCCACCCTTTGACGAGGCGTTTCCACTGATGAGACATACTCAATGCCTTCTACGGCATTAATGACTCTTCCTCGCGGGTTGCCAGCCATTGGTGCCACAAAGCACAAGAAGATCCGGATTATGCCAAGGAAGCCAGCTGTGATACCCACGTAGTCAGAAGGCTGTGGTAGAACCGTATCGTCTTTTATGTACTCATCGTCCACAGGCAGTGGCAGGATGGCGTCCAGGGTAGCTGGGTCGTAAAACATGGTGTCAGGGATTGGGAGCCAGTCCAAGTGATGAGAGGCCAGATCGCCGAGTCTAGCATGGGTTCGAATGAAGAAATTGAGCCAGAACAACTTCTTTCGAACCTGCTGATCTGGCAACGAAAGGCTGTCGTAGCTGCCGGGTGTGCTCGCTGCGAGTGCCTGCATAAGAGCGTCGAGCTCGGCACCGAAGATGCGAGCTCTACCCATTAGACCGACCACAGCGGTCGATTGGTAGAGCGTGAAAGCGATGCTACAGTGAAGATTCGTCGGTTGCTCGAATTCTCGCCGGCCGCGTAGATTCATGATGGTAGCTTCACATCGATCGACCATCTCACCCACATTCCTGTACGGGAAGTAGCCTTCGCGACTCTGATACCTCATGAAGTGAACGGGCAGCATCGAGCACACCCAGGTACATAAGGCGAAGACGCATGAGAAAAACAAAGCATCGCGTTCTGCTCTTCCTCCCTCAAGGTCCCTCTGGAAGGACTGCTTGTGAACGAGCGGCGTTAAACAGTACAGACGCTGGAAGTAGTCGGCAACTATCTCGTTGAGGATGTCGGGGCTGCAGATTGATTTGATGCCGAAGCCTGGGCTCCGGAGGTTGGGTGGGCTCGCGAGACTCCCTGGAGACTTTATGATTGAGTCCAGTCCGACGCTTTCTGGGGAAGACTTCTGAAACTTGGTGCGAGGACGTCTTCGCTGAGGTCTGTCAAAGGTGCATGCCAGACGGAGCGAGCGGCACGACCGGCAGCATATGGCAGCCTCGACATGCCGTGGGGCCTACCTCGCTTGTGAGTCAGTTGGTAATTGATGCAGACAGTTGTGGTGGTGACGATGCAAGGAAGTAGCACGCAAGAGCCCCGTACGCGTAATACAGAATCTGTAGCAGACCTCGGAGTCGTGACTTACAGTCTCGTCGATTAGGCATCGAATTTTCTGAGAGTGGCAGGCGTCACACGCGCGCCTTCCTGATTGTGCCATCTGCGACACCCAGGTGAAAGGGTCCGCCCAACCGCATCACTGCTTGGCTGTGAGCTCCTTGAGCAGTAGCCTGATCACTTTCGATGGGCAGTGCCATCGGCGAAACAACGACAGCCAATAAGCTCGCCCTGGTCACTCAATCGAAGAGAGCGAAGCTATTCACAGAAAGTTGGGTGGGGGAAGATGGGATTCGAGCTTTTGAAGGAAGCCGTCATCCGGTCTTGCATTCCTTCCGATCCTTGTCATCCGGCGTTCGAGCAGGTCACGATCGCACAGCCTTATGCTGCCATTATTACTTTTGCTACTATTGACATGGGGTTACGGCGTCGACCCGGTAAGCTACGGCTTCGCTTGTGCTTCCGTCGACCATGTCGCCCATCAAAGCTGTGCAGATGTGAGGTTATGGAGAATAATGCACATTGTTGGTCTTGCAAATATAACTGCTGCGGTCTCGCAGATAGAGCTGACGTGTGTGCTGACTTGAACTCGCACAATCAAATCAGAAGGATCTGGTGAGGCCTACATCGTCTGTACAGTATCTAGTACGCATTCACGCTGTCAAGCCCCGCAATGTATAGTTATCCTTCTTTCCGCATCAGCGCCCGAGCAAGCTGCCAACATACTCAGCAGCAGCCAACATCCTCTCCTCATGGAATCTCCTACCCACAAGTTGTACGCTCACATGAGCCCCATCATAGATTTCCGCATCGTAGTCCTCAACTACAACCTTGTCCGCCTCGCTAATCGGCGTGTACCCTTCTGGATACTTGTCTTTATTCTTGTCTGCCGTCGTTACCGGAACCACTGCGCTCGTGTAGTCTAAACCGTTCACCCAAACAGTGAAGTTATAGTACTTGTACCCCTCAGGCCTTGCCGCCGCATAAGGCGCAACAGGCGAGATGACGGCATCCACCGGCCGGCCTGTCCCCGTGAGTTCAGCAGTCGAGTTCCAGTAGTCCATATACTTCTTCTTTGCAGCGCGCTGTTCGACATTGACGGCGGCGATGTCGGTGCCAGTGAATTCCTTCGCATCTGGAGGAAGCAAGACCTGTTTGGCGACGTCCTCGCCGGAGAGTCCGAAAGCGCCCTGGAGGTCCTTGCCACCGTCGAAGCCGAAGGACTTGAAGATCCAGTTGGAAAGCTCTTCGTGAGTAGGCGTAGGCTTCCACTCGATGACCTTGTGTCCTTCTTTCTCCAGGGCCGAGACCACCATGTCGATAGCTCGTGTGACTGGTGGCTGGGCGAGTGCGACGCCGTCGGACTTCATGACGCCGAAGCATAAGCCGGAGGATTTGCTTTGCTTGTGGATGAAGTCTTCTTCGGCCTGTCGCCAGGGCATTTCTACCACCATCGGGTCTGTAGTGTTGATGATTGGTCAGCTCTATGTAGAAGAAGCGCCGCGGACAGTGATAAGGAACTATCATTAGACTCACCATAAAGATGCGGGTTTTGAGAAAGCAGAGACTGCACAGCCAGTTTGACGGACCCAGCCGTGGTCGCTAGTGGTCCTACAACAGAAAGAACAGTGTTCTGACCGTCCATAGAGTTGGCCATGCCTTCGTATGGGAGACGGCCAGCAGAAGGTCTGATACCGTAGAGGCCGTTGAATGCAGACGGAATGCGGATGGAGCCACCGATGTCAGTACCGAAGCCCAAAGGCGAACCTCTCAGACCGATCAGAGCACCCTCACCGCCTGAGCTTCCACCACAGGACAGATTGCGATTCTTCGGGTTGTAGGTGTATTTGATGATGTTGTTGACCGTCTCTCCAGCCATCAAGGTGTGCGGAACTGAAGTCTTGCAGTAAAGCACAGCGCCAAGGTTACGAAGTTCTCGTACCATCTCACTTTCGTACACGCCCTTTCGTGGGTCGTCAGGCTTGCCTTCGAAAGTCCCTATCCAGCCCACGTAGCCCATAGACGTTTCGACGTCCTTGACGTGGAATTGGTCCTTGAGCGATACGGGCACGCCATGCAGGGGGCCTTTCACTTTCTTGTGTTCCGCAAAATAAGCATCCAGAGCCTTGGCATCCGATAGTGCTGCGTCGAAGAACGTCTCATGGAGACAGCTCACCTATTCAGCCATGTTAGCAGCAGAACTAGCAACGTCACCCATGGGCAAGCATACTAGCTGGTGAGCAAGAGAGGCTCGGTGGCAGAATGCCTCAGTGACGGCGACCGCTGTCCATGTTCCAGAAGCGACTTGCTTTGCGATACCGACCGCATCAGTCTCGGTGATCTCAACCTCCTTCGGATCCAGAAACTGCTGGATGTATTTGCCTGTGACGTCTCTCTGCTCTTGAGCTGATGGCACCTTATCAAGCTTCCATTTCGATGGTATAGAATCGAGAATGGACTGCCTCTTGGCCTCGGCTTTGGCTTTCCAGTCTTGCACCATCGTTGCGGAAGGGTCGTCGGTGTTGAGTGGCACTGTAGCTTTCAGATCGAAGGAAGGACGAAGTGATGATGATAAGAAACCAGTATACTTGGAGAGTGGCTCAATTCCGCACCTGCTTCTTTGGGAAGGGCAACGCTGCGGGGAAGTCCTCTCGTTCGCGAACCATGATGATGAGGGGTTGTTTCCTAGACGTAATCCTCCGATTTCGTAAAGAGTCCAGGCCTTGATTTCTCATGTCGTATGTACCGGAGGTACACATCTGCTTCACAGCAGATGTTGGTCTTGGCCATGGTGGAGAAAGACTTACAAGCCATTGTCATTCATGCATTTGTCGCACGTTGAGGTTGATGCGCTTGCTCGTCATCCAGCCTTTCCACCTTGGGTATTCTTCTGGCCACTCCCTGAGATAGTCTGGACACGTATTGGGCAGGATCTTGGGCACGCCGTGCCATGCGTATCTCGACGTGCCGCTCATAACCACGGCATCTCCTGAACGGAGGCGAAGGGTGGCGTGTTTTGTGCCGTCTTCGTTGCCGACGAGGAATAGCGCATCGCAACCGATCGAAATACTGATCAAGCCTCGGTCGCATTCCTCTGCTACATCTCTGTGGACGGCCAGGATATCTCCGGGAGTGTAGAGATTGACGATAGCTGCCTGAGCGTCTACATCTGGGAACACTGTCCTCAGAAGTTGTGCTATATCGGCTGGGAAGGCTGGTGGGACCTCGTCTGGATACTTTTTGTTCGTCCAGTCGTATTGACCCCCAAGTGTCATCCATCTGAGCTTTCTGCTGAGAAGTCGTTCGATCGAGAGGGGCTTGTGAACAGCGGTATCTTTGGGGAGAAGTTCGTGAGTAGGATCCATACCAAAGAACGAACCCACCTTCGCCGTCTCTGGCCCTACAGTGTCAGGATACTGCATGTGGTGGAAGAGATGCACATTTGTCATGTGCTCGGGATTCGACAGGTCTCTGTGTAGAAGACGGTTCAGCAGACCTACCTGCAACGACGGTGGTAACATGTCTGGATAGATGATCAAACCGGGAAAGTCTTCCACTTCGAATGCTCGTTGCGTCGCATATGAGACCATCGCCGGAGTGACCTCCATATCGCCGTTCGAGCCACTACAGACATCGTAAGTGTCATGTGAGGGTTTAGATTCGGTGATGTCGGCGCTGGTCTCAATGTTCGCGATGGATGCTTTCTGCCAGAACTTGAATCGTACTTTCAACGCGTCTGGAGGCTTCGAGTACGCGTCTGATGTGTCCACTGTGTTTGCCATGTCGTAGAGCAGCAGGGATAGCGGCGAGCTACCAATCCTCCAGGATGAGATAAGCCGAGTCATTCGGACCTGCTCTTTCAGCTTCGGCCTTTCGTGCCCAGCGCCGGATGTTTTGCACGAGTGTAGTGATGGTGAAGAATTCCAAGACGAATGTTCAAGTTCTCGAGATCTGAGAGTTGCTTAGTCATCCATCACGAACGACTCTTGGTCGCATACTTCGGATCATTTCGCACCCGAACGACTGATTGACGCAGGCAGGCAGGCAGTGCTGTCTGGGCCTGTGGCTTCAACGGAAGTCGCGGACGAACGAAGTGTTTCCTCCTACAGCAGCAAATATGCAAATATTATGACCTCTATGAGACGCTGCATGTCTCAGCTATGCTCACATAGACCGTGTGCGCCACACTCGTGACAACCGTCTGCACGCCATGCCTGAAGCTGCAGCTGCCGACTCTCCCATACACTCGGATGCGTCTAGCGACGCCTCGGACAATGACTCGCAGCACGAGCATGCCTCTGGCGAAAAATCTGGCAAGAACTACTCTATCAAGGACAAGGAATGCCCGTACTGCCGCCAGAAATTCACATCCTCGTCTCTAGGTCGCCATTTGGACCAGTATATACACAAGAAGAAGCCAGATGGTATACATAATGTAGACGAAATCCGCAGACTTCGAGGTACTATCACCCGCCGCACAGCAAGAAATAGCAAGAAGAATGGCTCAGGCGACAGACCCTCTACTGGCAACGGCTCTGGTCGCCCCTCGCCTGCACCACTGCCGCCATCGCACCTCATCGAGGTCCCCGCCGACATCAATGCTGTCCCTACCAGCGGCGTCCAGAGCTCGATCAACCGCTTGACATGGCACTCAACCGGTGTCATCACCGACCCTGCGTCCATTGACCCATCGCCGTCCAGTACGACCACGCACGCGAACACTCTCCCCCTCCCCAACACCACCCATGGCTCTCCCTCCCGCAAGCGCAACTTCAGCACCTACACCTCCGACCTAACCACGAACTCCACCTCCCCCACCGCCCTCGCCGACACCGCCCGCGCCCTCGAGCTCTCCCTCCGCGAAGTCCTCGACAGCCTCCGCGCCGCCACCAAACACGTCGCCACCCCACCATCTCCCTTCGACTTCGACCTCCCCTCCCAGACGTACCCGTCCCTCATCCTCCAACTCCTCCCCGTCCCACCAACCCTCAACCAAACCGCCCCCTTCAGCACAATCCAATCCGTCCCCTTCGGCCCGCCCGGCCCAGACCAACTCACACCCCTCCGCAACCGCCTAACCTACAACATCGACCGCTGGAAATGGTCCGCCCTCCGCCTCGCGCAGCGCACCACCTCCAACATCGCCGACGAGGCTCCTTCCTCTCCTCCCAAGCCGACTCGTACACCTCCTCCGCCCTCCAACACCTCAACACCAGCTACGAAAACTGGATGTCCCACCCGCCCGACCAGCGCGCCCTGCTCTGGAACATTGAACTCCTCCGCGCCTTCCAATCCGAAAAAGACCGTCGCGCAGAGATCGAAGAAAAGATGGAAACACTCGAGCAAGAAGCCTCCCAGCTCAAACAACAAGTCGAGTACCTCTCCCGCTGCCAATGGCCGCGCGAAATGGCTCTATGGCCACCCGAACGCACAACCTACAACAGGAAGATGCGCGACGAGATCCGCCTCATCAACCTCCAGCGTCCTACACAATCCGTCCTCCGCCAGTCCGCCAGTCGGCCGGACACGCACGGCCCGTCCTTTGGATTGAACGAGCAGCCCTACACCGCCGCGCAGAACACCCACACTACCTACGACGTACACGACGTCGAAGACGACGACGGGGATGCACCCGGGATGGCTACGGAGAACGTGAATACGCGCGGCGACAAGTGGGATTTCGACAAGCTAGTCAATAAGTGGCGTAGTCATGTTAAGGAGGATCGAAGCAGGAGGGCGCCGTTTACGAGTGCGACGCACCATTCGGCGAGCTATCCTGGGGCAGCGGGGATTGCGAATGGAGCAAGGACGGCGAGTCCGTTGCAGGCGGTCGACCCAGGCAGGGGTGTTGGTGATGGCAGTCCTGTCGTGGCTGCTGCGGGAGGAAGTGGAACGGGAAGTGGGAACGCAGAGATGGATGGGCTGGGTATTGCGCCGCCGGGCCACGCAAACCTGCGGCGAGACAAGCCATTGTTTGGCAAGGGCAATGATGTGAGAATCGTTAGTGATTGGTGAGGATGCCCCGATGGACAAGACAATTGGAAAAGGAGAGGTTATGTTGGCGACTGTGGATAAATGGCTAGTATAATGCTCTTGCGAGGTGAGGTACATAATCAGGCATGAACCGCAAGGACAGCATGATGTAGTAATTTGTTTCTTGAAAGTCGCGAGTCGCTATACCATTGGTCTCTGCCAGGTGGCTGAAATTTACAAGTACAAGTGCCGTCAACAGGCTTTTACTCAACAATGTTAAACGCCTCCGCTATGCTTTGAGAATTCGGTAATACGGCTTCCCAGAATGCTTCACAGTCGAGGCTGCTCGACATGACGCTTGAATGCCGGCGCCGGGATCTCTGGCTCGGCACCTGATGGGCCTTCTTGCTCGGTTGGTGGAGGTGGTCTTGGATGTCTGTTAGTGCAAGAGCGATAATAGGCAACAGGCTGAACTTACGGAGCGCTCTTTCCCTGTTGGTTGTCAAAGAACTTCGAAAAGTCACCCTTGTCTTCGAAAGGTCGAGGACCTAATACCCGTACAAGGTCGTCGCGCACCAACATCTCCTTCTTCAGCAATTCCTCCGCAATGGCCTGCAGCTGGTCCTTCTTCTCCAGCAGCAGGTCCTTGCACTGCTTGTAAGCCTCATCAACTATCCTCCGCACCTCTTGGTCAATATTCCGTGCGGTCTCCTCCGAGAAGGGCTTGTGCAGACGCTGCTCGTCGTCCTTGTAGTTCAAGTACCCGATCTTTTGTGACATGCCCCATTCCGTGACCATAGCGGTCGCCATGCGCGTGACTTTGTTGAAGTCATCGGATGCGCCGCTCGTCACGGTGTCGAACCAGATCTCCTCGCTAACGCGTCCGCCGAGGGTCATGGCCATGCGGTCCATCAGTTGCTTGACGTTCATGAGGTACACGTCGTTGCCACCGGCAGGGAGGTACTGCGCGTATCCAAGAGCGCCTTGGCCGCGGGGGATGATCGAGACTTTGAGAAGTGGGTCGGCGTGCTCGAAGAACCATCCACAGATAGCATGGCCGGCTTCGTGATAGGCAACGGTCTTCTTCTCTTCAGGTGAGAGGACCATTGACTTTTTCTCGAGTCCGCCGATGACGCGCTCGATGGCTTGCTCGAAGTGGGTCATCTCCACGGACTTTGATTCAACACGTGCAGCGATGAGAGCGGCTTCGTTGCAGCAGTTGGCAATATCGGCGCCGGAGAAGCCGGGGGTGAGGGCTGAGAGTCGTCCGGTGAGGTAGTCCATGTCGACATCGGTCTTGATCTTACGTAGGTGCACCTTGAAGATTTGCTTGCGGCCGTCCATCGTAGGTCTATCAATCGCAATGTGTCTGTCGAACCGGCCAGGGCGCATCAAGGCCTTGTCGAGCACGTCAGGCCTGTTGGTGCCGGCAAGCACAACAACTTGTTCCGATGTGTTGAAGCCGTCCATCTCGGTCAGGATCTGGTTGAGCGTGGATTCTCGTTCATCGCTGCCGCCGCCGAAACTTTGCTTGGCTCTTGACTTTCCAATAGCATCGATTTCGTCGATGAAGATGATGCAGGGTGTGCTCTTGCGAGCATTCGCGAAAAGATCCCGCACACGTGAAGGCCCGACACCGACAAACATTTCCACGAACTCTGATCCGGACACGGAGAAAAATGGAACGCCAGACTCGCCAGCAGTGGCTTTAGCCAAGAGAGTCTTACCGGTACCGGGCGGACCTGACAAGATAGCACCTCGAGGAATCTTGGCGCCGAGTGATTGGTACTTCGAGGGGTCCTTCAGGAATGAAACGAATTCCATGATCTCGACCTTTGCCTCCTCCATGCCAGCCACGTCGGCGAACTTCGTCTTGATGTCCGTCTCGTGGTTGAACTTCTTGGCGCGAGACTTTCCGATGCCAAAGATGCCGCTTTGGCCGCCAGCACCGCCAGCAGCGCGCCGTGACATCCAGAAGAGGACGCCAATGAAGAGTAGCGTTGGACCAAAAGAGTAGATTGCTGCGCCGATCGAGACCTCATCGGCATAGGCGACTGGTATCCTCTCGTTGGAAGGAATGCCTAGCTCCTCTTGCGCTTCGTCTAGTCTCCTCTCGAAGCCCTCGACAGATCCGATGGAGAAATAGTAGTAGAAATTCCCTCGCCCGGCAGGCGACTCTGGGTACATGTTTGCAACAGCATCACGGTGGACTTCAACTCGTACCCTTCCGCGATTCAAGACAGTGAGCTTGTCAACCAGTCCCTTGTCGAGAAAAGTGGCTCTGAATTCCTGCCACGTGATGTCTCGTGAGGACTCTCCGGGGAAGATCTGATTGTACAGATACATCGATGCCAGTGTCGAGAGGATCACAGTGGTCATATCCATCTTAAAGCGTCCGATCTGAAATTGCATGCCAGGAGACTGCTGCGAGCCTTCTTTCTGCTCCTGCTTTCCATTGTTGGATGATTTCTCCTTGTTGGACTGTTCGAACATGTTAGGTGAGCCATCTTTCTCTGCTTTCCCCTCAACCTTGTCAATCGAGTCCTTCCATACTTCATATGGCGTCTTGGTGTACATCTTCATGAGGGCGCGGACCAGAGACACGGTGGTCGCGATGTCAATTTTCTTGTCGGGATTTCGTTTTCGGTCTTCAATTACGTCTCGAAGTTCTTGAGGAACGCCGCCTCTCCTGACTACCTCCTTCGCAATTTTCATTGCCTCGACTTGCCGTTTCGGAAGGCCTTGCGAGATGATGGCCATGATCTCGTCTACTTGCTTCATATCCTCTTCACTGAGAGGCGAGAAGCCGGGTGGGATGTCGTACTTCTTCTCCTCCTCCTTGACCGCTTCGGCCTTGACCTGGCCATCTTCTGCGGGAGTCTCGCCCTTGTTGGAACCGAGGTTGTCCTTCAACGCCGCCGGATCCTCCTTCTCCTTCTCAGGCTCGACGGGCTTCTGCTCGTCCTTCTCCTTCTTAGGCTTCTTTGGATCGCCGGGTTTCACCGTAGCGTATGTTCGACACACTGCCGGCCGGAAAGGCGACTGTAACCTCGAGCGCGCAAGCTGGGAGGACTGACGTTGAGCGCAGACTGAGCATTCAAGTGCGATTCTCGAGCTACGTAGCAGCTGTGGTCTGAAGAGTCTGGCAGCCATGTTGACGGTGAAGACCAGGTAAGGAGTGACTGATCTATTGGCTATGCCACAGCTCTACGTGAGATGGTAGGGGACTGGCCTAGTGGTGTTGATGGCAGGCGGAACAACTGATGAGGCGTCGAGCATTTGCCTTCGCCGCATGTCGACTCATGAAATCACCAGATCGCCAAGCCGGAACGGCCCAACGTTATCTCCGGCAAATTCACTGTTGGCAACGAAGGAAGGTACATCGACAATTCATCTTCGTCGTCACTGTTACGAGAAGTCGACGACAATGATATACATAATTCATCTCATACATCGTGTTCATATCTGCCACTTCCTTCAAGATCTACAGCCGGCCATACCTTCATTCCACACTCGTGACCCTTTACTCACACCTAAGTGTCCCATCACATGTTATCGTTCAATTCTGGAGCGTTAGATGATTGCTGTCAAATCGCTCCTTCCTCCTCAAACAACGCCGTCAGACAAGTCGATGCACTCCAATGAGTGCGAATGTCCTCGTGCTAAAGGAAGCAGTCATCTGCTCGTGAAGCGTCACCTGCATTGACGTCAGCTTTACTTTACATCCAAACTACGGGCACCCACAATACTCACATCCTTACTTTCCTGGATCTCATTTCCCTCGACGCCAACTTCAATCCAGGCCCCGTACACGATCCCGCTCGACCTCCCGCCACTTGAGCTCAAGTTCGCACTTGGCCATCAAAGCCTTGTTGTAGTTGAGATAGTCGGTTCTCAGGATGCGATGGAGTGTCTCGTGGTCGATCTGGTTTGTATCCATGGCACCAAAGATATCGTCGAAGTTGGCGCGGGTGAGCATGCAGAGGCCGCAGTGGCATGCTTTCATACTGCTGTTCTGACGGCTGCTGTTGTTCTGACTATTGCCGTTACTCTGATTGTTGCGGTTAATCTGACCATTGTCGTTGATCTGACCATTGCCTTGCTCCTGACCATTATTGTTGGTCTGGATGTGGCCCCTACTTCGGACTCTGCGGATATTTTGGCCGTTGTCGTTACTCTGGCCTCCTGGAGCACTTCGGCCATTGCCGTTGGTCTGATTGGCAGCCGGCATGGTGTTGATTGTATGGTTTCGAACGCTGGACATCGACGGACGATAGGCTGAGCGATGCGGCGATAGCGCACATAGACTCAGATGCCCACGACTTCGATCCGTGAAGTTGTCTGAAAAACATGTGTTGATGGTGCAGGCGGGGCCGTTCATATGTTCCACCAAGTTCAGCACAAAGCAGATGGCTGGGACTGTGCCAGCTCACTGTTTGCAAGAGACATGGGTGGCGCAGCAAGCTTCCAGCGGGTATTGACGGGCTAAGTGGGCGAAGCTCTGAGATGCACCAGGCAGTTGACTCATTGTATCCATTGTGAGAATACGTGAACAGTTTGTGTCGAGATCAAACCCAGGACCTGCATCCCACTGACAGAACCTCACAGTCTCCGCAAACCAGGCAGGCCCAAATCCTCACCTCCGACGCAGGACAGATAGAAGTGCTCAAATGGGAAAGCAACTTGTCTTTTGCACATTGTTGGCGGGACTGAGGTGAAGCGACGTTGTTTGGGTCATTTGATACCGGTCAGATATGCTCCCATCCCTTTCCAGCTTCTATCTGTTCAACGACAAGTCTGGTCTGGTTTGGTTCGGTATATTTTAGTCAAGGTGAGACTGTGTTGACACATCAGCGCTACTCAAGCCTTTTCGATCTTCGATCTCTCTAACTCATCCTCCGACGAGCTTGCAACTTCGCTACTATCGTCGCTGCCGTCCTCGAGAGTGAAGTCCGAGCCAACATCTGGATTCTCTCCATCTCCACTATCAGCATCCACGTCTCGAATGATTATCCACAGAATCTTCCTCAAAGACTTCTCCTCGCGCTTGTTGTGCAGCGACTTCTCGCTGGCTTTGTCAATCCTTCTTCGGTACTTCCTCTCGGCCTTTTCAAGCTTTCGTTCGGCCTTCGCATCGCCATGGGCCCTCACACGTTCTTCAAGGCTACTCAAACTCTCTAACGTGGTCGAGTCCGATGCATCGACGGTGGGGAGTTTCGACTCAACCTTATCTAGCCTCTTCTCTCGCTTTCGCTCAGCCTTTGCAGTCTTCTTCTCCAATTTGGCATCCGCCTTATCACGACCCTTCAACATACGCTTCTCGCCGCGTTGACGCTGCCGTTCGCTGCTCTTGACACTCCACTGGCTCAAAGGATTTGATCTGTCTTCAATCTGCGGCAGCCCTTCCGTCTGGAGTGGAGCAATATACTCCTCCAACGTCTTCAGCCGCCGCTGCTGCACATCAAGTCGCGCTGCACCATCACCAACATCATCGCCCGACTCGCCAAGCGGTTCCAGAAGCGTCGCCTTCTTCACAACCTTCCCCTCCTCATCAAGCACCGGAATGCCAGCAATCTTCGCCAGCCCATCAAGCTGAGCGATCTCGACCTTCAACCCTCGCGGAGCAAACATCTCCCGATTGACCTTTCTCAGAAACAGCTCCGTCCGGCCCTTGCTGAGAGCTCTGCCCACTATCTTGGACCCCAAGTCGACACCCATGCCAATGAGGTTGATGCTGTGCACCGGAACGAATTGCAGTACGGAGCCTGCGAGCCCGATCGCCTCGAGCGGCGGCGACTTGACTGCCACGCGATTGAGCGTGTCTACGAACTTGACGAAGTCGGCTTGTGAGATGGAGTATGCTTCGAGAGATGGTGGATAGGCACGCAGAAAGGGAGATCCGAGCTTTTTGGTCGTTGCGGGAATGGCGATGGTTTTTGACAGACGTCGGCCTCGACCGGTTGCTGCGGACATTCTCGCGGAAGGCATCGTGTTCGTGGTTTGCTGTTGTGATTGTGCTGACACTGTCTGGGAGACAGTCTCTTGATACGGCGGTGGTGGCTCGGCCGGCCGCTGTTGCAAGCTCGACTTCGAAACATGTCCCATGATGGCAGCTATCCTGGCTACAAGAAGGACGAGCGTGCACGTATGAAGTAGTCCTGGGAGGATCTGTCTGGCTGCGTACGAATATACTTAGTACTTATGCGATGGGCTCTTTTTGAAGGGACTCGCGAATGATGCCAGAAACGACATGGCCGGCCTTCAAGTTCACACGAAGACTGCACTCAAGTATCCTTTTGGGACCTGGAGTTCGCCCGACGACCTTGACTTGGCTGTCGATCATTTCGTGAAACTTCCTGAATGAAGTCATTCGGCCGAAATAAGGTTGAGCTTAGACGTTTCAAGCTCGCGTTACAGATGCTTCGTCCTTGTATGCGCTGATTTACAAAGATAGACGTCCAGACACAATGGATTGCGAGCACTCATTGCCGCAATGCAAGTACAAGACCGTACAGGACTGCTTTGCCATAAAGGACCGATAGTCTCAATTGTCCATAAATGTAAGCCCATCATCATGCTTTAACTCACAGGAAGAAACAATTCGCCCCGAGCGTCACGCTCTCTTGCGGTCGCTTTACTAGCAACTGTCCATCGCCTTCTCTCCTTCTGCACCACTATGTCATGTACGCCGCAGGAATAGACTCAATCCCGCGTGGTCCAATGTCTTTTCGAACCCGTAGCCTCTCCATGACAGCCTCCTCGCCATCCCTCTGCACCTGCTCATACAGCTCCTCGGGATCGAAATCTATACCGACCGGGTTCTTGGCGAAGTCTTCCGAGTTGATCAGTGCGTCGCTTTCTTCGTTGTTGAGGTTATCGACTTGCGTCTCTGTCCACACCGCAACCGTCAGCCCTCGGCCATTCAGCCCAGCGGTGAGAAGGGAGGGTTTCGTGCTACTAACCCAGCAAATTCCCATCTGGGTCCTTATAGTACAAGCTGGTCGTAAGCCCATGATTGACACACCACACCGGCTCAATCCCCTGCTCAACCTTCCGAACCTTATAAGCAGTAACCAAGTCCGTCAGGGAGTCCCACGTGAACGAAATATGCTCCAGCCCGTTGGAGTGGCGGACCTTGTCCTGCAGGCCAGGGATGTTGACGAATGCCATGCGGTGGTGCTCGTCGTCGTAGGTGATGAAGGCGATTGCTGGGTTTGCATGGACGATGCGGCCGCCGAGGAAGTCGCAGTACCATTTGGTCATGGCGGGCATGTCTTTGGTGCGGAGGACGACGTGGGCGAGTTTGTTCGGGGAGGGGACTTTGGTTGGGGCTGGTGTGGAGGAGATGGCCATGGTGGGATTTCAAATGGGCGGTTTGAAGATTTCTGTAGCTGAGTCGCGCAATGGTGCGAGATGTGAGGTGTACGGGGTGTGCTTCAACGGAGCATTCAGGACTTATTTGTACTTTTGGACTTTCCTCACCTGCTGAGGCAGCTTGGGGGCCGCATTTACCCCGGACGAGCCTTGCTTACCATGAAGAATCGTGCTGCTATGCAAGGCCGCCGATGAACACGTACGACTGGCAGAGCAGCTTCCTGCGCTAAGGGCTCACCTCTCACCTTCGTTGTCCTGCCTGCGACCTACCGACGACTTGCTTCAACCGCGGATTTCACCTTGGCATCTGATTTTACGCATGGCAGGAGCGATAGTTTCGGGTCCGAAGTAGTAATTCCATTTCCTACTCGTACGGTTATGTCATAGCAGTCGCGCCGATAGAACGCACTGTATGACTGCGTTCGATGGGCGCCTGAAGTCGTACTCGGAAAGCCAGGTACGAAGTAGGCAGGATCAACTTTCGAAAGAGCAATACGGTAAGCAAGAACGATGTTCGACTTGTTGTAACCGACAAGGCGACTGCCTGGGCGAGGAAAGAAACCGCTCTCCCTGCGATCCAGATACGTACTCGCAAGACTTGTCCTTGACGGAATGAGCATGGATGAGTCAGCTACCCCAGGAACGCGGAATTGCAGCAGCTGATCTAATCCACGGATTAAGATATCGCTGAGCTGAGGTCGATTCATTGATCCGTTGTAAGGTGCCGCCGAGGCTGGCATAAGCCGCGTTCCGCGTCAGAAAGTCTTCAATCGTAATAGGGTGACTTGCGAGTTCGAAGGGTACCTGAGATCCCTCAGTCTCGACTGCGCTATGTCAGCTCTCAAACTTGGCGGGCGTTTGAGTTGCGGGCCAATGAAGGATGCCCCAATATCAAGGTGCCTTCGTTAGGACAGTAAGACAATGGCCTTATCGGAGTGAACGTATCGTCCGCGTGCGACTAGCACCCTCCACGTTACCGAGCATCAGTGTCCTTTTGTTGTTGTAGTTGTCCTCGCCCACTCGTGTGATTGTGCTTCAAATCGCTTGATCCTGATACGAAGCAGCACCTGACTTCGTGAGTCGAAACCTCAAGGAGGAGAGAGCCTTGACCCGAGGAGCAGATGTAGCGAGTCGCTGGGAGACCCTGTGCCATGAGGTATAGATACATTCCTCGATACCAGTTTGGCGGGTCAATCTGATTACGCTTGATATTCCCCTTCTCGGCTATGCCCCAATCTGACTTCGTATGATTTCGTAACACCGGAGATCTTGCTAACTGCTGAGCCACTCAGGGCCAGACTCGACTGTGTCGGCAAAAATGAAGCCTTGTGACCTATCTCCTTGTTGCGAGTCCGGCCTGACAGCCCGTAACGATTCATCGTGGTCAAGAATGCCTCGATTGGGCGGGTTGTGGCTCTCAGCACAACGAGGAAGACTGAAATCGAAGACATGTCCAGCGTCTTCGGAGCACGGACTGTCGTTTCAGTGCCCTATCATCTGCTCTGGCACTGCTCGCGGATGGCAACGCGGCGTCTTTGCACACCATAGTCGGCCTGCGACCAACTTGCGATGAACGGTCCTGCGTCCGCTTTGATGATGTGCTTCGGCGTGTTATTTGGAAACATTCTGCATGGCGACAGCGTAGCTCATGTTGAACAGTTGCTTCTGGGAGGATAGTCGGGCCCCAGGACGGCGCTGTATGCTTGCACATTTCCCCTGGCTCGGGGACCGTGTCCGCTCAAGTCACAATGAGAAGGTCAAGGTTAGTAGGTCAAGCTGATGCACCGCATGATCAGGTACACACAAGTAGGCGAAATCAACCGATCAAATGTGATCTGAGATCTGCCTGGCGTTGCTCCATAACGAAAGCGCGATCACACGATTCGTAGAGATACCTCGGCGTTGTTGGCGGAAACTGTGGTGACTAAGGTGTTCGTTGTCTCAGGTCGGCATGTTCATGCATGGGAATCGAAATAGGCATGCAGCTGAGCAGAAGGAAGCTGTTGCCCAAGGCCCGAGATAACGCCATTCCGCTCGCGTAGAGATGTATGACAAAACAACGCGGGTGGCTTGACGCACTGCGGGTCAACATTTGGAAGAACACGAGGGGGAAACACGCGCCAACAAACCTTCAGGCTCATATCTTCGTCCACCACGTTTTGATGGACAAGCCATGCCATGCTGCATTTGCTGCCCTCTGGCAATGACTTTACTGTGATCTTTGCAAGGCGCGATAATCTCCGCGTTGCATTGCAACAATCGAGATCGCCAAGGGTGTCTTCGCGCCTGCAGTGCAGTGGCACGGTAGTACCTGGTTATCTGGATACGTCATCCCGGCGTGAGACTCGTTTGGCAACACCTGCCCAGGCGCCTTCCAGAATACTACAGTACTCACAGGCGACTCGAATGTTCCTATAATTCCCGCACCCTACAGTGATTTCAAGTTCGGCATCTTCATTCCACCTCGGCGTCTACAACGGGCGAGGGAAGCTAATAGCTGGTGTAGCAGCTTCGTGGTCGCCGTTCGAAACAATGGACGAACTGCAGTCGTGATAGGCTGCACCCCACGGCCTACAGTGACAAAAACGATTGCACCAGCGCAACGCGTATCTACTTACAGTCAGCAAGTACAGGGGTGAATCCTTGGCCTTTCCTAAGTATTTCCTCCCGAACTCAGAGCCGCATGACATCGTCCGAGTCCGACTTATATGCCCTTTCGACCAAGGCTTCATCCAACTTGTCATGCCGCGGTTTTTGACGGCACGGCACGCTTCTTCTAGCAGCGCTCGGACAGGCCACCGCATCATGATCACATTTCAAATCGCCTCCCAACGAGGCTTTTCTGATCCTGGCGAGTCAAGGGTCAAGATGCTGTGCACGCGAGTGCGAGCTGCACAGCACTATATGTTGTCTGTTGCCACGGAATCGACCCGCTAGCAGACTGCAGATATGGACAACCATTTCATAAGTATGCTATCGCCACTCTGATCGGTAAGCACGAGGTAAGTCAATTCACGAGTCACAGAGCACGAAGCCAGCTCAACGAACACCAACTACCGAATGCGATCGAGATGAACACTGTGCCACCGGACAAGGGTAAGTGCAGGCTGATCGCTGTACACGAAAAGCGCTAACACCTTGCAGACTGCCAGACATGCCGACGTCGTCGCATTCGATGCGACCGAACCATGCCGGGCTGCTTGAAATGCGCATCTCGGAGTCTCGAGTGTCCCGGGTATGGCATGGATATCAGATGGATCCAAGGAGCCGTGGCATGGCATCGTACCCGACGAAGCCAGTCATCGGGTGGTCCAGCGGCTACAGCCACATCATCTGACGCAGGTCCCTCAGCACGGACATCGCAAGTACCATCAAACGCACCTTCCCCAGCTCATGCCACCGACACCGAGCCTACGACCGAGTCCACTACTCCGCAAACCAACCCCAATCCGAATTGGTGGCTCAGGCTCGATCTGCCACCTTCGCTCTCCACGCCTACTAATCTTCGACTCGCACAACACTATGTAACGAACCTGGTCCCACGGCAAATCAGGGATGTGGACATGGGCTGCGACAAGTTCTGGCCACAAATGACACTACTCGCCGCCTCGTATCTAGGGGCAATGTGCGCGGTCCTCGCATACACGGTGAACGATCTACTGTTCGCTCAAAGGCCCAGCCCTACACCCGAGCAAGCGGCTCAACTACGCCAAACGCGCCAGCAGCTCAACGACCGAGCCGTACGATACTTGAGCGAAGACATGGCAGTGATGACTTCCAACGGTGGCGCGTCATTCTTCGCCGAACAGCCAAGACGAGCACGCGCGATGGTTGCTGCGATGCTGCTACTGGCTCGGACCGGCGACTGTGACGATCAGGATGATGTGCTGGAGCTGCATATGCGTGCAATCAGTGCCATGATTGCGAGCTGGAGCTCAGTCGTTGGGCAAGACGCGTTGCGGGACCCGTTCATTGACAATGTGCTGAAGCACTTGGGCAAGAAGTGGGGTGAAGCGAAGCGGGAGGATGGTGAGGAAGTGAGGTGGGAAGGTGGTGAGGAATGACCGAAGAGATAGGTCACTCTGCAATTCTCGTATTTGTCGCGACCCTGCGCAACTCGTACTTTCGTGTTCCCAGTTGAGCTGTACTAGGTACGCAAATGTCCTCGTATTGGACGTCACGCGGTTCTCTTTCCGCGAGCCAGGAGATCACGCAATGAACCGAGATCAACAGTCGAATGCCCAGCGAGCCCCTTCTCTCTGGCATCTGGCATCGCTGCAAGCCAGATCGTGTCGCTACCTACTGGAGAAAGCTCCAAGGGTCCTGCTCGACGTGCCAAAGCGCCTTCTCAATAGGCCTTCTTGATATCAAATGCAGCTGCAGCCGGCTCCGACAGAATCCAATGGATGCCTTCGACAATACACGCATCCCAAGCCTTGCTCGCTATCGGCAATTGGTTTCCATACCTTCTGCCGCCATGCGGATGACCAGGAAAGACCTGCACATTCGTCGGCACACCTTGATCAGCAAGCAATTTCGCGAAGAACAAGCCCTCGTCCCTGAGCGGATCTGAGCCTGCAATGCCAAAGACAGTGGCCGGCAAGCCTTTGACTTCGTCAGGTGTTGCGTTGCCTATGTTCAGCCTTCTGTCATTTGCGAAGCCTTCGCCCTTCAGAACTGCGTCAGAGACCTTCAACTGATCCGTGAAGAGCTTGATCCGCTTGAGGTCCAATATAGGCGCGTTCGACTGTGTGTGATAGCTGCTCGCCTCTGGGCTCTTCAGCTGTTTTCTGATGTTCTCCTGATGGTCGAGATGCACCAGTGCTGGGATCATCAAGACTTGTCCCTTCAACTTCGGCAGCTTCGCAGTCGGCCCCAGTCCTAGATTCTGCTTCAGTGAAGCGCTAGCGCTCAGCTGTCCACCTGCGCTGATGCCTCCGACCACCACGCGAGATCGGTCAATGCCGACCCCGAGCGTCCTCTCTAGTTCCGCTTCCGGAATGCCATGTAGCCACACGAGAGCATCCTCGACATCTTCCCAGGCTGTGGGGAAGGTAAATTCAGGCGTGTGGCGGTAGTTTACATTCAGCACCACGATTCCCTGATTGTACTGCTCCAGGAAGGACTTGACGATGCGACTGCACCCAGCGTCCTCGGATGATAAGGTGCCAAAGAGGAAGCCGCCACCGTGAAGGTGGACGTAGACTGGTAGTGGGCCGCTGGAAGGTAATGTCTTAGGTCGATAGCTCCGTGCCTCGACTGTGCTGCCGTCCCGGGTGGGGATGGAGTGGTCTGTTAAAGCTACGACTTCTGATAGTCCTGTTCTGGCGGGTCAGTCGATGCACTATCTAACCACGTATCTCATTATACGTCAGGTTCATCTACGTACCTTGGCTGATCATTTCTTCCGCGCTGACCTTCTCTCTTCCGCCATTCGTTATCTGTTTCAGCTCGTCCACGCTTGAGAACGCGGGCAGAGGTGGGATGTTGGGTTCTAGTGCGAGCCATTCTGCGCTTGGAATGCCATATTCCGAGTAGTCTGCCATACTACCGAGTGTCAGACGCCGCTCAATGAGGCAATGGGCTAAATGATCCGAAGCAAGTTATAGCCTGACGAAATGTTCGATTGCGGGAAACGACGTAAAGAGTGCGAGATATGAGGCAAACGTCGTCGTTCAGAAGCGAGATCGCTAGATTCCCGTAGAAAGCCTCGTGAGAGTGATGGAGTGACCACATTTATATTGCCGAGGTATGTCAAAGGCTAGATACCATCTACGTAAGCAGCAGTGCCGGTGTCACCCCAGATTTCGTCATTTCCAGGCGTCTCGGACAACAATTTCCGAATCCAAAGTGCAACCAACGAAGGCACAACTTCATGATCTCACTTTCAACTCCTGTCATCATCCGCTTCCTTTTTAACGTCCATCCACAGCAGCAAAGCTATCGCTGCACACTCTCGTGGCCTATCTGCGAACGCTCCCATCGTTGTTGAATTGCTGATTGGTCGCCTGCTGTGTCTGCGTACTAGGACTCGACGTCGACGGCTTCGCAGCAGCTGGCGCGGGGCGTTGGACACTATTGGAGGCGGCTTGTTGAACTGCAGTGCGAGCCGGGTCCATGCTCACGAACTGGGTCTCTGTCAGACAATTGACTCGGGATTGAGAGGGACTGAGGACTCACGGCCTCTGCATGACTCGGTATGGTTCCATCGTAAGTCGTGTTGTTGTTTGACATGGTGGCGTGTGGCAGCTACAGCAATAATCCCGTGACGAAGGCTTTGGTGGAGTGTTATGCTGAGAGAGGAAGGCGCGAGTCAGTCGAGAATGGTGCGAGCATTTTATGTCTTTCAGCATCTCCAGCCAAACTGGGCGTTCGCTCGACTTAGCCTTGCGAAGAGCCCTGTGCGCCCAATCTCAAGGCAGCCGCACCTCAGCGAGACCAATGGATGGACAACACACTTCGCGTCAGGCAGCAGCGCCCCGAGACGGCATTGACATGCTCCCAATCCTTCATTTCATCAGCCAGTATTCGCTGAAAATGCAGACCGGCTTTGGGCACACATTTGCTTCACGGGATCGCGCACGCGACAAGGCGCCTTTCCAGAGAGCACCCACGAATCTCGTCCCGCTTGATTGAAGTATCCCAGAGATCAAAGCATGTCTGCGGAGCATCGGCTAAGGTTATCTCCCTCACTGCTCGCAATAAGGCAGGTGATCCTTGCACATGCCTTCTCTACATCTACCTTCCTTTGCCAGTGACCGAGAGTGACAGGCCTCAAGGAGTGCAGGGCAAGAAGGCTTGTGCAGTGGTTCGGCGCACAGTGGGACGCATGACTTCCCGGCTTATTGGCAAGCGGTGTCCAAGAAGGTAGGTATAGAAGAGGTCGGGGGCTGATTTCTTTTCGCAGAATTCGCGGAACTCTTGGCCGGCAACAACATACCCCATACGCGCTCGATTCTTTCACCTATCAAATCCTTCTCCCCTCTACTTTCGCGGAAGTAGACTCACCCAAAGTCGCTATGCTGATCTATACGCCAGATACTCTGCAGGATTATACCACTTGCTCACAAAGAGTAAAATGTCTTCGAGTCTCCTACGAGTACCTCGTCCCCAGTCCTGACAATCGTTGCTCGAAGGAGAGTCTGGAAGTGTCTGCGAAATCGAGGACCTTGACTTGAGTCCTGCCAAGTGGATCCAGTGACCATGCTACATGCAATTAGACGATGCGGAGCCCACTTCAACAATTCGAGGACCTTGACTTGAGAAAGTGCCAAGCGAACTTCGCGACAATGCTTCATGCAACTTCACCACGAGTGCTCGAGCTCGTCTCATCGAGAGCGCTGACAGGCCAGCTCGAAAGGTAAGATTTGGCCAGGCGAATACCTGGCGGACGTTTAGAGTCTTGCTACTTGCCATCTCCGATATACGATCTCCATTCTCAAGCCAATTGCCCCGTGAAGGAGTCTCTAGCTAGCATTAAAGGCAACGGGGTATGTTCTCCGACGTACTTATCATTGGCGCTGGTCCGTGTGGGCTAGCTGTAGCGGCACGTCTGCGCGAGAGTACTCCGTCTGCATTGTTTACGGACGAGGAGCATGCTCGGTACTGGAAACGTTTCAATCGCAAGGACACGCTCGAGGCCGAGAGAAAGAGCAAAGGAAGGAGAAAGAGCACGGGATCCGACCAAACCGAAGGCCACGACAATGACGACGATCATGGCACCGGAGGAGATCTCAAAATCACCGTGCTTGACTCCGCGTCTGACCAGTGGCTCGGAGCATGGAGTCGTCGACTCGCACAATTCGATATCCCTCATCTGCGTAGCCCCTTGTTTTTTCACCCAGACCCCAGGGACAAGGATGGCCTGCTGGCGTACGCCTATGACCAGGGACGACATCACGAGCTCATTGAGATCGAGCATGTGACCAGGAAAGAGTATAGCAAGCACTCGCGGAAGAAAGAGCACCAAAGGAGCCGAAAGCCAAAGGTAGAGAGACATCTCAGAGTCGATGGGCGAGATCAGATCGATTACTTCACCCCGTCCACGAGCCTCTTCAGGGACTATTGCTGGAACGTTGTGGATCGATATAGCTACGCCATACCGTACACCAGACTCATGTCACTGGTGTCCAGTACGACGACAATGGCTGTCCCTCGAATGGACATGTGTTCCAGGTCGAGACAACCAGCGGTACTTACATGGCCAGAATCCTCGTGATTGCAACAGGCGCAACTTCAGCGCCGAGTATCCCACCTGACCACAACCTGTCAATCTCATCGGGCGCCGCAGCGGATTCAGTGTGCCATTGTTTCGATCGATCTGCTCTCAACATGATGGAGACCATCTCGCGCAAAGCAGCGGATGGCAGGCCAGCCAAAGTTGTGGTTGTAGGTGGTGGTCTGACATCAGCCCAGCTCGCTCACTTGCTCATACAAGGAGGCGTCTCCCACGTCTGGCTGATCATGCGAAGCAAATACAAACTCAAACATTTCGACGTTGACTTGGAATGGGTATCCAAAGTGCGCAATCAGCGCATGGCCGAGTTCTGGTCCGCCGACAGTGACAACGAAAGGGCAACGATGTTGAGAGACGCTAAAAATGGTGGTTCTATCACTCCTGCCTTCGACAAGATCCTCCAGCGGCACGTCAAGCGAGGGAGGTTGACTCTTCTTCCCTGCACACGAATCACACGTGGGACATGGGATGATGGCTGGAATCTGGTGACAGAGCCTGAAGTCGAAGTGGGCTTGCCCAAGATTGATTATGTTTTCTTCGCAACAGGAGTCAAGCCAGATTTCGCAACGATTTCTTTCCTCCGTGACCTCCAACGGGAACATGGCATGGAACTTATGGGGGGACTTCCAATCATCAATGATGATATGATGTGGAATGATGAATTGCCTTGCTTCTTCGCAGGAGCACTTGCTGCGTTGCGACTTGGGCCTGGAGCCGCAAATCTGGCTGGTGCGAGACAAGGTGCTGAGCGGATTGCTTGGAAGATCGAGCAGCTGTTAGGGTCGTGTGGCAGCAACCGAAGGGCCGCTGTCCGTGGCTCCCTGCGCGGGGAACCGTCCGATGGCGAGGGTTCTGCATCAATGCCGGAATCTGTGACTTCTGAAGAAGTCGACTTGGACAGCTATAATAATCAGTTTGAGGCACTGACCTTTGATGATCTATAGAGAAAAGGTGAACAGGCAATTCCTGATCGACGGGGAAGATAGCAACTTAGTCTTGACACTAGACTGTTGGGCAAGTAGTTACATAGTGAAGCAGCTCGTGCACTATGACAGGGCAGAGCAGCACCTTTTGTGTCTAGAGGCGTCTACACCGCTCGCAATTCGACTCAACTATCTAGATATCTTCAGAACTGTTTCATGCATTGATAGTAAGAGAAAGAGCAAGTTTCTATGCTCATCCCTTCCCTCAAAGTGCATAACCGACGTCGCTCGTCGAGTTCCGACCCTTGTCTGTCTCGTATGCATGAGCCAATCGCCTCGAGGTAATGGGGATCTGAGCACGTTTTCGAGCTCCCTCCATGCCCGGAAAGGGCAAAGGACAAAGTTTCACCCCTGGCGACGCACCGCGCAAGCTTTTCCGAAGCATTGGTGCTTATGGTGCTTGGTCGAGCTTGTGCTTCTGATGGTCTGTCGTGAAACAACATTATCTATTTGATATACTTCGATCCTCACAACTCTTCGAAATTTCTATCAGCGCCGACTTCCAACGAACCCATCAGAAAGCACTGTCACGCCCGCCAAACGATCATCATGCAGCTCATTTCCCTACTCCTCCCGGCACTCGCCACAGCCCACTTCGTCCTCGTCTACCCACCATCCCGCAATGGCCAAGACGACGAGATTGAAGTCAACTCGCCCTGCTCCGGCAAGCCGGTCTCGGACAACCGCACAACTATTGGTTCCACCAGTTTCCCGCTCGCGCTGGAGATGGGTCACGACGAGAGCGTCATCCAAGTTTCACTCAGTCTGAACAACGATCCGTCTGAGGCCGACTTCAACATCACGCTCGTGCAGACCTTTGGGGAGGAAGGGCTAGGCGAGTTCTGCTTGCCGATGGTCACGATTCCGAAGAGCGCAGGGGTGAAGGAGGGGATGAATGGCACGATTCAAGTCATCACGGACGGAGAGGGTGGCGGCGGGTTGTATGCCGTAAGTGTTCTATCTTCTTGCTACTCTGAGCAGGAAAGAAGGCCGCGACTAACCTGTCACCTGCTTAGTGCGCAGACGTAACGTTTGGAAGCGCAGCAGCAGCTCTGCCATCGTCGTGCACGAACAACACAGGCGTCACCGCATCGGCACTACCTTCGCCTATCAATGCGAACGCGAGCAATGGGGAGGGTCAGCCGCAAAGTGGGAGTGCAAGTGGAAGTGCAAGTGCTGCCAGTGGCAGCGCGAGCGCTACCGCGAGTGGGAATGGAGCAGGGATGGCCATGGCGACTGTGGGTGCTGATGTGCTGGGATGGGGTGTCGTTGGAGGAGTCGTTTTGGCTGGTGTTGGACTGCTATAGGCCATGACGTACGAGTGTGTTTAGACAGATTCCGATCGTCGAGTGTAGGTTCACAAGAGACTGAAGCCAGCTTTGATACATTTAGTCTCAGAAAAAGCAGCCACATTCGATTAGAAGGTCAGAACAAAAGCAATTCGAAAGTAAGTAAGAGCTCTGTGTTCTGTAGTCTATCTGCGGCTGTCATGCAGTACTGCCACGTGTGGCACATCAGTGCTCGTCCAGAGCGATATGTCGCCCAACAGCAACTTCGCCGACGAAAATTCCAGCCAGCACGGAGAGAAAGTAGCCCACATTCATCGTCATCACCGCCAACATGCTACACAAAGCGTCAGACAAGGAACATGCAAAAACGAAAGAGAAGGAGCCACTTACAGCAAATATCCCACCCCGGCGATAACCGTCACCAAGCCCGCCCGTGGCAAATCGACCGTCAACCGGAACGGCAGCACCCTACCTCCATTCGCCTGCACATACTTCACGCGCTCCTCGAGACCATTCGGCCCAACAAAACTTCCAAACTTCGCGTCGTCATCCCCTTCGATCTGCTCTGCTCGGGGCTGCTGGCCCCTGACAACCACAAATCTCCGGTCGCGTGCTGCTGCGGCCCAGCGCTGCTCGCAGACGGCTTTGACAGCCATGAGGCCGCGGAAGGCAACGCCGAGTAGTATCAGAAAGATGCAGGTGCCAGCGTATGCGCCAGTGGAGGTTGGGGTCCAAGTGAGGGAGTACAGGGAGGTCATGGTGGATGTGAAGAAGGCCATGGACATGTCCTGCATGGTCATGACGTCGTGGGACATGGAGTCGTGCCTTCGTTCCATGGTGGTAGGTATGCCGTGGGAAGACGGCTGTGAGCTGGTGATTTGGAAGAGTCGGCTTTGGTGTGGTTGTACTGAGGTACAGTGGTTCGGGTTCCCTGTAGATCACTTGGAGATGCGGTGAAGGCACCGCTGCATCGGAAGTTAAGCGCTTAGGACTGTCGAAGTCGCTGGCTGGGCCTTGTATGTATATCGAGAGCCGTCTATATTTCGAGCTGAAACGTAACGATGCTCGAGGGCTCAACTTTTCGTTGCCCAGGTGTGTCAGAAATCAGCACAAACAAAAGGGCAAAGAGGGAGGGGGTAAATTTGGCGTCGGGAAGGTGCTAGCCGGAGTCGGACTGGGCGTGAGCACGTTCTTGGCATTGTCTGGACTTTGACCTTTTGCCCCACGATCAGGGTCCCCATTCCAGTGATCTCGAGTTTGCTACAGTACGGAGGTGCGCCCTCGAAAATAGAGCAGGATTGCGTATGTTGAGCAGGTATCTGACGATTGCGACTGATCCTTGTCGACGGCAGTATCTTCACCTATAGCGCCTTACGAGCCGTTTTTTTCGGGTGAGCACGTTTGCCGCGTGAGGGATCTCTCCTCTACAATGGACTGCAAACAGTAGTCCAGCACGAGGTGGTTTTCTATCCTTTTGATCCGACCTCAGCTTCTGGTTCACTCGAACGTTGCCACAGTCTCTAACGTCACGATGATGGACCGTCGACAACATAACCATGGCGGCATGTCAGGCATGTCAATGTCAGGCGGCATGAGCATGCCATCGTATACCGATATACAGCACTACTTCTGGATCTTCACTGGTTCAGTCATTGCATTCGCCACGCTGTTCAACGTTCTGAACTACATCGTACTCCGACAACGACTTTCTTCACTGAGCGCACGGCCACAGACGATATTGTCGACCTCATACGCCGTCGCAACAGCAATTACCCGAGAACTGTCTCATGCTTCTCTTCCCGTCTACCGATTCAGAAAGATCAAGCTTCGAACACCCCAACTGGGACCTTCATCTGTGGTGCTTGGCTTTTTGACAGCGATATTGGTCTTGGCCTTCTACGGCTACGACACCTTCAACCAGAGGCAATGGGAGGACATAGCATATCGGGTCGGCTCGCTCGCCATCGCTGAACTGCCCCTCGTCTTTCTCCTCTCCGGCAAGCAGAATCTGATCGGACTTGTCATCGGGTCTTCCTACGAACGATTGAACTGGCTGCACAGATGGGTCGCACGTATATTCTGGATCACTGTCACCATCCACATGTCATTTTGGTTTCGATCGTGGGCTCGCTATAACTACATTCTGCGCAAGCTGGAAATCGACTACCTTACACAGACAGGCTTCGCATGCTGGATTATCCTGACAGCCATCCTGCTCACAAGCTTCCTCCCAGTCCGAAGGCTCTCTCACGAAGTCTTTTACGGCCTCCACGTCATCCTCTTCGCTGGACTCATGGGCGCCATCTACCTGCACGTCTCAGACAGCAACGTAACCTACTTCTGGGTCAGCGTCGCCATCTTCTTCCTTGACCGCTTTCTGCGTGTCTGCACGACAGCGTGGGCTAATCTTCCAATTTTGCATAGCAAAGGCCAAGCCTGGGCGAATGCTGCGACTCTGACTCCACTGCCAGGAAACGTCACTCGCCTCAGCATCCAAAACCCAGTTGTCAATTGGTCGCCTGGGCAGCACATGTTTGTGTCATGCCACGCTGTGGTGCCACTGCAAGCTCATCCATTTACCGCCTCGACGCTGCCGTCAGATGGGAAGCTCGAGTTCTTGGTTCAGGCGAGGAAGGGTGGTACCAAGCGGTTCTATCGTTGGGCAAGCAAGAATCTATTACCACAGAGCAATGCTACCACGTCGATACAAACCAAAAACATTGCCCTAGACGGGCCATACGGCCGACACAGACCTTTGCAGCAGTTCGACAGCGTCGTGCTCTTTGCCGGCTCCACAGGTGCGACTTTTACTGTGCCGCTGATGAGAGATATTGTGCAGAGATGGATGCACGACGAGAGGACTGTGACGAGGCACATCAAGCTTGTGTGGGTCATAAAAGCGCGAGATCGACTGTGCTGGTTTGATGATGTGCTGGAACGGGCTCTTCAGGACGTGGCTGAGCTGCGGAGTCGGCACAGCCGGGATGTACAACTTGACGTTGACGTGTACGTCACCTGCGACGAGGAGTTGGAGGCGTCGATGTCGACCGACATAAGATGTGAACCACCTGAGCATGGTGAAGCGGAAATGACGACCAGCAGATCGAGCGCTGAGGCATCGGAACTGCTTGAGAAGAAGCAAGTCAACGGTCAAGCGACAATTCGAGTTTCCAGCGACGCCGAAGAGAAGCATGGCTGCACACCGGACGGCGGGTGCTGCTGCAAGCAGGCCGCGACCGACGAGGATGAGCCCGCTGCCTGCTGCTGCAACCCTACCACGACCGAAGCTCTGTCCTCCTCAGGCTCATCCTCCGACTACGAGAAAGCAAAGACATCATCAAAATCACTCATCAAGATTCACGTCGGCAGGCCGAGAATCCGGCCCATCATCCGCGCTATCCTCGAAGACGCCGAGGGCGAAAGCGCGGTGGTCTCATGCGGCCCACAGGGTTTGCAAGATGATGTGAGGAGGAGTGTCGTGTCATTGAGCGACGAGCGGGCCGTGCATAAGGGTACTGGTGCACAAGGCATATACTTGCATTTGGAGGGGTTTGGGTACTGAGCGTAGTGAAGTTGTATAGATAGGTAGTATCCAATGCGGTAGAAAGCGGTCGCCGCGTAAGTCCACCACCAAGTACGGCTACCTGGTAGAATTCTTGCCTCTCTTGGCCATCAAAGTAGAGGACTTGCCTACCTTGGTTGCCATGCTGCTACACCCTCCGCCCAGACAAGGAACTGACAGGCCGTGCTTTCTCCTTATTTCTTGCCCATGAAATGCTAATTACCTGTCTGCAGTGTCGTACGCGCAACCAGGCTGCCTGGGAGTGCTATGCGTGTCCGGATGCGCGAAACGGTAGTTTTGGTGAATTCGCTACGCACGAAACCTCTATCTCGAATTGACGTCATCCGATTAGTGAACGATTTCGTACCTATCAAGACTCGTATGCTATTGCCTGAGACTGTCCATCCCAGGCACCAGCTTGTGATTGGTCTGCTTATGAAGCCGGCTACCGCTTCGGAGCACGAGTACTAGGTATACTTGCAGCCCCTTTGAGACCACAGACTTGTCGAGAGGATCAGAGACTATAAAACATCAAGAGTCTTCGACGTCGACCGCCACAGGAGAGCCACCATCATCGCACGGCATCGTAGTATCAAGCAATAAAGCGCTGTCGAGGCACTCGCAATACATACTTAGTAAGGTCTGTGGCTAGCTGGCTCACGCAAGCCCAGTTCTCCGAACAAACGCCATCAAGACTACATAAACCAGACATATCAACTCAACAATCGGCCGCGCAAAGAAAATCGGATCTATCATCACAGCAGGCACATTACTCCCAACTGACCAGAATGGCGCCCTTACCACCATCACCCGACACCATCATCCTGATCTCCGGCATAAATGGCTACATCGCCTCGCACATCGCCCTCTGCCTGCTCCAGCAAGGCTACACCGTCCGCGGCACATCCCGCTCCGCCAGCGCCAAAGACCGCCTAATCTCAGGCCCCTTTAAGGACTACGCCAGCACCTACCAACACGCCGTCGTCACGGACATCGCCGCCCCCGGCGCCTTCGATTCAGCCGTGCAGGGCGTGCACGCCATCATCCACACCGCCTCCCCAATCGACTTCAGCCTGAAAACCCTCGAAGACTTCGTCGGCCCAGCAGTACAAGGCAACACCTCAATCCTCACCTCCGCCCTCAACCACGCAGGCCCCCAACTCCAATCCTTCGTGCTAACCTCCTCCGTCGCCGCGGTAGTCGACCGCTGGGCGCACCCCTTCACTGAGCCATATGCGTACAGCGAAGCAGACTGGAATATCAACGGGCCCAAGATCGCCTCCTCTGAGCCTTCAACGCCGGCATCGCGTACAGCGCTTCGAAAACCCTCGCCGAGCGCGCGCTGTGGGAGTTTGTGGAGACCCAAAAGCCGGGGTTTGCGTGTAGCGCGGTGCATCCGGGGGTGGTTATCGGGCCGCCGATATTGCTGCCAGAGAAGGCGGAGGGGTTGAATCTGACGGTGAAGCCGGTTTGGGATATCTACACCAACAACCCCTCCCTGAACGGCAAACTCCCGCCACCGGTCGGCGGCGCAAGCTGGGTTGACGTCCGCGACGTCGCTGAGATACACGCATGGGCCGCGATCAATCCGGATGAGAGCAAGGGACAGAGATACCTCGCAACAAACGGCAAAGCACCGCCGCAAGCCATCGCGGATCTGCTGAGGGAGGAGTTTCCGGATAGGGATATCATTACAGAGCAGCCGGGGTACTGGTACCAGAGCAGAGACGAGGAGGACAAGGAGAAGAGGGGAGGGCTGTTTGGGAAGAAGTGGGGATGGGAACTTGAGGGGCAAAGTGTGGATGCGGCGAAGATGAGGAAGGCGTTGGGTGGTGGGCGGGAGAAGGAGTTGAGGGGGTATAGGGAGGCCGTGCTGGATACGGTGAGGGCTTTGGAGGGGCATTTTGGCAGTTTGTGATGGGGCAGTAGGGTAGATGACGACCGCGCTGGCTTTAGGGACGAGAGACAGGGAAGAGATCTGCTCATAATCCAAAGGCTGTATTCATTCGTGGTGGGATATATGTCTATCGTCCAGTGACGCCTAGAGCTCTGTTGAAGCAGCTCGTTCAGTCCCCAACTTTTCATTCCGTCTGATCTTTTGAGTCTAGTATAGCACCCTGGTCAAGATCCGTTCCTTTAATCCCTCCAACTCCCCATACAGCCCCCTCACCTCCTCCTCTTTCACCCGACTAACATCTGCCATCAGGTACGCCACATCGCCTTTGCTATCCGTCATCTGCTTGTCCACGTTATGCCCGCCCAAGATCTCATTGACTCTCCTCAACACGCCAGGCACGTTCTGGTGCACGAAGATGACGCGCGCATGGTTCGGCTCGTCCATTGTGATGTTCCTGAGGGCGACCTCGGGCATGTTTACCGCCCCCAACGTGACGCCCTCGTTGATGTACTTGACGAGGGCCTCGGCGACTTCGATGCCGATGGCGGATTGAGCTTCTTCGGTGCTGCCGCCAATGTGTGGGGTAAGAATGATATTCTTGAGGCTGCGGAGTTCAGAGGCCCAGGAGTTGAGGTCGGAGGTGAAGTAGTCGCCGTTGCCGGCTGGTTCGTGCGGGTAGACGTCGAGGGCGGCGCCGGCGATGTGGCCGGAGCGCATTGCGTCGATGAGGTCGGGAATCTTGACGACTTTGCCGCGGGAGGCGTTGAGGAGGTAGGCGCCTCTCTTCATGCGGTCGAGTTGTTCTTTGGCTATTAGATTTGTGGTCTCCGGGATCTCGGGGACGTGTAGGGTGACAAAGTCGGCGCGTTCGAGGAGGGCGTCGAGGGTGGGGACTTGGCGGGAGTTGCCCATGGCCATAAGGTTTACGACGTCGTAGTAGATTACGTCCATGCCCATTGATTCGGCCAAGACAGAGAGCTGCGACCCGATGTGGCCGTAGCCGACAATACCCAGCGTCTTGCCGCGGATCTCCCAACAGCGGGCACTGACTTTGTTCCAGGTGCCGGCGTGCATTTCGTTGGAGCGGTCGGCGAGCTGGCGGGCGAGGCATATGATTTCGCCGATGATGAGCTCGGCGACGGAGCGCGAGTTGCTGAAGGGCGAGTTGAAGACGCAGATGCCGTGGGCGGCGGCGTAGGTGAGGTCGACTTGGTTGGTGCCGATGCAGAAGCAGCCGACGACGATGAGGTTTTTGGCGGCGGCGAGGACGCGCGAGGTTAGCTTGGTTTTGGAGCGGATGCCGAGGACGTGGACGTCTCTGGAGGGGAGGGGTTAGTCAGGGTGGTGGTGGGATGGGGAACGGGAGCGTGAGGATGGGCGTACTTGATCTTCTCGATCAACTGATCTTCTTGTAGACTGCTCTTGATCGCCTCGACCTGGTAGCCCTGCTCCTTCAGGATCTCGATGCCAGTCACATTGACGTTCTCGAGCAGCAGTATCTTGATGTCCTGTTCTCTAAACGGCTTCAACTGCTTTGGCGGGGCGCCATGTTGCGTTGTCATTCGGCGCATCAGAGGCGATGTCCCCTCATGGCTGTAGCTGGTCGTTGACGGTCTTCGAAACCTTTCTACTGGTGAGGTTGAGAATGCTGCCGTCTGGCTGCGTGAGACTGAGCGGCCCAGAGGTTGGCTGGCATCTTCACCATTCTGGGCCGTTTTGATATTTTGTGTGAGCGTTGACTCAGGCATCATGTTTGATTGTGGGAAGTGAGAAGGGGAAGAAGGCTACATCTCTCGAATATCAGTACTCTCTGAGTAATAATTGTTTGCTGTTCTGTTGGCATCTCCATCTTTTTTTCCTGCGCGCGCCGCGTTGTCCCGCTCTCCTTCGAACCTTCCTGCAAATCGTGTCATCGCTGACGTCGGGAGGAGAAATAGCCTCTATCTCCGGGCGTGTCAGCCGGTCTTGAATTGTTCTTTAGAATGGTAAATGGCACTGAGCAAACGACAAGTTTCGGTCAGATATGTTTGCGATCATAGAATTGTATTCGTCGACCTGGTATCTATGAGAAAGTGCCTTAGGCGGCCTCTGTGCCCTCTGGACGCCATTCTAGTGTAATGCATCCCACTCCGAACAACGAACGTGGTCGATCTACCCCTATTAGTGAGCTTCACTCTATTCGATTGATCCTTGAAGAACGCCATAAGATGCTCAGCCCTCCTCTCGTCGCTTAACTCGCAGAATGAGTCTTCGGCGTAGAGTCCTCCCTGGTGTGTGAAATCTGACAAAAGAGTTTTTGCCTTTTCAAGTCGAAACCTGATTCTTCGGACCTGCTGGGGCAGGGCCTTCTGCCGTAACGTACGCCTTGCTTAGACCGCCGTCGACAACGAAATCCGTAGCGTTCACGAAGCTACTCTCATCGCTGGCTAGGAAGAGGACAGCCTGGGCCTGCTCGATCGCCTCGCCGAAGCGGCCGGACGGGAAGTGCACCTCGCGGCGATGTCGCTTGGCTTGATCGTCGCCCAGCCAGTCCTGTAGTAGAGGTGTGTTGAGAGGACCGGGGCAGAGAGAGTTGAAACGAATGTTCTCGCGAGCGTGCACCATGGCGAGTTCGCGGGTCATGGCCAGGACGGCTCCTTTCGAGGCAGTGTATGCGAGCTGAGGTGTGGCGGCACCCATGAGCGCAACGAATGAAGCGGTGTTGATGACGGAGCCCTTTGTCTTCTTGTGCTTGCGCATCGAGAGAACAGCGTGCTTGGATCCATACCATACTCCCTTGACGTTGATGGCCTGCGTCAAGTCCCAGATCTTCTCCGATGTGTCGATTGCGTCAGCGTCGTCCCCATGCATGATTCCAGCGTTGTTGAAGACGATGTCGACACCACCCCATTCGTCGGCGGCGGCAATGGCGGCTTCCACTGAGGACTCATTGGTAACATCGCATTGAACCGTTTTGGCTTTGCTCGCTGTCTGCTCACCGACGATGTCCTGGATTTTGGTCATGGCGGTGTCCAGTGCTTTGGTGTTGATGTCGGCGAGAATAACAGAGGCGCCTTCCTGGAGGAAGAGAATTGTTGTCTCGAGACCGATGCCGCCGGCACCACCAGTGATGACTGAGCGTGGTTAGTGATTTGGTTCAGACTTGTCGATATACGGGGCTTACAAGCATTCTTGCCTGCCAGGCGGCCTCTGCGAGTAACATAGTGCTTGGCGTCGCCATTGGCGGCACCATTAGTTGAGCCGTTGGTGGTCATCTTGGCGTTGTTGTGATGCGCGATGCGGAAATGAGAGCGACAGTGAGCTTCGGCTGAATTCTGCGTCAAGCGTCTCTGCGATTCTAGTGTAGTTGTGGTGAGTCTTGGGCAATCTGAAACTGAAGGCGATATCAACGGCAACCGATTCCGGACAATTCCGCAAGTGTGGTGCACTTGGCAACGGTGAGTCTGAGTGGAATGAAAACGCGCAACAATGTGGACAGCAGCCGGGAGACCTCTGACTGAAAGACTATGGCGATAGCAGTGGCAAATACCTTAAGTCATCAGACCGACAACGGCTGTGGTGGTACAGTCATGAGAAATTGATTGTGCACGACATAGGGCGGGAGTCATGAGTAAGAGAAACTCCGGGTCCGTGCAGGGAGAGGGAAAGAACAACCTCTTCCGGACATCCTTATCAATGAACGGGCATCCACTCTCCGCCCGAACGTTGACCGCCAATTCTTGAGCTGATCGTTTACTGAACAAGCTGGAGGGCGCCTGGGGTGCAGCTATCATGAGGCTACCTTGTTCGAAAGATACGAATATGTGTATCAGCTTGAATTTGATGCAAGGCTGAGTCCATCCTGGTTCTGCCTGGCTTGTCGGTTGTCTGACCTCATCCACTCGTGATTCTACGAACCCGCGGTCTGTGCGTGCTCTGGCGGTCAGGCTGCGACGGTGCGCCGGAGCGCCGGCGAAGAGCTTCATTGATAATATGGAAGACACTATCTATCGTGCTCGGATGGTGCACTTGACCTTTATCACGGTCCGTCGCCGGCCAAAAGTGCGAAGTAATGGTAAGGAGAGAACGTGAAGTGAAGCCGGACAAGCGCCATGGTGTTGGCGCTTATAAGGGAGGTAAGCTATGGAGGGGCTGCGATCGGCAGGAACAGCCTAACTTGAAGTCCCGAGTTTCTGGGGAAGTGGCGGTGCGTGCAGATAAGCAGTCTCCAATTGTGCTGTGACGTCCCAGCTCTTCTTCTACGAGCATGCCAGCTTATCACACGTCGGTGTAAGCTCGAGTTCGTCCTCTGACACATCCGTCATTCCTCAAGACAATCACTGGCTAGCATAATGGCACCCAAGGAGGACAAAGATGAGGTTGTCACCCTCGACAACCTCGAGGCGACCCTAGCCAAGGACACGCGAGTCAAGCTTGCTGGCGTGGATGTTGACGGTACGATATCTCGCCGTCTCACTGTGATGATTGACTGACTGACCGATCTAGGCATGCTTCGCGGCAAGCTGGTGTCGAAGAAGAAGTTCCTCTCCGTGGCCAAAAATGGCTTCGGCTTCTGCAGCGTTGTCTTCGGCTGGGACATGCACGATCTGACCTACTTTCGCGAGCTCAAGATCAGCAACAAAGACAACGGCTACAGAGACATCGTGGCAAAGATCGACCTCGGCAGCTTCCGGCGCATACCATGGGAAGACAACACGCCCTTCTTCCTCGTCAACTTCTACGATCCAGACACAGACAAGCCCATCTGTGCCTGCCCGCGCAGTCTGCTCAAGACCACACTAGCAAAGGTGCAAAAGGCGGGCTATGGTTCGATGGCTGGCTCCGAGTACGAGTTCTTCACCTTCAGAGCCCCGAAGGACGCGTCCATACAGTCCTCCAAGGCATCATCTGCTACCACCGCTCCCTTCCTGCAGACCAATCCTGTCGATGCGCTCCCTCATCTCACCCAGGGCATGTTCGGATACTCCCTAACCGATCCCATACACAACCAAGATTGGTTCTACAGCGTCTTCGAGACTTGCGAGAAGTTTCGCTGCAATGTCGAAGGATGGCATACCGAGTCTGGACCGGGCGTATTTGAGGCTGCTCTTGAATTCGGAGACATCGCAGAGATGGCAGACCGAGCCAGCATGTTCAAGTACGTCGTCAAAGCCATGGGCAGCAAGCACGGCATCACACCGTGCTTTATGGCCAAACCTCGACAAGGTCTGCCCGGCAACAGCGGTCACATGCATTGCTCCATCGTCGACAAGTCGGGCAAGAATCTGTTCGCGCGTGCTCAGAAAGACCCCAACCCGCCCTACAAAGATCTCGAATACGTCTCAGATCTCGGTCGACATTTCCTGGCTGGTCTACTGGATGGTCTGGCCGATGTCATGCCAATCATTGCTCCCACTATAAATTCCTACAAACGTCTCGTTGAGAACTTCTGGGCTCCCGTCACCGTGTCCTGGGGTCTAGAGCATCGTGCCGCTTCCATCCGGCTCATAGCTCCTCCAGTGGCTTCGCCCAAATCGACCAGATTCGAGATCAGAGTCTGCGGCGCTGACACAAATCCTCACCTCGTGCTTGCCACCATCCTGGCCCTTGGCTGGCGAGGCATCGAAGAAAAGCTCGAGATCAAAATTCCTCCTTTGTCCAAGTCTGCTGATGTGGGAAGTGCAGACGACAAAGGAGAAAGATTGCCCAAGAATCTCAAAGACAGCACTGCCAGATTTATGGCCAAGGGCAGTATCGCACGAAAGGTCTTCGGCGATGATTTCGTCGAGCACTTCGGCGGCACCCGAGAGCACGAACTGCGGCTCTGGGACGAAGCTGTCACCGACTGGGAGATCAAGCGCTACATCGAGACGATCTGAACTATACAAGTATATGATACCCATGTTTCTATTGTTGGCCTTTGCCACCCTGCGAGCCGACAATGCATTGTTTCGACGGTCCGTGCGTCAACCTGGCTGCAGTCCTTTCTCAAACTCTTGCATTGCTTACAGCTTTTTTGTCTCTCATTGTGCTTCTTTGAGTCAAGAATACTTCATGTCTACCAAAGAAACACATGCACAGACCTGCAGTGTCAACGAGATGGTGAGTATGGACGCTGCTCTCCGGCCGCGTCCATGGCCCTCTTCCAACTTCACGATAAACATCACAGGTAAACATTGCGATCGAGCTGTTCTATATCCAGGATGCCTCGTCAAACCCGGAGTGCTACCAGGCAGGCCTCTGCCACTGCTCAGGTCCGCAAATTCCCAATTCAGCTTGGACCTAAGAGCGTCCATGGACCACACGACACAGACATCGCTCGCTTCCTACGGCGGCTCTACTATGAAATTGATGCACACCACCGGGGAGTTCTTCTCGATGGGCCATACAGGATAGCAATAATTACGATGCTCCTCCGACGGGCAAGGTCGCGTCATTGCTGGAAGCATGCTCCCGGAAACATGAAAAAGCAGAGGTTGGTCAACCTGAAACCCTTCGAGTTCTCTCCCACTAGAGCTCGAGAATGGAAGAGGGTACTCAACGAATTCAAGGACGATATAAGTGATGTGCAAACTCCTCTGATCAAGAACGACGAACTCGAAGACCTGGTCACATTTGTTGGTTACCCAGTTCTTTCTATTTGCTTGCATGCCCCCTTTTTCCTGTATTACTTGTCTACTGGCGCAGATGAATATCCCCACATTAGTTGGGAAGCTATGCTTAACGCGATTGTTGGTCACAGATCTACTGAGCTTTTCGCGAAAGTGCGCGGCCTGGATTTTGAGACTCCTATGGAGCGGACTCATCCCCGCTGGCACCTCCTAGACACTTATCTTGTCAAGGACCAGACCCAATTACCGCGGATGTTTGGCACCAGACCCACCGGAGGGTTTGAGTTCCACAATACCACAGCAATTATTCAGGCTGGCCCACCGAAAAAGCACTGGGCAATGCCGCAGGACCCCCGAGCGGCGGCTGTCACATGTAAAATCACTTATACAGTTGGTGCAGGCCTGACCCACGTGCCAGGCTATACCCAGGGCGACGTTCGAACGGAAGACCAAATCGACATCGGCGACTCGACCCTGTTGCCTGGATACCAGTGGCCAAACCAGGCTCGGTGGCCTAGCGATGACCCTAGAGAAGACGGGTACGAAAAGCCATGCTTGTGTTGTGACACGAAACGAGGACCTGTACGAAAAACTCAATCAAGACGAACATATCCAGCGGCTTGCAATTGTACACTTGACAAGTATCGCAAGAAGCGGTTCGATGATAAGGACATGAAGGGTGACGTCGAGCCCGTCCTCTTTGAGCTGGTCACATCGTATCGAATGGGCACAGGGGTGAAAGCGCTTCAGAATATCTTTACCGACGAGATTCTTGGCATCTACGAGGGCGAGATGTATCCTCGAAGCAAGCTTGACGAAGCTGCCCGCAACGCACTGTTCGGCACCAACGTAAACGACGACACCTGCCAGCCTGACCGTTACGGTGGTGCAGCGGGCAATGCGTATATCATGAATGCGTACATGAGCAAACGTCATCCAAAGCACGAGCCCCAACCGAAGAAGCGAAAAGCTTCTTCCGATGACACAATTGTAACTGAGCGAGATGTCGAGCTGCTACCATTGGACGCTAATGAGTGGAAAACATACTCGATCGACTCAGCTATCCGCGGCAATTGGACACGTTACATCAACCACAGCTGCAATCCGAATACCCGTTATGAGACAGTGCAGATCGGACAGAAAAGCCTCATGGTCGTCCAAGCGATGCGGGATATCAGTTTCGGAGAAATCCTGACCGTCGACTACAACGAGAGCTACTTCCCTCACATGCCATACCGCTGCAAGTGCGGCACGGAATACTGCTATCAGTGGAATAATGCTGATCCTTTTGGTCTCAAGAAGCAGACGCTGGCCATGGCCATGCAGAAAAAGAGTGGCGGTCCTCGCTGGGTTCGCGACAAGGCTGATCCGGATCATGGGAAGTTTCCTTTCCCGGTGCCTCAAGGTTCGGCGGGCGCGCCGGGTCGGGAGGGTAGGCAAGATAGGCTGCGATGGATTGATGTTATGAGGAAGAAGATGGGATTGGCGAAGACCAACGATCATGGGCAGGAAATTGTACCTAAGCCTGGGCCAAGGACAGCAGCAAAGGGCGGCAAAAAGACGGCGACGAATGCTGCGCCATTGAACGCGGCGGGAGGCAAGATGAGTGCTACGGGAGCGGGTGTAGCGCGGACTGCTGCGAAGCGAGGCAGGAAGAGACAGTGATGTTGGCGTGTATGCTGTAATGGTTGTTTCTTGAGAATCGGATTGTCAGCGCTCAGCGAGCATAGTCCGTCGATATTGTTCATTCGTCAATGTCCATTCTGTTCGTGTCATCCAGGCGTAACCTCCAGTCTACAACGATAAATCAGCTAGATCCCGGTGAGGGTTGTGATGCGACCGGATGACAAGCCTCGCAGTTCTCCAACTCTTGCCCCAATGTTGGATATAATTTCAGACCTCGAAACATCGGCTGCCTTGCTCTGCTCTCCCACTTCTACAACGTATGCCGTCCGCAGTAATATGAGCGTATGCTGCGCTAGCAGCTCGAAGTCGTACTCACAGTGGCGCCTTGACATCTACCAGCATGTCTTCGCCGTTCCGCGGGCGACGCGCCAGCAGCTGGGCTTCCTCCATCCTCGAGCGCGAGTCGGGGAGCGAGAGGCTTCGGGATCAGGAGGAAAGGCAGAAATCATTCTAGTGCGCAGGTGAAGGACGAGGTTGGCTCTCTTAAGGCCGGGGACGGTGGGTGGGGGAGGTGGTGGGGAGGAGGTGGCCGCGAAGCGGCCACCGACTCACCACCACC